AGATCGAAAGCGAACGTAGTGCGAAGATTTATGATCTGCCATTGACCGTAGTCAGCCGCCGCATATCATCATCATCATTGTCCTTGAAAGAAAAACGAAAAATGTAAGTGTTTGATATGGCATTGAAAGTACAGCAGACGGCTGCCTTTGTATATCTATATATTTCATTTTCCCCATCATCTCGAATTTCTTCCGCATGTAATGAAAATAGAATAAACGAAACATTCGTTCTCGTTTCTAGTCGTTTTCTTTCTTTTTCGTCATTTTTCCTCCAGTCTTTCATTTCGACTAGAAATATGCCTGCGTTGCATTGATACACTGTCAGCGGTTTTAAGTTCTTTTCGTGCATAAGCGTATACACATAAAACGGTAAGAAAATCAATCGGGCATCATTGATGATTTACATTTCGATGGTAAAATAAGTGTCCCATCATTTTCTTTCTCTCGACTCTCTCTCTCTCTCTTCTTATTTTACTAATAAATCGAATCGTCGTTGTCTATGACGTACATTCGTATATATATACATTCGATCATACTCTCAAGCACATACTGTACTCGAACAAAATCTAACCGAAGAAGAACGTTAATGATGACGTTGATTTTTATCATAAATAGATGTATGTGCTGCACTCTGAACATTTTTACTATACATCTCATGGCTCGTTTGGTCAGAAGAGAAGAAGGGAAGAGAAGAAGAGAGAAGAGAGAAAAAGTATGGGTCCCATTTTCTCTAGATGTGTAACCTACATAGAAATAAATTTGCATAAAGTTTCGTTGTCGTTCTTTCTCTCGTCTTATTCAGCATGGTTGATGATGATGATGATGATTGAGGTAGTTTGAGTATACATGATGAAACAACTATATATGCATAGCAGCTTATGTATAGATCCGCCCTCAATCCCATTCATCGTTCGAAATTGAGCTATTTCATCCTTGAACATAAAGACTTGCTCTTATTTATTTGTTTTTTTCTTTCTTTCTGTGTTTAGATGATGATCAACAAATCATGACATGATATATGATCATTAAAAATCATGTCAACTTTTCAAACAAATCAACTCAATGGGTTTTCGCCAATGCTTCTGTCACCGTCGTCAACAAGTCATCCACTAATATCAAATAATCATTTGGTGCTATTTGATAACAGTGACCAAGGTTCTGTCGATTCTGATTATACCTCGCTAGGTAGTTCCAAGTTTTATGGTAATGGCGGTTCATCATCATCACTACATCGCCAAGGACGTTCACAATCAATTGATGAATTAGCTTCGACAACAACGATCCCCACACGACATTTTAATGGAACATTAAATGTAAATAAATTAAATAATGATCCATTACAATTTGTTAAAATTCATCCTCATCACGACTTAATTGAACGTGCACAAGAACAATTAACCTTACTTGAGTCGAGAAAACGTTTGCAGGAAACATTCAAATTAGGCAATCATAATCTTCCAATCGTTATCCATCATAATATTAATAATCATGCAAATTCAAGTAAAATGAATGATGATGATGACACAGATTGGTCAAAGGTAATTTTCTTTCTTTGTTTTACGCTTAGCCAGAAACGAACAATTTACTAGTGTAACTAATCTTCTCGACGTTCTATTCTAACCGTCGCGGGCTCATTTCTCTTTCACTCAGTCAATTATGATCTATAAAACTTCTATTCATATTTTCTATAGTATCGAACGTATCTTTTCCTCATTTATCCCCGACCAAGGTCCATTCGAACTTGATAGATTTCTTTAATTTATCTCGATAATTTCTTCCGTTCAAACCATTGACCTTCATTTTATGAGAAAAAAAAGGAATTCAAAGTGGTATACGTAGGCTTTTTTTTCGCTTTTCTATGAAGACAAAAAGAAATATTTGGAATTTTTAATAATCTCACGTTTAGACGAAATCGACACCAAGAGACATTTATCATCATTATATCTTATCTTCTTTGTTACACCTACCTATTCACCATTCCGTTTTTTCCTCTTGTTCTCCTCGAATGTCTTTTGTTCTCTGATGATGACTAGGACAATGAATGTCTAAGAAATTCGCACAAGTATTTCAGTTAATTGAATTTACCTACTCTAGTCTACAGGTATCAAAACAGAAGCAAGTAGTTAAAAGGTGTTACCTAATCTCTAACGTTTGCAACTTACGTCATCATGGTCATCATTTTCGTTTTCTTTCTTTCGTTCTCTTCTCTTTGCATCGAATTTGTAAATCAACCAGTCGAATAAGTTGTTATAGTTGAAATCGAGATTAGACCGAAACTAGTGTCCATGGAAAGTGATATTACATGCTTGATTGCATATTCGACCTGGTTTCAATAACAGCAATAACAACAACAACAACGAGAGAAAATATCGCCACTTTTTTTATTGATAAGAAATGCAATAAAAAGAAAACAAAACAACTAATCAGCGAGGAATTTTTCCCTCATTTTATTGTTATCAGAAGACAATGCTCTTTTCACGATGTCTCTCGCCTTGTGATTAATGTTCTTGTTTAAAGAGAGGAGGAAGGCGAGAGAGAGAGACAGAGAGAAGGGGGAGAAAGAGAGTGGTTTGCTGGTTTCTTATTCGAGATTGGATCAAAGACGTGTGTTCGCATAACTCGATTACTCTCTCTTTCTGTCTAAATATTAGAGGAAGAAGAAGAAGACGACGAAAAAGAAAAAGAGGTTACATTCTTTCTTTTACTACAGTGTGCACGGCACACCTTGCTCAAATACAAAACAAAAAAAAAGCCCAAAATTACAGCGGTGCAAGTATAGACGACGAACGACGAAAAAAAGAGAAGATATACGTGTATACAGACATACGCATACATACAAACGAATCGTAGCCTTATGACGTACATTCAATTATATGATGATGATTGTGGATCGTCCTCATTCTTCCGATATGCATCTAATCATATTCAATTAAACGTGTCATTCAATACAAATTAATTATCATGAAAGGTCCGACATTAAACAGCACAACGGGTCGAAAACCTTCAACAACTTCGACGAGTAGTATTCAAAATCATTCAGCGACACGTCCGAGACAAAGCGAAGTCTACGAGGATTATTCCGAAGTATGTTTGTACTCGTGTATCGACATGTGTCGATTTCAAAATTCTCGCTTGAAATAATATTTCATAAGGAATAACAGACGTTTCGTATGATACGCTTGTTTTCATTTCATTATACTCCTTAGCGTAGTTCAATAAAATAACATTCCGTTTTTTTTCATTAGTCTACAGACAAATAATGGATTGTAGGAATATGAAATCCATATAAAATTTGAGTGGATTTCTGTGTTGATATGTTAAGTACAAAAGAATAATCAAACAGTGTTTGTTTCACCTGAATTCATAAAAGAATATCAAATGTTTTATTTGTTTTTCATTTCTAGGCTGTGGAAAATTGGCGACAGAGACTTGTAGAAAAACGTAAACAAAGCTTAAGACCGCATGGAGACGACGATGAGCCAACAACGTCATCATCAGTTACCAAAACAATACCTTCCAGTCCCACTGAAAAGTAAAACTAATTACCTTGAAATTTGATGTTGTTTTTTCTTCCTATATGTATCACTTTTCGCTATCTAGATCAGATGATTCAGAAACAAAAGCAAAACCTCAGCGTCCATCGACGACATCGACTGTTTCGTCAGTCACTCCAACAAATGAATCGATGGATAAATTAACAATATCGAATCAAATACCACCGAAAAGTCCATCGCCTCAACGAATTAAAGTAAACAAAAAACAAACCCTACAAATGAAATCGAACCGAACACTATTTGTATAGGGTCCTGCTAAAATACATGAAATCTGTATTAAAAAAGCCGTCGATGTCCGAGGTTTTGGTTTCAAACTTGAGGGTGGCCAAACGCATAATCGACCACTTTACATATCTACACTGGAAGAAGGTAAGATAGTTTGATTTACTCTAAAACAACATATTCATGCAAATGTACTTTGATGCTGTTGTTTTCTTAGGCAGTCCTGCTGATAAAGCGGGATTATGTGTTGACGATGAAATTATATCCATGCACGATGAAAATGTTGAACAAATGACATTTGATCAAGTGCGAAAACTTCTGAAAGAACGAAACTTACGTGGAAGCATTCGATTAGTTGTTCGAACTTTCGAAGGTACATGTCAATTCGAATATTTTCAAGTTTCTTCTAATCTTATTCCATAGAAGTTGTCGATGATAATTCCCAAACTATCACAGCAGGTCAAGCAACTGAGCATAGTCGAACGCCATCGCCACAAAAGCTTGCATCTAATTCACAACCAATCACATCCGCTGTTTCGCCATCACCAACAATAACGCGTACGATTCCCGTGTCAGTAACGATTCCATCCAATGCTCATCCACCTATCTATACATTTGTACCATATAATCCTCCGCCCTTATGTTATCCAACGCCTGATTCAACTTTGAATACATCGATGAATATGTTCGGACCTAAGCCATTCCGTTCAACCGCTTCAATCAATCTTGAAAATCAAACTAGTAATGAATCAGTGAGTATCGATTGCTCTCCTTTTTCCCCAGAGAATAATGACATAAATCAGTTTCTCGCGTCCATAACTAAAAGAAGATAACGGATTTCAATTGCATGACTAATATTTTCTATCGTTCAGAAAACTGTTCATACATCGTCGATTGAAGCTTTTCGAAAGATGCTTAATCCATCAAACAGTATCAGCAATAGCATGAAGAATGAGGTACTCGAACATGTCTAATTAGTAAAATACATATCTATCTACCTATCTATCTATCTATCCGTCTATTTAACTGCACGTCTTCTATTATCAACAATTCAACAAATAAAAACATTCCATTACATAATTATATGCACATGTACACTAATCATCATGATCTTTGGTGTTTGGTGCAGATCGTCATCTAATTTGTTTTTCGAAAACTTGATCAAGGTGTGTTTTTTCTGTTGCGTTCATATTTCCATACGATTTTATTGTTCATTGAATGGTTTTACGTAAAAAAAACGATGAATATACGTTCAGATGAGTAGATAAATGAAAGATCTTTGTGATGATCACATATCGATGCATGTATATCTCTTGATTGAGAAACGTAACTTTCGTATTTAATTTAGATGTAGACATTTATTTTGAAAACCAACTATTAACTTTGACCAATTTGCTTATCTCCTGTAGAGAAGTAGATAGTTGTAGATATTTCTGAACAAAAAGTCTTTCCTTGTCGAGAATGCATAGAGACTCATATGATGAAAATTAGTCCTCTCTAATCGATCGAAGTATAAATCGACTCTTTCGATTAAAAACTCTCTGATGAACATATCTTTTATTTGATTTATTTGCAACCGAATTACTAATTCTATTCTTCTTCAACGCATGAACGACTTCTTCAACCATTAGTATTATGATTTCTTTTTTACTGGTTATCTTGTTCTGATTTCATCCAACCGAATTCTTTTCCTTTGCAGACAACAAGTTCGCTTGAACAACAATCATCAACTGTGTCGGACTTATCGTCACAGACCACGGTGATCTCACGTAGGTTACTTTCGTTTGATCTTCGACATCGAGTCTATTGTTTTTCAGCTCCTCCTAATCCAGTATCGATTTCATCGGAATCGCCGACTAATAATACATCGCCATCAAGTACAATAACAGCGAAGGCAAAAGCACCGCCTCCACCGTTAACATCCGTCGAAACATTACTACGTGGAACACTCGATATCAATAAACAAGACCAGCAACGTAATGAATCATTCACTGGCCAAGCACGTTCATCTGTTGAACAACACATGAATCAGTTACAAGAAGACTTTCTATTCAATCAACCTCATTTACGAATATCACACGTAAGATATCCTCTTTTCTTTTACTATTTAGAAACCATTTCGATGATTGTAGGAGCGACGTTCAGTAAACATTCCTGTTGATTCATCAAATCTGGTTATACCATCATCTAATCAAACCCAACAATCCACGAATAATCATAGTAGTAGTAGTAATGGTAGTACAAGCCGAATATATCACAATATTGAATCATCAACTTCACAACAATTTTCACCAAGTTACCCAAAACGTTCTATACAAGATATTCCTTCATTGTTTACTAATAATGCAACAACAACAGTGGCCATCAATCGTTTACCTGCAACAGACCATCCAGTCAATGAAACCAAAGTCAATCTATCGAGTCCAACATCGAATCAACAACCAAAGAAAGTCTCCATACAAGTAGATGAGAAAAAAACGCAACAACGTATTACGAAGTAAATCTTTCTCTCTACAACAATTCGTATCGACTAGTTGATTTCTTTTAAGTAAACAACTACACACAACATTCAACCAAGTGCCCAAAAAACCTCTTGCAGACGATCATTCATGGATTAATCATGATGAACAAAATAAACCTAATGTTCTTCTACCATCAACATATCAAAATGGTAAAAGTCTTTTGAGTAACCATCGTCCTGCTCCACCGGTACCTCATCATCAAGACACACAAAGAAATGCTTCATCATCCAAGCCAATATCCATGTTTCATTATGGTGATGCATCGGATGATTTGAGTTATCGTCCTTTGCGAAGTGCACAACATAAGCATGATTTCGAACCATCTATTCACCGTCAGCATCAATTAAAAAATCGACCGTTAGTACACGAATCAAAAAACACTTATTGAATTCAGTGTGAATTTCTTTTTTAGGAAATCACCGATTCGTACGACAATCAATAGTAATAATAATCGAGTTTTATCGGTCAGTGGAAAACTACATTGTTCGAAATGTAACCAAGAACTAGGTAAAGTGAACTTTCCTTTTGAATCATGTCTCTTTCACCGACGTATCCATATTCAGGTCAAGGTTCAGCAATGGTGATTGAATCGCTTGGTTTATACTATCATATCGATTGTTTCCGATGTTTCGTTTGTAATATACCATTGTCATCATCATTCGAAGGCACCGATGTTCGTGTACGAAGTAATCGACTTCATTGTCAAAACTGCTTTTCAGACGAAAATGGTGAGTCTCATTAGTAATTAAATGTTAATATGAATAACTGGATGAGGTTTACTTAGGCGACTGGAGATCAAACGTAAGAAGAAGACTTCGCTTTTCTCTTTTCTATTCTTTTTCGTTGTTGCCAAAAAAAATCCTTTTTTAACGCTACAGCACATAACACAATGCAGCCAAACTATACAAAGAATGACATTGTGTGCGAACATATTCTGATTTTCATAGAATTCAAATAGCACAAAGAAATATCATTTCACACTGAAAATTTGACTCGCACACGTGTCATTTGAGATACGCTAAAGAGCACAGCGGCTTTTTTCTCCACCGATAATTATCAAATTTTTAATCTATTTTGCTTTTTTCAGCAAGCTTTATCATAATTCCCACTTATATATGGCAAATTGATGAGGTCTGAAACTATCATCTTCTATTCATGTCTTGAACTGGACTTTACTTTCTCTTTCGTTTTCATTTTTTCTTTTCTCGCATGTTGAAAACTAACGCAAAAATTTTTGTAACCGAACATCATCCCATTCGATTTCCTTTGTTTCTCTTTAGGTGTAAGATCAAGTGCTGTTTAAATATCATTACCGTCCTTACTCAATTCTATGCAATCAATCTATTTCTGTTTTTTCCTTCGATTTCCTGTTCCAACTGATAGATGAACGAACATTCCACATTCATACACGAGAACACTGTGGTTCCGACTGTTTTTTGCTCAACATAAGAAGAACAACTGAAAATAGACAATCTTCTTGAAATCCAAATATTTCTTCTGTTGTGTGATACGTCCTATGTATATTCTTCGAAAAAAAACCCAACGTTTAATGAGTATATACATAGAACGGTGCTGTTTTCTCTCCTTTCTTTGTACAGAGTTTTGTTTTCAATTTGTCTCCGTTTCTTTTTCTATTTCCTCCATCTTGATCCATCCTGCAGAGACGAACAGTTTGTTTCTTGCTTATTGTTACTGTTGCTACTTAACTTGATTGATACTTTCTTTCTGCTCTTGTTTGAACGTCTTTGGTCTTCTTCTTCTTTCTTCTCCTATTTTCAATTTTATATCCACGAAAAAATTCGAACTAACTATCGATGATCTCTCTGTTAGATTTTATGATTTTATTTGCATACAGAGAAAAATACACATATAATAAGTCATTTTTTGCCAAGTAAAACAAACGGACATCTTTTTTACTCTTCACAGAAGCGCAAATAATTCAAAGTAAAATTTCACGAAGATCAACGATTCGTATCTGATTGATACCGCCGCTGAATCAGATAGATCCACCTCTTTTTCCGATTATTTTCTCTAATGATTCTTGCAGACATCTGACAACATAAAAAGTTCATCGATGTGCCGATAATATATTCATCTTCAATGACGCATTGCTCGAGCGCGTCAATCCAAATAGTAAATCACACTCGATTAGAACAAAAACGAAACGAACAGTCATCATCAACGATAGTAGTTATTCATTGTCACCTACTCGATAATGACTAGTCATTAGAAATAAGCTCGGCAATGAAGTACTGAAGTCAATTTATCATCAAAACATGCGTCTATAACATAAAAGTGATAAGTGGCCTGTCAGAGATGCTTCTAATTAGCTAACAGAGTACTTTTTGAGAAGTAATTACCAGCATTTGTTTTCTTTTTCAATGTTATTCAAATTGACGATCAAAGTGTTGAAAAACAAAACACGAGAAGACTTTTCCTTTTCGTTCGAACGATTGATGTTCAAACGTTTATTTGAAATCAAAACTATGTTGACGAAAAGCATCACGAGATAATTGCTTATGGGAATTGCACGATACTCCAGACAATCATTTCATTTCCCCATGAAAATCGTTGATCTCTTTCCTTCTCTTTCTCTGATCGTCACAAGTCAATTGCACATGTTCACAATTTAACAGACAAAAGAAAATTACATTGCATAAGAATTAATCGCGACGGATCAAAGCAAGCGATCGGATATCTTTCGAAACGAACGACTAAGATAAATTATCACATTTATCTTGAATACAATGAACAGATTCACCTGAGGAATGCAATATCGTCTTGTCACTGAATGATAATTAAAAATTTTTCGCGTCATTAATCTTGTGCACTGTAATTGATCATTTTTCATTTCGCTTCAAGCACACCCATCCTCATTAACTGTCTTCCTATTACATCAATTCGATCAGATAAACTATCTTTGATCATCGATCGATCCTTAAGACGAAGATTTCGATAATTTAAAGATTTATTGTGTACAAAAAAAGATGAATTCCATCAGGAAGTAAAAGACTTTTTCATGTGGACTGGTATAGGACATAGGATTCTGTTGTTCGTTTGGCAATGAGTTGGAAATTGTCTCAATTGAGTGGCTTTGATACGTTTCCATTTCGCGCGACGATTTTGCCACCAAATTTTTACTTGAATCTCTGTCAAATTTAAACTTTGTGCGATTTGTGAACGTTCAATTAATGTAAGATATTTCTTTTGTTGAAATTCAGCTTCCAATTCCAACAGTTGTTCATTGGTAAAGGCTGTTCGTTTACGGCGGACTGTCGTCGAACTTTTATTTAACGAAGAGTTATCATCCTCATCGCTATCACTTGTTGTTGGACAATTCAAACTATCTAAATATCGAAAAGATCATTTAGGTTGGCTAAACAGGAAAATCTCTGCATTCCGTTTACCTGAATGGAAGTTTTGCTCGTGAAAGAGAGAGTTCATAAACAACGTTGAAGGATTTTTATGTACATGATGACTATTAAGTAGAGCATCAATAAAAAAATTCGTTGACATGATGATACCGTCGATCAAAATGAAATAGAAATGTTTAGATGAAGCTTATAGTTTATATAAAGAAGAGAGGAGAAGAGAAGAGAAGAGAGAGCATTGTTGCTTTTCTTCTCATTGGAGAAGTGTCGTGATTGGATGGAGAAAAAGAATTAATCTGCTTTGAAAAATTGATTGACTGTCTGTTTGTTTTCATATTCACACCATCTCTATTTTCACGAGCGGATCATTCGCATTTCAAGGATACCGCATTAAATTGTGAGAAATTAAAGATCAATCATCAACTTTACTTCTTCTTCTTCTTCTTCTTTGTGACAACAAAATCATAATCATAAAGAGTAGAAATGTGCGTTTAATAGAGTGAGGATTTCATATCATTTAGATGACAAGTCAGAAATCTTGCTGATAGGTACCTAGTGGGTATTTTCATAGATGTGTGAATTGTTGGTATGTTACAAGAAATGTAACGTTTATTAACGAATAAACAGCGAAGTGTATCTATGAGAGAGATAATTAACAGCTTAAGAGCGGCTTGTTTGTTAGTGATTCAATGCTAATTCTATTGAAGGTATTGGTGATAAGAGATGAAATGTTTTCTGTTTTGACGCAATCATTTAACGATGAAAATATTCCGAAACTAATTAATTGACAGATGTTGTTGGTTGGAGACCAAGGTTTCATAGCGGAGTGCGGAAATACGAGAAACTTCTGAGGATTGTGAACGCGAAAGAAGCTGTGATTGATCCGTTGCTGCTTACATGAACGATGGAAATCATTTTTTATTTGTTTATAAGGAAAAAAACAACATTTCAGTTCTGTTTCGTACAAATAAAAATCTACATATTTAAATCGTGCTTATGGATATATATATATATAGAAGTGTGTTATTTTGTTTAGGTATATAGCGGTAGAGAATTTTAGTAGTTTGTTTTCAGTTGTTGTTCTTTCTTCTGATCAAACGTCTAGTGATTTGTTAGGAGACAAAGTTAAATAAAAACCAGCATGAGAACGACAGTCAAAATCAGCAAACAAAAAGAGAAAGTAAAATGTTCAGAGAGTAGATAGAAGAAATGGCGGCTTAGACGAACAAACGAAAGACAAAGAAAGAAAAAATGATAATGAATAGGTTAAACCAAATGACTGTTGTTCACTCGTTCGAAAAATACACAAATAGAATCGTAATTCGACTGGTCTTGTTGTTTTCTTCGATATTTCTAATAGGCTTGCATGCGTTTGTTTGTGTTATTATAATATGTCGTGTTTCGTGGACGTTGTTGGCCATCGCCATAGTTTCCTCCACCACCGCCACGTTGATAACGTGCACCATTACCATAATAGGATTGTTGACCGTTGTTGTTTCGCCGGTTGTTGTTGTTGCTGTTGTTGTAATAACCAGCGTAACCATTGCGTTGATTGGATTGCTGGACAGGACGATATTTTAGGCCGAATGTTTCGGCATTGATTCGACGTTCTTCATTCCAATTACGACGTGAGTTTCTAGAAGGAAACGTCGTAAAATGGCAACAGGTAAAAATGTGAAACGTACGTTTTTTCCTTTTCGGTTGTTTCACATGAGATTCGGTCAAAGAAGCTTTTTTGTTTATCATAGAAACCATCCGGATTTGGCTCCTGTTGTTCATCTAGTTGAGTTTTTGAAGAATCTGCTGGTTGATCCGGTAGTTGTTGTTGTTGTTGTTGTTGTTGTTGTTGCTGCTGTTCTTGATCGTGTTCTTCTTCTTTGTCTTTTTCCTTGTCCGTTGTCGATGTTTCGTTAGTTTTATCTTTGTTGGTCTTAATGGATAAACTCTTTTTAAGTTCATCTTCAATAGCATTCTTATCAAATTCCGCATTGGATTTTTCGAAATCAAAGTCACCGATAAATTTCAAAGTTGAACGATTGTTACTATTACCATGTGTAGAATCTGTGTGTTGACGGCTATTTCGTTGTTGGTTTTGTTGGTTACCTGTTATACCACCTGTCGAATTGCGTCGTTCACGATATCCGTAGTAATTATTATAGCCTTGTTGGTTGTTATTCGTGCCTGTTTTGTCATCATGAAGAAAACGAAAGAATATTAGTAATTCGAATTCGATGTGAGAAAACTTACGTTTTGAGGGGTAGAAACGATTGCCCTCATAGTTTTGCTGTTGTCGAGGATATCGTTGGTTCTGTTGCTGACGATAGTTGCTATTTTCCCAACCAGAGTTATTTGTACGGGGCCATTCAGCATAGTCATGTCTTTGATTTCCTCGACGATTATTATTTGTATTATTGTTACTGAAATCATTATAATAATCTTGTTGTTGACGACCACGTCGTTGATTGTTTCCATAGGAATAATCTTGTCCATCGAGCTGTGCTGATGTTGATTGTTGACTGAATGGTCTTGTTGATTGCTGTTGATTGAAATTTAACTGACGTAATGGATCTGTGTTTGAAGAGGATTTTAATCCTTTATTGAAACCTTGTTGAACAGTTGGTGATGATGATGATGTCGGGCCTTGAGTCGATGATACACGTGCTTGACTACCTCCACTTGCATTATTTGTTGCCACTGTTGAAGAACGAGCATTCGAAGGATACATAGATGACTAAAATAGAAATCGAACGAAGGCATGCCGATGAATCATTTCTGGACAAGATATTTTACTTCGACAATAGCTGGATCTTGAGTGAGCGCAGTTTGCGGAGGTTCGCGAACTTGTAAATCTTCAATATCGGCGCCGCGGAAAATAATATATTCAAAGATCTCATCACGTGCAGGCACAGGTCGATCCGTTGGACGATCTTCCGTACCAAAAGAACGCACTAAAAATAGCCCATCAATGACATGTACTAATCAATTCGGAATTAGTATCGAATGAATTTACCTTTAGAAAGTGCTACCGTTGATTCATTAGCATCGATTGTATATAGAATACCTTCATACCGAATTTTAGCTTTCGAAACAAGGCTAATCTTTGAGCCAAGGTAGGGTGAATCAGTTGCTCCGGATGTTGATGGTTTTTTTAAAGAAGAACTGTTTGTTAAGCTCATTTTGATAGTTTCTTCGACTATGGAGGACGAAAAGTGAAGAATAATATGAAATGGGTTTTTTTTTCTCTTTCTTCTTCTCTTTATGTAACGAATTCAATCAGATAATAACTATAAACAGATATACACTGGCCAACTATAGTCACATTGGGTGTAAACCAAAACAGAAAAGAAGAAGAAGAATGAGAAGAAAAGGAAAACAAATGTCGTTGGTCGTCTAGGGATTTTAGATTTATGTTCACTTGTTTAGTTCGACTAACATGTGAAACATTAAGATAGACGTTTCTAGAATAGAAAGAATGTGATGAATATAAGTTTGGTCAATTCCAGGGGGTTAGTTAGAAAGAAAAATAAATATGGCGATGAAGAAGAGGAAGACATCACGACGGTCAGTAAAGCGTCAAATGGGAGGATCAGCTCGATTAACATAATGAATCGAAGAGAAATTCAAATCACACAATTAACACACAAATCGATATTCGATAAAAATTCGATTATTTTTTACAAAAGATCCAACCGAATATACAATTTTCAGCTTGCCTAGAGGTCACTCATATACAGTATTGTGTTTCTTAAATGTTTATTTCTGAAAATTGTTTACTACCATGAAAAGCTTCAATATATAATCTCGTCAATAAATCATTTTTTGAGGTCTTATCTCGCAGTCAGCATTTTAGCGGATGACATACGTTTTCAATTGGTTTGAAACTCTAATCCAATAGTATTAATTATGATTCATAATATCCATGTCATCAAAAACTGAACGAACGAAGTAACATTGATTGAAAGTAGAATTATAATTATACCTCACACTGGTTTCCTCCAATTCAATCATCAAAGTTATCTGTATATCGAAGATCGAATGCAAGAAAGAGAGACCGAGGGAAAAAGAATAAAGCGTAAGCGTATATTTAGTTAAATAAGAATACAAGCGAAAGCAAGTACATAAAACTTTTTATTGGTTCTATATCAAAATCAACAAGTGTATTCGTGCGGGGGTACATATATAGTTCTTTACTTTCATAACCGATCATTTTTTCGTTGAGAAGTATATGTCCTTAGTAAGAAAGTGTCCTGTTCTCGTCAAAACAATTATGTCATGCTTCTTTTTTATATTACTATATGTTTTACTCATGTAGTTCGATTGATTAATTGGAAGAAATAAGTTGAATGCGAACGATATTTTTTTCATGTTATTACTCATTGAATGAGTCAAAAACTCCTTCTGTTTCGTTGCAAATGTCGGTCGTCAAAATCGAATATAATTATGAACATGTGAGCTTGCTTTTGCTCTCCAGTCATAATAGGTTTTTTGTTTCAGTGAGAGATCTAGTCTGTAAGCAATTAAGATGATCGTTTTGGCTGATATGAGTACATAGAAAAATTCTATGGTGCAATTATCACCCGAGTCAAGTTAGTTGTTTTTTTTTCCACTGTGCGTCGCTTATTTGCTTATCGTTAGATAACATGAAAAAGTGTATTTACACCTGCGTTTATCTAGTTTGGTATCTTTAAAGCAACTAGCATACTCTCATTGAGCACTAAAAAATCTTTCGCTGTTGTTCTTTTAGATATCATTCCAATCAAAATCATTGTCGATGCATAGACGTGGTCATGGTGCGTTTCATACAGGCGATTTTCATTGTAAAAAGGATCTTTTTTTGTGATTATAGAACGATCAGCAAGTGCTGAGTTTAACCGTGTCGATCGAACAGTTCGAATTCATAATTCAACTGAAGTAAAACCTTTGAATTCGATGAAATTCTTCATTTTCATCTATATCTTTTCGCTTTAGCGTCTCCGATCGGAGTTGCTGAATTATATAACTAATCGTTTCGAAGAATTTTCTTCCGAAATGAAACAAGCAGCAAATATGCCATCGATTGATGAAATCATCGAACGACCAGTTATGTCCAATAGTGATCTATCATCGATCAATAAAATTGATAATCAACTATCAGCTCAAACCATCGCATCAAAGCAAAGTGTTGATATCAAAAGGTACGTTTAATAAGGCAGATCTTTCGTTATTTGAAATTGTTTTTTTTCTCTTCAAGATCATCATCAGCATTTCCAACAAAAGTATTTCGCATGCGTTCGTCAATAATGACTGAATTACTTGAAGTGTCACATATAAAATCCATTCGACAAATCTTTATATCTATTCTTGTTCTACTTGTTTTTCAAGTAGCTTTGACGGACATATTCGAAAAGGGCACGTACGTAGACATACTAGAAGAAATTTGTCAAATAAAGAAATGAAATTCTTTGTAATTTAGAGTAGACTTCTTTGTGTTTGACCTTATTCAATGGAATTTTTCGAATTTATCACAATGTGTACGTGTTTGGTTATGTATGTTTATGGCTACCTGTGCAATTGTTTATTATTGCTTTCACTTTTGGGCGCATAAACGTCTCAGTTTCATTCCTGTACATTCATTTGATTCAACCGACACAGAAAAACTCAAGACTAACTCAACGACACTACGTAAGGAGCTTAAATTTATTCCGACAGAAAATTACGCTTCTGTTTCAGTCATCTTCGATTGGATTTGGTTTGTTGCGTATTGCTGTTATGTCGGATTATTCTTATATATTCCAGTACAACATATACTCGCAGAAAACTATCCCATCGTCACGCGAATTATCATTCTCGCAGAGCAGGTAGCTAGATTGAAGTGACGGCGATTTGTTCGAAGTTTCTTGTATACATGGACTAGGTTCGATTCCTTATGAAAACTCATGCATTTGTACGAGAAAATACGCCGCGTGCAATACTCTATGGTCAGATTTATTCCGAAGAAAGTAAATGATTATTTTATTCCATATTCTCATTCGATTTTCTTTTTCGTAGTCAAAATCGAAGATTTAAGCAAAGACAAATTCAATGATGCATCGAATGACCAGAAAGCATTCTCTATACCTCACACACCATGTCCAGAATTTTCAAAATTTCTCTATTTTCTATTCGCTCCGACACTTATTTACCGTGATTCGTACCCACGAACATCGTCCATTCGATGGACATATGTGATATCACAATTAGCACAGTTCGCGACAACGTCACTGTTTGGCTACTATTTATTTTATCGCTTTTGCTTGCCAGTTTTTCGACATTTTAATTCGGAACATGTCACGCTCAAAATATTCGTTCTTTCAATTCTGAATTGCACTCTACCCGGAGCTCTATTCTTGTTCTGTGGTAAATTGTTGCAACTCGAATATGAAGATAATCTGCATGTCCTTTTTTAGCATTCTATGGTTTCCTACATTGTTGGCTCAACGCATTTGCTGAAATGCTTCGTTTTGCAGATCGACAATTCTATAGCGTATGTTTTTGATCGTGTCTCCTTTCACATTCGTACATTGTTCGACGGGTTTAGGATTGGTGGACTGCGACATCGTGGAGTAGCTATTATCGAACATGGAATATTGTAAGTTCAACTTTGTGCATTCCTCAACGACAAGCCTCCCTCTTATGTCGTCCATAGGTTGTTCATGATTGGCTTTATACTTATGTTTATCGTGATTGCCACAAGGTACAGAATCTCGCTATTCAATTCACTCTTTTCATTCATTGCCGTTTCTAGTTACTCGGTGTAAAATATCGCTTGGTTTCCATGTATGCTGTCATTTTCCTTAGTGCATGTGTTCATGAGTACATCATCTCGTTAGCATTTGGTTACTTCTATCCTATTCTATTTATTCAATTTGCCGTGCTCGGATGTAAGTATCTGTTGGGTTTGACATGTCGAAAGTAAACTTGACTTCTATTCTCATTTTGAAATAGTTATTTCGATGTTGATATTACCACAACGCACTCAAAATAATGCATTTAACGTTTTCATATGGGCGTCATTATTTGTGGGACTTGGAATGCAAATGTGTCTATACTCCATCGAATGGTATGCACGACTGAATTGCCCTCGATATGTGGTAAATAATTGAAAACTATGCATATTAAACACACGAATGATCTCATTTTTAGAATGGCCCATTGGATTATTTCGTTCCACGCTCATTTTTCTGTCACGATGGTGGTGACACCAAAATTCCGCTCACGAACAATGTACCCAACCTTGTTCTTCATCGTCAAAATGATTTATAATTCCTTCAACTGATATTCAACATTCTAAAATGTCTCTTTGCCAGTCATGTTATCATATGTAATTTATCGTGCTAGATAACAATTTACAAATGCTACTAAACTTAACATAACAAGATTGACCCATATGCTTGTATTTATGATTGAAAGTTTTTCTGTAATTCTCTTTTCATGATTATCGTCTACGTTGTTGAAATTTCGTGATGTCTAAGAATTTCATTCTAATGACAAAAAATGATCGAAGTTTCAAGGTTTTTCTTTCTTCTGTAACATTATTCATTTGATACTTATTTATGACAAAACTTGAAATAAAATTTGACACAAAATAAATCTTCGCCTCATATCAAACGAACCGAATACTGTTGATTATCTATTTCTCAATGAACAGTACAATATACATCCTTTGGTTATATCCATTTTTTGTTTATCATTCATAGAATGAACAAGCAAGAAAGATTTACATGAACTAAGAACATCATATCAATCATTGTCGTGGTATCTTTGATAATGTAAACAGACTTCGCCTTCTTCTTATGATACAATGATAGGAGAATATTGAGGTCAACTGGACCCGGCGGGTTTATCCAATTCATTTTTTCCTCTGCCACCACTTTATTATTATTGCTAATATTATTTGACAATCAACTGGGTTTTACATAAAGAGTGTGAAAGAGAGCGAACGCAAGAGACGTACCAGTCAAGGTCATTTGCGCTTTGCTCTCTTCTACTCTTTTTTTTTTTGTTCATCTTTTGTCTACTTTACATTAATACGAACACACCCTCATCTTTCTCTCTCTCTCTCTCTTCCCACATGTTTCAAGACATTGAGAACAAACATGTTCTTTTCTTTTATTTCTTCTTTATCGGATTTTTCTCCTCTTCTTCGCCTCTATCCTTCGACACTGTCAAAAAATGAGGAGATCAACAGCGAGCTGTTTCTTTCTCATTTACATTGTATTGGTTGTTGTTCAAGGCCAAACGAGAAGAAAACGAGTACAACTCATACGTTGATGGTACCGCATTGTGATGAAGAAGAAGGAACAACGGAGAATATATAATATGTCTTATGTAAGAGAACACGCGATTCTTCTTTTCTCCACAAATATACATACAGAACAGGCAAGAGAGAAAAAGAAACTACTTGCCGTTCGTAGAGAACAAATCATCGGACTTGCACACATGCGTTTTGTCGATAGGAAAAAAAGGAGAAAAAGAAAAAAAAAGGAGAAGCAGACACCAAACTTCATTTATTCATTGATAGAAGAAAAAACCTAGATGCGCAAGAAGAAAAAAGTCTCTCGTTTCTTTTCTGGAATTTTAGGATCACTCTTTTTCTGTTGTGCTTGTATGCTTGTTTGTTATACCCCTATTTTTCATCCTCGTTATCATCAATGGCGTCCTTCTTTTTTTCCTTTTTCTTTTGAATGACTCGATTAGTCAACAGAGACAAGATCACGAGTGATATTCAACATCGCTTTTCACGCATTTCCAAACCAGTCGTTTCGTGCTTCACATGCTTTCATTTGCTAGTTAGTTAAGAGTCAGTTGGGTAGAAAAAATCTGAGATTTTGTTTTATTGTGAAGAGTGGTCATTAACCTTTGTCAATGTACGCATTCACCTTGACTTGATTCGTGTGAAACTTCTCAATTGCATATTCTCTTTCTCTTCTTCCCATTTTTTCTACTGTTCAGATCGACATAAAATGCTTATCAATCGTCTACATGTTTGAAATTGGAGATTTTTATTCGCATCATATGTTTAACTACTAGGAAGTTCTTCCTGCTCAAGTTTTTTTCTTCTTCATATTTATCGTTTTAGATTAACATTTGGTTCCATTAACGGCTCAAAGTTCGACAGGAGGGGCGAAGTAGCAAGCAAGCAAGAGGGAGAGAGAGTGTGTATGTCAGAGAAGGTCTCCACCATGATATGTTCGATTTGATTTCAATATCTTCGAAAATAACCAAATCAATCGTCTTCTGAGAGAGCAACGCTATCATGAATGAAACAAGCAATATGAATAACGCGAATACCGGTGGTATATGTTCATCATGCCTTAAAGAAATGCCAATGAATTCAGGCTCATCAGCGAATCATCCTCTATCGAGATTCTGTTCTAGTTGTATGACAGAATTTATTGATCAACAACATCAATTTCCACTTTTTCCGTCGTCGTCATCGTCACAACTATTGCTTAATCATTCACAGCAAACTCAATCGATATTCCCATCCCATTTTTCTTCATTACCTTCATCATCAGCATCTTCAACATCTTCATCTGTTTCATCATCGAACCGTCGCTTAAGCGCATTCGATCCATTTCTATCCGGTAATTCCTCTCACAATCCCTTTCTTCATTTATCAACCGATTTGAATCATACATTTCCGCCGTTAACACCAACAGCTTTCCCAAATGACTTCGAATCGACAACGAATATCACCAATGATTTCATGCGTTTCTTCCTTAACGGAAATAATTCAACTAACGATCGAGATAGTCCGGCTAGTAGTACACAGAGTAATACAGATTTTTCTCGTACGTTAATGTTACAACAGCCAGCAACACTGTGTTGTTTTACCAATAATTTACCGTACACTTTTTGTCTGGATTGTGATTCAACTCTGTGTGAAAAATGCGCTTTAGCCCATCGGAAAATACTTGGATTTAAAGATCATCAGCAACAATTACTTTCATCCTCACAGATCGCAAATAATCATCATACTCGATCAATGATCGGACAGCCACCGTCATCATCATCACCATCGAAAAAAGGTCGGCCAATTCGTTTGTAAAACTTAGTTCCCATTTCTGTCAGTTCTAGGTCATTTGCCACAACCAACATCTTTCGACTTCCCATTGAATCGCACATCAGCCACCACCAATGATTTTCCCTCGTTATTCAGTTCGTTTTTCTCTCAACTTTCATTAAATACATCGACTAATGACAATCCAGTTATCCTGAATTCGTCTCTCTCATCACCGTCGACCATTTTTTGTCATGAGCACCCGTCATACAAAGCAACTTATTTTTGTGAGATATGTTCACACGCATATTGTCATGAATGTCAAATTCATCATGTTCAACAGCACAGTTTGTCAGCATTTCAAGATACAATAGATAATGCTCGACAACTAACGAAACAATTCCTGATCGAACTGCAAACATTACTGTATCATTTAGATGAATCGTTAAAACAATCGACACGAACCATAGAAAACCATTCGTTGAAGAGTTCAACCATTGAAAACGAGATTCGTACGCTGATCAAACACTTTCTCGATACTCTCACCCAACGACAAGATTTTCTTTTGAAAAATGTCGATAGAATCCAAACGATTAAAACGCAAACATTACAACGACAGATCAATGAAATCAATCAAGTTATCAAACAGTTGCATATAACCGTTCTCGATTGTAACGAGTGCTTAAAGAACGGCAACGATACCGATTTGGTACGTACACGAAATCGTCTTTGGAATGAAGTTATTCAAATGAAACAAGTCATGCTATCGAATTTCAAACCACTCGAAGATGATTTCGTTCAATTGCAAAGCCCATCGACACCGATTAGCAAATCGATGATGAACTACGGACAATTAATAACATCGACTTATCCTGCATTGTGTGAACTATATGGTGATTCACTTTATAATACCGTACGCAATCGCTTAACAGTCTTAAATCTACAGGCACGCAATCATTTGGGCGAATTACGTACAACGGGTGGTGACAACGTTCAATGTTGTTTAATTGATACAAGTACAAATCAAACAGTTCCCTGCGAAATCTACGATCGACAAAATGGACAATACTTCCTGACTTATATTGCCCAAAGTGATCATATACATATCTTGAATGTTTATGTGAACAATTCTCCCATCAAGGATAATCCATTTCGTATTGAAGTCAAACAAAATCGGAACTATCTGACAATTGGCACGAAGATAGAATTCGAAATTGGTGGTGAAGGTGATCAAGACGGTAAACTCTGTCGACCATGGGGTGTCTGTTGTGATAATCAGTCGAATATTATCATTGCTGATCGATCAAATAATCGAATACAAATCTTTACTAAGTATGGACAATTCCTACGAAAGTTTGGTGCGCAAGGCAATCGACCAGGACAATTCGATCGACCAGCTGGTGTTGCTTATGATAAACAACTGAATCGAATTATTGTCACAGACAAAGATAATCATCGTGTTCAAGTTTTTGCATCGACAGGAGAATTCATATTTAAATTTGGTGAAAAAGGTACAAAACCCGGTCAATTCAATTATCCATGGGATGTCGCCGTATCATCAATTTCACAAATTTTGATTTCCGATACTCGCAATCACCGTATACAATTATTTACCAAGGATGGATTATATCTACGAAAGTACGGTTTTGACGGGCCGGTTTGGAAACAGTTCGACTCGCCGCGTGGTGTCGTTTTTACACATGCTGGCCATATCATTGTTACGGACTTCAATAATCATCGATTATTATTTCTTTCGTCCGATTTTCAAAATGCTCGATTTCTTGGAAGTGAAGGTTCAGGCAATGGACAATTTCTTCGTCCACAAGGTGTAGACATCGATGCCGAAGGAAACATATTCGTTGCTGATTCGCGCAACTATCGTGTACAAGTTTTTTCGCCTCAAGGTGTTTTTAAAACAAAATTCGGTACACAAGGTTCGGGCCCTTTACAAATGGATCGACCAAGTGGGTTATGCGTGACATCCGAAGGCCTCTTACTTGTTGTCGATTTCGGTAATAATCGTATTCTTGCCTTCTAAATCATCTCCTAGCCAGTTTACTTCTTCTTTTTCGCCTATCTTTCACTCAGGTACCTATTAATCTTATATATTCACATATATTGTCATCCCGGTAGTTTATGCACAAACATAAAACAGTCTCTCTTTTGTCTCGGAAGAATAAGAATTCGAAAACGAGTTATACTTATTCATATTATTTTCTTCTATGAACTGCGTTTTTCATTTAGAACAGTAGGATGAGATATATTGAATTTATTCACACATATATGTACATGTATATACATATATAATCCAGTATCTCGTTGTCGTTTGTGTTTCTACTTGTTGTATAAGTATTAAGTTTTTTTTTGAGCACAGTGTGCTTCTATAGAGAGAAAAATCACAACTGACTTTCGTCTTGACAGCTTCAAGTTGCTAAACTTATCCTTAATAAGGTCACATTTGAACAGACTTCATCCATATTCGCTCAGGATCATGCTTCTCAGGCTGAACAGTATTAACTTTAAAATCCCTCAGGATCATTTTTTTCTGCTTGTTTCTTCTCTCATCCCAATTGCTACTGTTGATAATATTCAAAAGAAGAATATTTTTCTCTTCTGATAACGAACTAAAATGAACTGAGTTCTTTAACTTTCGGTTTCGTCGTTTGTTTTTATATTTATAAAATTAGCAGTATGCAGATAAATTCTGGCACTCTCTCAGGTTTTTAACCAGTTATTTCACTAGAGAAAAGTCTATATACATACAAAGAACTACACGAAGTGTGTGTTTTTTTTATCGACTATTATTCTTGAAAGTTTTCCTCTTAGCATTTCTTCTATTTTATGTTTTTATCAATTGAACTTTTCTTTTCCCAACATATATATGTATATGTGTGTATTGTTGCCCTTTTTCTTCTCTCTTTTATTCTGTAAAATAATCTTTGTGTTTTGAAATTCGAGTGCAAATCAATAAAAATAAAATGAATTAAAAGTCAATGGAGATTTTTTTATAAGCGAAGTTTTCCTTCAAGTCAAGGTCTGTATCAACGGCTGACTTCGTTTTCTTTCCTTTCTCAAGGTCATTGTTAAGTACTGTTTATATCTATCGATGAAAATACATTAACTGTCTTCTTTTCCGGATGCAAAACAAAATTCGACATTGAGAAGAAGAATTGTTTGTCTTTTTTTCCCGTTCTTTCTTTTTATGACTGTAATAACAGACAGACGACCTTGTCTGTCTTCCTGTCTGGCTAGTTAACACAATGGAAAAGAAGATGAAAAGGAAAAACTCTAAGGAAAATGTCGACATTTATTTTGATGAACAATTTTGTCGATGCTTCCTATCAAGGTCATTCTATTTTGAATTCAAAGCGACCTTAAGCCATGCAAGAACTTAATTGAACACTTTGATCGGGACAGTAGCAAGCGTATGGTGGTTGACTAGCAGGATTGGAAAAACAATAGCCCGGTGAACAATTAATTGTGCACGATGCTAAATAAGAAAGAGAATTTAAACACCAAAAATCATATTCGATTGAGATTTACATGGTCGAATGTCTGTTTCGCATGTTCTCCCAGTAAAACCAGGAGGACATGAACAACTGAATCCGCCGTTGCCAACGTTTGTGCATGTACCAGCATTCAAACATGGATTAGTAGAACATGACACTATCGTACGCAGAAAAAGAAGATATATCAGCATTCTGACAGTTAACACGATTGTTTTGAATACTTACAATAGTTAGTACCAGTCGTTGATTGACACCGATCTCCTACATATGGATATGAGCACTGACAAGTGTATGTCAGTGCTCCTTGAACACATCTACCCCCATTGAGGCAAGGTTGCGATGCACATTGACTAGCTAGATGACGTCAGGAAAAAAGAAGTCGCTTTTTACCTGAGATAATGATTTTGAGTACATACCACTCAGCTGATTTTGACATCGATCACCTGTAAAACCTTCTCGACAAAAGCACGCCCAACCGGGCCCATTTGATATTGTTACACATGTGCCTCCATTCGAACATGTCATCGAATTACATGAAGCTTAAGAAAGAAAATGATCACGATGATAATCAGAAGGCACTGCTATCTACGTACATAAAGATGTTTCACAAAATTGACCAGTGTAACCATATGCACAGGCACATTTGTACGAACCTCCGGACAAAGTACAACTTTGAAGAGTAGAAGAAAGTACTAGACTACAACGTTTTATTCTTAAATAGCTTACGCGCCACCATTCAAACACATTGCCGGATTATTAAAACAACTGTTAGCTAAAAATCAGATTGTCATTTATTTTGTTTCATACGTAGAAACTCTCCATATGCATCCTACTTTACCTGTTGTTGTAGTTTCACAACTTAAGCCCGTGTATCCTGGCATACAGTTGCAAGTGAATGCATCGACTGCTACAGGTAGGCACCTAAAACTCAATAGATTACTTGAATTGATTTGAATTTGCACCGTTTTCTTACGTTCCGCCATTCTTGCATATATTTGGAACGGCACTGCAAATACCATTGCCTCCACCTGTGAATAAAAAAGCTCAATTCTACTTCATACATTTTCATTTGTAACCTGAATTCGATTGTTCACAAGTTGCTCCCGTATACGGAGGTGGACAATAACAAAACGGAGCACTATTCAGTAAGATGCATCTAAAATAGCAAATCAGGACGTACAGAAGGGGAACACTATATCATCAGTTTCTTTACGTTCCGCCGTTTTTGCAATAATTTGGGTTAGAACTACATCCGTTAGGTGCTACAAAACAAGAAAAAAAGCACGGACAGTTTAATGTCGCAGCTAATTTATCAGAGACAGCATACCAATTACATTCGTATTCGTTTCACACCGTCTTCCGGTGTACGGCGATGGACAGTAGCAAACTTGCGTTACACCATTAGAATAGCAACTAAATTTACTTCGTAGAAAATTTATATTCGCATCGATTGATAAAATCTACCTTCCTCCATTCAAACAAGGATCATTAAAGCCACAAGGAGCTACAATAGTATGAAATATAATCATTCAATCGACCTGCACATAAGATCGACATTACATGAAGACGTTTTTTCACAAGTTTGTCCTTCGGTTCCCGGTGGACAGATACATCGAATATGAGTTGAATTTGAAACACATCTTAAACAAAAAGATCTCAATCAAAAATAAATACCAATCGATTCATAACTTACGTGCCTCCTTGTTTGCAAAAACCGGGATTCATTTCACACAGTGTATTCGATGATGCTATACGTACATTAAATGTAAGGTTTGAGATCACTGACTAATTTTATGTCTCAGGATTACTTTGCTGTTCACATCTCGCTCCTGTATAGCCAGGTAGACAGGAACATAGAAGAGATGCTCCAGCCGAAACACATCTATTTACAAAATTTCGAAAATCTTTTGAAAATCATCGATTTCTGTCATGCAATAAACATACTTTCCACCATTTAAACATGGAACAGCAAAACAGTTACCTATTAAGACATGACTTTTATCATTCAAAATGCACATCGATGGAATAGAAAGCTCACTCACCGCTCACAACTGTCGCACATGTTGGGCCTTGAAATCCGAATGGGCAGTCACATTGAAAACTATTGCCAATACTCGTACAACTAAAACCATCAATGAGAAGTTATTGCTAGACTAATCTCATTTTTCAAATACGTACACACCACCATTTTGACACGGTGATGATGAGCAAGGTGTTACTGAAAGTATCAATCGAAAATCTCTCTCACAAACAAACTCTAATCATACTTGACGTGGACAGTTGACATTGATTACCGCTGTATGGTGGTTTACAATGGCATAAAAATGATGCACCAGCCGGTGTACAACTACCGTTATTATAACAAGGCATACTTGCGCATGCGTTTGACTGACCTTTTGAAGATCAAAATCGTAGTGAGACTTAGTTTTAATAGCTTACCAATGGGAATTTCACAATATTGACCAGAAAATGTTCCAGGACAAGCACATCTCAATCGATTCAATGTATAATCAAATGTACATTGACCATTGTTTTTACAATAATCAACTGGGCAAACTGTAGTTGGTGTTGCTAAACAAGAAGTTTTGTTATTGTTGAAAAGGCTAATTCTGATCGATTTGTTTCGAATCGTAACATACTGCATGTCGATCCGGTGTATTCCAATGGGCATTGGCAATAATAATTGGCATTATTATTATAGGAAATACACGTTGCACCGTTTTTACAAGGATTTGATGTGCAAATTGCTAAGGAAACATATGTCAGAAGAAAACTTCACATAACAATCGTCTTTCGGATTTACTTGATACTGAACCAAAATTTTCACAATATATTCCAGTATATGATGGTGGACATTGGCACTGAAACGCTCCGTTAATACCGTGGATGCATGTGCCACCATTACGACAAACTTGTGGTTGATACAAACATCGATTCACGTCTACAAATGAGAGTTTCAAGAAAAATCAAACGAGATTGTAGTGAAATTCTCAGTTTACGTTCACATTGTGTTCCATAGTAATACGAAGTACACGAACATGTGTACGAGTTCGAGAATTGTGAAACCGTGCAAATGCCATTATTCATGCATGGATTCGGCGCACATGGCGAAGGGGTCATTGTAGCAGCTGAATGAAAAACAGATTCTTTTCTCTATACTAGAATCGTGAAACTTCTCAAAGCTAACTTGGTGTCGTTGTTGTTGGAAAAACTAGTTGATCGCATCTCTTCCCACCTACTGGAAGATTAGAAGGACATATACAATAGAAATCAGTATTTCCATTCAGTGCGATGCATTGTGCGTTATTCATGCATGGATTCGAAGAACAAACTATGTCGCAAGATTTATAATGAAGAAACAAACGAAGATGCACAAGATTAGGACTTACTATTGATCTGTCCAGCAACGGCAGATACTATCCAAAAGGCAGCAACAACAAAGAATAGAAATTTGGCCTGCATATTCCAAAATAGTCAAAAATAAGTTTGATGCGCACATTTATACGTGCTTCAAATACTCCCAAAGACAAAAACCAATAATTAACCATTGTTTGAAAGAAAAACACGAAGTACTAAGCTGTATTAACGCACCGATCATATTTCAAAGCCTTTTCTTTTCGAAAGTACGAAATCAAAAATCCTCATTCTATTTGTTAAAATATTATCATAGTCAATATTTTTCCATCGAACTCACAAGTCCATAAAAATCAATCCCAGAATATTTCCTTTTCCACGTATCATCCAACTATGAGAAATATCGGCTTTTGACCAAGACGATTCCTTATAGGCATGCAGAATAATCATAAATAAGATCGTGTCATAATCCATCACAAGTTTTAATCAACTTGTCATGCAGAAATAAATATTGCTTTTTTAATCTTTACACAAGTCGACGAATCATAACTACTTTTCTTTTCTTTTTTTTTAAATCAGATATGATCGAGCAAAAAATGCATGAATAACAATCAACAGCAACCTTCAATAGACATTCTCATCGCTTTCGTCATTGTCTAGCTCATTTTCTTCTTTTTCCACTTGTTGCAGTATATACGCGGCACTCGCATATTAGAGATGTCTATCTCTTTCGCTATGTGTGTGTGTGTGTGTGTATGCACAGTGGGTGTCGACACGTCGTCAGTAAAATGATCGATCGATGTGCTGTTCACCACCGTGTGAGTACTGTTCACTTCAGTGATTATAGTTAGTGCGCAATGGGTTTACTCGTATATGTGTATGCGCTTCTTCTTCTTCTTTTTCTTTTTCGAATCTCAAGAGACTCACAAATATGTGCATTGTTAGTGAAAAAAAGAAGAAGTCAAGCAATCCGATCGTGATTTTCTCTCTTTCTGGTCACAAATCACTGACTGTCCTGATGATAGAAGAGAAGAAGAAGAATTGACTCGTGTGCCGACAGGATATGAAAATTAAAATAAAAAACAACATCAGAGAACAAACCTATGCATGTCGGTATATTTATTTTAGTTTTATTGATTAGAACAAAATTCCCTTACGAGTAGAAAGACATGTGAATGCATATATCAAAACTCGACTTCATTTGCTTTGAAAACACCAAACGAATTTATCTGTCATATTAATGTACTGTCAAAGGTCGACCGAAAACTTCATATCACTCGACACGATGATTATCTTTCGGAAACTGTCCTAATGACTTGCCAACTACCTTAAGATCATTTTCTATTACTCAACATTGTTGCTGATTAACACATACTTAATATCCGCTATCGTTTCGCATCGATGCGCGATATTATCTCGGAGTCTTTTTTTGTGTTCGAACCCAGTACGGTATAATGCATAACAGGAATAAAGAGCTTGATGACACATATAAAGAGAAGAAACAAATACTTGAGTTTCTTTTTCTCCTTCCTCTGTTTTTTTTGCTTCACCCCCACGTCGGTATGCGTATCAACGTATGAAATAATCTCATTCGTCGTTGATCTCGAGCAATTTAGATCAATAGGAATTTTTTGCGCTTAAGTATTCGACAACGTTGACCAACACCATGTCAAGAAGCGAGCAAAGAGAGGAAGAGAAAAGAAAAAAAACGCCTATCTAAATAGAACAACGAACGAGAAGAAGGCACCATAGCCCTTTCTGATCAAGCTCATATTTCACAATAAATGCAAGAAAAATCTCTCATTTCTATATTTTGTTTTGCTTTCTTTATTATCTAAGATAGAAAAAACTGTTTATACACATATTTTTGTCGTCTTTCTTTTAGTTTATATTTAGATTGATGACTCTCTCGAATTAAATCCGACATATCTTGTAGGACACAGTTGGACATTTAGTCAATTCATTATCATTTTCGAAAAAAGAACGAAAAGAAAGAGAAAAAGAAGAAGAAGAAGAAGATCTACAGAAGAAAAAAAACACATCAATCTCCATCATCATCTATCATGATGAATCGATACCAACACCAACATTTACAAACACATAATTCGAGTACAACTCTCCCATTAAACCATCACTTTCACCTAAGTAGTAGTACAACAACAACGACAACAACTGTTCTTCAAACTCCACTCGATACTTATTCGCCAAATAATAATAATTCACTCGTCGATTTACACCAACCAAATCATTACAATTTACTTGATGATAATTACATTTACCCACCACCTTCGTCCTATTGTACAAAACACCATCAGATATACCGATCACCAACGATTTGTACATTAGATTCTCAACCAAATGTTTATGAAACATACGCATCACCTACCTCATCATCAGCAGCAACAGCAGCAAATATTCCAGTAAACTCTTATGAACAATTCTGTATTGACAATTCGCAAACCTCACCATCCACACCATGGATAGCCGCAACAGGTGAAAGTCCACTCTATCATCCCATTCAATCATTTGATCAATGTAATATTTATCTAAACAATTCGCAATTATCTGAACCAAACTATCGCGATTATTCATCAGTTCCATTATCTAATAATGAAACTTCATCGTCATCAACATCGTCGTCTTCGTCATTTCATGCTCCTATTCAACCACCAGGTAGTCAACCCCAATATCGTCAACATGAACAGTCAACGATAACCAGTTTAGACGAAAAACCATTGAACATTGTTGCCAGTGAAGCTAAATACAAATGGATGCAAATCAAACGCACCCCCGCGAAGACAGCCGGTAAATAACGATTTTCGAGCATATGTGTCTAGATTTTGATCTTGATAAAAAGACAACACACGAAAATTTTCTTCGTTTTTCATCACGATAGAAAAAGCTCATCTTCATGCTCGTCCTGAAATGTATTCTATCAGATAAGAAGATAAATATTGTTTGTTTTTTCATGCTTACAGGTGTCCAACAAATAGACATGAGGAAGAATCGTTCGTTCTGTTTCTGTTTGGATATACTTTTTTAATTCATCAGTTACACTATCTCGCCATTGTCGAAGATCATGTCACGAGAGATGATCGATATAGTTCCGAAGAAGAATCGATCATTCCTTGATTAAAAATTATGCCATTTAGTAGAAAAAGATCAAAATAACGTCTATCAACAGATGAATTTGCGTTTTTCCTTTCCGCTCTCCTCCATGATGTGGTAATATCCACTGATAAGAAAGTACATATGTTTATTTGAAGGTAAACCGACTGATTATAACTACAATAATGGCACGTCGCTAATCAACGGTTCAGCAGCAAATGCAATGATCAATTCGAATGCAGCAAATGCTGGTCGAACGAATTTTACTAATAAACAACTAACAGTAAGACAAAACGAACTTGATTGGTTAAGAGAATAACAGTGTTGTTTGGGTGTGTTTAGGAATTGGAAAAAGAATTTCATTTCAGTCGTTATTTAACACGAGCAAGACGAATTGAAATTGCGGCATCACTTCAACTAAATGAAACACAAGTCAAGGTAAGTTCGTTCTCCGTGAAAATTTCATCTAAAAAAAGGTTCTGTTAGATTTGGTTTCAAAATCGCCGTATGAAAGCGAAGAAAAGACAACGTGAACGTAAGTAGTCAAATACTCTTGTCAGATTTCATTCTTATTTCATTGTATTTTCTAGCCGATGTTTTTACATTCGATTCCATGTGAATTTCTCTATGTACAAAAGACAGTATTTTATCATCATCGGTGTGTTGTTGTCTAAAAAATCGTTTTTTTTTCTCTCTTCTCATTCGCTCTCTTTGTTGTCATTTTTGTTGTTGTTGTTGTTGGTTCCGTTTGAATAATTGTATGAAAAAATCTCCCAACAAGACTTGTCTGATTCGTTTCGCATCACTAATTATTCAATTTACTTTCGTGTCGGATTCTGTTGATTGGTTGAAATGCCTCGAGGAAAGTGAGATGATCAACAAGGTGTGGTAAATCACTCAAGAATTTCGACAATAACATGTCGATAAGATTAAATAGAGAATATTGGCGAAAACGAGATGACAAGTTTTCGATTCAATCAAATCAACTTGCACGACATCACAACGTTGATTGAAGCGAATATTCTCATCAAACATAAGAAAGAGAGAAGAAAAAAACGCGAATGACAAAAGTTAATTCGATTACGTTGGATGATGTCGGGCATGGTTAGTTGATCACGTTTTATTCTTCGATCTTCGGGGATAGATCGATTAAACTTATTGTTATTTTATATGTAAATTTCGAAAAGAGAAACCGCGCTGGGGAATGCATACATAAGCAACAATGTGTGAAATTGAGTGAATCGGATGGACAAGCGAAAAGAAAAGGGAGGAGAATGAAAAGAAGATCAAACAACATGACGAGACAAGTCAACAAAACAATAGGAAGTCAAGAATCATCTTTAAACTATTTAGCTAAGATGAATCTTAGCAGACGTACAAACACAAATGTACTTCACTTCCGGATAAGATAACATCAATCAATTTAGAATATTTTCTCATATACTTTCACAAGAGAAAAAATTGAAAAAAGACGACAACGATCGATTTAACGAGAGAAATATTCAACCGTCTATAATCTGTATCTCGAGACATGTGGAAAAGGTGTGTTTATCTTTAGGGGGAAAGATCGAGGTGAAAAAGATCATCACATGATACTTAATAAACAGCTTGTGACATATTGAATTGTCCTCATACATTAGCAGATCTGCTGAAATTGTGAGTAGAGAGCAATCTATATCAATAGATAATCGTTGAATATCATCACACACATGTGCTTGAGAAAAAATGAAAGTAGAGTTGACAATCATTGATATTCGCTGGTATACTAGGAGAATTACTTGTTTCGATGAAAACAAGATCATCATCGTAGTGAATGTAATCCAATTGCAAGTCTGATTGTAGAGGATGGGATTTCTTCAAGTTGTATCATCAAGCGATATAAAATCACTCCCTCACCGCGCATTTGAGTGGGATGTAAACGCAGATGAGTCGAAGATCATGATATCCTCATCATCATCTATATTCAGAATATTACATTTTCTGTCATTAAAGTTTACCTGTTTTTTCACATGATACACTTCATCATTGTCTATTCAACTGCAATGCTATTCTTATATCCAAGTGGCATCCGTAATGAACCCGTAATACTTAATATTCACATAATTTCATGTAAGAAAATACTTATGTAACTCGTATGATCGTCAAAAATGATCTTATACGTCATCTGATAGGTGTCTCTGTAAATGATTATGTGTATGTCCGGATTGCATAGAATGTAGTTCCGATACGGACTTCCGTGGATGAGACCAAAGAGACATTGAACAGCATGCGTCAATGTTCTTCAGTCAAGAGAGTGGATTTCTTATGTAGGTACTCCGGAATCTGAACTAGCATGACTGCTCGTTCAAAAATGATTCTACCTGTGTATATTGCACCGTGCTTCATTGTCGTCGCTGTTTTTTTACAATTATACGTGCATGCTATTTTAATTTTTCATGTACTTTTCCCAAGGTGAACAAAGTAAAGGAGCGTCTACATGCGTGCTCAAAAGTTCTTGCAGAATGAAACTTCGAATACAACGACTGTTTACTCAAAAAGATTACTTTTTGTTATTTATTATCATCATCTTTTTCTTTCTGGAACGACAGTCGTGTCTGAACTAATAATAGAGATAATTCATTAACCGCTTTCGTCATCGCGGCAAGCTTTCACACATTCAAGAGAAAAGTGAGAAAATCGGCTTCATGTTTGTGGAAAGTCATAATTTTTTAGTAGATTTAAAAAGCGCGTAACTTGTAATGCTATCTACTCGTTAAGATAAAAAGTTTTCTACGAGGAAAGTAATTGGAAGTGCATGAAGTCCTCAGATTTCTTCCATATTGACATGGAATAAATATTCGGTTTTTTTTTTCATATGTTAGATTTTGACAAGACTGCTGTTCATGAAAGAACAACAATAACAGTGACATCTTCGACTTTAATTAACTTGTAATCCTTGACTTAGGGCTATGAGCAGTCGAGGTATGAAAAAACTTTGTAATTATTTCTTTATTTTCAGGGAGAGACCAACAACTCTTATTACGTAGTTTAATTACGAGAACCCAACTAATCATTACGGTCTAGCTACCTCGTAAACTTCCATTTGCAATCGTTTCTTCGATAATAAATACTTTGAAATTCCATTACACTTGTTTGAACCTCTGTTTTGTTTCTCTTGGAGAAAAACAAAAAACAGAGGATGACAGATGTGTGCAGAAAAACTCTCGCGAAACTTGCCACAGATGGTTCATTCATCCATCGAAAGCGAAGGCGTAGAACATAGTGTATTCAGTACAGCCAGTTGACCGAGATAATCGCGATTCTCTCTCATCAGTTTCGGAATGTCAAAAGAATTTTTGCTGTCAAGTTCATCGGTAGATGTTTTCATTAATGGATAAAAAAGAAAGAAATTATTCAAGTGTTTTAAGAAGACATTTGAATGATATTAACTGGAGGAAAAAAAAACTGAGGACATGAGGAAGTGAGAAAAGAGGAGAAAAGAAAAACGTCGAAGAAGAACGGTCTGGTAATTTTCTTTCCTTGCTGAAACAAATGACGTTGAACTGTTGGATTTTCTTTCGTACTTTTTTCCTCGCTTTTGCTTTTCCTCCTCTACTTCTTTATCTAGCATAAATTAAGAGAAAAGCAACACGATTACAAAAGAGCTTCAGTTTTTTACATCTTCTACCCACGCGTTCAAACTCGCATATCAGACGTCAGAGAACGATCTCATTATCTATTCTTACCTGCCTGTCAGTTCTTTTTCTTCTTCTTCTTCGATAATCTTCTTGTTATTTCTTAACAGATAAATAAAAAAGAGAAAAAGGACGAAGAAACAAAGCTTTAATTGAACATGAAGAATCGAGACATACAATACAATTAATTCTATAAGCATTTCAAAAGTATGGCTCTATCATTCGACCAAACAAGTCATGGCGCAGCTATCAGTATCGCTTCGGATGGTCTTAGCGCACGACGAACGACCGGTTTTGCCAATGGCATTGTTTTTACCAATCGCCCCATGAATATTTTCGAGAAAATCACATTCGAAGTTGATCAACAGCCATCATCGATCTGGCAAGGTTCGTTACGTCTCGGTTTATACACTGATCAACAAATTCCTACCGATGATTTGCCTTTATCGACTATGGAAGCAAATCTAAGTGCATCCTATACGATGGTTTCTTTGGAAAAATATGTCAATTTGTATAGTGAAATACGCGTCACTGTTTGGTTAACACAAAACTACTCGTTAAACTATGCTATAAACAATGTTTTACGTGGAACATTGATCGATAACGTTATATTAGATGAGAATAACAGCACTGGCCTACTTCGACCGCGTTTAGTTTTTGATTTGTATGGTAATACAACTAAAGTGCAGCTGATTCGAGATGGTAACGTTGGTGAAAGATCCACTTTCATGTTGTTTTGTTTTGCTTTTTTTCTCATGTCTAGATGATGCTGTTCCATATGAGATCAAAGCTCGAGGCCTTGATGCTATACGACATTTTCAAACAGCATGTGATACCGGTACAACTTCTGTACGTCGAACGTTGCTGCTATTGGTCGGCCCGAAGTTTTGCGGAAAAACTTGTTTGAAACAAGTCCTTTTATCAAATTATGATAACGATGACAAGTAAACGTGAAGGAATTTTCTTGACAATAACTTTCGTTGCGTTTTTCTTTCCTAGTCATAATTTATCTTCAGACCTTTCCTCATCTTGTTCTATTAATATCGATCAGTCACATACATGGTCATTAACGAAATCAAATCTTCATCGAAATTCGACTCACGAATCGTTATCAACAATGATTCAAGAATTCGGTACGACATCGTTTGATTTTATAACTATACATAAGATGTTTTATTTGACAATTTAGATGAGAACAGACCGTCAAAATCCGCTGTTCAACAGCATGAGTATGAATCTCAATTAGTTCATAATATAATTCTTAACTTATTAAAACGACGTTACGAATTACATACGGTCCATGAAAAGAAAGATAAGGTTTGTTGAGTGCCTTCCGTTTTCTCGATTTTCTCATTTATTAATTCGTTTTAGAATTGGAAAGAAACTCTATTAGATGATCTGAAACTAGTCTATCCCACTCCGATGATTCCGTTAACCATTCGTTCATTAGTCGAAAAACAATTGATACAAATGAAGTCCTCGGATCCGCATGCAGTCCTCGCTAATCTTATGTCAAACTCTGGCAAATCTAAAGAAGAAAAACCGCACGATTATCAACGTCTACGCCTTGATCTTTGGGACATGCCCGGATCAACATCATCTTGTGGGATCACACATCAAGTTTGACTTAACTCGATAGTTCTTCATTTGTCTCATTGAATCTGCTTCCTTCTAGATTTTTCTATCATCGCGAGCTATTTATCTGCTTGTATTCGATCTAACAAAAGATCTGGACCAGCCATGTGAATGGAATAAGGTAATTACTTTTAAGACAAATGGATAATTTAGTATGCTGGAAGAAATGTCAAAAATATCTCTGCCGACATCTAAATATAACAGGCGATCTTGCATATAAAAAGCTCTTTTTCTCATCTCCTTATAGCGGAATCGAGAGAGACTTTGTTACCGTTGGTAGTATCAGCTGACAGATGGACTTTGCTTGTAAATTTAGGAAATTACCAACTTGGATCATTTGAGTTACATCATGCATTCTGTTTATTGCTATTCGGCGAATATCAATCGAGGACGAACCGATGAAGAAGGAGTAGATAATCAACATCTATCACCACCGATTATTCTTGTTGGTACACATCGCAATTTATTACCGCATGCAAATAAAAATAACACGGTTAGTTTTTCTTGTTGTATGTAGACTTCGATGATAAACAACATTTTCTGCATTTTTTCAGATTGACAATAAAATGTCTACAATTCGGGCGATGATTGCGACGAAGCCCTACGCGAAACATGTGATTGAACCGTATTTTACCGTCGATACACTTCGATCGGATGCTGCTGATGTTGAACAAGTAACTATTTACCAACCAAGAATTTCGTTCATAGTTTCACTTGTATTTTCAGATCGAACAATTAAGACAATTAATCGAAGAAACGGCTCTAGCTGAACATTATATCGGCGAACAAATTCCGACTCGATGGTTGCATTTTGAAAATGATTTGAACCGATTAAAACATCAACAAGAGAATTTCTATGCTTCGCTGGATCAAGTAGGCTAAACGTCTTCTTAATTCTCTTTGTTATTCATCGATGCTTTTAGATTTGTGACATCGCTCGAACACAAGATATTTGTTCTTCGGACGAGTTGAAAACTCTATTGGATTTCTATCATGATCTCGGTGTTATTGTTTATTTCGATAATACACAAGACATGTTTTTGAAAAATACACTTATCCTCCGTCCGCAGAAACTCATACAACTTATGAGACGTCTTGTTTTTAATGACAATGCTGAAAATGGGAACGACGACGGAATTATCGATGAACGAACATTTGAAAATCTTTGTCAACCATTTATTGAACAAAAACAAAGCCTATTGGCACTACTGAAGAAATTCGATCTTCTTTGTGAATGTACATCATCGGCAGCGTTGTGTAAACAGTATTACATACCGGGATGTATGCGTCGTGTTTATACTGAGAAGAGTTCGACAGAAAAAGACGATCAATCGGTGGTTTTCTACTATTTATTCGATGGATTTTTCCCGGGTAAGTTTCTGATGCAAAGATCCGGTTCACGAATACGAAAGATTGCTGTTTTTAGAAAGTCTTTTTCACCAAATACTTGTCCGAACAATCAAATGGACACAATCACATCATGCATCATCACCGAAACTCAACTATCGTCGTGGAAAATTTCTTCTCGACGATCATCATTTACTTATTCTAACTGCATCATCGATGAAATACGCGCGAATGAAAGTGCAAATTATTCGTACAGACATCGCCACAGCCATTCCTAATCCAACAACTACAACAGCTGCAGCTAGTAGTAACAATAGCAATAACAGTAATAACAAAAATCAAGATGAAATCAATCCGCAATTGGCAGATCCAGTGGTTGTAGCAAAAGTAAGTTCTATTTCAGTGATTGTCAGGCATTTTACTGAGTTTTGTCTAGGTTCGTAAGTTTCTCGAGTCATTATTGAATGAAATTAAATCGACATGGATACGCCGTCTGGCATTTCAATGTATGGTCGTTTGTCCGTGTGGGAAAATATGTGATTTACATAAAATTCCTTATTGCTCAAATAATTTCTGTTTACATTTTTTGAATCTCGATCATTGTCTTTCAAATCCAGTAAGCTTTCCTCTTCTTTTCCGTTTTCATCATTTTCTTTGTCTGACTTTTCAGATTGTTGAATGTTCATTTCGTCGTGTACCTACAAGTCAATACCGTAATTGGTTTCCGAAATTAACGACGACACGAGCCGTGCCAATCATCGATATTTTATACGATCAAAAGTCAATGAATCATTTCTTCGAAGACTCAAACTTACCAGGTTGGATACGCTCAACTGCGAAACTTCTCTCGACATCTGTAATCAACATCAATCTCAACAAATCATCAAGTGAAAACCGTACATGGGTTATTCTAGCCAAAAAACTCGGTTATCAACAATCGGTGATCGATCAGTTTGCTCTGAGTCGCAATCCAAGTTTACAATTAATAACTGATTGGATTGTCCGAAGCGGCAACTCTTCACTAGCCGTTGATATGTTACTTGCGACAATGAAACAAATTGGACGCGACGATCTAGTTGAAATCATATCACGTGAACGTGAAGCACAATATTCTTTGCCATCAGTTTTCATTAGTTATCAATGGGATGCTCAGGACGAAGTGAAAGAATTGCGGAACTTTTTAGAATTAGTCGGTTTTACATGTTGGATGGATATGGGGCAAATCGGCGGAGGAGAATTGCTCTATGAGAAAATCGATCATGGAATACGAAATGCGAAAGTAAGATTTCCGATTGTAATTGAAGTGATTTGATGTGAACTTTGCTATTAGGTGGTTATTTGTTGTATAACACCAATGTATATTGTTTCGAATATGTGTCAACGGGAATTGGTTCTCGCTGATATGTTGAAGAAGCCAATCGTACCAATTATGTTCGAATCAACACTATGGCCACCAATGGGAGCAGCAAGTTTGATTCTTTCACAATTAGCTTATGTTGATTTGAAAGGTAATTTTTCTCGAGTTTTTAACGAACTCTTCTCTATTGATCCGTATCTATTAGGTGCCGGTGGACATGGTGGTAGCGGTAGAGCAGCAGATTTGCAAGCACGTTACAACGAAATTGCATCTATGGTATCTCGGCATACAACATCATCATCGCCGAGTACGTTTCGTCGATTGGTGCATTCATCTTCGATCGATAAACGAGGTACTGCTCATCCATCATCTGCTCTCGCTGCATTGACTACAGCTCGACATACGAAACAAGCACGAAATCATCAACGTCATAATACAGATTCATTGAACTCAAACGAAAGTTCGAATGAAAGTATGAGCGAAGATGATTTCGATTACGATTACAATGAAACTGATGGTAGTGATCATCCCGTTCGACCTATCGAACCTATCTTAACTGCATCTAACATTGTTCCACCTGTTGGTACATCTCTGAATCAACCATTTCAGATCCGCAGTTCAGTTCACTTGGAACATCGTCTTGGTCCGATGACCAACAATCATTCTCCACCAAATGTTAATAGTTCTGTTGCCAGTTGTACTGTTTGCAGCATTCTGTGATGAACCAATCTCTTTTTGTTCCTTTGTTCTTCATTCGAGACGTACTTCTATTGTATTCCACAAAGATGACGAAGTTTTGAATAAAGAATACGCACTAATGAGGGTTTTCATGATGTTTTCTCTATGTTAATTATCCATTTTGTTTCCGTTTTCAAGAAAAGTTCCTGAGGAGCACAATATGTTTCCTATCATTTATGAAATCTCGATAAGTAAATTCTAAAGAAGATCTCGCGGCTGACCTGTTTTGCGTTTGACTCCAGAGAACATTCATAATACTTCATGAACTCACCCATTCCATCCGGATAATTAACGAACGTAATGAATCAAAAGAAAATGAGATTCATAAACTAATTGTTGACATAATTTTAATCGTAACGTACTTTTTCAGAAAAAAAAATAGCATTTTTACATATATGCATCATTGCTATGAAAAATACAAGTAAAAAAATGAAATCCTGGAGGAGAATATGTATGACGAGGTGTATCTGATTACATTTCATATACCTCTGAGCCATTTTTACTTATTCACGGATGCTCCTTCGATATTTCAGCAGAGGAGAAAGTCATGTTTTTTTTTCTATATGTATGAGTCAGAAAACACGTGATGTTGTTGTTGTTTTTTGTTTCTATTCGTGATGTGTTTGAGGACAAATGAATGTTGCACAACACCTTGTAATTCCATCGTTCTATTGTGATTTGGAATGCATTGATCGTTGAAAAAATGCAAATGATAGATGCATCGACGAAACCGCCTGATATTCGACATAGTTCGTCCAGCGATCAGAATGTGCTCAATGATGATCTACCGCCATTGGACGTGCTTCGTGAAATGATCAAATATGAGACATTTTTACGTTTATCAGAACCTATTCAGAATCTTTTTGATTTCTATCGAAAAGATGACAGTGCTATAACGTAAGATTATATTGGTTCTAAAAACGAGCCAACTCGCGTTTTCTTATCTCCTTGAAAATATATAGAATGGTGCTCGATTCAGTGCAACAGCATGTCGTTGAACGTTTTGGTTATAAGCATGTCAATTCTTTACGAACAGCTGTTTCACGTTTTCCTGATGATCCAGTGATCAAAGAAGCTTTCTATAGTATAATTAAACTTATATTTCGCGTCGAAGCCATACGATTTAAATTAAATTTCTTTAGTTAAACATAACAAAATTACACAAGGTCTTGTCTATCAAGGACAAGTTGCTCGAGATGTCGACTTATTCACTGTGGACGGGCAGCCAACAACACTCTTCTCTCAAATCACTTCTGGCCAGCCATTGATTATTCTGGCTGGTTCGAGTACCTGACCTCCGTTCCTGGCGGCTGTTGAGCGAATAAAGTAAGTTGTTTTCCTCGAGATTGTCTCTTCCCAATTCTTCATCTGTTCAGTAATTTGTTTCGCTTACATGCCCCAGTAATGCGCCTCTTGACAATTTATATTGCTGAGGCGCATGCACGAGACCAATGGCCAGCTGGAAAGACCATCTCATGTGTTGATCAACCAACAACATTGGAGCAACGACGAATCAACGCGCGAAATTTTCGAGAAAAATACCACTTCGAAATGCCAATGCTTGTTGATAGTATGGACAATACATTTCATACCACATACGGATCATGGCCATTTCGCTTCTATGTAATCGATGAAGGAAAATTAGTATTAAAAGCTGAACCCGGTGAAACGACTTTTGCGTACGATATGGACGAGTTGGATTATTGGATTGAAAATTACTATCAAAAGAAAGGAATCGAACGAAGATCTTAAGCCGAACTGAAAAACATCTATTTAACCTGTAATTAAATTCGTATTATCTGAATTCATTCTAGTTCTGTTTCTTTATATTCAAATATCTGTTCAAGAGAGGTGTATGATGATTGTGCAGCGAAAAAACATAGCAAATGTTTGTTCACAATCTGACAAAGCAGTAGTTTATTCTCCTGAACAGACTTAAATCGATAGAATGTAAAGAATCAGATCTCAATGTGAATTGAAGATGTATGAAAAGAAAACTTGAAATAAACTCTTCAAATCATTTTTCAATGACGACTTTTTAGCAATTAATTTGCTTACACCGTTAATCTATTGCATATGAAGGATATTCTCTAATCGGTAATCCTTGTCCAGATTGTCGTTATTTACATATCATGTATTATATGTTTGCCATTTCCAGTATTAACAATGCAACGAATAGAATAACAATAATAGACATAATAAGAGCACACTCCGATTGTCTATTACCAATGATGTTAGCTAAGGCCGAAAGAGAAGAACGCTAGGAGCTGAATATCGAAGTCGAATTGTCAATGAACTAAATCAGTAAGGTTCATTAAATGATTGACTCTCTTTCGATCTGATAAAAAAAAACACAATTTTCCCAAGTAGCGCATGCTAAGTAGCCCAAATGGTATTAGTCTGTATATATTATCAATCGTGATCATCTAATAAACACACTCTCTCAAAATTACCAAACAGAAGCGAGTCGAGATAAGATCGTCGATGTGATTCGAAGTCTACAAAAACCATCGATTCGTCTGGTAATCGTATGTGCGCCATGGATATGTTTGATTACAAGATATTCTTACATAACCGAGTGTGTCAATATAATCTTTCAAAATTGACATTTTTCGAATAATGAGATTAGAGTTGGTGTCTTTTGTCTTGTAATACTTCAGGAGAATACGCATTCAACAAACAAAAGAATAGACTTGATCGACGTTCGGATTTTTAATAATGTATTTAATATCGTTTGCTTTTGATAAAAAAAAAGTTTTATTAGAGTAATTCGATGCGAATGAATCAGGTACGAAAGAGTACAATTGTTTAGATAAGCTTTCTCTCTTCTTCTTTTTGTACATGTTGTAAAGACATTTTATTCCATGTTAGATCATCACTCGACATTTACTCAGAACTGTTTAACTTGACACAAATATGGACTTTATTCCTTTATCTATTCTATCAATTAGTTATCGTCGGCTGACGGCTGCAACTCACTCGATTGATCACTTCATAGTTCTTTTAATCGTATTAGTACTATTGAGACTAGAACGGAACTATTTTTAATACTCTATCCCATCTTCTCGTACTTCTTCATTCATTCACTTCCTTACACAATTTTCTACCCTTCGATGTCTTACTGATCATTATTGACTGAATGAAAAAAGGTCAAAATCACAACTGAGTTCCGCATTTTTCTCTCGCTCTCGTTCTCTTGTGTACGACGTTAATCACTATCTTACACACACATATGTATGTGTGCACGCGCATGTATTTCAGGTATCGTATATTGTGCTGATGATTGCATAAGAAAAAAGCGAGTCGGTGAAGAGAAAAAAATCGAAGAAATAAAAATAAACAACATTTATGTATACGAAAGACTCGTCTCGTTCGCGTTTCTTTTTTTTTGCTTCATTCGGTAGAAACAAGTGAAGAAAAATGGATCAAAATATCATGTGTATTGGACGACATTCAAGGTCATTTGTGCTATATCAATTTCGATGAAGACACTTGTCAATTATATACGTATAAAACGAAAAGTAGAAAGCAAAAGCAGCCCGTATAACATTCGAAGCGACAAAACATGAAGACGAGTGTCAGATTTAGTCTTATTATATCGAAAAACAATATCCTGTGTATGTATTTAGATTATTTTGTCATTATTTATTCACTGACAAAACTAATAATTGTTAGTGTCAATGTGACGACAATAACAAAAAAAAAGAGAATTTCAAAGAGGCATTGTTCGCTGCGCTTTTCCTTGCTCTTTCTCTCTTTTTCTTCTTCGTCTTTGTCTTCACCATCGGATCGAGAGCAAAGTGAGCCGCTCAATTTTCGACTAGTTTCATCGGAAGGAAATTTCAAAGGCATAGCGACAACATAAAAATCAACTTCTTTTTTGTAGTGCAACCAACTATCAAATTTCTTGTTCGGTCTTCTATCTGATAGCAATCGACAAGAGAAAAAGAACTTTCTTTCTCGAACAAATCCAATTCGCCTCCTTCCCCCCATTGTACGCGCCTTGTGTTTAATAGAGATCCATTAAACCTTTTCCCTTTCACAACAGAAGAGTACATCGAATTGAAAGAAAAGTTTGATTATAGCCTTCTGTTAGACAAGTTGCTAACGGAGTAATTTCAGGTGTTCTTTTCTTCATTTCAGATTTATAGAATATGATCATCTGACATCGATGGTTGAAGCCTCGGTGTGCTATTTCTTTATTTTTTTAGTCAATTTACAAACGATTCGATCGATCAACAACATCAAGTAATTCATTTTCGTTTTGACATCTCATACAATTTCTTCTTTTCGTTTGAAGCTTTTCAAGGGATGTGAAAGGCGATCCGCGTTTAAATACTACGTCAGGACTGTTTCAAGGTAAACAAGTCATCGTTCGTAATGTTCCAGTTTATCAATTCTTCGGTATTCCATATGGTGAAAAGCCAGCGCGGTTTGAACGATCGACTCTGCGACGATACAATGCACAATCGATTATCTATGCAATAAATCCGCCACCGGCGTGTCTACAAATGTCGTCTGATGATTCTTCATACGGTCCATTTCGATCCGCTGATCATTTTGATGAAGACTGTTTGACATTAAATATCTTCGTGCCAAAATCGACTTCGTCAGTACCAAAAGCAATCATGGTCTTCTCATATGGAATGCTGAACCAAATTGGTTCAGTATCTTCGATTGATGGAAGTGCATTTGCTGCTCTCGGTGATGTTATTGTGATTATGATCAATTATCGTTTGAGTATCTTCGGTTTTCTCTCAACGACGATGTCAGGAAATTATGGATTATACGATCAATTACTGGCGTTAGAATGGATATCGCTAAATGCGAAGCAATTCAATGGAGATTTCAAACGGATAACATATGTCGGACATTCGAGTGGTGCTGTCAATGCTCTTCTACTTGCGATGTCGAACCATTCTGATGGATTGTTGACTCGAGTTATCGCGCAAAGTGGTTGTCCAATGAATCAATGGTAATCGAATTCAATTGAAATTTATTAATCTTTTGTAGAGTTTCCTCTGTAGGGCAGTGGATCGACATGCGAAAATTCGTTTTGATAATGTCATAAAAGAAAATAATATGAATACGAGAAGAAAGTTCATTCAAACCAATATGGATCGATTAAAAACTATGCCAGTTGAACAAATTCGTTACAGATATCGTGATGAACTCGAAGAACTACCTGCCTTTCCGTAAGAAATCGAACGACGAAGTTTTATGAGATTCGAATTCAATATGTTATTTCTAACTATTAGATTTCCAGTTGTTGATGACGATATAATACCTTTCGATCTGGAACATATGATTCGTACTGGGCATTTGAAGAACATTGATGTTCTAATTGGTGTAACAGCTGATGAGTCGTTATCCATAGCTGAAGAACATATTTTTTCGCCTTATTTGTCGACAACTTCGCTGCGACGAACTTTAACTGAACAAGAACAAGTGCACAGTCTCATTCATTTTCGAAAGCACGAATACATAAAAAAGTTTTTACAAGTAAACCACCCTGAATATCTCTGTTTCTATGATGAAATTCGCGCACGCTATACTCCAATGAAAAAAGATCAACATAATGTCGTCGAAACTACTCATCTCTATACCGATCTGATCAGGTAAGCAACTTTTCCTCGATTATTATCTCAATAATTTATTTTCACTACCAGTGATTTGATGATTTACTATGATTTAATTCGTTTTCTTCACGAACGTCTACGTTCCGAATCCGTTGCATCGACGTATGTGTATTATTATACAAATCCGCCCAGTTACAAATCACAGCGTAATTCAAATATGGTTGGACACTTTGCTGAATTAGATCTTCTTTTGGGTCTTCCATTCCTTCCTCAATCAGATGTACAACGAATGACGACGAGGAATTTGTCTTATACATCCGATGAAATCGCACTCAGCCTGCAGATGATTCGATATTGGACAAATTTCGCTAAAACAGGTAAGCAGTCTCTTCGTTCACAAACTGGCATTTCTTTTTATTTCCAGGAAATCCCAATTCACCGAATAATGTTTCACTTTATTGGCCCTCGTATGAAACTACAAACAAGTCTTACATTAACTTCCATGTCAAAGAAACCCGAATTGAAAATCAATATCTCGAAGAACGCTTTCGATATTGGGACATGATATCACATCGTCAAGTGTGTTTACCATTTCACTGGTATCATACATTTCTGCTCGTCAGCATACTGATACTCACTATTCTTCTAATTATAATTTATATATTTTATAATACGAAACGATCACGACGAAATATTAAGCCGACAGAATTGACTACGAGAAATGTGATCACTACCTATGATTTTTTACCAAGTGTTGTCACCTAGTTTGCATATATGTTCCTTTCTTGTATTCTATTTTGTGCCTGTTTAATTCTAATTAGTTTAACTTATGTCAATAAATTGATTCTTTCCTCTTTTTTCTATCGCAAGGAGAAAGTCTATCAAAAAAAGGCCGTCATAAACTGGGTTGAAGCACTAGAGAACGTATATTGTGCCATTTTCTTCTCATTTTATACATACTTCTTCTCCCTGTCAGCGATGAATTGATGAAGAACGCAAAATGTCGACAATGGTAACACTGGTCGAATGAAATTTTCCTTCGTCTGTTCCGTTTTTTTTATGTCCTTTCTCGACACAGTGGGTTGAAATGTGCAGAAGAAGAAAAAATCCAAGAGGTAGAAGCGATATAAAGAAAGAGGAAAGAAAGAGAGAAACTCATGCAGACAGGTATGATTCATTCGTATACGTGTTGACCGACGTTAGAGCAGTGGACATAGTGAATGTGCGTGTGTGTATGTACAGTCGTGTCCTTTGCTTGAACGCGACATTTTCAAGGTTATATGAATAATCCCGATTGCTTGCAAAAACTATTCAATTAACGTTAAAATTCAAAATGGTAAGAGATCGTTGCTTATCAGAAGGACAACCTTGAAAAGTTCATCATCGTATTTTTTTTTCTTTGACATTCTTTATAGAACGGTGGTTATGCAAACGGAGGTATTGACGATCGAAATGATTCGACACGAATTGTGTCCTATCGATCGGCAGTTAGTCGCGATCACTCTCGACCATCTCATCGTACCAAACGAAGACGTGTTGGTAATGAAATTGATTTAAATGATATTAACGCCGATTTAGTTTATGTGAGTTTATTCATCGTTCGTCGGAAAAAAATTCATTTTCGAAATTCTTTCTATTTAGGATGAACATCAAATTTCCATTGAAGAACTTGTACATCGATTTGACACAGATTTGAGAACGGTAGCGCATTATTACATTGGAAATTTCAATCGATTCATAGATATTTCTCTTAGGGCTTAACAAAAATTCAAGCTAAACAACGTTTAATTGACGAAGGTCGAAATCATATCGAACCACCACATGTCAGTATTTCCAAATCATGCGAACGTTTTTGGCTCCAACCCTACATTTTTTTCGTTGCCATCTTATCTCTATTGGCTATTCTATGTTTTGTTGCTTTTGCTATACAATTGAACACCCGACAAGAAATAACTTATGAAAATGTAATGGGAGAAAAAAAATCTTATCTTTCGATAAAGTTCGTTTCGTGCTCTATGTTTTAGCTTTACATGCTCATCGTTTTGATTATCTTCATACTCTTACCAAGTGTATTCACATTTGCTGTTAATCATATCAGTGCCAACAAATTACAATATTTACGATATCAAATCAAACAAGTAAGATGACGCGAGAGAAGAAAAATCTCATTTGAGTTATTTCGTGTACATAAATAAGACACAGAAAAAGATCAGTAGACATGTAACGAAACGGAAGCCCTCCGATTATCGTCAGAGGACGAAAGTGTGTTTAAGAGAAGATGAAGAAGAAAAACGAAAGGTGTGTATTCATGTTCGTCCTTCTCTTAAACATCACATCACATCATAATATAAGATTGTGAATGATGAAGATGAGCCTTCAAAAATCGACAGACACATACACAACACAATGATGACATTTTTCGATATTCTGACATATTATTATTGTATATTTCATACGTACGCGCGTCAGTTTTTTTTAATCCAATAAGTCTCGACTTGATGTTTATTACTCTTCTAATCGTTATTGAATAAAAAAAAAGAGTTCGAGCAAATTGTTACATAATGACGATGATAACGATGTTACCTATGGTATTCGCTTATTTAATGATCTATTTAACTGCAATTACTGGACAAGAAATGCCATGTGAGCCGAAAGACTCGTGGTCGTGGACACCGTGGTTTAATTTTCATACTCCATCCATCAAAGGTGAATATGAACTGCATGCTGCTATTCGAAGTCGACATCCAGCAATTGTTTGTGCTGAACCTCGTGGTGTGTCAGCGGTAAATCAAGCTGGTGTTGATATGAATCAAACACTCGATATGATTTTATTACGTTCAAACGATGTTTTCTGTTTAAATAGTTATGATCCGAAATATCAACGCAAGATGTGCGATGATTACAGTGTGCGATATTGTTGCCCTACTCTAACAACACTAACATCATCAGTACATGCGCCTCCACCTCCACCTCCACCTCCACCGCCCGCATCAGTTCAACCGACACCATCACACGTAGTGAAAAATCAAATACGTGATATGTTCATTGGAAATGCTACACATACAACAACGTCCGTAGACAACCATTCACGATTTGTTCAAACTACATGTGGTAGAGCAGCACGTTCGACATCATTTCATTCAAATACTCGTACAGGCTACTTTACTAATCTGTTTCATTCGATACTTTCAAGAATTATCAACGGCGTTGAGGCACGTCCGAATGGGTGGCCTTGGCTCGTATCAATCGGTGTGAGATATCGTGGTCCATCGGGCTTATGGCAAAATCGCACACATATCTGTGGTGGAACATTGATTGAACCATCACACGTTCTCACTGCTGCTCATTGTCTTGAGCAGAAGATTGATGATCGTTACGTTCCATTTACATCGACCAATCCGACATTAGAGTCCTTTTTTATCCTACGCATCGGTATTCATGACATCCGTTCAACTCGTCCAGAGGAACTTTATGCAGCACGGCGCATCTTTGTTCATGAACGATTCATTGCTAGTACATTCGAAAACGATATTGCTATCATTCGACTTGATCGACCTGTTGTCACGACTGAACATAAATCACCGATATGTTTGCCATCGGCTAATGTGGCACCGGGCACACAAGTAACTGTAGCTGGTTGGGGTACAGTGGCGGAGACGTCACGTGTTCATTCCAATGTACTAAGACAAGCCAATGTAAACATTCTACCAGCAACGAATTGTCGTGTGTACATGGATGTTCATTACGATACGGGAAAACAATTGTGTGCTGCCGCTTTGGATTGGTCCAAAGATACATGGTATGAAATCTGCTTACGATGAGTTTTGTTTGCTTATCGATGCATTGGTGAATTTTGGTTTTAGTGCTGGTGATAGTGGGGGACCATTGATGCATCAGGAAAATGGTGAATGGTCTATAGGTGGTATAACCTCGTATGGTTATGGTTGTTCTAAACGTGGATTTCCTGGTGTCTACGTTCGTACGGTGCCATATTTAACATGGATTAAACAGAAAATGTTGAGCACTTATTAGAGTCGTCATCATCGTCTCGTTTTGTTTAGTTTTACACATATTAATAAATGACTTTCAGAGAAAAGACAATAGAAATTTCAGAGAGAATATACGCGAAATAAATCCATGAATATGTTTTTCTTCTTTTTTTTCGTTATTTTTTTGTTGTTGTTTTGGGATTCTTTTTCATATTTACTTCTATTTTTATTTGTTTTAGCAAGTTGATGTTAAACGTGAAGGCGAATGGCAACGTATCAATTCGGAAGATCTCGTCCGTGGTGATATCATACATGTCCGTGGTGGAGATCGTGTTGCTGCTGACATTCGAATCATTCATACATCTGCTCTTCTTGTGGATAATTCGATTATTACAAAAGACTCGGATCCGGTACCTCGATCATCGGACTATACAAATACAAATCCATTGGAAACCAACAACTTACTTCTGAGTGGAACAAGTGTAAATGATTCTTCGACAGAGAATTCTATTATTGAATATCTTTCTTTCAGATAACTCATGGATCAGCAATCGGTATTGTTGTCAAAACAGCTGAACATACCCTCTTGGGTAAAATGTCGAATATTACTGAAAGTAGGATGAAATTTAAAGTTACAACATCCTGATGAAATATTCATTGATTATTTAGGTTTTGATCCGAAAAGAACTATCTATGCACGAACTATTCGTTCCATGTTTCTATTCCTGACAGTTGCTGGTCTAGTGTTGGGAGTGATCTTTTTCATCATTCTCTATTCAACTGGTTATTATTGGCTGTACGCAATTCAAATCATGATTTCAGTGTACATCGCCTGCATACCTGAAATTCTACCAGCTATAATTCATGTAATCAATCGAAGAGTAACCTGTCAAGGCGAAATTGAATTTTCTTTTCGATTGTAGTTATGTTTGACACGTACAGCACAACATATGGCTACTCGAAATTGTCTTGTCAAAGTTATCGATGCTTTGTACGATTTGGCTTGTACAACAATCTTATTCGTTGACAAATCAGTTTTAACGACGAATCAAATGTCCGCCAGCCAAATATGGATACCAGCAAATCAAGAGCGTATTATTTCGGGTGCTCCATCGGAAGATCCCAATGGTGAATAGAAGAAGGAGGAAGAAGAAGTTTGAGTCAAAATTGTTTTTTTTTTCTGCTTATAGTTATACAAGAGTGTATGCAAATGCCAGGATGGCAACAATTAATGCGCACAGCAGTTCTATGCAGTCGGGCGGAGTATTTCACCGATCAGCATCAATCGGGTCGACAGATACCACTAGGAGAATGGTTTGTTAAACGATGATTCTCTTCTTTTTCTCTGTGTTCTAAGGAGAATTATTTCGTTGTAGGGATGGTGATGCACGTGAAATAGCAATAATAAAATATGCGGAATATGCTGAATTGGACATTGCAGCAATTCGTCATCTGTATCCTCGACGAGATGTTCATCATTTTACACCGGAAAACAAACGAATTGTTTGTTGTTTGACAAAAGAGTCTTTTCATAACTGAAAGTTTATTTTCTCTTTTTAGGAATCGTTTCATGTGAATAACGAACCTAACATGGAAGGAATGTTTCTTGATTGTATGATGGGTGCGCCGGAACGTGTTTTTCATCGATGTTCGTCGGTTATCATCGATGACGAGGAAGAACCAACTGATGGTAATCTCGCCCTGGAGCGAATGTTCAACGAAAGTCTCATCCAGATGGGTTCATTGGGCGATACTGTACTTGGTAAACTATTTTCATATGTTTTCATATTAATTCAGTAATTAATTCAAGGTTTCGCTGAACGACAATATCATCGCGATGATGGTCCACAAGAAAATTGGCGCTTTCTTGGCCTTATGTCATTTAGTGATCCGATTCAGGAGAATGCTGTTACAGCAATTGAAAAATGCCGACTGGCTGGAGTGAAAGTAAAGTTGAGGTTTGCGCATTCGATAAGATTAATGAAAATGTTTTTTTGTTATAGGTTATCTTGGTATCTGGTGATCATCCTGTCACAACATGTGCACTGGCTAGACGTTTGACAATCTTTTCGCCTGAATCAGAAACAGTCGAAGATGTTGCTATTCGACTTGGTGTTCCAGTTGATCGTGTTGGGCCAAGGTAAGCTGAACAATGATACGGAAGAGACAGATCGAAAATGAATTTCTGTTTCACAGACAAGCAACAGCCGTTGTTATTCACGGCCGTGATTTACATAATATATCGCAACTCGACTTGGCCGATACCATCATCAATGCTCCTGAAGTTGCTTTTGCTCGTACAACACTTCGACAAAAACAAAAAATAGTCGAATGCGCTCAATTAGGCAAAGCCGTGGTGACATGTTTTTGCCAATCATCGGATGATCGTGGTGCGATCCGAAAAGCTGATGTGAGTGTGGCAATGCTAAATCGTAGTAGTGAAGCCTCACGTCAAGAAACCGATCTTGTTTTACTTGATAACGATTTGAATACACTAGTCGGTGCTATTGAAGAAGGTCGCTATCTCTGGGAAAATATCAAGAAATGCTTAGCTTATTGTCTTGTTGTGAACGCCACGCAACTTTTACCATTTTTAATGTTTATTATATTTCAAATACCTCTAACACTTGGTCCAATTACTTTATTGCTTGTGGATTTAATTACACAGTTATTACCGACGATCTCTTTAGCTTATGAAAGACCAGAATCAGATATAATGACAAAGGGACCAATTGATAAATTTCGAGATCGATTAGTGAACCGAAGGTAAGCCTAGATTTGAACTATTGGTTCTCATCATTCATCGACTGTTCTCAGACTTCTATCGCTCTGTTGGGGACAAATTGGTTTAATTCAAATTACAGCTGGATTTTTCACATGGGTTGTTGTCATGGCCGAAAATGGCTTTTGGCCATCGCGTTTAGTCGGTATTCGAAAAGCATGGGATGCCGCTGCTGTCAATGATCTAGAAGATTCTTACGGTCAAGAATGGGTACGTGAAAAGACGTTAAGTTCGTATACGAGTCTCGTTGTTTTGTTGTTTAGACATATCGACAAAGAAAAATTCTCGAATATATGGGCTACGCAGCATTTTTAGCAGCTATCGTCATTGTACAAATGGCTAATTTACTCGTGTGTAAAACGCGTCGTTTATCATTATTTCAACAAGGTTTACGAACGTAGGCTATTCTTTTTTAAGCGACACTTCTTTTCATCGTCTTGATTGTTTAGTAATATGTTTGTCAATCTATGTTTAATATTAATGCCCGTGGTAGCTGTTTTATTGATTTACATTCCAGGACTTAATCGCGCTATTTTCCTCGAACGATTACAGTAAGATTTTGCAAAATTGTTTGCTTCATCAATGTGAATTGCCGATTTTTCTAGACCTTTGTGGCTTTTATGTCCTATTCCATTTGCATTGATGATTTTTGGCTATGATGAAATACGTAAATTATTCATTCGAAAACATCCGGAAGGTTGGGTGGCAAAAGAGACGAATCATTGATTTGAGATGAATCTCGATATTTGTTTTTCTTTTTCATATATTCTCTTTCTTTACATAAACTTGTTTTTTTCTCTCTCTCTCTACTGGCTAACTTCTTCGTGTACATTCCATTGTCATTCTCACCGTTTTCATTTCTCATTCAATGATTATATATTCATTTCTATGATAAAAATAAACTGTTTCTTCCGCACGCTTTATAGCATCTCATCTGATTTCATTACAATATCATCACACTGACTTTAGGAAAAAGTTTGAGAATGAAAGGTATGAAGATTTGAAAAGAACCAGTTCAGTGCGTTTTCTCTCTTACTGCTCTTGAAAAAAAAAGGAAAGATATTCTCTCTTCGTAGAATTTTTACATTTAAAACAGAGATGATGAGAACATCTATTATTATTCATTAGTTTAAGTTTTAACTCTCATAATCTATGAAAAGATTGTCATCGAACCGCAAAATAATGTAAGTATCAACAATCTGAAACCGACCTTATCGAGTACAAAGATTGTTTTGCTAAGAGATCAATTCTTACGCCTGTTTTCTTCCATGTATTTGATCTAATATGATTCGAGTACTGTTTCTTTTTATCAATACTAATAAAATCTGAGCAGGCGTGGAATTCCCAAGATATAAACTATAAGAGCCAAAAACAAACACACAAGTTCCGTTCTCAAGTACATGTATTGTGTATTCGAAGGTAATTAATCAGTCTATTTTTCCATCTATGCTCTATTCTTCTGAAAAAAAAATGCACCTAGATACTCTTTCTTACATCTAAGATCATTATTTAAGTTAAATGTAGTAACCTCACGAAGATATTAGTTCTATTACTTACTTTTCATGACTTGCATACTTCTATTCATGTTTAAGTATGCATATTAACAGGTAACACTCAAGTGTAATACCATTCAAGTGAAATTCTTAGTGCAAATCTTGTCGAAATAGACGTCCTTAAGTTATCTTCATATCAATCTTACCCTAACGAATATAGCCTTGGTTAGGTGCATATGACTCTATTACTGAGATACAATATATCGATGAAAACCGAAACCAACTAAGGAAAACATTGTCTAGCAGTAGATGTCGAGTCAATCAGAGATGATGATGGTATTATTGTTGTTGTTCAAATCTATTGTCTTCGATTATTCTCAATGAGAATAGTCGTATGACCTTGACAACGACGACAAGTGACAAAGGAAGCAAATGACGAACATGCGGGTAATTGGAATCTGTGTTTTTTCTCTTGTCTTTTTTTTCTGGAGGTCCTTCCAAGCATGACACAATATATAGTGTTGTTCTTTGTCTATATATCTGTCAGAATCGACGAGTCTAGGAAAAACAGAACATAAGAGTGAAGGAATGAACCCTCGATTTCGAGGTATCAACGAGAAAATGATTGTTGTTTTTTTACTTGTGAAGGTCATTTTTTTCTCATCTTCTTCGGTTTCTTTTTGTGATGTATTGCCGACAACAGACGAACGATGAACACTTCAAATCATCGGAATGATGACCAATTATAGACGTTTAGTTCTAATTCAAGGCTAGCGTCACGATAAATCGAGGTCATTTATTATCAGAACAGAAGAAAAAGGATAACTTATTCAAATTTCGACTTTGATTGTTAAGATTTATACAGATGACAACATAACAGGAATATCAACAATGAGCAATTCTCTGCGAGAATTAACGAAATCGTTCTGATACAAATGCATTGTCTTGGTCTTTTTTTTTTCTTCTTCGTCTTCTTTCTATTCTATTCTTTTATGATTTAAAGGATATGAGACGAGAGCAAAAAGAAAGAGGAAAAAATACAAGTAACAAACAGAAAATACTTTATAAAATCCAGGGTTCTGTTTATATCGAGGCTCGGAGATGTTACTTGTATGTGTGTCTCGTTTAGTAGCAACGTATTCGTGAGGCAAGATACAGAAGTGTATAAGGAGAAAGAGAACGAAAAGAAGAACTTGCGCAAAAGAAGAAGAAGAGAAAAAGCAATAGTACCAACAGTAGTGGGGAACAACAGCAAGTTAGTAAAGAAAGAAAAAGACGAGTAAGCATCTATCTTGCATGTGCGCGCGCGTGTTCTTGCACAGTAGCAAGAAATAAAACACCGTCTTGTTGTCAAAACATTCGAAACACTAGCACTTTAATATTAAAAAAAAGAAGGAAGAATGACGATATACTTGATATTTACTTTATCAACATTACTGATATGTGTCTTATAAATGCTTACTTTGCTATCCCTTTATCATTCATTTATCCGTGACTAATTATTATTATTATTATTATTATTATTATCAAAGCAACGTGTATAGATATTATTTTTGCTAGACAATATTATCGTGTGGTATGTTTGTTTTACTTTTATTGATTTTTGTAAACATTACACAGCTTGAAATCGACTTATTATAATTATTAATCAAGACTTGTGTTATTTCTTTTCAACGAAGAAAATCAACACGCGACGACGTGTACTCGAACGACGATATATTAAGTTTCAAAATACCGAACAAATCGTTCGTCAGGTTTCTAGTCGAGATTATAACTGAGTATTAGTTTGCAGTTTCTAGCGAACCCAGCGCATTTCCTTATATCGAGGTTTGTATGTGTGTTGCCAGTTTTCAAGTGTTCTTTGATTTTGATCGTTTCGCCCTTTTTTTGATAATGTAAGGCAATACGATAGAATGATCAAGAGTTATCCGTCTGGAAATCAAAACAGTACAATTGATCGTTCCAGTGAACTTCGTCGAAAGACAATACGTTCAATTTATCAGGAAGAAACGTTAGAAAAACATCTTATAACATAGATGTTTCATTGGCATTATATTAGGAGATCCCGATTATCAAGTATCTGGTGTCATCTGGCTTACGTAATCTTACATGTCGATCTGTTATGAAAACTATTTTAGAAAACGTGATAACATAAGACTAAGTATAAGTTCGTCTGCTAGTTTAAGAACACCTAGAGACAGTGAATTTAAGATCTTAATCTGCCTGAACATCACAAGAGATTGGAGATTCCATTTATGGTTGAGTTTTCTGATTACTCGAACGATAGAGGACGATCTGTAATGAGACCTACTTTCGAATAGATGAGCTCGTAAGTGAATTTTCAAACTAACGAAATCTAAACAGCCTAGAGGATCTGTTCGAAGATTCTTTCGTACTTATTTGCTTCGATTATTGCATTAGATTGTAAGGAGAGAAACAGGCTTTCAGTTAATTTTATTAGAGAATTCGTCAGTAGATTGATGATCACAAACGATCATAGGAATACATCTGAGTGTATCGAAGAATTCTGTAGATCATTTTCTCGACACAAACTCTCCGATTTCTTTGCAATGAAAGACTTCTTAGTATTCCTTACTATTCGTAAGTATCAAATTTGACTGTAATCATTCGTGCCGTACACATTTATTTTATATAATTTCGTCTACGAGCATTCTATTGTGCACAGGTTATTGAAGAAGCGGTTGATGTTAACCATCGCAAGGTTCTCAATGACTGAGTCACCTAGTTATTCAAATTGTCAAACTGACATTGTCAGATAGAATTACTTGAGTTTTTCTCTGTCATCGAACATAATAAAACATGACAGTTGATTAAATCTAAACTATCTTTAGTTAATAAATATTCCATGAAAACTTCTCAAGCAGTACATTAAAAAATTGTGAGATTATTTATTGTATTTGGAATATAGAAGTAAAGGGCAACGACTAATCAATGTTTGATTCCTAAGTAAATAACAATGCGAAAGAGTATTCATTAGAATAGAATGCTACCGACTTAATCGCTACATCGAGAATCGAAATCAAGTGTCTATGCGCATGTTTTTTACCCAATTGTACTATAATAACCCTGGTAGACAAAGCTGAACGGCGAGAATGTAGTAATAAACAGGATTTTTCAAGATTTGCCCTCTTCGTTTCTATCATTTGATGTTGTAACGAGTGTGAAAGAACGACGTCGTTACGGTGCATACATAGAAAAAAGCGTTTTATGACTATGGCGACCAAAGTGTGTGCAATCAAACGACATATAGGCTGTGAATTGTTAGTTTTCTTTCTTTTTTTTTCCAAGAAAAGCGAGTTGAAGTGCATCAACTAATGATACGATCGAACTGACAATGCTAATGATTATCAAAAGTAGGTTTACTATTATTGGTATAAACATCTGATTAATTGTCATTGATCAGTAATTGATGCATTCAAGACAAATGATATCGAACGGTGTTGGAATAATGCATCAACGATTGTTTATTCCAGCGATAAGATAATAAAAAGAAGAAAAACATGACGAATTAGCTATATTTAGAGAGAAGAGAACTTCATTTCACGACTATTTTCCGACTTGTTTTGACGTTTATCAACGCCTCAATATCTAGTAGATGGCAAATTCGACATGAGTAATCAATCGATTGCTTGTCATTGATGATAGCAGATTGATTCATCAATCGTTCTTTCTCTTCTCGTCGTTTTCCTAAACCCGAACGGAAGACAAAAGAGTTATCTTTATTTTGCAGATCAAACATGAATCCGACCAAACCATCAAAAGAAAAGGAATCTCCAGGTGCAGGTGCTTCCAGTCAAGTTACTTTTGTAAGCAAAGTAGTCAACAAATTATTAATTATGCTTGATCTGCTGTCTTCTAGGTCGGGATTAAATCTGCAACAAAGAAGGAATTACGTGGAGGTCGAATCCGAGCTGAAGTGGTATGTAAAGGTTCCACGATGAACAAATCTTCCCATCTCACATTCATTTCTATATCTATTATTTAAAATGATGAAATGAACTTCGGTACACAGATGACATGCATGAAAATCTCTTCTCTCTCTCTCTAATTATCTTGTTCTTCTTATTCTCCTTTGGATCCTAGTGAGATGCAAGTGAAAGAAGTGAATCTTCATTATGCAGTGTCCTTTCTTCTCTTCCGGCGTTTGAATAATATACTGCACGCATTGTGAAAATTTGCCTTGATTAGACTCCGATATTTTCTGCATGGGGTGTCATGTGCGTGTTTTGAAAAAGAAATACATTCAAGCACAACAAGAAAAATAATAATAGTAATCATAATCATAATCATACGAGAACAAGTCTATGACGCACATATCTATGTAGATTCTATCTGTCATCGCTTCATTTTCTATCTAGCTGGGATAAAAGGAGAAAAGCGAAGAAGAAGAAGGAGAAGAAGTACGAAGACAAGAATAATAACAGAGAAAGAACAACTTTTATCTTCTTGAGTTTTTCTTTTCTGAACAATATGAGAACGGACACTTTTTTTTTCTACATGTCTCTCCTTTCTCGTTATTTCCTGCGCTCTTTGCTCTCACTTCAGTTGCCTGCTTTCTTATTCTTTCTAGCCATTCATCTATCTCTATATCTATCTGTCTGTCAGCAAGCGTAGAACGAAGAAACAACGCCTGCGAACAAAGGTTGTTGTTTATGTTACGAACGTAGATCTATTGAGTAGTCATCAACGATTAAGTACATCGTTAGGTTATCTACTAAAAAGACGACTTCATCTCTTTTTAATGAATTAATACTTTCTATTATCGAAAACAACGATGCTACGAGACATTCACCCATTCAAATCGTTAACCTCTCGCATAGCTGCCAATGCTAAACAAACCGTAAGTTGATCTCGATTGTATATTTATCTAGAAGTTCGATCTTAAACAAAAGGTTAGAATTCAACGTGATGATATCTTTAGATTTGTTGATAATTAATCCCAATTAAATAAATAAATCATCCGTCGCCAACTTCTTCTCTTTTCTAGGATATCAATCGAGAAATTCAAAATTGTCGTGATGAACAAAGTGAACGATTCGATCTGAGCAAAAGTAGTGTGACAATCCTTCCCAACACAATCAAAGATGTACGTAAACGCCATGATTATGAAGAGAACAGCACGTTAATTCATATATCTTCTTAATTTAGCTAATTCATGTCCGAGAATTATATTTATATAGCAATCGAATACAACAATTACCACCTGAAATAGGCAATTTAGTCAATTTAAAAGTATTAGCTCTCAGTGAAAATTCACTGACAACTTTACCTGATACGATGGATCGTCTAGTACAACTAAAAGTCTTAGATTTGAGACATAACAAGTTCAATGATGTAAGAGAGCTCCTTCGATGGGTTTCTTTTCGTAGATAAAGTTTGATTTTTTTAGATTCCTGAAGTTATTTATCGTATTACAAGTTTAACCACACTTTACTTACGTTTCAATCGAATAAAAGAAGTTTCAGATATGATTAAAAATTTAGTCGTAAGAAACATCAACTTGTCAATTCGCATTGAAATCTTGTTCGTTTCTCACTTTAGAATCTACAAATGTTGAGTTTACGAGAAAATCGTATTCGTTTATTACCAATCACTGTTGGAAATCTTGTACAATTGTTAACCTTGGATGTCGCACACAATCATCTCGAACATTTACCAAATGAAATCGGTTTGTTTGTTTGTTTGTTTTGGTAAGAGAATTGCTTTCACCTATCGTTATCTCATTAGGAAATTGCGCTCAATTAACAACATTGGATTTAACACATAACGAACTTATGGATCTGCCGGATTTAATAGGGAATCTGAAAAATCTCAGTCGATTATTGATCAGATATAATCGACTTTCCGCCATTCCATCGTCATTAGCTAATTGTTCGAAACTCGACGAATTCAATATTGAAGGGAACAACGTTTCACAATTACCGGTTCGTTCAAAAACATATCTCTCACTCTCGAAGTGAGTTAACTTCGTCAATTGATTTCTATTTCAGGAAGGTTTACTATCAAGTTTAATTCATTTGAATACAATATCATTGGCAAGGAATAATTTCAATTCATTTCCACTGGGTGGCCCAACCCAATTTACATCCGTTCATTCGATTAATATGGAATGCAATACAATTGATAAGATCCCATTTTCAATCTTCTCCTTAGCGAAATATTTGTCGAAATTGAACATGAGAGAAAACTCGCTGACATCTTTACCATTAGGTAAGATAGATATTTTCTATTTGCCTATCAGCACGAAAATAGAATCAAAGAAATAGTCTAATTACATATGATTAAATATTCCAATGTAGGCGTGAGAGATAGGAATGCTATTTTTGTGAATTAATTAATGTCTACGAAAGGAAATATTTCACATCAGGTTTTCTATGATCAGTATAGTATCTGAAAAGGAAAGGTCGAAGTAAATATAGATAGATGATCTTTTCAAGTGAACAAAAGATCTGCAAATATGATCTTTTTTAATCGGGTATTCTCCGAAGACGAACAGAGAGAAAATTTAGCTTTTCCTAGTTTGGTCTCCTGGTGAAATGAAGATGTTAATTTGTGATATGTCATAGAACATGCTGAGAGACAGTGAAATTCCTTCGATTACAGATTGTGACATATAGATTTAGAAGGACAACGTGCTTCAAACAGCGACAAGTTCATTTGCTGTTTTAGATATCGGTTCCTGGACAGCCCTAGTCGAACTTAATCTCGCAACCAATCAATTAACAGTCGTACCTGAAGACATCAAGAATCTACAAAATCTCGAAGTGTTGATCATGTCCAATAATCAATTAAAAGTAAGCCGTTGAAGATTCTTCATATGCTCTTGTCAATGAGAAAAGCTTTTCAATGTTTCTATGGTTGAATGATTTGTTGTTTGAAGATAAAAGGAAATGATTTTCTGTCTATTTCAGAGAATTCCTCCATCGTTAGGTCAATTACGGAAATTGCGACATTTGGATTTGGAAGAAAATAAACTCGATTCATTACCTCAGGAAATAGGTAGATGACGTTTTTCTTCTCTCTTCGTGCACGACTGAATATATTTTCCAAATGAATCTTTTTTTTAAAAGGATATTTACGCGAATTAACACGATTGATTGTCGCTTCGAATCAATTAGCACAATTACCACGTTCAATTGGGTAAAATGAGTATTTGTATATGAATTCAAACTCGAACTTCCGTTTCTTTTCAAGATCATTAACTAATTTGACACATTTAAACGTTGGAGAGAACAGTTTAACTTCACTACCGGAAGATGTCGGTCAATTGGAGAAACTCGAACAGCTTTATATCAACGATAATCCAAATTTAGATGTTCTACCATATGAATTGGCATTGTGTACAAATTTACAGATAATGAGTATCGAAAATTGTTCACTAAGAAGTTTGCCACAAGAAATCGTTGCTGGCGGGCCGTCACTCGTGATTCAAGTAGGTTTCGTTTAAATGAGAATTTCTTTTATCGATGCAAAATTCTTCTTTATTTAGTTTCTCAAAGTTCAAGGACCATTCAATTTGAATTAGTACATGATTCAATCTTCTACAAACGCTTCTTTTCTATCAGTGTATTAGTCAAATTCATGTTTTTTCGTCTAATTCGTTTTTCGAACCGGTCAATTTGTTTCTGTCGCCTTTCTATTCAGTCACTCGATAAAAATCAAGTTTTGCGTTAGACATCCGTGTTTTTTTTTGCTGTTTGTACGTGTGTATATATACAAGTATGTGTAATCTTTTATACTTGCGGTTATTTACTGGGAACTGTACGATTATCAGAAGGAAAATTATATATATATATATGCCTTTTTGTTTGTTGTTGCTATGTATCTCGTTGAACTGATTCTTTTATTTTGAAAAAAAAGAAAAATTAATCTTGAAACGGAAAAGGTTCGATTATGAATCAACGCCATAAAATGAACCATTAACAAAGGTCAACAGATAACTAACCTTGATGAATCGAGTTTTATGGCATGGGCTTGCTATTAGTATGTGTAACTTCGATACGAAAATGTCGAAATGTTAATAGCTCTCGAACATTCGACTAGAAAGAGATGAGTAAACCGATGATCGAACAGTTGTCATTTACTTTCCATACTTCTTTCTGCAGTGTTTTATCAGGAGAAAAAAAAATGTTGAAGTGAATGAATTTGATCATTTATTCATTTGCATCACGATGTCAAATACGAATACAAATGTGCGATCTTTACGCGATAAATTTCAGCTATCACAAGTTAATCAATATGATAATGTAACTAAACAGCAACATGATATATCATTTCAATGTATTCATTGTGGTAAACATCAGACACTGACGATTCTTCTACAAGCAGATGTAACACAAGGTGTGTGTCGATCACGACGGGGATATTCGAAAAAGAGATTTGTGGTTAAGTTCTACGCACAGAGGCATCCAGACAAGTTAAATCAATGCCCCTGTCCGCAGGATTTATTCACATTCTTGTACGAAGAAGAGAACGTTTTGTTAATCAAAAACGAATATTTTCATATGGATTTTTCTAGAAATTCCAGCAACGAAAGCGAATGACTATGAACCTAAGCCTCCCGCCACACTTCGAGAAGTTTCTCCCATTAGTGAAGAAGAACAAGAGGATACAATCCCACCATTGCATCGATCTAACTATTCATTAGAATTTCGTCATTCGGATGAAGATCTTACGCGATCATCCATCGAACCAAACATCAAAGGTTTGATTGATAATTGTGTTCGTTCTAGTTTACATGATCTTTCCCAAGTTCAAAGAGAAAGTGATAGTAAGCCTATTATCGCATCATTGTACTATTTCCATCTATTTCATTCGAATAGCACGTGAGGTTATCTCGATCGATATCGAATATGATCCGATATTAGGAAATGTTCGTTCAACAAGAAAACGTTCAAGTACGATGACAACAAATCTTGATAATGACTATCGTCCAATTAATACTCGCCACCAGTCTGTAAATAGTCGAATTAAAGTCTTACCAACAGATTCCGATTCGGATTCAACAAAACCAATCTGGGCACGACGTCGAATTTCTCATTCAACTGTTAAACCATCGGATCTAATTCGAGAGTATGATAAACGAGAAAAACTCGAAGCTAATGCCTTAAGACGTTTGTCACGAGCAGGTAGTTCAGTGTCCACAATTCTCTTCGTTTCTCATTATTTGTATTTAGATACGGCTGGAGAAGGTGTCGTACCCAATTCTACAATACGACCCGCGATGAAGTATGTAGATCGATTATTTCGTCATTAACTTTCTTTTCTCGTTTGCAGTCCACAAAGCCCAGCGATGATCAAAGAAAAAATCTTGCGTTGGTGTCAAGATTTAACTCAATTTTACAAAGTAAATTCGTCTAAATATTTGTATCTTCTCTTGCTATGTCACTTCCTTTTGGTTTATTAGGGTGTGAACATTCGAAACTTTTCTTCGTCATGGAGTGACGGTTTAGCATTCTGCGCTATTATTCATCGTTATTTCCCAGATGAGTTCAACTTCGAGATTTTGAATAGCGATGATCGTCGGCAAAATTTCGATCTCGCTTTCACTGTTGCTTTGTATGATTCGATATTTCTCGTTTCTTTATCATCGTTCTTTACATCTTACTTATCTTTTTTTCTAGAGAACGTGCTGGCGTCGAACCACTGATTGATACTGACGATATGATGTATATGGGTGATAAACCAGATTGGAAGGTTGTTTTCACTTATGTTCAAAGTTTATATCGTCATTTATCACGTACACAACCACCAGCTACGCTGCGCGAACGTTGGTGAACAGTCTGCTTTTTTTCTCTCTTTGATATGATAACTGCGTAGTTGAATATATATATATATATATGTATCCATATAGGACTTCTTTGGGCTTATTTTAATAAAATTATCTTTGATAATCAGTCATTGGAAGTGTTTGGTGGTAGAATTGTCATTGTCATAATTCTGGAAGCGTTTGGAAAATAGCAAAGCTTTCATTTTCTTTCTTTCTCGTTCGTTTGATGAGAGTGCAAATGAGTTAATGATAACTATTTTCATGCATGTTACTGACAAAATGACACTGTTACATTGCAGATTATCGTAACAACTGTTTGTTGGTCCTATATAATTCCTTAATAGTTTTTTACATATTTCTTCGTCGCCGGCATATTCTTCTTTTCTTTTGCTTATCAGATTCTCCCCTGAGGCGAAAAAAAAACCGGCATCTGCATACGTTGTCTTGAAGAGATAATTTTGACGAAAGATGATCGTAAAAAGTCAAGTATCTCAAATTCTTTGCCTTCTCCAATCTGCTCATATTCTCACATCAATAGGAAACCTATCTAATCGATAGATATTAACTAAAGTATTTCTTTTCTCTTCTCTCGTTTACATTGGTCTGTTCGACGAGAATGTTAAATGTAGTAAGAAACTTCTCACTCTTTTCATCACCGATACATTATTAAAAAAAAGGAACCGTCGACTGCTTGATTAAGCTCGGACAAAGCGACACACTGCTGGTAGAAACAAAGAATAATCAATCCTCTCTGTTCGATAGATGGACACTCGAAAACATCAATGCGCATGACGTGCGAGAGCTTTTTTTCTTTTTTCTTCTCCTTTCTTTTCTTCTGATTCTCTCTGTCTCGCATATCGTGATCCTCAGTGAACAGCGTATTCAAATTGCGCGACCGATAGTTTCGACAAGGAATGAGCTCGAGACAGAGAGAAAGAAAGAAAGAAAGAAAGGAAAAAATGGACTGTGGAGTGGACTCATCAATAAGTATAGAAAGACGAGAGAGAAACAGACGTGGAGGAGAAAAGAGAAAAGAATGAACTTAGTATTCAGCACTACGACTACTACTCGAACTAACAGTTGTGACGATGGAAGAGTACCGCCTGTAGATTGATAGATTTTGTGTATATACATATATATATATAGTCTATCGTCTATCTTATCTCACTTCTTAATTTACAGAAAAACACACAAGGAAACCATGCAATTAATCTCGATTTATATTTCGCTAATCATTAATTTATTCTTCTGTTATGCCGATAAACAAGATATGTCAATTGATGAATTAAAAAAACTTAGTAAGTATTATCGATCAATAAAATCGAACGTGAGATGCATGTCGAACTCCAATAGGTGAATCGATTGTCTGTCCGTCGTATTTATTCCGTTGTGATATTGTACAATGTTTACCTTACGCATTCGTCTGCAATGGAGAATATAACTGTCAAGATAAAACAGACGAAGCCAACTGTTCAATAGCAATCATCAATAGTGATCTGTGTAATACCAAAGCCTCTATCAATTGTGAACAAGATATTCTTCACAGTACACGTCTCATCGATCATAATATTCGCTTCGAATACACACGACCGATTCAGATATGTATTCACCGGTAAGTTTCGTTTGATTTCTTCTCTAGTCAATGTCATCGATGTTTATATTACCATATCAACTTGGAATAATTTCAATCATTTTCCATTCGTCTGATGGAATTAATCGTAAATAGTAGACATTTGCCTTGAGGGATCGAGTTCGAGTAGTTTGAATACTTTATAGTTTTAAATGGTTCGTACATTAGGCAAAAAAGGAGTGATGATTATGAAAGAATATTTGCACACTTTTGATTTTTAATCAGAGAAACTGTACATGCATCTACTCGAAACAAAAGAGCGGAAATCGATTGTCTAACATATGGAAGTTAATCTGATTCGGAAATAAATGTTTGTACTCGTGATGTTTTGCCAGACATTAATCAAAATCGAATTACGCTCTTTGTTCGACAACTTTGAAATCAAAAAGAAATTAACTTATATATTGGCGTGGAATCAAATCAAATTTTTTCTACATGCCAAAGCAATTAATTGACGAAGACTTTCTTTTTTTAAATAGTCTGTCATCGTGTCGTATAGAAACTATGCGTATGAGAAATACTTGAACTTTTTCGAGCTTCTCTTCTTTTCATAGATCATCTGTCTGCGACGGTGTGATTGATTGCCGCAATGGCATTGATGAACAATGTACTCAACGAAATCCATTAATAACATGTTCTCGTGATGAATATCATTGCAAAATAACGAATCGTTGTATACCTAAAACGTGGTTATGTAATGGAATTAATGACTGTCGGGATCCATATGCATCCGATGAGTTGGGTAAGTAAATGGATGTGTGTGAAGTAGAAAGGAAAGAAAGAGATAATGAATATTTTAATAGGTTGTTCAACGGTCGTGAAATGTTCATCAAATGAATATACTTGTGAAAGTAAAAATCAATGTATACCATCTTATGCTGTTTGCGATGGAATTCAAGTAGGAAATTCTTTGTTTGTACTTTGGTTTGAATGCGCCGTGACTTTCATGTAGGATTGTGTTGATGGTAGTGATGAAACTTCAAGCTTATGCCGTATGTTTTCAGTCATGATTGAGTGAAAGCAAACTGTTTGATTTTCAAGGTTTTCCTCGATTTTGTACGCCTGATCAATTTGCATGTAAATCAACGAAATTATGTATTCCAAAGTCAAATTTATGTGATACGATAACTCAATGTCATGATCGTAGCGATGAAATGTCATGCAGTTGTCCAATTGAAGATTATGTCAGTCAAAAGTTATTCTATCGTTGTGGATTAACTGATAAATGTCTTCCAAAAGATGTCGAATGTTACATTAAACATGAATGTACCAACTTGGTCATCGGACACGATCACGAAGACGACGATACTGAGGATAATGAGTGTAAGCGAATAGAATGAACTTCTCTGATAAATACGTATCGAGTGTTTCTAGGTTCCATGGCAGTTTTAAACGAACCACCTTGTTTAGTGAATAACACTTGTCTCGATGAGAATCAATACTGTCGAGGTTATTTTAATAAGCGTTGCGTATGCCAAGCAGGTTATCGAATGAATGAAACAACTGGCATGTGTGAAGACATAAATGAATGTCGAGAACGGCTTGTATGTGATCATTATTGTATCAATACACTTGGCTCGTATCGCTGTGCATGTCAGGAACATTATCAGTTGAAAGCTGATAAACATACATGTATTCTTCAGGCGAATCAATACTCATCTGGTGAGTTTACTGCTTTCTAGCAGACAAAGAAAACAACTATAGATGACATTTTTTCAGCAACTCTAGTGGGTTTGTTCGATGATGGGATCTATCGAATTAATTTCACTACTGAACACGAACTGCCCAAGAATAAAGAATGGGGAACTAACAAAACATTACTTATGCTATTAAATCATGCCTATCTAATCGATCATGACCCCGTCGATAATTATTTGTACTTCACTGAATGCACTACACCGATCCGACCTGTAATTATGTCCTGTCCGAAAACACGGGGTATCTTTCGAATAAACCTAAACAATTCAATTTTCAAGAAAGAAGTACATGAAACATGACACTTTATTGTTGTTCCTAAACAATGAAATTTCTCTTTCTCGATAGATAGTTGTTGATGGCCGTGATTACACATCCATTCAATCCATGGCAGTCGATTGGTTACATCGAAATATCTATTTCGTTAACACACGATTACAAACGATCGACGTTTGCCGTCTGAATGGAAGTTTTTGTCATGTACTTCTTCATCAAACAATCAGTGACTACTTACCACAACGAATTGTTCTCTATCCGGAAAAAGGGTACGTATCGCTTGAAATTCTGAAATCAGACAACAATCTGTCCGAAGATGTATTTACATTTCTTATTGATTGAGCATATGGATGTATTCTTTGCTTGAAGAAGTGCTTTTCTTCATTAACAGCTGTTCCATCCCGATGTCTGTATCGATTAGAGTACTTCACTTATGAGATAATACAACTATGTCTTGCGGCGTTGTTTGACCTAATGAAAGTTTGCCGATTGCTAATTAACATGCTGTTATTTCTTTTGTTTAGCTTACTTTTCTACACTGCCATTGTAAAATCTCACGCACATCATATCTTACGTCTTGGCATGGATGGAACAAATTTGAAGTTACTGTTTACATCGAAAACGATGAGCGACGTGGATAATCAAAACTATCTTCGACCATTGTTAACATTTGATCGGATAACACATCATTTATATTTTTACAATGGCTTCGATCGAATTTTTACATTGAATATGCACGGTGAAGTTCTGCATATTCAGCACCAAGCTGTTCATCGATTTCACTCATTTAAAGTATATGCTGGTAAGTTGTGATGATTTTTTGAATGAAAAATGAAGTGGTGCCGCTTTATAGATAAAATGTACAAAGCTTTGATTGACCCAGCTGATACAAATCGAAGTGAATTTCGAATTAATCCAAAGCATGCCATTGGCACAACATTACTCGGACCAGGATTCATATTCGATCTCAATCGAGTTGTCCAAACATTTCATAGTAAATATCCAGTTAGTTTTTATGCAAAACATCTAATGGCATTTCAATAGATAAGTCATCACGATTTGGTGAAGGTACATGGTCATTAAATGCTCTGCACAACCTGTACTACATTCGATACTCTCTACAAATGTATGACTTTCTCATCTTCGATTCGAATGAAAAGAAATGTAAGAGTGAACATTTGTAAAATTGAAAAATAGAAAATCGTTTTGTTCATTCAGTGGCAGAACAACGATGTGAACAATGTGAACAGTTGTGTTTTCCGAATGCGATCAATCAAACTGAAGTTGCATGTGGCTGCGCGCAGTACTATAATCTAGCTGACGATGGTCGATCATGTAAATCAAATTGTGCACAGTAAGCGCAATCGAAAGTTTGCCTTTGTCAGCTGAATCGCTTTTCGATTTAGACACTTCTTTGATTGTCAACTGTCGAAAAAATGCATTCCGTTCTATCAACGTTGTGACGGTTATCAAGATTGCAGCTCGAATGAAGATGAAAATGATTGTCAAGGTTTGTTTGAGCGAAAGTCGTATTTTATCTTATCGATTTCATTTTAGAATTCAAATGTAATTCATCATCATCGTTTCGTTGTTCAACAGATAAGAAATGCATCACTAAAGATGATTTATGCAATAACGTAACTGACTGCTTACATGGAGAAGATGAAAATGATGTTATCTGCGGACATTATTGTGAATGGCCTAGTTTGAATATATGTACAAGTAAGACACGAGTTGATTAAGATTGAATAGATAAAATAAATTTTTTATGGTGTTTGTCAGAGAAATACCCAAACCTTTGTTCTGACGTGGAGTTTTATTGCGACGGCAAATGCGTTTCGATTAGTCATCGCTGCGATGAAAATCCCTATTGTTGTAAGTGAAAATAGCTATCAATCATATTCGTCTTACAATTAAATCAATAACTATACTGATGATTTAGATGATGGGGCAGACGAACCTTTTGATTGTGTCAATGTGGCGTGTCCTAATGGTTATTTTAAATGTTCAACATCGGGAAAATGTATTCCATTGGAGAAAGTTTGTGACAATGTTGATGATTGCCCAGCAGTTGAACGAACGAATGGCATTAGTGAAGATGAAACATCGCACGCATGCAGTACGATTGACTAGAAGATAAAATGGATGTATTTTTATCGAATTGTTTCGTTTAGATTTTATACTAAATCACTTTTCTAACTTAACAACATCTACACCATCATCGTCCTCACAGATACCATCGACTCATCTAACTTGCGAATCAACGGATCTGTTTCGATGTAAAACCAGCAATTTTTGTATTAATCGGACATTCGTTTGCGAGTATGTTGCTTGCGTTCTCGAAATTCAGTATTCTCATCATATATTTCTAGTGGCGATTTGGATTGTTCGGATTCTTCAGATGAAGAAAATTGTACTGATGATAATGGTATTCTTCCATTATCGATTATTAAAGATTATACATGTATGAATGGTTATCGTTGTGCGCAACAGCGACATGAACAATATGATTATGTACCGTTATGTGTACCATTACAAGATTTATGCAATGGTGTTGCTCAGTGTCCACTGGGCGATGATGAACATAAATTACGTTGTCGTAAGTGATGTGATAAAGAGGAAAAGTTGTGAAGGAGAGATTTTATGCTTAGAAAACTGTACAAATTGTGATCCAAAAACGAGTTTTTGCGAAATAATCAATCGTTTGCCTGTTTGCCAATGTAAAAATGGTTATGTTAAAGTAGCCAATGGGTATGGAAATGAAAGATATGATCTGTTGCTAGTTTAAGTCTAATATCTGTTTGTGTAGAAGTTGTGTTTTGGAAGATAGTCTATGTAATTGGTCGTATGGAACATGCGCACATGCAAATATTTCACGTCGAAAGAATGAAGCCGATTCGTGTTCGAGAAAGAAATCGACAGTTCAAGTGTCCGATTGTCAATGTGACCGGGGTTACGAAATACAAAAAGTAGGACTACATCGAATTTCAAGTATATAAACTCTGCATGAATTCTTTATTAAGACTGGAAATAGTGCTTCATGTGTCGTTAGAAGTAATCGAACATTTGATGTTATGCTCAATCCTCATACGTCATTTCAATTAAATCAACATGGCGTTGTCTTCACAGTGAGTGTTCTTATTCTGCATATTTCGTTTCTCTAAATACTCGTTTATAGACTGTAAATCCGTCACATCATGTTATTGATGCCGCCTTTATACCAGCAAAGGATGGCTGGTTTTTGTTGTATACAGAACAACGCAATGGACGTGGGTACATATGGCAACAAAAATTAGATGAAGTTTTCAATATAAACAATTATTTACGAAATAATGCTACACAGGTATGAAGGGTGATAAACAGATGAAGTTGTTATCTAGAATTATTCACTTGACATATCGAATAGATCTGGTCGTCATCGTTTTTCCATTTCACTTCACTGGAAGTCGATTGGATTCATCGTCTCGTCTATGTTCTCTATGATGACCCATCGTCGTCATCGAATGGTATCGAAATCATGCATGCAAATAAAGACTACACTCAATTAACATTCGTGAATCGATTGACTTTCTCCAATATGAAAACGATTTCATCCATCAATGTACATCCATTGCAAGGGTAAACAAAACTCAATCTAAGTTCATCTCTGTTGGATGCATGTGCTATATTTGTTTTCAGATATCTTTATATTAGTGCGTACTATGATGCCCAACATTCATTGATCTATCGAAGTTTACTTGATGGATCAAATCTGGAAACGTTTATAAGTTTGTTTCAACCTGTGCTAAGTATGACAATCGATTATCGTCATCCACGTTTGTATATAATGTTATCAAATGGTGAGATTGAAAGTTATGCTTTGGATTCGAGTCAACCGTGGAAAGCAAGTGTACATCGGTTCAAAGGTAAAACGATAGCAATACTTTTATTTTTACTTTGCTCTCATTGGAAATACTATGAATAGATGTGAGACCGTACTCGATTGATCTTCATGATGATACCTTAGTTGTCATGGTCTTCAATGCCAGTGATACAACATATAGCGAAATGTGGGTGGAAAAATTTGGTCGAATGATTACTGATCAATACCGTAAATTTAAAACACCCATGATTATTCGTTACATACATGAATTCAAATATCCAACAGCAGATATATCGAACAGTAAGTTGCCAGTCTTTACTAACAGAATTTTGTAATTATTCTCCATATTGATATGAATTTTTATCTGTTTAGTGATCGAACAGGTTTGTTCTGATTCGTCATGTCCGAACGATCGTCTTTGCATCTCCACTCCACTCTTTCGGCCATTGTGCGTCGTTCCTGGAGGTAAATTTGTAGCCATTGCATTGTATATACAGTTTAGTCTTTCAATTTCCCCACTATAGAACTAAATCTATGCGGTTCATCTTGTCATACTCGTGGTATTTGTTCCAATGGGCATTGCATATGTTCTAACCGATCATATACTGGCGATGATTGTGAAATGTGCCGACTGACAGATTCAGTCAATGTCGGATGCTTGCATATTGGAAATGATTCTCAACCACCATGTATGTGCTATTTAACCGAGTCGAAACGTCGACAGACACCTTATGCATGTACAACATCACAAAATGAACGTGGAGAAAATGGTATGACAATGATTGATTTTGTCAGTTCGTATTCAACTTATTTTTTGCTGTTCAGAAGTTCCATGTGATCTTATTGTATCACCTGTCCAACGAGATCAGTGTTCTCGTGGATTGTTTCTTGATCCGATATGTGATGAAGCAGCACATACGCTGATATATCATATTCAAACACAAACTTGTCTTTGTCGAGAGTTGCAAAATAAGAAATTTAATTGCTTTAATAACGGTCTTCTAATGATTGATGATACTGATAATTCGACAATATGCTCGTAAGTATCCGATATTTCAAGTTAGATTCACAATTTGTACTTTCGAAATCATCTAGATGTTCATTGCCATTCACCGGTAATCAATGTGAAGTAAATCTTTGCCGGAATCGATGTCAGAACAATGGCACTTGTACTATCAATGGCAATAGTATCAGTTGCAAGTAAGTTGCATCTTTCTTCTCCCAAACTTGTTCTATATTTTATATGATTTCAGTTGTCCAAATGGATTTGATGGTAACCAATGTGAAACAAACCTATGTTACGAGCAAGATTGTCAACACGGTAGTAAATGTGTCGTAGAAAATAACAAAGCAGCGTGCCAGTAAGTGAACTTTGTGTTGTTTCCTGTTCGATAATTCCATACGATCCCATGTTTCAGTTGTCGAAAGGGATTTACTGGCAAACACTGCCATATTCGAATTGGTTTACAATGGCAAAGTTGGATTTTAACACTAATCGCATGCGGTATCTTACTGATCATTGCATATGGATTCATTCGACATAATTCGAAGATTCTTCGTTTGAAATATTTATTCGCTCATCATCGTCTTCATGAGCAAATTGGTTTAGAGACCAATTCTCATCAAACTATGTACAGCTATTTACCAACGCAAGAAAATCATAATCATGATCAAGTATTAGAAGATGTTTTAGCTGACGAAACTGAAATATCAGCATCGGCAATGGCAAAAACTGAGTTCGCTGATGATCCGTTCTACGTTGATGAAAAACAACCCATTTTCAATGGCGATCATCCGAACAATCGATCATCTAATACAGGCATTTTATAAGTTGATGTTAAAGTGAGGGTGTTCCTCTTTTTTTTCTACTCGACCGGTGATTCTTTTTCTTCTATTGCTTTTCTCGCTTTGTATTAACACATTTATTATACATGTATCTAGTCTATTGTGTGGTACCGAAAAACGAACTCTTTCTCTGTTGATTTCATACTAAAATGTTTTCAGTTGTCTTCATGTTGATTTCAGTGTCTATGAATAATCAAAGATGTAAATCAAATTTCATTCTCTGTTCAACATTGGCGGTAGTAACTGTTTTAGAAAGTACATTAACAGAAATCCACACAGTGAAAGTGTGAGGCCACACACAAGCATGATTATGTCTCGTATCGTATCACTTGTCATATAAACAAGTAATTCGGGAGGATCGTAATTCGATGTGAAAATGACGCGCTCATCAATCTGATCGTTTGTATGTCGTATTAGATTAATTGAATTGATTGAGGCGCGTAAACATGTTTCGGTTGATTCTTGATAGATTTTCCATCGATAATTATCCTCGGGCTCTTCACATGCAAGTTTTGTTGTATTGGTTGTTCGTATGGCTATCCAATTCAATAATATGTCATGAATATAGGATGAAGCGTCGAGAAAATGAGTATTCAAATAAGATTTCACTTCAGATTCATGAAGATTCGGTTGTAAGAAGGAGAAACTTTCTTTCATTTGATCTGATACTTCCTTGAAATAGAAATCACCCGTTTCTGCTGTTTGTCTAATCAGATTTGAACAATTTGATTGAAGAAAACAATTGACTAATGCTTGAATTCGATCTGATAACCCTTGCTTCATTTCAGTTGATAGTTCAGTGGGACAATTGGAAAGTTTGAAATAATCACATATGGCTTTCAATAGAGCATAAATATGTGGTTCAATAAACGAAAAACTTGCTAAATGTGCTAATGTATCTCGATAGCTATTATAGTATGGATTCATATTTTCATAAGCATCGGTTAGAATTGCCATACTACTAAGATTTAATGGCTGAAAATCAGCAAGAGAATCTGGATGAGATGGTAATTGTTTGAGAGTGACTGAACTTGATGCATCTCTACGACAGAAATCTGACTGAGGAATGTTTATCGGTTTACGTAACTTACTTGAATTTATTCAGAAACGGATGAAGATTGTTGTAGAGAATGTACGTATTCGTAGGATCGAAACCTAATTGATCGATATTGATAAGAATGTCGATATGTTCAGGTCTAATTGGCTGAAGATTGTTTTCGTTCGAAATGTTCTTGACAATATAAGGAAATTTTCCTTTACGAATAAGTATGTTTACTTCCGATGCACCGTAGTAATTCCAATTGTCTCCATTTAGAAATAGGAAAAGAACATCTTTGTGCTGTTCATCAGCTATCAGTAATTGGGTGAGATTAATTCGACCTAGTGTCCAAGCTAAACCTAACAGAGTGATTACACCCAATGCTGTAGATTGAGCACCGGCATCTAATAATAAATTCTCACTCGTGTTCGTCAAAAATGAAAAGAAGAAAAATTTACTTTTTGGTTGAAAAATAGAGAAGAAATCGAATTTGGTATAGAAAACAATGACTGACTTTATCGGGCGAGTGTTTTTGAGAGATACTGCGTTGAATGTGCTCCAGATAATATTTATCATTGGACTTCGACATTTGATGGAATAGTGTTTAAAATAAGCCTCGCCTATACAAGAGTTTATATTTTAATTTCGATCTTACACATCTCACGAAGGATGCCGTATTCGAGAGAAGATCTTTCTCACTGATATTTACCGAAATAATTCGTTTTCGATCGTCGATCACAAATATGAGCATTTTCCACACCGTATGCATATGATTTCATACTACAAATCCCGTTGATATTTTCTCAACACGAAATGATTAATAAACTAACTGTACATGAACATCTTGTCCTTGTGATACTTGTTGTTGATTATATAATTGATACAATCTTCTTAATTCATTGATGAAAGTTTGATTAGCCAATAAAAAAATCGGTTTCTCGATCTTAATTTCACGAAAATCGATACCATATTTATTCTTTCGAATTGAACAATTGCTTGTTTTCAATGGTTCAATGTAATCATCAGGACATGTACCTACTTCTGTAAACCCATCCTCTGCTAATGGATTATTTCCGCCATCGATCAGTATACCCACGACCATCGATGCCGAATGTATCGCATATTCAAGAACATCTTTTCGAGGTAGTACAAGAATAACGATAGGCTGTGAGTGTTGGTGTAATGTCAAATCATGTATTGATGATATATCAATCAATCGGCCACGATTACCTGATGGATGAGACGAACAACCTGTAAAAGTATTTTTGGTTAGATAACGCATGCAAAAATCGAATGATGATGTCAGATACATATTCGTTCGAACAGAACGAAGTTTGAATGCGAAACATGATGAAATCAATAGGAAGATGAAGAGAGGAGAAGAATGATTCATCATCGCAAGAAAAAGTAAGTGATGAGCTAGGCGCCAATCTTACTATGTGAAAGAGTTTCGTTTTTTTCTAATCTTATACTCGCCGGGATAGCTCAGTTGGGAGAGCGTCAGACTGAAGATCTGAAGGTCCCTGGTTCGATCCCGGGTCACGGCATATCTTTTTTTGCTTTATCACCTGATCGATTTCAAATGACGAAACAGTTCAATGATTGTAAGTCAAATTTCGAAACGCATTCTCTACTTTTTGATATTTCGTATTCAGTATCGTTATTGAACTGTCGTTTGTTGGAGACACCACTCGGTTGCACAGTAACGATCGAATATGAAAGAATCGATTGGCAAGAAGATATCCATTGTAATATTCGTTTTCATGGAAGACATAGCCTATCACCCATGCTGCCTATTGTGATAACAAGAGATGATCGAATGCAAATGAATTTTGTTTTTCAAGATGTCGGCGAAGTAGATCGTTGTTTCAATAGAGAGAATACCAGTAGTTGAACGCAATCGTTTTAAATAGATTATGGCTGTTGAAATTCAATTATTACCGAACAAAAGAGTGGGTTTGAATATAAAATGGATTGAGATTAATATTGCAAAGAAAGGCTTTTGTCAAAAGTAAAATTCCTACAGGAACTTTTCGATATTTTTTTTATATAATTGTTTTTAGATTCAATGTCCACAGATGGTTACATCCGAGTATGGGTGATGGACGAACTCGGTTGATCTTAGCGCCGAATAATACACCTGGTTATGTGCCGCAAAGTAAATCAAAATATACTTAAACAATCTGTATAAAGTATTGCATGTAGAAAAGCTTGAAAATATCGAACAACCAAAACGAGGTATGGGTGACTTTTTCGGTTCATTGAGTTGCTCTGAATGAAACATTAGATTATGTTAAATACATGATACTCGTTGAAGTTTCGAAAGTGAAAGGAAATGTCGACAATTCAATCTTATCAATCGATCTCATTGGAAGTAGGTTGTACTTTAAAAAAAGGACATTAAGTAAAGCTTGAATCTGAATTCGCAGAATATGGTCGAACGGGTTTACAACGATTAAATACGAAATATGATGAAATCGTTCCATTAAGAACCGATACTCATACAAATCTATTCGAATTAACTATGCTAGATGTTGGCTTACTACAAAATTATGAGATAAATTTAGAAAATACTCAGAATAACACCGGCGCTTATCTTCTTGCTACGATCTACATCTTTCGTAAACGATATTACGAGTAAATGTTTTGTGACCGATTCGAATCCTTCGATAATGAGTCTTTAGAATTTCACTTCAGCATTGGATTGAAAGTGATCAAACTTTACGTGGTCATATTCGAACGGTAGACTCACCGCTAGTCTCGTCCTTATTCAATGAAATTCAGATGAGTAAATATATTCGATTTTGAGTTCAACTCAGAGAAACACATTTTTCGGAAGAATCCTCATTTATTCTATGGTTAACTGGATCAAATTTGATAAGAAAAGAGATCAAATTACCAATTTATTTGCAATTTAACTGTCAAAATAATCGAAGCAAACCAAATGACGAAACGGTCACCATTCGATCCGATTGTGTAGCAGTATTAGCGATCTCAACAGCTTGTGCAATGCCTGTGATATATCATTCTTGTCACACTACGTCTAAATAACATCTGTATCGCTTTATAGTTGAACTCAATAATGCTTGGCTTTCGTCATCAATCAACAAGCCATTGTATAGTTCAAGATATCACTGTTCTTGATGTTTTCCAAGGTCAATACTTTCCGTATGTTCACAATGTTCCTATAAGTTAAAGGACGTTCTTTCCTAAAGATTTTATTATGACAATGGACTAGCAAAAATATCGAACGACATCGATTATTATTTGTTCGTTCCACAGCATAAGTCTGTTTTACTTTTACAACGACAGACTTGTAATCGAATTCATGCTCTTATTTTTAATTGATCTTTCTTTCTCCTAGCGAAATCATATGTTATTTCGCTTTTGACATCCGCCAGAAGTTCATCTCGAAAACATGCTATGAAAATTGTTTTACGCGGCGAACATGGTTTAACTAACATGCTTTCTTTACATGATTCCGCGTGGAATCAAGTGCCATTTGAAGCAAAACATAAAGATAAATTCGTATTGCTCGGAGCTGACATTGGCAAAGTTAACACAAACGGATTGAAGAGGAAAATTTAAGATTTGCATTTATTTTAGATAATCGGTCTCACATTGTTTCACTTGAATGAAGAGACAAAATATAGCTTTGATATTTTGGAAATTTTCCAACCAGATAGCAAGATATGCATCCGGTTTGTGCTAAGGAGATGAATTGGACAGGAGAATGAATACACTTTCTGTTGCTTGAAGGCTACCGGGAAACCATGATATTTATAATGAAATTATTGATTTCAATTGTCGGAAGTCTATGGATTAAATATGACGAGAAAAGAGAAATGAATCTGTGTAGATGAATCTCCGATTGTTTATACAGTTGAAATAAAAACAGGTGCTAGTACTTTGAATGATACAGCGGATATTACGTTAACATTAATCGGAGAGGAATCCTCCCTTGAATGGATATTATTAACGTGTGATAGCTATACGAAACCATTTCGAACTGGACAAATCGATACATTTTACATTCCATCGAAGAAATTAGGCAAAGTTAGAATTTGTGAAAGATAACTAAATCTTCAGTAATTATAATAGATTCGTGCTGTGGATATCAGTTGTTCCAATATTGATACTAATTGTAAATGGTTTTGTGAAACGATCGCTGTCCAAGATACAGAGTTTAATCTAAAATCGAAGTAAGATTTCTTCTAGATGATCGAATCTGTATCGAAGGTCAATTGAGGACAAATTTGAGAGGAAAGAATGAATATAGCTGATACCCATGAGTGCACGTGACGATAACATGTGAATAAGGTTTCTTTTGGAATTCTATTGGAAATAACTATTGAATAGCTGTTTCGACGCGAATCGTAATTCTCTATTTGCAGTTTTATAATCAATCGATGGTGTGGTGATCATCAGGAAGTTGATTTGATAGATACATCATATACCATAAGTAAAACAACGTTAATTCAGCCGGCATCAACGAAACTATTAACGACTTTTCTTCTCACGGTAAAATCTGGCCTTCGGACTACAACGAATTCGATATTGACGCCTTCGATTTACATTTTCTTCACGGGTCAATTCGGAAGTTCGCCTGTTCTACATTTAAACGAACTAACTGATCGTCTTGATTTATTTCAATTACTCGAAATCGATGAGTTCACCTTTACAATACCTGATACAGGCACAGTAATCACCGCTAGCTCTTGATTTTCTTAGGAAAAACTTGCTGTTCAATGTAAAGAAAATATCTGTAAGTTTAGCCAACGATAATGCGCATCTGGAACAACGAGGATCTTACTGTATGGACATGTGATTACATCAATATTCAAAATCTAAGCAATTCGAAAACGATTCAGTCAGTACCGCGAGTTATTTCAGGTGTAAAACTTGAATAATCATCGAAATTCTAGTTTTCCAATAGGAGTAGATTTACAAAAGACGAATGCACTGTTTTCACCATATATTGATGTTGAAGCTGATGTTGGACGTGTAACACTTCCATTAGCCGGACCGCGTGATGATGCTGCGTATCCCTCCTATGAACTTCTCATTCGGACTGGTCAGACAAAATCTATGGACGATGGAAATGTTAGTATTCAACTAAAAGGTGATAAAACTCTCTCCAAACAGATACCATTGATTGAGAGATATAATAATTCATCAATAAAAGCAGAAGGAACTTCAAGTTTTCTTCTGTACGGTCTCTGTTCCCTTGGAGAAGTATGTTGAGTAGATGAGAGGATTACTGCTTCATATTCTTCAGTCTGTTTTAAGTTAACAGAAATATTTATCTATCTTGATAAAATTCATCGACATACGCAATGGAGTTGGCAGTATATAGTTATACATGATTATCTGAATGATAAATATTATGGTACGAAAGCAAACCAGAACCAATATATAGGCAAAATGAAACTCAGCTTATTGAATACCATCGATCCAAATCATATCGGTTCGTTATAAATCCGAATTCAGAAATAATTTACACATGCTTCTTCTAACTCCAGACGTAGAGTTTAAGCGTATAGAAAAGGAAATGATGGTTGAACGTACATCAGAATCAGGCGAGCAGTTTTCTACTCACAACATTTCACTTTGAGCAATGTCTTCATCTTCAGATCCTAATTATCGAATAGTATACAAAACTCAGGCAAATGCATTAACAAATATCTCGCCAAATAGTCAAATTTTGATGAGATTGATTGGTAATGAATCAACACGGTTTTTTCCTCTTGAACACGCTTGTCAACTAACTCCTGGATCGATGAATGAATATATCTACGGAGGAAATGAATACATTCACGAAGTAAAAATGGCTATTTTCAATATAAATCCTAATGACTGTAAACATATCTAACAGTTGAATAAACTCGATCTGCAATTAATCGACAACGATGCGAATACTCGTTGGGCTTGCGAATCAATTGAAGTTCATGATCTGAAAACTAACGACATAATTACGTAAGAGCTTCTCATATCAGAAATTGATAAAACAAATCTTTTTCTTATAACTAGATTTCCAATCAATAGTGTCATTGATACGACAAAAACAACGACTTGGAAATGTGGTGTTAAATTACCAATGGTTTACTTGATTAGTATTCGAACAGGCGAACAAGGAGCTTCGTTAAATTTTCGATATGGTTCAGCTTCTGTATCCTTAAAGTTGTATGGCGATTCGGGTGTCTCAAATGAAATATCATTGCATATTCCTGGTGATCAATCTTTCTATCTCAGAGCCAATCAAATAGATACATTTGAAATCAGCCAATTAGCGTCGGCAGTTGGTCAAATTAGCTCCATCGATTTGTATCATAATGGAAAGAAAGAAGATTTTTGGAATATTCAGTGGATTAATATAAAAGACGTCATGATGAGTAAATCATTTGAGTAAGATCCATGAATTGTATACGAGACAACAAAGCATGTGCTTTTTAGTTTCACAATTGAAAAGTGTCTGAATAAAGACTTAGGAACGAATTTGAAGATTTTGCATATACCAGCAGATGTGTCTACTAGAAAATCAAGTATATATCGACTAGAAAATCCTGGGATCATAATTGTTTTTATGATGTTCTTCTAAGTGAATCAATTGAGCTCACGATCAAATTATGTTATAAGGGTTAAAACAGGTGCTCAAACACCAATACATACGAATGATAATAATGCAGTATCAATTGTGCTCATCGATCCATTGAACGATTCAAACCGTATACCGCTAACATCATCAGATAATTCAACGCGATCAACTTTTCAAGCTGATCAGGAGGATCGATTCGATATAACGATTGCACCAATGCTTGAAGTGAGATAACATAATTGCCTGTCTATCAATTGCGAATATATCTGCTAGTTGAAAGTCATGCAAATATATTTCCATGGTACATTTCCGTGGTTTTGTGAACGAATCATAGTCACAGATCAAACGAATGGTCTGTCATATCGGTATGAATCTTTCTTCATCGATCGTTGTTTATTTCAAAGCGAAATTAGATTTGATGTTGAACAATGGTTTACAGAAAAAGACAATGATCAGCCGATGAACATATATGGACAACGCGAAGATGATATCGGTGAGTTTATTTACAATTCGAGATAGAAGATAGAGTTACTGTTAAGGTTGGACGTGTTCGGTCACGGTTAAAACTCAAGCAGTTCTACCAGCACAGACAAATCTACGAGGAAAACTACTGATTTCAATTTATGGACAAAACTTTTCCTTAATTGACGCTATTCTTGGCTCAGGTCGATTGATGTATGGTTTATTTCACGCAGGAAGCGAAGATATCATCGAGTTGAAGAGTGCTAAACGGCTTGGAGAAGTAAAATCTCATTGATAAATACGTTTGATTCTAGAAATTATAATGACTAGATTCATTCCATTGAACTACGTCTCGAAGTTGCCGAATGGCAATCTTGGTTATGCGACATGATTGAAATTGTTGATCCTACTGATAATTGGGATTATTCCTCACGTTCAATGATACCGAAAACTTACAAGTAAACAAGCTCCATTTCATCGATCAAAAACTTTGTGTCATTCTTCGAAAAGATTTCCAATCAATCGATGGCTCGGTGCATATGCCATGGACAAACGAACAGTCCTTCAGTCAATAATCAATCAAGAACCGGGTTATAGCCAAATGCCTACATATATCGTTCACATATTGACTGGAACGAAAAATATGCTTACTGAATCGAACATACAAACGAATGTTTATCTTCAATTATTCTGTACAATCTCTAATCATGTCTACGGGCCTATTCTGTTAGATAAATCTTCGAATAATACTCAACCGTTTCGTAAAGGTCAAATTGACGAATTTTATATTAATGATTTAGCACATTGTGGTGAAATCAAAAAGATTCGTTTGTGGCACGACGGTGATAAATCTACCTCATGGCATTGTGAGTGGTAAAGTGAACGAGCAGGAGAGAAACAATGTATTGTATACAATTCGTGATTACGTAGGATTAAAATAACGAATGTCCAAAGAAATGAAGTCTATGAATTCTCTGTGGAGAAAGTTTTAGATGAAGACATTGAAGAAGGTTCAAGTAATTTAATTTTGTATTGCAAAAAACGAGATGATAGCAACGAAAATGATCTCCACACACCATCACGAATTATGATTTCTTAGCAAATATTTTCTACAAGCAAGTATGTCTGTCTAATCACTTCAAATGTGCATTGGACACTCAATGTTTGATCATTATTACATCATTTAGACAACAAATTCATTGACAGTGATAAGCTTTTCCTTTCTTAACTAACATACAACTCATATATCAATCGACAAGTCACAACGAACACACACACTTCACAGAGCGTCCGACAAGGACGATATTTTCTCAATCTCGCAGGACATTTCCGATTTCTCGCTAGATTTTATTTCTGTACATTTGAGAATAGATATCACTAACATCGATGAACTTGTCTCGATTACTATTTAACAAACATCACTCAATGCCATTCGAGTACATCTTAGTCTGATCAATTGTGAAAACTTACTATTTGTAAGACAGGAAAAATCTGATTTCAACAACAGAATTTCCGGCAAGGTCGACTTTTAGTACTTTCTTATTGTTACTCTTAATGGAAATTTCCGTTTACATTCCCATAGGACACTGATCTTGACATACACACATTCATATACGTATCTAAAACGTAAATTGATTGTCAATGTGACGTGACCATATACTACAGACCAGTGAACTGACTGATTGTATAGAAGTTATTAATTGTACAAATGAGCCGTTGATAGAAGATCATTCTTAATTAAACGTGATGCATTCGTTTTTCTTCTATAGCTCTTTCATTCTTGTTTGATGATGTGATATATTGTGCAATACTTCTTTTTAAATTAGACCTTAGAGATAGATGATGTGTGGATGTGTGTGTATATATATATACATCGATATATACACTATTTACATGCTACCGTTGGTTCATTGGAAAGATGAAGCATTAGTGTATACAGTTTATTAAACTAATGAACTTATTTGATTCTGTTGAGTATTGTTTGTTAAAGTTCGGCGTAGTGTGAGAAAAGTAGGACACCATTCTTTTGACGAAATAACAAACGACAAAGAAAAACGGAGAAGATATTAGTGAAGTAGGTATCGTTTTCGATATTGAGAGAGATGACTTCTTTTATATCCTGAAATTAGTAAGTTATGTCATGGTGATGTTTTGTTTGATTCCTGCTGTCGATAAGAAAAGACATGACGAAGCACTTGAGAATCATCCGAAATATGCCAGGAATGAGAGAGAGAGCGAACGAGAACAAATTTTGGTCGTGTTCGGTAGGACATTTTTGTCAAACATTGACTTGTTTGTCTTTATTGTCAGACATTCTATCGAGTGATGAAATGTTCTTGAATTTCCATCATACTTGCTTGTACTATCTATCATTATCGATAATATGCATACATAACACCAGTTGTAATCAATTAATCTCTCTCACTCTTTTTTCTTTCTTACTTCGCTTCCTTACATACATATAGTTGCTCGATTTTCCTGCTATCAATGTTACAAAAGTAGCATATGCTTCTGATCCATTCGATTGTTGAAGATCGAAACGATAGTGAGTCACATCTACCTGTTCTCATGCTTGCTATAATCCAAGCTGAGCGTTTTTCGAGCGGAAGCGATTGTTTTAACGATTAAGTTGGTGTGAACGTGTCCGTTTTCTTTCTTTTTTTTGCATACCCTCGAGATACACCATTCTAGTTAGATGCTGTCTGGACAAATTATTAATTCAGCGAACGATGTTCTTCGTCATCATCGTTCATTTATATATGCACAAGTATCTACTTGAATATATGTCTCCGAAATTATATATCAAAATAGTTCAGTAATATAGTTCGATGTGCTAACAAAGTGTTGTCCTCAAAGCATCCATTAAACATTAGCATGCAGGAAACTGATCAGGACGAATAGATGAGATTAGCAATTTAATGTTAAACAATGAACGGAAATATACTAGTAGAAAAAGAATTAGCTGCTTTAGGGCAATAGCATCCATAAATCTGCAGACCATTTTATTTGTCTCCATCTGGTCTCTCTCTCTCTCTCTCTCTCTCTTTCGACATATATTACTTCGTCGATTAAGTTAATAAGAGAATAATCATAAGTCACGTTTAAGATTGATTGATAGGTTATAGAAGCCATATTATCGCCCGTTCCAGACAACTAGTGATGGGTTAGTTTGATCATGGTTATTGATCAGGATACTATTGAAATCAAAATTGCCATTTTCTACTCATCTGTTTTGAATTACGTGCTACTGGTAAGACATTCTCTTATGTATGATTTCATCACATCAGTATCAGTGAAACATGTATATGCATACTAGAATAGAAAAAGGAGAGAGAGAGAAAGAAAGAAAGAAAGAAAGAACAGGCACTAACACTTGAGTAAAAGATGATGAACGGCGACATGCTGCTTGTATGATGATGAATTTAGACAAGCAAAATACTTGTGCTACTCAATATACATGCGCTCGTATGCTTATATACATGCCTTGATTAAACAAACATAGCACTCATCGTTTTGTCTTGGATTCTTTTCTTCTTCTTCGTTGTAGGTAATGGAATCTTGTTGATGAAGATTATTGTATGTCATCCAGATGAAGTATGAACCTTGATGCTCAACGAATAGATCGAATCCTTGTGATTTCTCGATTGATATTTATTTTAATAATCATATTTACTAGTTCCTGTCATGGTTGGCATAAGACATTGACATTTGTCCAACAATCATCTTATGAATCAAGTAAGATAAACACGAACGAATTCTCTTTTTTCTCTCTAACTTTTTGTTGTTGATTGCAGATATTGATGATCGAAATCAAATAATCCTATCGGATATGAAATTTTTTCAATGGTATCATTCTTATGCTATATATGGTGCACGTGAAACATTGATTTTATTAAAACCTATTTTGAATAATTCTTCTGTAAGTGAAAATTTTCATCTTGTATCAAACTGGAATTTTTTCACTTCAAGGTTGAAATTTTATCGTACAATTGGTTTGTTGATCCTGTGACTATGGATGAATGCCTTCAAGAATGGGATATCAAAGTATATTTTCCATTGAAAAATCTTCTCATCTCATTCGTTTTTTTTCTAAAATCAAGGAAAAATGTTATAATGATATTGTTCATGTTCGAATTTCTTCTGATGACACGAAAATGAACGTGTATTGTACATATGCTCATCGACCTATGGTTCGAACATTTGATTTACAATCCATGTCCTTTCTTAGTAAATATACACTTACACGTGATCCACATCCTCCGATTGACTCCGACAGTTCATATGTCATGTTAACTTTCAACACGAATATTGTTACAGCTGGTTATCAAGGTGATTATTTCCCGACAATACGTGATACGCACGGGAAAACATTGCTGTATGCCTTGAGACAAAGTAATCCACGATCGTTTCTTTGCTTGATGACATGTCAATGAAATTGATCTAGATTCGTATTTTATCGGTGGTTTTAAGTATGATGGTAAAGCAGTATTTGGCGTGATCGAAACTTCAGAAAGATCTGATACAGTGAGACCAATCAGAATGTTCTGTTTGAACGAATCATAGTTTGGATTTTAGAATCGCGTTTCTCGCTTGGTAATGGCATGTGCTAATCGAGCAGAAGTTGTACGAAAAGCAATTCTCAATTGTTCAACGGATATGTTTGATCGATCCCATTCATTTGTCTTTCATATATTAAGTAATATGAAAATATTTCATTCATTCAGATCGTGTTCTTTTTCTTTCAAGCTGCTCTAGTCGATCCGATTCATACATCAAACAATTCAACATTACTTTTCGCCACATTTACTACGAATAAGTAATGCATCGATTTCACACTTATCAATTAAGAATCCGGTCTATTTCAGTTCATCAATCACAGCATCGGCTGTGTGTTTATTTGTATTGGATAAACAATTTTACGACGTTTTCACAGCACCATCGAAATCAATGACAAGAAGAACGTCCATAATTAACAACGAACTCAACGATCTCATTCGAACTTGCAGTCCATCGATTTCATCAACGATCGATCGTGATATGATCGAATCAGATAAACAATTTTCATCCTACTTATCTAATCCATTATTAATTGAGTCAATGTCTACATCAACATTTTCAGCGATAAATGTTATCCAATATGATAATGATCACTATTGTTTAATTATCGGCACAAGTAAAAAATTCGAAGATGCATATCGAAAGATTCTCAGCACGAGATTTTCTTTAGGTAATGGACATCTATTCACCGCATTTATGGATCAAACCTACAAGACGAATGTATACGAAGAATTAATATTACCCAAAACTATGCGTTATGCAATCAAATCGATTACTTATGAAAAAGTGTACGTAAAATACGCGATTTTCTTTCATTGAATGTCCTTCGAGAAAAGTAATATCTTTGAAGTGAGGAAGAAGAGAGATCTTGAACATGTATGAGCATGGCAATATACTTTGTATTCATAATCATGATGTCAATTGATTTATTTAACTTGGAAATTTAGTGATGAGTATTCGTATGCAGTTATTATAACTAATCATCGAGGATATTTGGTTCTTAAACTGGTTCAATGCGATGAAAAATTTTGTCTGGATTGTTGGACTACAGATTGTTTCATTCGGAAGATTTCGTCTGTCAAGTAATGTTTGATTTGCATATTAGATTCAGATTTGATCGTATGTGTTTTAGTACAACAATTGCGGAACGTTGTACAATGAATCAGAACCTACGAGTAATCATAAATAATGATACTGCAGAAGATGAGAGTAACAATCATTCACTATCGTATGATTGGCCGGTAACGAATAAAAGTTCAGGTAAATTAAACGAGATTTAGTTGAATGTGATAACTGAACATTTTCTTTAGACGATCAATCGAATAATAAATTACTATTATACATTGTTGTTCCAATGTCGTTCATAGTTTTTGTTTTATCGGTTTTGATCATTATACTTCTAACGAAATCGAATCGTAAACAGCGTCGACAACGAAAGTTTCCTCATAATCATCATGAGAAAACGAAACAATTAACATCAACTCCGATCAACGATTCGTATACTTATTCAAATAATGTTCTCTATCGGACAAATAATGATGACTTACCTAATAAATCTGAATTATCTATTCATCCTATATCTTATACCGTGTATTCAACATCATCAGCACATAGTTTACCCCCATTGGTATCATCTGTATCTTCGACACCACCTTTGATTCCTCATCCGAAAGCCTCTCAATCACTTTCAGTTCATCGTTTATATAAAAGTTATGTTTAAATTTCGGATTTCACTTGTATTTTTCTATTGTATTGAACGAATAAATCGATCTACACGTTTTCTTATTTTCTTGTTAGATGCATTTCGGCTTTTGAAACGTTTTCTATTTATTTCATAGAGATAAATGTCTATAGCCTTGATAAAACCTATAAAAGACCGTGAAGTCTAGAAAAAATGCGTAAGAACATCAAGCACTATGACACTAGCCACAGACATGCTCAAAAACAAAAAGAATCAAACTTTAGAAATCCTAAGTGTTAGGAAAAAATGCAAACAAACAAATGAACAAATAAACAATACTGATCAAACATTTTTTTGTTGTCGAACGTTGATCTAGTATTTCTAACAAACAAAGACTCACACTGCATCATTTACTCTGTAAGTAAGTTCTACAGATAAATGTGCAACATGAGTTGAAAGAAAAACACAACACAGACACAGACACAGACATTTAAATGCAAACGCAAGAAAAAAAAAGTAACAAGTACAGAATGGCTTTTAGTTGGTAGATAAATAGATCTATGTACACTGAGATAATGAATTGATCAGAAATTGTTGTTCGTACTCGTCCGATAAGAATTTTGTCGTGGATAAACGCCGTAGAGATGACTGAGTTCATTGGCCATCGTCGGTGAACGAATGTTATGATCATCATCAGAATCATCGTCACGAAGAGTGACTGGATTAGTGACACGCATGCACGTGTTACAATGACATTTTTTCAGTACAGGACAGAATATGACGCCATTTTCATCGTACATTGTATGAGCTGAAGAGAAAACGAATAAGATGGTCGTTCGAGAAGAAAACAGCGAACTTACATGTATAGAGACATTCGGGCATATTGTGACTTTTGCAATGTCTACAGATGGTTTTCGAATGCGATGATTGTAGTTGTTGTTGTTGTTGTGGAAGAATTTGTGGAGTTTTCAATTGAACCATGCCATTGAATTGCTCGCCCATTGTTGGTGAATAGCAACTCTGTGGACTGGCATCTGGCGATGATATCAAACTGCTGCTATGATGAGTTGGTAACCAAGAAAGATGAGCTATTGTTGGTGAGGAGAATTCACTCGCTTTTCGACGAGATTCCGTTGGACCGTTACTTTGAAAGAGAAAAACATAGAAGAAACACTGTTATTTTCACCTTTCGTTTTCCACATACTGAAAATAAGTAAATGGTTCACCGATGCTTTCGGCATCGAATTCATAATTGAGTGGATCAAATAGTGGCTCATGCGAATGATTAGTACTATTTGCTATCAAAAGAGACGACGCGGCTTTGATGAGAGTTTTATTATTTGTAGACGAATAACGATACATGATAGAAGAGTAAATCGAAGGATGAAAGTACGAATCGATAGGAATATATCCGACGTGTAAAAGCGTTAAAAATAATAACTGAATGACAAAATGAATGAATTTCACGTGAAAATAAAGAGATGCGATGAATCTCTATTTCACTCTCTCGTTTCATCCTGCTGGATTCTTTTGTAATTTTATGAAATTAAATCGATAAAAATCCGAGAGAACATTACAGAAAATACAAAAGAAAAATGCGAAGAGAACGAGAGAAAGGGCAAGTCAGTATCGGATATAACCTCGATAGGATGGAAAATGACGTCATTGTCATGTCACGCGATAGTAAAACTTATTGAATTATAGAAAGGAAAACATGTGTTATTATGAAGAGAATTATATATATAAGGAAAATAAAGAGAGACGCTCGTCGACAATGACCACTGATACTTACAAGTGAATTATCCGTCAGGATTTAGTACACATTTAAGAGAGAAAAGAAAAAGAAAGTGTATGCCCTTGATGTTATGATGAGCAAATTGTAGAATTCATCAGACGGCGGCTAACCTAGAAAATGCGAGAGAGTATTTTTTTCTCGAAGTTAACGTCATAGACAGACATAAATGCACTTAAAATAAGGATGAAAGATGCGAAATTTCTCGTACCCATCCCTGATTTCAAGTTAGAATGACTATAATCACACTTTCACAAACGAGAACACAACTTTTGAATACAAGAATCATCTACTTTGATTTAGCGGATAAGAAAATCTAAACGTTTGATTACATCATCAACATCGATAATGATTGTTGATCAATATACAACAAGTATCTCATACCGCGTCAAACATCACTCCATATTTCACTTCAGAAACATACATTTTGTCATATTCTACTTGAAATCGAAATCATTTTAAGGTATATGATAGGTACGCTAGACACATTTTCATCTAATCAAAATCACACATACACACATAGAGATTATCTCTTGTGCGTTTTCACTTCGGTGATTCTTTTGGCTTAATGCCTACGCTGTACATCGAATTCAAAGAATCAAAAAGAAAATTATTACGTCGAAATCACTGCATGTTTATCCTACTTCTACAATATAATGGTGGATCACATGACATATCTTATGACTAAATGATCTCCTTCGTTTTCGTCATCTTTTGTTTGCGTTTGGCGGTATATGACTAGCAGTCTCTCTCTCTCTCTCTTTCTTACTTTCTTCTGGAAGAAAGTCTGATACATTCGAAGATGCATCCGAAGTATATTGAAGATTTTATCGAAAACAAACAAGACGTGTGTTTTTTTATTTTTCTCGTTTACATTCTCTCTCGGATTTCTTTTCGTTTATTCTGTTTATACGTATATCCATCGATATATTATCTGATCAGCACTGATATTATTGTCATTTAACTTTTATTTTATATTCATTACGTACATATAGTCTTTTGCTTCTGTGTTTTATTCTCTGCTTATTTTTTGTTTTTGTCAAAATGGCTCACATCTATCGTGGTCCTCCGGTAAGTGAAAAATCCGACAGGATATACATTGAACTCAGCATGGGTTTTCTACAAATAGTGTTATAAAGAAAATGAACGAATGGGTTATTACAGTGAAATATCACCCGACTATCAATTTGGTTTGTAGTTTTCGAATTCCTTTCGCCTGATCTTAATTTTCCTCATAGAAAAACCAGCTATCGATCGATTATTAGATTATATATCAAATCAAGAATCTCGTAAACCAGCGATTGACATTTTAATCCAAGAATATCTCGAAAGAATCGGCAGTCCATTAACATACTCGTCGACACATATCTCTCCATTGATGGATATCGGTATATTTTTGAATGTAGCACTCAACGTTTCTTTCCCACTGATGATTTCGTATTTAGCTGTAGAACCGGGAAGTGATAATAAAACCAATACTTGTAGTCAACAAACTCAAACACCTACCGGAGGAATGCAATGCTATCAAACGGCGCTTTCGTTTTATCCAACTCCGTTGACTTCAGGTAATGATATCATGTATGAACCAAATTATGACTATCGAAATACAGCATCAACACCGTTACTTCCGTATGTATATGAAAACATATTCAATATGTACAGTTTCTTTTCCTTATTCGAATTTCAATAGACCATTGTCCAGTCGCCCTTATCGTTCATCATCCGTTGTTACTGATGGTGTTGCAAATACACCCTCGACTCGAGTTTCGATATCATCAAATCAAGAAATTCCAATTATCGATCGATTTGTAAATCAAAATTGGATCCACTTGGTATATAAGAGTATCTTGCGAAATTTTAGACCAATGGAAATAGTAGTCAAGACAATCGTCTGAAACGAGCTGCGGCACAAGAACGTCGTCAAGCTACACGTAAGGAATCTGATTTCCGTTCAGATGACTCCTCATCTAATTCAAAAATATCTGTAGGACATTTTGGGAAAGTTCAACCAGGTTTAATTTGGACGTCACCATTGCCTGTTCGACCGCGTATTTTTTCAATTCGCCCACCGTCATTATCTTGCAAAATTTTTCTTGGTGGAATTCCACATGATCTAAATCCAAGTAAATTTCGTCTTACAATCTGTTATCTTGCGTTAAAGACAATCGATGTTTTACGTGAATAGGAGATTTACAAGAACGTTTGGAAAGTTTTGGTCTTGTTCGACTCGAATGGCCTAATAAAGAGAATGTATCTATGCACAGAAATACTTCTAATCATAGTAAGTATCGGATTTTTCATATTGAATATGCAAATCTTTTTCTGGACTAGTTACAGCTGGTTTTGTTTATGCTGTATACGAAAATGAAGAATCTGTTCATAAGATTTTGCACACCTGTTCGACAAAAACCGATCGAACATTAGATGATGGACGATGTGAATATTATCTCGAAGTCTACAGCCAACGTTCAAGTGCACGGCGTAAAAGCGTAAGTTACAAAAAGAAAACAAATTCGTCGATTGAAAACTTCACTTTTCTTTCTCTTTCCGTCCCATAATAGATTCAAATTATTCCCTGGTTTGTGGTAAGTTTCCCGCATATATAGATCAACAAGCAATCAGCGACTTGTTTTCCTTTCATAGGAAGATTCTCAATGGGTCGCTGATGGTGATTATAGTGTAAATGGATATGGAAATTGGGAACAAAGATTAAATTCAACCGAATGCATCAATCGAACGGTATTCGTTGGCGCTCTACATGGAATGATGACAGCATTTGCCTTAGCTCGGATATGTCATGAATTATTTGGTGATGTTGAATATGCTGCAATCGATACTGATAGAAACAAATATCCGATCGGTAAGTTTATTGCTTCACTTTGAAAATTTTTATACAAAGATGTTATCTTCCAAAGGTTCGGGCCGAGTTGTTTTCGTCAATGCACACAGTTATTATGCAGCTGTCACAGCTAATTATTTGATGATTGAATGCGATAAGTTTTGCAAAGTGGTATGTTGAATATCACTCATTTTATTTCCGCTCACTTTTGTCTTTATTAGATACAAATCGATCCCTATTTATCAGATAGTGTACCATGTGCCGGTACGAATGGACAATGGAATTGTCCAAATATGGGCCAATACTTTTGTCGTTCGCTAAAGTGTATGAAATACTACTGTGCAACATGTTGGGATCTAAATCCAAATCATACAACAACCCAAACAAATGAATGTGAACCACCAGCAATGATACACAAACCATTGATGCGTAATGCTCGTACAGCATGAGAATGTCGTCATTGTCGTATTTCTTTTTCTTCTCTACCGGTGATTTTCGCTAATCCAAAGATTTTAGTTTTCTTTTATCGTTTGTTTTTCTTTTGAAACTGAGAAAAAAAGTGATTATGTACAGATATTCAAGTTTTTGTTTTGTTTTGTTATTTTGTCTTCTGTTTCGGTTGCTATGCTACTAACTCTGCCAACTTACACCATATTTGTGCTTCCGTCGGTATGACTAACATTTAACTAAGAAGTCAAACACGTCTTTTGCCATGATTTGTTTTGTCAGTTTTGTGTTTTGTCTTTTGTTTTGTTTATTCGAAATTTCGAAACATTTTACACTTAACTTTCTTGTGAAATATGAAGAACAAAAAGGATCAGTAACATATAACGCAACTGTCTTTCGATAACATTTATCAACATTATGTTATACTTCAATACAGTTTATTTCCATTTAGCCGTTTTATGCATAAAAGCATGACGTTGTGTATGTCACATTTGGCAATAGGTTCTGATTGAATGATGCTTGCTGACAAGACTAAACTAGATTTTGTAATCAACGCATATTCTTGAGGGAGAAGCGAACCCTGCGGAGAAGATGTCCTCATGCCTAACTATCGTTTAATATGAAGATAGATGAAAGATGTTATGATTGTTGATTGACTTGGTAAGTTTGATTAGATAAAGACAGTCAAGTAAACAAGCCGACCTTCTTATCTGCTTCCAAAACGAGTCTTATCGTGTTTTTAGTATAATACATGTAATAAATTCCCCGGTCGAACAGAACAAAACAAATGTTAATCATATAGTATTGGAAGCCGAAAAAATAAATAAATAAATATTTCTATCACATTTATCGAATGTCAAATCGTTGTTCACAATTTCTCATTGTCAATGTCATCTTCACCTTCCGATGAATAATCGAATGCTCCTTCTTGATTGTTCAAACGATGATACTCGACGATTACTTTGTCTGGTGGAACATAAACTAATTGTCGAGAATGACGCCAAGCACATACGGTAAAAAGAATTGCAGACAGAGCAACGAGTGTCAAACAGATGATCACTGAATGTAAGAAAATAGATTTAATGAATTGTTAAAGATTGAAGGAATTCGGTTACCTAAGATCGTTGACGACATTTCTGGTCGAAAGTCGACTAAGATATGTTTAACATTACTAAGTGATCCGTTTGTCGGACGTTGTTTCAAATGTAAAACATGCGACATCAATGGGTAAAGATCAACATTACGGAATGGTTCCGCTAAAAGGTTTTGATAAAATGCCGGGCCAAATGCGTACAATATCGGGTGCATCGATTCAGCTCGATTGTCATAACCATGATCACCGACGATGTGTGCATAGGTTTCATCGCCAGGTATGATAACATCGTGACCAACTTTGCCAACAATTAGAATATCTACAATGATATTCCAATAAAATTTACCTCTTTGAGAAAATGAGTTAATGATACTGACCACCAACTCGTACATTCGACTTGTAATGATATTCAACAGGTATCTGCGACTTTTTATAAACTTCGTAGTCGGTTAAGTTGGATAAATTTGCATAGAGTCGATCAATATCAGATGCTGAATTTCAAAGTTTTCAAACATGAAGAAAAGGCAACAGAACTTACCTTTATTTGCGAAAATATTTGCAAATGCTCGACCACCATACGCAGTAAATAAGGATTTATCTATATAATCAACTAAGAATATTCGATGTGTTTTTTCGACATCATGCATGCCATGATCAGATGTAATAATCACATTTAGATTTTGCCGTAAATAGTCATCGTCATCAATCATTTGTAGCAATCCCCCAAGATAGTCATCACATTTTTTTAATGTTTCGTTCATTTCAGGTGATATCGGACCATGAAGATGACCTATTGACGCACTGAAATCAATACGTTATTCGATTTAACAAACTGATTTACCAGTAACATCAGGTTCTGCATGGTAAACAGCACCAAAGTTGATACGACTTGCCGCAGGTTCACGAAACCATTTCAAAATTTGTCTAAAAGCGCTGTCCAAACTGCGCGTAATATCAAAGTCGAGATATTCGTATGGACGATAGCCATTGATAGGCACACTCGAACCAGGCCAATCAATAACACCTGAACGTCTTTGAAGTACATCGCTTGCTAATTGATTACTAACCCAAATTGGTTGGGAGTACGCATTCTGTGACCTGTAGTGAGCAATGATTTACATCCGCGTCATTGTTAAAACGAATATTACATACCACCACTTGGTGTCATTCATTGTACTAATATCTGCAACAGCTTTTAGCACTGGATCGTACATGGAATTGGCCACGATTCCATGTGTTTCTTCAAACAGACCCGTAACCATTGTATAATGCGATGGAAATGTTACAGTAGCGAAACTGTTATCAATATGTTTGACACGTACACCACGCTTTTGTAAAGAGTCAAAATGAGGTAGTTTATATATATCTGGATAATCCCATCGGAATCCATCAAATGAAATTAGTAGTAGAAGTGGAACTGAAGAAGTTTCGTTGATCACAGGTGCTGAACGAGTGTGTGAGATAAATAGAATTGAGCAAAGAAATAAATATATATATACAAGACTTTGTTCGACCATCTAAAAACCAAATTTCAAGATTATTTCTATTTAACTTCAGCAATTGTCGCCGTGACCAGATTAGTGAGAATAATGTTAAAGATATACAAGACAAGAAGGAAAAATACACAAAAAAAATACAACTCTCTTTTGAAGAATACAAAAAAAAAACGTTGTGATAATCACAGAAGAAGAGCATGTATGTTGCAAAGGTCATAGATTATCATCTCCGATAGCTGGATGCAATTTGAGATCATTGATTTGAGTGAATTTGTATTGATTTTGTTCAGCAAGTGTAGCTGCATCTGGATGGGCTGCCCGCGCCATTGCCGAAGCATTGCGAAAGGCAACCGTTGACCATGCCACAGCCATAATAAGAATTAAAACAAAACTAACTAATACTACAAACAAAATAAATCAAATTCTATAGATACAACATCATTTCAGTGTACAAACCAAGTAGATAAAGAACTAAACCCATCGGTCCATCATGCAACTTCTCTGTTTCTTTTCCAATAATACTTGCAACTTTACTTGAATCGATAAGAAACGATTGTATATGCGTGGCTGAACTATTCGACGATGGACATTTGCCGATATTTAATATCAAACACATCAGTACAAAAAGATCAACACTATGTAATGAGTCCGAATTTGATAGTGTAAAATTTTCTTTTAGTTCAGGTCCAGTCGCATAGAAGATCGTTTTCATCGACTCGAGTTGATTGTCATATCCAGAATTTCCGTGAATACGACTTAGATTCACCGTGTTGCCATCATCTTAGTAACCACCTGAAGATGAAGAAAAAAAAACAAGAAATTACGATACGATAAAACATACCGAATGAAAGTCGATGGAGTTCATAACCCGGATTCAGGATGATGATCAGATCACCAATATGTGGATGGGTTTTGTAATGATATTGGTCAGGAAGTTGGTCTTTCTTGTACGTATTGGAATTTGGAATTTTACTCAAATTTCGATAGATTGCATCGATGTCGTTTGCTGAAATAGTAAGATAAGTTTCAGTCATCTCATTGGTCAGATTGTACTTACGATTGTTGACAAAGATGTTCAGAGTAGTTTCTGTTCCAAATGCTTTGCATTTTGTCATGTCAACGTATTGTTCAAGATACATTGGTCTATCTGTTGCATTGACTTGTTCCATACCATGATCTGATGTAACAATGAGATGCAGATTGTTCTTTAATTTAACGTTTTTGTCGATTTCATTGAGAAGATAACCGAGATTGTCGTCACATTCTTTTACTTTTTGTTTCGTTTCCAGCGAATAAGGTCCATTTCGACGACCTAGGTACACAGGGATCTAATGAAAAGCAAAACATTGAATTTCAATACTAATGTACCTGTAAGATCTGGCTCAGGAAAATAGATTGCTCCAAAATTGATTGGCTCGTTGGAATCATCAAACCATCGAAGAATTTGATCGACAATGTCCTTGAACGAACGTCCCTCTCTGTATACTTCAGATTTCGATACATCAATGAACTTCTGTGGCCATCCAATTACACCAGATCGTGCTCCGAGTCTTTGTTCATTAATCGACCAAATTGTTTTGATTGGCCACCATTGACTCGAATTACTTTCCCACGATCGAAATATTTCATTCGATCTTCGGTCATAGATTTCATCAGAAACAAGTCCATGACTTTCTTCATACAAACCGGTAATTAACCTAATGAAACCGAAACATTTTCCTCGCAATCAAAAGACTAAATAAACATACGAATAATGATTAGGAAATGTTGATGTTGTGAATGTTGGAATCATGCTGGGTGCGCGCACCCCATGTCGTTCGAGTCTCGCGAAGTTCGTTAACGGTCCATGTATTTTCGGGTAATCCCAACGAAAACCATCGAATGAAACGAGTAAGAGTAGAGGTAGTGATTGCGAACATAGAAATGAGATCTGATAGAATAGTAAAGCAAACAAAAACCATTCCATCGTGACAACTTATGTTGTGTGCAGATGGATGGATGACTGTTGAAGAAAAATGATTGAGAATGTTTGTTTTGTATTTGCCAGTGCTTGAGAACTAATTAAATACGGCGATAGATGTCAGGAGAGGTGTTTTTTGCTCTAGATTATTGAAATAGATAGAAATTTCATCCGAAAAATAAACTTTTTTAAAATATAAAAATGCATTCGTGCATGAATTATTCTCATCAAATCAATTATGAGTAATATTCATGCTTGAAGACAAAGATCGTAAATATAGAAATGGAAGCATAAATCATCGATATTGTCTATTATAGTAGTATGGATTGTTCAATACAATTCATATAAAGTCAATCAATTATTTCAGCAATCGGTCGAACCCACACCATGAAGTACATTTCTCCTCGGTCACATGTTCATTTGATGTTATTAGGCAAGAACAAGAGACAATGACGTATTCGCGAAGGAAATATATGGACACCTTGTTTTTCTTTCTTTCTACATTGAATCGTCGAGAACCTTGAGTCATTCTTGCGCAAGACTTTTCACAACTACCTATATAACGAGAATGTGCACATTGTTCTCGACTGTACTCTCACTAACTAGATTAGTGTTTTATTCTTAATTGATACTAAACTCGCGTGTTGATCATGGCTGTTCGTACACAATTCGAAAGTAGTAATGATATTGGTGTATTCACCCGATTGACTAATGCCTATTGCTTGGTCGGAATCGGTGGATCTGAAAATTTTTATTCCACATTTGAAAGCGAATTGAGCGATCAAATTCCGGTTGTTCATACATCAATTGGTGAGTCAACTCTTTGTTTTTATAGACGACTGTTTTCATCGAACACTATTCTATAGGTGATTGCCGTGTTGTTGGTCGTCTAACTGTCGGAAATCGACATGGTCTTCTAGTACCATCATCTACAACCGATCGAGAATTACAACACATTCGAAATTCTTTGCCAGATAATGTTCGTATAAAACGATGTGAAGAACGTTTATCGGCATTAGGAAATGTGATCGCATGCAATGATTATGTTGCACTTGTACATCCAGATTTAGATAAAGAAACAGAACAGATTCTAATTGATACGTTAAATGTGGAATGTTTTCGACAAACAATTGCCGATAGGGTTCTTGTCGGCAGTTATTCAATATTTTCAAATCAAGGTGGACTTCTACATCCCAAGACAAGCATACAAGAACAAGAAGAACTATCTTCACTATTGCAAGTGCCACTTGTTGCAGGAACAGTGAATCGAGGTAGTGACGTAGTTGCTGCAGGACTTCTAGTTAACGATTGGATGGGCTTCTGTGGATTAGACACGACAGCTCATGAAATTAGTGTTATCGAAAATGTATTTAAATTAGGACAACAACGGGCTACTGGAAACAAAGCAACGACGACAACTATGAAAGATTCACTTGTAGATGCTCTTGTTTGATAGATCTCATTTTCATGTACTTGTCGTTAGAATTTTATTAAAAAATCAATTGATCGCTGAGAAATCTTTTCATTTCAGATCGTATTCTTTATTGACAACGATATTTTTCAGTAATAAAAACATATGAAGTCGAGTGTTTGATTAGTCTCTGTATAACACGACAAAAATTCCTTCATGTACCGAAGCATTCAACAATAATGTACTTGCAACATTCTCGATATACTCTTTCCAGTAAGTTATATCTGATTTTATTTGAAGTGTATTCAGTTAAATTCCACTTTCGATCGAACCTATAAGCCTCAAAGTATTGTCACTATATTTAACTTGATCAGAAGCTTTTTGTCAGATGCTGAATTGCCGTACGCTTCAATTTCATGTGACATATTCCAAAAGTAAAAACAGAAGCACGTATTTCCAATCATATTGCTATCTATCACGTTAGTCTTCACAGGTGATTCATTTTGTGTCGGATATATGTTGTACTTTTTTCTCTTTTCTCGTTAATTACTTCGCAACGAGCCTCTTTTTTCTTTCTATTCAGCGTGCATACGAGTGAGTCAAAAAATTCGCTAAATCGGATGCACATATTTTATTCCATATCTATGGCACGAGTCTCACAAGAAAATAGCGTCGTTTTTTTTTTATCCTGTTTAGGTTTATCGTATTCTCAATCTATAAAAAGCAGTTCGATAGGCGGACAAAGTCAAATACTAGTGACACTGAGAACGAAGACGATTATTGACTCTCATTGAAAACAATGTCATCACCGCCAACACATTCAGCACGATCACATTTACGACGAAATAGCTTGGAAATTTTACAATATGCCAAACGCCTTCAAGAAAAATACATCCTTCATCCATTTTGGGATGGATCATCATTCGATAAAATTGATGAAATATCTCGCGTACCCGATGTCGATATTGTCGATGCTGGTTGCTGTAAATATCTCTTAATAGAAGTAAATAACTGTGGCACAGCCTATGGACAATCGAAATTAGTGGTGCGTGGTGATGCTTCATGCACATATCATGGTAAGAATAGATTTGTGAAGGTCATTGGTGATTATTATCGTTATTGTGATATGTTTAGCCGATATTCTGGAGAAATTGGAGAAACAAATCAACACGAAAGAATTGGTGCTAAATTGCAAAGGTGGTGGACGTATACAGGTAGATCCAGCAACACGAACAATTTCTGTTTATGGCCGATCACAAGTGAGTAAGGTTTGCAATAATGATCGAGTGTATTTGTACTATTTTTTTAGGAATTCGGTCGAGCTGATCATGAGAAAACTGTGGAAATTCTCCGAAAATCGTATCCACAATGGACAGTAGACCTAACGGGTAGGCGAACGCTACTCTCTATTTGATGGCAAAGGATTTTTCTTTGTTTTCTAGATGATGAGTATTAGTTTTCAAGTCATTTCGAATGATTCGTATAATTCTAGTGAGTTTTATCTATATGCTTGTAACATAACTCTCAGAAGGATCATTGAATTTCATATCATGTTCTTTATTATAATTCAAGAGATAAATAAAGTATTTTCTTTCGTGATTCACTCGTTTTTTTCCACATATTTTTTTGCTATGACCTTGCTCGTTCTATTCCTGAATGCTACAAAAAAAAATGCATATGCTGTGTATCGATACGATGTACAAGGCTACCATCGCCTAACGACGATTGCCATATCTCTTGACCTCTGTTTGATTCTATAAAACGAAAGGTACAGTCATTGATGACACTACTGAACAAAGACAAGAGTTGTTATATAAATGAGATAAGATTTATGAGTATATAAAAACGAAAGAGAGAAGCGATCGATGTAACTTTGTTTAGAAAAAAAGTGCATCTGATATTATCATTTGATGAGAATATATATCTGAATGAATGGAACAAAAATAAATTGTCGTTGATTACGACATCATCTCGTCATTAAAGACATCGTTCTGTAATTGTTCTTGTCCTTGTTAGACGACACTTCGAGTTTTTTCATTGATTATCCATCTCGTCTTTCACCATCTGTCGGTTCCATTTGTCTCGTCTAATATTCTTAGTAGTCATACCAAGGCGATCCTTCCACTTTTTCTCCTTTCTGTTTCCATACGAAGATGAGCATGTACGACATAACCTTGTATGTATATACACTATCCCAGAAATAACGACGTCGATGTCGGTATGGGAGTGTCGACAATGGCAAGGTTATTTATTCTTTCAAAATGCATTATTAATTCAATTGATTCATGAACTTTTCCTCCCTAATCAAACGATCGAGGAAGCGAGAGCAATTGTTTTCTCGAAAGATAAACGTTACTCGATGACCATCGACTTCGTCGTCGTTTTTTCTTCTTCATTCTGTAATTTGATCAAGACGTTATTCGTCAAAGGATGATGCAAGTGCGGCATTGTCTTATTTGATTTGAAAATATTTCCAAACTATCTTCTATCTGTTCATCATTAACATCTAGAAGGAAATAGGAAACGAACGAACGAACGAACGAACGGACGACATATTCCAGATTGTTTAGTCTTATGTAATCGCTTCTTCTCCTTGTCTTTAGCATTGAAACATAGAAATTCGCATCGCTAGATAGGTTTTCTCTTTTTGGTGTTGTATTCTTATTATTGTGATAATTATTGATCAATGGGAATCGTCAGATTTTGAGGAGAGGGAAAAGGAAAAGACAAAAGACCTTTTCTAATTGCTATTAGGAAGCATTTCGCTACCCTATCAGAAAACGCCGATGAAGGGAAAAGAGAAGGAGAAGAAAAAGAGAAAGAACAGAACATTAGTCGTCATTCGTGTTCAGTCTTGTATGCTAATATTTCTAGGATGGCAACATCTAAATGTTTATCCATGTTAACAATCAAGGCAGATCTCTGTCATAACGATGACGAGTTGATAAAATTAAACATCGGTGGCTATTGTTATACAACAAAACGTTCGACGATTAATGATAATGTGGATGAACAATCATACTTAGCTTTACTAATACGAAAGCAAACAAAGACTCTATATGGCGAATATTTTATTGATCGTGATGGAAAATATTTTCGTTATATATTGAATTATTTTCGTGAAAAGACGCTTTTACTACCGGAGAATTTTACCGAATTGAAGCAATTGTTGTCCGAAGTGCAATTCTATGGCATTGATCGTTTAAAAAATGACATCGAAAATCGATTGAATCGAACGAATGAACAAAACTTATGTTTACAAAGTGGTTTGCATTTGACATTAATATCTAAGTTAAATCCAAAGAAAACGATTGTGAAATTAATTGGCCCATTGAAATTACTTTCAATTTTCCCCATCCAATTCATCGGAGAAGATTTTTTAAGAATTATATCATCATTTAGCCATCCGAAGAATATTTTATGCCAATTGACCTTTCCGTTCGATGAAAAACTGATTTCATGCCAACCATTCGATCAATTGCAACGTTTCGTCTTGACAAAACAAGCAAGAAAAATGGGTCTAATTGTGAGTTATTGTGACGATTATTTTTATATACCCACCGAACGTGAGATTGTCTCGCGGGACGAACTCGCTCAGCTGTTCTTCAAGAAATACAATGGGAAAATAGTGAAAACAAATGTTACACATGATGATCCGTGTGTTCTCGTCGAGAATTGGCTTCTATCAAAACAATCTGATGAAATCGACTCAAATTCAAGTATTCAAGCAAATGTACTTTGAAAGAGTTTTTTTTTCTTCTTTCGGTTTGTTTATTCTGTACAATTTCACTAAAGTAAAATTACAAATGTCGATTCATTTGTTTTCTTTTCGTACATGCGTGAGAACAAGTATGTGAGTTATACGAAGCTGGACCGAGATGTAAGAATGAAGTTTTTCTTTGAGGAAATCGTTCTGTTGAAGAGAGAAAACCGATGAATGAATTGTTCTTCTTGTCATTAGTCGATGAAGAAGGAAACTCTTTAAAATAAGTTGTTGGACCCGGAGAGGGTTTTGAATGACTCGCATTCTCCTTCGGCAGAGGTAGAAATTTTCCTTTGTAACGACTCGATCGTGTAAAGAGAGATTCAAGAATTGATTTCTCTTGAAAATGACCAGGTCCTTTGTACCAACTTGGAAATGCCCGATGACGATGACGATTTTCAGCTAATTGAACATATGGACCGTAGATTCCTAAGGAAAATAGGAAATGTTCTATTCATTTGTCATCGTTAAGGATCGATTTTCCATTTGCATGTAAAAGGAGAATCTCAACCTTGAGAAATACAGTTATGAAAGTATTCTTATCTTGTAAAAACATTCTGCAGAAGATTATATGTGTTTTCTCTCATGAGATCTACGCGTTAAGTTCTGCATTGATGAAACACTTGATAACCTGTTTGTTTATGCAGGAGTTCATCGATAGAAGTTGACTTTTCGTAGAGAGTCACTGGTGGAGCACGAGGCAGAATTGCTTTGCGTTGATTACATGTGTTGAAACTTTGCCGATCAAGTCGTATAGCATTGAAACGTCTGTCGAACTCGTGTTTTCGCCGTAACTCATCAGTTATATTACTCAAACTATGAATCGTTATCTAAATTCTACTAGAATTTTACATGAAATTCATAAAATGAACAGTTCGTTCTACTTGATTGTTGCACGAAGAACGTTTCGTTTTGGAATACATTGACGGAAAACGCTCGGATTGCTGATAATAACGACCGAACTTACTACATACTTTTCGACGATAGATTTCATCAATAGTCAGTGGATTGTAAGAACCTGGTCCTAGAATTGTTTGAGATCGAACGGGAGTCAGAGTGAATTTCGTGGCGTGCAAGCGTTTGAATATCTCAGTATCCAGTTGTCGGTCATAAATACTTTTCGATAGTGAATTATGCATAATGATTGTTTATTTTCTGGGCGCATTTTTTAGATCAATATGAGATCTATTCTCATTCTATTCGTCTTTACATTGAGCTTGTCGATTTCTTCGACAGAGCCTGTCACAAACGAATTTGTCATTCTTCTCATCACTCAACCTCATATCTATATTCTTAGCCAAGTTCATAATGCTTCACAATTTATCCCGCCGCACATTCCTCTTCTTTATACACACTCATATGCATCATCCATATCGAATTGGTATGCAATTTATCCATTATTTTCATCAATTTTACAGCAATATTATCAATTGAAATGGCTTTTCATCTGTGAACCTCAAACACGCTTTAATCTATCTGAACTTCTTGCATTTGCAAAGCAAACCAATGATTCTTATATTGGTTATGGTTTATACGATTCCGAGCCAAGTATCATTCATCATTATTCATTTTCATTCGATACTCCTTATCCAGATTTCTCCTCCGGTGCTTTATTATCACGCAGTGTCTTATCGCTGTTTCAAGAGCGATTCACATCTTCTGCAATACCAATCGATTTTATCATTGATATTAAATATGAATTCAATCAATTGATTAACCAACTAACAAATACGACATTAGCCGATCGGCGCGATCTGTTCTGTATTAAGCACAAAACGAATTGCTTAACATGGTATGATGGTCAATATGATTATTCATGTCAACGAAATGACGTACATCTAGATAATATCTACATAGGAATAAAAACATTTGCTGATTTTCATCAAACTCGAGTCGCTCTTCTAAGGAAAACTTGGTTAGATAATAAATTGCATTACAACTTATTTACGAACGAATTGGACAAGGATACTGACGATCGTTTTATTGCAATAAATGAGAACACTGAACGTGGCCATTGTCATAAAACATTTACAATCCTGAATTACTTCTACAAAAACAAAGGAAATTTCAAATATTTAATCATCGCCGATGACGATACACTTCTCTCTATACAAAGAGTTCTTCATGTGATTGAATGTTTTATGCTGTCCAATGATCTTCCTATTGTGTTAGGCGAAAGGTATGGTTACGGAGCCTATTATGCTTATCCAACTGGTGGTTCTGGAATGATATTTAATCGTCAGGCCGTTCAACAAATCGTATCCAATTGTCGATGTCCATCACCTGATACACCTGACGATATGTTTCTAGGCCTATGTTTGCATGAGATTGATGTGCCTTTGACACATATACCTGAATTACACCAAGCACAACCAAAAGCGTATCCGAAGGATTGGCTTGCACATCAAAAACCGATTAGTTTCCATAAGCTCGAAGGTATCAACGTTGAAGAGATCTATCAGAGCTATTTACATGAAAATATATCCGAACCAACATCACCCTATCATATAAAAAACGAGTTTTGATGTTCTTTGTTGTCTTGTTTAAATTTGATGCGTTTAGTTTTTTTTTTAAATGAAGAAAGAAAAAAAAATGTCTTTATAAAGCATTTGAAAATTTTTTGTCAAAATAGAAATATAGCCGGGGATGAGCAAGAAAGGCAATTGGTAGCATTGAAGAAAAGATTGAGAGAAGAATGAACGAAGACGACAAAGCAGCTTTAGCGGCAGATTCTTGAAAGCAACACACACCCACGCACATAAAAACAGTTTGCTTGTGAAAAAGAAGATTAATGTTTTGTTTCTTAGTTCTCGACAAGTCGAGTGATTAAATGCAATCTTTGCATAAAATCAAATTTCCATCTTGATAGAAGCTTTCTTCAGCGATACATTTCTAAACGAAAAACAAATGAATCTTGAAGAGTAGAAAAACCTTTGACATCTTCTTACCTGGCATTTCGAGCATGTAAAGCATTCCTTGTGCCAATATTTATCTTCGAATTCGAGATATTCAACATCAGCAACAATCGGCTTTTGACAACGACTACATCGTTTTGCATGTTTTTCTTCATAACAATTAACACAACATGGTTGACCCTCGACCATTGAGATTTTCGATTGAGCCGAGATTGGTTGTTTGCATGTTACACCTACCATAAACATAATAGATCTTCATTCATCAAAAGAAGTCGATTATGTGCAAATAACCTCGATGTTGCCTATGGCTTCAATTACGATTAACTAACTCGAGTTTTCTTTATTTAATACGTACACAAGAAACAATTGGCATGGTATGATGCTCCAGCGAATGTGATACCAGCTGATGTTATCACGGAGCCGCATTTGGCACAACGTTTACGTGGAAAACGTGCTTCATGACATGATGAACATAAGTATTCGTTGTTAAATGGATAAAATTGTGATGTTATTGCTTTTCGACAATCAGCACAGGCAAAGCAATCCGGCTAGAAAAGATAAACAACAAGATGAGAACTTAGATTTATTTTCCGTGGTATTGTTGATTTAGAAATCGTATCATACATGATATTGTTTGCCATCGAATTCAGTAATACCTAACAAAATAACAAAATATCATATCAGATCATCGCAGCAAACGAGAAGCAAGATGAAAATCTTCGAACTTACGAGATCCAGCTGGAAATGAATTGTGACAACTTGTACATGCGCTAAAACAAATACGAAATATCAATTTATTGACTGTTCTTCGATAGACAAAGCTTCCTGTTTTGTACACTCAATAACACATCGTGACAAGAAATATTCTCTTAGTGGATTATAATTATTTCTCAACGAAGACACATGGGGGAGTATAACAAACAGCGCTATTTTTATATCAGCCTTTTGTATGTTGTCTATCGTCATCGTTACGAACAAAAGTAATCAACAAATATTAGTTTGTTTGCTACAAGTTACAAAACTGACTGCTCTCGACTTCATCTGATGCGGACATCACCTGCTTTTCTAGACAAATTATTCGAAAAAAAGATTGCTAGATACTTACCTCATGATTGTGTATGTGTATGTCGATAACGAAGAGAATTAAGAGTCGATCTAGATCGAATTGATAATCAATTCGAGTGCTTTTTATGAGAAATACTAAAGAATTGAAAAATGGAATTAGATAAGAAGTACAGTTGTGTCGTCTAACTCGGTTGAGTCGCTCGGATAAACTGAAAGCACAAGAAGATAAACAGAAGTCAAATAAGAGAGGACCAAAACGAATGGTTGATATATAACAAAACAATCTTATACAGATATCAACGATATCTTTCTCAGCTTATTCTTTTAGTCGAAGACGAGTCTACTCAATAAGTGGTGCAGTTAGCCATCCTTCTCATCTTTGTATATTCTAGCTATAGCCCTACTATTCGTATTTGTACAGGACGATATTTTCTCTCTCCCTCTCTCTCCCTCTTTCTCGTTTTCAGACCCTACCGGAGAGCGTCGATGCGCACGAGATATATACGCGTCTCTTCCTGTTTGTTTTCTTTTATGATGTATTCTGGTATTTCCTTTCTTCTTTAAGTAACACGGAGAGAGCGAGACAAAGCGACTATCATCTCCTCCTTCGTATTGTGCTATGCGGTTGCACTCAAACACATTGCTTAGCTAAAACGATGTTGTATATACAGTAGAACCTGCATTTTTTTTCTGGTGATAGACGTAACCTAAAATACACAGTTTGTTCTGTTTCTTTTTTCGTGCAATTTGGTCTCATACTGTTTTTCTCTTATTTATGCTATCCTAATGACATTTTCGTCTACGACAACACTAATTACCTCTATCTCAATTATGTATGTATATTTATAAATATATCTATTTCTTATACATACATATATATATATACATTGATTGTGTCTATCAAAATTAAGATAGACTCTAGTTTTTCAATTGAAAGATTTGATTCTTCTGATGTCAAATAAAAAGCAAACGAAGAAGAAATGTCCTTGATGCCTTTTTTTTCTGATTGTTTAGGAATTCTATTTGATCGATACTTGAGTAAACTAGAGCAAAAAAACAACATGCACTAATCGATTTATTTATTTATGTTGAAAAAACTGAAGAAGCATCATGCTGAAACGAAATTGCTTATTTGCTCTTTAGTAATATGCAATAAAAAGATCAGTTAACTACAGGATACAAAAGAATTGCTATTTTTGATGGAATATAGTAGATATTTAGTAGATTAAATAACCACCACATAATTTGCGGTTTGTCGATTCTAAAAACAAATACGAATAAGTCGATTCTATTGACCTTCATCGTACGTCCTTTATAATTTTTTATTGATTATATGGATGCCGAATCATCAATCTCAGTTTATTCTAGCTTTTGTATGCGATAAGATAACTGAACTCATACAATCGGAAGCTATTTTGTCTTAAATGATGTACATCGAGCGAACACTAGCGGAATTCTCCTCTATACTAAACATTTGTTAGTCAAAAGTGTTAACAGTAACTGGAGATGTGTTTACATGAATCGATGAACAAAAGGAGATACGATATTACAGCGAAAGAATTCGACGAACGTCAAGGACATATTGGATATGTATTTATCAAACTATACCACAAGATATTCATGTCTTATTAGTAAGATCTTAATTACATCATAAAAAAATGCAAATTTTCATCGTAAGAATTCGTATGAAATGAACAATTGTCAGTCTTCTCATTCATATGAAATATTTTAGAATTGTAAAGACACAAATGAGTATTCCAGGTGAAGGAATGGAAAGCTGAACGAGTCAAGAAGACTTCGATAGTAAATTGATAACAGTGATGATGTGTTTGGTGTGGATAGCAAGAGAACATGTTGCATGATGACAGATCAAATAATTGCTAAGATAGGCCTTTTCGAAGTAAAAACGTTGGATTTTACACGTCTGGAAAAGGGAAAGTTTGCTACAATTTTATCGTGAAAATTTCCTTCGATCTCATTTTTACAGTCTTGTCAGAAGAATTTGAAAGCACTTACGGGCGATTGTGTGGTGAGTTATTCATTCTTAAACACCCGAATCCGGTTCGTAACAGACTTCGAAACCGTCGATCAAATGTAGAAGACATCTTGAGTGTGTAAATTATTCATAGGATCATTAATGTTGAGTATCATCATAAGAAGTCGTCGATAAAATAAACGAAATCTCATCGCTATTGCCACCGTACTGTCATATGTCTCACATTCTTAACGTGTGGGTATATGTGTCTTAGCGAAGCTGTTATGAAGGTTGGCAGAGAAGAAAAAAATATCGAAGCATTAGTCAACCTGGCATAACGGCGTCTTTAGATAAAGCAAAAAGGATTTAACGGCGCATCAACTAGATGTGTCAGAATAGAAAGCTATTGATGATTTATATATTGATTTACCGGCGAGTTTATTATATTCGAAAAGATTTACATTAACAGTTCTAATAACGGCTATAAATTTCGCCTTAATTGTTAATTTTATTGGCTATAATCAGTCAACTACTATTAACGTAGATTGATTAATGTGTGAGAGTTAGTGTGGTTTGCTTGACGAGTTCGATTTCCTCGATAGATGACGTTGCTTGATAGTGGTCAATGATCTTTATCTGTATATGAGCAGTAACAGGAAAGAAAATTTGATTAAAAAAACGCACCAATGAAAAGCTAATGTCAATTGCCCGACATGTGTGTTTATTTGTCTGTTCGTTCAATCGTATGTCCGTTCCGTAGTGTTACGTGTAGCCTCGAGTTTATTTAGATTTTTCTTTGTTTTATATCTCACTGCAAAGGTTTTTTTTTCTCTTTTCAGAATGAGCCTGCCTGTATATACAATGTGTCAAATGTGAATGGATTTTACATAATATCGAGACAAATGATACCGAACAATCAGATTTTTGTTTATTTTTTTCTTATTATCCAAATCTTCTCCATCTCCCTTCTCAATTCGACGACAATCCACGAAATCAACGAAGCTGTTTTCCTTGATCCACGTACTCATTCAGCAGTCATACGCTGTCCGCTAGATTTCACGCATAGTGCAGATATTCAATGGTATGATGTAGCCAATCATCGTTACGAATCCGACCGCGGCCGATATTACCGTATCAATGGCACTCAACCATTCGATCGTGAATTCATTTGCTCAACAATTTCTCAAACAGGAGCTGGAAGCAACGAAAAATATCGAATGAAAATTCGTACATATGGTAAGATCAAACGACTCGGATGCTTTTTCCCCTAATTAACATCAAACAAAGATCTCCAACGTTGGCTTAATGTCATCGTTTTTGATAGGAATAAAATAATTATCTGTCAACATGGGAGATATTCAGTATAACGATAAGGAATAAGGTTGATGTTGGAATGACATCATCAATAGATATGTTAATTATATCCAAAAATACAAACTAGTCAAGATGATTCTGATTGCTAATTAACACCACCGATGAATTTAGAATTATGAGATATTTTTATCTGTTTAGATCATCCTTTAAATGTTCGATATATTTCGGTTCGAAACATAACCAATTCGAGTATAACCGTCGACTGGGAAGATGATAGTTATAACCGAAATGCCAATATAACTTACTATGAATTAGTTCTCAAGTAAGGAAAGATACATTTGAATATTTTGGTTGAAATTCGATTGTTTCACTAGATACAACGACACCATTCAATATCGAACACTAATCAATGGAACATTATCAACTTATACATTTCCATCATTACACCCGAATACACTCTACTCAATAGACATATCCGCTGTCGATATTTGGAAACGTTATAGTGGTAGTGTGACGATAAATAGTACGACATTATCATCGAATTCGAATGATGTTAAAAAACCCTATCAATTAATGGATCGTGATTTAATCGAACAATCAGTGGCATGTTATCGTTTAGATCATCAGATGTTATTAGTCGAATTTAATCGCAGTCAACTAATATCTTCCAATCAGATTTATAATATAACAATATATGATTATCAAGACCATGTCGCTTTCACTGACAATCATTATGATAATCAAAGAAAAGAGTTTACAGCAACTGAGCCTTTAAATGCATTTATTTATCGTTTGAAACGAAAGAGTTTAACATTTAAAATCAAGTTCATCTTTTCCACTAACCAGTTTGAGTATATTGAAACTATTGTGAAATATTGCGATGATTTTTATCCTATTTATGCACCGTTAACCTGTTCGATTAAATCATCGGGACTAAATAATCATCATTTAATGATACACATGCAACTGTACAATAAAGACAAGCAAATTTATTCATTAAAACCCAACAATGTCTTTTATCGAACAAGTCGAACACATTTTATCAAAAAGAACATCTACGATATTCATAAAGTAAGTTATTTCAGATGAGTCTTGGCAGTCGTTTTTGTTCTTCTCAATGCACGATTCGCAACGATAACAAATCGTTAAGCATTCAGATAAGTTGTAGATTTGGTCGTTGGAAAACCGTAGTTTTTCGACATGTGTCGATGACAGTGTAAGAAAAATAAACCGAATGAAGACATCTGTTAATCGAGATGTGTCCAAATAGTAATGATAGAAAACACTCTGATGGGATCGAATGGAGACGATGATTTCCGTGCTAGACTTATTCCCATGATGGTAGGTCGATGGTATGCATGTAAGATATGCGTGTGATTGATGGTTCGCAGAAGAAATGATTTTCTATCATTCTTAACGAGCCAACTGTTTCACAAAAAGGAATTTCTTTTTTCTTTCTTCTGTTTTCGCAGTATGTCAGTGCAAATGTTGTTGATGTGAAAGACAATTATTCAGTTGTTGTCGAAAATGATCTCATTAATGGCAATTCCAATGAAAAAGTCAATGTTTCAATACTTTGTCCAATCACTCGGATAGGTTTGCTTGGACTTCTTGTTAATGTTCTTTTTCTTCTGTACTAAAATGATCTTTTTTAGCATCTATTCCCCGAGCGAGTGCTAGACGAGAAAATCGAATACTCGGTGGAATTATCGCTGGACTTGTTCTATCGATTATTAGTCTCACAGCATTGGCGGTTTTTATTGCGTATCGAAAGTAAGTTTCATCAAATTGTAACGAATAGTTTTCAAAAATCGACTCTTCGTTTGAGTAGAGGATTCATGCCGGATTGTCGCCGAATAATTCTTCATTATGTTTATCTAATTCGTAAAAAACATCATCCGAGATCGAATCTCGTACAAATCAACGGTTCCACTGATGGAAATGGCAGTAATGGAACCAGCGTGAATTACTTCGATGGGAATAACAGTATGTTGAAAGAGACGAACTTGTTTAAATTGAATCCACGATGTATTATTATGCTTTTCAGAAGAGTTTGATTCAACTTCCATCGCAATCAATCAATTCGCTGGTTACGTTGCTCGCATGCATAAAGATGGCGATTTTGGCTTTGTTCGTTTATTCGAGGTATGTATTCTTTGACTAAGGTGCACACAGTTGATAATAAGTCGATTTTGTTTGTCTAGGATATTTGCGAAGTATCGAAAAGCTACACCTTTCCAGCGGATGTTTCTCAACTCGAATATAACAAATCGAAAAATCGCTACACCAATATATTAACTTGTAAACATTGCTCTTCTTTTGTTGAACTAATCAACTCACTGAATTATTTTCTAATTTAGACGATCATTCACGTGTTAAATTATCAAGTGAAGATAGGGAAGGAAGAGGAAATTACATAAACGCCAATTATGTTGACGTAAATAGAAACAGAAGAGATTAGATTTCGAAATGTTTCTTTGAACTTCTATTCAATTAGGGTCACCAGAGAGCGAATGCGTACATTGCGACCCAAGGGCCCATGCCAAACACAATCAATGATTTTTGGTAATTAAGAAGGAGAACCTTTCATTTGTTAAAACTAATCGATGATTCGGTCTTGTTCTAGGAGAATGATTTGGGAGAAAGATGTGAGTGTATTGGTCATGATCACAAATATCAAAGAACGCGGACGAGTAAGTGGTATCCTGTAATATGAGAAGGCTCGTTTGTCTAGCAATGATTGCTATGTAGGTTAAATGCGATCTCTACTGGCCACAAGAAGGTTCAGAAACTTATGGTACCATTCAAGTGACACTAGTCAGTACAATACCGTATGCTTATTATGTTAAGCGAATATTTTCAATTCGATGTAAAGCCAATCGAAAGGTACGTGATTAATGTTGCTTCTTGCCTTAGTATTCGAATAACGTGATGTATTTAGCGTATTACATACGAACGGCTTGTACATCAATTTCATTATACCGATTGGCCAGATCATGGTGTACCATTGTTTACTTTACCTGTTCTTTCTTTTATTCGCCGTTCATCCGCATGTAATCCTGAATCAGGAGGACCGATTGTTGTGCATTGTTCGGCTGGGGTTGGTCGTACAGGAACATATATTGTTGTTGATACGATGCTAAAAAAGATACGTGAACAACATTCATTGAATATCCCATCATTCTTAAAACACATTCGACAACAACGAAATTTTCTTGTTCAGACGGAAGAACAATTTATCTTCATCTATGATGTTTTACTTGAAGCCATTCAATTGTTAAACATCGGTTACAATGACATCGAATTAAATGAACAAAATTTCGATTATATTATCCAAATGTTGGATTATTTCGATAAAGACTCCAACTTGACACGTTTAGATAAACAATTTCAACTAATACTCTCACAAATGAAAACCAATGATTATCCACAATCATTTGGACAAATGGAAGAAAATCTCAGTAAGAATCGCACACAAGCAATCTTGCCATACAATCCTTGCCGAGTGGTCCTTTCAACCGAAAGGAAACAATCCGGTAGTGAATATATCAACGCATCGTATATGCACGTAAGGATTTCAATATCGTTGAAAAGGCATCAATAATCTTCGACATGTTTTGTAGGGTTGCCACCGAGTAGATGAATTTATCATTACTCAACATCCGATGATGAATACAATTACTGATTTTTGGCAAATGATTTGGAATACAAATACTAGTATCATTGTTTCATTATATGCCGATGAAAAATCTCAAGTAGATATACGCTCTAACTATGAGAACATTCGATTCAGTGTCTGTTTTAGCCGGATGTGCCTGATTTCTGGCCACTACCCAGTCAAATTATGGATTGCGGAAGTTTCAGTGTTTGCTTGATCGATGAACGATTCGAATGTGAATACATCTATCGAGATTTTCTTCTTCAATCAACTGAAGTAAGAGTCATCCACTTATCTATCGCAATCTATGAGCCATTTCGTTTATTCAAGGAGGATTATGAACTGCGAGTGAAGATCGTTTCCAGTACTTATTGGCCAGATGCATGTTCACCCCTGAAAGCATCGTTCAATCTGATCAATACAATACGAAAGCTTCGATTGAGTATCAAATCGAATAGTCCAATAGTTGTACACGATCTTTTCGGTGGTCATCGCGCTGGTCAGTTGACTACTTTTCAATTCATACGTGAAACTGTTTTTCTTTAGCAACATTCTGTGCTCTATATACAATGACCGAACAAATGGAAGTGGAAGGAATATTAAACGTCTACGAATTAGCTAAACTTTACCATACGAAACGTCCGGGTATTTGGCGACATAATGTAAGAGATTTGAAGAAAGTTTCTTTTTATTATAGAAATTCGATTTTGTTCGTAGGGAGATTTATTCTTTTTGTACCGTTGTGCTGAAATTCTCTTCCGTGAACTTAAACTGCCGAATTCGTACAATTCAACTCAAACGTCAAGCTATCACCGTCGATATTTACCGCATCAATATATTCCATCTCAAGCTTTAGATGAACCTGTACCTATTTCGTCTTATGCGTCAACATCTACTCAACCTACATCTACATCTTCAACTACTTCAGCCTTTGCCAATGTTGCTCAAACTGTCATGGATTCGTTTTCCAAACGCCGTCAGAAATCACGTAGTTATCGCTCACAAACGTTGAAGAAAATTCTTTTTCTCAACAACGAATCACCACTTTAATGGTTGCTAAAACATCTCGGACATGTTTACCGTTCGGTTTTTGCTCTGTACATTATTCTGTTTCTCGTGTAATTAGCATAGTCGTTTTGTTTTCTTTTCTAAACAGTGTGTGCATTATTTGTTGTTTGAATTTTAGTGCTATACTATTCTAAGTTTTCTTTGTCTGATCGGTCGTTTGTTTCTTTTCTATTGTGTCAGATATGTTTACACATAATAATTAGAGGGTTGTGTTGTAATATCATTTTTTTTCTCTCTCTCTCTTTTTGACGTTGTATGTCAGTAAAATAATAAAGGAATCTTACTACAAAAAGAACGTTGTTTCGTTGAAATCAGTCAGTTGATGAAGTTGATATCGATCTACTTGAGCACAACGAACAATAACAGTAAGGGAGTGATGTGATGTGTGAAGAAAGATGGCCAAATTTCATCACACATTTAAATTCTTCTTTAATAACACTTGAAAGTGCTCATCATTTGAAGAGTCTGTGCATTTCTTTGTTTGTTAGAATCAATCGGAGACATTGTCTGTCTGCTATTGAGGGTAGAAAAAACAAATGAAATTGTTTTGATTGGAAGATTTCATCTAGTTATTGGTGATGACAGCTCTTCAAATATTCTGACAGTTATGTGTAAAACGAATGTTTGTCTTATAAAGGAACGAATTTACAAGGCGAGATCAGCTCTCTTTACTAAACAACATCATGAATGTTCTTTCTTTCAATCCGACCGAATTGGTTCACTGAGTAAGTCAACTATTTCGATCGAGTCCATTCAAGTTCCATCAACATTTACTGAATCAGTCGTAAAATGGATCAACAGAACAACGAGAGTGACACCGATATAGACAAACATATACTATTGATTTGCCTTTTATTAGCTCTTTTTTTTATCGGAGAGAATACGTATTCCTAATCGAGTACTCGAGACACTTACTTTTTATGATAAAAAGGAACCAAAAGAAGAACAACCTTGAATATTAAGAATATGATACGCTTTCTACTCCAACACGTCTTCATTTACCCTTAAGAGGCAAAACGAGTATTCTTATTTCATGATAATTACCTTATATCGTACAAGTTGAAAGCATGACCATCATCGTCGAGCGACATCTATAACAAAATGACTTAATTCAATAATTATCACCTGTATCAAATAAAAATATTTTTTCGATCATGAATAATCCTCATTTATAATGTGCTTTTTTCTCGTGATATCATTTTTTATCCATCGAATATCATTGTAAAAATGTCCACCTGTATTTTTTTTCTTTCTAAAACACATGCACACATGCTTCACCTTTCTCTCTAGAGTAATTCTTCTGCTTATATTCCGTCCGCAATCAATCATATAAATTTGCATTCGTCGCTCTGTTTTTTATCAATAATTACGATCGAAAAACACATTTTTCATTCGACGTAAATTCTAAACAGCAAGTAAGCGATTGACATCTTTGTTTTCTCATTAACTTTCGCTTCATTCTCACAATTTGCAGCGTCAAACTGATGACTTCGACTGAAGACGAAGATCCCTATGCTCAAATCGCTCGTTTACGTTCAGCGAACACTCAAGCAGCTGAATACGGTCTGGCATTGATCGATGAAAAAAATCTCCTAGAATCCAAACATAGGGACTTAGAAAATCAACATGAATTGCTGAAATTAGAATACGAACAATTAAAAAGTCAATTGAAAACCTTTCAAGCTCATAAACGAGAAGAAACTTTAAAAGGTGAGACCAATGAAGAAACACTTCTACACGAAAAGCAAACACGGGAAGAATACATGATGAGAGAAATTACACGTCATGAACATGATTTACGTGCTTTAAAACACGACAATGAACGTTTACAAACGGAAAACGAGAAGATCACTGCGACATGTCAAGAATTAACCGATCGAATCCACGAACTGGACGAATTAAAGGTGAAATTGAAATATGAATTGAAGGAGTCGAAAGCGCAGGAACAAAGATTGATCGATGCCAATACTGAATTAGAAGAAGACAATGTGACATTGCAACAGCAAGTGCAAAAATTAAGAGAAAATCTCATTGATTTCGATGGTTTGAAACATGAAAACAAACAATTGCAAGAAAATGTAAGTGCATTCATGAAAATCAAATCCAAATGAGTATTCATTAATCTTGTTAGCAGTTAATCATCTCACAGATGTGTAATGATAACAAAGAGAGTTGATCCATAGGAGATATAGACAGATAAGTAACATTTCAAACTTCGTCTATTCGCAAATATCAAAGAAAATCGATCATTCGAAGATCTATTTTTGAATTTCGATAAATCTCCATCCTATCGGTGATATATGTTCGCCCATTAATCTTAGCACATAGACAGGATATTCCCTTCTTCCGTCTATTCACCGGATGTATAGGAAAGAGGAGATTTCCTTTTGTAAGTTTATGTTTGTCTACTTGAAATTAGATGATATTTAACACCTGCGCTTTAGATTTCTCATCCGGATGTTTATTTTTTAATTTTAAATACGAACGAAACTAGACATTTCAAAAGAACATCAGATGTAGACTTTATTCATATAACTGACGAATAAGCCTGATTGATTCTGTGCCGATTTAGATCGATGATGTACATCGTATGATGAAAGAATTGGAATCTCTTAAATCCATTTCTGAATCTCAATTAATTGAATTGCACAATAGTCTTCGCGATGAACGAGAGCAAAAACATATTTATAAACAACAACTCGATCATCGAATCCAACAGGTATGTCTTTCTACAAACGGCATTTTCTCTCAATGTCGTGTTTTTCTTTCTCTCTTTCGTAGGAAACTCTACGAAATCTCGATTCGTTACGTATGACACTGAATGGTCATAATGGAACTCACGTAGATGACGATTATCTAATCGAAGGCGATGATGATGTTGAAGATGATGATACCAGTCGTGTTCCTTCATCAACTGAATACAGTGATATGCTCGAGAATGATCAACAAGAACAACAACCTGTGGGAAATCTATTCAGGTACAATGATTCTCAATTCGAATATACTTCTACATTGACAGTATCTTTAGTGAAATCCATGGTAATGAAATTCGTAAACTTGAACTCGAATGCGTCCAATTGTCTCAAATAAAATCTTCTCTTGACAATCAATTGTTAACTATCAAAGAGAAAACGAAAATACTCTCGCATAAGACTCAACATTTGATAGAGATTGTTTCGCCAAATAAATCTCAAACGCCAGAATCGACTTCCGACGATGCGAATCAGTTGTTAAGTGTAACACTTGACTCGATCGAACAACTCGATTCGATCATTAATAAGAATCTTCATTTGTTCAATGGCGATCAAGATCTATTGAAGAAGAAATCCGATGATCAGGAAAGCACAATTATGAAGTTGAAACAAGATAACAATGTTCTAATGAAACAATGCAATGATTCTCAAACATTGTTCACTAAGAATCATGATTATCTAGTGAGACATAGAACTGGTGTTTTTGTTTTCATGCACAGTTTGTTTGTTGCTATTTAGATGAATTTAAGCGAAGAATTAGAAACGCTTTACAAATATTTCTACACGTCAGTTGGTCTAACAGCACCGACAAATGATTTTGAAGCACGAAAACAGCAAGTATTGAATTCCAACAACAAAATCATTGACCCATCGGTGAACCAACAACTTTTGGAAATCCTTCAAGAACAAGTGAAACATTTCCGACAATCGTTCGATCAAGTTTTACACCAATTGAAACATCAAGGCAAAGAAAATTCGCCCAATAGTGAACCAACATCTTCATCCAATGAATTACCTAACGATACGAAAGAATTGCAAGATCAAGTAAATGAACTGAACTCGATTCAACGAACAGAAATGTAACCATGATTATATATCTGTTTAGATAATCAAACTACGATCATTGTTGACAACTAAACGTGAACAAATCGGTACATTGCGTACAGTTCTCAAAGCCAATAAACAAACAGCCGAAGTGGCATTGGCTAATTTGAAATCGAAATATGAAAATGAGAAATTGATCGTCACAGAAACGATGTCGAAACTACGTAATGAACTCAAATCTTTGAAAGAAGATGCCGCAACATTTGCATCGTTACGCGCAATGTTTGCCGCACGTTGCGATGAATATGTGACACAATTAGATGAACTGCAACGACAAGTCCATGCTGCCGAAGAAGAAAAGAAAACATTGAATTCTCTGCTTCGTATGGCAATTGAACAAAAACTGGCGTTAACACAAAAACTCGAAGATTTAGAAATGGATAATGAACGAGTACACACAACTGTCGCTACTCCGAAACGAACAAATAATTTGAGTGCTACTCTTTCAACAGCTAGTGCAACAACACCAACTACGAGTGGATCACCAATGGGATTGTTAACGACAGTTTCGAATACAGCGACTAACAATATGGTAAATAACAATCAAAACGTTGGTAACAATGGACAAAGTCAAGAACAAAGGCGCGGAAGATTCATACCACCACGAGTAAGTTCAAACACGAATAGCGAGATGATTTTTTACCGAAAAGAGTTTGGATGCTAATCGAACTATTGAGCGAGTAAACGAAATTATCCCTTCTCACTGTCATAGTCTAGTCAATTGTATCTTTTTGGAAAAGAGGTTGGTATCAATGAAAACAATATACTTGATGATGACGAGATGTATACACATTCGACCTCATTTATTGTCTCTTATGCATGTTTCAGATGATGCAAGCTCTTGCGTCAAATCGAAATCAACAAGTACAAAACAAACGATAGAGAGATAATCAGTACGATAAAGTCAAAGTTGCTGCTCTTCGTGTTTTTTTTTTCTAATCTTGCTTGATTAAGTTACATATTAACATTGATAATTATGCACCTATAATCAATGACGCATGGTTTGCTATTTCTCTTTCGAATGATATATTTTCTTTACAAAACAATTCAACAACAATATTGCACTAGAATGAAATTTTTATACCTATAAAAAAAACGACATCTCTATTGCATGAAAACAGTTTTTCAACGTTGTGTGTTTGATTCTTTTATTTTATTTCTTCGAACATCTAACCATATTAAACTCTAAACGTCGACTTTCTACTGTTTAGGGTCGTCAACACAAAGCATTTACTTCTCCAACCTCACACACACCTCCATCATCCAAATGGGGCCATTAATATGGATACTAAACCTTCTTCTCATCTGTTCTCCTTGTAAATCAAAACAATATACTTGTGTGCTTTATTCCTCATTTCTTCTTTCGTGATACATTTTTGAAAACTATCTCTGTACATGCTTAAATAGCTTTTCTCGGATCATTCCAGACATGTATGTATCTATCTTCTATTTCCTATACTCGATAGTTGCTTTGCTAGTAGTTGATCATTTACTTCTGTGTTCTCGCATTCCATTGATTTCAATCACGTTTTGTCTTGAGTCGAAAGATCTGATTGTTTCTGTCTTTTTTTTAAACATGATTTTATCTTGAAAAGTATGATGAACGGAGAGGGTGTTTTTTTAAACTTATCCGCGCAATTCTATGAGATTGGATTTTGTTTTCTTGTTTTGTTAAATACGTCTCTTGCATATATATTTTAGTATGAAAAACAAAGACAAAAGGTACTATGTTATGCGCATGAAAAATGTTTGCATGTTTCTCTTCTTTCTCTTTACTTCTTTTTAACTTTTGTTTATTTCTTGTTCCATGGCGGGTTTTTTTAAATACATGCATTTGGAGAATACAAATGAACGAACGCATCTCTCATTTCTCTAAACAGAACAATTGAATGAATCCGATGGCATCTACATTCGAAATTGTATGATTTATGACTTTTAATTTTATAGTTCTCGTTCCAGTCGATTAAAAGAGTTAGTCGTATATTTCCCGTGTTTATTTATAATAGACTAGAAAATGACATCTTCAATCCATCTAGCCAGTTGCGCAAATAATGCATTTAGATATATGTATATATACACATGTTGACTATTCTGTAAATGATCGCTGTTTGTAATATATGCTAACGCCATTCGATAATTGCTGTCGACAGCTCTGTTTGTGTCCTTCTAATTGGCAAAAAAATCAATTATGCAGCTCGATTTCTTCGACAGGGAATGTTTCGTTTCTTATTTGTTCACATTTCTGAATATCTAGCAGGATATAATTATCAATCTGTCCGTCGAAATTTTATCGTCGTTTTTCTGTCATTCACAGCATGTATCTGTACGAGCTGTAAAGATAAGGATCAACAAGCAATGAGAAGAAAATCAATCAACCGATAATGGAAAATTGAAAAGCAAATGGCGCCCTACGAGTGGACAACAGCTATATACGATGGTGCCATTCATACTCGTTATCAGGATTAGAATGACGCTTGATTGACTTCATCATCCTCATCAACAACAACAGCAGCAGCAGTGGCTATCCACTTGTGGATATTCTTTTGTTTCAAATTTCGTGCACACGACGACAGATGGTCAGATGTCTATATAGACTCCCATTTCCTGTCGTATATTCGTTCGTTCTCNCATCACTTTCGTCGCAACTGTTTCGACAGTCACTGGAAATGGGTAAAACTTCATTCAACAGATTCCACAACCATTTTACTTGACAACAATCAACAAATACTATTCCATCCAAGAACAAGTTCATCAACGCAAGTTATTCTTGCTGATCAACCATTACCATCGAATGGCAAACATTATTGGGAAATCTATATGCCTGCTGTCTATGGTACATCAATCATGTTCGGTATTGCCAGTAAGTTAACGCCGTAGATTCGTTTTATTTGCTTATCAAATGATTATTTTAGCTAACAAACAACAATTAACCTCCTCTTCGTTCATAAATCTAATTGGAAATGATGAACACGGGTGGGGATTATCACATCGAGGTTTATTATGGCACAATGGTAGTTCGCATCAGTATTTATCTGAACCTATCGAACCGCTACAGCCGGTTCTAATTGGTCTAGAATTTGATGCTGATGCACGAACGCTTTCATATACAATCAATAAGCAATCATTGGGCATTGCGTTTCGGAATCTACCAACGAATGTGTCACTGTATCCAGCAGTATCATCTACGAGTGCCCAAAGTACAATGGTGTTGAAACATCGATGTAAATTATGTTCAAATTTACGTGAGATTTGTTTAAAATACATCAAAAGTTTAGGATACAAAGAGCTTTATGATGCATTACTACCTCGTCATTTAATTGAGCAACTTTTGTAGTAAGAACAGTGTATTCTTGTTTATATTTAATTTATTGATGTCATATCGTGGAAGTTTTCAGTCGTGTTTCTTTTCTGTTTTTCTTTTCTTCATGGCCGAGGTCGAGAATGTGCAATGCTCAGCATGTGTATAAAAAAATTCAGCATTGTAAATTTGAATCTTCTTTTCTGTTCACATTCCTTGCGAACAAATCTTTTCTTGTCGTTTTCATTCCATAATGATCAAAACAAATTCGACTTATTATTTTTTTGTGCTTCTTCTTCTTCTTTTCGTTCATGCTGTTGTTCGATTTCTTTTCTTCAAAACGAGTGCCATCTAGTCAAATGAGATGTTCATGCACAACGTTCATTTCTGTACAAATCGTCTTGTGTTTGTATACGTTTTCTTTTCTTTTCATTTTTTTTTCGATTATTGTGTAAACGAGTCAAGAACAAACAAAGATTGTATAAATAAATCTAAATTATCATTTTAATCATGAATATCAACTCGATATTTTCTCGTGATCTTTGAGCTCAATTAGGAAAAAGTGTAGATGGATTAATTGATTATCTGACGAGAGAAAAGGAATTGTTTATATATAAGTTGTTACATTCTGCTTCAGTGACCTATGATAACGACGAGAAATACGATGGAAATTGGAAAGAATAACAGATACTATTCTGAAGAATCCGGAAAGCATCACAAGGAGAAGAGAAATTTCAATCATTCGGAGATTAATGTCTGAAAATTGATAGCGCAAAAGAAAACAATTATTTTGATGTTTTCTCTCGAAATGAAACCCATTTTCTTCGGATTTTTTCAAATATTGTCTTGCATTTGATAAGTAGTTTTTATGCTTTTGTTTTTACTCGGTGAATTCATTACTCGAGTGTTTTATCAGTAAATACAGATAAAACTATTTTCCTACAATCAGCTATATAAAATAAGCCATACGGCGTCGTACTTAATCGACATTTATGTATCTGGCAATCCGTCATGAGTGATAAGGATATCGCTAGCCATTCAATTAGAAGTCTTCGGGGTAGAAATATGATAGCAATTGATTTTGAATTATAAACTTAATAATATTGTCATTGTCTTTGGATACAACTAGATATAATGAACCGATTTCGATATTTCTATTATAAGCAATGTGCTAATTTATTTAAATAGATTTTCTATATGTTTTGATTACTCGTACCGGAGTACGGAATCACCGATGAGTAAAAAACTGTATCATTCCGAATAGAACACCCAATAGGTCCTCAATGGGTTACTGTTCAAATCGTTTCCAACAATAAATTTTACGTCAACTGTCGAAAACATCTCTCTGCAATTGTGTAACACGTCTCGATTGACCTTGTTTGTGACTGAAGAACGCACCAGTCAGTAAAAACACATGCTCAAATGTTGCCGATGTTGACCCATTTTTTAACACAATTCAAATTGCTTTCCAGGAGTTGACAATCACGAGCATATATTGACATATAACTCGCTTCTTTCATACACGCATCAGTTGGGCTACTTAATCGATTCAAAAGCTAGATCGTATACAATTCGCTTCTTATGATGAATAAATCTATCACCCTTGAAACTCTTAGAAAAAGTTTTTCTTCTACAATTAAGAAGATTGAAGTGCAAGAAACATTACATTGTTTAGCGCCCTCTACTTGAAACAAATCTTATTGGTTTATATGTTCCGAAGTTTTTTTTTTCTTCTAGATTGAATGCAACAACGATGTCGGTAATAAACAGATTGCCTGACTGGTCAACACGACAAAGAACGATAAGCAAAAGAAACAAAAAAAAACAAATAATCAAACATTAATTATCTTACCTTTTATAGCAGTTTATCTCAAAATAGATGAGTATGTAAAAAAATTGGTGTTTTGAATGTTTCAAAATAACTTGTAAATTTGCCCGTTTTTTTTCTCAACAATAGAATATGACAATGAGCGTATGTAAAGTTTTATTTTGGGTTGATGAATTCAAGAATAACTGGTTACCAAAACATATCCCGAACAATCATGATTTGACCGAATTGATCATCGACAAAATAAATGAACTCGAACATATATTGACTCGTAAGAGAAGATTACTGGGTAAAAATGAAAAATTCTCAATAATTCGTCCTTCTATTTAAGCTGAAAATACTCCAAATGTGAATGAGTCGTCTGATTTCAATGAATGTCAACATGAGCCCGAAGACACATCACATCAAGATGATACACCAATAGCAACCGTTCTCAGTAATCATACGGATGAGGATATCGAAAATCAAGAGCTATTTTCTTGGCCGTCTATTCGTATCAAACGCATTCCGTTAGCCGAAGCGGAACTTTATATGCCCGAGGAATGGAAACTTGGTAAGCAAATTCCTCTTCTCGTTACAAAAAAAAATCTCCTTTACCCATATTTTTTAGCCAAGCCAAGACGTGGTAAACGGAAAAATCAGAAGAAACTGCCAGCAATCGTTTCAAAAGGAAGTACAGTCAAAAAGAGTTCACGACAAATGAAGACACCGTTGGCATCCACTCAGGATACAAGTGCAAACGAAGGTCAGTGCGCTTCTAACCTTGCCTTTAGCGTATTAGAAAACAGTCGGGATGAGACGATCTACTCATTAGGATATCATTGTTGCGTAGCATCTATTAATCATAGTCGAATGTGTTTTCTCGCTGTATCCTTTGTATACATCATAATTGTGTGATGAAGTCATGCGGAAAGTAGATTTCTCCGGTTGTCAAGACAATACATCGTCGATGCTTATTCAACTAGACAGCATTCGAAGTTTCCTTCGGCGAGCATACTTGTTGAATTTCTGTTTTTTTTCTATGAAATTTAAATGAGTGACGAGAAAATCAATTGTGTAGAATGACAAAAATCACCTTTTCTCGTATAAGTAGAGCAAAATTGATTTTTGATTACCTATGAGAAGTGTGAGTAAGTAGAAACAAGGTTTCTTTTTCTTTTATTAATAGAACAAAGTGAGCAGTTATATGATGCAAAGTTTCATACGTAGATTAAAAAGAGGCAGCACGCTTTATTGACTGTGACCAAAAAACCAGCGGAAGTAAAAGAACTTGCACTACATTGTTATGAGTCCAGGGCCGGTTTTTCAGCGAGGCAATCATTGGTTTCATTTTGTACCTAATGATTCAAGCGCGGTATTCGATTCTTTTCTATCGTTTAGCTACAATTGCTGTGCGAAAGTCTGGTCGATCGAGAAAAATCAAGAAATTCGAATTATCGTCATCTTTGAAAAGTATTCCGTCCATACATAGTGATCAACAGAAAAGCCGCCGTAAACTACGTGCTAAAATCGGTGAAGATGATGATTTGTTTACGTTAGGAAACTTATCTCAAACAGATCATGCCGATGGCGAATTAGATTGTGAACAAGTACCACGTTTCATAGGTCAAAATGGTATTCTCTCCCAAACGCGTAAGCTAAATGAAACTACAACAACATTATCAACAATTGACGATGACTTTACAATTATATCTCAGTCGCAAAAAACAATCGTTAGTGAAACATTTGTGAATTATTCGTCTAATGACCCCCCTATTCATCCGACTCTACCTGACGTATCCATTGCTGAACCGATGAATATTCTCGGAGATGTAACTGCCGATGAACGTGAACAAATGTATCAAGAAATAATCGAAAACGATGACAATGAATCGTTATTAACTTCATTGAATCGAACAAATGAAAGCCATCCAATGACGAATAACAACAATACCCTTCTTGATTATCATTGCTGTATCGAAGACATATCGAATGATGGTATAGATCTTCCACCAGCATCCTCATCGCCGAGCTCAGTTCACGTTTCTCTAACGACGTAAAGGTAAACTAAAACAGTTACGAAGTACACTTTTTACGACTTAGAAAACTTTTCGTGTCTTTTTTTTATATTCTACTTCGCTTGTTTGATTTTCTTTCTCGAATATGATCTTGATTACCGTCTATCTTCTCTGTGGTACACATTTCTGTTTTGTTGTTCAATGGGCTTTCAGTTTATTCTTTCTTTCTTTCTTTTCTTTCATAACAAATGTATCATCCTTGAGACGGTTTTACATGATAGTTATGCAAGAGAAACAACAAACAAACAAGAGAGCTTAGAACGAGTTATTTTCCTTCGTTCGTTTTTGGTGTTTTCCTTCTTGTATATTAATTGAAATAATAAAATCACTTTTTGAAAATAAATAACTAAACTCTTCGTGATCTCATTGTAAACTCAGACGAACATGTTCCCTTTCGTTTTAGGCCGCACTAACTTTGCTTTTCAGATCGATGTCGGCTCTTAATGATTCGAAACGTTCATTAAATTCATCGTCGAATTCGGATACATCGCCGATGAAAAAGAAGGCCAAAATTGCATTAAAACGAAATGTGACAAATTCATCGTCGTCCAGTGATGATATCGATATTCCAGTGGTATAGTAGTTTTTATATTATTTTACTTCATAATAGATTTTGACACACATTCTCACAGATGAGAAAGATTTGAAATTGTCCAAGAAAGTTTTTTTTTAATTGAATTTATTTTGATTAGACTTCGACAAATCGCGCAAATACTTCTACTGTTACCAAAGTTCCAGCAGCGTCTACAGCTGCAGTAAAACCTGCTCAGATATCTCCACCAGTATCTACTCAACCAGCAGCATCAGCAACTCGTATTCAAATTCAACGTTCGTCATCATCTTCTAATGAAGATTCCAATGGTAGTGATGAAATTCTCACAACACGTACTCGAAAACGTCGAAAGAAGCCTGCATCCAGTGAACGTACGAATATTTTGAAACAAATGAAACGGAAAACTGAAGAAAAGAAAAATACCGTTGTCACAGAAACGATAGCTCTAACCATTCCCGATAAGAATAACAATACCAGTCATAGTGAAAATGGAAAAGCTCGCAATGGTGCAAAGAAATGTTCGTTTCAATTCAGCGACGATGAAGACGATGACAATACCAACCATACTGAACTGAGTCATACTAAAAACGCCAATGACGATGATGGTGAGACGACTGAAAGTTATGAAGTCGAAAACGATAACGAAGACGATCGTGTAAATAAAAATGGAAATATCAAAATTGAATATGACGATGAAAATGACGACGAAGAAGAGGAAGATGATTCTCCATCGAAACGTAAAAGTGGTCGAAAGAACATTCGAAAGATCATTGATGATAAAGAATTAGATACTCAAACCAAACAAGCTGTAGAAGCTGAATTAGAACGTCGTAAACGTATTGCTGAAAAACAACGAGAATACAATGAGATTTTAATCGAAAACTCAAGCAATACTGTCAGCAAAGACAATGATCAAGTAAATAATTCCAATCGTCGACTAATTCTTGAATTAGATCAAAACACGAACGAACCCCTAATTGAAGTTTCACCGAAATTGGTTCAACACTTAAAACCACATCAATGTGATGGAATCAGATTTCTTTGGAATAATGTTTTTGAATCAATTGATGCAATACAAAATAAAAAACATAATGGAAGTGGCTGCATTCTTGCCCATTGTATGGGTTTAGGGAAAACTTTACAAGTTATCAGTTTCATTCATACAATGTTGAATTATGATCAGATAACTAATGTCAAAACATGTCTCGTTCTGTGTCCAATCAATGCGGGTAAGATCGATAATGAACAACGATTGGATTGTAGAAGATTGTTTTTGTTTTTCCATAGCTTTGAACTGGTCCAATGAATTCGAATCTTGGTTAAATGATGTTGAACCACCTGTCGACCATTATCAATTAACAACTATTAAGTCAAATCTACGTGTTACACATTTGAACTATTGGTACGAACACGGCGGTGTTATGATTATGGGCTATGAAATGTATCGCCGTCTGGCCAATGGTTTCGGTTTGAAAAATAAAAAGATCAAAGCACAAGCTTACAAATGTTTGGTAGATCCAGGGCCCGATGTTATTGGTAATTTCAGATGAATAGTTGACAGATAAATTAAATTCGTTTGTATTTAGTCGCTGATGAAGGACATATTTTAAAAAATGCGCAAACAGCTCTGGCAAAATGTTTAACAAAGATCAAAACATCTCGTCGTATCGTCCTAACAGGCACACCGTTACAGAACAATCTTATCGAATAGTAAGTTCGAATTGTTTTGTATCGAAGTCTCTTTACAATCGTTGTCTCACATGTAGCTATTGTATGGTTTCCTTTATAAAACCGAATTTGCTTGGTAGTCAACAGGAATACATCAATCGTTTCGTGAATCCAATTCAAAATGGTCAACACCGGGATTCGAATGAAGACGATGTGCGTTTAATGAAACGACGTGCATGTGTTTTACACGAACTGTTAACAGGTTTTATCGATCGAAAAGATTATTCCTTATTAAAAGAGTATTTGCCGCCAAAATTCGAGTATATTATCAATATACGCTTAAGTGATTTACAAACGAATCTCTATGATTTATATCTGAAATATCAGCAACAACAACAGCAGCAGAATGCTTTGACAATGAAGAAAGATTTCAAATCAGCGAAACTATTCGCTGATTATCAGTATTTACAGAAGATTTGGACGTAAGATAGATAGAGGGAATATGTGCATTGATGATTGTGAGTTATTTGTGCTTTGTAGACATCCATTTTTACTCTATCCACATTTTGTTGATCACTGGAAAAAGCGAATGAATCGAGATGAAGATGACATGATCGATGATGAAGATTTAGAAGCTATGTTTACTGATGAAGATGAAGAAATGGTAGAAATGAAGAAGAAGAAAACACAGAAAAAAAAGGTAAATCGATTTGCTTTATCAACGTCGATTAATCGTTTTCATTTTCAGAAGGAATCACAGAAAAATTTTAGTGGCTTTTTAATTGATAATGTCGGTGATGAAGATGACAAAGCAGCAGAAACAACGAAAAAATCCAAACGGACAGTTTCCAAATCATCCAATGGCTCATCGAAACATGACGATGAAGAGGAAGACGATGATGATGATGATGACGATGATGACGAAGTTATGCCCGAAATGGAGTTCGATTCGAAATCCAATGCAAGTGATGATGATAATAAAGTCGAAATCGTGAAAAACTATCGAACACGAAGTCGAACGGCAGCGAACAAGGAAAAACAACAAATGTTAAAAGCATCCAATGGAATAAATCTGAATTCTGATATCTTCGATACTGGTAATAACAATGTTCGATTGAATGAATCAACAGACGATGATCCACAAGAGAATTCGGATGAGCCATGGTCGAATGAAATGCGCGAACAATTCTGGTTTCCATTCTTGGACATGTTACCCGATGCAAGTGAATTTGATACGGAATTAAGCGGCAAGTTCTTCCTCCTGAAATCCATTCTCGACAAATGCGCTGAAATCGGTGATAAGATTCTTGTTTTCTCACGTAGTTTATACACATTAAATTATATCGAACGATTTTTATATCATCTACACACACAAAATCAACAAGAATATAAGAAGAAGTGTGAAGCGAGAAGACAACTACGTCAGATTCTTTCTACAAATGATCATTTGAATGAATACATTCCACAACCAACGGAATGGATCCGAGACCAGGATTATTTTCGTATGGATGGTCAAACCGATGTAATGACAAGAAAACGTTACGCAAAAGCATTTAATGATGAATCGGATCTACGAGCACGATTATTTCTGATTTCGACATTAGCCGGTGGTATTGGAATTAATTTAGTCGGAAGTAATCGAGTGATCGTGTTCGATGCAAGTTGGAATCCAAGGTAAGCAGTATGTGTACTTGATATTGAGAAATATTCTTCGTTTTAGTCATGATACTCAAGCAATATTTCGATCGTATCGGTTCGGACAGAAGAAGCCGGTTTATATCTATCGATTTTTGGCACAGGGAACTATGGAAGAAAAGATCTATCAACGGCAGGTGGTTAAACAATCTTTATCTCAACGGTAGGAAATTATTACAGTCATTAATCTCAAAAGAAAGCTTTATATTCTTCTAGGGTTATCGATGACCACCAATTAGATCGTCATTTTACCGAAAATGATATCAAAGAATTGTATAAATTTACTCCTGAACAACTACCAGAACAACGTTCCATCTCGAACACAGATTTTAATTATGCTGTTCCAAAAGATCACCTATTGCTCGATTTATTATATGAACACAATCAATGGATACATTCATATCATTCTCATGACTCGTTATTAGAAAACAAGCTCGATGAAGGTCTTAGTGACGACGAACGACGAAAAGGTAAAGCACGCGGCATGTTATTCATTTTCTTACTTCATTGCTATTTGTTCATTAAGCATTGGAAGAGTATGAAAATCTCAAACGTCTACCGGATGCTCGTCAATTGACTGCGCAGCGTTTACAACAACAGCAGCAGCAATTAACATCGTCAGCAATGCTTCAGCTTCCTCAACTTCAACAAATGTACATTGACTTGTTTCGATCGATGTCAGCCGAGGATCAACAATCCTTGGATTATACGAAAATGCTCCAGTATGCTTATGAACTTGGTTTAGCACCGGAAAAGAATTCCTCGTTGAAACCCACAACAGATTCGAACGAAGTCGTCCTTTTAGAAAGTGATGATGAACAAACTGATAATGCTCAATGAAGATTTCAACTATTTAATTATTTACTTCAGAGACCTATTTGTCAGATAATGCATATAAATTACATTTCAATTCTTTTCTTTTGTTATTCTTCTTGTATATGTTTATATAATAACACAATTGTCTTTCGATGATTGACCTCACTCTCTCTCTCTCTCTTTTTCTCTCTACTTTTCGTTGTGACATATTCTTTTTTTTTTTGTTTAAAATAACTGGTTTTCTTTTTGACATGATATGTTTAGGCCAAAAAAGTCAACGATCGCAATTGAAATAAATTTTGAAAAGAAATCTTACTAAGAAAAACATACGTCCATATTTTCTTATCTCAAATTCATCTAATCGTACACACTTGCAATTTTGATTCATTCAGAACACTTCGTAAACGCGTTGGTACACATTTAATGTAAATACGAACATTGTCGGTCATAAACAAATAAATATGCTATTCACGTCTACTCGTCGTATCTGATCGAAATATATGAAAATATTATTTTCTCATTTTGTTTTCTACAAACATCAGTTCTAGATATAAAATATAGCAAAAAACTGAGTTTTTCTTTATCCTAATATGATATGATACATGCTGATGGATATAGATCAATATGCTCTTTTTCCGAACTGATTATTTTATCAATCACTAGCTTTCAGTATCAATAGAAATCATTTTTATTTTACGAATAAATAGACGTACGTCAGTACAAAAACATTCATCTAGCGCTATTACTATTCGATCAAACACCTTTGATAGTCACCTTTTGAAGGTTGATCTTTCGACTTGAAACTTTGCAACACTTGTCGACCATTCAGCGGTTGCGGCTCACGAAAATCTTTTATCAGAATATCATGCCGTAAAACTTGGAATTCACCATCTTTCACTATGATGGGTGCCCTGAATACAGTCCAAATAATATCTTCGATGCATGGCGGTGTTGTTAGCGAACCTCGATACCGCCAGAAGTCATTCAAATTGTGACTTTCTAACCACGAGAGATTCAGATCAGCTTCTATGAAATCACCCACGTTTTGTAGATTTTTAATTACAGAGAGATATTTCTGCCACTCCACTAATCTCAAACTTTGACCATCTTCATCTTTTTCGCTCTGATCAACACTTGTGACAGTAATACTCTGAATGAACATACCAAGAACAGCCATTTGGCCAGTTTTGAGGTTTGTATGAACTATATGCATCTCACCAGAATACTTTTGTCCATTCCTGCATCAAATCGAGTACCTTAGCATAATGATGTATTTCATCTATTCACTTACACTCGATGTTCACTTCCTGACTTGTAATTCTCACCCCAGTGTAGATGGAAATTGGTTAGTTTGAATGTTCCGTTAAGACCACCGCCATTGAGCTCGTAGGGTGATGATCGATTAGTATCAATATATGTGCCAACAATAGTATGACCATTGTTGAGAAGTTTGAACTTGCGTGTTTGAGTATATGCTGACGAGAAAGTGAAGACTTTGAATGACTGAAAAACTGTGCACGGTGTTCTGATGTTGATGGGTGATTGCGCACGTCTACCACATATTGAATAAAAATCGCTCCATACATCAGGCCCTAGATCTCCGTAGTTCCATTGGGAAGCATAGGATTGTTGAAGAAGAATAGTGAAGCTGGACATAATTAGAATAAATGTTGAGTAATACATGTCCAATATCAAGATTCGTCGAGAAGTCATATCCGTAATCCAAGATTTTCAATACTAAACAAATGAAAGAAATAAGATTCCACACGAAAAGTATTTGTTTCAATTAGATTTAGTAATCAGATTGAGAAAAAAATCATAGAAGTATGTATGCAGATCTTGTTTAGTTTTCTCTTTACATGTAAAATATGCCGAAAACATCGGTAAATTAACTACGAACTATTAAAGTCTGCTTTTAACGCTTGGAATTTTTCACATCTATTACCTTACGACAAGTGTTGATTAATATAGTCAGAATCATTGACATAGTGGAATCGTTCGCAAACAAACTTTCGAAATCATTAATATACCCTAGCCTTCTTTTGATATTTTTCATGATTAATATATAAATCTTATTCTTTAGTACACATTACCATGAAATTATTTTCACATTAGTGCACCTGATATTTCTTACAAGTGATTCATTTTGAATAGCAGCCAGAAGTGCAAACTCATATTCTATTCATGAATTTGTACTTTTATGTTACAGGTCATGTGGTCAGTTTATTCTAGCGTCTATGCGTCATCACAAACGATTGCGCTTGCATTTCGAGAGTCAATCTCGTTTTTGCTTCGTTCAATACCTAAAGGAAGCGAATATGAATAAGTGATTGTCACAATATTCTTATAGTACAAGGCACGAAAACCAACAAATTCATACGTGCCAACGAGACCACCACTGGTTAATTTGAAACCAGATGGACTTTCGCCTTCGAGCGTGACAGAAATAGTATGTCCATTATTGATAATCGCGGAATGTTTTGCATTCTTGCATGTTACCGCAAATTTGAATTCATCACAAACTTAGTAAACTGTTTTGGCTGTTACTGTGTCAATTGGTGACTGATTTTTCAGAACATTGTGGGCAGGCATCGCTCCAAGCGTCTGGTCCTTCAGAACCATAATTCCATCCATGTGAAGTCAATTGATGAACTCTGTTCACCAATATAATAAAAACACGTATCCACAGATACAATTGGTTAGCTTCTCTTTTAACAATAACGAATTGTAATGATCAAATTGAGTGAGATTTCACTGAAGACGAGTAGTTACTATATAATAAAATACTTCTTGATTATCTACATATCTGCATATACACCTTAATAGATGATGTAAATAATTTTTTACGACGGCCAAAATACGGTCTGATAAATATCAGTTTGAGCTGTTACGGTTGATTTTCACGGGTAGAATTGACTGTTTGTGTATAGAGAAAGAGTCTATTTACAGGATATAAGGCGATTCTGACTATTCTGACACTGGAAGTATGTTCAATTAGTTGAGTATAAATACGATATTGTGGAGAATGACGTGAATGACTTTGATACAGATGGTGATGCAGTAAAAACTGAATATTGTAAATAAATATGAAATATCCATGATCACATAATTTTTTCTTAATCAAACTTATTTACGCTAATTTATGAGAAAAAACTCGACAGTATTATATCCCACACACTAATTAATAAATCTTCTTTAGATGTAGATTTTAGACCGAGAAAGAAAATACTAATAAACAATACAAGTACGCTGCGTGGCACTGAATTTCTCATGAGTTCAAATATTAACCCGCACAATTCAATAATATATTCAGTAAGACAAGAGACGTATCGAAGAAGGATGTACACATATTAATTTACAAGAACTCAATCATTGTTATTATTTGACTACTCAACTATAGTAGTCATGCTCTGAAGACAGGTCTATTAGTTTGAAACTTTGCGACGCTTGTCGACTGTTCAATGATTACAGTTGGCGAAAAACTTCAAATTCATTACTATCTACGCTAGTAGGTATTGTATATATTGTTCGAATAACTTCTTCTCTCAATATTTGTCGCGTTTGTAGTTTCTTTCGGTTTGACGTTCACTTTGGATGAACATGTCAAACACAACTACTTTAACAGATGATAGAGCTATATGAACAGAATATATCTCACCAGAATACTTAAGTTCATCTCTATATCGAATCAAATCATTTGCTATGAAGGTACACCTCGCCCGGTGCATACGGAAAATGATCAAAATATACCTTCCAGTAAGTTGAAATGATGATGGTTGATTGCTACGAACATTTGTGTCGACTAGGAATCCTATTCTGATACTGATAGATAAAGAAACATGATGATAGCGAGAATAATAAACATTTTGAACTCGGAGATTTAAGTAAGAGAATAGAGTGAGACATATGAATGTGATTTGCATTCGAGAAGACATCTGTTTATACATGATTAGAAAAAGGAGCAGCTCGATGGTCTTGTATGATATTTTATTTATTTTACATAAAAATGGTCATTATAATTTCGTTCATTATGCAAACTAATCAAAGGAAAATATCGTTATAACATCGTTACTGCAAAAGATAAAAATATAAAACCGTATACAAGCTGTGGACATTATGATCAATACACCTTACAGTGATTTTTCTGAGTCATCTATCAAGTTTGATCTAGGATTTATACAGATTAAACCCTATGACAATATTGTTATCGAATCTTGATTGATAATTATCTTTGTTTTGATTTGTGTTTCATTCTAGGTAACTTTCTCACGGTGTGCCCATCGAAAATTTATAATCGATATTTGTGCGAAAGCATAGGTGTCAAGATTGATTTCTTTTGCTCAGATAAAAGCGAACGCAATCACATTTTATTATCCACATAATGAATAATTTATCATATCAATATTAATAATTGGATTTTGTTTACTGTCATTAACAACATTAGATGTTTACCTTGTGTTATCAAATAAAAAACATTCTTTGAGAGCATTCCACGGCATTATGTATGACTATTGTTTTGCTCTCATTCTCTATTTGACATGTCTGTTCGATTAATCAAATAAAAATAATTGTGTGTAAAGGACAAATCAAGTTTTTATCTCAATAGAAATGGATATAGAAAAAAATCACAAAGAAAAAGAAAATGTATAGACGACTTGTGAAATAAAAGATCGAATCAGCTGCTCCGATTGGATCTTCATGCGGATAGCTGCGATACACCGTTCGTCCATGAAGACGTTGAGGTCCTCGATAGTATCTTGTAGAAATCAAATGTCGTAAAGCACTGAAGTAGCTATCGTCTAGAAGAATCGGTGTTTTGAAAACAGTCCAAATGGCACCCTCTGTGCAAGGCGGTGTCGTAAATGAGCCAGAATAACGCCAGTAGTTTTCAGTATCTTCGGTAAATAATGATGCTAGATTGAGAGAAAGTGTTGCTGTATCGTTAACCAATTTCAATTTGCTGGATTCTATTAGAAACCTGATCCAATCAGATGGCGTTGATGTTTCATTTGTAGAAGAATCTCTCTTTCGTCGTTTTTCATGCGTTGTGTTTGTTTGCTTGACAGTTTGTATGAACATTCCGAGTACAGCGATTTGCCCTGTAACTGAATTTTTATGAACTAAATGCAATTCAGCTGTATATTTGTGCCCATTCCTAAAAGAATCCGGTGTTGAAAATATTCAGACCTATTCGCTAGACTTACACTTGATGTTCACTGCCGGATTTGTAATTCTCACCCCAATGGAGATGAAAGTTAACGAATGCATACGATCCGGTAAGACCACCGCCTACAAAAGCGATAGTTGATGAATCGTTGCCTGTATACGTTGCTTGAATCGTATGTCCAGTATTTTTTAAAGTAAAATTCTGAGCCATATTATAACCAGAGTTAAATTGAAAACGCGTAAATGACAAATAGCTGGTAGTTTGTGTATCAACATCAATTGGCGATTGAGAGGAGCCATCACATGCTGGATAAAGATCACTCCAGACATCAGGACCTTCTTCATTGTAGTTCCATTCATCAGCAATAACTGATTGAGAAAGAACGATGAGCATAACAATAAGATAAATCATTGAATATGTCTTGTGTGTTTGTGTGAGAAAATGAGAGAGTGTGAGCTTCAACGAGGATTTCGATTAGTTATCTATGTGATTTGAGGACAATTGCGCATGTTTATATATCAATCTCGACGTTCTGAAAAGACGGATATGAGTATACAAACTTTTGAAAGGCTTTCATGATTGACTGATCATCGATCTATTGAAACAATATTTATTCACCTGTACAACGTAATCGTTAACTATCATTGGGCATTGTCTATTTTGCTCGTTCTTCGATCAGTTGATTGTAACTTTCGTACTGAAATGGCTATATTTCAGTTTAATTTTCGCATTTCAAACTACATTTAGTATCAATGGGCTTCACGGTTTGATTTGTCAGTACAGGTAATTTATTGATAACCTATCGATTGCCTTTATTATGTCAGTGAAAAGAAGCCCTATGAAGTTGGAGAAAATGATCTTAAAACAGAAAATAGCTGCCGAAGGCAAGAAAGAAGATGAGCAAGTTTTTCGAATGAGTAATAATTGCCACTGAACCGTTTGATTAACCGACGGATTTTGCTGGACAACAATTATAGTCTGGTATAGTCGACAAAGTTTCATTGTGAAAATTGCGATAGATAACCCGTGTGTACAGTGGTTGAGGTCGACGATAATCTTCAAAATAGATATTTTCTCGAAAATTTTTAAACTCGCTTTCCACGAACATTATCGGCTCTTTAAATATCGTCCAAATGATTCCTTCTGTGCAAGGTGGGGTTGTCAATGAGCCTTTGTATCGCCAAAAATCATGTAGATTTTCTCCCATTAGATATTCCAAATTCAGACTTAGTATTGTTGACGAACCTTCCGTGGTCAAATTTTGGGCGTGATCGAAAAATCTCAACCATTCTTGACGTGTTTCGGCATCAATGGATTGCATATTCATATTTTCCGTTTCGTTATCATAAGCTGTACTCTTCATGAATATCCCGAGTACTGCAGTTTGATTTGTAAGGTGATTTGTGTACACGAAATGAATCTCACCTGGAAAGGGACGACCGTTTCTAGCAAACTCAACGATATGAACAAGAAAGAATTCTCTCCCGGTACTCACATTTCATGTTCACTACCTGATTTGTGATTTTCTCCCCAATGTAAATGAAAATTCACGAAATCAAATGTTCCTTTCAGATCTCCACCTCTCAAACGAAGACTTGATAATTGTTTTTCACTAGCAAATGTTCCAACGATGGTATGCCCATTGTTGAGTAGTGAAAAATTATGTTGATGATAATAACCAGATTCGAATGCAAATGATGGAAACTTTCGGTAAGTTGTACATGCTGTCAAAATATTGATTGGTGATTGTTGTTGACCTCCGCATGTTGGATACAATTCACTCCAAACATCTGGCCCATTATCTGCATAGTTCCAATCGTGACTATGATCCGCAATGGTACCGGCAAAGAGAAGTACAATCAGTACGTTTGTTGGGCACATCAATTTATCAATGGGGTGTGTGTGTGTGATCGAATCGAATCGAACTCTTTAGTTTTATATTGCGAGGGAAATGATTTATTAGCTGTTCTAATGTAATAGTCACAGTGCCTGAGGTGTAGGTGTCTTTTTTTTTATTGCACATGGTCGAAACCGTTTCGTTGATTGATGTTGTTATCGTTTTCATCGTACTTTTATTCATATTTTTTTCTACGAATTGAGTGTTGAATTTTAAAAAAAATAAAGAAGAACAGAATTAATAGGGAATAGAAAATCAAGAGAAAGAAGAAAAATGAGTGTGTGGAACAATGTATAGGACCGAATATAAACGATTTCTCCTGGAGATTTTCACTTCTATTTTGTATGGAACAAAGATTATAATCGGGAATCGATGATAATGTTTCATTAACAAAATTGCGGTAGACAGTTCGATTGTAAACAGGTTGTGGGCCGCGATAGTCTTCGAAATAGATATTATCTCGGAAACTTTTAAATTGATTTTCAAGAAAAACAATCGGCTCTTTAAATATCGTCCAAATAACACCTTCCGTGCAAGGCGGTGTTGTTAATGAACCTTGATATCTCCAAAAATCAGCTAAATCATCACCCATCAATGTACCGAGGCTAAGATCAAATACAATCGAATCATTTTCCGATTTTAATATTTCGCTCGTATCGAAATATCTTTCCCATTCGTCCCGCGTTGGTTGGTCATCTTTCTTCAAATGACTTCGTTGATTATCTATAAAACTTTGCATAAATATGCCTAACACAGCCATCTGTGATGTTAGTGGATTGGTGTAGACAAAATGTATTTCACCAGCATATTTGATTCCATTTCTAAGAATAAAAATCGGATGGCAAAATAGAAAAAGTCGATATTTACATTTGATGTTCGCTGCCGGATTTATAATTTTCTCCCCAATGAAGATGGAAATTGACAAATTTAAATGTTCCATTCAAACCGCCACCCGTCAGTGTTAGCGGTGATTGCTGATACGCATCATTGATAATACCAATAACTGTGTGGCCATTATTTTTCAATGTAAAGTAATGTTTTTCGTTGTGAGACGGAGAGAACTTAAATGGGTGGAGTTTGACATATTTTGTACAAGCAGATAGAATATTTATAGGTGATTGAGATTTACCCGCACACATCGGATAATAATCACTCCATATATCAGGTCCTAGATGACCGTAATTCCATTGATTAGATGAGACGCAGATAAATAAGGAGAATAGAACCGAAAACAATCGCAAGTTCATAGAATACGATGAGATCTAGTGAACAAAGTAGAGTGAGTATTCGAGTACTACGTTAAACACTTCAAAAAGTAGCTAAATCATTCGAATACGACGCTAGATCGTTCGGCTATCAGATAAAAGAAACAAAGAACGCGTACAACGTCCAGATTATACTCTTAGAAGAAAGAGAAAGAAGAACGGCGGTACGAAGGAGGTCATCGCTATTCAAAGTCGATAAGGAGATAAAGATAGAGATAGCAGACAGTCGTTTCCTTACAGCTGACCAATAACCATGTTAACCGATTTGGAAGTGAGCAGGGGTCGCCGACTGATGATTCCGCGCAAGAAGGAGAAATTCCGTCGATCTAATATCTGAGTAATACTTTATAGAATGTCGACAAGAATCTAGGCTGCCAAAAGCTTTCGATCTAATGCCGTAATAGGAAAGATAGAAGTACCAATATACATGTAAAGTAATACTGTTCTTTGTTCGTTGCTTCTTCGAATGTCTAGAGAGATTCGTACACAAATGACATTGCAGTGCAAAGATAAAAAATAATTCACGCCCGTACTCAGTATAAATTGACGCGGAAATTCAATCAACAATGACTTTGATAAGATAAGTAGACATTTGGAATCTCATAGGGCAAAAGAGATTCTGCTCTTCTTTTTTTTTCGTAACATTTTCTGTGCGGAGAAAAAGAAGAATGTTTCAATACTGATTGGTTTCCGTTTTTATCAAAAGCAACAAACACTTGATGATCTCTTCTGTTGACGATGACTGGCGTACTTCTAAACCTAATTAAAATAACATTTATAGGGAAAATATGAATGTAAACAAACGTCAACGCGTGTGATCAGTGAATTTCGTTAATCCAAAGACATCGCCTATTTTCTCATCAAAACAGAAATAGGTATTGTATTACATCACGACGATAAAAACTTGCCTTCCATATGACCTTTCGTACTCTAATGTACTGTCATAAGAAAATGGTTCTAATCGTTATCAGACCACACTCTAATGTTGTCTAAAAAGAACATATTCTTCTCTGTACATTAGACATTTAATAACATTTTCACCCTTTTAATACCATCGATTCTCCTCATACTTTCTTAATACCACAACACCGATAACATTTTCGATTCTAAAAAAAGATAAGCGATCTAGTGTTGGTAGATGTCCCTGTCAATCGATTAGAATGTGATCCTAGGGACTTCTTAGTTTATAAGAATCAATCATCGTTAGACATCTGCATGTTTATAAAACCATTCATTAGTCTTCATATTTACGCATGCAATCGGATCAACAAAAACATAATTATTAGACAGAGCTACCATATCTAAATGGATCCGTTTCAACCTAATAATTTCATGTAAACAAATAAGTATCGACGAAATAGTAGTCGATGACATTATAATAGTTATTCTACTAACAATGATTATAGAAATTCAATGAGTTAAGGATCATGTGAAGTGAACCATATTTCTTTGGCTAATATGTTTGGCTCACTTCCTACAACCTGAGTTAAGCCATGCAAATATAGTCATGAAAATATTCTCCAAGGATTACTGGTTAAAATATGCCGATGGCATAATAAGAACGTGATTATCTCTGAAGAGAAACGTGTTTTTTTTTGCTAATACAATTCGAGGGAAATGAAATTTTTGCGCCTGAATTAACTACACATAGCAGTACATTTTGACAACGAAGAAAAATGTCAGTATGGTTCGTTTCTAACGATGTCTATTCGTTTAAATAAACATCGGTTGTCTGATAAAACATCGCGATCTTCAGTTTATCCTCATATTTATTACGGATCCAAGGAAGACGTTAGTTTTGAAGATTTATTTCAATTGTTTCATAAAGCATTCCCGTTAGCATTCAATCGTGAAACATTTCAACGTGTCTACGATGCATCGGATATATCAAATACGGCGTATCGAACGAAATATTGTTGGAAAATAAAACTCTATGCTGCCATCTTAGCAACGTCAACGTTCGATTCGAATCAGAAACGTCAATTAAAGATTCTCATGCTCGTCGAAGATGAGCATAGTTTGCATGCGATTAATGTTGGTCGACGTTTATTAGTGCAGTTGATTGAAACATGTAAAGAATTAGAAAACATTCATCGAATTTATGCGTATGTCGAATCAACCAATCTCGATGGAATTCATTTTTATACAATGATGGGTTTTCAACGAAGAGAAACGCTACCCGATTACTTTCCGCAACGTGCATCATTGACACCTGACGCTGTTAAACTTGTATATGAAATTGGAAATGATTCAAGTACTGAAGCTATTCAAACATTTCCAGTTACTAATCAGCCTTGAACAAAATTACTAATAAATTCATAATATCTAATTCCAAATTGTCAATAACAATGAGCATAAACGAAAGTGATTATTTTGTTCGAATTCTTTCAATCAGAATCAAACTTTCACAGTTGACATGTGCGCGCAAGTCTCTTCTCAAATCTCATAATACACTGTAGCCTAACATGCACAGTTTCATTCCAGAGTACGTTTAGAATATCTTGTAGTTTTGTTCGAGACAGAACGAAATCTATTTGCATGATATTCGTTCCTGTATGTCTTTTATAAGACGAGGACATTGAAATATGAGCGAGTGCAAGAGTATCGCTCTGTAATCGTCCGTTGATGTCGGATATCTATGGAACTTCGTATTACAACTGACGGACATTCATATACATATCTGTATGTACGAAAATGTGAACATTCGAGTAGATTCGGTTCAGATGCAATCTGCATTACTGCGCACCTATCAAGCAGAGGAAACAATCCGGAAAGAGTCGTCGTTAGTACAACATATTTGAATCAAGGACAATGTACGCATGTCATTCATTTTTTCGTCGACAGATAAAGCACACGCAAAATGAACGACGCTGTCACTATTCGATTTTGCAGCGATATGGCAAGATACCAGCGTGACTGATCGATAAGTTTGACATAAATTTCAGTCATCTGATATCTTTCCACCTTGCTCAAAAGAGATACCTGCGTTTCTAATTCAACAGTTCAGTTTTGAACGGATATAGTCTAGTCCATTTATTCAATCTTCGATTGATTTTATGAAGTACAGAAATAGATGGCGATATCACTCGATAAATAAAATATCTCTTCTCTGATGTATAACGATGTTGACATAGCTCAAAACATCTTTCTTTTTAATCTGTATGTCATTCCGATAAATCCATTTAGAAAATGTCTGCTATATGAGGAAAAAAAGCACACATTTCTTCTTGAACAAAATCGAAGGAATTCATGTCAATCTCAATTGGATATAGTCTTATTTCCCGCAGTTTGTCATTCGCACTCGCAACAACGTTTCTTCTCTTTTTCATTCGTCCTCATCTTCCATGTCCGATTCAATCTGTCATGCACTTCGTTTTGAACTTCTCTTACATGACAGTTCAATCGTAACAGCTATAATATGAATGACTGTGTATCTGTACAATCAATAGATTGACCTCCGTCATTCTTTTCTCTTATTCATTCTTTCACATTTGTTTTTCTCCTAGATCTAGTTCGTCTTTTGTAAACGAATTCCTTTAGAAAAATATCCTTTCTCGACGAACACAAATCGGACGATAGACATATACATTTACTAGCTGTTGTTTACACTTCTTTCTTCTATCCGACTGCCGAGTGAAGGACAAATTCGAAGTACACATAATTCAGTCATTCGTTGCGAAGTCATCGAAATAAACACACTCGTTCTAACATATCCATTTCATTGCACTTTTTCCATCGTCCATTTGTATTCGAGAGTGTGTCGATCATAATCATGGATGTTAATTGTTGTCCACGCAACGACTTTTCGTTTCCAACAAAGAATAGCACAAAGGATATTATTTCCACATGGCCAACATCATTAACTGGAAATCTCACAAGTAAAACTTTGATCAAATTCTTAACGTTCGAAACAAAGCGTTTCTTTCTAGATGACAATATCTTCGATCAAGAAAATAAACAATTTCAAGACTATATTCTACGTAATACTTCAAATTTGATTTCACTTGAACAATCGTCATCATCATCCTTATCATGCGTTTTGCCATTTCAACAATTGGTTCTCAATGATCTTGCAACGCAACATAATTCATCGATTTTTCCATTCACCAATTTAAATGAACCCTTACCATTCAGTGCAAGTCATCAAACTAACATCAATGACGAAAACGCTCGTCCACCCTGGTTACTTTCATTAGCACCAGTTTCGCAGATTTCGCCACCATATTCGCAACAAAACCAACAACAACAACAACAACAACTACCACCACCGCAACAGCAGCCACAGCCACAACAATCCATTCTTCCAATGATTTCACCTGTACAAGACGATTCAACAGAAAACATTCGCCATTGGATTGGCGATTTTTCCACTGAACAAACCAATTCGAATAATACAAGCAATTCGTCTAGTGGTCTCCAGCAAATTCCATTACTTTCACAAAAAGTATTCATTGGTGGCGTACCACGTTTTGCAACTGAAACTGACATTCACGCTAATTTTGATCGTTTTGGCGTCTTTGAAATTCAATGGCCCAAACTACACGGTGGACACAAAGAGCAACATCGCGAAAATGGCTTCTTTCATATTGTTTTCCACAACGCGAAATCAGTTTGTGCTTTGTTAGATAATTGCTCGCGTCATACAAACAATAGCGCATGTGCTGACTATTTCATCCATTTCGAAACTGCAACTGGCTCAAGAAAAACTGTCGAAGTCATTCCATGGAATATTGGAGATAATAATTATGCTTTACGGTAACTAGTTCGAATGTATTTCCTTGAAAATATCATCTGCTTTTTCTGTTAGCCCACCGCAACAACTTGATTCAAAGAAAACGATCTTCGTTGGAAATCTTCATGGTACAATGACCGCACGATATTTATGGCGTTTAATGGAAGATTTATTCGGTGGTGCTGTCTATGCCGGCGTAGACATCGATAAATACAAATATCCGTAAGCTACATAACCCATCAACACTAAAGGCAAATTCATCTTTTCTTGCAATTAGAATCGGCAGTGGTCGTGTCACATTCGATAACAGCTCTAGTTTTCTCCACGCTGTTTCTACTGCGTTTGGTAAGTCTTTGTAAGTGAGATGACACACGCACTAACATGAATTACCTTGGTTTCAGTTGATGTACGCACTCCACGTTTTCTCAAACGTCTTCAAATCGAACCACACTTACAATACCGATTTTGTTCATTGTGTAAAACTGCTGCTGGTGATTTATTCTGTCGAAATTTCGCTTGTTTCGATTACTTTTGTCAACGATGTTGGCAAAAGATTCACATCGGTAGCATGGCATCACACAAAGCAGTGACACGTCATTCAAAATCTTCTCAACCAGTCTTTCATCCCATTCAGCAACAATCACTTCCTCAACCAGTCGATTGCGTTGTTGGAAGCAATGGATTTTAAGTGTATGTCTGATATCAATTTGAATTGAATTTTTTCTAGTCGTCATCGAATATGGAATGATGAATGACTGTTTATGTGTTCTTGTTATCTTTTATATTTTCTCTCTTTTTACGTCAATTTTTCTTTCTCTTCATGTGAAGAGAGCTTTTGTTAGAAAACAATCAACAACTCTGTATGAGATTGTTCAATATGTGAACGTATTTTCTTATCAAATGGTTTTCTTTTTCTATTCAAGCTAACTAGTAGCTTGTCTCTTAGTTGATTTTCTTTTTCTCTTCGTTTGCTCTGTCGTTCAAGTCGTGCAAAATGAAGAATTCTGCAAATGAATCATTATTCTGTGTCTCTTTCTTTTATTCTCAATTTCATTTCTTCATCTTTTTCTGTCTGTGTTAGAACATGATCTGTTTAATATATTTTTCTTCTTTCATTTGGTATTGTCAATCTTTTTTCTCTTTTGCGTGTGTTTGAGTCTTTTTTTTGTCATCAGATATTTGTAAAACACTCACAATTTGAAAACAGAATCGATTTGTAGATTCTCGTGAATGATACTGTTTAAAGTAGAATAAATGATCTTAATTATGACAAGTCAAACGGCTTCTCTCATTCCTTCGAAGGCAATTACTGATCATCAATGAATACGACCTGACTCTTTAAGACGATAAATTCAATTTCAAGTCAATATTGGATAAGTCATTGATTTGAAGTGCGATAGATACGAACATCAGTCATCGCCGAATTCTTTCCTTTTGTGTAGTCAAGTGGAGATTAATTTTGATCATTACCTTTCGTCAACGATGCAGTGCAAAGACGATTGAATTCGCTTTCTTCGTATGTGACTTTTTTTCAGACAAAAAAAAACGACAATAATTATTAAACAACGACAACAACAAGAAAAAGAATGGAAAACATCAGTTCTTCAGTAGGACTGAAGACAAAAAATAAGAATAATTATTATTAATCTGACAGAAGAAGAAAAAAAACTTCTCCTAGGAAATTCGATCTAATTGTACGAAAATTTTGCCATCGTAGAACGGCACTAGTTCATCGTCCATTGTTAATTCACGAAACACATACTGCTCTTTGTTAATGTCCGGTGTACAAGTTGTTTTAAAGAAATACCTAGAGAAATGGAGTTATTCAATTAAATAATCACTATCCGAAAATCAACTCTAGGCATCCTACCTGTACACAGGTTGTTTTTTAAACAATTGTCGAAATTCCTTGAATGTTAGACGATCGTGTATGCGAGGAATCGTCGATAAAAGAGCATTATGACTATCAAGTGACGGATACCAAACAACATCAATAGTTGGTAAACGTTGACAACGAAATATTTCATAATTTCTGAATACAAAACCCGTCATGTTGATAATAACGCTATTTTTCATTCTTTCACTTACTTTTCTGATGTATCCGTTCCAACTCCTGAATCTGATCGCGTAAAACTATTTCCCAATGTGGAATGATTTTTGGTTTCATTGTATTTTGACATGTATGGAGATTTATATCGACAAGTTGTTTTCGATGGACTTTCAAAAAGACTATTATCAGCATCATCGATCGTTTTAGCAATTTGTGAATCCAGAACAGCTAACGAGTCTTCGTCCACTGTTCGATGGTCTGGAAAGGTAAATTTATTATGTACATTGAGCGATTGAGAAAGACCACGAATTTTGGCGGCACTGGAGCTTTCTCCTTGGTAAGCCAGCAAACGTTTTTTGATCTCTTCAAAGAATGCAGCTGGATCACGTTGTGCAAGACTGTACTCATCTCGTTGTTGTTTCGTCAATTTGGTTGTGCGCTGAAAAAAAACAGAGAACAAGTCTTCTTTCTTTTCTTTCGTATGTTTCATAAACATACCGGCTGTTTGGATATATTCAACCCTGCTTCATGATCAGCGATCAGTGTTGACGCTTCCAATGAACTAAAACAAAAAGCAAAACATTCGTTGAAATTATCGCTTCTGAAACGCCGTTCGTTGCTTCCTAAGAAAACTATCTACTTACAATGAATACGGATTTCGTATCAGTAAGAGTGTCATTGTTCACGAAAATGCACAGTTAATCTCAAAACAGAAGATATGTATATGTCTCTCTGTTTCTTTTCTTTCTTTCTATTTCTCTCGCTTTTTTTTTGATAGTCTGCTCTCTAACAAGCGCAGTGTCGGCGNATGAATGAGTGAATTGAAGAAAACGCAACGGACAGATAGAGAGAAGGCGGAGTAAGGCAAAAGTGAGAGAATGTTGTATTACGTCAAATGAAATATGGCATGTCTTACATGCGCATGAATGATTGAATAGATGGATGAAAGAGAATAGTTAACTTACTTTTTTGTTAGCTGTTGTAACAATGACATGGTTAATTTTTTATTAAATATCTAGAAAAAGAACTAATTTAATGCATTATTTATATTTCTTTTAAGACGAGATATTGAATAATCTATGCATTCTTTTCTCTTCTCAGCGACTTATCAATGCGAGCTACTCAACGACAAAGGAGTTACTTGTTGCGGAAAAGAATATTCAATCGAGGAGTTCTTCTTGAGCATTATTCTCCGATGAAAGCAAGGGAGGAGCTTGACGAAATACATCACTGTTGATTTTACATTTCCGAAAAGATCATCATTGTACAGTTGTTCTTGTACACGATTTCCTTACGAGGAATGTTTGTGTTGTCAGATTTTATTTCTGACAATCGAATATGGTTATCGATTGAACTATTTTCTGGTCATAGGGAAAAAGATTTGTTCAATCATAAGAGTGAATAGGACTGTCCTGTGGATATCACTCAATAAAGGATAACCGTTCTTTCTTCCTTGATCAGTTTCTGATAGGTTGGTTTTCATTCAATCAAAAGCGTTCTTTCGTCCTTCTTCTAATGTAATATTTATCAGCAGTAGCGACAAATTCTTATTTATAAACAACTAAGAAAGATTGTCCGCTCTTAGCCATTCCTTCATTTGCTTCGAACAAAGATGACAACAAACAATCGTGGAAATCTTCATTCATCGGATTTTTTCACTCGAATTCTTCTTCAATCAGGCCAATATACATCACCACCAACACTTGAGTCTGATGCAGAAAAATTGCTTGTTCATTTCGCGACTCTATTTGCTCAACAATTAGTTTCCAAATCATCTCTTGCTGCGACTGCAAGACGTACTCCAAAACCGACTCCTATTAATCTTAATGATGTTAATTTTGTTCTCAAGCACCAATGGCCTGTCTATGATTCATCCTCATACAATCAAACATTGAAAAAGAGTGAATAAATTATGTACTTTTTTTTCAGATATGACACATCATTATCGTATTAACGGATCGATGATCCAACAGTTCAGTGGCAAACCAGTTAGTATTATTGGTACAGTTAGCAAGGTAAATTTTGACGTTTTTACTAAGGAAAAACTATCGGTTTTGTTTTTAGGTCCATCCATCAGGCAATGTACTCGATTTGGAAACAAGCGATCAACAGCATATTGTTGTACGTTCATCGGATCATATTGTATGTAGAGAACGAACGAAATTCTTAGAAGATTATTTCATGAAAATCTGCTTCTCTTCTTTGCGCAGGTTGATGTTAGTCCAGGTAACATTATTGAAGTACTTGGAGAAGTGGACAACCGCAATCAGATCGCGTGTGATACTATTGTAACATTTGAATCTGAACAAACGGCTAATTTCGGTAAAAATAATGGAATAGCGAAGAATCTCTCTAGATATTCGGTTCAATTTCTTTAGATATGGATATGTACAATCAAGCTGTTATGCTTTTCCAACATTATCCTCAAGACTACCTTGTTAATCTTTAAATTTTGTAAAAAAAAACAACGAATGACTTAGGAGCTATTGTCAGATATTTTCTTATTGAATAAAACTCAAAGTTAGGAATTCATATACAGATATTCAGTTTTTATTTCAGATGGCTAGTTCATTAATTCGACATATCGCTCGACCAGTGTTAACAACAAGTAAAGGTAGCATACCACTAAGATAGAAATCACTTGATCGAGCGATACAATGTCTATTTAGGATTTCTATCTGCAGCAGCACATCGGAATATTCCGTCGACTTTGGTACTTCTCCATCGTACTCAGGCAACAGCACCACCACCAGGAGCAGCAGCAGCAACGCCGAATGTTCCAGCTCGTAAGTTTGGATCTTCCTCTACAATATATATTTACTTAAAAGCATTTCTATTTAGCAAGTCTTATTCGTGTGAATGTTGAACAACGTAAAGCATTAGTCGATTTTGGCCAATACGTTGCTGAATGTTTACCGCGTTTTGTACAACATGTACAAATGACATCAACAAATGAATTAGAAATTCTAATTCACCCCGACGGAGTCTTTTCCGTTATTGCTTTTCTTAAAGATCATACGAATGCTCAATTTAGTTCATTAGCAGATATCACTGCCATTGACGTACCTACACGAGTGTATCGCTTTGAGGTATGTGGGATTCTGTGCATTGGTTTCTGATTTCTTAAAATTTATTTAGCTCGCTTACAATCTCCTTTCACTTCGGTTCAATTCACGTGTTCGTGTTAAAACATACACTGATGAATTGACACCCATCGCTAGTATATGTGATCTTTTCGATGCTGCCAACTGGATGGAACGAGAGGTTCGTTGAGTGAACTAATACGAAATTTGGTGTACACTTATTTCTCTAGGTTTGGGATATGTATGGTGTTTATTTTACGAATCATCCAGATTTACGTCGTATTTTAACGGATTATGGATTTGAAGGACATCCAATGCGAAAAGATTTTCCTCTACCCGGTTATACTGAAGTTCGATACGATGAAGAACAACGTCGTGTTGTCATTGAACCTATTGAATTAACGCAAGATTATCGTAAATTTGATTTGAGTACACCATGGGAAACGTTTCCTAAAGTAAGCTTGGCCATTGCATTACATTTAATCAAAACGATTTTTCGTTTAGTTTCGTAATCCTATCCACGATGATTCAAAGAAAGCAAATGCGCCTGAACCAGCAGCTGCTGTTGGCAATGAAAATAAGAAATAACTGAACGACTCCTACGTTCCTCATCTGCTTTTTTGTTCCTGTATATAGGCGTCGTTTGTTTTTTTTTCAGTATCCATTTCAAACAATAAAATTATCTTAGCATCATCCCAAAAGATTGGCATTCTTGCATTTTTCTTTTCTTACAGATATCGTGCTATGTTAATCTCAACCGTCCTTCAAAGAACAGTTTTGAAGTCAACTTCATTGCCAATGATGTTCACACGATCGTATAGAACAAAAGATATGTTACGTCGACGATGTGCCGATTGTTATGTTGTCTGGCGTTATGGCCGAATGTATATCGAATGTCCAAAGTTTCCACGTCATAAGACTGTTTCGAAATTTGCTAAAGAAAAAGGTTGGGGCTGGTTAGATTGGCGATTAGCTCCCAAACTTGAACGGATCAAATGAGCGATTTCTAGGTTGTTTTTTTGTTATTTGATATTCGAATATCAACGAATAAACATTGTAGTGTAAGCGATTGGATGAAATTGACAAATCTCCTGATCATATTCCTAAAGCGTAAGATGATTGCTTGACTGTTCTTCTTTTTCTTCTATCTCCACATGTGTCTAACAAGTACAATAACAATCGCGCGAGAAAGTTATGAGAAAAAGTGATGATTGTCTAAGCAAAACATCATAAGAACGAATGAGATGAGATGAGCTGGCACGATGATATGAATGCTATATGAACAATGTCTGTGGGAGGTAGAGGAGGAGAAAAACACAGGAATAATTTCGGACATGGATATAAACTACTAGACTGTTGCAATCTCCGCTGTCATTAATCAAACAAATGATGAACCATTGTTTACAAGCCTGATTGCACACGTATGCAGATATTCATCGTTTTATCATCAATTCTCGAAAGGCAAGGGCCAAACAAGTCGATTCAGTGTATAACTTGTTAGTAGGATAATCTTATTGATGTAAAAGAGATGAGAATATATATCTATCGATATGAATATTCTCGAGTGATAGATAGAAATCGATTTTCCATCAATACATGTTCCTGATGTGACATTTTATTGATATGATCCTGGATAAAATTGTCCATTTGGAATTGTTTCATTTTCCATTTAACCATCTGTCGGCATGTTCTTTCTTTTTTTTTGATTGTTAGCTGATCGATTCGAGGTGTGTGCGCGTGTATATGTTAAGAGAAAACCTTGTCTCTAAACATCATTGCTTGTTTTTCAATCAATCAATCGCTTAGTCTTACGTCATTCTTTTTTCTTCTCTAGAAAAAAAAAAGGACAGCGATAATGCTCAGTTGTCTACTCAATGAATCACATATGTGTGCGAAGAATTCTTCTCTAGAAACGATCTATCAGGTGCTTGACATTTGACAGATTGATCTTCATTGTCATATCGATGGTGGTCATTGATTGGCTTCAAACGTCGGAATTCATTCGTGGTAAGTCGATTTCCTCTTTCGACTCGATATGTTGATCTTTGATTTTCATTTAGCGAATTCAGAACGATTCATCTTGTATTCCTTATGCGGTTGTTTTATTGGTATTGCCATGATTTTCTTAACAGTTATTATTGTTCTTTTCATGGAACGACGCGAATATCAAACTGAAGAGGATGAAGTACCTCGACATACCTACCAAGTACCAAGACCTGATGATATTTACAATGATATTTTAGCCGCCGAACGTCCTTATCCATCTGTGTATCATTACAACGAAAGAAGTCAAAGTGAAATTTATCATATCTAATCAATTAACGCAAAACTTCGAGATAGAATTACAACAGTCAACATCCGGTGATTATAGAAATTAGTTATATAATCGCTATTTGATATGATCAGTGTTTTTCACTTGAACTGATTTCAAACAAATCGAAAATCAATCAAGATTCGTTTGTGTCATTTTCTTTTTCTTAATAAACACATTCTAAATCAAGAAATCTATGTCTTCGTTGTTTTTAATCAATTATATCTGTTACTATGCTGTTGACACTGTCGGTATGTGTGAAGCAGCACGAAAATCAATAGAATTGAATCTATTCTGCACAGTATTTGATGTAAATAGAAATGGAGAGTTTTTTCCTCTAACTTTCTCTATCGTACGAATGAAGACATAGATCGGTGAGCAGATGATTGTGTTTATTTGTTTGTCACTATGCGATACGCATAAGTACAGAAAAGACGAAAAACAAAAATCTAATTTTTTTACATGTACTTCAATCTAATGATGCTATCAAAATTTGAATAAAAAGAAAGAAAGGAAACAGTAAGACTATAAAAGAAATTGAAAGAAAAGAAGAAAAAGAGCGAGCAAACATCAAAAGCTATTTCTAGTTATTGTAGTCAAAATTGATTGTTGGAAGTAGTTTGAATCAAAAATATATGATGATGCTTACAAATGAAATGACAATGACAAGTTCAATGAATAGAACTCCAATGAAAAAGCAACAAATAGCTGGAGTTATTACTACTGTTGAACGATGGACTCATCAACAGGTAAGACAAATATTTTTTGTTTTTAATTCAATGACAAACTTTACTGATTTCATCTATCGAACTATGCTTTTCACATAGTGAAAAGCCGATGTCTGAAAATGAACTTTTTTTTTTCATATTTTTTTATCTCTCCTAACGACAATGTTAGCTCTACACCCTGAAGTCAAACAATCACTTTGTAGCTTTGAATTATAAGATAACTTCTTTCATATCAACCAATCGAATGACTTTGTTTTGGCTTCTAGCGATGTCAATTTATCGAACGATTGTTACCTTTATGTAATACATATCAACTCGATATGCTATGGACAGTCTTACAACCGTCATTACATCGTGATTATTTTTACGCTGTTAAATTTCGTTATCCTGATTATCATTTCAAGCAAATTAGTACGCCCAGTAGTCGAACGTTGAAAGTATGAGAAAAGAAAAAAAACTCCTTTTTTTTTATAAAGTTCTGCGTAATATACAAAAAAAGGAATATCGTCATCGTCGTCTGGATGGAGAAGAAAGCTTCTACCTAAGCAATATCAATGATCTTCGAGAATTTCGTGATGATGATGGACTTCCGAAAAAGTCTCAATCAGTATTTACACAGTAAGTTTGTGTTTTGCTTTGTTATACTGTTGATGAAATTCTCAAATTATAATCATCGTTGTCGTGGCATATTTTTGGTATATCGTAGTGATTTTCTGTGCTTTGTAATTTCATTGATGGTATTGCTGTGCCGATCAGTGCATCTAATTGTTCATCCGTGAAACAAGTTGTTGATAGTCGCGGGTAGTCATAATGTGAACAATTCTCGTTTTGATTGTACATTGCCGAACAGTTGGTACTATATCCTGTTGATGTTATCAGATCGGTATTACAGCCAATCTTTTCTAAAACTTTGCGGATACTATTTGTGCTTTGAAGTGATGAACCATGTTGAGCTCGATAAGCTTCTGGATCAACGCGAAAGCAGCCGAATGTTTGTACTTTCTGTTTGACATGAACGCGAGGCGGATCATACTGCACGATGACATTACGCTGAGGACATCGATTTCGATCGACATTTTCTGCTCGTTGATAGAGAATAGGTCGTTGAGGCGTTGCTTTGTACGGCAACCATTTTTCAATGATGACGGGTCGAGGTTTTGCTGGTAGTGGCGGTTTACGTTTGATAACAACGCGACGTGGAGGAGTTGGAAGAGGTGGCAGTTTCTTTGTAATGACTTTAGGCGGTTGATAAACCGGTGGAGTTGGTGGTTGTTCGCGAACGATGATCGGTGACGGAGTTCGAGGTGGTAGTGGTCTATAAGATAGAAAAAACTTTCTTTGAATCTTCTGATAAACTTACAAAATCAGATGTTTACGGTGTTGTTGAAACGATGAGTGGTGGAGGATCGACTGGCGGTGCTGGATGAACTTCACGAATAACGAGCGGCCCTGGTGGCGGTGGTGTAGGCGGTCTTAAATAGCGAACGCCTACTTTCTGAGTATAGACAACTTCTTTTGGATTATCACAACGTATGACTTCAGGATTAGGATCACAGTTGATTTCATTGCCTAAACATTCGGTCGATAGGTCCACTCGGTTTAGATACGGTTCGGATTTAGTACGAATATGTAGAGAATTGTCATATTCGTTTGTATCAAATCGAACACGACGCGACCTTTTCACTTTATCCAAACAACCTCCACAATCTTCATTGTCACTTGGTATACGCGGAATTGTCACATGATCAACACCTGCACGTTGAGTGTCAATGGATAACGATCGTGGTTTACGAGTTGACTCTTCCTGGTGCCGGTATTTATCTGGAAAAAGCCGTGCAAATGCTGAGTGTGGTCCACAAATAAAGTTGCCACGTTTGACCGGTGTTGAATCCCAACTTGTCATCGTCGTCGTCATTACATCCCGTTTCGGCTGTTGATTTCGATAACTAGTTCCTGTGATCTGTTCAACTGCAGGGACGGCTTGTGTTTTGAGAAAGTGAGAACGTTCACTATTGTTCACATGCTCGTTTTTATAAGTATTCTTGTACATTTTGAAATTTCAAGGTGAAATTCTACTTACGAAGTAAAATATGATTAGAATAATTACCTTGAATATCTATGTATATGTATGTATCTGTATTGATCACCGTCGTCTTTTCGCCTATTCGAAATGACCGAATCGTTTCGAGCAATTATTTAAATGATCGTCGACAATCAATTTGTATGACCATGAGATAAATGAATGAAAGAATATCGTGTGTTTGTCTCGCTCCACTGATTGTACAATATGAAGATACAGAGATTTTCTTTGCTAGTATTCATGTATATGTATCTGCATAGATATCCAAAAGATAAACTTTCAACTTCGCTGCAATCATCTATACATACACAAACCAATGAACAAACTCGATCGACACATCAGTAAATGATGTTTTAGATGTTTATCTTGTTTTGATAATTCTTCTCTATTTTATTTTCAGAAGTGTTGATTTCAGTCGTACGTCCAATGGAACAAAATCCAGAATGGCAAGTCGATTGACGCAAAAAACATCTCGATCAGTTATATCACAGTGGACGAGCGAATCTGTTCGTTGTTTATCAACGGTTAATTGATTCCCCTTGCACTTAGCTCGCTTACACCTTGCGTTTTTATGATAGACACCTAACACAATCAGTCCTGAGCAACTTTTTTATTGGTTCACACGTTCTTGGTTAGGTACGTTTAAGAATCCCTTTCGATATCCATCATTACCTTAATTTCATTACACTACAGAAACAGAACAAAATGATTTTCTTCGACAATTAATTATCAAATTAGACGAAAGACAACACTATTTTATTTCTTGTGTAATTATGGTGAGACAGATCATTTCGTCTAGCATTGATTTTATCTCGTAGTTCTATGTAGCAACGTCGTTATCGTGATTTCATTAGTTTGTTACCGGGAAACATCACTTTTCGAATCTTGCGTTATTTAACTCTACCGGAATTATCTCGATCGCGTCGAGTAACCGTTTCGGTCAGAATCGAAGAACGAAAAGTTAATTTTTTTTTCTGCCTATTATTAGGTATGCAAAACTTGGAAATCAATTATCGATCAAGAACGTGACCTTTGGAAATCAGTAATAAAATCAAAATCACCTCGTAATACAGATTATCCGGTCTTCTATTCTATAAGCTATATTTTTATTTCAATATAGATACTTCAGACAAAACGCAAACAGATTGGGATCATTTTCAAAAAGAACGCTTAACTATCAAACGTAATTGGTCAATGGGAACAGCACAACTTACTATATGTGAAGGCCATACAGAGAGGTATTGATTTTCAGTGAAAATTTCGCTTATTGTTCTATGGATATTGTTCAGCTATAGTTTGCATTACACCTAAAGTAAGTCTTCGATTATGCCGAGGGATAAGATAGACCGGTAAATCATCGATAGTTTTCTTTGCAAATAAATTGTTACCCTCGCTTTCGCTTGCACTGATTGATACACGGGAGAGTCGTCGCTGTACTGATGCAGAAACGCAGGGTTTTTCTAATTGTTTCATAGAATGACTAACATCGATAACGTCTGCTGCTGTCTTTAAATTTATACTCATAAAACGATGTAAGAGTCGTTGTGCGTACTTCTTCGCTTTGATACGATGAATAACTGCAATTAAAATGTGTATAACCAACGCAACTGCGAACAGCAATGGCGCGAGATAGCCGGATGAGTTACCATGATGTGAGCCGACAACTTTTTCACCTAACGTGAATTCGTAACATGTTGATCGAGGCTTATAGACATTTTCATAGTCGTCTACGAAGGATACGCATGCCACATAATCATCATCATGTAAACCGACGATGTTTAAAACATTATGTGTATCAACTAAACGTTGTCTCGGAAAAGAGATTGTATGATGTTCAGACGCGAATGGACGAAAATCGAAATAGTAGTATCGATAATCATCGAATGACGAATTGGAAATATCGAAATATATCGAGATTTTGTTAGTACGTTTATCCCATAGATGACCCAATGTTAAACCTAGATCACTTGCGGAAATAGCACTATTTACTGCGTTGATGATTTGAATAGAAGAGATAAGAATAGGGAATATAATGGAATGTATCTTCTTCAATTTCATATTCGTTTTGTGTTTATGGTATAAAATGAAAATGATAAGATCATTGATGCTGAGAAATATCGTTTTATCGAAAAGATCATTGGTAATAAATCGGTTCTTGTTAAAGGGTATTGTGTGTTTGTGGGAATACAACACATATAGCAACGGGTGGTCTTGATCGAAAAATTAACATATGGATATTGAATAATGGAACATTGTATCAAACATTAGTTGGACATACGAAAGGTGTTTGGTCAGTAAAATTTCTCTCATCAGCTATTTTAATCAGTGGATCGTATGAAGGAACAATTAAAGTAGAGATCTGTTCGGTTGTTGATATGATAGAAATAGATTTGTCTTTGCAGATTTGGAATATTAACACCGGAATTTGTCTACGAACACTTATATCTCATAAAGGTCCTGTTTGGTCACTAGCATGCTCGGATGTGTTTTGTCTATCGGGTTCTCAAGATCGAACGGTTAAGTTGATTGAAAGTTCAAAATACTTTGTTATTTTTTCAATCTCGACTCTGTATAGGCTCGTTTATGGCTTTTACCGAAATGTGAACTGCATGCAACATTAACTGGTCATACATCGAGTATCTTCGGCGTTGATCTCAATCAAGAACAAAACCTTTGTGCAACATCCTCTGCTGATCGGGTATTTCAATACATGAAAGTATTCTCCTAAACAATAGCTTTCCTTTACAGACAGTTCGAATTTGGTCATTGACGAATAATCGATGTGTAAAGATCTTGCATGCATCCACCGATGATTATATCATGAGTCTAACATTTCAATATGGATTTATTGCTTATGCATTTGGTGTGCATATTATCATCTATCGAGTGAATGTCACAGAACTTCGACCATGTCATGTTCAAAAAGTAATGGAAACACAAGAACATCGCGGAAGGTAATTACTAGGGGAAGAGTTGCCTCTTTCTTATGATTCTCACTATACATAGAATTGAAAGCGTTCAATTGTTAAAATTGAACGATGATGATAAATTACCATTATTAGTTTCAGCCGGCCAGGATGGTTTGATTAAATACTGGGATTTAGTCAAGTGAACTATATGTTTTAAATAATAGACAATCGATGAATTTGACTTTTCATTTTTAGCATCGCAAGTCAACATACATATAATGCGCACGCTGAAGATCTATCGAAAATCAATTGTCTCTATGCCGATCGCACGCATATCGTAACTGTTTCTGATGACACTCTTGTGAAAATCTTAGATCTCTCCAGTCGAACACATAACAATTGACACATTTGTATTTCTTTGTAATAAATTCTACTTTTCTAAATATCTGAAACCTCGCAAACGTACTGCAAAAGTTTGTATAGCATGATCACTGGCGACATCTATACTACGATACACCATATTTGCCTAATATTCCGCAATTTGGTTTTGCAAATAAATATCTAATCGAGATTTTGTCATTTGACGAGTTTTTTTTGCTGAGACTGGTTGATTTAGTTTTTGCACGCAATAGTTTGGTTACGGAACGATGAAAGGTCGTTATGTAATCGATTCATTAATTTTCCTGAAGTCCTCTCTGCTGATGATATGGACCAACCGAATCCAGAAGAAAGAAAAATAAGACGGCTCGAAGGCCGCCCAAGAAGATCATATACGTAACCGTCGTTTCGTTTATCCATTTCAATGATTTTCATAATTCTATTTCGTCGTTATTGTTTGTAATCAGACACATATCTGTCTACAAATCATTTTCATTTTCTTCTAGCTTAGGCGCGTGTCTTTCAGCATGTAATTCAAAAGCATCTCGATATATTATTCATTTTTGATTGAACAGAACATGCAAATAACTCATTCGTATTGCTTATATTTGGAAAATCTCTTCTAGATAATACAGATCTGATCGATTTGCTCTTCTACATATATAACGAAAAAACGCAAACATGTCAAACGATGCACGTCAAAAGAATTACAAACATCGAGGTCTTGACAGTGAAGAGCTACGTAAAAGACGAGAAGATTTAAATGTCACCTTGCGCAAACAAAAACGAGAAGAACAGGTTTTCATCGACATAATGTTTTTCGCTTTTCACACCGAACTCATCATGATATTTTCTAGCACTTTAAACGACGAAATTTAGCAAGTACGAATGAGCCAGAAACAACAAGTCCGTTTGGTGTGTCCGGTGCTGGCACTCAATCAACTGGACCTTCAGAACCGGTAAATAACGGCTTAGATTGCGAACTAAAAGCGTTTGCCACTGAGAAAAATTAATTGAAAGATTGATTTTGCACTGAAACGTTAGTACTCACAATTCTAATGAGATGTGTATGCTTTCATTTCTCCGCAGCAAACAAATGTTAGTCAGAGTTTCATACACTGTCGTTGATTGTCCTCATTTGAGTGCGAGTCGTCTTTGAATACGAAAATAACCTTATATAAGTAAGCGGAGAAGAACAAAAAATATGTATTTGAACTTAAGTTCTTCGATCGTCATCTATAATTAAAGTCTTGAATTAACAAACCATTTCCAAAAATTCTTCTGACATTTCCAAAAATGTGTGTTATCCATAATGTCAGATGTTAATGAACGATGTTTCCTAGGTTATTACCAGTCAGATGGTTGCAGCTTTGTTTGGCGAAGATACACAACAAATGCTCGAAGCCACAATTCGATTTCGTAAATTACTTTCTAAAGGTTTGAATTATTGATCGAGTATCTATTTAATTAATCATAAACTACGTTCTCGTATATCAGAGCCCAACCCACCTATTGATGAAGTTATTACTGCGGGTATTGTTCCTCGCTTCGTCGAATTATTAAAATTTCAACATTTTCAAATACAAGTAAATAGCCATTGTAAAAGAAAAGGGGTTGAATTAGCATTTGACTTTTTTTTCATTCAGTTCGAAGCTGCGTGGGCTCTAACAAACATTGCGTCGGGAAATTCAAGTCAAACTAAATATGTCATCGATGCCGGCGCCGTACCAGTTTTTGTTCAATTGCTAAGCAGTGCCAACGAAGATGTTCAAGAACAGGTATATCATCGATTATTTCGATTCGATCGTTTCAATAACTATTATTATTTTAGGCCGTTTGGGCTTTAGGAAACATCGCTGGTGACAGTCCGGAATGTCGCGATTATGTTCTTGATACAGGCGTTCTCCAACCATTATTAAAGTAAGTGACGAGAAAAGATATTTTCTTTCTTTTCCTCTTTCTTTCTTTCAAAAACAGCAACATCGTTCTTTTTTTTCTCGTTTAGTATATTCTCACGAAATACACGTTTAACAATGGTACGAAATGCTGTTTGGTGTTTATCGAACTTGTGCCGTGGCAAGAATCCCGCTGTGGATTTCAATAAAGTAACAATCAGTTCAAATTCTTCTACTGTGAAATTCAAATTATGTTTCTGTTAGGTTTCAGGAGCATTGCCTGTTCTCAGTCGTTTGCTTTACAATCTTGATTCAGATGTCTTGGCTGATACATGTTGGGCTATTTCATATTTATCTGACGGACCGAACGAGAAAATCCAAGCGGTTATTCAAGCTGGTGTCACAACACGACTCGTTGAATTATTAGCGTAAGGAAGAGAAAGAACAAGCCTTTTTGGTTAAAAGTGAAGATCTTTCTTTTAGACATCCGATTTTGAATGTACAATCATCTGCTCTGCGTGCTGTCGGAAATATTGTTACTGGTGATGATCAACAGACACAAGTAAATTAATTATTCAAATGCATTCACGTGTTTATTATTCGTATTTTTAGCTTGTTCTCGATGCCGGTGTGCTTCCACATTTGCTGACATTGCTTCAAAGTCAAAAGGAATCAATCAAAAAGGAAGCTTGTTGGACTCTATCAAATATAACAGCTGGAATTCAAAGTCAAATTCAAGTAACGCTTCACAATGAATTTTATCTGCCATTTTACTGTCAACATTTCAGGCTGTTATCGACGCAAACATCTTTCCATCACTGATCAACATTCTCAAACATGGTGATCATAAAACTCGAAAGGAAGCGGCATGGGCTGTCACGAATGCAACATCAGGCGGCACTCCACAACAAATCAAGTAAGCAAAGCGATTTATTTGTTAGTCAATACTATTCTTCGACATGATTTGCTTTAAAGATATGTGATTGATCAAGGTGCAATTCCACCTTTGTGTGAACTATTGAGTGTGACAGACACGAAAATTATTCAAGTAGCTTTTAATGGCTTGGAGAATATTCTTAAATTGGGTGTTGCTGAAGCCAAACGCACCAATGGGCCCAATCCCTATGCAATTATGATCGAAGAGTGTTTTGGTCTCGATAAAATCGAATATCTACAAAGTCATGAAAATATTGAAATCTATCAGAAAGCATTTCACATCATAGAAACATACTTTGGCGTTGATGAAGATGAAAATCTTCCTCAACAAGGCGAATCCGCACCATTCGAATTTGGCACAACGAATAATCAAGTCGCATCATCAACTAATGGACAAATGAATCCAACCGGTGTGAATAGCAATCCACAATCGACAAAAGGTCAATTTCAATTTTGAACAGTTTAACTTTATTAATTGAATGATGAAAACTATCTTTGGATACATGTCTCGCTCTCTCTCTCTCATTTCTCTTTTGTTATAACCACTTTTCTTCTTCTTTTTTTAACTGAAACCTTCTATAATCTCCTTTCTTTTTCATCATCTTGGATTCATCTTTCGTGTCAACATTTCCAGCGATGAACGAAAATACTATAAAGAGTAATTTCATTCGTTTCTTTCTCTTTCTCTTCTTTTCACGCCGGTGATCTGGCCGCAAGTGTTCGTCTATGTATGTGTTTATTTTTCTTTTTGGATAACAACAGGATATGAACAGCGGCATCTTTTTATTTTCTTTCGCTTGCCAAAAGTACGCACATATCAATCATGAAAGTGATCTTTATTCAGAAAAGGAAACACAAGAGACAAGTTCACGTCTGACAACTCTGAATCGTCTTCGTTCTGCACGAGATGTTTCCTCCACTTATTAATTAACTTATGAATACGGTTTAAAAAAAACGATTACAGTCATTATAATAATTAGAATTATTAGTTGAACAAATGTAATATCTGGCGTTCGTCTTCTAATAACATTTTCCTCTTTTCAAAGAAATAAGCACAAAATACTTCGGTTGTATGAACCTAGTCATCTTCTGCTTCCTCTTCGTCTTCTTGTTCTGATTCATTTTCCTCTTCAGTTGTTTGCTCTTCATGGGTGCTTTCTTCAGATGTCAATTCTGACATTACAGCACGTTTGGCAACTTCGAATGCTTTTTCCACTTCGACAGATGGATCCATTTTTTCTATGAATACTTGTGTTACTTCAGTTTGAGGCAGAGCAGGTTGACTGGGATTGAATTGTTCATACTTATGACCCCAACCAATGTACAAATTGAAATATTTTCTTGAATAGTTCATATCAAAAGACAATCAAGTCACGAAATCTTATTCTACATACTTCGCATCACCAAGAGTAAAGGCACCTGGCCAGATATTTGATCTTACATAGCACATACTGTACTCTCGCATGACAGACATTGTTAAACCAATTGACCATGAAGTTTGGTTAGTGTGTAAATGTTTATCTTCACCAATTGGTCGCAGGAGTGGAGCACGTGTTTGAAATTTATTCTCATTCACGATTTCTTCTTCAATACTTTCATCTTCTCCTTGACTTTGAACCGTCGTTTCAATAGACGACGGCCGCCAAAATTGAGTACGGCCTTGTGGTAAGATTTCAGGCAAAGAATGAACCCATTCTTGTAGACTTGTATCAGCTAATGATTCAGCTGTAACTGGATTTGTTGGATCATCATTGAATTCAGCATTTACGAGAATCTCTGGATCTAGGAATGGATCTTTCCTAATCAGGTTCAACCATCATGCATGAATTGACTTTTACCTTTATACTGATCACTCAGCGTAGTGTCTCCTTCTCCTCCTCCTCCTCCTTCTTCTTCTTCTTCCGTTTCACTTTGTTCTAGAATGAAGAATCCAGCTGGTGAGATATGCGTCGTTGCCGTAATACGTGCAATTTGTGCTCGTAAATAATCTTTCTCCAGACCAACAAACGGTGGAAAACCATTTACTGGTGCTGAAAGACATCCAGTGAAAAACCAGCGAATCTTTCGAGCATGGTCAATCATAGCTGGTTTCACATCAGACAGTTTTATCCATGGCAGTCCAGGTGAATTAGTAGCGAAATAAGTGTATTGATTAGCACCAACTCCATGTGGTTCACTTGGAATTTCCAGAGACTCTCTTTGTACGACAGTCTGATGAAATATTGGCTTATTGGAAGGTCGTGTTTGCTTCTCTATCTTTGGCAATCTTCTTTGATGGCAAATATTGATTTCATCAAATGGTATTTCGTTCTCATGTTGAACCTTCTCCAGCGATAACAGTTCTTAAGCTTTCAATTTTGACTAGTCCTACCTGAACAATGTAATAATCGCAATGTAATCCGAATATCTTCCCCCAAAATTTCATTTCTGTACAGTTAATATGATCATTTAGACGTTTCATCGCTGACCAAATCCTATGGAAATCAAAGTACGAAATAAGAAACAGTATCATGAGATGTTTTTCATACAAAATAATTTCAGTAATATGGATACCATAACCAGCATTTGTACAGTAATTGCCTATATCCATTAGATACGGCACAGCAGTACTTACAAAATCTTGAGATTTGAGTAAATACTGTTCCGTTCCCTGAGATGCTGAGGATATCATACATTTCTCTTGTATATATACATATATGACGAACCTGGAGTAATTGAGCATGCAGTTTTTGGACGGTTACATCGATATCAACCTTTGGCGGTCGTAAATCCGATCGTAGTGTGGGATAATTTAGCTTTTCTAACAGATCATCTACAATCTCAGATGATAATCACCGATCAAAAGAATTTAACCCTTTTCATCTCTTTTACTTATACGGACATGTGGGTTTTCAATAGCATCAGCAATAATGTACGCGAGATGATCGTATCTAAAGTGAATTTGTGCTGAAACGGTTGATGAAAGATATTTTCCATACAAACTGATCTCTCCATGATGTTTCGTTTTGAGAAGGTGAGCTTTCGCATGGAGATAAGTTTCTTGACATCGATTCTGCTGTAATTTTATTTTATGCTGGACATAGGTATCTATATCAAGATTCGATACGAAGATTATTTTCTAATATGCGAGTCTAACCGGCATCCCAAATGACCCAAATTAGGAATGGCACAGGTGAATACAGTATCAATTTGGAAATATCGATTTCATTTAAGTCATTCACGATCGTTGTTTTATGAATCACCTTGGACATTAAAGGTAATGAGAGTTCGTTGTTATAAGAATATGAATAGATCTGACTTACAAGCAGACGGTCACCTTGTTTCAACGAAATACTCAACTCTTGAACCAAAACTTGCTTTACAAACCACATATGATCTATTTTGATGAAGTCAAATGGTATTTGATTTAATCGTCGTGTCAAGACTATACAGCGTAGATTCTCTATCTGATTCACATCGACGTCCGTAGGTAAGTTCACATCTACGAATAATGATTCAGATGGGTTAGTAAAAGCAAATTCGGATACTTTGTTCAGCTAAAATATCAATTAGTTTATTTGATGTTTCTTTATTGAACGAATACGTCATGGGTATTTGCTTTAATTCCATTCTGAAGTTTAATTTCGAGTCGAACTGTTAGATTAGCGCGCAATTTCATATCAAATCTGTCCAATGACTCATCTTCAACACTGATCAACTTCAAGCTAGCCTTCAAATTTCATGACATCCATCCCACTATCTTCAGGTAAAATAGTCAACAGTATAAAAGTCATCATTCGCTTATCTGTTTACCTAACTCATGACAATCAGACTGTCATGAACAACAGTCATGACTTGATTTTTCTATTTATACCTAATGGTATCTGTGCATCGCCTAGCATTATTTATACGGCAGATTTGAAAGTATTCAAAGTTCTTTTAATTGCTGTTGAAAGTTCAAGCGACGATAAATGAAGTTGATACTCTTACTAATGACCTTGTATTGTATGAATACACTATGCGAAAATGCTAATCACAACATTAGTCTATTTTATCCATGGATTTTACAATCTTGCATAAGTAACACACTACTCTCATCAGTTGATTTGATAAACAGTTGTTTTGTAAAGGGAATTGCTCATGGACAATATGGTTTAATAATGGAAAACCGTACAATGCTAGTAGTGGTGATTTCGAAGACACTGCTGAGATAATAGCGAATAATCCAGAGGCAATGTGCAAGACGCCTATTGCTATGGAAGTTCAAACGATCAATTATCAAAATGGTGATTGGAACTACGAATGGCAAGCCGTACGAACAACGGATAATATTAGTTTAGTCTCATTTTATGCAGTAGAACCAGCAGGCGTTGATTTTCGTGTGCGATATTGTTGTCCTGGTCATGTACTAACTAGCACGATGCACGTAATGACAACCGATTCATCTACATTTCAAAGTAGTTCTACATATGGAGTTCAAGAAATTTCATCCTCAACAAATGATACCATCGGAAATTTTCGTGCCATCGAAGCAAGAGAAAATGCATGGCCATGGGTAAGTGTAGATTCAAACGATCATATATTTTAAAAGATTACTATTATGTTTGTATAGATAGCTTATCTTCACAAATCGAAGGTCGATCTGAATGAAACGTGTTTTGCAGGATGCAGTGCCATAATCATTGATAAAGATCATCTCATCACTAGTGCGCACTGTGTCAAAAGCATGGATCCGACGAATATTAGTCTAATCGCTGGTTTACATCGCCTGTCATCTAGATCGGAAGAAGATCGACGACAGTTGCGCTCAATTAAACAGATATTTCTTCATCCTCAGTACAACTCATTGACAAATGTCAATGATGTGGCTGTACTCCGTCTACAGACGTCGTTCGCATTGACGAAATATGTACAGTCGATATGTTTCTCTGATGGGACAAATCAACTTAACGAGAAAGTAATCGCTGTCGGATGGAGTAGACAACAACTCGATGGCGTGAGGTATAAAGCATTGAAACAAATATATGCAACTGTTGTCCACGATTGCAAGTCTCACTGGTCATCGTATGATCACAATCTTCAATTGTGTATCTCTAATCCGATAAATAGTTCTTCGATATGTCAGAATTTTGATCATGGAGTAATTTTTACACGACACGATGGACGCTATACTTTTGAGGGTGTGTCCAGTTATGCCGGTAGTTGTGACTCTATAGGTAAAACGTATGAATCGCTTGTTTTTACGCGCATATCAGCATTTAAAACATGGATTCATCAAATCGTTCAACAGTAAACATGAGCGAATCGCAATGTAATTATCCTTTTCGATGCAAATAAATTCGACAAAATGATATACTCTTGTGAACAAAACTTATTCGATAATTGAAAACGACAGGTCATCATCGTTTGCTACATTTAGACATAATATAGATATATCTTGGATTTGCACCCAACCAAGGCCATATTCCTATTTGCGTCCTTTCAAAGCGAGTACTATTCTATGATAATAAATGTTTTCCGTATGTAGCATACTGGGCAGCTGGAGAAGCCATGAAAGACCTTCAGTGTGCAATCTTATGTTGAGTAATAATGGTCGATGTTAATGGAATATTTAAACTGATCGGCTGTAGGCTATTTATTTTGCAAATACAAACTCATACATATATGTATATATATATAGATGTACTCAACGTGCACGCAAGCAGTAATCGTATTCTACTAGTTAACTTGAAAACGTTGACATTGAAATTGCTTTTTAGAAAAAACGTTATTCGTTTCATTCAATGACACGCGCCCTCTATTCCATCGTAATACCGTACAAAAAAATAGTTTCTTCTGGATGAAAGCTTTCGACTGTTGTCTTCATGTGAGACTATTTATTCGTTTGAGAGAAAAATAAATCATAACTACGTGCTAATACAATCGAACTCAGTTATCTTTCAATCATTTGTACATTAATTTCCGTCGTTCTCCGATATTCGTAATAAAGATAATCGTCGCAATCTCTCATTTGTCATATTTCATTTATACAATATGATGATGGACACATGTGTTTACGTTATGTTTAACGGCGAAAAGGCCAGCAATATGCATAAAGATTAATTTAATACTTGTGCGTAATTTCCTCTTCTTCGACTTCCTTTCCTAATGACGAAATGTAGCAATATGTGTGTATATGCATATAACTATCTGTACGTGCTGATGTCAACAGCAGTAGCACGAGAGAAAACGACACAAATGAAAGAGAAAGTCAAGCATACATAATGAATACTATATCGGTAATGATGCTATTTGCATACTCCAGCCATATTTTTCTGGTAGAGTTATTAAAGGCGGTACTCATGTGCTATATTCATATATGTGAAATGACTCATGTTGATTTCAGCTCAGATCTGGTACATTGATCAGAACGATAGTTCATAGAAAATCATGTGCCAATGACAATACTTTCATTTTACTAACGGAGAACAAGAAAAAGAAATCGAACGGAAGCAGTCAGGATACATATACACGTATAACCTAACAGACACGGTCTAGTCTTCAAGCTGCACCCATTTTGATTGATCTACTACAAAAAAAAGAGAACAAAAAAAAATACGACGACAGAAAAAAAAGAGAAGAAATTTGGAGGTAGTTTAATAGGAAGACAAACGAAAGAAAACAAAAGACGTCATTCGAAAGCAGAGATCAAACACACTCACGTACGCACACGAAAGTAGAAATGGCAGATAGATCCTCACAACATGCTTGTTTCTTCATCTTCTTTGCTTTTTTTTTCTTAATGTACACGATATGAAATGAAATAAACAAACAAACAGAATCCAGTACTTAAGCATGACAGATATGCAAAAAGTATTTAAGAGGCACAGTAGTGAAATCATGTGTATTACTTTCACGTATACAATAAACGAAAGATAGAGAGCGAGAGAAGAAGAAAAACGAAACTACAGAAAAGAAAAGATGAAAGTAGACACACGTAGTAATAGTGGAGTATGTGTGAATGAGAAAGACAACAAGCATACACACATACACATGTCTGTCAATGAATGAGATGACAATAGTGAAAGATAGAAATGAATAATTATTCATGTTTGTCGTGAATTAAGTCTAGGTGAAGGAAGTTCACCAAACAATTCTGTGCCATCTGTACACATTGATCGACTTAAATCACGAAACGATTTTCCAATACGTTCAAGATCATCACTACTATCATCATCCTTGGCAAAGAAAAGAAAAAAGAACAAAAACATTCTATGATATATTGATTATGCATGATAATAGTAACTACTTGACGAGGAACGGCATATGCAGTTGAAGGACGAAGAATAATATCTCGTGGTACTGACGTTGCAAAATTGGACGTGTTACTATTTTCTATATACCAACCTGAATGAAAATTTATTCGTTTTTTTTTCAAATAGAATCTAGCGAGAAAGGTTTTCGTACCTCGATTATCAAGCATAGGATCATCGTTTGATTCATCATCGAGTGCAGCATTTCGTTCCGAAAAGATCTAATAGGTACATGATGATGATAGGTCAAGGCTATTTCAAGGATAACTTACCCGTTCCATTGTCGATGAATGTCGACCCAATTCTCCGGCACCAACATCAAAAATATCCGAACCAAGTCCTGACTCCGTACTATGAAAAGGCAGACTGATGGTCAATCGTTATAAAAATAAATTCGATTTCTCTACCTGTTTTCATTAATATATGAACTCGATGTTTGTAATGTTGGTGATCCTTTGGCACTTGAGTTTTGTCGAGATGCTGAACGCATTAAGCTAAATAATCATGTACAAATTTATTATTGATGATGAATTCTATCGTTGAAACTTTACCTTAAGAATACATCTAATTCTTTTTTTAACGAATCTCGTTTTGATTCCAACAATTGTTCCTGTTCTCGTTGATACATTCTATTGCACAAGAAGACATTTCAACAGATGGAAAGTATTCAATGTACTTACCGGATTTTTTCTTCGGTTTCTCGTTCGATATTTTCTACTGATTGTCGAAAGACTTGTTGAGCTAATACAGATTCACGTTGAACATTTTCATCTAAAAATTCACATGAAATTCACTTGGTTAGTCTCCATAGTATCGAATTTACCTTGTGAACCGGAAGATTTTGTCATGTTTAAACTGCTCAACATGTCTGGCAATACTATACGTGCTAGTTTCGAATAATTCGGATCTCGATAAACTGCACTAACTGTTGTTTCATCCTGAAAATACCACACGCACACGTTTGTTTTCTCAAACAAAGATTTTCGCTCAATCAATCTTACCAAAAGATCTTTGCTAATTAACATTCGACTTGCTGTAATATTTGAAACATGTGTATAAAGATTACAGCCTAAGCACCGGTTCAATTTCATGTCGCGCACAGGTATTGTTTGGAGAAGACTTTGCCATGCAATATGTACCGATTGATCCGATGGCACATCGCACACGTACCATTCGTGTGAAATATTGACATATTGTTCCAGATCAATGGGTACGAATTCTAAACAATCGACAACATCAACTGAAAACAAAGTTCATTCGCAAAAAGAAACGTTCTCACGTGTCAGCGTTTCTTGATCATCGGCTGTTTCCAAAACATCAATGTTAATATTGAGACAATGACAATAGAAACGCATGACTAGAAAACAACTCACACACTCACACACACGCACGCTTTATTGTTGAAAAAAGAAATCTGAAAAAGACGAAAAAGGATTCAATCTACCGAACGTAGCTTTTTACGTATGATAAATAATCTAAGCATTCAAACATCAGCATAAATGGGTCGAATAAAAGTGCACGAGGCCGAGGGTAACTTATTTTTTTTGTGTTCTTGTTCTCGATTGATGACTCATACCTTCGTCGATATATTTGAGTTTCAAGCCAGGCGATTCGGATCGAAGATTTCTTCATTTTACTCTTATTTTCAAAGGTTTCGTTCGTAGTCTTCTCGAAAGAAAAATAGTGTCGCTTTTATAACTACCCGAAATCTGATCGGTGCAATTTTCTAAGCCAATCAGATTCCTTCCCTTTCTTTAGGCGGATTATTTTGGTCTAATATTTAAAAAACAATCTAAAACAACAGAATAAATAAACATTTAGCTTTGCGAAAGAAATTCATTTTAATAAAAAGAAAAAAAAACACATATTTGATTTCTTGGCAAGATTTCAACAGAGTTTAGATGAAGAATGTGTTCGGAAAGAAAACAATCGCCATATTAATCGACACCTACATTGCCATTTCTAGTGTGAATAACGAGGAAAATCATTGACATTGACATGACTCTAGTATCAGTGAAACATCGAACAGGTTGTAGTCATTGAATTATCAGGTCTTTTTAAAACAACATGTTCTTCTTATCTCAGAAATGCGCGTCTGCTTTATACTTGTAAAAATGACGTTATAATCTTCACGCCATTTCATACTTTCTCGTATTCTTATCTTCTCAATCCAATCATCGCTGTCCGGGCTTAACTTTCTTTAGAGTATTTACCGGAATCTTGTTTTCTCTTGCATGTTCATACTTGCTACCTATTCAATTAGACTTCGACTAACAACATTTGTATTCTTCTGCTTATAGAAAACTGCAAAATGCCGTTGAAAGTATATATGACGAACATAGCGAGTAATCAATTAACAACTGGCAATCAACGTAAATTGAAACATATTCTCGATACGAATAAGATCCCTTACACGGAAATCGATATTAGTGATTCGAAGAATAGTAATGAAAAAGAATTTCTTCAACGAACATTAGCTTCATTGAATCAAAAGATGACTTTACCTCAAGTATTCAATAATGAACAATATTGTTGTGATTTCGAAGGCATTTTATCAGCCGTGGAGTGTGATTCGCTCAAAGAGACATTGAAATTAGACAATTAATCAACATGACAATCGACAATCATCGATCCTTTTTCTTCTTCTTCTTTTTTTTTTATACAAAAACTATGAACACCGGTTGTTTTTCTTTCTTCATGTAATTAATTCAATGGTGAAAATGAATCTAATCGAGAATTGCTTTATTTTAGATATGACAACCTTGAAGTTCGTTCCCTACTCAAGTGCATTCGATACAGGATTTTGGCATGAATTAACACGTCGAAAACTTGATATCTACCGACTTGATTCATCCGATCAAGCGATATTTGGTTACTACTCCAATGGTAGATTTGAAATGAAATGAGAAAAAAAATTCAATCTCGTATTTTTTTTTAATATTCTAGATGCGAATGATAATATGCCAGTGTTGTTTAATGTCGATCACCAATGTTTCGATGAGTAGGTTGTTTACGAGGAAACATAACGAAATTCGATCTCGATAACAATTTACCTTGAGATATTTTTAGTAAAATGTAATTTTATCTTTAGAAAGAACCAAAATTCCTATCAACAACAACAGTACTCTGTCAACGGAACTCTGAAACTTGTCAATACAATCGAAGAGTTCAAAGCGTTCGATATTGACAGTGCATTGAAGGCTGAAAGCACTCTTGTAAGATGATCATTAGAGAAAGATTTCATAGGTGAACGAAAGGAGAAATCTGTTTTGTTTAGCTTTGGAACGACTTCATTCATGGTCGAGCGTTGGTAGATCCACAAAAACTCAATCGATTCTATCTTTTAATCTTTGCGGTAAGTTGTACCCGTATGAATGTTCTGATCTACAAGAATATGTTTGTTAAAGGATTTGAAAAAGTATATTTATCATTATTGGTTCGCATTTCCAACATTTCTTGTTCCTACTTCATTTAATTTATTAAATCAAGTGCAATCAATCGGAGAACGGTTTTCTGCCGACGAAGTAAGTTGATTAGTTTCGAAAAAGTAGTCTATTTTTTATCACACACCTGATTTAAGATAACAACAATATCGAATTTGTTGAATTCTAATCAATCCCATGCGTGTTGTCTTCATCGTCAACAATCCGTCATAAGTTTAAAACAAGCGGTTCAGCAACTCAATGATCAACCACAATCAACGGTATGCTATTCAATGAAGTGATTCATGTGACATATTATTTTCATTTAGGCAGAATATCTTTTCATTATAAATGATCCAAGTACAGATCCTGTACATCCAGGATGGCCAGTACGAAACCTACTGACATTACTTTACTATCATTTGTACGTTAGAACAGGATCTAGTTTTTTTTCATGAGATGAACGATTCAATTTGATTTTAGACAATCTGTAGAAGAGTTGAATGTTATCTGTTGGAGAGAAAGATTTCGTGATGGTCAACGGTATGTGAAGCATTCTTTATATCTGCAATTAAAGCCGGAATCAATTCACAATCTGAATGGTAGATAATTGAGATTTAATCGTTAGTTTGTAAGAATAAAGTATATTTATAGATGCGATTCCGCCGACGACTGGTTGGGAAAAAAATGAACGGCAGCGACTTGGTTCTCGTCAAGTTAATTTAAGTACATCGATGAATCCAATTCATTTAGCTGAAACAGCTGTCGGGCTCAATCTTAAATTAATGAAATGGCGTCTCGCACCTGAGATTGATCTAGAATGTCTAGAGCAGACACGCTGTTTGCTCTTAGGAGCTGGAACACTCGGCTGCAATGTAGCGCGATGTTTAATGGTAATTGAATGTTGAATTATTAATCAGAAGACATGAATTTTTCTCTCATTGGAAATGTTAGGGCTGGGGTGTTAAACACATAACATTCGTTGATAATAGTCGAATATCGTATTCAAATCCTGTTCGGCAAACTTTATTTACGTTTCAAGATTCATGTGACAATAAACCAAAAGCACAAGCAGCGGCTGATGCATTGAAAATCATCTACCCTGGCATTGTGAGACTAAATAAGTGGTAATAAAGGAAATCGATTTGTTTTGCTCTTTTATATAGAAATCTATGGGATACGATTTGACAATTCCTATGCCTGGTCATGCCGTTGGGGGTAATTGATGAAAACAAGACTTCGTTTTTTCTCTAATTACATTTCTTGAATAGATTCAACGATGGAGAAAGTCAAGGATGATGTGAAACTCTTACAAGATTTAATTCGTCAACATGATGTGATATTCCTGTTAACTGATTCACGTGAGTCACGCTGGTTACCGACAGTAATCGCATCCGCAGAACAAAAGGTTCGTTATATTGAAGTACTTTCTATTATTTACCATTCAATTTTGTGCTTAGATTGTCATGTGCTGTGCGGTTGGCTTCGATTCCTATGTAATCATTCGTCATGGTGTTCCTACGACAGAATCGAACGCATCCTCAACGAGATATAAAAATATCCTATCTGGTGATAAACTCGGCTGCTATTTTTGTAATGACGTTGTAGCCCCTGGTGATGTAAGTGGAATAGACTGTTTTCAACGACGTTTTTCTTGAAAAGTAACGATTGTTTGTTGCTTTTCAGAGTTCAGTTGATCGGACACTCGATCAACAATGTACAGTAACTCGACCTGGCATTTCAATGATGGCCAGTGCATTATCAGTTGAATTACTTGTTTCAATTCTACAACATCCGCTTCGGTAAGACCTATTTAATTAAGTAGTCGATAGGCAACACTTCTTGTCATCATCACTCATATTGATAAACGAAAATTTGCATTTGTAAAAGTCATCTTTTCCTTGAACTCTTCTTGAGAAGAATATCAAAATTCCTTGCAGACAAATGTATTCATTGTTCTCATTCAAAGAAGCGAGCTTTCATCTTTCTTTGAAAACGAATGACTAGGCAGCGAGATCAGAATATGTTAGAGAAAGGACTACCGTCATACGTTATTTACATAAATTAACAAACAGATCATCAATCGAATAATAATTCGGCTAAGTTCAAAAGATTACTTATGTTTGCTCTCATAGTGGTCAATGTCCAGCATTGATTCGTGCTGATCTCGAAGAGTCTGTTCCGGAAGCAGTTTCATGCCTTGGCATTGTTCCACATACTATACGTGGATTTCTCGGACGATATTCAACAGTTTTACCAACTGGCGAAGCATTTTCCCAATGTGTGGCTTGTTCACCAATAGTAAATGATTTTATATAACGATTAAATGCTTTTCCAAGTCTATTTCAGGTTCGTCAAGCATTTCAAGAGAATGGTTTTTCATTTCTAATGAAAGTTTTTAATGAGTTGAACTATTTGGAAGATTTAACCGGTCTACGCGCTATGCAATTAGCTACTGACATTAGTGAAGTAAGATTCGTTTCATCTCGAATACTTTCTCTTCATTCTGTCTCTTCTTCTCATAGATCATCGAATTGAGTGATGATGAAGAAATCCAGTAGTCGATTATTTATCAAGCATTTCTACTCTCTTTGATAGTTTTATTTAAAGAAATCTATATATATCTATAAAACACTGTTGATTATGAATCTAAAAGCAAATTGTTTTGTTCTATTTCATCGACGCGTTGTAGCGTGTAGATCTTTCTATGCAAAGAACATCCAATTATCTCCACAAAAAATTCATCAATTTTCATTGAAGCACTATTAAAATACGCTGATAGAATTTAATGACTGGCCGTACTTCCATTTGATTAACATCGGGTTCGTCGAACATGATTCAACTTCTAGGTAACACTAGTGGCACATCTCTCTTCTCAAAGCTGTCAAAGGAAGAGAACGTAATGATCCACATCTCTTAACAAGACATATTGTCGAACGATGACTTCTAAGTTGTCATTTGAGATTTCAATCAAATGAATTCACTGATCTTCACAGCGAAGATTTATTTGATAGAAAACCTTTTTTCTTCCCAGGGTAATTTTCTCGCCCAAGTCTCTCATGGCCTATTAATTAACTGTAGAATTCATGTTGGTTAGTATGATTATGGTCGAACTAAATAAAAAGAGAAAACTAAGTGACAGGAAAAATAAGGAGTAATGACAAAGTAACGTAAATGTTGGCCTTGCTTAACACTTGATGAATAAATAAATGGCATGATTATGGAAGCAAAAACGGAAATTACCTTTGCCTGTCGTTTCCTTTCTCATATTTCTCAATGTCTACTTCACATGAAACGATTTGAATGCTCTCTTGAACGATTATATCAATTTCCATTGTAAATAAGCGAAAGGGAAGAAAGAGGAAAGTTGAATTCTACTGTGCAACTAGTTTTGCTTGATCTATCGGGTTTGTTTTTTTTTTGTTTTATGTTTTGAGACAGTAGTGTCGAAAAGAAAAAAAAATGTGAAACTGTTTTTTTGGCCACGATACACAATCACATTGATGAACAAAACAAAGGATAAGAAGAGATTAAACGCAGGAAAGAAGTAGACATGAAAAGTCTTCTTGTGCTTTTGTTTGAAATGTAAAATGAGAAAAATTAAAATACGAAAAGGGAACAGAAGAAACAACACCAAAATGAATTAACAGAAATAAAACGAAACTGTTCTTAATTGAAGACATGTATAAAGAAATGGTAAATCTATATAAAGACAAACGATTTTGTTTGTTTACAAAACGATGCCAACTAGACTATGTTAAAATAGATAAATAAACTGTATTGAAAAAGAAAAGAAAAAAAAAACTACAATGTTTTGCTTTGTGTTTGCTCCTAGATTGTTAGTATGAGTATGATTATTATTACAGTTCTTGTTTTGCTCTAATTGTAGGCAGTTGTTGTAACCTGAGAAAACGAGCGAGTAAAATAGAAGAGAAGTTGATAACATCATTGTTTTGTTTGCGATATTAAAGTTTCGACGTTTCATGAAAATCATCGCGACTGTGTAGTCGCCGTTCACCACTCAATTCCGAGGCTGTTCGAGCTTTAATAGGTGCATTGGTACTTTCGCCTTCTTCCAGATCAGTAGGTCCTAGTTCAGAACGAACGAGATGATCAACAACACCAGCGCCAATACCATCGCCCAAAATATTAACGGATGTACGAATTCGATCTCTAAAATGCACGACAAGACGAAAATAGTAACACATTCGAAATGAGAATGTCATTCGGTTTTCTTTCACTTACAATGCCCAATCGATAGCAAAAATAATTGTTATTTCTTTTGCAGGTATATTCACAGCTGACATAACTAACAACATGGTTACCAGACCGGCTGACGGAATTGAAGCAGCTCCAACTGACGCAACTGTTGCTGTTAAACTATTTACATATTAATAACACACTTTTTAGTTGATTTGCGTTCTCTTTTTTTTTGTGAATGTTTTACCTGACAATAATCAATTGACCAATACCCAATTGTCTACCAATCAATTGGGCAAGAAAAACGGGTGCTACAGCTTCATACAAAGCCGTACCATCTACATCACATAGTGTTATTTTTTACCTCGAGAATTCAACTTCCTTACCCATATTAACTGTTGCTCCAATAGGCAAAACGAATCGTGTTACGCGCCTGTCTAATTTTAATGTTTCTTCCAAACATCGAAATGTTACAGGTAATGACGCCGCACTGAAGAATAGTTCAAAAAGTAAAACAATTCATATCCAATTACAACAAGGCAAATAGGTCGCGACCTACCTCGAACCTGTACCAATACCAGTTAGCCAGGCTTGAAGCATGCCTGCATAGAATGCAAATGGATTTTTTCTCGTAACCGCATAGTAGATCAATGGTAGTGTAATCAATGAATGTATAGCTAAACCTGTTAGGACAGTTAAAGCGTACATGCCAAGACTTTGAGCTAATTTAATTAAATCTTCGATTTCTAAAATTTTTCCCGCGACTAAGAACATGATACCAACGGGTGAGTACCTAAATAGATATCAACATTGATGCTGTTCGACGGATTCAATTGATCATTACATACCACATGACAAGTTTAATTAATTTCATGACGATTTCATTTAATATGAGAAAAAAATGCAACATCGGTTCTCCGCGTTTGCCCATTGTTCCAATTGTGATACCAAAAGCACAACAAAACGTAATCAAACCTAGGGTGAAAACGTACATTTTCCCCAAGTGATAATACGTATATCAACAATTCTTACCCAAGAAATTGGCACCCGCAACATAGCGTGTTTCGAATTTCGTTTTGACGGTAATATCGCCTGTTACTTCGTTGGTAATGTTAGTATGTACTAAAAGAAAGAAACAAGTTCGTTCCGAATATCGAACGATCACTTTTCGACGAACTTCTTGTTGTTTTAACTTGTTCAAGCGTTGCTTGAATAATGTTTTCCGCGAACATATTCCTAAAAAAAATGACCAACATTTCGAACAAATTGTCAGCGAACGAACTGATCGTACCGAAATAAATCGAATATAGCATCGAGCGTTGTAACTTGATCGCCTTCGGCCACGGGTGCATATGATGGGAGACTAACCTTAGTATTTCTTTCGCCTGGCCGGATAACTTGTACCAAAACAATACCAAGTATAGCAGCAAGTATTGTCGTACAAAAGTAATATGTTAGTGCATATAAACCTAATTTACCACTCGATTTCGGATCAAGTACAGCTAAGCCTATAAAAGAAATCGAATGCGAGCAAATACCATCGTGCACATGTTGTAATAACATACCAGTGATAAGACTGGATGTAATCAATGGTAGAATGAGCATTTTGAGCATGCGCATTAGAATGTCACCGGGAAACGAGAGAATCATGATCGTTTCGGTAGACGGATTATAAGAACGAACAGTGAAACCAAGTATGAAACCCAAAAATACACCGGCTATCGTTAATGTCAGAAGTAGATTATTTCGCAAAGCACCAAGAACACTAGTACAGCACTAAGAAACGAAATGAATGTGAGAAAAAGACAAAACAGTCATAGTAATACTTTTCTTAACGGTGCTGGATGATCGTCAGTTCTCGTTCTTGGCGTATGAGTCTCATCGTTGAGCATTGCCACGGTTTGATCATGTTTTTCGTCCATGTTTAAGAAACTAATCAGACAAAATTCGAATTGGTTTCTACAAAAATGAAAGAAATTTTACCTTCCAAACTCGTTCTTTCTCCTTCTAAAATCTCCTTAATTCGCAAATCGACTCAAAAGCAATATAATTACCCTTGGTAATTTTCTTTTCAAGGTACACAGATCGGTTTTTAAATGGTAATCGATACGCTTATGCGGTGTCTGATAGTGTCAGTGACAGTTCGACCTCTTGTTCTTTTGAGTGCACTCGTGTCCATTTTCAGCTACCTATCGTATATATATATGTATGTAACAACTGTGAAAAATACAATAAAGAATGCGAACGCGAAGAGAAGTAAAAAAAAAGAATAAAAGCGGAGGCGCAGAAAAAGAGAAGAAGAAAAAGGAGAGAGGGAAAGAGAAAGAATCGCATTGACACAAGTAAATAATGCTAACCATCTTGGTGAGATTTCTTCGTTCACGATGCAATCGTCTACTAGTTCTTCTTCTTTTTTCGTGAATAATGATAAATAAAACTTGTTTATTACTTACGCTAAAATGCAAACGAAACAAGATGAAGTCTAATATGATTATCAAATCTAACGTTAAATAAATAAATAATGAACAAATACCAAGAGAGAGAGAGAGGAAGAGAAGAGCGTGGAAGAAATCATTGTTAAAAGCTTTGAAAACATTATCATTCAGTCGATTTTTTTCGAGTGCTAAACTTACTTAATTGCTTCTTTCAGATCTATATCAGGAACACTATCGAGATTCTCAATAACATCGTCTCAAAGAATTGAGTATTATCGCTCGAATAGTTAAAGAACAAAGATCTGTATGTCTGTGTTCCCTCGACTTTCTATGTCACATAACAACGAATAACTGTTAATTCGCCAACAGGAAATTCCACTTATCTGCTTCGTTTATTTCTTTCTTTTTTTATTCTGTAAGCCTTTACAAAATGCAAGATTGAGGAGAGTAACTCGTGCACTTAACCAAAGACCTTCGTTCTTCTGGACAAAGAAGAAAAATCGTTCGAAAAGAATAAGAATACCAGACAGGGAGAGAGCAAAAGACAAACGCGTCACAGATTAGAAAAATGACTGATTATAAACGATGTTTTTTGTTGATATGGGATTTAGTAACATTCCTTTGCCTTTCTTGGCCTTTACATTCTAGGCAATAGTGTACTGATTATGAAGAGTCCAATCTTTTTTTTCACCAAGTACACGTCATCAATTGATATTTACTTAATATGCAACACGCATCAATAATATCGTGAATTCGATGCATCTAAAGTATTGCCTTGGCGTACCAATTTCTTACTCGTTATTTCTATTGGATCGTTCGTGTAATCATCGATCAACGAAGAAATATAAAAGAAAAAATGCCTATAAACTACATAAAAAAGCTCATGAGTTTCAAATACAGATTAATCTATCAGTAATATAATAAATGAAATCGATCTTGTGGATTAGAAATATCAAATTCGATAAGAAGAAAATATTTAGTTCGATAATCCTTTGTTCTCTTGTCTTCGTTCCAAGTCATTCATAACATAACAAGTCTTGATATGATAACAATGAAGGGCGAATCTTTCATAGTTCTCTCGTAATTTAATAACAAGAAAACGTATAAATACGACTTAACGATTCTAATGATCTGATTAACAACGATTTAGATGTGATGGGATTCGTGCGTCATCAAATGATAAAAATTCTCGACGTTTGACTTGACCTAACTAAACGAACTTAGAAACATGTCTACATAGATCGAGATGTGAATACTAGTTTGATTAAGGCAAAGAAACGACATAATGTTATTCCGGAAGAGTTATTGTTTGGACAAAATGTCAATGTTTACTGAATATTTACAATATATTTTGAGAAGATCAATAGTAAACTTACCTTGTTTGTTGATAGTCGTTCGAGTTCTTCCTCTTTTGCCTGACTTATCTCCGATTCTGGCAAACAAAGATAAATGAATCGTTAACAGCCTGAATACACGTACAAATCCTTCTAGGTGATATAAGAGTAACTAACAAGAAAACTAATGATTGTAAAAAGAAAAAGATATACGGTATTTTCTTTATGTCATCTTCAGCATGCTTTACTGAAGATTAACGCTGATGAAAGCTTATCGCTGGCAAGTCGAGGTGACGAATATAGTAGCACTGATAGCACTTGTATATGTCAAAGACGGTGTCGTAATTGTAATGTCAATGATTTTTCCTTTCTTTTTTTTTTGTATCGCATATTCTAATACTAACTAAGTTGGGACAGTATAAATAAATATCAACAACTGTCAAAGCTCCGATGGGATAGTAGCCGGTTAAATGATGCGCTAGTTCTAACAAAGTCATCGTCATAAAAACGAAAGAAGAAGAGAGAAGAAAGAAGATCGACAGGCGGCAGATATGTGAAAAAAGAAAAATGCTTCGAGAAATAATTATCATGGACCAGCTGCTCGTCATGCTAAACGTACGGTTTCTCATAGGGTCTACGTTATCAACGAACTGAATTTTTCTTCTTTCCTTTACTCCCAGCATTACTTATTTTCTCTTTCTCTCTTTCGGCTTCTCTTTGTATTTATACTCTCAAAAAATAATCATTTCCAAACAAAGGAAGAATTCTATTTACTATTTTAGTGAATTTTTTACTTGATGAATTTATCATAAAACAAAAAGAAGTCAACTCCTGGTTTCTTTGTAAACTTTCCTCAAACATCGAGGTCATCACAATTGATCAAGCGTATAGATATTAACTAAGATTTCTCCATCTGAAAGCAACAGAGAAAAAAAAAGAACGACTTCGTCTCAATAGCCTGTCATCTAACTGATAATGTTCGACGGACTTTTTTCTCTTTTTCTAATAAATATATAAACATCAGAAGCCCTTGACTGGCTCTACAACTTTTTTTTTCATACTGATGAATTTCATAAGCTATTAAGCAATTTTTTTCCCGTCACTTTAACGAAGGACGATGAAAGAAGCAAATCTTTGTTTGACGTTTAGCTATTATATGAATTGTAAGATAAGACTTCTTTAGTTATTTAACGGGTTATTTTTCATTTGCATTATTCATGGCTTTCTATTCGGTAAGATGAGACAAGGTAGGAAATATAAGTTGAGAAAAATAACGACGATTAAATAAATAAACACATCTCTCGATGTTCTTTTTCTGTTGACTAACAGTGAACGGCATTTCGAAGATTTATTATGTTGAAAATAGAGAAAGAGAAGAAAGCAAACGAGGTTCTTTTATGGTTTTACACTATCGACGTAGATCCATTCAACGGCTCGAGCTGGACTTAATAATTTGCAGTAATGAAAACCAGCGACGGCTGACACAGGATAATTATCTGGTAGACGAAGTGTAGGCGAGCGTATGGTTACAATTGGTCTACCTTTGCTATCTGTGCCTAGATCGTATTTCTATCGAAAAACAAACAAGAAAAGTCATGACAGATGTTTAATACTCTCTTTTGTTTTCAATCTTACCAATGGTGTCCAAATCCATAATGGACCCGCATTGAGCGGACCAATATCATCACCAATGAACATTTTCTTTCCTTTTTTCTCGTATCTTTCTTTCGTTTTATTCGCAACATTTTCTAGAGCCCAATCAAGCGCGTGTTGATTGATCAAACCACACAAAGATTGATTATCTGTTTGATTGAAATCGTGTTGTTTTCCATCAGCAGCTTGAAGCAGTACTTGTCGAGAGATCATCTTTACACGCATTTCTTCGGCAGATGTGTGTGTTTCTCCCGTATCAAATTGATCGGTAAAATCATAGACATTTTGTGTTACAGTGTGAACATTCAATACACAATTATTTAATGGTTTTAACGATGAACAATTGTTGTCAAGATGCGGAAAATGCTCAGGTATTTTATAAACAATGTGGAATTCATCGGAAACATTTAATTGAACAGTATTATTGAGTCCGCTCATGATATTTTGTGCGTAAGTACTCCAAGGACAACCGATTTGACAATTTTCATTGGTTCGGTTGTAACACGGTGGAAGAAAATGATAAAATCCTTCCAGTTTCAATGCATCAAGAAAAGGTTGAGCAAAGAATTTCGTTTGTTTTAAATTCTCTTCTAACATCGGTGTTATCGTTTGATTATTCAAACGCATGCTCATATAGTCACATATTCGAAGAGCTAATTCTTGATGAGCGACAGTTTCATTGATTTCTGATTCAATATCGTTTTTGATAATATGACTGGACGGTTGGCCCGATGCAGTGTTCATGTGGTTCATTCCAGGAATAATCAATGCAAAATGAGGATATGATGAGAAGAAATGAAATGATTCGATAACACGTGTCACGCGTGCTAAACCATCGAGTTCACCGGAGAGTATCAATGTTGAAACGGGATAAACAGTCGTGGCCAATTCATATTTACGTTCGAGAAATGCACCAGTGAGAATTTGTCCGTAGATTTTCTCTTGATACTTTACTGCTAAACTCTGAGATGTGATACTACCTAAACTATGACCACCGAGAAACACGAGTGTATGCTCTGGCATACCAGAACGATATAATTTTTGTAGCATTTCATCAATTACTTTTGGACGTAAGATTTCAAGTGGCATATTGTCTGGAAACGATGGAATAGCGATCCAAAGTTTATCGCTTGATGTTGTCTGCACTTGTTTTAATAGTGGAACATAACGTTCCGGTGGTAACTCCGCGCCATGAAGAAAAATGAATGCTAACGGACTTGTTCCTTGTTTGATCGGTTCAAGTATGATATCCGATGCACCGATGATGAGATGAAATAGATTGAAAATCAGGAGTATTTTTAACATGATCCAGTTCAAGATTATATAATAGGTTTCACATGCGCCTTTTATAGATCGATAGTTGCTGATGAGAATCATTGACATATGTGGAGAAGCGAATAACGCAAATAACATATATTGTATGATCGTCCGAATAAATTTTTAGAATTTTTTCTACGATAATTGTCTTTCGTTTAAACAAATCAACATTTCTTTTATCTTCTCTCAAATATTATTTCTTCATTAACAATTTATCGTCTCATACATATTTTACGACGATTCATTAGCATTGGCTACTCTCGAAAGTATCAGTGAGATGACAATTGAATTGAATTCGACTATTTCAACATGGAGAAAATTAATTCATATAATTAACAGTAAATCATTGAATGAACGACGCCTCTTTTTTGAGTGACGAATAATAGAGTGATAGATTTCACGCTTGGTCCTAGTAATTAATAAAAATTCATATTCACGCTTATTTGTGCGTCTATGAAACTGTTCTATTCTGAGTGATTTTGCTTTCTTTCTCCCATTATCGAGTGTTAATTTACAAAAGCATATTTAATGCGGAAAAAAAACAAAAATAATTTCATTTATTTTTAAGAAATAACACACAAACAAAATGTGAGAACGAGTTCTTTGTAAATATTGATAAAATCAATCGCCGAACGATTTCCATAGACGACAGATATGAGCCAGAAAGAGGAAGAGTGTGTACCCGGTGACTGTATTTTATTCGAAGTTACCGTTTAGACAATCTTCCTACAATAATAATCAAACTATCCGGCTCGTTTAACTTTAACAGTTATTCTTCCATTATCGACAATTATTGATCATATCAAAGGAAGAGTGTTATACCCGGTGATTTATTTCTTTATCTAAATCATATAAACCGACTATACAATCTTCTGTCGAAAGATCAACAGATTTTTCCCAGAATCGATTTCTCGATGAAAAAAAACACAGCAAAATCAATCACATTATCACCAAAGCTAAGTGTAGAACCCGGTGAGGAATCGTTTTCATATCAGCCTCAACCGAAATTCCACCTAGCTTTAGTAAGATGATCAGGAAAAAGAAATATCAAGTGAAGGTGCTCTCAATTAGGATGAGTGTGAGATCTAGTCATGAACTTGCAAAAACCACATAGACTAAATAACACAATCATGTGAATCGGAGAGCTCTTCTCTTCAGCTTTTTTTTGTCATTAATCATACCATCACCACAAACAGATCAAGACAAAACCAAACATCACATGCAGATTTGATGAAACAAAAAAATTTAATAGAGAGAGAGAATGCAGCTCACCATACTTTATTCCAGAAACTTCAATTGTTTTTTCCTTTTTTTGAATATATCGACAATAGAGAGAGATATCAGTAGATTTGACTAGATTTATTATCATGTTGGTTTTTCGTCTAGAGATTATAATAAGACAAAGAACGACGTTTTTTTGATGGTAGTAGACGACAATAAATGTTGAGAACAACGCGATGCAAATGAACAACCGGACGAGTTGGCCAGACGATTGACCCTATATGCATTGTTTTCTATGTATTCTTTCTTGCTTCTCGTCGTTGTCGAAAAAAAGCAGAGAAAGAGAGAAAAAACCGTAAAGACAAGCTTTCGCTTGTCTATATATATGTATATACTCGCATCCGACCGCTGTCGGTCGATGTTAAATATGAGCGACATGTTCAGATATGTACATTTTCTTTTCTCTTTCTCTCAATTTTTGACCGAACATTGACCTGTTTCTCTTTCTTTTGCTAAACGCTATTTTTGCCCGATACTAACATACTATATCCACGCTTGTCTCTTCGATTTGTTCAATGGTAGAAATATGAACATCATCTTTCGTTCAAACATTGATAGATTTTTCTTCCTTTCTGTCTTCATCTAGACATTCTGACCTTAGGAAGAAAAAAAGAAGTAACGGAAGAACGGACAACTGAACAAATAGAAAAAAAGATGGTTGGTTCAAAGATGTTATGTCTGACAAGTATACAATTTTGGCTCAACGCCAAATTTGTATACACAGACAACTACTAACGATATATCGAAGCCGTTCGCGGTAAAATCAAATCAAAACAAACGTTCAATAAGTGTCTGTTATGTTCAAGTAGAAAGCAATTGGCTGAATCCAATCTAATGGTGCGAGAGCAAAAAAGAATAACATACTTAATAGAACATAAATAGATATGAAAAATTCCTTCATATCGCTTGTATTAAAATATATTCGCAAACGAATTTCTTCTTGAGGGCCTATTCGGACATTATCGAATCGAATGAACAATAACAAGCGAAAAGTAGATCTCGGATTAAGCATGTTGTTAAATGTTCTATTTGTTTGATAACGGCTTTACATTGATCGAAAGCTACTGAAGCTCTTTTGGAGTATTTAACGAAAAATTGTCAAGAGAAGAAGAAGAAGAAGAACAACGAATGATCAGTCGACATCCATCAATCATTTGTCGTTAGTGATGGTTTGTCTAGATTGATCTTATCTATTTCTTTCGTCAACACTTCAACTTGAATCATCATATTCTTGATGACCTGTTACATGATTTCAATAACAAAGAAAACTATCCATTAGATTGCATCGAATAGAGATTAAACACGTTTACCGCTAATGTCATTCGATCGTTATCAGAAAAAGCCAATTGTTGTCGTTGAAAAATAACGTTAAATTCTTCTTTTTCACCATTTCTACGTCGCAAATCGCGCATTTAGTTGTCGATAATGATGATCATTACTCTCGATAGTTAACATTCATCTTCATTTTGTTTGGACGCTTCTGTCGTTCATCAGTAAATTAGATTGATACACTAGGGAGACTAAGAGCTGATTAACAGTATAAGATACATTACTCTGTTGATCTTCTGGATAGCCATTAGTTTAATGTGTTGATGATATATCTGTTCGGATGTTTATAAACATTAAAACAAAATTTTGTTCTACTATTTTTCTTTGCGAGTTGATGGGAAATATCGATAAGACTTTGCATTCCGATCACGAGTTGGTGAAAACGTCTAACCTTTTTGTTTTCATAGGGAGAGAAGAGTTCGAAGTAAGTAGTAGAGTGTTCTAATTGATGTTCTTTCAACTACAAATATTTGAACACTTGAACAATTTTTTTCGCTGTAGATTCAAGTATTTGTAAGTGATGTCTATTGTATTGAAAGACGAAGAAAACAACAAGCGAGACTTATGTTGAATTCACAAATAGAACGGTTCATATCAAGTATCATTTCTTTATTAAATCGATTAAAGCTTTCTATTTGTATACGCAAACTATGTGCTAATACGTGCAGACGAACGTGTGTCTAGTTTTGGAAGAAATTCTTGATCATTGGTACGGGTAGATGGTGAATGATAGTGTTGATACATTAGAAGAGAAGATGGATTTTGAAGATATTTCCATGGATGGAAAATTTGTTCGGGATATCGATGGGATTCTATACGACGTAATTCTAATTCATGTTCAGCAATTTGAACTTTACGTTGCCAGATGTGTAGAGTATTGTGAAGGTTCGTTTGTTTCGATTTCAAGTCGACATAGTTTACAATCGACGGAAGACGATATGTTTTCGACAATTGATGAATAGACTTGTTGGTTATCTCGTACTGGTGAATCTCCTGATCGAAGAAAAATCAGGAATAGAGAAGAGTTTATCGTTTCGTCTTACATGTTGCAGTTTTTGTTCTAGTTCATTGTAATGCTTGATCAATTGTATTCGAAGATTCGTTTCTTTACGTATGGATACAAGTGCGCGAAGTTCTTTGAATAATTCCGGCTATATCGAATGAACAATAGAATCGTTTGATTCACTCGCAGATTCTCTAACTTTTTTCGCATTGAGTTTGACATTTGCCTCCGATTGTTGTCGTTTATAAAAAACGAGCATTCTATTTTTTCTACTCATTTCTTTCAATTGCTTATCAATATCGATTTTCAATTGCTCAAAATCGACTTCAGTTATCATATCAACGATTTGACGAGCCTTTCGAATCGACTGTTCGACACCATCTATATTGAAACGAAGACGAACAGTTTTTTGACGTTTCTACAACGAGATGTGATATTCTGTTAATCATCCTGATAATCACTAGAACCTAACTCTTTCGTTCAATGCTTCCTACAAAGATCAAGCAGATGAAAACTAATTGAAAAAGTAATGAATATTTACAAGGTAATGCATTCTTTCATGAAAGAATTCAAACAATTCTTCTGTCGTGAATCTCTTCTGCGGTTCGATAAGCTCAACTTGAATTTTTTGCATAAACTTCTTCAATGTACTCATTTCACCTTCTAAATGATCGATGGTTTCATCGACAGTTTCAACGGTAGTCTAAGAAGGCCGAATTCAATGATGTTCTATACGTTATCGATCTTACAATGTATTCATCGATGTAGTGCGTGATGTTAAGTCCATGTTTTTGATTGTAAACTTGTAGAACCTTACAACTCGATTCGGCGATTTGGCGTTTCGCCTCGATCGCTAATGGCTGTTTGGTTTTAGTCTTCAAAATTTGTTGAAAATGAGGTTTGACCTTATCTAAATGAATGCAGATCGCAACGTGAATGATCTATGACGAATAATCTGCTTGCTTGGAAGAGAAATATTTTCTATTGTTCGTTTATCTTGAAGAGGAACTATCTTCTTTTCATACCATATTAAATAATTATGCAACAGTCGATTCTCGGCACGAAGGTATATAATTTGTTCACTAGAAAAAACTCCAACTTTTTCCAACAACCGATTCATCGCATTTTACTCTAATTTCTTCAACTTTTTCTGCAAGACATTAGTCGATAAAATCGCTAAATCTTCTTTTTCTTGTTCATGATAAATATTGTAATCAAATCCATTGATAATCGCAACAATGTTCTTGCTTATATCTTGCTGATAGGACATTGCACTCAACGATTATTTACCGCCAATTACACATAGTAACTCGCTATTTTCAAGAGTTGCATTCCTCGTTGACGTCGAGCGGTCTCTGTCATACAAATGAGTAAACATGCAACCATATTGTTTGTAAAACGTATTTCATAAAACAAGTGTAGAAGTGTTCAATGCGCACACGAGGAAGCCACGTTTGTTTTTCTACACCATGCGTTTTATTCTCGTTACTATGGATATGAATATTGCAAAGTATGGTAAGTCATGAGAAAAGAATGAATCGTTCGACGAAATACTTCGGCACACCCTTGTTCCTTAACGTGCAGTGAAAGGAACGTTCGTCGGCTATGTCTAATCGAATGGATGATCCATTGATCTTTTCGATGGATGATCATTTCGTCGAAGAACATTTAGTTCGACTCGATCTACGTTCGAAACATTTGAAACATATCGATCAATTGCCGAATAATATTGATTTCAACGTTATTCTACTCGATAAGAACGAATTAACCGAAATCGCACAATTGGATCGATTTGCTCATTTAATTCAAGTAATGTAGAAACTTTTTCATTAGGATAAGTCGTCTCTTATTCGCTATTCTTTCAGTTGTCTGTATCTCATAACCGTCTGACTAGCATTCATCTACTTCATCGACTCAGATCACTACAAAAACTCGATCTTAAACACAACTTAATCGATTCAGTCGATGGTAACCTGACAATGCTTTCCTTTTCCTCTATTTTTCATATACTCTTTTTTAAAGGTTTGAAAACTCTACACAATCTTACCTTACTCAACATTTCTCATAACAATGTAGCCAGCATTGCAGTTCTAAACAATTGCTCGAATCTACAATCAATCGATGCCAGTGATAATTACATTCAACAGATCGAAGATCTTTCTCGATTGACATCGTTGAAAGTAAGAAACATCTTCATAAAAGAAAACGACGACTGGTTGACCTTGTTTTTTTACTAGTATTTAAATTTACATAAAAATTTTCTGCATACATTGAATTCAGCATTACGCTATTGGCCTAAATCGCTTCATACATTGATTATATCCGATAATGAAATCCAAGATTTAACTGAAGTAAATATTTGCTTTTCTCTGATCATTTGCCATTTCTTATTCTATAATGAAGGTTGCCCATCTGACGTCCTTTGTCAATCTGAACACACTTTACATCATCGATAATCCATGTTTATCAGTAGTTGATGAAAAACATGGATGTCACCAACCATTTGACTATCGACCGTTTATTTTGAATTGGTGTTTATCAATTCATAATCTAGATGGTTTACTTGTCACACGAAAAGAAAGGTAATGATGTGAGATTGAAGTCTTGGCAATTTTAGATTTATTCATGACGTAGTTTGAAAAGTGAATGGCTGTTAAGTCAGGGCAAAGGCCGATCATTTGGGTCCGGTGAACATGCCGAACTCGTTCGATATTTGACACGGGTCTGCGGTACAGACGGAAATGAAGTAAAACAAATCGAATTTTGATGTGTTCTATTTATTATCTTTCATTTCAAAGAAAGAGGATACTAATCTATCACAGATTATACACCAAAAAGATTTGCACAATCAACAACGATACTCTGGTAGGAATTTGTGAACAATCGTAGACATCTCGATGTCTATCACAATGATTTTCAGAACATTCAAACGAACCAATGATGATAACATCAGATACAATTCGAGATGCCAGTGAAACATTATCCCATAGTTTGAGATACATTTATGACAATTTCAACTGATGATACCTGCGTTGTTTTTAGATACACATAGCCGTTATCAACAAGGCAAACTGATTTCCGAGTCCGAATTTATTAAATCGAATACATCATCGTCTGCAACGTCCGGAGATGATGAATCTATCTCATTCATCCATCGTAAGATACCTACAAGTCAGAGTTGACTTTGAAATTTTTTTTTTCCGGTATAAGAACGTCAGATGCGAACACCAAGTCCAGCTTTTGCTCGATCAGCACACGTCAACATTCCTCATATTGATGATCCACCAACTGAAAATAGTTCAAGCAGCCGTTATATTCAATACGATGATCGACCAATTAAGCCATTAGATCAAAACATGCTTCAAGTCAAACTCAATGAATATCCCATCGATAGGTAAATATCAATCTACTAAACGAAAGAAAGTTGATTCTCTGATTACTAGTAATGACGTCATGAGTCACTCTCGTTCTCACATGTCAGGCCATTCACAGCCAATTAGACCATCAACTTCTGCTTTACCTTACAATGCCGCTCACTATTCACCGAAAGCGGCTACTTCCGAACCGACTCATTCGAGTTTTCTTGCTCGAGAAACGGCTCGAGTACTTGCAAATCGTACGCAAGACACTTGTTTTTCTTTCTTTTTTCTCTTTCTAAAATATCGAATTATTCACAGGACCTAATAGTCGAAAAAAATTACAACGAAGAAATACAATTCACGTCAATCCTCTTCAACCACTTGAACAGCTACAGACCTATGTTAAACAAAACTCGACAGTGATTCACGCAAATCAGTCCACAAAACATCAAGCGTTAATTGACACTTCACAAAATAAGAGAAATTGTAAGAATTCGTTTAGAAAAACAAAACTTACGGTAAAATCTCCAAATCATNTCTGAAAGACAAAACACAGCAAAATCAATCACATTATCACCAAAGCTAAGTGTAGAACCCGGTGAGGAATCGTTTTCATATCAGCCTCAACCGAAATTCCACCTAGCTTTAGTAAGATGATCAGGAAAAAGAAATATCAAGTGAAGGTGCTCTCAATTAGGATGAGTGTGAGATCTAGTCATGAACTTGCAAAAACCACATAGACTAAATAACACAATCATATGAATCGGAGAGCTCTTCTCTTCAGCTTTTTTGTCACTAATCATACCATCACCACAAACAGATCAAGACAAAACCAAATATCACATGCAGATTCGATGAAACAAAAAAATTTAATAGAGAGAGAGAATGCAGCTCACCATACTTTATTCCAGTGACTTCAATTGTTTTTTCCTTTTTTTGAATACATCGACAATAGAGAGAAATATCAGTAGATTTGACTAGATTTATTATCTTGTTGGTTTTTCGTCTAGAGATTATAATAAGACAAAGAACGGCGTTTTTTGACGGTAGTAGACGACAATAAATGTTGAGAACAACGCGATGCAAATGAACAACCGGACGAGTTGGCCAGACGATTGACCCTATATACATTGTTTTCTATGTATTCTCTCTTGCTTCTCGTCGTTGTCGAAAAAAAGCAGAGAAAGAGAGAAAAAACCGTAAAGACAAACTTTCGCTTGTCTATATATATATGTGTGTGTGTATACTCGCATCCGACCGCTGTCGGTCGATGTTAAATATGAGCGACATGTTCAGATATGTACATTTTCTCTTCTTTTTCTCTCAATTTTTGACCGAACATTGACCTGTTTCTCTTTCTTTTGCTAAACGCTATTTTTGCCCGATACTAACATACTATATCCACGCTTGTCTCTTCGATTTGTTCAATGGTAGAAATATGAACATCATCTTTCGTTCAAACATTGATAGATTTTTCTTCCTTTCTGTCTTCATCGAGACATTCTGACCTTAGGAAGAAAAAAGAAGTAACGGAAGAACGGACAACTGAACAAATAGAAAAAAAGATGGTTGGTTCAAAAATGTTATGTCTGACAAGTATACAATTTTGGCTCAACGCCAAATTTGTATACACAGACAACTACTAACGATATATTGAAGCCGTTCGCGGTAAAATCATATCAAAACAAACGTTCAATAAGTGTCTGTTATGTTCAAGTAGAAAGCAATTGGCTGAATCCAATCTAATGGCGCGAGAGCAAAAAAGAATAACATACTCGATCGAACATAAATAGATATGAAAAATTCCTTCATATTGCTTGTATTAAAATATATTCGCAAACGAATCTGCTTCTTAAGGGCCTATTCAGACATTACCGAATCGAATGAACAATAACAAGCGAAAAGTAGATCTCGGATTAAGCATGTTGTTAAATGTTCTATTTGTTTGATAACGGCTTTACATTGATCGAAAGCTACTGAAGCTCTTTTGCAGTATTTAACGAAAAATTGTCAAGAGAAAAAGAAGAACGAATGATCAGTCGACATCCATCAATCATTTGTCGTTAGTGATGGTTTGTCTAGATTGATCTTATCTATTTCATTCGTCAACACTTCAACTTGAATCATCATATTCTTGATGACCTGTTACATGATTTCAATAACAAAGAAAACTATCCATTAGATTGCATCGAATACAGATTAAACACGGTTACCGCTAATGTCATTCGATCGTTATCAGAAAAGTCAATTGTTGTCGGTGAAAAATAACGTTCAATTCTTCTTCTTCAACATTTTTACGTCGCAAATCGCACATTTAGTTGTCGATAATGACGATCATTACTCTCGATAGTTAACATTCATATTCATTCATCTTCATTTTGTTTGGACGCTTCTGTCGTTCATCAGTAAATTAGATTGATACACTAGGGAGGCTAAGAGCTGATTAACAGTATAAGATACATTACTCTGTTGATCTTCTGCTGAATAGCCATTAGTCTAATGTGTTGATGATATATCTATTCGGATGTTTATAAACATAGAAACTAAATTTTGTTCAACTATTTTTCTTGGCAAATAGATGGGAAATATCGATAAGACTTTGCATTTTCATCACGAGATGATGAAAACGCCTAACCTTTTATTTTCATAGGGAGAGAAGAGTTTGAAGTAAGTGGTAGAGTGTTCTAATTGATGTTCTTTCAACTACAAATATTTGAACACTTGAACAATTTTTTTCGCTGTAGGTTCAAGTATTTGTAAGTGATGTCTATTGTATTGAAAGACGAAGAAAACAACAAGCGAGACTTATGTTGAATTCACAAATAGAACGGTTCATATCAAGTATCATTTCTTTATTAAAGCGATTAAAGCTTTGCATTTGTATACGCAAACTATGTGCTAATACGAGCAGACGAACGTGTGTCTAGTTTTGGAAGAACTTCTTGATCATTGGTACGGATAGATGGTGAATGATAATGTTGATACATTAGAAGAGAAGATGGATTTTGAAGATATTTCCATGGATGAATAATTTGTTCGGGATATCGATGGGATTCTACGCGACGTAATTCTAATTCGTGTTCAGCAATTTGAACTTTACGTTGCCAGATGTGTAGAGTATTGTGAAGGTTCGCTTGTTTCGATTTCAAGTCAACGTAGTTTACAATCGATGGAACACGATATGTTTTCGACAATTTATGAGTAGACTCGTTGATTATCTCATACTGGTGAATCTCCTGATAGAAGAAAAATCAAGAATAGAGAAGAGTTTGTCTCTTCGTCTTACATGTTGCAGTTTTTGTTCCAGTTCATTGTAATATTTGATCAACTGTATTCGAAGATTCGTTTCTCTACGTATGGATACGAGTGCGCGAAGTTCTTTGAATAATTCAGGCTATATTGAATACACAATAGAACCGATTGATCCACTCAAAGATTCTCTAACTTTTTTCGCATTGAGTTTGACATTTGCCTCCGATTGTTGTCGTTTATAAAAAACGAGCATTCTATTTTTTCTACTCATTTCTTTCAATTGTTTATCAATATCGATTTTCAATTGTTCAAAATCGACTTCGGTTACCGTATCAACGATTTGACGAACCTTTCGAATCGATTGTTCGACACCATCTATATGGAAACGGAGACGAACAGTTTTTTGACGTTTCTACGATGAGATGTGCTATTCGGTTAATCATCCTGATAATCACTAGAACTAACTCTTTCGTCCAATGCTTCCTGAAAAGATCAAGCGGATGAAAACTAATTGAAAGAGTAATGAGTATTTACAAGGTAATGCATTCTTTCATGAAAGAATTCAAACAATTCTTCTGTCGTGAATCTCTTCTGCGTTTCGATAAGCTCGACTTGAATTTTTTGCATGAACTTCTTCAATGTACTCAATTCACGCTCTAAATGATCGATGGTTTCATCGACAGTTTCGACCGTGTTCTAAGAAGGCCATATTCGATGATACTCTATACTTTATCGATCTTACAATGTATTCATCAACGTAGTGTGTGATGTTAAGTCCATGTTTTTTATTATAAGCTTGTAGAACCTTGCAACTCGTCTCGGCGATTTGACGTTTCTTCTCGATCGCTAATGGTTGTTTGGTTTTAGTCTTCGAAATTTGTTGAAAATGAGGTTTAACCTTATCTAAATGAGTGCAAATTCCAACGTGAATTATCTATGCCGAATAGTCTGCTTACTTGGAAGAGAAATATTTTCTATTATTCGTTTATCTTGAAGAGGAACTATCTTCTTCTCATACCATATTAAATAATTCTGCAATAGCCGGTTCTCGGCACGAAGATATATAATCTGTTCACTAGAAAAAAACTCCAACTTTCTCCAACAACCGACTCATCGCATTTTACTCTAATCTCTTCAATTTTTTCTGCAAGGCATTAGTCGATAAAATCGCTAAATCTTCTTTTTCTTGTTCATGATAAATATTGTAATCAAATCCATTGATAATCGCAACGATGCTCTTGTTTATATCTTGCTGATAGGACATTGCATTCAACGATTATTTACCGCCAATTTCACATAGAAACTCTATTTTCAAGAGCTGCTTTCCTCGTTGACGTAGAGCGATCTCTGTCATACAAACGAGTAAACATCCATGTTATTTGTAGAACATTTCATAAAACAAATGTAGAAGTGTTCAATGCGCACACGAGGAAGCCACGTTTGTTTCTCTACACCATGCGTCTAATTCTCGTTACTATGGATATGAACATTACAAAGTATGGTAAGTCATGAGAAAAGAATGAATCGTTCGACGAAACACTTCGACACACCCTTGTTCTTTAACGTGCAGTGAAAAGAACATTCGTCGACAATGTCGAATCGAATGGATGATCCATTGATCTTTTCGATGGATGATCATTTCGTCGAAGAACATTTAGTTCGACTCGATCTATGTTCGAAACATTTGAAACATATCGATCAATTGCCGAATAATATTGATTTCAACGTTATTCTACTCGATAAGAACGAATTAACCGAAATCGAACAATTGGATCGATTTGCTCATTTAATTCAAGTAATGTAGAAACTTTTTCGTTAGGATAAGTCGTCTCGTATTCGCCGTTCTTCCAGTTGTCCGTATCTCATAACCGTCTGACTAGCATTCATCTACTTCATCGAATCAGATCACTACAAAAACTCGATCTTTCATACAACTTAATCGAGTCAGTCGATGGTAAACTGACAATCTTTTCCTTTTTCCTATTTTCCAGAAACTCTTCTTCGAAGGTTTGAAAACTCTACAGAATCTTACCTTACTCAACATTTCGCATAATAATGTGACCAGCATTGCAGTTCTAAACAATTGTTCAAATCTACAATCAATCGATGCCAGTGATAATTGCATTCAACAGATCGAAGACCTTTCTCGATTGACATCGTTGAAAGTAAGAAACATCTTCATAGAAGAAAACGACGACTGTCTAACCTTGTCTTTTGCTAGTATTTAAATTTACATAAAAATTTTCTTCATACATTGAATTCAGTATTACGCTATTGGCCTAAGTCGCTTCATACACTGATTATATCCGATAATGAAATCCAAGATTTAACTGAAGTATATATTTGCTTCTCTCTGATCATTTGCCATTTCGTATTCTACAATGAAGGTTGCCCATCTGACGTCCTTTGTCAATCTGAACACACTTTACATCATCGACAATCCATGTTTATCAGTAGTTGATGAAAAACATGGATGCCACCAACCATTTGACTATCGACCATTTATTTTGAATTGGTGTTTATCAATTCATAATCTAGATGGATTACTTGTTACACGAAAAGATAGGTAATGATTTGAGATTGAAGTCTTGACAATTTTTAGATTTATTCATGGTGTAGTTTGAAAAGTGAATGGCTATTAAGTCAGGGCAGAGGCCGATCATTTGGGCCCGGTGAACACGCTGAACTCGTTCGATATTTGACACGGGTCTGTGGTACAGACGTAAATGAAGTAAAACGAATCGAATTTTGATCTGTTCTATTTATCTTTCGTTTCAAAGAAAGAGGATGTTAATCTATCACAAGTTATGCATCAAAATGATTTGCACAGTCAACAACGATACTCTGGTAGGAGTTCGTGGACAATCGTACAGACCTCGATGTTTATCACACTGATTTTCAGAACATTCAAACGAACCAATGATGATAACATCAGATACAATTCGAGATGCCATTGAAACATTATCCCACAGTTTGAGATACATTTACGACAATTTTAACTGACGATACCTACATGTTTTTAGATACGCATAGTCATTATCAACAAGACAAGCTGATTTCCGAGTCCGAATTGATCAAATTGAATACATCATCGTCTGCAACGTCCGGAGATGATGAACCTATTTCACTCAGCCGTCGTAAGATACTTACAACTCAGAGTTGACTTTCAAATAATTTTTCTTTTCGGTATAAGAACATCAGATGCGAACACCAAGTCCAGCTTTTGCTCGATCAGCACACATCAACATTCCTCATATTGATGATCCACCAACTGAAAATAGTTCAAGCAGCCGTTATATTCAATACGATGATCGACCAATTAAGCCATTAGATCAAAACATGCTTCAAGCCAAACTCAATGAATATCCCATCGATAGGTGAATATCAATCTACTAAGCGAAAGAAAGTTGATTCTCTGATTATTAGTAATGACGTCATGGGTCACTCTCGTTCTCACATGTCAGGCCGTTCACAGCCAGTTAGACCATCAACTTCTGCTTTACCTTACAATGCCGCTCACTATTCGCCGAAAGCGGCTACTTCCGAACCGACGCATTCGAGTTTTCTTGCCCGAGAAACGGCTCGAGCACTTGCGAATCGTAAGCAACACATTTGTTTTTCTTTCTCTCTCTAAAATATCGAATTATTCACAGGATCTGATCATCGACGAAAATTACAACGAAGAAATACAATTCACGTCAATCCACTTCAACCACTTGAACAGCTACAGAGCTATGTTAAACATAACTCGACAGTGATTCACACAAATCAGTCCACAAAACATCAAGCGTTAATTGACACTTCACAAAATAAGAGAAATTGTAAGAATTCGTTTAGAAAAACAAAACTTACGGTAAAATCTCCAAATCATTTTGCACTATCTCGATCTATTTGCACTCCACTAACAATTTATTGACATTTGATTTCAATGCAAATAGGTTAGTTTGCCTTCTTGATCAGAAGTACCATAGTGCACTAACTATCATTCGTTTTTGTCAAGATTATAATTTACAATGGATTTCTCTTCTCATAGATCATACCGAAAACGATACAGAACTTCATTCAAAGTCAGTTCCTGTCAATACAATGTTATCAACTCGAAGTACAACAATGAATAATACTACTACCGATTTGGAAAAATTGACAACGTCAGTGGAAACGGTGCGAACATCGATTCTTCTCGCGTAAGTTACATTGATATTGCTTCTTCTTCAATGAAGCCTATATGTTTTAAAAGATATATTGATCTTCATGAGCGATTTACAAAGGCAACGGAATTGCAAACATCGGCATTATCAGCTCTTTGGAAAAAAGTACGGTGTGTAAATCTGATAAGTGAGTGTACACTGAGAGATGTTTTAGTGTGAAACACAAAATTTGACACATCAACGCGAAACCGAGAAGATCATCGAACAAAATCGATTGCTCAGTCAACGAATTCATGAACTTGAAGGACATTTAAGAGGAACAAAGGAACCGAGTTCGGTAAAGAAAAAGAAGAAAAAAAAGCATAATTACTTGATCTCTTTCATTTGCTTAGGTCACACAAATCAGCTCGAAACACAATCCCAACATACATCCACCGCTTCGTGCTCATATCTCCAAACGTGACGCCAAGAGTTGTTTTCTTCATTGGATTCCAAATACATTAAATCAATCTCAAACGATTCTCGGATATCGAATCTACGTGGATGATATTCTGAAAGGTGCTGTTGATGCGAACAAATTCGAAGCTATCGTTGATTACATTCGTGATGAAGGAGAATATCGAATTAAAATTCGAACGTACAATCAAGAGGGAGAATCAACTGATTCGAATATTGTCATTGCAAGATTTCATCGTCAAAATACAGTAGCGGTAACATCTGAAGGAACGACATCACGACGACGAACTCAATCAGAACGTATCGGAGAAGATAAGAAAGAGAAACAGTCGAACGAGGAGCTATTTATGCTCTCAAGGAATCGAAGTCAAACACCGATTATTATGGATAAACGACGAAGTGAGATAGAACAATCGCAAGAGAATATATCAGTCGCACCAGAGAGAGAAACAGTAAGTTAACGATCTTTGTTGTAGTTAGTCGATTATCTCTGCGTTTATTCGTTTAGATTGTGTCCGATGAGCACGATTCATCAATAAAGACAAGTCCCCATATCACGAGAAACGATTATACTGTTACTGGTAAACCGCCCATTTCACCAACATCGAGTCCTAGTCGGATGGAGAAGAAATCACCGAGTAGAGAATTCTCTAGTAAAAGACAACTTGATTATCATAAATGTGACAAATAACGCAATGTTCTTTTCAGGTGCAGCAACTAAGAGAAGCCCTATACGATCTGGTATTATGTCTCGTTTGACACGGAGCTCGAATAAAGTCAAACATAATCTTTTAAATGTTCTTCCTATGGAACGAAGTAACAGTCCCACTGAATCTACAAATATATCCAAAACCGAAGTACAATTCTCTCTGGTGTCATTTATATCATTTCTTTATTTATTCTAGACAACCTCTGCCAAACGAACAATTACATTTCCATCGGATGTCAACAGCAATGATCACGAACGTCTCTCTACTCACCAATATCCAATGCGATCCATATTCGATCCGACAACTTCAATTGATATGGATCATTTTATGACGCATTCTGATACTTTCATCTCGAGCTCACCATCATTATCTACTCCTTCACAAACATCAGCGAAACATGTGCGTCCAAACTCGATCGATCAATAGATGAGATCCAAACTAAACTCGACAAACTGCACTGAGATTTGTCAGATATTCACTTTCACCAACGTGATTGTGAATGTTTTGTTTTGTGAAATCTTGTCAATCTGTTTCAAATACCGAGATGATATTTTGTCTTCATGATCTGTCAGCCTTTCACATTGAGCTAAAGCGTCGATAGAACATTTTTCACGATTTATTTTGTATAAAAAAAAACTTTATTAATAGCATTGAAATAAAACATAACAACAACGTTGTTCGATCTCTAGTTCGACTTACTAACATGGCTTCGGTACCCAGCAATTGCACCATTCATCAGGTATCCCTGCACTTCGACAAGTTCGATCTATCGATATCTTCTCAGTAAAAAGATTGACTGTGTTGGATAAACTTAATGGTAATGAAGTATTCGCAAATCGAGCAAAAGTCATATAAATATCACCGTGACTAACGAGTTTATCACTATTCACTTTTAAATTATTGATTATATCTGTAAAACCTGTGACATTTTTACCTATCAATATGTAGAGTGGCGGATTTCGATGATCGAATTCACGCCATAATTCTTTCCAATCATGCCCATGTAAACCATGATCACCGAGTATGATCATAATTGTATTGTCCAACGCTTGAGATTTATTTACAGCAAGAAGAAAATCATAGAATTTTGTGTCTAAAACGGCATAGTTCACTAATTCATCTTCAGTATGTGGATCGACCATATTGTTGATCGAAAACCAGCCGCCTGATTGCATACTGTTAAAGCGATGACTGAGGTAATCGAACATTTCATCAGCAATCCATGTCGTGCCTGTTACACATCCACCACGCTTATTATATAATTCAACTGTATCACCGCCGAATTCACCAAAAAAATTACTTGCTAAAATGCGATCCACGGCCTTCGACGGAATGTAATTTGGTAGCTGATAACTGTAACTTTCTAAGAGACTAGTGGAATAGCCAGCTTGCTTATACAAACGTAAAAGTGATGTTTTCTGACAATCTCCGGAACCACAGTATACCCGGCGCATATTGGGTTCCGAATTTCTTCCATTCACATTGAGATGACGAAATTCAATTCCTCGAGCGTCTCGTAATCCGGGCAGTGTGTTTGTTGACGAATCGGATGTGCTAAAAAGATTCGAATGAGTTTCTGTTGTTCAATCTTACTAACGTAGGATAATTTTTGTCTCGTACGAAGTGGTTCTCTTGTACATATTCTCTGTAGTGAAAGGAAAGAAACATACCCATATGTTGTAAGAAGCTTGTACGAACGTGGCATTCTTCTGTACATTGCTTGTCTACCAAGAGCATCAAATTGCATGAAGACGACATTTGGCTTTTGCTTCACCGCTGGCGGTGGCTGAGGAAGGGGCAGAGCGTGTAAATGTAAACGAGTAACAGGTTCCGTATAGAACGGAAGATTACATTGCGTATAAACCCATTCATGCTCTCCCATTGATATGGGACCAATATAATTCTCCACAAGTGAATTACGAGTTCGAAAACCATACTTTGGTTTCATCGATGGTGGACAATCAATAATTAATGTGTTGCTGGTTCTATTTATTCTGGAAAAAGTCGGTGCCCAACAACCGCGTCGATACATCGGCCCCCATCTACAGTGAAACTTCGTTAGTGAATCAGTCACAAACATCAACATGTCCTACAAATCATTCTCTGTTGCACATAACTTACCGATGTCGCCACATAAAATCTAATCTGGATGTCAAGTCACGACTATCTTTCTCTGGTATATGACAATAGAGTAGTTTTTTGTTGACTTCGACAGTGTATTCGCTCCTTGGCACGTCAAGCCGAAACCTCACATTAGGATCACAGACAATACTGTTATTCCCTTTGATGACGATAATAGTTCGATTTACTACTTGGTGATTGAGTGGAAGGAAAGTAAATAGGTGTGGAAATGTTCCATAGGAAAAAACGACAACTACGAAAAATGCAATCACGAATACTGCATAATGATACCATCGTTTTGTTGTTGTTTCTTGCATTGATAAAAACTCGGGTGATAATCGACGTTGGTATGAGAATGTTGATCATAAACACACGAACAGCTGAGTTCAATATCTACAGTAGTAACAGATTTCATATATAGTCAAGTTCGGTTTTCAATCATATGAATTAATCAGGTGTGAATGGACGAAAAACACATGGAGAGTGCGCGAATATAGTTGTAAAATTGAAAATGGGGACAGCGACATGCTTTTCTCAGGCTCTTGCTTAACACGTGAACGTTTATGAGAATAATCTAGAGAATGGCGTGTGATTTTTTAAACTGATTTAGCAATAAAAACTACCAAAGTGGTGTCTAAAGGATGAATTATAGAATGATATCCATAAATCATGAAATAGTGTTACGTTTCATTAAAACACATCGACCTTGCGAGAAAGAAATCCGATTTATCGCATAAATATTATGAAATGAAAGAGCGTCAAGAGATACTTCTGAGCAAATAACGGCGATTATTCCATGATCAAATCCATTTATTTTCTAGCGATAAAATAAACTATACCGAGCAGGAAAGCGACTTAATCAAGAAGAAATCTTTTGCTATCACACATTAAATATAAGAGATACTGTTTCGTAGCATCGGGAAAAGTTTCTAGGTTGATATCGATTATTTATCTTCACCTATTATTGACGAATAACAACAAATACACAAGTGGACTTTGCGTCCTATACTGTATGTGACATAACTAAGCAATATATGTATACGATTTCGTGGTTCCTGTCACGCCGTCAGATATCGATCAAGTTTCGTATGTTGTCGTATTATGTTGATCTCTCCAGTCGAAAGGAAATATAAGGAGGGCAAAACATGTGTAGGAAGAATATCATGATATTTTTGTTTTCTTTTTATTGCCTATTAACACTGACTTGAGTAAAATATATATAGTTCCTATCATAGAAACTTACTTACAGATCGTTGCTATCGCTTGTCGATGAAATGTTCATAGACTTCTCTTTCCGTGATGAAAAATCTATCAGTTAGAAGAAAATGTTCAACTGAAATGATTAGAACAATATTTGATTTTGATGAAAGCTTAGAAAATGAAAGTGATATTGACAAGAGAAACTGAGAACAGTGTTATTAATAGTATAGCTAGAAAGTATAATCAGACAAATTGCTTAACATGTTGCATAAACATCACTTATTGTTAATATTAATACGAACACGAGAAAGAGAAAAATGGAAAAATTTAAGAATAACACTCTTACGTTATCCGAACTATTCATTTACTCGAGCTGATAGAGAATAAAGTATGTTATTGTTATTTCATATTTCACCCGGAAAACCAAATGTGGGATATAGTAAACTCTTTTCTTTCCGTTTTTCTCTAAAACAAACAGAAATCAAATCTTTCTATTATTTCATTATTATTCTATATGAAATCGAGGTAGGACTTTACACGAACCACTCATTAGTAATATTCCAAGCAATACGCTTTTTATCACTATTTCCATGGTAAAAGCATGTGTGTGAGAAGGATTTTGATTAGTTTTGCACAATAAACGTTTCGAAGGTATATATTTACCTCTTCTGTCACTAGAAATTTGAAAACTCTGCTTATCTAATTATCATTTGTGTACCGAAAATGTCGGATAATGTCAATAGAGGCCACATCTATTCTTTTCTCATGGTATTCATTTTCGAGCCAACACATTGACGTTTTGCTTTTCTATCTCGTCAAAAAATATCTTATTAGGTGTAGACTCTCATCTAGAAGAGTGAATCATAAACATAGTGGACTCACAGTTTCTCAACGTTTTGTTTTGTATTTGCGGAACAAGAAGATGTTTTTATTGAGATGAGAATTGTTAGAATAGATTGAAATAAACACTAGGAGAAAAAAAACGATTCTTCTTGTCTGGGTGTTTTGTGACGTCTTCCAAAGTGAGGAAGTTTCTTTTTGACGTCGACATAATCGCTCGATCATCCTGTCAAATAAAAACTCTAATGAACATACGTGTAGATTGTAAATATGCTTATTCCCAAGAATACACTGACATCCGCGCCAATCCATAATAATTAGATGTTTGATTTTTTTTGTTAAGTTTCCGTCTTTACATATTCGTTGATATCTTCATTTCCTCTCATACTCATTCGAATGCATTTTTACCTCTTTATACTTATATGTGCACATGATAAGACTGATGTCATATTGTACATACTTGATATCTTCTATTTGTCTTATTTGACAATGCTTTTATAACTACAGTTTCATTCATTCATCTGCAATCGCAAGTTAACCTTCAAATATCTGTACAGTTATCGATTTCTCATTTTATACATTCGTCATCCGATTCCCGTGTTCAGTCTTGAAATTTCTCTCTACTAAATGCTCTTTCTGTAATATTTTTTCACATATATTATTCATCAGTCTCAATTGATTACCTTGTTTTTGAGAGATTTCAGTTTTGTGTATATCACAAGAAGCGATTGAATTTGGCTCAACTCTCTGGAAACTGGCGCGCAAAACCAGAACTTAATTCTCAGCGGTATGTCAAAAAATATCTTATCATCGCTTAGACCTTTGTACCTAAACACGTTATCGTCACTAGAAGCTGAAAAGAAGCGTATGGAATGCGGAATCGAAAGTCTCATTTTGTTCTTCTAGAGCGAATACGTCAGCAAGTAAATAGGAAGGTGGGAAAAGGGAATAAATTATAAATACTTCACCAGAATTCTATATGTAAGAAAAAGATACATTCATCATAACATAAAGAAAAGAAATCAGTATAATGATCATATCTATGAAGCAGCAACAACGTGTTCTATTTGCAAACAGCACTGTTGTATGATCCTTATCATTCCCCACTCTGACTTGTAACAAGAATAAAGCATGGCAAATATGACTCACTCCAAAAAATATGAGACATAACCTCAAAATAAATTAGGCGAAATATTTCGAATAAGTTAATTTTCTTCTCCGTTTGCATTATATCAATATAAAACTGAATGGCACACTTACATTTGCAGTTGTAGATAAGACTAAAATTGTTATCAATGTGCGCAAGTTTTTTTCAATTTTTTTTTTATATTGACACTGACCTGTTTTATCTACGTTGAAAGAAATGATTCATTTATCCGCATGCGCCGTTTTCTAAGCATTAGATGAAAAGGAATGCTTCGTTTGTGTGTGTGTGGCTGTCTGCACAACTATCAGGTATCACCCTGTTGACAAGTGGAGTCTCTTCGAAACTTGGTTTAATATCATTTGTATAGTATCATCTTACCGTATCGACCGTTAGAAAAAGCGACGCTTCTATACTCGATCACGATATTCTTTTCATAGATTAATCGTCGTTTTTCTGTAGATATTCGCATATGGTCAATAGGGATTCTCATTGAAATGATTGAAAATAGCTGGAAATGTACAGTATGTTGACACGAATCTTTCCTTATGATTTGTTTTTATGAAGAAAATGCTTGCATCGCTAAAATGCTCAGTCTCTTACTGTTATAAGAAGACCGATTAGTGACATATTTCGTACCGAGATTAGTTAGTCGTTTCTCGCATAATCGTAAATTTGAAATACTTCACTATCAAGTATTTGTCAACAATATTACTATATCGTCGAAGTCAAAATGAAATCTGTGGAATGTATCTCTGATAAGAATATTCGATTAGAAGTTATACATTAGTTACTTAATACCAAAATGTCAGTTTCGTTTCAGATCGTCCGAACTATTTCATTTTAATGGCTATTATCAATGATGAAAATTAACGGTTTCCATTTCTAAACTACAGGTAAGTATTGACATTATATGTACATAGATCATGATGAACAATGTTGTTCTGCAGTAGAAATAGGGTATTCCAGAGTATTTTTCATTCTAATCTTTAATAATTAAAATACTTTTGATTAAAGTCGAATAAGGCGTTTGTTTATTAACTCTTAGCCGACATATATGCGTCGCATTTTTCTGCTTATTCAATTTTCTCCTCAGAGCAACTATGTCTGTATCGTATAAAAACGATATAGAAAGAATACAACCCCACATAACCATCATCGACGTGATAGTATGAGCTTTCTGTTTTATTATTAACCGACGATGATCATATGATTATACCATTTTATCCTATTTCCATCCGTTTAGACCAAACAGATCAGTATATCCAATCAACTTTCTCTTGGTTCATATTTGAAAACAAGGTCGACAATGAGCAATAGTACAAAATCAAACGATATTACTGTTGATATCAATGCTAAACAAAATGATATAACTAAAACAAACGGCCAATCAGCGGAGAAAGAAATGAACACTGTCTCCCAATCAATTGTATTTCGTGCTATGGTTCTTTTTCAAGTTCTAGCTTATGGTTCTTATTCAGTCTTAGTACATCTATGTGAACGCAATGGAGCGATTATGTTTTCTTCTACAACTATGAATTTAATTCTCGAAATCATTAAACTTGCCTTTTCAATATTCGTTCTTTTCATCGATTCGACAAAATCTTCAATAGATCTTTTCAATTATAAATCTTGGTTGCGTCCATCATTGCCATATGCTATTCCCGGTATTCTCTATTTCATTAATAATAATCTTGCTGTTCATATACAGCTTCAAATGGATCCGGCTTCGTATCAAATTTTATCAAATTTTAAAATCGTTACCACCGCTATTCTCTATCGAATCATCATCAAACAGAAACTAACCAGAAAACAATGGTTTGCTATTTCACTTCTATTCTTCAGTGGCTTATTCTATAGTTTAGGTGAAGTTGCTTCTATCCGCGCATAGTTTGAATGGAAATCGAACTTTTCATTTTGATTACTTTCAGGAGCAATTAGTGGTCCAACAAAGAACAATATAACACAAAAACGACGAATGTATATTCATCCATTAGGTTTACCAATGGTCTTTGCCTATTGTACATTTAGCGGCCTGGCAGGAGTCTACAATGAATGGATCCTTAAAAAACATTATTCCGAGTCACTTCATGTGCAAAATATCTATCTATATACATATGGAACTTTGTTAAATCTTATTCCGTCTGTTGGAATACCATTACTCAAATCGCAATCACTTTCTCAACTGAATATATTCAAAGGATTTTCAATATATACCTGGTTGATTATTATCACTCAAGCTTTAAATGGCTTATTTATGTCAGTTGTGATTAAACATACATCGAATATTATTCGTTTATTCGTTATCTCCTTCTCATTAGTGGTTACAGCTGTTCTGTCAGTTTTAGTCTTTGGTTTAACATTGAACATCTACTTTTTCTCCTCATTTGTGGCTATGACATGTGCTCTCTATCTTTACTATTCCAAGTAACATCATCATCGATCAAACTGAGCACGTGCGAAACCTTAATTAAACTTTCACCGAATTGATTCTGTTCGCTTGTAAAGTCAATCTATTTCTTAGTTACAATTGAATAATAAATTATTTATTGTTTTATTCTTCAAATTGTTTCTAATTTTCAATAGTAACATTTTTAAGCGCAGCCCGTACCTGTTGTGAAATATATCCAAGATACTTGATCTTTTAAGGTGAGTATGTCATTTTATTCGAGATCGGACACCATGGCGTTACTTGTTAACAATCTCTTGACATCTAATCTGACGTTTTTGAAATTCGTTAGCACGTGAAAACGAATGCTTGATCCCATATAACTCAAGGCTGTGTGAAGTTTGGTTGTATCCAAGGTTAGTTTTATTTAACCTGATTTTTGTTTTGAATATTTGTTAGAAGAACAAAAACAAATGATGATCTCGTCCAAGGTTAAATAATACTCACGAATAATGTCATGCTTATTTCTGTATTGAATCAAGTATTATATTCTTGTTCGTGATATATTAACTCACAGAAAGATATTTGTTTGCAAAATGTGTATTAAGTTGTTTTTTCGATTTGTTTTCCTTTGATTTCATTGTTTTGGGATTTGTTACTTTTGACAAACGGAAGAAGATTTCACTCCCTACTCGCAGAGAGATGATCAAATGTACAATCTGGGTAATTTTTATCAATATTGGATTTAGTCTTGCCGAACTCGAATGAGTTCAATATCGAAAGAATTCGGATCTTAGTGCGATGCTGTTTCATCATCGCCAAATTGAAAACTTTGAAAATTCACGGGTATTATCTTCTCAATTCATTTGAAACGAGAATTTCAATTATATAGCCAAATATCATGTTTTTATCTGGATTATAATGAAAGAACGCTCTACAGGTTACACAACTTTATTAATAGTTTTCGCATTTCCGAAGGTTTAATACATATCGAAACTGATTCGTATCGATTCTATGAATATTTTACGAGATATTCCAATTATTCAATAATGAATTTCTGAGAAATCAATGTCGAACTGACATTTTCGGCGTGAATATACACAAAGATACTTTCAACTGTTGAAGAAAACATCCGAAGCTCAATCAAGTGAGCTAATCATAGAGATTCTAATCAACTTTAACTGTGCATTTGTAGATTTGATCCATCTCATAGATAAATATTACACAATTTGGTTCGATAACATTTCATCTGATACATACTCACTCATTTATTCTCATATCTTTCAACGTTCTGCACACATTGATCTTTCATACAACAAGCATGGCTTTATTTCTCTCATATTCTATACGAGTGTAGTTCCATTGAACATACAAAACCATTCATTCGATATATCACATGTAAATTTGTTCAGTGTTTGGAAAGCCATCGACGATGATCTTGCGACCTACTAGCAATCGTATCGAAATTTCGATTTTGAAGATTTTTTCACTGTTGATTTTCTATGACCTTGGATCAATGTTATAGTTATATTGACTGTCGCACGTAATTCGACAGTACGCGATAACCTTGAAATAAAGAGTTTGCTCAATGATATTTCGTGAAATTCTAGTCGTTCACCGAAGGAAATTTACGTGAAAACGATCTATACCGCTCGTCAAACACTATAAACCTATCTTTTCCAATCGTTTCGTCACATTTCATTCACAAATCGTCATGATGTAAACCGACATTTCCATGTGTGTGTGGCGATCAATTCATTTGTATTGCTTAAACATGGAATGTATATGTCTATTTTCTTATCTAAGTGTAAAAATGCTTATGGTTAGATGTAAAAGCCATTTTTATCATGCATACCGGCGAAAAAGACATATGATACACTTTGTAACAATCGTATTCTCAAATTAAGCAGAACATCTAGCAAAAGAATTCTCTTTCATAGAAATACATACAAAAATAACTATTGAAAACGTTCAATAGTTTAAAATGAAATATTTTCTCAATGCATTGTACATACAGATAAGTTAGCGCGCGAAAAAGTTTATTAAAGATAGATGCATTCTCTCGATACATGTTCATTGGAACGAAGCCAAGAATAATTCGATCTCTGTTGACATCATCATTTATAAATGTACATATCAATCAAGATGTCGCACTGAGTAAGCCCAATGTTGAATATGAGATAGTCTTTTCGAGCTACCCATCAATCTGATTGGATTCGAAAAATTGGGTAAAAAAAGTGAGAAACCAGCGGCAATATATTCATATCATTTCACCTGTTTTCTTAATCTTTACACACAATAACTTGCTTTTAGAGTATTTCAATGATCAAGTCAGATACATCCGTATCGAACAATTTTGATCGACCAAAATTGTTACTTTTCAAATTTCTAGCTCATCAGTAAGTGCTTTTGATGAGTCTTCTTTCTATACGATTTATTTTCAAAGAATTCACCCATTTGCATATGCAGTCAATACGTTTCTTCGACCAGCTTTGGACGACTGTCTAGAATTGATGCGTAGTAGCCCACAAGATACATTCAACGTTTTGTTATCCCTTTCACAAACGTTTACAAGATTTGCACCAGAAACCGAGCTAATCTACGATGATATTCAACAATTTGCCAGTGATTGCACGCCCATTCAATATGATTTTGTGTTAAACTTTGATTTGTTTTAGTTAAGTTGAAAGACGCCATGGATCAATGTTTCACACAACTCGATCCGGATACGATTCAACAATCATCACAATTACTGCAATCAACACATGAAAATTTGCTAGAAATTATTCATCAACAAGGTAAAAGACATAGTTCGACACTAATTAGTTTTCATTGAAATTTATTCGAGTAGCGACAGAAAACAAAACGTATACGAATATGTATAAAAATATGTCAGGTATGGAACTGGATAGACATCAGTGTTTGCCGACGCAAAGCTCATATATTTAGCTGTACTAACAAACTTGGAAAAGATTAATTCATTACCTATGGAAATGCAAACTATGGAAACAATAAATCCTATGCAAAAACTGAATATCAACGGAAGAAAAGGTTCGAATAGATGAAACATCCGATAGTTTCAAAGATAGTTCATTCGTCGCATATTAATTTTATTGTAGATTCAATTCCTCAGCATGAATATGCTTCTAAACCTATCGTTACACCTTCGAATCGAACAACAACTGTCACTCCACCACCTGGTATCGCACCATTTTCAAACGGTCAATCATCAAAAATATTCCCCCCATCAATACCAAATCAAACTCATTTATCTCGAGGCCAACCGAATTCTGCTACATCCATGTTCATCCCTCCGATAGATCAAATGAAAACTCTTACAGTTTCTTCAACATCATCATCTGCTCCACTTGTCACATCACCTAAGTCGTCCTTACCTACACGATCCGTACCATCTGTAGATTGTTTCAATGGATATGAAATTGTCGATACAAGTACACAACCATTGAAAAAACCAACAACAACAATAGCTTCGTTTCCACCACGTCAAAATGCGTCTTTGTTTACCTCAGCGACACCAGCGAACGAGAAACCCGTGGCAACAAAAACGATTCATGCAAATGGTCATCATTCAGCACCGTTAGTCAATGATGATCAGCCATGGACTCAAGCAAAACCGAATTTTCAAAATAAAGTGACAAATGGAATTAATAACAATCAAGTACGAATCACACCAACACCGTCAATTGATGGTAGTATTCGCTTTGGCAGTGTATCAGGACTACGTGCAACATCGGTGACATCCTCTGCGTAAATAATCTCAAGTTGTGTTTTCTTGTTCGTAAAATCCGATAAGTATTCGTTTAGTCATGAAAATAACGATGATGATGATGACGACGACTGGGATGAAAGTACTAGTCAACGTTACAATAGAACCAATCGATTCGCCACTCCAACATCTACCAATTCTGAGTATGTGAAGATAAACGGTTGAATAGAATTATCGCACGGTAATCGATTTAGATGGAATTCGTTGAAAGACAATCGTTTGAGTATTGATAATCAATCGTATTTCGATCGTACTAAATCTTTAACACATCCTCATGTAACTGATGAATATATGCAAGAATTCGGAACGAAACAAAGTAAAATTGAGAAAGATCGTTCGGACAAAGAAGAGAGATTTACATCTAGATCGTCCTGCCCTACGCGGTGAACTGTGCATGACATTTGGCACACCACAAAGTGGTCCACAAACAACGTGTATGCCAATCGGTGTGGGTTTATCCTATGACGAACTAACATTACTATCATGTGATGTTCATCGAAGTGCTCAACATGTTCGACTATTCGATATTCAAACGGGACGATTGAAACATATCATATCAAGCACTCCGGTATGCCAGAATATCTTTATCCAGATGATGATCTCTCGTTATGTATTTCAAAGCAAATGAAACTTCATCGTCCAGGTGCAATTATGAGTAATGCACGGAACAATATTTTAATCGTTGAGAAAGATTCAATCTATGTCACTGAGCCCGATGGTCGTCTAGTACAAACATTTGGACATCGTTCAGTCAAACAACTATACGGTTAGTAATTGTCAAACAAAACGTCTATGTTTTGTTTTTTGTTCGTAGGCATTGCTTCATTTCGTGATCGTTATCTCTTAACCATCGACTCCAAAGCAGTGGACAATCAATCAGCAGAAGCATGTCGTATACTTCTATTTGATCCGAATAGTGGCCAATTAGTATTCGATCAAAACATCGAAGTTAATCAACAATCAGATAATATTTTTACTAGTCAATATAAAAATTATATACAAGGAAACATTCTGCCAGAATCAACGAGCAAACCGAGATTTCTAGCTGTACAAAATGATAATATCTACATTGCCGATCTTGGTATGAATAAATCTCAACGGAGAGTTTCTCAAATGAATTGAATAGTCTACTTCTAACAAGACAAGTTTTTTTTCTTAGAATTTTATCGCTAATATGCCTTTTCTGTAGGTCGTAGTTTAATTTATGGTACAAGTCTTCGAAATCAATTTGATTTGAGTTGCACAACTGTTTTCGGTGGTCATGGACGAGGAAATGGTGCTATGCATGATCCCTCAGGTCTATTCATTGATTCCGGTGGAAACATTATCAGTGCTGATAGTAAAAATGATCGCGTTCAAGTAAAATAACCACGAATTGCTATTCTTTTTGATTTAGCAAGTTTTACTTGTCTTCTTTTCTAGTTATTTTCACCGATGGGTCAGTACAAAACGACATTTAAATTAAATGAACGTATTCGACGTCCATCTGGCATATGCTCGAATCGTGCTGGTACACAATTCTATGTTTCATGTTACTTGGCTGGTTGTGTTCGAGCATTTGACATTGGATACTAAAACACAACAAATTAATCAATGCTCATTCATTGCTGAATATATTCGTGTTGTCATTGTTGTTTTCTGTTGCTTTTTTTTCAATTTGTAAGTTCACACTGTTCTAGATATGAAAACAAAATTTGAAATGTATTAGATTCGTTGTCAGTATGAAATATGGGTGAAAAGTGTTTGACATGCGAGGCTTTTGTGTAGATTTTTTCTGAAAAAATAGCTCTAATATAGATTGTTTTATTCCTTCATATTAATAAAAATCTCCTCTGCATAGTAAAATCTTGCTTAACATATTTTCCGTCGATCTATCGATACTGCTAGGAATAGATGGAATGGAAGAAACATTCCGAGTGAGCATAAAAGCAGCTGACTTAACCATCACTATTGGTCATGTAGTAAACCAATCAGTAGGTTGTTGAAACGAACTATTCATTCTCTTATCATGTTCCTAGGACGCAAATACGTTCGTATTTTAGACTGGACAGAAATATCATTTTGATAGCATAATGTCTTCTAAGGTACGAGTAGTAGTAGTCGAGTTTGTTTAGGAGAAAATATATTTGTTATAAAGGATTGCCATTCGAACAAACCTATTCGTGTTGTCATAACTGGTGCTGCTGGCCAAATTGCATATTCATTAATCCATCAAATTGGTAATGGCGATGTGTTCGGAAAAGAACAGGTATGTTTCCACTGAATATTGAATTGTTCATCATGTTAGATCGATCCGTCTATTTAGAGTATTATCCTTCATTTACTGGATATTACACCAGTCATGGGTGTACTTAACGGAGTCGTGATGGAAATTCAAGATATGAGTCTACCGTTGGTCAAAGGTACTATCGCAAATAATCGAAGAAAGAATGGAGTTGATGCTGTTTTTATTTAGATGTTATACCCACCGATAGCGAAGAAGTTGCTTTTAAAGATGTTGATGTGGCTTTATTTGTCGGTGCTATGCCACGTAAAGAAGGCATGGAACGTAAAGATTTGCTAAGTGCCAATGTGAAAATCTTCAAATCGCAAGGTACTGCACTTGATAAATTCGCAAAGAAAAATGTCAAAGTAAACGAAGTTTTGTTCATTTGAAATGTGAGGAATTTTGTTCGTTAGGTTGTTGTTGTTGGTAATCCAGCCAATACCAATTGCTACATCTTAGCTCACTACGCGCCGTCAATTCCTCGTGAAAATTTTACTTGTTTAACACGTTTAGATCATAATCGTGCGAAAGCACAACTAGCATCTCGATTGAAAGTATCATCTAGTGCGATTAAGAACGTTATCATTTGGGGTAATCATTCGTCGACACAGTTTCCCGATGTTCGTTCTGCGACAGTCTCGATTAACGGCCAAGAAACAGCCGTTTACGACGCGATTAGGGATGATCAGTGGCTTAAGAATGATTTTGTTTCCGTAAGAAAGCTAGTTCGTTGGTTTAATTCACTATTAAGTACCAATCTGTGATTCGTAGACTGTACAAAAACGTGGTGCAGCAGTAATTGCTGCACGCAAACTTTCGAGTGCCATGTCAGCAGCGAAAGCAATCTGTGATCATGTTCGAGATTGGTGGTATGGAACACGAGAAGTATAAACCGAAGTATTCTGCATAGATTTTCTAATCGAAATCTTCTTATTCTTTTAGAACGAATGGGTTTCGATGGGTATAATAAGTGATGGATCGTATGGAATCGAAAAAGGCTTGGTGTTTAGTTATCCAGTCGAGATCAAGAACGGACAGATATCGATTGTGCAAGATTTGCAAATGGACGATTGGGCAAAAGGAATGATTGAGAAAACACAAAAAGAATTAGTCGAGGAGAAAAATGATGCCCTGAAAGCGACGAATTCCGAATGACTATATGGCAGCAATTTAAAATCAAAGATTTGAACCTATTGAGTTCCGATGACTGACTTTTTTTCGCTATTATTTCCTCCTATAATCTGTTTTGTTATTGATTGTTTTTTAAGGAAGATTTGTTCGATGTTGTATTTTTCAATAAAAATTTACCGAAAAGAACAAAACCAATCGAACAAAATAACCTTTCTTTGTTCATTACAGCATCTATGGCGCTTAACCTTGTTAAACTCCAAACTATCGAGCAACTATCACCATTGGTGCTTCGTGTACTCGGCTGCAATCCAGGTGCAATGACACTGCAAGGTACGAATACATATTTAATCGGAAACGGCCGAAAGTAAGTTTATCTATTAATTGATTTCTATTGATAATCATCGCAGAAATCTTCTCTAGTCGAATTCTATTGGACGCTGGTCAAGGTGTTCCAGAGTATGTTAATGTGCTTAAAACTGCCATGTCAAAAGATAATCTCTCGTTACAAGCAATTCTTATTACACATTGGCATCCCGATCATGTCTGTGGAATTAAAGATGTTCTCAAATTAGCAAATCAACGTAAGTGTAAAATGTATCGATTGATATAACAAATTTAATCATGTCTAGCTGATCTACCGGTCTATAAACGTAAACTTATTGAAATGCCTGATGCCACAAAACTTGAAATTTACGGTATGCCGAAAAATCCCGATGGAATTGCCAATTTTACATTCATCAACAACGGTAACGACGAATTCACTATCGAAACGCAAGGAGCACATCTCAAGTAATTTGAATAAACTTGAAACGTCTGGTTTTTGTAAAAATATGTTCTCTTCTTTTTAACAAGAGCAATTCATACCCCGGGTCATTCGACTGATCATCTCTGTTTTTGGCTTGAAGAAGAACAAACACTTTTCTCTGGCGATACAATTCTGGGTCAAGGCACAACTGAATTCGAAGATTTACATGATTATTTAAATTCTCTCAAACTGATTTTAAATCTTTCGCCGAAGAGAATCTATCCAGGACATGGACCTGTCGTTGAAAATCCTCGAGAAATAATTGAATATTATCTGTCTCATCGTCAGCAACGAAATGAACAGATTCTCAGTGCTTTAAAAGATTCAAGTAATGGACTCAATCCAGAAGAGATAACCAAAGTCGTTTACAAAGTAATTCGTTCTTGCCAATTTCTACTTACTGAATGAACGAGATACTGTTCGATTCCTTTAGGATATAGCTGAAGCATTATTTCCTGCTGCATGTCACAACGTATGTAATCATTTACAAATGCTCAAAAAACAAGGTCTTGTTTGTAAGTCAATGATTTCAGCGTTTTTTTCACGTTTTATTCCAATCTTTTCAGTATTTAATGATCAAAATAATAAATGGTTTCTACAAGTTACTTCATCCATCTAAATCGCTCCACACACACATTGTCTTTCGGTTTCAGTAATAAACTATTTTGAATCGAGGATATCATGTGTATCTTTCACTAATGATAATATTCGCACAAATACAGAACAGAATAATTACACCTGTGTTGAAATACAACATATTGCGAAAACGTGGTTCTAAATCACCTGATCGATACCAAAATGCCTAAAAGGGAACGCAGAATACATTAGGGAAAATAAAGAAAGTTTCACTCTACCAAACATAAATGTGACGCAAGTAAAAGTATTAAACAAATACTCAAACAAATGAATGTAGGTTTGATATGGTTAAAGAAGAATATGCTACCAAATGTTGTCTAGAGAGAAACAGTTTGTTGATATAAAGTAAGATGTTGATATTTACTAGAACGAATGCTGTAGTGACAACCGTTATGATGATAAATGAAATTCGATCCTAAGATTTTCCGATAGGATTATCGTTGATATGCAAACAGTATTCAATCAATTCATACCCGAGATTTTGTCTCACCAAAAAGTGGGTGATCGGTGAGATCAGTATAACCCAATCTAGATGCCATATTCTTCAATGAGAAAGATGTGTCTACTCAATGTACTCACTCATATCCATGAATATATGATGCTCGAGATGATGATAAGTCATTTCGCACCAATAGGACATCAAGAATCTGTTAAAGATAAATGCTATCTTTCACGTCATGTATCATGCACGCAGTGGTCGCTACTTGTATTCATACACGCATGAGAAATGCATATTGAGTGTTGATAGTTATTTGGCGCTAATATTGAGTTAGTTAGATTGTATGACTGAATTAATCATTCAACAAACAATTGACTCAGCATGTTTGAAAAAAAATCGATCGAGTAGAAATGAACGGCAAGTATTCGCAAGTTCATTTCTTAATGTTGTTTCTCAATGTATTCAAATTAACAACAGTATTTTCACTGATGTAAAGAAAAATATTCTTCTTTATTGCTTCTTGAACTTTATTTATATTGCTTTTAGTATGGAATAGATATTCTAGAGACTAACGGTAGTTCAACAATCACCAATGATGTTGTTCATCGTCTACATTCATTATCATCCTTGTATTTTCAAAGTCTTAATCAGAATACCAATTGTAATCATAACATGTTTTGTCAGACATCTCAACATAGAAATAATAACAACGAGATGAAAGGAAAACAATCCTACTCTGTAGATATTCATTACGTATCGATTCGATTACCAGCAAGAATCGAAATGCAATTGAGAAACAATCGACTTCTTCAAGAAACTATTCATAGTTATCGACGAGAGAAGAAATTATCTAAAGTAAACAAAAGATCTACCTTAAAACCACCAAACGACAAAGACGAAGAAGATCTCTTAGCCATTGATGTTGAATCGATATGTCCTGTAGAATCCGACGATGATCAGACTTCCTCGCTGTCGAACACTGATTGGAATTCAAAGGAAAATTTAATTGACTTAATGAGACAAATTTACGATCGATGTAAAAATCAAAGTAATCAAGTGAGTATTCAATTCTGAAATTGACTTTTCTTAATTATCAATTCAATTAGAACGATGATAAATTTCTTGCAAATATCAAAAAGATACTCAGCAAGATAATCGATGATGAGGTCATCTATGAATCTTCACAGAATGATACTCATTTCAATAAACAAAGAAGACAAAAGAAGACAACAAGTGGTGGAATTTTAGAAATTCTACCGTATGAGAACACATACGGTCAGTTCTATCATTCCAATCAATTTTCATCGATCGAATCGACAATGATTGAGAAAATTATTCAAGGAGTACATGCGATGATAGCAACATTAACAAATTCGGTAAAACACTTCGATAATCTCATCCTCTATTATGAAAACCGCCTGTTTAGAAAGATGCAAAAGATGTTCTAAATGGTCTCATAATTACCACGGATCCTTCATCTCCTTTGAATAGTCATCTGAATATCAAACTAACCGATGAACTGGTGAAAACACTCCAAAGTAAGTGCATGTCTTTATTATTTTCTTATAATCTCGTCGAATAGAACGTTTTATGACCCGAAAACAACTTTATACTTCCAATAACGAACGCCGAAATATTCGTATGGCCATAGATTTAGTCTTAGCAGATTATCGTCTGAATGGTCTCACAAATCTTTGTCGATCCGATTCAATTCTTCTATCTTGTAAGATTCGAAAGATCCTCAAATGTACACAAACACGAACTCTATGTTCATATGCGGATATCTTAACAACGCTCAACGAATCCAATTCTACAACACAAATACACTTCCGTACGATAACACGCGTGTGTTTATCTTCCGATGAATTCATTGAGATTCTCGGTGAAATGTATCAAACATGCTATGCAACGATGGAAACATTGAAATATTATTTAGAAGCAAGTGATATCATTGATACGGAAACGAATCTTATACATTCGTCCGTATCAACATCGAAACAACTTGATGAACTGATGAAATATATCTTATATGAAGATGCAATTCGATTAGTATGTAAATTCATATCTGATCAACAACGAAATAATATCAATGACGAAGACAAACAATTGACATTAATTCTTCCGGCCAAACTAAACGATTTGTATCAACCCATCAAAAAATTAAGTGCTTTTAGTAATTAAAATATCAAAATGTGAAAATTTAGTTTGTAAAAACAATCTTTTTCCTAGTGTCAACAACGGAAGTACTAACAGCGATTAGAAAACCGTACCTATCTCAATTAAATCAGAGAGCAAAAACGAAAACGATAACAGTCAATGATCTACGTGCAATTACTTCTCACATTTGGTTATCAGCAGAGGATTTTCAATCAGTGATTACTACGCATGCAGTTAGTTCAGATATAATTTGTCAATTTTACATTGATTTTCATGAAAAAGATGATATTGACGAACGATTGGATAGAGTAATTCGAGTGTTACTTGATTATACTTTTGTATAAACGAATGTACATTTCACAGATAACAAGAAAAATTCATGAACATCTGAATTCACATAGCTGCATGAGTCGAATAGTTTTCAAAATGATCGCTGAACGATCCAACGGAACAAGCCTCATTCCATTTCTTGACGAATTCAATCGAACTCCTCGTTTCATATCAATTATTGATATCTATGACGAGCTGCTTGCTTCAGGTTTGATTTCCATAAGCGAACTTCTGGTTCAAGCAAAACAAGAAATAGTTATAAAAAAATCTTCGCTACTGAAACACTTTCAACACATTTCATTCATTCGAAAACATGATGCGGAGTCATTAACTGAAATGACATTAGTGATACGAGAAGATCTTCTAATCGAATTTCTTGTCCAACGAGCTCAAGCGATTCGAGAAGCTTATATCGATTGTATAGTTAATAACGCTGAACGTCGAGATTTCATTACGAAAAATACAATGAAATCAACGAAGAGACTATCGTCGCTATCAATTCACGGTAATCATTTGAATTATTCACTTTAATACGGATTTCGATTGTTTTCAGAATTCATACGATGCTTTCATTTGAATCCCAGTTGTGGAAAAATATTCTATTGGATGAATTTGATCGATGAGAACATAGTGAAGATTTTGATCGAGACAAAAACCTTTGTGAATGAATATACATTGAACGGAGTATATCAGAGTTTTCAAACAAGACTTCAAGATACATTAGGTAAGAAAGCCGATCATCTTTAATACACGATCTTGATGTTTTATTATATTAGACTCTGGGTCCTCTTATATTTGTGTGGAGAATGCCGTTCACAGTATTGACTTGAAGACATTATGTCAACTTAAATGCTATTTAACATACGAACAGTCATCTAATCTGGTTGACTTTGCTGATCTTGAATATATCGAAAATCTTTCATCTCTAGTTGTAATACAAGATGTTGTTTCCTATGAAAATATGAAGAGTTTGTTAGAATCAGATGGTTCTCGGCCGCCCACTTACGAACAAATATCCAAATTGATTCGTCCTAAACAACAAGTGTAAGTTAGTGAAAACAGAACGTTTTCTTCAAGAACATTTCTTTTAGTATTGAATGTCGAACTCTTCATGATTCATTTCGTCAACGAATTCATTTTCGTCAAAAGCGATTCGAACGTGTACAAAATCTACAAAAACTTCTACTCTCACCGGCACTATTCGATCAATTCATCGAACTGATTCCTATTTCAGGCGAAGAGTATTTCGCTCGCATCGAACTCGATCGTCTCGAAGATATGAAACTTATCGATCTCGGTGTTTTGGCACTTCTACTCACATTACATCCGTACAATTCTCTAATTCATCAACATAAATACGAATGGTTTCGTGATCAAGACAGTCGTTCGTCTTCATCATCTTCGGTGAACAAGAGCAGTTATTTACATATCCTCGATCCAATCATTGAAAAATACTCCGTATTCTTAACGATTAACCTGATCAAGATTATTTCCAATAAGGATCGATTTTCAACTGTCAATGAAATCTTGTTATCCGATCCCGAACATTATTTATCAGTTGAAGAAGTTTGGAAAATCTGTGTCTATGAAAAACTTTTATCATACGATGATGCTCTACGTATTTGTCAAGAAACATTTCCAAATTCACAAACAACAAATGCGAATGAACTATCCGAAAATGGACAAATACCATCAATAGACTCAAGTTCTCAGTTAAATAAAACTAGTCCAACAGAATGGTCGGTCCTCGATTCTTATAATCAACACATAGCAAGATACTCTGACGATGCAATCCTTCAGGCAAAGTTGAATAGAACAATGTTCTTAGCTATCTTTGATTATCTTCTTCATTTGAACCATCGAGTAACAATTAATGGATATTTACAACAATTATTTCACTCGTTCAAACCAATTACAATTCATAATGCACAATTACTCATAGAGAAAGAGATGGCAATTATCAAATTGTTGTTGCATACACGTCAACAACAAGTTAAACTGAATATCAATGATCTAAATCGATATTTAGAATCTTATCCAATCCCATGTCGATTGTAAAATCTGATTGTATTTCAAATATCTTCTAGAAAATCATACGTTCTCATTTAGAGACATAGCCAACGATTTACGTCGTTCAAACATGATTTCTCAATCTCTAGCCGATCAATACACACTGATGCAATGCTATGAATTGAAATCAGCTATACCAGAAATTCAAACGAATTTCCTCTTCTATATGCTGATCAAACTCATTCGAGAAGAAGGCTATATGGATGAAGAATGTGTGAAAAAGATTCTTCAACAGTCTAAAACTGATGCCAATGAGAAGAAACTCAATAAAAGTCTTCTACGCCACGGTTTCCTCACTATTGAACAGCTAAGTCAATCAACGAAAGACTTCTTCTTACAAGACGTAAGATTTCTCTTTATATCTTCTAACAAAACATTATTTTCAAGTATAAACTCGGCGAATAACATTTTTAGTATTTCGACGAACTAAACCTTGTAGCTGAACACAAACCGGTCATTTCAAAATCAGCTCTGTTAGATCTTTTCCATCGAGCGATCCGACTCGAGTCTACTCTCATGGAAAACATGCGTCGACGTCAAGTGATTCAACTTTCCACAATAATCAACCTCTTGAAACATGCGAAAATCAACAAAGAAAAAGTTCAACGCAAAGTTGATAATGTACTTTCCAAAATGGATGAAAATACGCATTTATCTTCGAAAATGGCTCGGTCTACATTCAACAGAATGACTAAACGACGGTCATCAATTCAAAATGAATTACACCCATCAACGAATACAACTCACGAATCTCTGCTCAATTTACGGTCATTACGTCATCATTATATTCAAGCGAAAATTCCTCGAAATCAATTGCATTTATTAGTCGAACAGGGTAGTTGGTCTGAACAAATTCATCTTGAATTTAAACATGAACTGGACATAATCGATGCGGACAACTCATTAGATCTTATTCGATACATGATCAAGAGCATTTCGTCGTTGATCGAAGAAAACGGTTCTGTGGGAGAAAAGCCATTGATGAAGCATTTTCAACAACACGAGATTCTATTTACAGCTGATTTCGATTTATTACTTATGCGGTATGGTATGGTGACACTGGAGGATTTGATTGATCTGTTCGTTGTAAGTCGACTCGCTAAACCTGATGACATCAAATCGTATGCCAGAAGAATATTCTGTTTGAATGTAAATATTTCTTATGATTACAGTCCATTTCAAAGAATGTGAACTCAATGTTTAGGTCAAGACATTTGTGGATATCTCAAAATCTCATGAAGATATTTTAGTTAAAAAGAACGATGTTGAAAATAAGTTGGAAAAACGTTGGTGTTTAACAGCAAATGATCTCTCTCAATTATTGAATGATGTGCTCAAACTTGATCGTCTCAAACGAATTCTTGATATGATATCAAATATCAAAACATATATTCGTTTACATCCAATCAATACATTCAACGCAGTGAAAGCATTGAAACTTGAATGTGACACTAAGCAGATTCGATCTCACTTTTAAATAATTGTTTTTCGCTTCTGTAGTTGATTTCAATCATTCGGATATGAAATTTCTACGGGACTTGAAACTTTTGAACGATGTATGGTATAAGCGATATCTTTTATCACGAATAAGTGAAACCAATGTCAACATTTCAACCGTAGCCGATGAAGAACAAGACCAAAACGATCAGCAAGAATTTCGCTTTCGTTCCAGCGCTGATGATAAGTTCGATTTCGACAGTTTTAATAAATTACTAGATGGAAGGGAAACGCAATCAACTATGAGTGATCAACGTAAACAAGCATATCTGTAAGATTCTATCATATTCAATTGAGTCTTACGATGTTAACCTTTAGACAACAATTGAAGAAGCGAAAGGATCAGTTGACTTCGTACAGAGCAAAATTATCTATTGATGAAGATCGTCTTCAGTTATCATTGGATCTGGATGAATTGCAAAAGGAAGAAAAGAAAAACGATCGTCCGCGTGTTATTGAACAATTCTTTCTGAATGCATCTACTGGTGGAGCTCAACTTCTCCTTCCCTTCTTATCAGACGATCAACAACGAGTGTTCATGCAATTAGACTTTGCAAGCGAACGGTGCGTCGAAGATTTCTATAAAATATCTGAAGAAAGTGAAGTGAAGCCAAGTACTCACAATGATTTAGTAGAGGAAGAATCAACAATCTTATCTGATGAAAAACATATAAAGATATCAATGAAGGAGGATGTTGATGATCAGTCACTAACACCATCGAAAAATCAAGCGTTTGTGGTAGAACAACGTGATCAAGTACAAAAGACAGAACAAGTTATTGTACCTGCATCCATCGATAAATCCTCATCACGAACCAAAGAATCGCTCTTGGCAAATTCTGTCGCTGACGAAAAAGAAGAGAATCTACAATTAGAAGCTTTACCTGAAGCGTCAGTATCTACCCAACGGTTTATTTCTCCGAAAATAACTGAATCATCTCATGAATTGGTTGTCGAACAATCTGAAACATTATCGGACAGTACCCACGCAACATTATGTCTGACTGAAGATTTATGCACTACTCTTTATCAATCGTAAGTAGATTAAGTTCCATGATGTATACCATTTTACTTTCAAAATCAGATTTGAAGAAATGTCAGCTGTGGAAAAGACATCATTGAGAAAACAACTGCAGCTCGGTAAATTTATTTGCCTTCTCATCTTTACCGTTATTCTTCTCTTTAAGTTCGCTATAAAGTCGATCAATGGCTTGATAGCATCTTGCAACACAATAAACAGTTACAATCGCTTCATAATTCAAATCAATCATTGAACCAACATACCACGCAATTGATCGACTATTTCCATAAAGAATTGAATCTCTTCAATGAAAATTTGATTTCGTCCATGTTATCGAATTCGTTGGCTGAGTCAAAAATCAAACAGCTTGTTCAACAACGAACACATCAGATGGAGAATGTTTTACAAGAAATGAAAGATCATCAAGATATGTTACGTGATATTCATCAGCAGATCGTCGATGTAGATCAAACGATTCACGATGATTCAAACAAAAGCAATCTGTTTAAAGATTTAACTTTGAGATTTAGCACATCTAAAGAAGATTTCGAGCGAATTAGAAAATCTGAAGTGAATGATGTCCAACCAATTTTCAGAACACGCCTCGAATTAGCGATTCGAACACTCGATGCTGACGTGGAGCTCATCGAGCGAATATTTGACGGAAAATCACCTATCAATACCGACTTAAACACCTCATTGATTGCAACAAATGGTTGTAAACTACCTGCACAATCCATCGAATTACGAACTCATGAAAATATGATTCTCATTCGAAATGATTTAGCTGAATTGATTAAAAATATCACGACTCGTAGAATGACCGTCGATAAAAATCAAGCGTTACAAGATTTGTTTCAAATAGACACAGTAAACGATGCCGATCATACACATCGTTACATATTGCTCTGTTTTAGGCTGAACGTCTACGAGTAATCAGACAGGAGTATGCAGAACAGGAGATCCACAAAGCAAAAGTTCAAAATCTAGATACAAAATTAGATGATCTAGTTGCAATCAACCAGGAGCTGGACATTCAATCGATTGAAATTCGAAATCATCTACAAAACATCATGACTATGCGCTTGAACTCAAACCATTCAAGTTTACCATTGAATGCCATACTCAAAGTATTCCCAATGAATCAGTTAGGAAGACCAATTGAACAACCGGCATGTCTTGTCGACGAGCAGGATGTGCCTTTATCTGACCCAGTCCATTTTATTCGATTACCTCAAGATACCGATCGCTTTCAAATCTCGAACGACATGTATGAATTAACAATTGTTGATGAACACAATGTTTCAATATGTGATCCAATCACATTCAAACGCTTTACATCCGAATTGATTACATTTGAGTATTCCGATAGCGATCGACGAGTTGTTGAAGTATCCGCACATAGCTTCACAGTTAAAATAATTTCACTTCGACTAAGACTAGTTCCCTTCGACCAATTACCTGAAACAGAACAGCCAACAAGTAAGTTATCGCTGGAAAAAAGTATTTCTTTTGAGCTCGTTCAAAAACATCGTAGGTCAATCGTTATTCGTCACGGACAAAAGGAATCAGTTACTTTCGAAACCAATACAATTGACCGATGATATCAGTACATCATTGAATGTTTCTGAATTCAAACTAGTTACCTTTCTCATTGACGAGAAAACGAACAACCAAGTACTACTAACACCCGAACAGTATCTGATTACATCGCAACAAGCAGAATTTACGTCCAGATACTTTGTTACGTATCTAACCGATCAAGACGACCGACTTATCTCAGAGTCTGTCCAAACATCTGATTTTACAATGCAAACGATAAACGCAATCGAAGATACAGTTTTGAAAAGACTGGTACAATATGACAGAACTCGTCATCACTTGTTCGATTCAACAGTTTCAGCAACAGACAGTCAAGAACTCTTGGCGACTATCTCAAATGAACTTCATTTTATGCATACTTACATCGAAGATCGAATGAACAAATTGAAAATTGAAGAGAAGATTATCGAACAGATTCTTCCCATTCTTGGTATGGCACATCCACTTTGTTGATTACACTTTATCTGCTTCGTTTTCAGATGAACGTTATAATATTATTTCAACAGATCATATCGAATATAAACAACAACAGGTCCAGATGGATTATCTTCTTAATACTATGAAATCCATCGTACACTTGGACGAAAAACTAACAACAGCTCGGAAAAACAAGGCTGCTGGATCCTTAGAAGTCGAAACACTTGAAAATCACCTTATCCAACAATTGATACAGATCTCCGATGATCTCAATGATCAATCTATTGTTGAAGAAGTTCAAAATCTTTCGCAACACTTTCACAAGACGCCACTCCTTATTGAACTTCGACGCCTTGTTCTTTCCGGTCAGTTTATTTTGTGCACTCATCTTCTATTCATCCGAATTAATAGGCATAAAAACACATGCAAAAGCAATTCAAAAGAGATGCGAAACTCTATTGATGAAGATTCATCAGAAGTCCAACCAATCGAAACAGCCGGATCAGATTCGTACAGAGTATATTCAATATCTTACTAAACAACTCAATAGAGAACGAACGCGTGAAAACGAAATAGAACAACTTTATGAAAAAATCGAACGAATGCAATACGATCTTTATCAAAAAATAGGTACGATGGAATTCTGTATGAGTTATAAGGTTTATCAGCTCTCTTTTCAACTTCTAAAGGAAACTTTCTCAACAGATTTGTTTCTCATGATATAGAAAAACCATCTTGATATTTTCATTGTTTTGACAGTTGACTCAGAAGATACAATTGAACTCGAAGATCTTGACAACGTGGTGAAAACTATGTATAACCCAGATAGAATCGTAGTGTCAAGCTACGTGCAAACGAAAAACGAGAAACTCATCTACAGATTTCATCACACACTTCGCTATCTCCATGATCAATGCAAAATGGTTGAACGAAACAAAGATGTTTTTCTTCATGAAATGCAACGATTTCTACTCGATACGAATGCTAATGAATATTCCTATTTTTATCAGATCAATTTTGCTCTAAATGAAAAAAAAATTCATTCTCATCAGAAACTATTGGCATACATCGAAAAAATCAAAATTTTACTGAACAAACTCGAGACACTGTCAGACACAACTGTTCAGCGTGATTTTCTCTTGACCAAACTTGAACGTTTATATGAAATTCTACGAGAAAACTATCAAATCGAACTTCCTTCTGCAACAGACATGGAATCTCTGCGTCTGACGTTAAATACCATCAGAAAGACTACAGAAAAAGAAGTGCAACAGCTGATTGGAACGAAAACTGATTTGTCACGGAAATTAGACGTATTTAACAAGAAAGAAGAGTTAATCCAACGCACTAAACCTGTTGAAATCATCCCAGTAAGTATCTCTAACAAAAGTTCTCGTTGCACAGGATTCAAGATCGCGGCTAATCTACATGTGATCTTCTTTAGGAGGAACAATTGATTATATTAGATACTTTTACTCACCAGTCGACAATTGAACCATTCAATTTACGTCATGAATTTTACTCGACAAGAATTGAACATGTTGCCAATTTTCTAAAACGAGGTTTATTTGATCCATCTGCACTTAACAGAACGTTACAATACTTGGAATATTATGCTAAAAGTTTAAAAGAAGTAAAGATTGACAATGAAAACGATTTGAAAAATATCACAGAACAATTGTTTAATACACGAAAATATTCCGTAGTTGACAGTCTTGTTCGTGAACAAGTCGAAGATCTGGCAGAACAGGAAAATAGAGTAACACGATGTCAACAATCAATAATTCGAATACAAACAATGATTGATGAAGTAATCGAACACCTTCGAACTTTGCTGAGTTCTAATACAGAGCCAAGAACTTATCCGTTATCATTAGTTGAGTTAAAACAGAAAGGTTTACAATATGAACTTATAATCTTCTCTCAACTTATATTTTTGTTTAGCAATAGAATCAATCATTCAATCCAATGAATATGAACGCTTGTCTAAACGTGTATCACCTAATTTGTTACTGTTACATGAAATCACTTCCGGACAACAGTTAATCTCTTTAACCGCACCGTCGCTTCTTAATCATTTTCAGTTAGGAATAAAATGCATGATTCATCAAGAACTCTCATCCCAAGTTTTCCTCCTTCGACGTCAATCATCTGCTTTTCGAAAGGATTACACCGAACAATTATCGTCGCTGGATCCAACGGACACCACAGTTCAAACGATACGAACAGAAATCACATATCTACAAAGAAAATACGATGAAGCAGTTGCTGTTGGTGATATCAGCCAGCAACTAGCAGCAAAACAAATCATATCTGCCAAAATGCAAGACAATTCTGAACTATTCAAAACTAAACTCTCGAAAACTACTGAGCAATTACCTGTTGACAGTCAGAAGATCATGGAATATCTGAAATCAGATACTTCAACTACATCGATAACAACAAATGAACAATCTTTACCATCAGCTCAAATAGACGAACGAATAGATGAGCTACTAGCTAACCAAATAAAGACTATACACGAACTAATCCTTACTAATGCTGAACAAAATGAACAACATTCTGTTACAGATCTCCAACAATTGAGTAATTTTTTCTTTTCGAATTAAACGATGTCGTATTCTAATTCTTATCTATTTAGGCGATGATCTGAAGAGATTTCGCGAAGAAAATAATCGACATCGAGAGATTGATGCTCAACTTCAGATCTTAGATAATATCGAACAATTAGATCATGATACAAATACTCGAAATGTTGTGGAAAATCTTCGTAAACATCTCCTTAACGAACAACAATTGTCATTCGCTGTTAAATTAACTGAACAATCACATCACAACGCACCTATTCAAATCGTACCAACTTTATCCAACGTTATCGAATCAACTCGCTCTGTTATGATAAATGATTCTCTCGAACCGACAGACAAACCGTTATCGAGTATGAACGCGAATGAATTGTATCAAGAACTGCAACAATTGAAGTATTCAATTGCATCCGCTTTCGATCATGAACTAACGACATCGATTACTCCAGATATTAAAAGTTCATCAGTATGTTTTAACGATACATGATTGATCAGAGTCTGATGGAATATTTTCAGGCAGTACCATTGGCGTTGACAGTTGATATGACAATTGAAGATAGTGAAGAACATGTTCAGAGCGATGACGTTCACGTAGTCCGAATACCTAGCCAAAATCGATTGCAATCAGGTTCAATGCAAAGCTTTCGCAGTTCTTTTCAAACCTCCAAACCTACTCAAGATTCAACAAATGATCTCACTGCAGTCGGTCGTAGAACATCATTATCCATCGTGGGAAATGCTCGAAAATATTCCATTGAGCAACAAAAATCCAAACAGCGACAAATCGCGAATTCAACACATCGATCTGTTAGACAATCTGAACGTCAATACGGAGAAGTTTATGTTCGCCATCAAGTAAAATCTGCTCTTTCGTTGTCTCCTAATATACTGAATATGTTTCTCGTTGTGTAAAGCTTCCTGAAGACAAACCTTTCTTGGATAGTCATCGGGATATACATAGTAAATTGTATGATAAAGTTAAGAAAAAGACGCGTTTAGTTAAATTCGAAAGAACAATAAAAGGAAATACAGTAATCCATCGGCAAGTGAATTTACCGATGACTGTCTCGCTTGTTCCACAGCGAGCAGTTTACGAAGAGAACCTTCAACCAGCACCACCATTAATACATGTGAAAGATATTCCTGACCATTCCATCAAGAAAGTGGCTAGTGATTCAAAATCAATTGAAAGATTATTCTCCATATCTGCATCATCGACATCACTATCAAAAACCGATTCTGAACAAAAAATTCCTGACTTTAATGATTTCGACTATCTCCACGAAACATCTGATACTCCATCATCGTATCATTCAGCTACTGCTCTCTCTCTCATCGCAGAAGTATCTGAAGAAGTTGAGTTATCCGATCAAATACCATTCAAATCAGCACTTGAAGATTCGTCCATGAAAATCGATACGGTTGCCGCAGAAGATACCATCAATGAATTCCATGGTTCAAATACTGAACAAAAACTAGATGCCACTCTAAAAGTGACACCATCAAATGTGTCCCCTGTCACCAGTCATATACACACTCAACAATCAGAGATGTTAAAGAATCAAGTAAAACCTACTGAAAATATCGTCACTAAGACTATGTCATTCTTCTTTCACACTAAAATCAAGATGACAACTTCGCCGACTGTTCTCGAAGATCTTCCGAGAGCGGTCATTGCCAAAAAACCAAAACCATCAGCACCAACCAAGCGAAAGAGTACAAAAAAGAAGCCTTCTGAACGGAAATCAAAGCTGAATACGACTATTCCAGTCGAGGACAATCAATTGATGCCAATACAACCTACAATAGATGATGACACATTGTTCGCTCAAGATCTCGATGTTGAACCTGAGAATGTTTTACCTCCACCTGTCATACTCGAAAGCAAAGTCGTTTATCATAAAGTTGATGGTAGATTGAAACGCAACAAAAAGAAAGAGAAAAGAAGCAGTAGTCGCGATAGGACGAAAATGAAATCAAATAAGAATGAACCTCTAGTACAATCCGCACCGTTGGTACTAATGCCACGAAAAGCTGTGCCTTTCATTTCCGCTACAGAAGGTAAACAGATCGATGTCGAAGACGATCTTCCAATGAAGTCGAGAAAGAAGAAACGAAAACGTTCATGTAAGTGTACAAAGAATATTCCGTTGTCAAGAAAGTTTTCATTTATTTTTCTTCAAATCGGATATTCACAGCGATAGTCAAATAATCTTTTTTTTTCAGCTAAGTCAAACCGTCGACATACAAGATCTCGATCGTCATCGAAGAAAAAGAAGTTATCTGGTGAGAACAAGAAGAAGAAGAAAAGTAGAAGTCGATCGAAGAAACAATTGAAAATAGAAGAAAATATCGATCATGTTTCAATTGAACCACAGATGATAACAAATAAAGATGCTCTTGCTAAGCACCTACTCGATGTCAAAAGATTCACCGGTCCACCTGTGTCTGCTCTTACTTCTGATACGACACACAACGACAGTAAAGATACGAGGAAACATTCTCGATTAAAACTACTCAAACCAATGATTAAAAATTTTGAACTTGATACTAATTCCCATCGATACATAAGCGAAGTTCATGAAGTTGATGCATATGATCTAGATAAAGAGTTGTTTGATTTTAATAAAGATACAGTAGATGTTAACCAACCAGCGATGTTTACTGAATATATTCGTAAGTTGTTGTTATTTTTTTTGGATACGGCAAGCATCGTGATTTTGATTGAATCTATTTCTTTAGCTGAGTTATTTCAAAAACAAGCAGAAGAAAAACAAATTCGTCGAATTTCGTTAACAGCAATTAAAACAGACGAAAGTCTTGTTAAACGTCTGGCACCAAGAGTATCTCGATTGTACAATGGCTGGCAGCCAAGTAATACACGTAAGGACAATATTTTCTCTGCTTTGTAGAATTGGATCAATTTCTTTTAGCTTCTGTACATACACAAGAATTTCATCCATTGAGGAAATATCTCATGTCGAATCTATCGTATTATTTCGATGAGGAATTCGTTGACGAATCGGGTCTTTTTCAAAATCCGAAAAGCTCCGATAAGTTCGTTCTCAATCGATACTCTTCCTGAGATAGTTTGATCCACTCTTTTGTAGAACTCAAACACGAATAAAACAAGCCACTCAACGTTTCCGCGATGATTATATCATAAAAGAATTTTTCCATTGTTGGAAAGACTATACAACAGAAAAGGCTCGTATTGCTGAACTGCGACGAAAACGAGTGTTGATTGATTTTCGTGAATTTTGGTTTCAAGATGCACTTTCCGACCCGTTCTATTCGTATTTCCAACAACCATCAGATTATGTCAAAAAATTAGATCAACAACATCAAATGGCTTATCGTTTACATAAACGTCTCGTTCGAACAGGCCGTGAACAACCCAAAGAGACGATGAAACATACGAATCGTCCATCATTTTTACCTTATCTCTTCAATCTACCTCAAAACGACCTCGATCGACAAATTTCGCTAACGCATCGTCGTGTTCAACTGATAAACAGCGCGGACGGCGACGATAATATTCAGCTCCTTCCTCTATCGAATCTGTTGGCAAGTCAAGATGAAGTTTTATCATTAATACGTGAACGTATTCACCTTTACAATCGAACCAAATCTTCCATGGATATTCATCGAGATGAGTTAGCCATTAAACAACTGTTGATCAATAGTTCATTGTTAAAACAAGGAACAATCAAAGATTTAGATCGATTGATCATCGATTACTATACATCATTGGAAAATTACGAAATAAAAACTCTCCGCAAAATCTCCAATCAGTCCGTCAAATTACCACCACTCACAGCTGCCAAATAGACCGAGATTGTTTTCAAATTCGTTTGGTCTCTCAATTTATTTATATACAAACAGACCAACAAACAATTTATTTGTCAATCAATGTACCACGAATGTTAGCCCGTTTCGTTTCTTGTTCACGTCGTGCAGCCTAGAAAAAGAAAATCATGTAATGCAACATGGATTCATTTCGACGTACTTCTTCAATTGCTTTGCGCTTGTTCATTCCTTTACGTTCTAATTGCTTCTCAATAACACGTGCATTCTGTGTATAAGAATTAGCTATTTCTCGTGCTTCCAATTCTTCTTCTTCTTCATCTAACGTTGATACTGTCACCGATGATGTCTTTCCACGATCTTCACGTTTTATATTTTTAATCACTTTCTTAGGCTCAGCGCCTAATACTTGATTATAGATATTCGATGCGTCGTTCGCTTCAGTCGATAGTGCACCATCAAAAATAAATGTTATTGGACTATTCAAGGTATGCTGATAGTATAGAGAAAGACCACACCTAAGGAAATTGGTATATGAAGAAACGAATGAGAGCAAGATAAGCTTACTTTAAACATTTCTTTCGATACTGAGTCTCGATGCCACCGTCTCTATAAAAAAAAGACGAGATTTCGAACGAGAGTGATCGAAAGAAATCACTTACTTGCGTCGAATATAGGCAGGAGTATCTTCGTCTTTACAGTATTTCTTATGCGCATGCTGCTTTGAATCGATCACACGGGCGTGATCACGCTTTCGCAGTGGTAAATACTCCAGTGCACAATCTAAAAGATCATTTTTGGTCTATTATTCTATTGAACAAATTGATTCTCACCTAGAATTAACGCCATTTGTCCGCATAAGCAAAAGAACATGTGCGGAGGAGTTTCATAAACCTCTTCTTGATCATCATCAAGTATGACACGTTTCTTCTCGTTGGCATCGTCCATTCCAAATGCTCGGTTAAACTCGAGTTAGTTCTACGGATATATTTCGATCTATCGACCACACTGTCGATGTTTCAAAGCAAAGATATCAGAATATTTCACAAGAATCGAAATGCAAATCGATTGGTAAATGTAATTATCCATTGTCAGAAAAAGAAAACTGTGTGATCTAGGCGACCTCTATTGTGGATATAATAAAATGTCTTTTTCGATGTAACTCATCAAGTCTGGTGAAAATATACATTTATTTTTATCAGCATCGTTTTTTCAATACAGTGGGTGAGTATCTGAGTTTTTGATCGTTTCGAACATTTGTTGTAGTTGGTACAGACACATATACAAGACAGTAGAAATATGAAATTCATGGTCGAAGCTTTGAAATCAAGTTATTTGAACAAATAATATTAAGATGAATTCAATTAGTTGAACGAAAACACAAGAGTGAAATATACTTGCTTTTAGTCCTCTTAGGAACATAATCATCAGTGAAATTGTTCTTTCACAGTTCTGTTTTATTATCATATTGACAATCTAATAGAAAAACATTTCCATACTTAATCAACATAAGCAATTGAGAGATTAAGTTTTTGCCATTCGAACTGCAGAACGGCGTAAACTTTCCTTTATCTACCACATACAGTTGTAAATAAAATAATGATGGCGATGAGAACATGTTTGTAAGTTCAGTTCACGTTCAGATCTAGTCAATGATGTGATAATTCTTCTCTTAGCTCAATATCTTCATACATTTTATTTAAGTCACTCGGGAAGTTCGATGATCACGGCTTGGCTGTCATTGTCATCTTCTTTACATACACCTACACATACATTCTTTTAATCGAAAAGAGTTCGAATGCAGCACGCATACACTTGACTGACGTTCATCATATGCATGTCATCCAACCGAGCAGTGAAAATGATTACACCAGTCACTAGACTCCATCGTTTCTCGTCGATCCCTACGCACACACACACTGTGTTCTTTCGTGTAACACGCTCATAAACATGCATTCATCTAGGAAAATCTTTGATTGTTACAGCAGTTACCGTTGATGAAATTTCTTAAGGGTACAACATGTAAGATCTCTGTCGTTCGAGCGTATAATAGAAACGTTATTCATTAGATTGCTTGATTCTGTACTCTATTTTTACTTAGACGAGTTCTATTACTAATACTACTAGTGGCATTGATGAATTGATGATAAGACGACTACGTGCTTTCATGCATGCATGAGTCTTTTTTCATCCACTCTCCATTTATATATATATATGTATATGCATACATGGATATCTGCTTTCCCTTTTCCTTTTTTTTCTCATTTGCCGCTTGCGGTGAACTCAGTTACATATATACCAATATGTGCATTAGATCGTCCAATCGACCGTCTATTGCAGTGATGCATGGCACATTTTTACGGTCTCTGGAGATGCACACACACACACACGCACGCACATATATGTATGTACATATATACATTTATGCATACACATATGGCATTGAGAGAAAGAGAAAAAGAATCTACAAGAGTTATGGTTAATGTGTTGACAAAAAGGAAATAAAGCATACGGATAGTTAAGGATAAGTGTAGAAGAAAAATCATATCATCCATAACTGGGGAAAAGTGCTACTCAACAGGACGCCGCCATTGTCGTCATCCGAATGGAACGAAATGCGAGAATGCGTTTGGCCCCCAACCGTTGTATATCGTGCAAACAACATAACAGTCATATTGTGTACTGATGAATGAGGTGATCTTCTCTCTCCCTATGTCTCAACGCGTATGTGTCTCTTTGACTCTCTCTCTCGTTCTTCCACCCACTTCTTCGGTGTGTCTCTCTTCCCATCATCGTCTACACATATATATTTGTGAGTATGTGCGCAAGCGCGCATGCGTGTGTGTGTGTTTGTAGAGAATCAATAGCTGACAAAGACAAAGTGAAACGAGCATACACATAGACGTATGCGGTGAGGAGGCAAAAAGATTAAAAGCTCGCAAAGCGAAACCGAACCGTCGAGAACGGAACAAACGAAATGAGACAAAGCGACGAGAATATAAGCGCACACGGCGTGCCGTTTTGTATCTATCAAAAAAAAAATGCGAAGTGAAAGTGAGAGCGCGAGGGAGAGAGAGAGAAGAGCATAGGCAAACGAAAGTAAAAGATGGTAGGAAAGTGAGTGTAACTATAGCTTCAGTTAAAACATCGAACGAATAGAATAATTCAAGCATAGAATACGATGTGCAAACAGATTATTTTAAAGGAAACAAAATAAGAATACAACAATTTTTCGAGCGAGACAACAACGACCATCACCAATGGCCTTATTATCTTGAACAAATACAGGTGTCTAAATGTCATCCTCCATTTCATTCATTCGTTTTCTTTTTTTTTTCGTTTCATGATTGCTTGCTTGCTTATTCGCTCGCTTAAGCTCGTTTCACTGTCATCAACACAACGATACACATACACCCATATACTCTTGCATCGTTATTCGCGCATATATATTAGTGAGATGAGAGAGTGGCACTAACGGTTGTTCGCGCCCGCGCACACCATACACGGAGAATATAATCATCTCTCGCATTCTCCTTTTCTTTTTTCTCTTTTATGAGTGTATATCGCACGCTTGTTCGCTTCATCGCAGACGCGGCGCACAGTAGCGGCAACAGCAGAGCGTAATCGAACCGTGATGCGTGTCATTCTATGCCGGTTACATTTGGCATTCGACGATAGAAGCACCCACATCATCAACCATCACAGAACTGTATTACTATTATCGATATAAATATGTTTGTAGCGTATAAGAACGAGAAGAGAGTAGAGTATACGTGATTTCATCACCGTCATAGTGAGCTAAAGCTAAGAGAGCGAGTAATATACATAAAAGGACGAAGGGAAAGGGGGAGAAATGGATGAGTGACGGACTAGAGCGGATCACTACTTCTTTTTTTCGGTTACTATTATCGTTTCTCTTCGTCTTGTTTTTACTTCTTGTTGGTCTATGGTAAATAGCAATCACTGTGTCGAACCAATACACAACATGTATCATTTCTTTTGTCTAACGTTCATCATTCGAAGTTAACGTGATTTCTTTTTCTTCTTGTTAATTCGTATTTTTCTCTCTTTCTTTTTATGTTGTCCTTTTTATTTTCTCACTCAATTGCCGATGTCGATTTATCGATCTAATTGAGTTGTCTATCACCACTATGCTTTGTGTCAAGGTTTACATGTCTAATCCTTTCGTAGGCAACCGAAAGCTTTGCGTCATTTTCTTTATATATTGTAGATCAACGCATGACCGAGCCTTCGAGTGAGTATGTATGCGTATGTGTGTAGGCACTTTTTCTCTTTTATAGGTTAATGTTGGGCGGTTGCTATTGCTTGATGATATGTCTGTGGGAGAGAGAAAACGCATCAACATCAGGAATGGGATGAGAAAGCAAGAGAAAAAACGGAGAAGAACGAGATTCGTTCCACATGATGAACAACGAACGACGCCGTCATTCTCTTTTTCTTCATCCCTCTCCTTCTCTCCACATATATTTATGTCGCTCGTTCGTCGATCGCGTTCTGCATCACATCATTGCCAGCATACATCGACATGCACGGTGCTAGAGTAGGTGAATGTAAGAAACGTGAAGTACAGATAAATGAGGGAAAAATCATTGTCTTTCATGCATAAACACCATACTGTTGTCGACACGGTTTTTTCCCTCATCGTCAGCTTCTCCTTTTTCTCCTTTTCTCCGTACTTCGTCGTCGTTTCCTTTCTTCCTTCTCAACTTCTCTTACTCCAATATATTTTCATGTCTCAAAAACAGGAAATAACCTGTCTTCTTCTGTCTCATCGCACATATATACTACATCATATGCTGTTCGCTTCGTTACACAGGCGATTAGTCATGCTTCTGCGAGTTTCTTTTCGATTGGCACTAGTTCGCGAATTATTACTAATGTTATGATTTTATACGACGAGATCGCATAGGGCGACAAAAATATATCGACATAAATGTGTTATCAAATGACTGACTACTCAGATAGATGAAGCGTGTCTGTCTATCTGTCTTCTCTTTTAATGTGCACGAACGCGCGCCTGGCATTTCTTTTACTTCCTTTTTTTCCTGCAAGCAATTTTTTGTTATTCATATATGGACGCGGCTGCTGGCTTCAGAAAGAAAAGGGAGAGAGAGAGAGAGACAGGCAGGCAGAGAAAAGGCAGTAGCATTGGCGGCAACGAAGAGAACTCGTGCGTGAACAAAATCGATCGTTAATGAGGAGAGGAGTGTAGGCGACGACGACAGCCGCATCTATAATCTTGAAAAACGTCCTTCTCTTTTTTCGGCTGTTGCCAGTGAAGCAGCAACAAGTAACACTCTTCTTTTAAAGTAAAGAAAAACTTATAGTATGGCCTCATTTTATTAACGGTAAATGTACCAAAAGACAGAGAACAAGAAGAAATCGGATGAAATCGTGTTATTCACCCATATAACCGGATATGTTGAAAAACAAAGTGAAAAATATGATCAAAAGAACAACTTGAACTTGTTATAGTATGTATTTAGTAAGGTTTAATCTGTTTCAGATCATGACAAACATTTACTATTAAAAATTCTGTCTTATTCCTTCGTCGATGGCTGATACAATGATGACTGATAACCATTCAACTGATCAGAATAACAATAGCGACAAGAAAAACTTTACTGATAATAACAATCAAAACGGACTGAGCGAACCCACTGCGAAAAGTAATCATCAATTGAAACCGAATGGAAACTTGTATGAAGATTCATTCTCTTTTAGCGAATGACAAAAATCGAGATCAATCAAGTAGTGCTTCCAATGGGATTAAAAGACGTAAGTCACAGTTCTTTTCCTTGATTATTTAAAAATTTCGAACTGATTGGATACGAAAAAGAAAGAAACAATACTTTTTCATCTGTGCGATTGATCTGACTACTGATGTTGATTGATGTTCAAAGCATCGTATCGATGGAACCTATTAGTCACTCTATTGAGCATACCATATGGGATTCGTCTATACAGTTTGAAAAAACATATCATTCACCGGTGTGCGCAATTTCCGAATCGATTAGTTTTACTTGGTTGAATTTGATGTTCGAAATAATTGGTTGTCTTATCTTTAGATAAAAATCGCTTTTGTTCGTCATCTATGAATCAACTGGGTGGTGAATTTATCAATGGTCGACCATTACCCACTGATACACGTGAACGTATCGTGGAACTCGCTGAAAGCGGCGTACGTCCGTGTGAAATAAGTCGTCAAGTAATAGACTGAACAACTTTTTCATTCGATCGCTAATGCCTCTACTTCTTTCGTTTAGTTACAAGTTTCACATGGTTGTGTTAGTAAAATTTTAAAAAGGTACTTCGACAGTTCTTTTCAACTCTTTAAAAATCGTATATAAATTGCCTTCAGTCTTTGCATCAGATCGTCTAGATACTTCGTTTTCTTCTTCGAGAATAGTGTAAGAAGTATACAGAAAATAACTGGTGACGGTGTCTCGAAACAAATGCATGCATAACCAACATTCTAAACAGTTTTCTTTTCCATTGCATGGTTTTTGTTCATGAATTTCTTGGTTTATATAGATACCGCCTATTCGGCACCACGCATCCTGGTTTAATTGGTGGATCGAAACCGAAAGTTGCTACACCCGATGTTGTTCGACGTATACGTGAATACAAAGGCAATAATCCTCAAATTTTTGCTTGGCAAATTCGTGAAAGTCTTCAGAAAGAAGGTATATGCCCATCGGACAAATTGCCGAGCGTTTCCTCCATCAATCGGATTGTCCGCAGCAATCGACGAATTGTTTTCAACAATGATGGAACCATTACCGGTATGTTCACTATTGATATGTGTTCAATCACGACCCTGTTTTTTTTCCTCTAACGCTCATTCAGAATTCGATTCCGATTTTGATTCTCGTGACGGTAGTGACGATGAAAACGAAAATTCAATCAAATCTGAGGTAAATGACGAACAAAAATATTTTTCGAACGACATCATCCGACTTTCTCTTACAGCCAAGCCAAGCATCTTCATCCACTGCATCGCGTTCAACTAATATCCGACATCGTGGCGATTGTCGTTGTGATGTTTGTATAAAAAAATATAAATTCGCACCATCATCAAATAATTCGACCAAAAAATCCTCAAATCCTGATCATGAAGAAACAAGTAAATCTATGACTTTCTTTCAACTTCGTCTTTTCTATTCGTTTGATTTTCTAGGTGATTCGAACAGTATGTCCATGCCAGCCATTTCGGATGACGATCCTCTAAAACAATCACCTCCTCCACCACCGGCCACTCATTGTCGTTTAACACCAACATCATCGACCGATGATACTAAACCACTCGATCTTTCGCGAAAACAGAATGAACAACCATTGAATTTGTGTTCAAAACGTAAACGAAATCCTCCGATTAGTCTAGCGAAACGAAATAAAACCTCGACTTCTCCATCACTTCCTCTTCCTTCTTCAACAACCAACTCTGCCGCATCTATGTTGATCCCATTTTATGCAATATCACCATTCTTCGATCCGAATCAACAAGAAATGCTTCAACAAATGCAATCATTTTATCTACAGTTACAACAAAAACTAACAAAAAATGAATGAAATTACTCAATTCAACATCGATCTAGTCAAATGAGAACATCTACACGAAAATGAGACACTCCTTTGAATTTGTGAAATGATTCTTGTATCTATATTTGTTTGCTTGTAATTTACAGTCGTTAATTTCTTTTCTCTTTTTTTTCTGCTCCATTGTTTTTCTTCCTCGGTTCGTTTTCTTCTTTTTTTTTCGAATGAGAATGATATGTGCCATTGAAAGAAATATATATATATATATTAATTGATTCGATATACCAGAAACGAGATCGCATGGGATTTAAGATTTATCTGATACGCATCATATGTCATGCAAGAAGACAAGATAGGTTGAAATTTATTATTTATATCAATGCTCTTGATGATCATAAAAACTGACGTTCAGAAACACTCTGATCACAGCACGGTGAATAAGAAAGTTAAGAATGATTTTGAAAATAATCGGGATTAATTTATGTAAATGTACACAACTCGAATGGATTGATTAACGAATAAAATTTCAATGTATTTATTTAAGGTTGACTACCGATTATTATTATTATCCAACAGTATAGGTCATAGATTGACCTATTGAGCATCAATATGTCACATAAATAACATAATTGAAAAATTTATCTAAATAAAAGATTTCCTTGATGATCTATTATGCTGATCAGCAAATAAGAATCAGTTGCTTAATTGTTTCCAGATCTTTATACTACGAGTAAGATCTCAGCTGGAATCGATTTGTACTTCTTCTCGGTATTTCAAAATCTTTCGACAGATCAGTGAAACAATGAGATGATAATGTTATTTTCTGAAGCTTTTTAATATTCAAATGTGATGAAATTGTTAGTAACTAATTTAGACTAATCAAATTGCGTCTTGCAAGATGATTGTAGTCGAAATTAGAAGAAACATTTGATTGGAGTCAACGGAAGGATTTCATTTAGTCTTCCCTTCATTTAATTAATAGATATTTCGATTGATGAGACTTGCCTCTTGTTCGTTATATATGTGTGTACACAGAAAATTTCGTGATTGAGCACGTCAAACAGGAAAATGAAGCAGATGTTGGTACATAATCATGTCTCGTTCTTTCCCTCCTATCTTATCTTTGTATCTGGATGCAAAAAAGAAAGAAAGAGAGAAAGAAAGAAGAGCGAAGAAATGTTTTGTACATCGAACAGTTAGTGTAATCGATGAGAACATTCAGTCGAACTAGACATTTCAATCGTTGCTGATCATGTCTCGAATCGTCTATCTCGTTCTCATGATTATTCTTGTGAATCACATCACATCAAGCGAAGCATCCGATTTCGGAAAATTTATGAAACGTTTATCACAATCGACAACGAAAATCAAGAATCAACTTATGGAATTTTTCTATCGTTTTCGATCATTTTTTGCTCGTCATTCAGAATCGACACATCATTCAGTGACTGCACGCGGCTGTGGCTATGCCCTCGATGACGAACCGGCAATCTATCACAAGCAAGCGAACATCATTTCGAAAATCAAAGGCGGTGACGATGCGATTTGGCACACATGGTAAGATAAACTTGTAATGGTACTTTTTTTTTTGAAAAGTTAGATTCCCTTGAAGGCCGTGGATGGTTGCTCTATTTACGAATCCGCGTAAAGGTTGGAGTTGTGCAGGTGTTCTGATCAATGAAAATACTATTCTCACTGCTGCTCATTGTCTATTGCATGCGAAAGTTAGTGAGATAAAAGCAATTGTTGGCGTGCATACAATTCTTGGAAAATTAAATCCATTGAATTATTATTCAGTTAAATCAGTTCATCGACATCCGAATTTCGAAGATTGCTGCAAAAATGATCTCGCAGTTATTAAATTAATGAAACCGCTTCTCTATGGTCCGAAAATCAATTCTGTTTGTTTGCCAATTTCACCGTACCTATCCGTGAAAGACGATGACGAACTTGTCAATCGCACAGGTGTCATTATCGGCTGGGGTGACAGTTCGAAGAATGGTCTAACGAACATGATCAAGAGTTTCACTTTGCAACAAGGTAAATTGTTGCCTTTCGATGACGAAAGAACCATTCATTTCATTGTCTTCTTTAGCTGATATACGAATCTTTAGTAATGAATCTTGTCGGCAAGCATACGACACTATTTTTGATCCAGAAACAGAAATATGCGCTGGCGATTATGATCAACGATCTGATACAATGGTAAGAAGCGAATATTTATGTCAATTCACTGTTCACAAGCATTTCTCGATTAGAGTGGCGATTCCGGTGGACCGTTGCTTATTCGTGAATCGGACGGTCGTTGGATTCTTCTCGGTATTACATCGTATGGTTCAGCAACATCTCCCCAAGAAGCTCCAGGTGTTTATGTGAAAATTTCAGCTTTTACTCAATGGCTTGAACCGTATTTAAAATGATGATGTTGTTTGAAAAAGAAAAATTCGAACTTTTGCCTATTCAATATATTTGAATTAATTAAATTATCACATTCTTTTCGATCATCTAGCAACAAGAAATCAAATATCCTGTGATTGTATGTTGGTTAATCGAATTAATCAAAGAATTTTGTCTTTTTTGTCGTGCGTAAATACACAGCAGCTCGTCCACCTTTATTATTTTCAGTGCATGGAAAGAAAAAGAACCAAAATAATAATCTATTTGGGAAATAAAAGGGTGATATATGTGCGTGTTCGAAGAGCAAGAGAGAAAAAAATGAGAGAAATATATTGCGGAAAACGACAGACTAGAGAGACCAAATTGCATTACACAGACATGGAAAGAGAGAGAGAAAATATATGATCAAAAGCGTGCGTGTACGTTTGCACAATAGACTCACAAGAGGCATAGAAGATTTCCTTCTCTCTCGCGATATTTTTTGCATAATTATCCAAAGAAAATAAAATAAACAAATAAAAAAAAAACATGACGCCTGGAATTTATCTTCAGAGCTTGAGATTTGACAACGAAAGAAAAATAACGCACACTCATCTGACTTGACTGACAGAACATACGTAGACAAAAAGCGATAGACGAGAAAACGAAGAGTTTACTCAATGAAATTTGATTCTAGTGCATACTAATGTATTGGTACAAACATTGAAAAGGAAAAGAATATTATTGTTCCGAAACTAAACGTTGAAAACGGGTGGAATTCTAATCTTATGATAGAATGTTCTCAAACCTGAAAGAAAAAGAAGAACAATATGTTAAATCAGTTGAATGCATTTCATTCGAGAAACTCGTTCAAATGCAAGATTGCTAGTCGAGAATAATTAGTTAGGAATTTAATTAAGGTTCTGTCATTCATTTTCATACGTGAATTATACGTTCTAAGCCGGATTTACCATCTTTCTCATTTCCTCGATGTGCTTTGCGCTTTATATTCAATAAAAATGTGCCAGATTCTAATGCGAAGGTTTCATAAGAAGAAATCAATTCATTGGCTTACGCTATCTTTTGATACCGAGCCATCCGGCGACCATCGAACCAAGAATAACAATAATTACAGCCAAACAAATAAGTATAATGATTTTTTTCTGAAAAGTCAAAAGAAAATGTCAATTATTCATTTGGCATTATGTCGAGAGAAGTTCAACAACATCGAGACAAAGAAAGCCACCGAACATCGACACATGAACGAAGGGGAGACTAGGGTGTTTTTTCTCGTTCGACGTTTGCACTAAACATCAAGTCAATTAAAACAAGAATAACATTAGCTCGATAGAGAGAAAAAAAATCAATTCGATTACGTGTGCTTTCAAGTGAATATCTGGTTGAAATTTGCAAGTATGTGTTTGAAAAGACAGAAAATCGAGCAAGATAAGAGATAATTCAATAGTCAGAAGCATTGAACCGGAAGACAATAAAGCGACGAGAAAAAGAAATACTCGACAGTGTTCGACTAGGCGAAGTGAATGACAATTGGAATCGTCAAAGGGCAGAGAGCAAATAACAAGTACCACGAACAGTCAATAATAATTATCTGAATACATTAATTTATTTAACAAATAAAGCAGGCCGGATAGTGACGAAGGACGAGGTGTGAAGATAGTCTTGTTTCTTTTTTTTTCATTTATAGAAAAGAAGACGTGTAATTCTATGAATGTAATAAATTAACAAGTAATATAAAAAAACAACGGAAGGGTACCAAATTAGAATAATAATAGTAAATAAATAAAATAATTAAGAATAGAAATAAATATTTGATCACATGCAAAAGGATGGAACGAAATAAAAACAAAAAAAAGCGTGCGTATATCTGTACAAGAAACATTCATTTCAAGTAAGCAGTGAAAAAAACAACACAACACAACGAAAAAGCAGTCATGGATGGATTGTCGATGGTGCAAAAGAAAGACTATTAGTTCTTTTTTGTTCCTAGGACGATTCCTACGATCATAACCACAAGAACAATCAGAACGACACAAATTCCAATGATAAGGAATTTTTTCTTGAAATGAAAAGAGAAAACACGGGTTTAAGTTCATTGAATCGATCACAACTCTCAACAGTACTGCACTCAAATGGATAATCATGGACTGGCGCCGGATTTTTTCGTAGCAAAATAAATTACAAGCACAAGCACAATAATAATCACAACGATCACCAGGATGACAATAAGGATAATTTTTTTCTAAATAATCACGAGGGTTTTTATTATATATTTCGTTGAATGTAATGAAAAATGCCTGTCAATCCCTATTGATCATCACTCTTATAAATAATAGATCAGTGAAACACAAAAAAGCTTTTTATCGACATTAAGAAAGCAAGCATATATATATATATATATTGACGTGCACACACACACACACACGATGAGAAGCAATTTCATTTAGACATACCCGTCGAGCTGCGCTTTGAAATTTCACAGCTTTCTTCGTATCGGTGCTGGCAGCTTTGACATAGTTTTCGGATTGAACGACATTAAACTCTATTCGATCGATCATTTCACCCTTTGAGAAGAGAAAAAGCAAGTCGAAATATCCATACAGACAGATCATCTCAATGTTTACTTGTGTTTGAACAAGTGCAGCCATATCAATGAACATGTCATGTAATTCTTTGATACTCTTTTCTAATTTGATAATATCACCGTGTCGTGCTTCGATATCAGCTAATGATTGTTTGGCTTGAGCTGTTTCTACCATAATCTAGAGTTAGAAGGTCAGTCAGTTCGGAACAGTGATCGATTCATGTTTTAGTTAATTACTCCTTGAGTGAATACAGCTGGATTTCCTGATTCGAGCATTTCTTCAACTTCACCTTCGGTTACGGATCGTCCAGCTGAAATAGAATTAAACAAAATGTTGATGATAGATTTGGAATTCGGTAATTGATTTGAAGAACAATTAAAGCAAGTTGAGCATGCTCACTGATCTCAAGCTGACGCTGAATTCTCTCCGTGCATTTGTGTCGATAGGCCAACTGTACTTGACTATAAACTTCCATAGCATCACGAAATTGCCGTTTCATACCATATAACTAGCGATACACGAAACAACATAGAGACAACATCGATTGAAAAGCAGAAAACACAAACAAACGACACAATACGATATGAAAGAATCCTCACTGATTTCAAGTTGACGTTGAATACGAGCTTTACACCGTTCTCGATATTCAATTTCTGCATTTCGATATGAATTCATTACGTCAATGAATTTTCGAGATAAAGTTGCATGCTAAACAAAATGAAGACAAGTTCGTTTTTTCCTCAATCGAAAATACATTCGACAAAAACATATATATATATATATATATATATAGACAGAGAGGAGAGAACATTCATAAGTTGTCGTATTGTGTCGTCGATTGATTTCATGTTAATGTACTACCTGTAAGCTTTCAATTCTTGACTGTGCTGGACTTCTGTTTGTTGCTCGTTCTTGTTCATCTTCCAGTACTGTAACATTAGGAAACAATAAGCAAACATGTGATGAGAGACAAAACAACATTGAAAAAAGAGAGTAGGGAGGATATGTTCAACAACATATAAACAAACAGAAACCTGAGTTTTTCGTATACGTAAATCGGCTGTACGCCAAGCATTTTCATTTCCTTCCTGTTCTAATTCAGTTTCCATGGCTAAATTTTATGTTTTAGATAGAAATAAAGTCATATCTCCAGAGGTCATTGTATTTTGTTCAATCTTACCTTTTAATCTTTGTCGAACATCATTTGCTAATTTTTTTATATCACCCATTTTCTCTTCCAGTTCTTCTTTCGTTCGATCATCTGCTTGTGGTGCAGCTAAGATAGTTGAATGTAGACGCTTGACTTCATCAACAAGTTCACTAATTTTATCGATATTGGTACGTAAAGAGTCCACATGAGCGAAAAAATCCGACATAAATCGACTGTTATCTTCCATATTAAGGGCAACATAAGCGGTATCGTTATCGCTGTCTTCAGCATTTTGTGCCTGAACGTAGAAATTGAAATATAAATCCGAAATTGAACGAAATACTTACAGCCCGCAAAGCGGGCAATCGATCTTTTGTCATTGAATACGAATCGTAGGAATGATTTAGATTTCTGTTAGACAACTCATGACATTTAAATCTGAAAAAAAAACAGAACAATAATACTCATGACATACATAATATTATCGAATGTATTTGATTTGTAATACATAAAAAAAAAGTGTCGATGATTCACTATTCCATGTCTATCGCAGAATTCATCAATGCAACTAGATTCCTGTTACTCTCAGAACGATGCCATTGGAATCGACATTTGCTCTTCTTCCTTTACTGCATTGATAAGCAAACCAGTTGTGCATTAGACAAAGTTATTTTCGACCAATCAGATTTCGACGATGAATCACTACTTATCTAAAATCTGTTTTCGAAAGAAAAAGTACGACTAGCAGATAAATAGAAGTTCATTCTAAGTGTGTGTGTCAATTGACGAAGTAGAACACTTTCAAAATGAATCGAGCAGTGAATCGAGTTTTCGTTATTGGTGTCGGCATGACAAAAGTAAGAAGTTTCTGATCATGACTAACCATAATTAGCAAATCTTTCATGATGTTTAGTTTGAAAAACCAGGTCGACGTGAAGATTTCGATTATCCAGATATGGCGAAAGAAGCGGTGACAAAGGCTATCAAAGATGCTGGCGTGTCATACAAAGACTTTGAACAAGCTTTTGTTGGTTATGTCTATGGTAGGATGATTTTAATAAGCGTCTTTCATGTGAAACCTTTTTCACAAATTACACACACATGTTTCTCGAGTAATGAATTGAAACACTAGAAGAAATCTATTTAAGAATATTTGTGATAGACGTCATAGTTAACTTAAAGTACATTGTACATCATATTAGACCGAACAGATGATCCGTAAAATGAGATTGTCGAATGTTTTCGTTGTAAGTAGCGTATCAGAACATTTAATTGATGTTTTTGTATTCATAGGTGATAGTACATGTGGTCAACGAGCTCTTTATCCACTTGGAATGACTGGTATACCAATTGTCAACGTGAACAACAATTGTTCGACTGGTGCGATTACATTTTGACAAGCTAGAAAAAGATCTCTATGTCTTATATACAAAAACTTAGGTTCATCTGCTCTGTACTTAGCTTCCAGACAGATTGCCGGAGGTAAGATAAGCAATACGGTATAATGATAATTAATATTTTCGGTACAGGACTCTCCGACTGTGTCTTGGCGCTTGGTTTTGAAAAAATGCAACGTGGTTCACTTTCGTCACAAGTAAGACTAACGTTTCGCGTGGAAATTTCTATTTAACTAAAGTGTATCTCTCGAAGTTTTCCGATCGTACTAATCCTATGGATAGACACATCGAGATTATGTCTGAAAAATATGACTTTGGGAGTGGACCAGCTGCTGCTCAACTTTTCGGAAATGCTGCACGAGATTATATCAAGAAATATAGTATGTCTTGTGACAAGACGAGCAGTCAGATGACTTATTTCTTTTCTTTTAGATGTTTCTCCCGATGTATTAGCGAAAATCGCCTGGAAAAACCATAAACATTCCGTCAATAATCCGTAATAGCCGATTTCTTATCCGTAAATTCCTTCAACTCATCCACCTATTTAGATATTCACAATTTCGTGATGAATATACCTTGGAAGAAATCAAAAAGTCACCGATGGTTCATGAACCACTAACTAAACTACAATGCTGGTAAACTTTCCTCTGATGTTTAGTTGAGTTTCTCATCTTATAATCTTTTTCTATCTAGTCCAACATCTGATGGTAGTGGAGCAGCAGTTCTTGTCAGCGAAAATTTTCTTCGCAAGCATCCCGAAACACAAAAAAATGCTGTTGAAATCCTTGCCATCGAAATGGCAACTGATTTTTCCTCGACATTTGATACAAATGATTGCATGCGAGTGGTAAAACATTCAATCTGTAGAAAATCCAATACTATTTACAGTACATCTAGGTTGGTTACGATATGAGTAAACAAGCTGCACAGAAAGCCTATGCCAAAGCTGGAATTAAGCCAAGTGATGTGCAAGTAGTTGAACTACACGGTAATTACTTTTCGAGAATAAAAGCGGAAGAATGACAATTAGATACTTACCAAACAATAATTTGTATTAGTACGGAAAAGGTCAGAAAAAACGAAACGTTCGATTCACTGATATGCGTTCTCGGTATCAACAATTGCTGCTATCAGTGTATATTCGTTATCAGAGTCATGTGATGTTTATAATCGTAGTAAAGATGTTTTGTCTTTTGTTTTCTAAATACTATTCACAAGCCTTCTACTGAATAATTTTTCATGGTGATGATGATGTAAAATAGCACCGAATTCTCATTTCAGACTGTTTTTCTGCCAATGAATTGATTACATACGAAGCTCTTGGTTTATGTGAAGAAGGTAAGTAATGTTTTGTATCTGCAAGTATTAGTTCATGCACAGATTGGTTTAGGAAAAGCCGGTGAATTTGTCGAACGAGGTGACAACACCTATGGTGGTAAATGTGTGGTCAATCCAAGTGGTGGTTTGATTTCTAAAGGTCATCCACTCGGTGCAACTGGTTTAGCTCAATGCGCCGAACTCTGCTGGCAACTACGCAATCAAGCTGATAAACGACAAGTAAAAGGTGCTCGTATCGCACTCCAACACAATCTTGGTTTAGGTGGTGCCTGTGTTGTAGCAATTTATCGACTTGCAAATCTTAACAAGTAGGTTACTTTCTAAGAAGAAGTGACGGACAAGATGAGTTGAGATGTTTATTTTAGGGCACGTGTCGATTCTAAACTGTGATTGGTTTTAGGAGGAAAATATCGGATTTCTTGATTTTATTGATTCTCTTTTCTAATAAATGGTACACAAAAACAGCGCTATAGTAAATTTATCCAATTCGTGTTTTTTTCCGAATGAAATAACCAATAAGTATAAAAAACACCACAGAAAATATAATAAACGATAAGATTATCACAAGGATCAGCTTTTTCTACAAGACAAAATGCGAGAATATTATCTTTTGAGAAACATTTCTTTACTTTGAGCACTTTCCTACGATATTGTTCAGTAATGTATACATTTTCTGCTGCATCTTGAACATAGTCCACTGCTTTAGATATATTATGTTCGATACAATCGACCATTTCGCCCTACAATGAAAATCGTCGGATATGCCAAGAGGAAAAAAGTATTTTACCTGATCATTCACAAGAATAGCTAAGTCAAGGAACATATTATGTAGTTCTTTGATCGATTTCTCGAGTTTCATTATATCACGATGACGCGCTTCGATTTCATCTAACGATTGTTGTGCTTTTTGTGTTTGAACCATAATCTAGAGAATTTTCCGAAACAAACTGATTGTATAATAAGAAAGTCAAAGATCATTACAGGAAAACTGAATGTTCCTGGGTAACCAGTGTCGAGCATCGCATCTAACTCATCGTAATTTCTGCGATTTCCAGCTGAAAATGAAAGAAGCGGTAACAAGGCATTCAATCAACATTCATTTCTCTGATATCGAACGTCCCTGTATTTATTTTTTGATTTCTCAAGATTGTATATGTATCAATGATCATTGCCTAAACTTACATATTTCAAGTTCACGAGCAATAATCTTTTTGCATCGTTCACGATATAAGACAGCTTCTTTGTTATATTCGATCATTGTATCACGAAATTGTCTTGTTAATGCAAATATTTGTGATTCTCTGATACGCCATTGAGCACTTGTTATGTCGTAATCAGTTTGATGGGTTTGTGATTGCTCTAATTCTGCAAAATAAGATCAGACCAACTGTTGGTAGTCTATATTTCTGGAAGTTTGCTACTTTTCAATTTTGCTGCGATGTCGTATGATAAGTTCTTAATCTCTTCGTTTTTATCATCCAGTTCTTGTCCTAATTCTTGAAAAGAATAGAAAAATTCAAATATCCGAATATCTATTATTTCTTACTCGAACTGGCCGTTGGTTGAAGCATGTCGACATGCATTTGTTTGACTTGCTGTGTCAATCCATCAATTCTCTCAATAATCTTTCGAATGACTTCAGCCTTCAACAATAAACAATAATCAAATCGGTTCAAATACTAAATCAATTTCATACTTCATTTAGAAACTGACTTATTCCACTTTCTTTATCGATACTGATCTTAGTACCTTGCCTTTTGATACTATGCTCTGAAGTCTGTTCATGATGGTTTGAAAACTACGAATACAAAAAAACGAATAAAGCTAATAACTTCCATGTTAGTCAATTCTAAAGTGCAGCGAGAGATTTAGATTAGACAAGCGAAAACACACATGTGTGAATTGTTTGTGTTAGAAAGTTCGTCTTCTTGCCCCTAGAAGCTGTGCACATTTTCAATTAAGGTAGAGAAGAATAATACTTGTCTTGTAAGTCCTTCATAGGCAACATGAGGCCATGAGGTCTATCGAACAGAAAAATGTCTTCTGAGATAAACAAAAGTATAAATGAAATTTGTTCTTACAGCTTGTCGTAGGTCTTTAAGTCTATCCTTTGACATTTGAGAACTAGACAGTCGCCGTGACTTGTATAAACATGATATATTGAATGAAATTTTTATTCGACTCGAGTGACAACAGAAGCAAAAAAACGATTTTCTTCTTGTGATGTGTATTAAATTTCACTATTTATTTATTTACGGAATTAAATTACTAAAATTATGGAAGGTTTTTGCTGATGACTCAAACACGATCGAACCAATCAATCTGCTTTGTTTGAATCACTTGTAAGACGAACAGCGTCCTCTTAACCATTGTTGTTGCAGCATCATGTGATTTTACTTAGGATTTCTAGTAGTTTTTCGTACATGGCCATTCTCTCTTCTTTCGATTCTGTTTGTGCACACGTCAAAATCGTTTGGGATAAGTTTAATTGCTTGTCGATATGCGGCGGAATATGATGAAGAAAATCGCTGGACATTTCTTTGCCTTTCATGTCGAGCGATGGTGATAAAATGTACCGACAAACTAAAGTGAATATCATAATCTCGATTGGTGAACATCCGAAAGGTACTACTTTGCTCAATATTATAATCAGGCATATAAGTATTGCAGAATTTGTTTGCGTGATTTCGGACATCTTGCGCGTCGACTTCATTACGAAATAAATCGCGTTCGACAATAATCAGATATTCGAGATCAATTATCTTCACACGTCGTTCATTTTTGTTGTATACGAAATTTTCTAGATTTACATCGGGATAGTAAAGAATGATTTCGGCATTACTAACAGTTAATTGATGCATCGAAATGAGTAATTCTCGAACGAGATATGCCTGAAATGAAGAAAATATTGATCTCTGATTCACGTTGAAAAACAAATGTACACGAAAGTGAAATGGTGAGTCAAGATATGATACAAAATTTGATCCTTCATCGCTCACAACTCCTACTCGGCCACATGCACCATAGTACACCGGAAATGGAAAGTCAATCTCAGTTAAACCCTACGAAGAACGTGCAAGAACATAAACTACGGATTATAATGTTCATCACTCTTACTGACAATACGATCGGTTCGAGGTTCATTTGGACAGTTGTTGCAAATGAAATCTGGCTATCATGTCGATCGAGGTCCGTTGATTGAAGAAATCTATGCGTAAAGAGCATCAATGCTGACGAATAATCACGTATGTGTGTATTTACGCATTTTTAAATTTGGAAACAAATGTATCATTCGAACAAGGTAAAAGTGTGCCTAGAGAAGATGTTGTCGAATGAAAACATGACGGTGATTGTTGACAATCATCGAACAGAACCCATTCACTTTGATGAGCCATTTTCTTGAATACTACTCGCTTGTTGTTCATTGTTCCATAGTAGATATTTTTGACATTGAATAGGTCACTATTGAATATGGAAAAACGTTGCCAACCTAGTTTAAAACTCATCGATTTGTCTACGGTTAGATAACATGCTAATGAAACCTGTTAATTGCACGGCATTTGTTCCGAATAAATGGCAAAGACGGACGCCAAAGCATGCTGGACACGAGTTCAGTTCGACAAAACGGAGATTCGATGGTGAATAGATAAACAAATTGTTAAAAATCAAGTATAAGATGAAGAGCAAAGGAATGTAAAGAAGACATAATCGCCACCGACAAAATCGTTTGAATTTAAATGACATTCAGAAGAAAAGAATTGATCTTTCTAATATGACAGTTGATTCTTATACTCTCAACGCTGAGAATTTCAACATCTGTTTATCTTTTTACCAGAAAATCTTGTCCTTTGATACCGATAACAGCATTTGTACCAATATTTCGTTCCTCCGTAATGAACCGTTCGGTAATTTGAGTAATTAAAGTGATAGGTACTGAACATTTGTATGCTGTGCATTTCGATCAAAGAGAAGGCAAAGAGTTAAGCTACGAAATCAACAGCGACACATAGGTATATTTATTTCCTTGGTGAATTGTGTTAAGAAAGAAAAGAAAACCTATCTTGACTTCTCTTGTATTTTCATATAGATGAATATCATTAATATCGTATAGCAGTCTTGAATAGAAGAAAGTGTTGGATTTCCTTCTTGTAATAATTATCATCGCGTGCTTTCATCGAATTGTTTTTCTATTCTATTATCGTTCTAGCAGAACAATAGTAATCGTTATGGATTATTGAGAAAACAAAAGTGTTCTTAACAGATTTCATCTCGAAACGTTTTCAAGCAACATCGAAGGTAATGATGAGAATATGAATAACATTCCCGGTTGCACTTTAGTACTTTTCTTATTTCCTTCATTTGATTACCATAAATCATTGTTAACATAATGAAATTACTACAACAGAAAATAGTTGAAGACATTTGTCACTCATCGTGTTTGACGTTCAGGTCGATACATGTCGGGGCATGGTTTTCCTGGTAGAAAATAAGAGTCTTCATTGAAACGAATATTGCTGAGCTAGTAACAGAAGAAAGGAAACTTAATGAGAGTTATAGTTTATTTATGATCATATATATATTCTATTTTCTAGTTTTATAAGTAAAAATGTCTGAGAAAGTGTCGGTTGGACAAGCAGAAACGTGTGATGTTGAGTAAGATACTGCTTTTGTTTCTCTACATACGATTGCATTCTTTTCCGGTAAGAGACGGTTATTCAAAATTATCAACTGAGCTGAACAACACACAACGGGTTCATACGATGTTCCGAGATATATTTTGTCGGTCATCGAGAAATAAAGTTTCACACATAAATAAAGAAATGACGACGTTGTCAACTGTTCTAATCGAATCAGTTCAACCGCCAATCATACGGCCAAATGCCATAAATGATGTGCACGTAGCTTCTGACAACTCATATTCAATTGTTCGAGTAAGTTTCTGCAGTATTTGATAGCGGACACAGCATGAAACCTATTTTAGATTGCTGAAACTGGAAATGTTCAGGAATTTGAAAGTCTCGTTCAAAATGATCCATCTAAATTAACCCATTTTAGTTCTGCAGGTTTGTGTGCAGCTCATAGTGCTGCTGCTCATAACCAAGTCGCCATTTTACTAGTAATCGTTCAATACGATGGAGGTAGATCGAACAAAGTTTACATATACTGAATAGAATGAAGCGATTTAGATTTGAATATCGAAGATCGAAATGGATGGACGCCACTGCATTACGCTGTACGACATAATGCCTTAAATGCTATTGAATTTCTTTTGGATAATGGAGCTGATGATAGTCGATTGAACCAACAGCAAGACGCTCCTATTCATCTAGCTGTCATTCATAATCAATCAGAAGCACTTAAAGTATTATTTAGAATATCTACTACTAGTGGAATAAAAATAGATCTGACGGAAACTCTTCTCTTCTAGCTTCTCCTGTCCAGACATCCTCAAAATGTGAATCTTCCCGGTGAAAGGAAAAAGACGCCACTACATTATGCTGCTATTAATGATAATATTGAAGCAGCAAGAATACTTGTGAGTATAGACACAAATCACTGAATGATACCCATTGTTCGAGAAATCTATATTCCAGACTGATAATCATGCTCGTTTGTGTTTGCGTAACGATGTTGGCACCTATCCAATTCATGAAGCAGCACTAAATAGTAGCAACCGCGTATTTCATCACTTGTGTGAAATCGGTAAACAAGAATTGTTCATGTATGTGAGTAAACTCCGCTAAAACACTTTTATTTAGCTAAGGTCAATAGTTATGGAATCGTTAATCTATTGAATTATTGCGATGCTGAAAATCATCGACCATTACACTCATCTGTTTTAGGTATATTTTTCTTTGACGTTCATCACTATCGCCATATTGCGTGTTGATAATTTAGGTGGCAATATCGAAGCTGTACAAATTTGTTTGGAGAAAGGAAGTAAAATCGATGATCAACAAGATGACTTCTCCACGCCAGTTCACCTAGCAGCTTCGCAGGGTTCAATAGAGCTCTTAGATCTCATGTTCAGTTGGCAATCTCATCTCAAGAGGAGAGTCGTTTCTATGACCGATGTTCAAGGAATGACGCCATTGCATAAGTGAGTATTACACTATCATTTTTTTTATTGAACCACGTTTTCTGTAGAGCGTCTATGGGTGATCACGTCGATGTCATACAATATCTTCTTGATGCGGTAAAAGATATTTTCAATCAATCTTTGCCTCCCACCCAGCACATTCTCCGTTTTCAGGGGTCTGATATCGATGCTCGAGACGTTTCAAAACGAACACCACTCATTCTTGCTGCTCTCAACTCTTCTGTCCATGCTGTTTGTTTTCTCCTTTCTAAAAATGCATCCTTGTTTTATCGAGACGATTCCGATCGAAACCTTCTTCATGTCACCATCATGCAGAACCTTCCCATCGACACCATCGGCACTGCTCTCTTCAAACGTGACAACTATCGCATCCTCTTCGATCAACGTGACACCGACGGATTCTACCCCATTCACTATGCATCTCGCGATGGACTCGTCAATGTTCTCACCGTTCTCATCAAACAAGGAGCAGAAATCAATAAGAAAACAAATCAGCGACAATCATCATTGCACCTTGCTGCTCAGTGAGTCACACTAACTACAACACACTCATATTCCTCCCTCCTCTCGTCTCACAGGTATGGAAGGTACAACACATGCCGACAACTACTCGACACTTCAGGTTTCAAGCGCATTCTCAACGAACCCGATCAACATGGTCAAACTCCACTTCATCTCTGCTGTCAGAATGGTCACACACGAGTCGTTCAGCTTCTACTGCACAAAGGTGCACAGTTCACCAAGAGCTTTGATGGCGACACTCCACTTCACGAAGCAGCATCACACGGTCATGTTTCGACAATGCATACCATTCTCCAAGCACATACACACCTGATCAACTCTGTAAATCGTCTCGGAATGACACCGCTGCACTGTGCAGCTGCAGCTGGTCATGTCGAGTGTGTTGATCTGTTACTGTCGAAAGCAGCAGAGTTTGTGACAAATGCAGATGGTGAGACATTCTTTGACTTGGCCATCATGAAAAGACACAAGGATGTTTGTCTTGCAATCATTGGTCATAAGCGGTAAACGGGGATTAGGTGAGGTGAGCTAAAATCAATTGTATGACTATGAACTAGATGGAACGAGGCACTGGACCTGACGAGTGTGAAGTATCGAACGCCACTACTTGGTCTGATTGAACATTTGCCAGAGTGCGTGCCAGTTATATTTGATCGATGTATAACGCGCACCTGTGATAATCAAAAAGATAAAGATTTTCATGTAATTGATTTTTTCCTATTTTGTGATTTTCTAGCTCGTTCTTTTAGTTAATTTACGACTTCCATTATATCAACTGGACGGATGTAACTGAGGTCGATGGAAAGTTTCGTCGGTGTCCAATGCTACCACTCAATGTATGTATCATCCTGCCACCTTTCCAAACTGCTACTTTCGTATTCTAGATGATGGTCAAGTTTGGCCGAACGAATCATCTCAGCCATCCACTTTGTGAAACGCTTCTCCGACAAAAGTGGCTCACCTATGGCTTTCCCATCTACATGCTCAACCTTTGCTTCTATCTTCTCTTTCTCATCTCACTCTCCTACTTCGTCATCACTTTTCCTGCATGCAATCATCATGATTCCACTCTCACTCTCACGCTCACCAAAACACCACTTCATACTTGTCCTAACCAGCATTTCGTTTCGTTCAGACAGTCGGCGACTTTACCACACATGTTCTGTATTTGGTACATCATCTTGTACTGTTTCTTGAACTTCGTTCTCGAGACAGTTCAGTTTGCTCAAGAGGGTTGGGAATATTTCAGTGATATGGAGAACTACATCCAGTGGTCACTGTACATCAGTGTGTGTGTGTTCGCATTTCCATTTTTGTTCGATCAATCATGGCATTATCAGTGGGTAGCAGGATCGATTGGTATCTTGAATGCTTACTTAGGTTTGTTATTTCTGTTGGGTCGATTCGATATCTATGGAATCTATGTGATAATGTTTCTGGAGATTTTCAAGACGCTGTTGCATGTGTTATCACTGTTTTCAGTTTTGATCGTGGGATTTGCATTAACTTTCTGCGTGATTCGACCATTCAATGAAGTAAGTTTCGAAAAATGGAAAAGTGTTGTAGAAAAGGCAGTTTTGATCGTCAGTTCCGTTCCTAGATTAGCTCGAAAGTTGTCGTACGGATTGTTGAATGATATAACGTTGAATTATGAACATTGTGTTTCTCTTTAGCAATTGAATCCATCGAATCCTCAACATCTGTTTATAATTATACTAAAGTCAGTGACAATGATGTTGGGTGAAATTGGTTTTGATCCAAGTTATTCCGAAAACGTTAATGAACAACATTTTTCTCTCACTAATCTATTAATGCTTCTGCTGTTCGCTATTATCATGCCTATTCTTTTAATGAACCTGCTGGTTGGTCTAGCCATTGGTGATTTGATGCAAATTCAACAAAATGCACATTTGAAACGTCTCGCCATGCAGGTGTGCTTGTTTTTTCTAAATTATGATGGGCGGTGCTAGATATCTATTGTAATTTAGGTCCAACTTCATACGAATTTAGAGAGAAAATTGCCGAGTAAACTCGTTCAACGATGGATAAAGGACAAGTTCGTTATTTATATCAATAGAGGTTTCTGCAATCGCATCACATCAATCATAAAACGAGTAAATAAACAATATACAAAGGTCGATTTAACTGAGAGAACATATTTTAGTGGATCGCTCAACCGATTGACACGAAAGATGTCTTGGATGCGAACAGAGATTCTTCATCAGAGAATGAATTATTCGTTGAACTGTACAAACAAAAAACCAGGTATTGTCATTCTTTATCAAGTTTCATTCGTTATGTATGATTCGACATATTTCTTTTAAAAAAAAGGCAAAAGGACATGCAGCGACAATTGGACAAGATAACTACTCTACTTCGATTAATTGTACAAAAAATGGAGATTAATACTGAAATTGAACTTGACGATCGATCGAAATGTGATCAACCAAAAGAATGCATGAATATTCAAAAACTTCGACAGGCCATCAATGTCAAAAATCGATTTTCGCGTCTACGTTCTTTCGCAGACACTCACAATTAATTCTATTCTGAACAAACTCTCATGTATATGATACTAAATGTTCTCGTCCGAGTTAATTTTGCATTGTAAAAAAGAAACACATACTAGCGTTGCTTATCAAGTATCATTTCGAATACAGTCCACATGTTTTAGAATGTGAATGAACAACAATGTGTTTTTCATCTATAGCAGTGCATCAGAGTAATAATATTAATTGAGATGTTCCACTTGACATCTCACTATTTAAGAATCATCTGATAAATTCTCTGTCAGGAACAATGTTAAGTAAGAAGATATAAGCCAGGTCGATAGAGTTCACGAGAAGATTCGCTGTTATGTCGACATAGATAGTTTCTCATGAGTATGATATCAATAGTCACTCACATTTTGGATATTCCTTAGAAAACAAAATACTATCAATCGCATCGATGCTCCTGTTGCTTATCATTGCATATTATTTATAGCTATTATATGTGCACTTTGCAATCCTTTGTTTGAAAGGGAAAATAGAGTTCCATATGAGTTCCTTCAGGAGTTAATGCATATCTTCACACAATTGTTGACAATTAGAAAGAAAAAAAAAGAGCTTCGTGTGACATTTCTTGTCTATTTCCCATGGTGAATAAATGACATTCAATGAATAAAACTCAAAACGATGAAACTATGACTAGTCCCATTCTTTTTTTGTTATTTAATATCTGAAACAATATTATCATAATATACTAACATTCATGAAAAGCATATCGTCGATGACATTTCTTTCCAACTGTCAAAATTGAACGACAATGTGTTCTGCAAGTATTGATACGAGGTAAGTTTGTTTATCTATGCAGAAACGAACACCATTCAATACTTAGTTTTGTCTTTTTAACTAGTATCGAGAAATCTTCGGAGTATTTGAATACTACTGAACATTCTCAGCAGGAACTACCGGCAAAGTTTCGACATTTATTTCGACGTTTACCAAAAGATCGACTTCTCAAATTTACGAAACAATTACCACACTTCAAGCCACCTTTGAATAAAACAACTGAATCAATCGAGACAACGACAATAATCACGGCAGGAAACGATGAAGCTACACATAATATATGTCTAGTTTCTGATAGTCCACATTATGTTGTTCGAGTAAGAGCAGCAGTGTTTTATTTCTTATCATCTGAAAATCGGTAAGATGGCAACACATCTAAGAGCAAAATGTCGGAGAAAAAAGCCGAAGAAGATAACGTCGAAGAATGAGGATATCAGTTTGGTAAAATCTCCGAAATAGAACATATCGTTTCTAAATGTTAATTGTGTTTTGATCGTTTGTTAGCGCGCATAAAACTCAAGTATAAGATGAGAATTGTTTTATGAAGGTCTAGACACTTCGAATTACTCTTTTATTTTGTTTCTATGAACCTCTTTTGTCTCTCACTTTACTTTTCAATTACAGCTCTTGATGTTTTGCCATCTGTTGTTTTCTTTGTCATATTAGATCGCCGGGACAGGCAATGTACAAGAATTTGAAAAATACATTTCGGAAGATCCATCAAAACTAACTGTTTTCAATCCTACTGGCCTTTGTGCAGCACACAATGCTGCTGCACGTAACAAAGTTGCGATTTTAACTTTGGTCGCTCAATATCAAGGCGGTAAGATTAACATATTGATTGAACAAGTTTAGAAGAACGAGAAAGAACACAGTTGAACTTTAAATCTTGGGAGAAATGTGTTGTTACAACACAAACAAGGCGTTACTTTTCTGCACTTCCGATGCTAGATTATTCATTAGATTGTAAACTATTTCACTACATGTAATAAAATGACAGTGATTATTTAGATCTGAATATTGAAGACAAAAATGGTTGGACTCCGTTACATCACGCTGTCCGCAACAATGCCTTGGCTGCTATTGAATTTCTTCTGGAACATCTAGTCGACGATTCGAAGTTGAACAAACAACAAGAAGCAGCTATTCATACAGGTGTTATACACAATCAACTCAATGCTCTCAAAGTACGTTCAAAGAACGGACGAAATAACTTCTTTTGGTCATTCCTTGATTGAGACGAAATTATATTTATGAATATGATAACTTGTTTCAATACATTTCTTCCTTTTATGTAGCTTCTTATCTCTAAAAGGCCTCATCTGGTTGACTTACCAGGTGAAAGAAAGAAAACGCCACTTCATTATGCTGCACTAATTGACAATGTCGATGCTGCCAAAATCCTGGTCAGTTATTATTTGATTTCATCTTTGAATCTTTACACAGCATTTTGATCATAATAGACAAATAATCACGCTAATATATACATAAAGAGTGAAGTGGGCAGCTATCCTGTTCACGTTGCTGCACTGAATAGCAGCAACCGTGTTTTTAATCATCTGTTTGAAACAGGTAAATGAATTCATTTTCATTCAGCCTACTTTACTTTACTTTTCATTCTAGCGAAATTGATGGAGAATGGTACAACCGAGCTATTGAATATCTGTGACGCTGAAAACCACCGACCATTACATTCATCAGTTATAGGTATTCACACTTTTCCTTAAGTAATCATCAAAAACTAACATTCTTGTCTTCTAAAAACCCAGGGGGTAATACTGAAGCCGTGGAAATTTGTTTGAATAATGGTGGCTCTATCGATGATCAACAAGACGATTTATCTACACCAGTTCATCTAGCAGCTTCACAAGGATCTATAGAGCTCACCAAGCTAATGTTTACTTGTCAGCCACAACTTGTGCCAAAAGTTATTCGTATGACCGATGTCCAAGGCATGACATCGTTACACAAGTGAGTGCCACACTGTCATTTTCTTATTGAACCGTCTTTTCTATAGAGCGGCTATGGGTGATCATCTAGACGTCATAGAATACCTGTTGGAATCAGTGAGATACCTACACTCATCCTTATGTGTAATTGAATCATTCTATAACAGGGATCTGACATCGACGCTCGAGACGTTTCAAAACGAACACCACTCATTCTTGCTGCTCTCAACTCTTCTGTCCATGCTGTCTGTTTCCTCCTTTCTAAAAATGCATCCTTGTCTTATCGAGATGATGCTGATCGAAACCTTCTTCATGTCACCATCATGCAGAACCTTCCTATCGACACCATCGGCACTGCTCTCTTCAAACGTGACAACTATCGCATCCTCTTCGATCAACGTGACACCGACGGATTCTACCCCATTCACTATGCATCTCGCGATGGACTCGTCAATGTTCNTCGCAATCGACCCTGTATGTGCGTATGAATAGAGGAGGTCTGCCTTTTCTTCTTTTTCTTTCGCAATTGCCTTGAACAAACAGACAAGCGGCTGCTGTCGCCGCCGCTTCGTTGAATGTTATTAACCTTGGAAGAGCAACATTCGTCCGACTCTTGGTCCTCTACAGAAATCGTTCTTTTTTCTCACATGCAGCACATTGTACGTTCAATACTGTTCAAATCAATCTAGAAAACGAGAAAAATATTTCCATTGAAAGTCAATATGAAATTTTCATGACGCATTTCATTTGTTTATCAGCAAGGGAAAAAACAAATGTGAAAAGCGAACCAACTATATCATAACAATAACAATAGATGCTCAATGGTTCAATTTTGACGACGAATGTAGCGCTCCTCGATAGATCTGATTGGTTGATTGCAGTAAACCAATTAGAAAATAAGGGCCTGTTTATTTATTTATTTTATTTTTTGACTGGTACTGCATCTTCTTGTATTCACTACTTACCTACTCACATTGAAATCTCATCTTGATTGATATTACAACATGGCTGATGCGCTTAGTCTACTGCGACAATTTACAATCGAAAACAAAGAGTATACAATCGACGGTGATCGATTTGTTTTCAATGATCTTGCGTATCCAAAAGATGTTAAAACAAATTATCTTGTTTATGGGTATATTCATTTACCAATGGGTTTTTCCTACACGCATGTTTTCATTTTAGTACTGGAAAAGACAACACACCCAAAGATTATTATACTCTTGAAAGTATTGTGTTCCTTTTGAAGAATGTTGACTTACAACATGCTAACTATGTCAAAAAAGCTGGCGTATGTAGTCGATCGACGAGGCGAATAAGTTGCTCAATGCATTGGTTTGTTTTTCTTTAGGAAAAAAATATTCCAGCTATTAGTCGTCCAGATCGTAAAGAGCTGCTCGCATATCTTACCGGTCAAACAACTACAGCGGATCGTATCGATAAGAATGCTTCATTGGAGATTTCTATGCAGCGGCCATTGCAAGGTAACTTGCCAGTTGATTGACAACTGAAAAGTCGATCTGTCTATGGAATATCTTCTTTTTTTCAGTGAACAAACGGCCTGCCGAAGATCCTCGCATGGATGCTGCTAAAATTCCTCGTGTTGAAGATGATGATATTGAAAAGATTAAAAATCGCCGAGAGAAGAAATTTGATGGCAAAAGCAAAGAATTAGCTGCTGATCAAATTCGTCCATTGTCCGGAGAACTGTCAACAGAAGCTATTCTTAAAATTCGAGCTAAATTTCGTGCGACAGCTCGTGATAAAATTGTCGATTTCAAAGAAAACGAAGATACGCCAGAGCCAAGCACCGAACCAGTATCAATCACAGCAGATACATTTGAAATTATGAAACGTGAACGAACGTGGAGAAATCGTTCGACGGTTTTGCAAAGTTCGAACAAAGTAAAGATGAAAATTTTTCAATTCGGATTCCAACTGAACATTTGATTTCCATAGAATTTCGCTAAAGATATTCTTTCCATATTGAATTCGATCAAAGCTAGAGAAGAAAGTGAACAAAAACAAGAAGCACTTGCTGCGCATGTATCACCAGTTCGTGATGTAAGGTGTTCCCAATCTTCAAATCTTCCTTTCCTAATGTATTCTCCTTTCTCTTCAGACAACTACACGTGCGCCTGTTGAAGGTTATTCTCGATATAATCAAGAGAAGTTCGTGCCCCGAGATGATTCGGAATTCAAAATCGATACACATGCTTCATATCACGGTTTAACATTGAAAACAGTGACTGAAGGTGCAACACCAAATAAACTTCTGGTAAGATCTTTCAGTTCCATATCGTTCACATTCTCCTTCTTCGTATGTTAGTCGGCAGCAAGTTCTTCAATACCCAAACCGCTCACTCCGGCTACTGACAAATTACAATCAACGAATGCAGATTCATCGAAACGTCCATCGCGAACACCAATCATAATTATTCCACCCGCGCTGACATCACTGATAACAAGATATAATTGTAAAGAATTACTTGAAGATATGAAGTAAATCTCATTAGAATATTCATACACGGAGAAAAACATGTAATTTTATTATTTAGATACATCTCAACTGAAGAAGGTAAAGCCAGTGGAACGAAACGTGATGGAGACATATTAATACAACGTAAAAAGGGAAATTTAACAGTGCCCTATCGAATCACTGATGATCCACTTCGATTAACGAAGCAAGATTGGTAGGCGATTTGGTTAATAAGAACACATTGAAGTATATTTATGTTTTATGTAACATAGGGATGAACGTGTGGTCGCTGTATTTGCACAAGGTCCAGCTTGGCAATTCAAAGGCTGGCCATGGGGAGGCAATCCAGTAGAAATCTTTCAAAAAAGTATGTTGACAATTTCTTTGAAAAGGAAATGTCTCATTTGATGCTTAATTAGTTAAAGCATACCACATCAAATGGGGACAATTGAAAACAGATGCAAATATTGCAAAATGGTCAGTACATCTCATTGAATTGGATCAAAACAAACGTCATCTTGACTGTGCTCGTCTGCGAACGTTTTGGGATTCTCTTGATCAGTATGTTTCATTCAAGTGAAACTCATCAATCGATTAAAATCTCCTTTTCTAATTTAGATTCATTGCAAAGAATAAGTCTACATTGAGGTATTAAAATAATGAGAGTGGAAGTCATTCGCAATGGACAATTGAATTCGATTGATGTGTTTATTGATATTGTTGTTTTTTTTATATTATCAAATCCTACGAAGTTTTTCTTTCTGTTCTTATTGTATATCTAATAAAACACCTGTGGAAATACCACCTCATTGTGATAATCCGTTTTCATCGATTAGTCATTCGTTGAAAACAAAACATATCACTGCGAAATTGGATTATGTTCTACATGAAGATCTTGTTAATCCTTGGAGATAGACTTGTCATTGATTGGAACACTAATTAAGTTATTCGAAAAGTGAAATTCTCATGAGATGGTTTAATATGTGTACTTCGCGATTGTGATTCTGATGATCAAAACAGAAGAGAGAAGAAAAATGATGTTTCAAGTATATCAACTGTCTAATCATAGTACAAAATTTGTCATTAGAATTTGCTTCTTTTCTGATGGATTACCAAGATAAAAAAAAACATATCTGATAACGTCGGGATCTTCGTGAATGATAATTCTGTAGTTTTATATGTTAGACAAAAGAGAAAAATAATCAATTGTGTTTCCAACTAATTGTAAACAGCTCTGATTAAACCATTGGGATTTTTATTACATTTTTAAAAGTAAATGTATACACAAGTTTTAAAAGAAGAAGACACAACAATTAAATAGCGATCTTTCAAATCGCAGTCGATGAAAGTATGTTGATTGAATGCATCAATTGTTCGTTCTAAAGATGAAACAATTCAATAATGACCAATAGAAGTTCTTTACATACACATAGACAATATTTCTCAAAATCTTCAAAATTGATAGTGCCAGCATGTTGAAAATCAAGTTTCTACACGATACTAAATAGGAAAAGTAGGTTATTTGAAAGAATTTTACTTCGAATAGCATAGCTGAATGTTTTGCAAGGGTGTCTTCAGTAACCGGTTGGTGAATATAACTATTAGGTCCAAGAAGATTATACAATGAACGAAGGATTGTTTCAAATGTCTAACGAATAGCAAAGAATGTCAATAATGAATATCTGAAATCAACTTTACATACTTGTTTCGTTAACTTTCCATCATCTGATATATCATAGAAGCGAAAGATCCATTGCAGTTTTTCTTTGATAGTGCCACGAATCAGTACTGATAATGTTTGAACATAATCCTAAAAGTATAGATAGAATAGCATGTTTTCGATCGTTCTTTCATTTGTTTTTGATTGACACTTCGAATATAAATGATTTATAAGATGAGAAGTACCGATGTTATCTCGAGTTCCCGTCGGTACTATTGATGAAGAGAAGAAAAGTACTCGGTTGGAGAGTAATCTTACTTCAAAGGTGAAATACGTTCGTTTTCGGCGATCCAAAAGACGAAACAGAAAACGCGTATAATGTTGACAATCACCATGTGGAAAAAAATGTGAATAAATTGATTGAAATTCACGTTCAGTCACTGCACCACTTGGACATTCCTATCAAAAGATAAACACATGCTTCAAAAGAGATCTTTTCATCCAACACTGTCGAATTATACTTGTTTGAAACCTTTGTAGAGCAATCGTATTTCTGATTTGTTGAATTTTGTTGTTCGTACAACATCTTCTAAACTTTTTGGTACTTTACGTATTTCACTAGGAAAAATTGATATTGGATCATCATCATTCGCTAAAATAAACATCAAATGTTCATCGAAGAGATTATTAGTCAATAGTATTGTATGAACGTTTGTCTGTAGATTACATCAGAAATGTTATTATCAATGTCCTTCTGATATTTTCATACTTTCACGATCGTTTTCTTTCGGTTTATGCACTATTCAGACTGACAATAACAGCTGGTTCGTATCTTCTCTGCAATGTTTATATGAAAGACAAGTTCTGGCATGTCAATACACAATTTTCGCGTACTTAATATTGTCTCGCAAAGACAGAAGACAATCTTTGGTTTTTATTAATGTACTAAAGACTTCTTATCTATGCTCTTAGGCTTTGATTATTACTTATTAGGCGAATATTAGGGTCCGTCTATGCGGTAATAAATCTCGATATCAACATGGTGATTAACGTCTTACGGATTAGAAGAAAGAAAAGGAAAGTGAGAGAAAACTTGAGGTTAGTTAAAACACTTACATGAAAAAGATTCCATCAGTATTCCTTTCTACTTGATTGATATTTGAAATTCTCGGTTCGAATTATCCGACGATCTTCTAAGTGTTTCACGAAATCTATTGCTATAACATCTTGAGTTTGCACACGCACATTGATCGATAGAATTGGTTTTTTTTTGAAAGATAAGCGAAGTTTTTATGTAGTATTTACAACGGGAATCTGATGCGCTATGCGATTAAATACGTGAGTACACAGTTATATAGATTGCTTTGTTGTTAGATGAGTTTTCTTTTTATTGTTTGATATATCGTCTTCTAACACCCAGTAAGTAAACACGACGGAAAATGAAGACGCAGAGAGAATCTTGAATGGAGAAAGACACGCAGAAGGAGAGATAGAAAGAAAAAAAGAATCTTTGTTTTTCATTATATTATGAAAGCGGACATGAGGGAGGAGCCGTACAACAAGCGCACGCGAGACCATATACTATAGAATAATAGAAATAGCAGGAAATAACAGCAAGAGTCAAGCATTTCTAGTCAGATTCATTATTTCAAGAACCCCTTTCACCCGAACTAACGAAAAAGAGGCTTTTCATCGATCTTCTATCCATCGTCTTCAATACTCGTTCGTATTTCATTAATTGTACAAAAAAACCGGTTGTTACTTACAATAATGTTGTAGACGTTTCATGCTTTGATAACTGACTAGTTCAATTTTCTCTTTTCGTCGCTAAACGACCGACTACAATGAACTTTATTGAACGTGTTAAACCAGGCGTTGACTAACTCTTTGAGATGCCAGTCGCTCACATCAAACTGAATAAATGATCATTCTGTTAAGAGAAATAATTGTGACAAAGAAAACAAGTATTAACGAGACTTTGAAAGAGAAAAAAAAGCGAAAAACTTGGAATATGACAAGCATTTTTCCTCGCATGGCGACTAAAGCCGTGCACTATATAGTTTTAGTTAACCAGGCAAGCAGCGTACTCATCATGAAGAACAGAAAAGAGAGGCACTTCAACACTTCCGTTTGACATGCGAATTATAATTTTGACAAGGGAAGAATGTTGGAACTTTCATTATTAGTTTGATTATTAAGTCGCATACTTTACTTTAGTTTATAATTTTCATTAATAGAAATAAATAAAAATTAACTATGACAGACAGTTCGACAGATAATATTACTCGGGGGAATTCTGCTCGTGAAGACATTCAGGGCGGCAAAAAAAAACAAAATAAATTACAGCGGAAGTCACACAAATTATCTGACCGTATTTAAAGAATATGAAAACAATCAAAACGATGACGATTGCATTCCATATGAGATTTGATTGAAATAGTAATCTGAACGTGCCGTCGGTGGCGGAATGACATTTACCAGCGAATCCATTTCTATCAAGGTTGCGTTTGAATGGAGTAGTTTGGGTTGTTTACACTTCATTGGACGATTCAAGCTCCAAGGTTTTATTTGATTGTTATATATGCTTATGTCGTGTGCATGTTTGTCTTTCTTCATTTGATTTTTTCTGCTCAACTAACTTTTTCCGATTCTACCTGGATACTTTCAGAAGATTTTTTAATGAGCTTCACTATGTTTCTAAACATGATGGTACGATTCTCTCATGTTTCATCTGTTCTCAAGGGTTGTACTCGATAAAGATGAAGTAGATGTTGGTCTCATGGGAACATTTAGATTACTGTCACATTAATAGAATTGGATCCGAGAAATTGATATTTCCAAATGTTTTTCTATTTTCCATACAACACACTCAAGTCAACATGACCATTGATGTACTCTGTCGTCTTCTGTTAGGAAATGGATTCAAATTTTGACGTTCATCGAGTGAATACGAAAGAAAATTACTTTTTACTTTCGGCTTTTCACTACGAAATAGTAGAAAAACTCGAATTTATTTGTAAATCACACATTTCATTCACATAACTGCGTATCATTGTCAACACGCTCTTCCGTTGTGTAAACGATGAAATACGCAATTTCATATTACTATTTATATCGCGGAAATGAAGTTTAGAATTACATTTATGTGGTCTAGTAGTAGTCTTTATCGGCAATTCTTGCTCCTAATAGCCGAAAAGTCAGAAACTGTCTTACATTCTAATACCAATCAACTTTCAAAAAAATATGGCATTGTAATATTTAATAATTAATACTGAATAGAGATCAAAATTTGATGAATGATATAGATTGACGGGAAAAATCGATTGTCGACTCTCGAGTAGAACACTCATGCTTATGAATAGGTGATTACTTGGAAATAAGAACAGCGAAGGTTATAGTTTTGCAGATGAATTCATTCAAACGACAAATTCTCTTCAAACACGTCAATCATCGTCACTGCTGATTATGTTTGTTAGTAGTTCACACGAAAAAAATGCTCTATTTGTGAAAGGTTATTATATGTGGTAAATAATTAAGTTTAGATTTAATTTCCTTTTTTAAGATAATGTTGATTTTGTGCACAAAGTCAGGCAAAATCTGTTCGCATGTTATAGTAATCATTTGTTACATTAAACTTAGTGTAACAAGCAGTTGCAGAGAATTGCTTTGTCTGTTCGAAATATATAACATCGTATTTTCTGTCGAATTAATATATGTTGATCAAAGTGCGTTTTGATGCACAAATTGCTCGCAAAACCGAAAAATGTGAAAATAATGCTAATAGAAATATGGATAAAGGAACTAAAACCGATAGCTGGTCGCACAATTTTCAGATACATGATTATCCGGTATCGTCTCTGACGAAAATAGAAAATTTGAAGTTAACCGAAATATATATATACAAATTTCACGTATTTATTTGTAGTTTTTAGAAGATTGATTAATATCTATGTAATTGAATGATCATTAGTCGATAGTATCTGTAGAGTTTCTGGTGTAATCGAAATTAATCACAGTTTTTTGCTCATTTCTCTTCGCTTGTAATCAATATGCGTTGTTGTATACACAATTCGAAACATAGATAAGCATAAAAGCAATGAACAAAAACTCAAACTAGTCGAGAATTCCCAGGTACATGTAGATTCAAACAAGAGATCTAAGAAAGAACCAGACAAGATCATATCCACAAGAACACGTATCAATCGCACATATCGAGATAATCTCTGCGAGACGATTTTCTTTGTCGTTATTCAATTCATATTGTTTTTCATAGATCAAAGAAATATCGGCTTTACAAAAAGTTTTCTTCAGATTCGATTATTTTGCATTCACAATGCATTCTACGGACAACTGTCAACTAATTAGTAGATTGCTAGGTAAAAGAAAACGGTCGTTTCAGGACAGAAAATAACAATTTCAATCCAATATAAATGCATATTACTAGTTGTAAAAAGTGTTCTTTTATTTATATGGAGAAGGAAAATGAAAAAATGTCCGTAAACTACTACTTGGATATCTCTCAAACATAAAAGAATGATCATAATAACAAAGTTAAGGATAGGATACATTGTATGAAAGTTCAAATTCTTGTGAAAGTGGTTTCGGCGGGTCAGGTATCAAGAAATCTTCTGGATTTTCAACATATCGACCACTCTTTCTCATTGAAGCCATAATATTTCCAATGGCATCTGAAAATTTGATTGGTTCAATGCCTAGATCACGAATGGTAGGTAAGCCAGGTGTAAATGTGTCCGAAACATAAGCCTGTAATGATTCGTTCGGTTTAAGAAAGTAGAACAAGATTGAAGAGAACTTACGCATTGCATACGATCGATATTGTAAAGACTTTTATGAAAGAAGTAATTTCCTATTGCTTTCACACTAAAATATAAGCATAGAAATCGTTTCATTTGAACAAAAACTCGCTTACAAAACGTCGGGTGTCAGTGGTGTAATAACACTTTTCCGACGCATGTATCGGAGGCAGTATTCGATTAATTCTCGTAATTGATAACGTTCAGGTCTATTAAAATAAAGAGAATAGTAGCTGTATTCGAGCTCGACTCTCCTTTTTTTTACCCATAAATCTCATAGGTTTGTCCAATACTCATTGGTTCTCGAATAGCTGCATAGATTGCGTTAGAAACATCGCTTACCTAAGACGTTTTCAGAACCAACAATCATATTAAATGAACATTGCAATGAATCACTTACATATATAGGTGCTTTAATAGTTTTTTCTCCTGATGCATAGAGTGGGACTCGTAGAAACGATGACGGTCGAACCCCTTAAATGGAAAGATACTTTTTCACGAAGATATATCTCAGACAATCTTACATCGAGAGAAATGATATGCAATAAATCCATCATTATATTGATTTCCAAAAATAGCTGATGGTCGAAAGATTGTTGCATCAGGAAATTCCTCACGCACAGCTAATTCACCAGCATACTTAAAACAGTGAGAATTCGTTGACTTATGTTTTCTTTTTTACTTCAATAGTAAATCTTACTTTCGATTGAAGAAATCGCGATGGTTTGCGAATAATAATCGCTGGCGGATTGGGACTAGCATTTAAAGCTGAAAAGTGAATCAATCGTTGTACACCGCATTCACGTGCCAATCGCGCTATAGATCGCGCTACTTTAACATGAACATCATCGTACGAAAAGTTTCTATTGAAAGAATGAATGCACATTAATGGAAAAATGACGATCAAAATCGATTTACCGAGTTTCACTTTGACGTCCAATTAGATTGATAACGACATTTGAGTGTTCCAGAGCACGACGAATTGATGCCTCGTCTTTTCCATGAAATGGCTAAAAAATAGTCCCGTCAAATATGTCAATTATCCAAACAAAGTAAAATCTATGTCATGTCAGATCTATCTTCCCACTCATGCGCACTTAATAAGAGTTGAATCAGTATATGTCTGCCTATATTTTGATTCGGAGGTTTTTAGATGTGTCATATGATACTTGAATATAAGAACCTCTATGAGGAAAAGACATTCGATTCAGGACTAGATATTACATACTGTAAATAGAATTTGACCAAGATCACCGAGGACACGGAGTTCTCGTAAACCATACACATCACCACGATAGGGAACAATTACTTGCGAACCTTCTTTTGCTGTTAAAAAAAAGGAAATTAAGAGAAAACGATGATTTGAAAAAGAATTTCGTTTGTGCGGTACCGAGTCGATTCACTGTTACACCACCAACAAACCCTTGTGCGCCAAAAACTGTTGCAACAATTCCACTGAAACTTGCTCGACCACCACTGCCACGTCTCATATCAGTTAAACGAAGTGACTTGACTTCATTCAAGCCCATGTTAATGGGTAAATTATCTCCGACAAATGTCACCGATGTTGCTGGCTTTGCCGATCGCAGTGATGCATCGTTGGATGCATAGGCACAGTCGATATGTAATGTGACTGCACGTAATTTCACAAGTGAACGTTTACTCGTTTGTAAAGCCACCGTGGACATAATCTACCGAAAAAAAGAAAAATGCAGATCTTCAATCTCTCGTCTTTTTCTTCCCAAAATAACCTTTACTGTATATCCATTTTGTTTTATATAATCAAGAAAACAAAACACAATAAAATCATACGACTGTACAGTGGAATGTTAATGGGTTCTGAAGAACAACACAAATTCCCTAACCAAAAAAACAAAACAAAACAAAAATAAAATAAAACGAGTTCATTCGATGAGTTACACACCAACGTTTAAAAAATAGCGTCACTACCGGGATCGTTTGTATTTCTCTCTTTTTTTTAAAGTTTTTTTTTCTCAAAAATATACATACTCCTTGCAAAGGAGTCATCTTTGGTTAAAACAATACAAAGAAAAATAGTATTAGAGACCGTAAACACGCGCACACACACTATTACGTAAAGATCATTTAAGAAAATAAAGTATTATTTCAAATACGAGGTCTGTTTTTTCTCACACCAATATAAATTTATATCTGTAAGGAAGATAAACGAATGAAGAATACCTAACAATCGACAACCAATGAAAAAGAAAAACAAACGAGATGAAAATAGAAAAAAAAAGTAACGGATCATGATGCTGAGGATTGCAACGTTCTAGCGTATTCGCTCAATGCTTGATACACAAACTGATATTGATCATTCGTTTGAATCATTCCACCACGATCTCGACGTAAATCACAAAGTATGCGAACAAAGTCAACAATATGTTCGTTATCGAGTTGCTTAATACCATTGCTCAATGCAATAAAACATCCGGTTCGTCCAATACCAGCACTAAAATAAGCAAACAAAGATTTGTTTTACTTCCGAAGTTCTACGTCGTGGTAATTTTGAATAATTAAAATTTATTACGTCGAAACATGCTATCAATTATTTCTGTTCTTCTAGCGTGATCTTTTCATCGTATCAACCTACGCGCGTCTCAACACATTAGAGATATAAATATACAAAACTAAAAAAGATAAGTAGATAGACATGCAAGGCCAACGATTTAATTATGTATTAACACAACGGATCGAATAATAAATGAGAAGGTCGCTTTGTTTCATGCTACTTATTGTGATCGCAGAAGACCTATGCCACACTTCTAACTAAGTCTATGGCGTCATTCTTTTTCCAAATGTGAACAAAAGAACAAATATATACCTGCAGTGAACAACCACCGGACCAACAGCTTTATTCGTATTATTCAACTCGATTCGACTCATTTCCACTTTTTTCACAAGTTCAATTAAGGGGTGTGTGACATCCGGACAGGATTGATCAGGCCATGCTATTCAAAAGAATCAAATATTAAATATCTCCCACACCTTTCGATTGTTCTTTTTTGTTCTTACCGGTATACCAATAGTGTTCGACTTCACGTTGCTCATTTTCGAACTAAAATCAAAATAGTCATATGATCGTTTTCAAGGACAAAAGAATCTCCTACTTCAATTATTAAACGACGTATTTCATAATCTGATTGATGAGAAACTGATTTGACATGGACTTGAAACGGTCCGTACTGATTACTTCGTGAATCTGGAAGATATCTTTCACATTTGGCCTAAATGCCGCATTTCAGTTTCGTATCAACTTCGCTCGAATTCGTCCTACTTTATTTTTTTCGAATAAACGCGTAATCATCACCACAACTGGCACATGTTCCTGCCAGATCATTCGATAGAAATCAATGATTGTATTTGCAAGTGGACCTTGTGTGGCAATAAATGTACGAGATTCATCGGGAAAACCTTTCACATAATTGGCATTGATATAGGAGGAAAGTGGATCACCAGATAATTCGGGTAGTTTCACTCGAGAATGTTCATCTGTTGAAAAGAATCAGATGAAAATAAGCGATTTATTGTTGAAAGTAATCTTACTAGCAATGATTGTTCCGTAACGATTCTTTGTACCAGCACCACAGATTCGGAGTTTTTCGAGATGATTTGTTGGAATTGTCTAGATTCAGATGCAGAATACAATTAAACATTTGTTGATTGCCTTTTGAAATAACATACCCAAAATTCATGGTAAAGCGAACGAGCATCCTGTGCATGTTTATGTAGTTCATCAATCGTTAGTTTTCGTGTGGCGGTCAATAGATATTCATCCGGAGGACTAAAATGGAAATAGTATCGGTTAAAAATTGATTTTTCCACTAGAATACGAACTTACCAATCAGCTGGCGGACTATTGATGAGACGATGTTTTGGAGCGATGGATATTGTCAATGAATTATTCGAACCACGCCTAAATGAACAAATATGCTTTTCATCAGACTTGTGAAGACGTCAAAAAGTAAAATCGAGTTGGCTCCATGGGGGTTTCTCAGACTGCTACGTTGCAGTCATGACCCGTCTAATTTGATTTGCTTTGACAGCGGAAATATACATGTTTATTTCCTGTTAATGTTCTTTCCAAAAAAAACGATCTTTATTTTAATTTTAGAAAGTGGCAATCGCTCGGTTAAGTTTAGAAAATGATTAGCAAATATCGTACCTTCTTTTAAATAACAACGATGCTGGTTTACTCCAATATGAACAACATATAGTTGGTGATTCGACTTCCATTAGATGTATATTATAATCCGTCGGTTATATTTAATGAAATCTTAGAATACGAGTCGGATTTATAAGGACAAAAAAAGTGTTGAATTGTTGCTGTCATCGCGAGCATATTTGAAATGTTCTAATTACTCATATCTAACTCGAATTCGAAAGAAAAATAGAAGTCAAAGATTTCCAGATATGATAATCTAAACATACTCCCTCATTAATGCTATGAAAGAAAGCAAATGTAAAAAAAGAAACAGTGACGTTTTTGTGTTTCTTTCTTTTTCTTCTCGCCCCTTTCTCTTTCTTTCCCTGCGCCTCTGCTTTGCTATGGTTTTCCATTCTTATTCATTACATGAGTATTCTGAAAGAAAAAGAAAACGAGACTTTCGCGCACTCTATTTGTCATCGTAACTCTTCTCCTCTTCATTTTAATGATTAATATTTCTTTAAATACTGAATAATTGAACTTTAATCTGACAAGCATACTGCAAAGAAGTTTATCTCTTATCTGCACATCGTTATAATAATTCAAAAGCTATAGAACATCCTTCTACCTCCTCTTTTTTTATCCTCTTGCGCATTTTTTCTCTATTACCTTCAGGCAACAAAAATAACCACCTACGTTCAAGAAGAAAAAAAAAACTCTTTATATTTAATAACTTTTTTCAAGTGTATCTTTTTTTTCTATTACTTCTATTTGCAGAATTTCTTTTTCAAGTCTATTTTTTCAGATAAATAATCGAATTTTGTTTGTCGTTTTCCCTTGACTATGTTCAATGTTCTACGTCAAGCGAGAAGAATGTGTAAGTAATCAATGGTAGGCGTAAGCAGAAAAACACCTACCGCGATACATACATCATAAGTAAAAACAAAAGAGAAAAAAATCATGTCCGCCTCCGTGCGCACCTATCGGTTTGTACACATAACGTAGACGCATATTTTTCATCGCCATCTAATTTCGCAGCTGCTCGATGATTCTCATCGAACGCCTCCGCTCAGTGTTTTTTTTCATTAACAGTCCGAAGGACAAAAGTCGCGAGAAACGAAACAAGTTACCTTTCGAGCAAATTTTTCTTTCGAAACTTTTTCGTTGCTGCAGCTACCGATGATGACGATGAACCAGCTGTTGAATATGCATCGGTATTGAATGTATCTGTCAGGTTCTCATTCTTTTCGATTGTTGGAAGGATTAACGATGGCGAACCAGGCTGAACTAGTTTCGGTACGATTGGAAATAGTTTGATTTCTTTTGGTCTTGGTGTCTTGACATTGATTGCATTCGTTGAAAATGCTGTTAGTTCCGATGGTTGAGATTTGAGTTTCGATGTTTTCTGTTGTTTCGAACACCAAAAGACCTATTGATAATACATTGCTTTCAAATGAATAACACGCAGAACAACGAGCAATACTTACCACTGCTAGAAAGGTGACAAGTGCTGCTATTACAACGGTTCCAACTGATAAGTAGACCAAATTTTTCGTCCAAAACAAAGCGGACCCAATATCATTTTCGGTATTCGACTGTAAACGAAGAGAAAAAAAAACAAGTATGAATTGATTTTATCAGTCAGTGTAATGATCTACCTCACTGAACATGCATTCAGTTGACAGCTGTCATTAACAGATATGATTTCTTTTCTTGCCTTCTATTTGACATCAACACTTCTCTTTTCATCAATGTAAGATCATCTTTCAAAATAACAACAGACAGCCTACTCATCATTTCTTCTTTTTTTTCTTCTTCTTTCAAAAAAAGAGAAGATAGACATGAATGTCGAGCTTTCTATCCTCATTCTTCTCCTTTCAATGAACCATACACATTAACAGCACTTATATTGTTCCATTCTATCTTTTTTGTCTCTTCTTCGTCTATAGATGCTCGAAATAGATCGAAGAAGGAGAAGAAAGCAGTAGCAGCGATAGCGTTGAAAACGCACTTATTATTTAAGAAGCATTTCATCAAGAAAATATGTGATCGAATATAGCAATAATTTGAACCCACGCATGCAAAAGGAACTGCTGCCAATAAAAGAAAGATGCGCAGTAAGAGAAGTATATATATATATATAGATGCGCATAACGAGCCAAGTGTTTGCCATTGTGGTAGCAAAATAAGAGTATAAATAATGTTCGAAATAAAAAGAAACTTACATTGACTAAGAAATTCTCTCTAGACAATAAAAGAAAGAAAAACATTACAGATTTTTCATCATGTCTACCGGAACCAAAATATCTCATTATTTTCAACTCTTCGCATTGTGTCAACATGTTTGTCAAAGAAACAAATTGACGACAACATTATCGTTATTTCCTCAATTATTTCAACATGTTTAGGTTTGAATTTCATACTTACTTGATCGCGTACAATCAATGTCATGGTGACATTGACAAAATAACTTGAACTTCGGCTTACTAAACTTGTATTCAAAATTCTCGAGTTTTTGATCGATTCACTGCTTTTATTTAAGATCTAATCGACGGAAATACGATGAAATACGAGTGTGTGTGTGTGTGCATGCGTTTGTAGGGATAGGCAAAGAAAGAACAGAGTGGGTGGAGAAAGAAAGACATTGAAAATGGGATTAGGAGACCGAATGGAGCTTCCAGCACGCACAGAGAACGAGAACGAATACGAGAGATAATTGAAATGTGAATAACGGGGAAAAAAACACTGATCCGGTCGAACAAATCATCACGCTCCTAACGGTTGCCAATATTAGTATTCGATCGTATGTTTTCTCAGCATCCCAATCCCCCCCGAAGTAGACAAAAAAAGAACTGCGCAAATAAAAATTCGTTCCATCCTCACCTGCTGATTTTCTTGCCAATTGAATATTCGTTTTTCTACTGATGATTTCGTTGTGATCATATTCACTCACAAAACAAATCAATGTTTTTCTTGTCAATTCTAAAGATGAGAAAAACAAAGCTCGAATTTCAAAAGAAATCAAGTGATCTCACCCGAAATAACAATAGGCCAATATTATCCCATTGAACATTCATCATAATAATTAATAGAATCTCATCTATCAAGAAAACAACAACAACAACAACGAAATGAAGAAAATCCAAACATATGAATATCTAACGAGAAAAATCACATCTGCTTTTTTTTTCTTTATGTCACAAGATCCTATTGAATGTGATTGTCTTTCACAAGAGTGCCTTGCAGACGCACAACCTTCTCTTTTTGACAGTATTAATCTGAAGAAAGAAAAAAAAACAGAAAGTTTTCATTTCCTTATGTTACATTAAATGAGTACATTACTACACAAACATTTATAAACAGAAGAAATCAAATTTGCCGAAGAAGTTATTTCTTTTGTTGTTAAACACGACTAGATGAAAAAGATTGTAGGAGGGATGATGACAAACAAGAAAACAAGATGAAATTTTTCGAAAAACAAGACAAATATACAATTGGAATGACGATGATGATAGGAATTGAGAAGAAGGAAGAAAACATAGCTCGATTTGCTAGTTCGAATATCAAGAAGAAGATGTTGTTGAATTGACAGTAGTTTGATCAGAAATAACAGATGACGGAGGTATGGGAGAAGATGATGATGGTGATAAAGACACATTTACTTGCGATGTGACATTTGTTGCTTGTAAATTGCTAGGTTTTCCCGTAATAGACTAAAATAAATAGTCTATCTTATTATCAAGTCATAATTATGGATAGAAGATAATGAAATACTTGCACAAATATTTAAAAGAAACTTTCTCGTTCTACTTCGCAATAAAAAATCTCAATGGTTATCTATAATTTTTTCATAACTCTATGAATACTTAATGTTGTCATTAACCGGACTAATCCTCTTTCAGATTCTTTGAACTTCATATCAAAGCTCTCTGAGCACCATGCACATGCATCACATATGAAAATCTATTCCTTTAGTTAATGAGATTGAAATTTGTCACTATAAATAGATGTATTTACATAAATAAAGCTACTTTCTTTTCTTGACATCATCACCGAGTAGTAAAGAAGTAAAGATATTTCATGACAGTAACAGATTGAAGATTAATGTATTTTATCGCGATTCAATGCATTGGCTTGGTCGTACTTTATGAACTCAATCATATTTATGTTCTCTCAAGAATATGGCGCTGACATATAATATGTTCCGCAGATTGAAATATCATTTTCATTAACACTTTCAAGTGTAAATAATATGTATGTTGCGTTCAATAAGATCTTTGTTTTTAGCATAGGTGGCAACTTTTCTCAATTAGGTCATTGCTAATTTTGCACTCGGTAATCTATTCTGTTAGAGAAAATATTTCTCTGAAAATATTGACATCTAGTGCACCTGGTCAAACATTCTATTCTGATGTGAGTGACGCAGATATTCCACGAACAAATTAGAAAAACAATCGATCGATTCCATTAGTCGAAGCTTAAGTCTTCAGAAGAGCAAAAGGAAACTTCGATGGTTTGCGAGGCAAACTCGGTTGTATTCAAACCAACGAACAAAACTCTAACTTTGATTTCCTAAGATAAATACATAGGAATACATATTGACATAGTCAATAAAAAATTCTTCTATATGGAGTAAACTGTGATATTCTCTCGTTCCTCCCACGAAATAAAGTTCGTCTTACTTTATATTGCATTATATGATTTCCTTAGTTACAGTAAGTAAAGAAAAATATCATAAATTGATCACTCATGTAAGAAATTAACTAAAATATTGACATAGAAACAGTATGGCTCGACACAAACCTCAGATATTTGCTTAGGTCGTTGAATGTTTTCATGTATAGCAAGAATCTCTTTCAAGCCGCGATTTTCAAGTAATAAAGCATGAATGCGTTCTTCTTGAGATGCACTATTTGTATCGTCGATATCGATAGCTCGTCGCATGACTGTTGCCATCTCATGAATCTTCGACGATTTGTCTTGAATATCCTAAAAAGAAAGACGAAGGACTTCAATTGTATCCAACAAACGTTCCCGATGAAAATATTTTTTGCACTAGACTAATCGCTGTTTGGAGGACGAAATCGATTGCATTTTACTACCTCGTCTAGTTTCCTCGATGTCAACATTAATTTTTGTTTATACCAACGAAAATAAGTCATGTATCCCGATGATAATTACAGATGAATAATTATTTCTTTTTCTCTCGTATGCACACGTACCTATTACTGATATTAGATGACGAAAATTACCTGGGCTAATGAAGCATTAAATAAATTTACAGCTTGGCTTTCTTCTTTATCCATTAAAATAAGTCGCTGAACATCCTGTCGATATTTGTACATAATCTTTTCAAGAACACTTCGATGTTCCGTAACTAATTGCTTCAATTCTTCATTTTCGCGTTGTAATTGTCTAATAATGAGTTACAGACAATCAAAAATAGATCATAAGAGAAACATTTCAGGTCTTTTACTTAATGAGACGATTTTCTTTTTGAATATTATACAGAATTGCTGTTTTGGGACGATGAGCGCTAATATCATTCAATTCCGCAAGATCATCACCATACTACAAAGTATACAAATCGAGTTGTGACGAAAACGAATAAAAGAACAAGAGAAGAGTATCTTTGCCTACCTGTTTCATACTGAGAATCCGTTCTTGAACATATTGTGCTTGATTTACAGCTGTGTCAGCTGTGGCATCATCACGACGTAAACGGGAGACAAGTTCACGCGCATTGGTTAATATCGTGTCAAGCGAGAGATTCATTGTGGATGTAGATTTGACAAACAGACACAATTAATTATGGAGAGGTCGAAACAAATTAACACATAAGAGTGGTGAATTTTTTCGAAGCAGTAAGAACAAGAAAAATATCTTGTTTGTTTATTTTGTTTTGTTTTTTAAGAATATCAATAGACGAAATCACCAATCAAACATCTTTCGTACACAAATTACCAACCAGTAACACATAAAACACTACGATTGTCTTCTGTAGTTCCGTTTTCGATCGTAGATTCGCAGCACTAAACCAACAAATTAATTGTATTCAAATTTGCGAACATCGAATTTGGATGATAGATGTCGCTGTTATTCTTCCTGAAAAATCTTAGAATTTCCAAAACATACTGGTTATTATTCAAATAACTCAACTTAATTCAATTTTTTACATTGAAATACTTATCCTCTTCATGATGGCTTCGTCTAGGTAATCATTTGACATACGTCATGGATAATGGCGATCGCATTCGGACAATTTTTATGAAGCGCACAGCATATTGTCTTCAACGAGATCATGTCTGCTGATTGTTCCTTACTTTGTTCCCTTCAATTATGGACTTTGAAGTATGCTGGTCTTCATGAGCGTGATATAAGTGTTCATAGTTACCAACAAAAGCCACCGCCAGTTAAATCTTCCATTCTTCCGTTCCTTCATTCCAATTCATCTTCAGCGACGGACAAAGCTCCAAAGAAAGCGACTTATTACGATGAATACAACGATTATTTCACTTCGCGTTCATTACCATTTCATCTTTCGAACAAAATCTTTCATAATCTACGCGACAAACTAATTGAATTCGATAATCTTCTTTCCACATTAAAACTTATTCGTACAATATGGCTGCGTTTCGACGTTATTTTTCTCGTCTTTTCTAACGGTACATTCGTTTTTCTTCACATCGATAAAATCAGTCGAACATTGAAAGATATATCCATCGACAAAACCACTTTAGCAAAAAAATTCCATATTACAGCAACCATCTCTGATCTCTATCTTAATTCTCATGGATTCTATGTTATCTATGAGACACTATCAAAAATTGACCTGGTTCGTTTCAACACTCCGATCCGTTCATTTGATTCAAAATTTAATCTTGCCAATGAATCCGTTCGACTAATCAGCGAAGAATTACCACCCTATTCAAGTACGATACCTGTTCGACGATGGTTTCACATCAATCATGATGCTCATACTATAACTGTTTGGTGGTCAATGTTAGCCGAAGGAATTTCAACGAATACTCATCTCGTCGATGGTGACCAGAAAAAATCCAGGTTCAATTGCTTGTCGATAGTCTTTTTACTAGAAAATGAAAAAGATCTGAAGGAGAAAATGTATTCTATTCAAACCGAAACATCAAATCCGTATTATTGTTCATCGACTTCATCGGGGTTGACAACAGTTGAAATGAATGAACATCTTGATAAGGTAAATCTTGTTTGGTTTTATGTAGAACAAATGCAACTAGCATTTTTCTTACTTCTCTAGAATGGCGTCGAACGTACGTTCGAATTAAGTATTTATTTCTATGAAAACTTCCGTTCGGTTCCTCTTCGACTTGTTCACATTACATCCTTGCCATCATCTATTCTATACGTTATTCGTTCGTCAAATTATACAATCGTTTCTTTGATTGATGGAACGTTACTTTCAATTGATGAAATCAATCATATTCAACGTTCGAAATCTTGTGCTTTATCACGAAATTTAACTGGTTTATGGTGGATCATTGATAATCTATTGTTTGCTATAGCTGACGAGCAAGGTTCGATAATCTTCTATGATATTGCATTGAATCCTATTTGGCCTGTTTTGTCTTCGTTTAAAAAATTAAATTTTCATCAATTACTGAATCTTGATCAGCATCTTATTGCAATCAATCAGTTACTCACACGAACTTCATCCTCATCAAATTTAACATTTCTCCTTCAATTTTCTCAAGGTGGCCCAGTCGGTCTTATTGATGTCCATTTTCCTTTCGAAAACATTCATTCGCTATTCAAATTCTATTTGAATACACAAAATTATCAATATATTATCGATCTATTATGGTGCTTAGACTGGACAAGACAAGATAATGATTGTCGTTTAGCAATATCTTACCTTTCTCAAGATTTATTTCGTCGAATGACTTCAAAAGAATCATTTTATCTCGAACAAATTCTCCGAACATTCTATGCACCTCTACGTCCAATCAACGATGCAAGTATCTTACGCAATCGTTCATTTATTAATCAAATAGCGATGAAATTCTTCTACTATCTACTAAAAAGCAAATACTATTCTCAAGCATTGCAATTAGCCAAACATTTGGACAACCGAGCCATCTATCTTGATCTTTATTATGCATGTGATTATGACAACGAGAAACACATTATGAACATTTGTGCAGAAAGATTACAATTGAATTCTCGAGATAAGGAAACAGATTATGACGACAATGAAAGCGGTTTATCGGTAACGTCAAGCGAAGATGAAAACGAAAATTCTAAAGCAGTTAAAAAACGATATCCAGTTATGGATGTTAAACAATACGGAGATATCAAAGAAATCCTAGAATCTGCAATTGAACACTATAAACTCGATGAAAACATCTGTCGATTTCTACTAGACAAAATCCATGCTGTATAAAACATATTTCTCGTCAGATGAACAGCGAGTAAATGCATCTTTGCCGCTAGATAAAGCTGATCTGTTTGTTTTTTGTATGTTAGATTTGAAAGAAAATAAAATGTTCCCGTCGACTTGAAAAGCGAGATTACAAATGGAAGATCTAATCGTAATCTTTTTTTTTATTTATATTCAATATAATAACCGTGAGAGAAAAAAATAAATATATTTATTTGAATATAACGAACAGAATGAGAATAATGATAAATTAGCTTACATTCTCTAAATCGACACACAAACAAATATACAAAAAAAAAAGAAAATCATACACGCATATACCCGTTCTAAAAAAGAAACTGTTATTCGAATATTTCCACCAGTTAAATTATTGATGAAAGACACAAACTCAAAAGTAAAAGAGAAGAGAAGGAAAATCATCATCCTTTCATTCATTTTCATTGGATGAATCTTTTGTTGGTTCACTTGCTATAGAATGAATTTCTTCCGATTTCGATTCTCCATTAGGTATGACAAGTGTAGCAAGATCATTGTCAACGAAAAAGCGAGCAGTTGTCTGAAAAAAAGCAAATGCACACATTATGGAACGATCATCACATAAGATTTTCTTACTCGATCACTATTAGGTGAAAGAATTTGAACATTCACTTTCTCTGAAAGCGGTGGTTGTTCGCTAAGATTAACTGGTTGTTCATGCCATTCACGTAGACTTTTCGGCGCGTTGACATTGTAATTCGATATATTACTATCTGCAATCATAACTTGTTTTACAATTGGAAAGTTTCTCTGCTTTACAAACCTCTTTGTGACTTCTCATTGGTATCTGATGTTGATGTTCGACGACTCGATGAGGGTGTAGACGATTCACTTCCTTCTTTGGATGGTTGTTCCGAATGTGTTCGCGAAAGTGAATACCGTCGAACATGTTCAACATTGCTAAACGATGGCGTTGAAGATGTTGTTGTCGTAGATGTAATTAATCGATTGCTGGCTGGAATGTTATGACTGATTGATTGCCGCTTTGGACCTGATACTAAAGCTGCACGACCTTAAGTAAAAAAATATTTTAATAATCAGCAGGTCAAAGAGAATCAAGCGTGATTATTAAACGAATTTTGTTTTTCGAATTTTTTCATACAATAAATCTCATTAAGGCAAAAAAAAACAAAGTCAGTAATCGATAAGACAGCATTAATCTATTCTTTTATACGTATGACGAATGTTAAACATGCTGTAATCTGTATAAGATTGATTGAACTAATGTATCAATTGAAAAATGGGTATATTTGACTTACCCGGATGATTTGGTAACGCTGGCGAAGAGAATCCTGAAGAAAAGAAAAAGTGATTAAGTTTTCATTAGATCTCATCGATCAACTACTCTTTCGTTGTGTCTCCTAACGATTCAATTTGATAACATTCATGATTGTATAGTTTATTCTGTGAGATGACAGTTACCATACATCATTTTGTCGAAGTTGATTGTCTCTATTCTATTAAGACACCATCTGGCTCGCCCCCCACTTACAACGATGATACGTAATGATAATAAACGTGAGATACGCGTGTATGAATGAACATATAGAAGTGTACACATACTATTCAGATTAATCAATCGATGGTTGACGGTGTGAGACGAAGAAGAAGCAAGAAAAAAAAATCGACGTTGCATTTTACAGTAAATCATTTGATGATACAACATGAAAATCATTCAAAGTCTTTTCATAACAATGATCCTTTTTCCAAAAGTTTCTCCTTCGAACTCATCGTGCTCAACTTGTTCGTTGAATTCATGTTATCAATGCTACAATACACTACCAACCAATCGTACACATATCGAAAAACTTACAATTATCTGTAATCAAACAACTGACCTCTTTCAACATAGCAAAGAACAAGTTCATTCAATTCTTCAATCTTTTACAACGATTAACTGCACTATGAAAACTCTGTATATTGATCATTATACTCATTGGAATTACTTGAATTCATTAGCAATTATCTATGCTAATCTAACACATTTATCACTGTCTAGTTCGTACCCATCATTATCGATTTTATCGAATGTCAAAACATTAAATCTATCGTATAATTCAATTCGGATTCTCAATCGAAACTTTTCGTTCTGTTTTCCTTCGTTAGAAAAACTTGATCTCAGTTACAATCGTTTGATTTTAATTAAGACAAGAACATTTGTGAACTTAATCTATCTGAAAGAACTCTATTTGAATAATAACTATTTGAAACAAATCTTTCCAAACATATTACCTCGACAATCGCTTAGTTTCATCAATTTAAACAAGAATCACTGGTATTGTTCATGTACAAACGTTTTACGATTAGAGGCCAGTCAGCCCATTCCAAATTGTTATTCACCAAAGGAATTTCAAAATCAAAATGCAAGTCTCGTCGCTCAACAATGTTTTCTTCGATCAAAGGCTAATCTTCTGATCACAACAGATGAAAATCACGAACAAAATTTAACTTGCATACTTTCTACGGTCGCTGATGCATGGCTAAGCAAAGTCAATACAAATCTAACCATTCTAGCTATTTGGAATATTGAACGACATCATGCGATTTCAACGTTTTCGATCAATCGATCGCACGAATATTTCGTTTGTTTTAATTCCAGTTCAACTCATTCGGAATCGATTCATACAATTATCCCTCTCCCATTCACAAAATTAAACTCACTTATAACATCGTCAACAACACATACACTTTCGCCATTCTTTCTTTGGTTGTTAAATGCAAGTAAAAATATCTTACCGAAATCCTTTCGAACATCGGATAAACAAATCCTTGTTGTTTGGTTGATATTACTTTGCATAGCTTTTGGAATATTTATCTTTCTTATCTATTTCATCTATCGTCATCGAACATTGGATAAATATTATCTCAGAAAATCCTATTCACTTATTCGTTTAGATTCAGATTCTTCTCCTACGCTGCCCCAACATCGGACACTATTCAATGCTAATTGTGCTTGTAAAAATCACAAATGTCTATGTCAATATCGGCGTCGTGTTCATTCAAAATCATCGAGTTTACTTAAAAAACAAATCTATTCAATGCAACCACTATTCATTGAACCAAGTGAACTGCGCTATGCAAAAGTCAAACGAATTTCATCAGCGAAAGAAACAATTAATGATTACTCGACCGGAGAATTTCGTACAGTTATCAAAATGAAATCCTTACCAAGTTGATGTTGAGCATATGTGGTTGTGGCCGATGTTAAATAATTCGACGGATTATTTGTGTTCGTAGGAAGAGGAATGTCTAATAGTGTGGCTATTTTTGATAATTTAATTTGACGAGCTCTTTAAAGAAATAAAACAACAGAAGATTTTTAGTGTGAAATGTAAAATCCCAATGAATAACGAAGTACCTTTGACGGCCTTTGCTTAGATTTTGTTTAGCAGTCATGCAACGAATGTGATCATCGAATGTAAATTTAGCATTGAGAATTGGAGGATTCGATTTGACATAAGCATTACTGACTGGTTTGTGAATGGTTATATGTAAAGAACGTGTATCTTCTTTATCATTGGCTACTTCGACATCCTAGATAGGAAAAAAAGATAAATCGTTAGCTAGATGAAATAATCACTCTGATGATGGTACTCACTTGCATTAGATCACAGAATTTGACTATGCCCCATCCTAATCTTTTCACATCTGGTTCGATCAGAATAAATTGCATTGGATCGGTAACAAGGAAACGACGATCTTTTCTATAAACGAAACGAAAGATTCAAATCAAATCAAGGGTAGTAATTTACTTTTCTTTCATATGAACCGTACATGCAATCAAATCACTGTTGTCTAAACACAAAAGACGCAAAAAATGCAAATCACATATATCTCATTGTTATTTAACATACTTAAATCTAGTTTGTCATTTTCTTTCACCAAATTTTCTGGCTTGGTCAATGGTAATTCCGTTTCGGACGTCACTCTTAATTCTAATGATAAGGCTCGAATAAGAAAGAACACTCGAATAGCCTGAAAAAAAAGAGTGCATCAACATTATATTGATCCATTCAATACGTTCACTTACTCGTCTTGCTCGTTCGATGTCGCCCGATGGCAAACGTTTAATAAACTCAACTCCACTCAACGGTGTCGTGGTCGGTGGATATAACATGCATGCATCTTTGAGTAAATACTCCAATTGAATAGGATTCAATTGCATCTGACGATATTCATCTTCAAACATGTCGAGAAACATCTCTTGTTCCTTAGAATACAGATGAGAGGTATATTTTGGGTTGAAAGTCGATTTGCAAACTTACCCGATAATGTCTTCTTAAATCTTGTGTGATTTGTTCATGTGCTTGTTCGATACGTGCTAAATGATGATCCGATAGATAGGAAACTTTATCGTCTTCGTTGTAAACAAGTTTCTTCAGAAGATTTATTGCCAAGTTTAGTGACACCAGACGAATATTCGAATCTAGAAGAAGTTTATCGAAAACTCAAGTTGAAAAGCTATTGATTTACCTTGAGTAGTAGATGAAACTAGAATTTTACAAAGTTCATCGACTATGACGGTGTTGTAGAATTTTTTATCTGAAGATTTAACAGTTAAACCAACTGATTCGAGAATAACACTATCAACAGCTGAAAAGAAACAGATCATTTTTACAATCGATTTGAATATGGCATTGAAGTTTACATGGATTCGTTGTCATAGTTAGAAGAACGCTTAAGGCATAGAAACATAGTTGATCGCTTTCCGTGCAATTCAACGCTTCGACTAGTGATTGAAAGTACGGTCTAAATAGGATAGAAACGAACGATAGAGGAAGAAAAGAAAGTTTTGTGAAGAAAGCTACCTCACAGCCAATTGACTCTCATTGAAATTCATTCGATCTTTGCTACGTTTAGCTTTTTCATCATCGGTCCAATTCGATACATATAAACTAGCTGGTTTCACATGAGTCTCACCAACCCGTTGGTTATCTGCTGAGAAATGTCGTGGCGATGACGATGCTGAACGCGCTCGAGTATGATCATTTTCAAGACGACGCCGAGTTGTATTATCATGCACATCCAAAGCATTCAATGTGGCATCTAAACATACACAAATCATAGCTCAATGAAGAAAGTAAGGGGTATGCATACCGGAATAGATCTTACTCTGAACAGATTCAGTCTTCGCCAGACAAACATCGAGTGCCGTTGGAGGTAAACTATATGTGACCTTAAGAGAGTAGATGACGGATTATTTCGAAAGAATCAAAGAAATAGATACTATACTTGTTCACCGTAACGACGTTGGACAGCTTCGACTGTTTCAATGTCAGCGGACAGAATGATATCTGCTAATTCTTCAATAACTGGCCGATAGCGAATGACAAGAAAGATCTTCAAGAGAATATTATATGAAAGTTGAAGATTTCGGTCGATTTACATACCTCAGCAAGTAGAAAGAAGGCAGATGATTGGTCAAGCATAATTCTCGTATCCTTCATAAACAATGAAAAGGAATGTTTCTTGATAATTTCTTCAAAGCATACCTTCAATCGAGAAAATCTATCACGTTTGATCAATGAAAATACATAAACCGGTATCAAAAGTCGATTCATGAGCTGATCTTTTAAAACATTATTTAAACTATGAACTTCAAGTAAGAATATATCTTGTAAATAATGTATATGATCAAGATATTCTTCCAAACTGCAGAATATATGACTACGATTATTAATACTAAATAAACACGTTTCTCAATAGCAGAATAATGAGTGTAAAAGTGTTTACGTACTCTCGATTGTTTCGGAGAATCTTATCAAAGTCAAGAATATGATTACGTATAAACCAAACAAGATTAGAAAAGTATTCCGTGGCTGTGCGATCTAATATAAAACGATGCATGGCTGGATCGGAGACTATTATAGAGAAAAAGAGAGAGCAACTTTTATTATTCGTTAGTTTGAAGAAATTTTACCTTTATAAACATTGAGCGTTAATGTACGGATAGCAATCCGAACCATATTTTCCGAATGGTTAAAAAACTTGATTGCTTCCACATACAACGGAAACTCATTATTGCGCTAAAAACATTACAAAGCAATTATCACCAACATTCAAGATTAAATCTCGGTCATACTTCATTATAAAAGAAGTTTATTGAATGCGAGTTCAATTTCAGCGATAATGTTTTAAGAAATGATATATAATATGCTGTTATTTCTTCGTCAGTAAAATCAAATTTATGTACAATTATGCTATTAACATGATTATTCGATAGAAGATAATCTAGATGAATGTTGTAGGTTTAGTGTGAAGCGAGTGTTTCGAGAAATTTCACTTACATAAAGATGTTTCGTGACGAATGTTTTCAAAGAGAATATTGAGTGTTTGTAAAATTTGTACACATATGTAACGTCCGTGCTTTTGACGCATATAATTTAAGAAATACGTCAGCATGCCACGTTCAAGAAACAAACTGGAATAAAAGCAGGATTGTCAGAGAAGTTGATGATCGAAATGACTTACTCAAATACTGAACTATCGTTTTGATCACCCCAAATGAAAATTTCCGATATACATCGTAGAGTTTCGATCAGCAAATCTCGATTGGCATCAGATACTGTTGGATTTCGATTTAGAACTCCGTACAAATATCTGAATGAGACGAGAAGTTGATTACTGGTTGTGTGGTTTTGTTCGGCACTTACTTAAGGTTTTCAAGCGAATGTGGATTTCGTGGTTTTGTTTGTCCAAACAAACCATTCTTCGCTCGAGTAAATACAGACATTCGAGTAGAAAATCTACAACTGATTTTATAGTAAAATGTTTATTCTTGTAACAAAAGAGAAAAATGAATGTGTGATGTTGGTTTTTCGTCTATCCATCGTTGGATGTTTGGATTTTATTAAAAGAAACATGAACATAATGTTTCTCAAAACAAAAAAGTTAACAACGGATTTTTCTTTTATTTTTATCTTTTGTTGAATATCTTGTAATAATATTGGAGAAGATCTCATGGACAAAAGATTTATTCTCGGTTTTGCATCTTTTGTCGTTTAAGTTTCTTCTTTGATTCTTTCTTTTTCGCTGCTGGTTCATCTTCAACTGCACCACCGTTACGTGTTAAGACATTTTCTTTTTCGCTCAAGATGATTTCGATGTGGCATGGCGATGATTGATAAGGATTAATACGACCATGGGCACGGTATGTTCGACGGCGGATCTTAGGTGCGCGATTCACTTGAATATGATCGATGACAAGATGATCAACATCAAGACCTTTAACATCAGCGTTCGATTCAGCATTCTTTAATAGTGATAAAAGAATCTCGGCCGATTTCTTTGGCCAACGACCTTGACTGACTTTGAAGACTTTGGCTTGAGCCTTGCGGCTGACACCACCGTTATAACGTTTGAATGGAACAATTTCCTTTTTGTTTACAACATTCTTCAAATAACGAGTTGCACGTCGTAAAGTCATACGTCTCAAGTTGTTGGCTGTTTCACGTGTGTTCTTGAAGTGAACACGTAAATACGCGCCACGCGTTTTGCATGATTTTGCTGGATTTTCAACAGTTCCTGAGAAACGCAAACGCTCGAAGATGTGAAGATTGATCCGTTAGAAAATAAACTTACGTGAATAACGGACCATGATGTTAGTTTCTTGTTCGTAAGAAAACAAATAGATGAAAGAAGAGAACAAGATCTAGAAGAAGATGAAACGATGGCTTTTGATAGAGATGATTCAAAATTCAAATTCAGGAAATTATTTGGAAAATTCAATGTATATCTGCATGTTTATTTGTGAGAATTTTTTGGATTTGGACTGACTAATAAACAAGATCGAATTGTGATGACCAACCAGAATGTGAATGTAAGATACTAACCGAAAGAATTCAAAATGAAAACCATGCACATAAAATTAGAATTACAAATGCAAAAAAATATATTAATTTTTTTTATTAAAATTACAATGGATATTTAAGCCACTCTAGTATAGATGACGCCACTGTACTAAACGAGAATGATACTTATGTCATATGTTTACGATAACTGATTTTGTCAGCGGCGATTTATAAGGCAAGCAGTCAAACATGTCCGTCACTACACAACGTTCAGATTCTTCGTGACTATTTATTTTCAAAGTAGTAACGTATTCTTGACTTTATGGCGGACGGAATCGTATACAAATAGGATATGGGTGTTTTGTCCTAAAATTTAGTGAAATCTGAGTTCGTGTCCACACCATGGCATTTCATCGTATTCTACGCTTGCTTTTAGTTTACCATCTTTTGTAATGTGTGTTCTCATGATCTGTTACTAGCCATTCAGAAAGTCTGAGTGAGCAGCAGGAAAATATAATTTTCTGTGTACGTACAATATTTAGTGATAGTGACCAAACACGCACACGAGCACCACGATCGGTTTTGAATATTGTTTACGCGATTGAGAGACATATTTTCTTGCATCGACCAAAAGTATATGCTCTTTACTAACAACAATAAACCGACCTAACGTTGATGACCAGCACATATCCATGATCATATTAGAGTCCCACAGAGTTCGTCTCACGGTATTAGATTCTCGATCAATCAAACATAAATCCGGTTTTTGGTGTACTAATAAAAAGTCATTGTTACTAGCCAGTGGTATATAAGTTCCAAGAGGACTCTGTAGACGTTTATAGGTATAAGAGATGCATTTTAGATCTATCTTCTGTTCATTTATTTCTCTGATTTCAATTGAATTACTGTCTATAATTAGAGGATGAACATCGATTTGGATTTGGATTTGTTCGATTTTCCTTGTTGCTTCTTTGAGTTGAACAATTTTTAATATTAATAAATCGATATTCTGTTGCGTTACTTTCTCATTCGATATATGCTGGTCAATCTTGCTTCTTATACGCAAGCTAATTCATGGCACTTGGTTTGAAATAAACGATCGACTTCTTCGCAACAATCTTTTCGCCACTGTTCAGGTTGTTGACGGCCTTTGTGAGTTATTTCAGAGATATCGATTGCCTTCAGCCGAACATTCAGCAAATTGAGATCATCAGTTAATGAATTTAACTGTAACATCAATTTTGCATTATGTTCGTTGGCATTTTTCCCTTTTCTGAAAGAAAGGGTTATAGCGTCATAAGTCTGGTCGTTGAAATGCAAAAAGTTTGCTTGTTTGCATAATCCTATCAGATTACAGCATTCAATAAATGAATGAAAACTTAACCATGGTCATTAGCAAACGATTGATGAAAGGTTTTCGGGGTCGAAGATCACTAATCTGAAGTTAGTTTTTTTTTTATAATGGAATAAGTGAAAAAGTCAGTTCTAAGATATAGCACTACTGGCAGGTAGAAGATATTAGGCAACGTTGAAATTATTCGATAGTATACGTATTTACTTCGTTTCATCTTTCACTTCCATTCAAACCTTCGATAGAGCTATTTTCATTTTTCGACATAATACTCTGACTGACGTCTCTATGATAATCCAAAGATGTAATCTAGTGACTATTCAGCGTAGTTGCCAAAAACTGGTTGGATCTTAAAGTCGAATCGATAAATATGATTTGACAATAAACTCCAAATAGTCTGTCACTTTTCAGCTGATTTTTATGCAGAAGTCAACCTGGGTGCTTACCAGAAAATCATAAGCAGACCTAAATTCATTCTCTAGATCATCAATGTCAAAACAAATATCTGGAAACTATTCGGTAGCATCGGTGTTTGCTAATGATGAGATCGCTGGTTGGGAATGGTGAAATAGGTTCTACCTTGCACTACATGACTAAACGTTTTTAAGATCAGAAGAAGTTTACGAAAAGGAAACAAATCTATTTTGACATCGAACGAGACAAGGATTAAAACTTTGATTGATCTATCTGAAAATATTTTCAAAAATGGGAAAAAGTAAGGAAACATCTTAGAAGTGGGAGAAAATCTCGAAGGGTATCATGCCTAAGTCTTCGTAAGGAGAAGAAAGCGACCCGCTCTTAGTTGTTTGGTCTGCGTCATCGCTGATATAAGTTTGCAAGCAAAATACTTCGTTTATTTCGTGGAATCGAGCTTTTCTTTTACGTCATTGTTCGCAGTATTTTTTTCCTGCTATTAAACGCTTCAACTAAATTCGTAGAACTATTTCTTCCTGGAACTTGATTTTCATTGTTTTCAGAGTTTAAGTAACGTAATTCATCTTCATCTACCCATGTACAAGCGATACCCGATGAATTCAGTTCGCACATTATCCGAGATCGATATTCTGTTCACTGATTATTGGTTGAATAACAAGAAATTGTTCCTGATAAGAGAAGTAGTTGTTGATTTGGTTGAAGCTCAATCGTTAGATTCGATTGATTTTCATAAAATATCGCTTTCTCATTTAGGAAAGCTTTCAGTTGTGGACGAGTTAATTGTACTAAACTTCGATAGTTATTTGTAATCACATGTGCTGCTATTTCATTATAGATCGAACGAGATATTTTCTCATCAGATAATAAACTATGCAACACAGCTGCGTCAATCACAAATGTTTCCACGAGTCCACAACTTGCATAATAAGTTCCATTCGATGAGGATTTGTTATTAAAAAAGGCATCAGCTCCGATGATACTACCACATTTATAATAAGTAGTTGATGTACCATTTTTATGCTGAACAAGACCACGAATAATTAGATAAACATTTGTGACTCTTTGATTTCTTTCTTTTGATTTGTAAACACTCGGATCTTTCCATATTCGAGCTTGAATAATTTGTTCTCAATTAATTTCAATATGTGTGAATATTCATTATCTGCAAGAATTCCTGTTTCATAAAACTGAATAATCGCAATTGATCCATATTTTAGAAGCATCTGAGCACATCGTCGTGTCATTTGAACGATCCAACATAGTCGATAGGATTGTTTCAAGTCCAAGAGAATATACATGGCATTGATTTGATACGTCTTCATTTCATCACGGATTTCACCCATGGTTCGTTCGTTCAAATTACCCAGTTCGGGGAATTGCAAACGAATATTATCAAGTCGAGTTTTAGTAGAATGAAAACCTAAAGTACACAACAATTCTTCAGATACTTTTGAAAACATTTCAACTCACTCAAAGTCGATTCAATCGTTTGGAAAATATGATCGAAGAATAATCCGTCCGCCCATAGCTTGTTCGACCGATCTGATGAAAATGTTGAGTGTTTTTCGGCGAATCATACCCATATACTATTGTTTCTCATAATCANGCTGCTGGTTCATCTTCAACTGCACCACCGTTACGTGTTAAGACATTTTCTTTTTCGCTCAAGATGATTTCGATGTGGCATGGCGATGATTGATAAGGATTAATACGACCATGGGCACGGTATGTTCGACGGCGGATCTTAGGTGCGCGATTCACTTGAATATGATCGATGACAAGATGATCAACATCAAGACCTTTAACATCAGCGTTCGATTCAGCATTTTTTAATAGTGATAAAAGAATCTCGGCCGATTTCTTTGGCCAACGACCTTGACTGACTTTGAAGACTTTGGCTTGAGCCTTGCGGCTGACACCACCATTGTAACGTTTGAATGGAACAATTTCCTTTTTGTTTACAACATTCTTCAAATAACGAGTTGCACGTCGTAAAGTCATACGTCTCAAGTTGTTGGCTGTTTCACGTGTGTTTTTGAAGTGAACACGTAAATAAGCGCCACGCGTTTTGCATGATTTTGCTGGGTTTTCAACAGTTCCTAACAAACGCAAACGCTCGAAGATGCGAAGACTGATCTATTAAAAAATAAACTTACGTGAATAACGGACCATGATGTTAGTTTCTTGTTCGTAAGAAAACAAATCGATGAAAGAAGAGAACAAGATCTAGAAGAAGATGAAACGATGGCTTTTGATAGAGATAGTTCAAAATTCAAATTTAGGGAATTATTTGGAAAATTCAATGTATATCTGCATGTTTATTTGTGAGAATTTTTTGGATTTGGACTGACTAATAAACAAGATCAAATTGTGATGACCAACCAGAATGTGAATGTAAGATACTAACTGAAAGAATTCAAAAGGAAAACCATGCATATGAAATTATAATTACAAATGCAAAAAAATATATTAAATTTTTTTATTAAAATTACAATGGATATTTAAACCACACTAATATAGATGACGCCACTGTACTGAATGAGAATGATACTTGTCTTGTTTACGATAACTGATTTTGTCACAGCGATTTATAAGGCAAGCAGTTAAACATATCCGTCACTATACAACGTTCAGATTCTTCGTGACTATTTATTTTCAAAGTAGTAAAGTATTCTTAGCTTTATGACGGACGGAATCGTATACAAATAGAATATGGGTGTTTTGTCCTAAAATTTATAAAATCTGAGTTCGCGTCCCGCGCGTACCACTAAGATGTCCGACCCAAACATTTCCGCACACCATGGTATTTCATCGTATTCTACGCTTGCTTTTAGTTTACCATCTTTTGTAATGTGCAGTAGACGTTTGTTTTCATAATCTGTCACTAACCATTCGGAAAGTCTGAGTGAGCAGCAGGAAAATATCATTTTCTGTGTACGTACAATATTCAGTGATAATGACCAAATACGATCCAGTGTTTTGCACGATCGAAGCTCGATTCGTACCAGATTTCCACTATCGTTGACGACCATAGCGAGTGCGTCATCTTCAAAAGCTATTCTATTGATGAATTCGTTTTCTGCACATGTAACAGGACGTTTCCATTCGTTGACGATATCGATCGAAGGTAACAATGTCATCTCTACAATTGATGACCCTTTTTCATTAGTTGATAAAAACAAAGATTTACGCGAACACGTACACGAGCACCACGATCGGTTTTGACTATTGTTTACGCGGTTGAGGAACATAGTTTTTGCATCGATGAAAAGTATATGCTCTTTACCAATAACAATAAACTGACCTAACGTTGATGACCAGCACATATCCATGATCATATTAGAGTTGCACAGAGTTCGCCTCACGATGTTAGATTCTCGATCAATCAAACATAAATTCGGTTTTTCATGGATTAACAAAAAGTCATTGTTACTAGCCAGTGGTATATAAGTTCCAATGGGACTCTTCAGACATTTGTAGGTATGAGAGATGCTTTTTAGATCTATCTCCTGTTCATTTACTTCTCTGATTTTAATTGAATCACTGTCTATAATTAGAGGGCGAACATCGATTTGAATTTGGGTTTGTTCGATTTGACTAGTTGCTGCTTTGAGTTGAACGATTTCTAATGTTAATAAATCAATATTTTGTTGCATTACTTCCTCATTTGAAATGTGCTGGTCAATCTTGCTTCTTATACGCAGGCCTTCTGCTTCGTTCTCGGCTTTTCTATCGGCAATAAGACGATCTAATTCGTGGCACTTTGTTTGAAATAAACGGTCGATTTCTTCGTGACAATCTTTTCGCCATTGTTCAAGTTGTTGACGACCTTTGTGAGTTATTTCAAAGACATCGATTGCCTTCAGCCGAACATTCAGCGAATTGAGATCATCAGTTAATGGATTTAACTGTAACATTAATTTTGCATTATGCTCATTTAAATGCTGCAAACAAAGAGGTTGTCTGCAGCAATCACAGTCAGCTCGCGATGTTCGTTGGCATTTTGGTGTAACGCAGAGTTGTGACATTGCATCAAGATTAAGATGAGTCTGGTATAAGATGTGTACGATTCTTGACTCCTATGAAATATGCTCTTCAACAATTCAATGATTCAAAAAAAGAAGTAGGCAGTTTTATTTATGTATCTAGAAAAACATGACAATCTTATCAGTTGGATTCCCTTTGATCTTTTCGTATAGTAAAAAATATTGCAGTAAAATAGTCTTCTATTATGTAATGACTTGTTTTGCGTGTGATAACGAACAATTAGAAGTGTATTTGAATCGTATCGAGCAATATTTTTTCACATCCTTTCAATTAGACGAATGCGAAGAACAACGAATATTTTGTCTTCGGCTACTCAAAGTACATCAATCTGAACTTATTCAGTAACAATTACATACTTAGTAACTGAATAATGTTCACTGATACTTAACATTCTTGTATTGTTTCTCAACCGGCATAAGAATATGTTCCTACCAATGCTCTCTGAAAGAATTATTCATTTCAGAAGATATTCCCCGATCTCATTTATATCATATTCAGAAGGACGAAGAATCGTTAGTGTTGTATAGAGTTAGCCTTCCATCTGTGAATGTGTATGTCTCATTACACCATACTTTGTTCGCAAGAGATTATTTTTATTGTTTATCTTGCTTCTCACTCTACAATAAATCAATCAATGAATACTCAGTGTTGTTCTTTCTATCAATCCTCTCAACACTTCACAGAATCTTTTAGCAATGAACGTCAGTATTACATGTTTAAACTGTTCTATTATCTTTACTGATCAGTAAGTATATTGAGGGTGAAACAATGAGCAGTGCAATCGTCGACTCATGCTCATATGTTTCACTTCATAGACGACACGAATAGAAAATTGTCTGTTGGAGTTAGCCGATGCAGATGTCGCCATAAGATAAATTTTCGTTTAATTCCTATTTCAGCAATGCGAAACATTTTGAATAAAATATTATTTTATACTTCAAGAATGAAAGTATCCATTTTCGTATGATAGATTAAAACTAAATGACTAATCCAATTTGGATTCGATTGGCTTAAAATCATTTGGTGTTCGATGTGTCATACATACTCTTATCTGCTCTCACGCTCACGATGAAATGAAAGCCATTCAGTTAGCTTGTGTATGAGAAGAATGATCTAATCCTTTAGTATTTCAATTATTGCTTTCTAGATTATTCGTTATTCTTTACATTTGTACATACACAATATCGATTGTATGCTCTTCTGTTTGTGTTTGTATTTTTTCATTTCGATTTTCAATCATATCAATGCTGCTGATATACAATATCCAGCTATATTTATTCCTGGTGATGGTGGTTCGCAAATTTGGGCACGATTAAATCGTACGTTACCTCCACCACATTTCTTCTGTTATCGTCATTCAGATTGGTTTGAACTATGGCTCAATCTTGAGTTGATCGCTCCTGAAGTCATCGATTGTTTTGTGGACAACATGCGTTTGTTGTATAATGAAACAACAAAAAAAACATCGAATTTAGAAGGCGTAGAAACGCAAATACCAGGCTTTGGGCAAACATCTACTGTCGAATATTTCGATTCATCAGGTTTTTACTATTCATCATACTTTGCACAAATTATACAAAATCTGGTAAAACTTAATTTCACGCGAGGTGTCAATCTACGTGGAGCTCCGTAAGTTCACCGTGACATTTTCAGATAGAGAAAAAAGTCTTTCTTCTATACATCGATTAGATATGATTTTCGACGGGGTCTGGACGAGCAAGATGAATGGTTTAAAAATTTCACACAATTAGTCATTGAAACATATGAATTAAACAATCAAACACCAGTCGTACTTGTGACACATAGTATGGGAGGTTAGTAGCCAACTGTTTTTTTTTCTCATAATGAAAAGTTTTCTTAGGTCCATTTTCTCTCTATTGGCTTCATCAACAAACACCTGCATTCAGAGCAAAATATATCAAATCCATGATCAACATCGCTTCACCGTGGGGCGGCGCAATAAAAGCACTTCGATTGATGATCAGCGGGGACAACATTGATGTAAGATATGTGCTAAATAGCCTCTATATGGATCGATCTGCATAGTTTCGAAAACAAGATACAAAACTATGCTTTGTTTTGATTATATAGGTCTATGTTGTGTCTCCTATCCGTGTTCGACCTTATCAACGTTCCGCCCCATCAACTGCATTCGTCATGCCCAGTGTCAACTTTTGGGGTAAAGATGAAGTGCTTGTTGTTACACCGCAGCGTAATTATACTGTCAATGATTATGAAGCTCTCTTTAATGATATACAATTTCCAACTGGCTATCAATATTGGCTCAATAATAAAGATTTACTTGATGAATTAAAACCACCGGAAGTTGAAATACATCAGTTATATGGTAGTGGTATGTCAACTCCTGGCGCATTTCTATACGATAATCGTACATTTCCCGATCTACAACCTACTTGTCTACCTGATGATGGCGATGGGACAGTGAATATTCGAAGTTTACTAGGGTTCAAGAACTGGGAAGGTAAACAAAAAGCCGATATACATAGTTTAGAAATTCCTGGTGCTGAACATCTAGCTATTCTGAGACATCCAACAACAATCAATTATGTTGCTCAAGTACTTACCGGTCAATTCGATGAGAAGAAATAAACTGATGTTTTGTATGCGTGTGCATGTATATATTTATACTATATTAATCGTTTGATTTCCGGTGATGATGCGTATGTCTGCGTGTGTGTGTGATAGAGAAGAAAAGGAACCGCTCTCTTATTTGTTCGGTTATTTTTCTTATATAAATACTTTGTGTGATACATTGTTGGAAAAAGAAAGGCTATGAGTTGATCAGAAGACTTGATTTTCTTTACATTGTTTTGATTGTGTCATTAACCTTATATTCGTAGGAGAAAGATGAACGTATGACCTAGTTCAATGAAGGAGAAGATTGATTATCCGATTGAACGACAAAGAACGTCCTAAATTGCCTATTTTGTGTAGATGTTGTGATGGTGTATGTTTTTCTTCTTCTTCTTTCTCCTCCTCCTTTTCTTTTTCTTTTGTTTTGATGATGAGTTTTATTTGCATATGGATGAGAGACAAGAAAAGTGATCGTGGTCGTCCACGCGCACCATCTAACCGAAAAAGGTGTTGAGCATGTTCTGATGACACCGTGCATAAATAATCCAAACTATTGACAACGAGAATACTCGGCGCGTTAAACTAGATATTGGATCATCTTAGCTTTTGTCCTTACACCCTCGTTTTACCTCTTCTTCTCGTTTAATTTCATTTGCCTTTCAGATGTTAAAATCATGTTGACACAAGAGCAACAATTACTCGTCTCTGATAAGGATACTCTATCTAAAGATGGGCACTACGATGATCTTGCTAAACTTAGTTTTTTAACAGAAGATATTCTACTTGAACAACTGAAGCAACGATATGAAAAAGATCTGATCTATGTAAGTTATTTTTCTCTTACTCAACATCGATTTTTACTTTTCTCATACTATTTAGACATATCTTGGAGATATCCTCGTTGCTGTCAATCCATTTCACGAAACAAGTCTCTATACTACAAAGGTAAACGTCTAGTATCCAACATATTTTATAGATCCAAGGTAATAAATATGATTTCTTTATTACGTATCGATTAGATTCGTGATCTTTATCGTTATTCAACTGATATTCATAAACCGCCTCATGTCTATGCACTCGTGGACCTTGTTTATCGAAATGTTTGTCACGGTATTTACAATCAACAATGCTGTGTAATCAGGTGAGACACATATTGCTTGTACAAAGCAATTCTAAAAGTATCAATTTCGTTGTTCGCTCTAGTGGTGAATCAGGTTCAGGGAAAACAGAAAGTACAAAATTATTTTTGAAACAATTGATGTATCTATGTGGAGGCAGTTCTCAATTGGAACAACAAATTTTACAAGTAAACATCGGTATACTTCGAAGCTAACCGGAAACTATTGTTAAAACTTTCAGGCTACACCTTTGTTGGAAAGTTTTGGCAATGCACAAACTGTGATGAATAATAATTCAAGTCGATTCGGAAAATATATCGCTCTCAAGTTCGTGAATGGCAAAGGTAATTTTCATGCATTGAAGAAAATAGTGTTGATTCAGACGACGAGTTTTGTTTCAGTGATTGGTGCTCAGATAAGCGATTATCTATTAGAAAAATCTCGTGTCGTAACACAAAGTCCAGGCGAACGAAATTTCCATATTTTCTGCTATTTATTTGATTATCTCCCGTCAGAAGTAAAAAATATGCTGTGTCTTCATACAAAATACGACTACCGGTAGACAATTCATAGTTTTCCTAAAAATTAGATTCATTTCAATCAATTTCGTTTTTTCAAGATACCTCTTGACAAGTTCATCAACCGATCTACAACATACTGGTGCTGGTAATTCGTTAGATGAAGTAGTGAATGCAATGGGTTTGCTGAATTTTACTGATAAAGTATGTCTTCATTCAAGAAATTGAGTAAGAAATGCTGATATATTTCTTCAGGAACAACATTCCATGTTTCGTATCCTATCTGGTATTTTAACTATTGGTAATTTGGAGTTTTCCACTGACGACGAAGGCTTCACTCGACAAAATTTCGACGAAGAAAAAACCAAAAACAATCTCGTAATCATTGCTGTGAGTCAAGTCATTCTCTTTTTTTGAAATATTTAATATATTTTTATCGTCGTTCAGAATATGTTTGGTGTAAATTCGGATTTGATTATGGAATGTCTGACAACGATCACAACATTGACGCGAAATGAAAGAGTGACTAGAAAATTCAGTCTACAATCCAGTCAAGGTAGATTATTGAGATTTTCCATTTGAGATAACTACGATCTACACATGTTTAGATGCACGTGATGCATTATCGAAACATCTCTATGCTCGTTTATTTTCTTGGTTGATTGGCAAAATAAATGAAACATTGAATAATCCTTATCCTTCACAAGAATTTTATCAAATCGCTGAAATTGGCCTTTTGGATATTTATGGTTTGTAGAGAAAACCATTTGTGATTCTCTTGACTGGAGTTCTATTCATGAAAACTCTAATCTAGGTTTTGAACATTTTGAATTGAATAGCTTCGAACAATTGTGCATTAATCTAGCCAATGAACAAATTCAATATTTCTTCAATCAAGTACTCAAATCTAAACATAGGTTTTCCTTTCTATTACTTTTCATTTAGCATATTTTTCGTATGGAAATGACGGAATATGAAAGCGAAGGCATTGTCGCTGAAACATTATCATTTACGGATAACCACTCCTTATTGGTAAGATTAACTATTGTTTTCTTTGAGATAAAAACTTTCTTCCTTAGGAATTGTTTATGGCCAAGCCTTTGGGTATTCTTTCGTTATTAGATGACGAAAGTCGACTTCCGAAAGTAAGAAATAATCTAAAGTCATTATCAAAGAATGCCGATGAATATTGATTTGACAGGCAACTGATCAAACATTTGTTGAGAAATTGAATTATCACTTTGGTACAAATAAACATGAATGCTATTCGATCAATCGAAATAACAAATATTCATTCACGGTTCATCATTATGCTGGCAAAGTGTCATACTGTGCCTTAGGATTTCTGGAGAAAAATCGGGATACACTGTCGGACAGTGTCGTCGATATGCTCAAGAATAGCCAAGATGATCTCATACGGTTACTTTTCCATGGAAACCCATCGGATGGAACTATTCATTTGAATAATCGAGTAGGAATGAATTGCAGAGGCTGATTAGAAAATCTACTTTCGATTTATTTTAGCTGCAACATCGAACAGCAGCGGAAAAAGATGCTCGAAATCGACTGACTGTTGGTGCTCAATACCGCGTAAGTAGATATTCTTGTCAAGACTACGTGATCATGATTGTTTGTTCCATAGAATTCTTTGCAAGTTCTTATGGATCGTATGTGCGCATCACATCCAGTATTCATGCGTTGTCTTAAACCAAATCAACAGAAACAAGCACATTTATTCGATGCTACATTCGTTCGCGCACAGGTACGATGTTTTCCAACGAATATCAACTATTTATCTGCCTCGTCGTTTAGCTTCGCTATTGTGGTATGTTAGAAACAACGCGAATTCGCAAGGAAGGATACTCTGTACGATTAACGTTCGAAGAATTCATACGAAAGTAAATCAAATTTTCTAATCTCGAGTTATTTCATGCACATGTAATGCTTTACAGATATGGTTTTCTATCAAGACTTCGTTCTTCTGATTCACCATTGAATACATGTCGCCATATTCTCGAAGAAACGAAATTAAGTGAATGGCAATTAGGGTAAGAAAATCTGTCTATTAAAAAAAAAGCCGATTTTTTCAACAGTATGTTTTCGTACAGGAAAACGAAAGTTTTTCTCAAATATTATCATCCGGAACAATTGGAAAAACTTATGAACAAATATCGCAAAGCAGCTCTATTAATTCAACGCAGTAAATCATATTTACAACGTAATGAACAACAATCTTTTGTTTGATTCGTATTTATAGTTCAGCGTGGTCACACAGCGAGAAAATTATTTCAACAACTGAAATTAGCATCGAAAAATTATCGAAATGAAACGAATGATCTATGTATTTACATTGAAGATTTGAATAACCGATATGTATACACATTGACTCAACTGAATGATAAACTACCAGGTATATCTCATCTAACAAGATAAGGAGATAAAAGTGTAAAATATTCATGTATTTATTAGGTCAACCAACGCCTGCTGTTATTACAGAGCATGATCTTCGTCCTCGTCCACCGGTACGTGAGAGTTCACTGAATTCCTCGTCACATTTGGTAAATAGTGGACTTGCTGGTAAATATTCTCTACCAGCAGCCAAAATGTCATCGATTCCGAGTACTCCAACAAGTACTTTGACTACTAACCAACTGATGCTTGATTATGATTCCTTACTTTCTCATTTGACACTCAAATATGGTTCGCCTGGTGAACGTGAATCGTGTTTAAGGTTTGTCAATCAAAATCTTTGTCTTCTTTGACAAAAAGCTCCTTTATTGCAGATGGTTTCGTGATACTCAATATCCATACGTATGTCACAATGGTACATTTCCTAGTTGGTTTCATGGAAATATCACTCGACAGTAAGTCGAATCGAATAACTGAGTTTAACGCTTTGCCCTATGTCGGGGTTTTCTTCTAGTCGCGCAGAAGATTTATTGAAAAATCAGCCCATTGGTTGTTTTCTCATTCGACTAAGTGAAAGTCGATTTGGTTTTTCACTCTCATTCCGGTAACTACCTTGTGCGAGATAAAAACTTCTAAAGTAAATGTCATTGTATATTCAGTGCTGAAGATCGATGTCGGCATTATATGATAAATCAATTGAAGAATCTCAAATACAACGTTATTGGCGAAGCAAAAGTTCATCAATCACTCGAGAAATTAATTGACTACTATCGAATAGTGAGTTTCCAGTCCGATTTCTATTTCCATAGCCACTTGCTTTTCTTTTCCTTTGCAGCATGAATTGTCGAATTGGAATGGTCGTTTAACAGATCCATGCAAGGCGGATTGGTCACAGTATGATCATGATTCGTTAACACCTCTGCCGAATGCTCCGAACAATCGCTCTTCTCAGCCGACGAAAAGTATTGCCAATCGAACTCATGTAAATCATATCAAACGACTTCACTCCTTGATTTTGTTTCGACATAATACATCTGTTTTTAGAACACACCTAATTAATCAAATGAAAGAGTAGGAGATAACAGAACATTAATGCTTTTGTTCTTCGCTTGCTTAAATTCTATAGTTCAACTACTTGAATATTTGATTTGTCAGAGATTTCACTTCGTCAGCATTCGATAACTTGAGCAGTTTATTAAAATCTGCTAAGTTGCTCCTTCATTCTTTTTTTACCAAAGAGTTATTTTTTCATTTAGAGCACATCTACATTGCCAATCTCATATTATGCAAATCCTCCTTATCCATATTCTTCGAAACTCTATACAACTCGTCCAATGTTAATTAACAATGCATTCAATACAGCGGCAAAATTACCCATCGCGATCGTTCCACCATTTACGAAATAAAGCCACCGTTGAATATACTTTCATCTCAATCAAAATTCATCAAATCTAGTCATGATACATCTGTTCATATCTGTTTAATAGTTTTATTTTTTGTCTGTCTGTCTGTCTCTCTCTCTCGCTATCCGTTTCACCTAACAGTGAATTTATTTCACAAACCACTTGAAGTAAATTCCATCGACAATGTTTCGTGTTTGTGCTATTTGTAACTTAGGTCCAATATTTATCTTCTCTATTCGATACATTCATTTAATTAAAAACTACGAAATATCTATTTTGAACTTTGTATATCCAAATCAATCTATATGTTTTGTGTTTGAAATAAATTTTAGACGATAGGTCTTTTCTCCATATGTTCAGCTTTGGTCGAAAGAACAAACGTGATCAAAGTGAAGAAAGTTTTCACGAACTCGAAAATCTGGTTCATGAACTCGATCAAGATGGAGGTGGACGAATACGCATCGTTGATTTAGAAGCAGCATTACAACGCATTGATGAAGATAACCGATCGAAACCAGAACGAAAGAAACAAGTCAGAAAATTTCGTGAGTAGGATCAAAATTGAAGTGCCTATTTGTATTTCCCATCTCGTTCGTAGTCTCATCATTGAAACCAAAAGGTGATCGAATTGATGGAGAAAAGTTTCTTCAGATAATGCTTGAAAGACAAAAACAACTCAAACTAAGGTAACCGTCTTTTGTTAGTACAAGGTCAGATTTCAATTTTATTGGTTTAGTTTTGAAGAAATCGATCTGAACAAAGATGGTGTTGGTAAGAATGATGTTTGCTGTGAAACTCATATCTCTGGATTGTGTTGGATTCTCTAGTTGATCCAGTTGAATTAGCTAAGGCATTTTCGCGTTTGAAAATCGTTTTGAAAAAGAAAGATCTTATGAAGATTATCGAAGTACTCGATCGAGACAAAGATTTCAACATAACGTTTTCCGAATGGCAAACATATTTTCGTTTCGCACCTTCAACTGAACTCGAAGCATCACTTCGTTCATGGCGACGTGGTGTACAATTAGATACAATTAACGAACAACAAATGCCGAATTCATATACGGAAAAAGAACGCGAAAATGGTTTCTATTCTCGGCATTTCATCGCTGGCGCACTATCGGGCATGGTTAGTCGAACCGTAACCGCACCATTAGATCGATTGAAAATCTATATGCAAGCCATGGGAAAGAAAAAGTTACTAAATACAGCAAGGTAACTATCGAGCGTCGTTCGTGTTGATCGATTTCAATTTGTTATATTTGAAGTGCTTTATATGGAGAAGGTGGACGTGGTGTGAAAGGTATTCGATCATTTTGGCGTGGCAATGGAATTGCTGTGTTTAAGATGACACCGGAAATGGCACTCCGACAAGGCATTTTTGAAACGTTTCGAGAGCTTCGTGGTGATTATGATGAAATCGTAAGAAGGTAGTTTAGCTAACGGAAATCATTAGAACAGTCATTTGTAGATTGTTTCACCTGTGTCAAATAAAGAATTATTTGGTCTAGGATGTTTATCTGGTTTTATTGCTCAGACATGCATTTATCCGTTGGAAGTGTTGAAAACACAAGGTAAGAGAAAAATTTTGTGTCAATTTAATACATGCTCTTCGTTTAGCCGCCATGCGAACAACTGGACAATATAGTTCAATTATGGATCTTATTCGAAAACTTTATCAAACTGAAGGTTGGAGAGTCTTCTATCGAGGCTATATAGCGAATTCTCTTGGAGGTAAAACACATGAAAAGTGTTCGAAATAATTGATCATGCATCTATTTTCTGACTCCAGTACTTCCTGCTGCTGGCATCGACTTTGCTCTTTACGAATACCTCCGGCGTGTTTACCGTGAAAAAGTTACGTCACTAGAAGAACCCAGTATGTACAAATATCTTTCATCATCGTATAACAGTCGTTATCTTTCTGTGTATTTTGTTAGGTATTGCGACACTTACAATGATCTCAAATATCAGTGCTTTAGCAGCTATGTATGCGTCATACCCATTGTATCTTATCCGAACAAGGCAACAGTATCAGATCGTACCAGAGAATATGTTTGAAATGATGGGTAGAATATGGAGGTAATGATTTCTTGAGAGATCTTTTGTTCTGAAAGAAAGAAATGAAAAAACTTTCGTTTGAAAAATTAGAATTGATGGTTGGCGTGGTTTTTATTTTGGTTCATTGCCAAACTTGATCAAAGTTCTTCCTGCATCGACCGTTGCCTACCTAACATTCGAATATTTCTCACGTCTATTCGATATCGATGACTGAATAACAGAGCTACTTTTCTTTTTTTGTTTATTTGTTCTATATACTCACGCAATTTATTCCAAACTCGTTGGAGATAATAATCTCTAATCTTTTTTCGACAAAAATGCAATAGCATCTAGAGAAATCTTCGTGTCGTTTTATATATATATATATATATATCTATTCGTGCATGATCAAATTTACATGTATAGATTATTTTTCTACCTATATGTTCATTGTCTCATTCTTTTGATGAAACCTAAGTCATTGTTTGTTAAAACAATCAGTACATGTGAGCTGTTGATCGATTCGATGTGATAATGAATAATAATTTCAGATGGACAATCCTACCTATCGTGCTACGAGGTCATCACCAATCACCAGCGAGACAGATGGACAGATACGAATCAATTTCAACGACGTGTAAATATTGAAAATTTCTTCCTCATTAATTATATTTTGAGTTCTTTTCTATGTGTAGAGTCTTGTCGATGAATGAAAAGAAATCAGATCATCAAACTCCGTTCGAGTGAGTTAAATGAAAAACTACATGAAACATATATTTCATGCAATTCTCCTGTTAATTAGTTTGTTTCAGTATAAACTTCGTCGTTTGATTGAAAGTATCATTTTTCGAACAGCCATCGCAGTCCTGTTCATTGCCGATTTGATTATTATTATAATTTCAATTGCGCAAGGTAGACTCTACTTGTCCAAACTAGTTTTGAATGATATACTTCGTTATATCTTTTTTTTTGCAGAAGACGCTCAAGTTTTAAATGTGATTAGTTTGATTTTATCAATCATTTTCATGATCGATATTGCTCTTCGTATTCTCGCCCAAGGGTAAGATTGAACTGAAAAATTCAATATATTCGTCTAAGACTTTTTGTTGCGTTTTCTAACAGTGGTGAATTTTTTCAAAAGAAAATGGAAATACTTGATTTGGTTGTGATGACGTTGGGTCTGATTGTTAATATCGTCATCTTGAATATAGATAGCACCAAAGGAAAAGCTGCAAAGTATGTCGAATTTCGACAACGAATATTTCGAGAGCTATTTTTCTGCTCAACTAGAATCGTTATTCTACCGCGTATATTTCGTGTGATAAATCTAGTTCGAACTATACGTATTATCCGTCATCGAGAACACTTCAAAACAGGTTCACGTCATTTAGTTGGACAGAATAAAAAGCGAACGATTGGCAACGGTTTTGATCTTGATTTATGTTGTATCAGCGGTAAGTTCCATGATCAGCTTTCTTTAGCAAAAATGTGTTTGCTTATGGAAAAGAATTACCCTAATATCAACCTGCCCTGTACACTTATTTAGATAGAATTATTGCCATGTCATTTCCAAGTAAAGGCACAGATGCTTTCTTTCGAAATGATATCGTTGTAAGTGAACCGAATGAATGAAGTTTCGGACATGCACTTGCGATTTCAAATTATCGAACATAATGATTATTCGTACCGCTAGAATATGTTGTGCGTCTGTTTTTGCTCGAGGATGCTGTTTGGGTGATTGGCCTCTCATGTTTTTGACAGATATAGATATGGATTAGATTTAAGGAATACATTTTTTCGTTTCTATCAATAGGATGTTGGTCATTATCTCGATTTAACATATGGTGATCATTATCGGGTGTATAATCTTTGCAGTAAGATTTTCTTTTGGAAGTTCAATTTTATAGAAATAAATGGTTCTTTTTCAGGTGAGCGTTATTATGATACAGTGCATTTTCATAATCGAGTAGAACGTATTCTAATCGACGACCATAATGTACCAAGACTAAGGTAAAGTCGACTGATGAGTTTGATAGAGTTGTATTTAGCATTGTCTAGCGATACGATTCGAATGGCAGATTCAGTAACCGAATGGTTCGATGCAAATCCTAAGAATGTTATTGCTGTTCATTGTAAAGGTGGAAAGGGTCGAACGGGAACTATGATATCAGTTGCATTATTGAAAACGAATGTTTGCAAAACTGCTCAGGTAAGAAAAGAGTCTTCTTTCATCTTAAGCAGAATTACTTAATGAAGAATGATTCATTGATGTATTTTAGGAAGCTTTAGATTTATTTGCTGAAGGACGAACTGATCTACGTCATGGCAAACAGTATCAAGGTGTCGAAACACCTTCTCAAACTCGATATGTTCATTATTATGAAAAGATTCTTCATGTTTACAACCATGCAATGCCACCACCGAAAGTCTTGAGATTAAATACAATTACTGTTACAGCAATCGCTGGTAAATATCTGAACTTTCACTAATGACGACAAATCTTTCTTAAATGATTGTATTTTAGCTGTTGGAAATGGTGATGGAAGTGATTTATTCTTTACAGTTGGAAGCTATGATGGTTCATTAGGTACATTTCAACTAAAACAGGATAATCAACTTGAGACCAATTCATGCAAAGTAAAACAAAGTTGTATTGATTATAATAAAGATGTTTATGTTCGTTGTCTCTTCAGTGTGAACATAAAAGAGACGAAGACAAAATCATTATTTCGGATATTCGTTTATCACCAGTGAAGGGTGATGTGAAAGTGATGTTCTTCTCAACTAACAAAGTAGAGAATGTTGTATTTCTTGATTCAAATATTAATTTTTCTTCTCGAATTAGAATGTACCGAAAAACTATGATAAATGCGCGTTTTACTTTTGGTTTAACACATCCTTTATCGAAAATAACTCGTATGTAGTTCACCAAGTTCTTTCATCGAATGAAATTTTTTCTTTCAGACTTCTTCTTAAACGTGATGAATTGGATAATCCTCACAAATCGAAAACATGGCACATCTTTCGCGAGAACTTCACCGTTTTACTTACCTTTCAAGATGAAGAATAATACAGTAGTTCATTTCATATGTTATTTTTATTTTATATATCAGATTCAATTGTAATTTATTTTAATGTAATCGAGAATATATGCAGTAAAGTTTTTATCTTTTGATTGTTTTGAAATTTCAACTGTGATGATTATTTCGTAAGGAAATTCGATTTATTTTCTTGTCCAAATAAACTATCGAATCGAATATCACCTTTGTGCACAGTTCTCTCGCAATTAACCTTTGAACGTTGGATAGAAATGAGTAACAACTGTATTTTATCTCTCTATTTTGTTAATAACAAACCACAGCAAAAGAAAAACAATTAACTAAATAAAACAAAACTGAAGATATTCTATGAGGTTGTTTGTGACCAACGTCGATATCGTTCGTAATCATTGTAAATATAGTTATTCTTCCATTGAAGTTTCGGTTCTTGTCCAAATGGTTCCAAATCGTGTCGGCATGGTCGGAAAACATCTTTCACTATCTGCTTAGCTTCTTTTTCTTCGACAGAACGCATCATGCGCAATCGTTGTACAGCTTCTTTTTCTAAACATGCATGATACCGACGTTTAACCCGTAAATCCACATCTAAGAAGCATTCTCTATCAAGTATTTCTCTTGGCCAATCATTCGTCTACTTACAACATCCTTTGAGCAAACCGCAGTCGGTAAAATTCAATGCACGTATTTGACTACACGCAAAATGCCGTAGATTATGTACATCGAACTTGTTACGACAATAATCAAATGCTTGTACAAGTCCGGTGATGATACAATTGTCGAAGGAAGATATCTGGTTTTGGCAGACAACGATTTGATTTGTGGCTGGATCAAACATGCCAGTCGGCATAGCAGCATCACAATGTTCACAACTAAAGTGACGTGAGAGATCGATCGGACAGTTATGGTCAGCAAGTGCTTGCACAAGAGTTTTAATCAATGGATTGGACTCGATCGATTTGATTATGTATCTTTCGCATTCGATCTTTCTTGCTAGATCACGGGTTGCCGAATCGAATGGGATGGATAATTGTAAGATACGTTGAGGAAATGTGATTTTATATTCTTTACCAAATCTTTCGGGGAAAAAGTAATAACCATAATCTTCTAATTCGGTTGGTCGACAATCTTTCTTTGCGTTTATGTAGCGATCGTCTTCGATATCAGTTTCTACTTTTGCTTGTGAAAGTACTGGCGGAGGAGAAGAAGGTTCAGGCGCCTTTTTCGTCCCAAACAAACTTTCGAAAACCATAGTAATTCTCTTGATCTACAGCAAGAAAAAAGCACATGTCAACAATCAAAATATGCCATACATCTGAGCTATTTTGTTTGTATTCACAAAGAAATACACACAGAGAAAAAAAGAAGAAGAAAAAACAAGTATTGTTCTATGTATATTTAACAATTAGAATAGAGTTGCAGCTCGTGCTATGTCAGTAAGATCTTCGTGAAACTAAAATACAGAGGAAAACAATGAATGAGAAACATATTGCTTATGCTGACATTACCTGATCTGGTTGCATTCCAAGCCGACTGAGTAATTCATTGCGTTCAATGAAACTAAGATCAAAATAACGCCAAAGTAGATCACCGTCGAGAGTATTCTTTTGTGGATTGTCCAGTTGTTTTCGACGTGACTTGCACGAGCTGAAATGTATAAATATCAATCGATGATCACAAAAATTCGTCGTAAACCTCGACTTACCGAAAACTTCGAGGATTTAAACCACCATATTGAGGAAACATTGTTGTGAGAGAAGTTTGTAACATGGCTAATCGTCGAAAGATTTTCTCATTTAACGGTACAAGACAACCGATAGCGCCATCAAGAGTTGCTAGAAATACAGTTTAATGTCAATAAGAAATGCCGTGAAAAAGTATCTTACGCATCAATAAAGCCTGCTTATTTTCAAAATTTTGTTTCGTTGTTAGATTATTCGTATTAACAAGAATTCTTGTCATTGACGTCACTGCGTATCCAATATGAAAATCTGATTTTCTCAGTAGCCATTGGCCACCTTGTGTTTCTTTTTGTGTTGGTGCATGAGCATAAATATACATATTTCGATCGACATCCGTAGCAACGAACTGTACGTGATTCTGATCAACGAAGAACTCTGTGGCGAACACATCCAATTGTCTTGAATCACGGCTCACGTAGGATAATACACGCATGTCTTCTTGATAGCGTAGTAAAGCAATACTCTTGTGCACATCACCAATAAGAATATAGTTTTTGATCGTAACCATTCGATGGCAATAGATTTGAATGTCAACGAATGCAATACCTTTGAGACTATTATTTTGGTATTGCCAAATGTAAACTTTTTGGCCTACTGCCGCTACCAAATAACCAAGAATAGAGTCGACAGCAGTGACAGGACCTTTTTCTTCTCGATCATGAACAATCTAATGAAACCAAGAAGTGTGTATGAAGTTTTCTATGACAAATTCATCTACTTTTAGTTTGTGTTTAGTTAATGGTTGATCGACTTCTGGAACAACTTCAATCACATCGAATAGAATGACACGTCCTCGACTAACCACGTCTTCATTGAAACAGTTCGCCGTTCCAACAGCGACATATGTTTTCATGAGATTGCCTTGAAATCTTAATGCAATCGTTTTCATACAAGTCACATGTTCCCATTCGTTCATGGTTAACCGAGCATTAGGAATTGGTTCCCATTTAATTGCTGAATAAAGTTGAACATAGAATTGTTCACGAATAGGCGAAAGGAAATTGGCTTCTACAAAGAAATCATCGAATAATTTATCAAAAAAGTTCAATAAATTTTGCCTTTTTGGTATGTAATCGTTTCACGATCTTCACCAGACGGTAGAACTAAGATATGTGTATATTCATTGGTACTTATCGTGGCAGCATATAACTGAAACATTAAATCAACTCACATAAATTTCCACATCTTTAACTTACTTTGCTTTCGACATGATAGCACAAGAAATGCACTAAACAGAGAGAAAGAAAAACGTTTTTTTTTAACAGGAAAAGGTAAACAAATTTCCCACCTGTTTGTTTAAATGGAATTCTTTGTAATGGCCATGGTGTATCCAATATTCGTTTGGATGGCATCATAGAAATTCTTAGATCATCTCGTTGATTGAAATACAAGTAACCATTTCGGCAGTTATCATTATTAAATTCCGCAAAAGTTTTTATAGGGCCATCGATATTCATCGGAAAGGTACGCAGATTTCCTTTCGACCTAGAAAAGATTTCAATCAAAACTGTACTAGGTATATAAATTCATCGAACCATATTAGCCAATATGGATGTGTACCACAAATGAATATTCCTGAACGATTAGCAACGTCATTGAAAGGTCTAAGTAACATTCGCTGATATTCATTCATTTCGTCGTCAAGTAAATCAGTTTGAACTGGAAGTAACTGGAATAGAAAATGGTCAGATAGGATGTGAAGCAAATCAAGGTATGTCTGTTACTTCTTGAGGGTTGACACTTGTCTTTCCTTGACTTTGTTGCGATTGTACAGCATCTCTCTGTCGTTTTGCTGCATTCTTCTTGGTACTAAATTTCTTTGTTCGAACTAATGCATTGCATGTCACACGATGAAAACGTAGTTTTAATCGATCTTCAGGTAGATATTGATACGGGAAAGCTTCGTATAAAACGAGATCTTCGTCAATTCGTGCCTGAGAGAAGAACATAGGGATTGAAATTTGAAGAAAAAAATTGATCTCGATTTCATACTTACAATGAGATGTACTCGATCTTTTTTTGGTCCTAGACCAATCACTAACAATTCGTAAACATAAGCTGAACATGAAGTTTCGATTTTTCCCAAATAATTTGTCATCGGCGGGCTTGAATCTTGTGTATCGACAAGTATTTTCAAAGCACTATTAAATCGAGCAATTTCGAAGCATAAAGTTGGGAGCAGAGTTTCGTCGAGCATCAATTCATGGATTGTTAATGTTCCATCTTTGCTCATTGCAATCAGCCAACGTGTAATTGGAATTACTTTCGCTGCTTCATTCTTCTCTGTTACGAGTGAATTTTCTGGATGGCCGATGTTGTTGGAGCTTTCCATGGCTTCAACGTTCGTTGTTGATGCTGACGGTATTTCGGACGTCTTTCCTCCGTATAGCCATTCATCTTCATCATCACCACCACCAGGAAATTCTGCTGCGGTAAGTGGATTCGTTGTCACAGACGTTTTTGTTGATGAAATTGTTCCATGACTAGGAGAGTTAATTTTGGTTACATGAGATGGAACGCCTGAATCGACAGCTGTTGTAAACAAACCGCTCTGATCCACATATAGATTAATGCAAGTATATTTTTTATCCGTTAATTTGTAGTATTCTAAAAGCTTCGGTGGCTGATTTTCATCTTGAAGCAGTATGTAGATATAAATAACACCATGTGTGGTTAAAATCGCTAAATATCGATCCAGACTTGTAGCGAAACGAATAGGATTATTTTCGCAGGAAATCGTTTGTATCTGTGTACTATCACGTAAAAGAACAAGATGTAATCGTGTTACTTGTACAATTAATTTCTCGCCAATATTTCCACAATAAATTGTCTGTTCATTAGTTATAAAACCTCCCTGTTCCAATTCGATGATGTCAGCTCCCGTTTGAAATATTAACGTTGAAGTTTCTTGACTAATCAAAATAAATGAATGTTCGGGTTTTTGTTCAGAGACTCTCTCCGATGAATACACCGTCCACATATCAATCGATCCAGGGAGAGCTTGAGTTGTGATCAGGTCGGGTTTGATTGTCTGTTGCAAGATGGAAACCGAGCCACATTTACTTGTGCCTGATGTACTAACAAAATCTAATTGTGTTGTTTGGTATTGGGGAAGAACATGCCGTTGAATCAGGCGTGTTTCTTCACTATCACCTTCGCCAATGATGGCGTAGCCACATGGTGCAATATTAATTAAATTATCACAGTATTCAAATGAGTAAGTATGACTTTGCTTTTTTGACTCCATCGTACCGGATTCACTGGAGAAGAATATAATATCGGTTTTATTATTTGGAGTGATTATATCCATCTCGGAATCGAGTGAGTCCGTTTTGGTTGGAGGCTCATTGGCTGCCTCAGTTGGCTCATCGGTATCAGTTCCATTGTTGGTATTCTCATCCCCATTCATTGTTTCAATTGTATCGATCGATGTTGGATCAACAATTGCCTTCTCATTCAAACGAAGTAACAACGAATTTCCAAGACGTGAGCCAACAAATATCAAATTATCATCGCATTTGCACAACTACAAGACAAAGTAATAAACACATCAATATATATATATCATTCTACTTACACAACTACACAAGACAGTTGATCCAATTCGATCGAATGTAAATTCTTTCATAGTTCGCATTGTATCCGTATGTAATGTTAATAAATATACATCACCCGTTTTAATCGATATAAGGACCCTATCGTTCGATATAAACATCGCTTCAGCTGCATCCAATGCAATTTTAAGATCATACAATGGTCTTAGAGGGTACTTCGTTGATTCACGTGTTAACGTATTTAACGCCACACCATATGACGGTATACTTTGATTGAGATAGATTATAGAATTTGTTGCTAGCACAAGTATACCACCGATAGGCTTTGGTACTGGTAAACAACTCAAACAGTCATATGGTAATTTATCTACAGGCCATATGACCGGATTTGATTTTTGAGCAACATTGATGGATAATGCAACACTACAGCAAGTATCTTTCTTGACAGCTACACGTCCGACCCAGGTTCGACTTGATTCGCAAAGAATGAATAATGTTGGTTCATAGTAACTATGTAAAAACTGTAGATCAATTATGCGGCCAGTTAGTGATGTATCAAGTTTTTTCAATTGAATGATATACGAAGGTAACGATGAATTTCTCGATCCACCAGGTGTTAAGCCTAAAACTCAGACATTGTTTTTCGTTCGATTAAATCAATTATTTCTACCTGCAGTACTTGGAAATGTATCACTTGTAATAATTTCTCTATCTAATTGACTGTAAAATGGTATGACGACAAGTTTGGAATTGTAAATAAGCATGCATGCACAACGCATATCTGGATCTATACGAACAATTGGTTGAGAAAAGTTGAACCATTGGCCTTCTTTGGCTAATTCATCTTCAAAATAATGCATCGATAAAGTTTTCAAATCTTGTGTACTGGAATCGAATTCAATTAACGATAGTTTCGCGTCCATAAACGATAAAAATAACGCATCTTTCATCAATGAGCCAGCACGACAAGGTGTAATTGTACAAATATTGCCCCAAAGAACAAACGTATGTAAACAGTCTAGTTTATTAGTTTGCTTATTGATACGATAAACATAAAGATGATTGGCACTAGTTAATAGTAAATTATTTTCTACTGGAGATATAAAACAAGCCCAAACGGCGTGTTCAATACTGGTTGGTGGATGGATAGTTTTATAAATCGAAAACATAGTGACGATTTCTTACTAATCTAGAAGAAAGGAAATGTTTTTGATTGATGAAATTCAAGATACGATAACGAACGAATTCCACCTATCAATCTTTTCCCACTGGTTTAATGATGATATCATCAATAGGGACGAACTATCCTCTTCGTAGTTTCTATGCAAAAAGGATTCAATGACATTTACCTGAGTAATATTTGATAGGTAGAAGAAAACTTTCGGTATGTGACGATTTATTTCTTGGGAGGGGAAGATTTCGATTTTATCTTAGTAGTTTTCATCGTTTTATTACTTAACAAAATTCTTCGATGTCATCGTTTTATTTTTTTTTCGAATATCTTCAATTTTTCTCCTTTTCTAAAAGATAAATTTTCGGTGTGTAACGCATTCTTAACAACATTTGATGGTCCAGATAAAACCCGTTAAATCCACGAATAAAATCAATTATTTGTTGACCTCGAGATAAGTACGGGCGTAAATGATGATCTTCATCATTCGTTGCTTCAACCAGTAAATAATCGAAGTCCGAAGATAAAACATCAACAGTTAAGTTTTCCGTTTTATTATAACTAAAAAAGCTCAAATCATGATTAAAATTATGTGACAAGAACAGTATCACTTACGTCCAATGATTCAATTCAAGAAAACGTGATACTCCATTTTCTGCGGCATATACATCAATATGCACCGTTGCTGATGAATCGACTAAAATGATTGAAAACTTTGTTTTTGAACAATTCGGACGACCGATAGTCATTTACATTTCTTGTATGATTGCAATTTGAGTAAAGCATGTGCTCCGGGATAATTGTAATGTGACGCAAACAATGAGATACCTGTTTGAAGTAGATTCGCGGCTAGTAAACCCAAAACAACGAGTTTGACAATCAATGCCCAACGTCGTCTCGTTTGAAATCTGTGTGAAAAGAAAGAAGCTCACTATAGATTCAGCAAGAATATTTCGAGAAATCTATACGAACAACCAAGCACAGCCTTGAGCAATAGCTACATTCAAAATTGGAAATGTATAGATGATAAATCGAAGTTCTTTATGTGGTAAAATGGAATAGATCAGAATGAATAAAACATTAGGGAAAATAATCCATTGAATATTACGATTGATAATTAAACCTAATGGGAGAAGAATCAGCGATGCACCGAGCGCTCGTGGTAGAACGGAATAGAAATACCAGAGAAATGGAAATGTCTATCGAAAGAAGAAGATGAAAGTGAAGGAAAATATTCTGCAAAAGAATCAATTAGATTTTCGAAAATTCTCTTCTCTTTTGAGAAAAAGGATACACCCCAATGTGAACTTTTATTTAAAATTGTATTAAAATATAACACCTCGCCTTCCGGCCATAGCCGTCGTTGCCAAAAGTAGCTATCAACGATTACGCTTAATCCTGAGATAGAATTAATCAATCATTATATAACAAAAGAATGCAGATCATTTACCAATGGCTAAAACACTTGCAAATAAGCCATTCACGAGCGTTTTCGTAAAAGTCAAACGTCGTCGAATGAACACTTCTTGCAATAAAATTAAACCCAATAAAACGACTAATTCAGATCGAAAGATTAGTATTGCAAAAGCTGATGTCCAAACAAGCGATTTTCCTCGTCCCGCAAGCCAAAACGCGAACGAGTGCAAAACTAAACAGAGAAAATCATGTTGCTGGTTTGTAGTAAATCAACACGAACCAATGACAAGTGCAAAGATATTTGGTAACGTTCGTGTTGCATAAAACAGAAAATGAAACTGTGTCACAATCACAAACAACCACCAGCGTCGTGTTGATATATCACAATAACCTTTTAAAGACTTATATAAATGAGTTAAACCAGAAATGACTAATAAACCAAGGATAATGCGAACTTAAACGAAATCAAATTCATTATTTCGTGTGAAACGATTGTTCGTTGTTTACCAATATACTGTAGGTAAAGATGATCAACAGTGGAATTATCTGCGAATGGCCATGCTAACATCGCAATTAGAATCGGTCCGAGAAATGTTCGAGGTACCACTTAAGAAACACAATGCTATACCTTCTAATTGTCCTTTTCATGTTCATACCTCCTGAAAATTCTAAATGATCATACTAAAATACAAAACAGATTCTTATTTCTTTTCTTTTCTTTCAATTATGAATCTTACTTTCGATACGTTCAAACGATGAATGAGCAAATCGTGGATTGCTTGTAAATTGAAACTTTCTTCGACTTTGGTGAATGGACAAATGAATAGATGAATGAGACAGACAATGAAAAGAAGGACGAATGCTAATAACCAATGCATTCTCGATCTGAAATTATCACAAGAATACGTTCATTGGCAAAGTCTATTTCGAGAAACTTTGTTTATTTGTAACAGACGACAAATAGAAAAAGAAAACACCACAGAGATACGTTTGTTGGATGGTTGATTTTTTTACAAAAAGTATTTTATTTTCCGAGTAAATCCTTCGATTCTTGTTCTTCTTTCAATAAATCATCAGATACATATTTTGCAAGTAGTTCCTGTTTTTTCCGTTCCAATAAAGCACGTTCGATCTATATGCAAGAACATTTGTGTACAATAAAAGTATGATTTCCAAATACAACTTACATCTTTTTGACTAGGAACAGGCACATGTGCAATGAACAGATGATCTTTTGATGTAACATCCACATCTGTTCGAGACGATCGACCAGCAACATTATCTTCGTCATCGGACTAGAAACAAGCATTCAGATTCAATAAGATTGCTTTCTAGAACATACATTCATTTCAGGTAAGACATAAACTTCATCCATTTCAGTCTCATGTGTTTCCTTATTTTTCCATTCTTCAATCTTCTTTCGAATGGCTTCTTTCTCGCATTTTTCTTCAGTTGGAACGAGTAATCCGTCGTCATCATCCATATAACCATAGTAATCTGCGTCGATATTTTTCAGTAACTCACCACGTGGCCTCTTCTGATGTTGAAGCGCTAAAATTTGTACAAATATCTCATAAAAACCTCGAAATAAAACCGATCGATTTCTTACCTTCTTGTTCGAATAGTTCCCGTACTCCAGGCAAATCTTTTGCAGCACCAAAGTATCTTAAATAGACAGCAGAACAGAGCTAGTTTGATATTCAATTGCAGATTATTTTCATTTACTTATATCCACGATTACCGGGTACTTCTTTCCCCTCATTGTCAAGCATTTTCGGTGCTGTCTTTTTGAAATCTTGTCCGCCAAGTTCTTTGACACGATCTTCCCAATGGGATTTTTCTCTTAGTAATTTATTGATCTCATCATTGAGATCACGAATTTTATATTCACCGAGACCAGCTAAAATCGAACAGACGAGTGAGTAGAGGGAAAATTTATCCAGACAATTCTATGCATACCATTTTGAATTTGTGCTACCTTGCGTGCTATTTCACGAACTACTTGATATCGCCACCGTTCTGCTTTCTTCACGTTTGTTTCTTCGCTCGCCAAAGCTGGACGACGATCTACACGAAGTTTTCCTTGCTCTTTCAATTGTAATTGCCGCCAGCGAGCTAGGGCGGTCATTGCTTTTTCTGAATTACGAGCCATTGTCTATACTTGATTTTAAACAAGAAATAGCAATTCTAGTTGAGAAATTTCGTGTAAAATAAGTATCAAAATGTACAGGTTATTTCATTGTTTCATTGCTGGTGGAACGTTTCCACCGTTGAAAATTCAGATCTATAGATGACGCTGGTGAAGCTTCGGTTCCAGTTCAAGCATCTTCTGATAATGAATGAATCAAGAATAACTTTTATTACTAAAATGATTCCATTTGTATCTTCAATATCTTGAATACATACGAACGAAGTCCCATTGCTCTCGAAAGATCTTTCTGTGAAGTAATAACTATAGATCAATCTGTAATTATACCATCTATTCTAGTCCTATATTTAGAAGTTTCGTCTCAAACTTTATTTTTCTTCATAATTGTTGACTTGATACGTAAATTATCAAAAAAAGCCAATCTCTTCCCTCAAAACAACATTGACTAATTGAATATTTGGATTTTATCCATGAATATGATTATACAGGTTTATATTTCATATGATGAACATATGTAAATACGATATTCTTTGTTTTCTAGTAATTTTTCAATATAGATTATTGTTGATTAAAAAATATTTTCAATTTCATGATGATCATAGATCGAAAGAAGAAAATATGAGAAATTCCATCCAGGGTATTAATGTCATACTGTTGATTGATGCGGAAGGAAGATTTCTTTTTTGAGATCGTATTTGTGTTTTTACATAGACAACATGAAATGATTAGTTGCGAGCAGTGAAAGTCCCAATGAAGGAAAAGAAGAGGAAAAAGAACGAATCTAAATTCCTATCCATCTGAATTGAAAACATCATTGTCATATTTTCTCCCTGGTTAGACTGCGTTCCTCGATTTATTCACCATCATCATTCTATTTGTTTTTTCACTGTTAGTTAGTAGAGAGTTCGAGACAAGTAGAGAATATTTTCCTCGTATTTCGATTAGTAGAAGGAACATTCAAGCTAGATGGTGAACAGAGAGAGAAAAACTGAGAACAAGAAAAGAAAAACTGACGAGTTCTATCTTTCTCGGTCTTTCCTATTTTTCATCTTTGTCTAGCCTTTCTTCTTCATCTACGCAGTCAAAATATGAGAGGCGAGTGTACTCATTGCTTGGCTCGACACTTTAACATACTTACTATCAATATAATACTCCCGTATATTTTTTCTTAGATCAGCAACAACAAAAATAACAACATGAAATCAGTGATCATAACTGCACTTACATTGTTAAGCTGTTTTACTTTTAGTGAAGGTAGTTCTTTGCGGAATTTCTTTCGAAAATGCACTCATTTACTCTCTACTTAGCACTTCAATGCTACTCACACGATATGTGCTTAAATAACTGTAAGCCATTGGCTGAGACGATCAAAACGTGTGGCAGTGATGAGAACAGATGCTACAAAGGAGCTTTGGCCGGCGGTGTTACTCGTGGTTGTGCCAAAGACATCTGTAACATTCAAGTAAAATCCTCGTTTTTTTCACTAATTTCAGTACTAAATTGTTTTCCCTCATATAAAACTTTTTAGGTTGATGGCGGTTCACAAGCAGCTAGCGTTTGCTGTGAAAAAGACTTCTGCAATTCTGCAGTTACATCGAAATTATCCCTTAGCACATTATTTATGCTCCTTGGCATGTTCATTTGGGCTCGAATGTGAAGATCAAATGGATTAGTTACTTTTTCAAAAACTATTCATATCAGATAACCTAGCGCATAGTGTAGTGTATTCTTTATCGGTCTAATTTAATAAATTTTGTCTTGTATCTGTGTATTCATTTCATCCACATATTGGCAATGAAAACATCCTCAATAGTGAGCGACCATACATAGGTGAAATACTCTAATTGACTGATAATCATTGCATGTGAAGAAATACTTCTGGAATAATCGAACTGAATTCTCGGTATGAACTGTCTGGTCGGTTGAAGATTCTCCTTAGACAATCGCGTCGAATTTGAGACGATCTAACTAAATTCAGCATCTATAATTGAATAAATCTAGAATTAAATAACAGAAGAGTATTCAATTGATTCTATTTGCTTCGTAAAAAGACAAAAAAAGAAAATACAGCACGATCATTTCGAGTTCTTTGAGTTTATCGTCGGGAGGATTTGAGTAGAGCTGTCATAGGAAGCGTTTTTCATACGAGAAGAAAGAAAATTAATTATTATTAACAGCATGTTGGGAGTTTCCATCTATTACGATTGTGCTATTATCATGAGAGTATCGAACGTTCAGATTTTGTTTTCAATGAATAGAACATTCAAGAAGATCACGTTTTGTATGTGATAAATCAGATTTAACTGCGTATTTAATAGGAATAAACTCATATTTCCTCATCCTAGGTAGCAATATTTTACTTCGGAAATAGAGAATAGAACATATTACAAAGCTTTCAGCTCTTTTCTTCGGTGGTATAGAATCATTGTCAAAAATGTTTTTTCATACCTGAGAACAAAAACATTTGATTGATGAATTTGAAAGCCGAAGAAGAACTTATCGAAATCATCAATACAATGAACGTACTCTATGAAAATCAGTCTTATCTGAAAAACTATATACATTGATAAAATAACAACTGATCCTAAAATCAATCTTTCAAATGTTTTACTTCATAAACCCAAATAGTATGGTGTTTGTACAAGTACAAAGCTTACACATTTTCAACATTGAACTTGTTAGATCCGTTTAAGAGTGTAAGCAAGGTTTTATTGTTAATAACGAACAACTAAAATGCACACACTTAAGCTAAGAAACGTGGTCTATATATATGTCTGATCCACCGGATATTTCCAATATGATTATATCGGAAAATACCTGTACTATTACATATATACATGACTCAAAGGAGAAGACCACTGAAATACATATCGAGGTCAGCAGAACGAACAAAACATATGTATATATATATGAGGAAAACGAAAGAAAACATATTGGAGAATTCCATATCTCACATCGTGGAATATGCCATAACGGAACTTCTGAGAATAACATACGTCTTTATTCCAGATAGAGATATCTCGAAAGAAAATCATGAAAAGTTTGCATAGACTATGTCTAGACTACAGAATGATCTCATCAATTTTTGATCATCATTTTAAATTTGACTACTAAATCAATAAACATGAGAATGTGGGATGTGTAATGGTATATCATGTTTAAGTCAACGAAACTCCTCGTTCATACAGTGTCTTCGATTGTGACCTACTACGCCTTTCAGTTGTTACGTAAGTTTAATGCTTCAATGAAGAGTTATTAAATCATAAGATCGTTTAAATTCAAGTATTCAAATCTGACAAAACATATTTCTCCTAACATCATCCTTTCGTATTTGTAAATTCTTTCTTCAATAACTTGTTCAGTTGACAGCTGTCAACCTGCAATGCATTTAATGAAATATTACGGAAGTAACACAGTTATGTATTCTCATTTCTTTCCATTCATCTCGTCCTTTAGATATATATATTGAATTTTTAATCTAACGAATATGTTCATTATTAAGTAAGCAACATAAGTAGTTTTATTCATATAGAGAAAAAGAAAGCGAAAGTGGAATTCAAATTTTTTTTTTATAAAACCGCATTTTTTCTCTTGAGTTTAATGAATATTTTATACACATATCAAAGATTTCATTTCGAATTGGATATGTTTCAATGTCGGATTTTAAATAAACATTTCAATCTTTCTTCGTTTCACTTGAATGTAACGTTGATTACATCTCCTTCTTCTTCTTCTTCTTTTCCGTCTTCAATAATCATTTATGTTTATGTTGTTATCTTGAGGAATTTTTCTTTTAAAAGAGAGCAAAATTGAGCAATGAAGCAATCTAATTTAGTTGCACACATCCGCTTTTAGTCTGCGACTTTCTTTTTCTTCAACAATCCCAAAATGATGACGCGACTGCAGCACATATATAGTAATCAGAGTATGTCTTCCGTCTTTTTTTTAGAACATTCTATTTAGTTTAATCAATAGGCTGAGAATACGAGTTGATTTCCTTTCGTTTTGACATAACTATATGCATTTATTTATATATACATCGATGTCGCAATGCAAATGCGACAACGACGGAAATTGAAGACGGGAAAAGAAAGATTATCCCATCATCATCTTTCATTCGTTATTGTTTTGTTAATTTCAAGAATAACTAATCTACTCCAGCTTCATTCATTCGCATCGCATTTGTTAATGACCTTGTAAGTGAAGCCTCATCTATCTGTACGATTAGTTTTGCACCTGGTTCTATTGAACACTTGTGTCTAGCGGTTTGAATTTCATCTCTCGATTAACAATGATCAGCCTTGAATCGAAAGTAATTTGTAAGTGTGTATGTGCTTTATCTGGTGTGAAAATTCATCATTGAAAGAGCACTAAGAACAGTAAGCAATTAAACTTCTTCTTCTTCTTCTTCTTCTTCGTTTTGTGTACATATAGGATACATTTATTCGCTTGGGGAAATTACGATCAATTGTTCGTTCGACAATTAAACATCTGAACTTTTTTCCTTCTGTCTAATAACATTCACGGAAGGAAAATTTTGATCGATTACTAACGAATCAAATAAGAATTCTAATCACCATGAGATGCCTCTCTTTGATCCGATCGTCGTCTTATTCGNAATCAACAGAGACCAATGTAAGTTCACTTGCTATTTACCTATTTTGATTTCGTACAATGAAACGATACTGACCGACAACTTCACCTACTCATCTAGGATAAAGGCCTAATTACCGTTGTCACATCTATTGACATCACTGCTGCACAACTTGAAAGTCAACTTGATTCTAATGGATATAAATGTTTTTGTCAAGCATGGTCGGCAACAGGTGGAACATTGAAGTCCAAAACAGCGACCATCGAAATTGCTTGTAAGTTTCTCTAATATCGGTTATAGAACGGATCAAATGCTTTGACATTTATCGACAGATTAACTCTGATTAGCAAAGAAAACTTCTTTCCCAATCAGATTAAATGCAATTATCAGAACATAAACGATACAATAATTTCTTTTAGATTTGGATAAAGTATTCGAATGGGAACCATTACGAACAGATAGTGTTATTAGTAAATCAGCGGAATTACGATGTCGTCCGCCAAGTGGTAATCCATATCCAAAAGTAAGGTCTATTACATCATTAGCTTTGTATAAATAAATAGCTCATCATCATCATTAGTATTATATGAACAGATAATTTAGTTAGTCTTCTTTACTCAATCGATTCTCGTAATACCATCGAGTCATTATTTAAACACGTTGTTTCGTACAACGAAGAATATGAGAATCGATTATTCAACGAGTTCCTCTAATAATCCAACGATACTCGATATCCCGATAGGCGGTATACCTGTTAGATGTATTTGTTCACTTCAATTTTCAATCACACGCCTGCTGTTACCACACGTACTCAGACAAAAGTATACTAGCGAATAATCGATGAACTAATCATCATCTCGTCACACTCGTAGTTTAACAAGTAAAGAAGAAAGACGAAAAAAGAAAAAAAAAGTTGAGATCTGTATATTTAGTAAATTGAAAGAGGAAAAATGAAGGACTAATTGTTTATTGAATTTTGAAGGTAACGTGGTTGAAAGATGGGCACTCAGTTGACATAAACCGCAATGGAAGATTCATTTTATCAAATGAAAATTCTCTACTCATCGCGCAAATCAAAGCAACAGATGCAGGAAATTATACGTGTGTTGCAACAAATATTGCAGGCACCTACTCAACTGAGCCAGCAGAACTAATCGTTCATGGTATAGACAACTAGAATGAAAATACTTTTTTGTTTTATTCCATTTTTTCTCGTAGATGATCGTGGATGGTCGGAATGGCAGCCGTTTTCAGATTGTAAAGGTGTACCGTGTAGTATTGGCCGTCAGAAACGTATTCGTACATGCCTTAATCCACCGACAATTACCAATCGGCCTAGTTGTGATGGCGATCAAATTCAAGAAAGAGAATGCCAAGTTACTTGTCCAAAAGATCTTTCATCACCACCTTCGGGTGCTATTAGTCCAACAGGTTTTTCTTATCCATTAGACTCAAAGTCATTTGTAGTGTCTTCTCTTCTTTGTCATTTAGACGATAGTTTTTCTGAATGGTCTTCATGGTCTGACTGTACAGGCCCGCCGTGCAAAACAGGTCGTCAGCAACGTATACGTGCTTGTTTAAAATCATCCGTAACTGATGATAAAAAGCCTATTTGTAATGGTGAACAAATACAGGAACGTGAATGTCTTGTCCCTTGTTCAAACAAAACCTCATCATCGTCATCATCATCATTTGCTCCTGTTCGCACATTATCAAATGGTAATCATTACTTTTAATATAAAAAGAACTCGTTTTCACCTCTTTTCTATCGATTTGTAGGTATGTATACAAATTGGACTGAGTGGTCTACATGTCGCACGTCAGATTGTACATCGATACGTACGCGTCAGTGTTTACAAGAACCCTGTCTCGATTATTTAGTTGAGAGTCGACCATGCAAAGGAAATCTTTGTTCTAGTGAGTAAATGATGATGACCATCCACTTGATCTTTCTTTCAATGAAATAACCGATTGAATTTGATTAGAGCGAGAGGCGGCGTCTAGTCACATTTCCGACACTCTTAAGCAATTCCATTGTCTGGACATTGATTATTTCAGAATTTCTTCTTTTTTTTTATTTAGATATTGTTAGTAGTAGTAGCGGTACTCTCGTTTCGTCGTCTGCTCTTAATGTGATCGTCTACTCATCGATTAGTATCGGTGCTCTCATCTTCCTGTTACTAACCATATTATTTTTCTTGATTTGTTGGCGTCGTCGACAACGTTCAACGTCAAAAAAAGGTAATTGTCGTGATTATATAATCTTTCTCATCTCCTCTTATCATATCTACTTCTCCGTCTTCCGCTTTAATGAGAGTTTAGACTAAACACAGTGACATTTGCGCACTTATAAATAAATATTTCTCCTGTACTTTTCCTCCTCTTCCTCTACTTCTCTGAAACAGCTGAACTTTAATATGTGTACAGTCGTAAAGCGGCAAAAGTGCAAATTGGTTGAAAAGAGTTTTTTTTTCTGCTACGCATATTTATTGATCGAATAAAACAATGAAATTGAGATCAAACTGACAGATAGCAATCTGTGCATATGTGTATGTGTGTGGACAGAAGAGAACACCGCAGAGATAATTGTAGTGCGTGTCTGTGATTGTGTGCCGGCGGTCAGTCAGTGAGGCCACTCGATAGATTAACGAACTGAGAATGAATGCATGAAAAGAGAAGAATAAGGAAAGAAAATGGGAGGAACGCTTATCATCTGCAGCATGTGTATTAATTTGCTCAATACGTTCACAATTGTTGAAAAGAATTTTGATGATTTTTCTCTTTGTCATGTCTAATGAGAAAAATCAATCGAGAAGAAAATAATCAATGTCTACATACTAGAAGTAATAGAAAAAAGCTACTGAACGGTTATCTTAATCGTTTTTTATTTCACGATCAATTCACATCTGATCAAAATCTAAATGAAAAAGAAATTTCAGAAAGAAAACGTCAAAGTAATCTTCCCTGATGAATTCTCAAGGGCCAGTTCAGTCGTGCTTCCTTGACTCATGCAGATATCTGATATAGTTAATGACATTTTCTGATTAAATTTGATATTCCTAAAGTCAATATCTCGACTTATTTAGTTACACTCCTTTTTTTCCTATTCACTAGGTCTACCGAAATGCATAGTGTCGAAAGGCACCAGTAGTAACGGCAGTAGTCATCTGGGCGTATGTCATACTGACAAAACCGAATATCCTTTTTACTATTCGATTCAACAAGATACAACATCCACTAGATCATGTGCATCGCAAAACAATTCGGTTTCGTTAACAAATTTCGATTCAGGATTAGAAAAAGAGAAATTATTGTTACTTAATGAATCGCCGTTGAATCGACAAATTTACGCCGCTAAATCGTCTATACATCCTGCTACATTAAGTACAACTAGTTATGCATCTCATCATATTAGATATCCATCACTAGCAAGTCAATCAATTACAAACGAAAATCATTTAAATCTCATCTATGAAAATATTCTTCAGTCATTACCAGAACATACAGATCTACGTTATTTCGCTGTGTCTATTCTTAATAACAAAGGTTGTCGACTGGAAATTCCAAATACAGGTGTATCATTAATAATTCCTGAAGATGCTGTTCTACTCGATGGCGATCATTTAGTATATATTGCTTTAGTTAATATCGAAAATCAAATGCCAGTGTTAAACAATGGCCACACACGCCTGTCACCTGTTGTATTAGTTGGCCCATCTGAAATCACTCTATTGAAACCAGCTGTCCTTTCATTCGAACATACAGCTGTATTGGAATCTTCGTGGAAATTGAGTCTGATGTTCAGTGATGATATTCTCAATTGGAAGTCTATTCTCACATACGGACAAGAAAATATATCGACGCCGGTTTATTTACAATTCAATAACCAACAACAAATGTCGATACTTGTAAGTGAATTCTAATCTTGAGAGAGTCTCATCATTTCTTCTTCTCTTCTTTGATCTTAGTTTGAAACAATGGGCGCGTACGCATTGATCGGCGAATCGGTTTCGAAACATCATCATGCGTCGAAATATATTCAAATGGTTCCATTCTATAATCGTTCATCGACCGACACGATATCTAATGAAACTGTCTCGACATTACGTTTACGTTTTCTCGATGCCACAACGGACGCGTTGGAACGTTGTTTAACCGAAGAATTCGCGTTACAAAATTACCTATGTGACCAACCGAAAGAATTCGTTCTACATGATTATGAAGATCAAATATGTATCAACGTGGATTTGGAACTCTCATCCACGTCAAGAATTAACATTGGCTACAAAGAAATCCCATTGAAAACATTTTGGTCAACAAGATTTGATCGATCGTGCTTTATTTTTATTATTCCTAATATACAACTGAATAATGAACATTCATCAACACCATTTATCGACCATTTAGCTATGCATATCGATGTCTATCAGCCGACGATACTCGACAGTGCATTACACACACGTTTATGTATTAACACACATAATGTAAGTAAACTAACGAGATCGATACGGATCTTTGCTTCAATGCGACATTCATTTGTCCATTCTAGTTTCTACATAATCCGGGATATAATACATCTTCGATACGACAACGTCTTCCTGTGAAAACAAATAAAGAAGGATCAAAGTAAGAGAAAAATCAAACAAAAATCATGCTAAGCTAATCTCTGCCCTTCTACTCACAGATTATCGTCACTCGTTCGTCAAAAACTTTGTATAGTATTAGATCCACCGAATTCACTCGGCAATGATTGGCGCATGTTTGCAAATAATCTTCTCGGAATCAAGTAAGTTCAATGAAACGTTTCGAAACGATGACGAAATGTTTTCTGTAGTTATCTTCAATATTTCGCAACAAAATCCAGTCCAACGGAACATTTGTTAACCTTATGGGAAGCACGACAAGAATCACTCGTTAATCTGATCAATGTGCTTAATCAAATTGGCCGTAGTGATGCTGCTGCTATTCTTCTCCAACATTGATCAGATAGAGTCGATGATGACAGCGATATTTTCTTTATAACTTTTAGTCTCGTGACAATTTGTTCTCTTGGCTTGTATTTTTCTACGCAAGAATAACGTACCATGTGTCTTTTTTTCGTTGTTGCTCTTTTAAGTAATAAAAAGAAAAACCGACAAAGAAAGATATTGGGTTATCTAGACTACGAGAAAAGAAAAGCTCTGTTAACAATGTAAAAACAAAACAGGAGAGAATGTTTCAATATCTGAGACTAAGATTCTAAGCTAATAGGTCGTTGTATTGATTGTGGAATTTTCTAATTCATGAAGACGATTTTTTAAGTTCGATAAGTTCGTTTTGTATTTCGAATTGCATTTATCCAATTCTTGAGCATGTTGAGAGAAGATATTCTGAATCTGTTCACGTAACATCGATGTATCGTTCGTATCGATTGATGGAGAAATACGGTTATCACCAATGGTCGTATCGCTAAAGAATCTGCAGAAAAACAAGCGAAAGAGAGAATATCTTCTGACTATCAGTAGTGAAAATCGTTTCTTACCCGGAATCATCGGTGGGTCTGCCGTGATATTTTCGTTTCATCTCCGCATCGAGATCTTTGATTTGTTTGCGAAAGAACATTTCCTGTTCGTGTAATTTCAGTTCTAGTTCTTTCAATGTTTCGTGATATTGTGGGCGTAGAACAGCTTTGCGATTTTCGTAGATTTGTAACCAATGTCGAAGTTTATCTAATTCAACTTGCATAGAATTTCGAACGGCTTCGGCATTGGTTTCCTGATTTTGAATTTTGTATTGCATTTGAAGAAGCTCATCCTTTGCCCTGAGAAATTATCGATAAAGACATATTCGATCACGTTGTCATTCGATCATCGGGTACTCACATGATCAACTGCATATTCAATGCACGCAGTTCTTGTTCTTTTTCGTCCAGTGCTGCCGTAAGTCGTTGGATTTTCGTCTCGTAATACATGTGATTTTCTTGTCTTAAAAAGTGAAAACAACAAAACTGAAAGGAAACAGACAATATTTGATTTACTGGTATCGTTGATCCATGAGTGGAAAGCTCGATGATGGATCGGATTTGAGATTTCGATAGTTTTCATTTATTGGACCGCCCTATTACAAAAGAATTTCACATGGAGAAAGTATTAACGTTGGAATTTGTTTTACCTTCATGATACTTCTTGAATATGCGACCATGGTATTCAATTCATTTAACGTGCGATTGCGTTCTTCGATCGTTTGATTGATGCGATCTAAATCTTGTTCACTACGTCTTATACGTTGTCGTAGATCTTGATTGAGCCGATCGGTATCGAAGCCGTTTGTTGAATGTCCGAGTTCGATACGTTTCTTTTCGATTTTTTCCTTCATTTCGGTCACTTCTTCCAAACAACGTGTCTTCTCCGATTTCAGTTTGACTACTTCATCTTCTAGACTCTTACATACAGTTAATTTCTCATCAATCTGAGAAATCAGTCCTGGCAAACTGCTCTGTTCCTTCTCCTTGCACGCATTATGTAACGCTTCACATTTCTTCGCTAATAGATCACATGCTTCATCCAGTTGTTCTTTTTCGTCCAGGAATGTTTTGATTTGTTCACGTAATTGTCCTGACTCGTTTTTCATTTCACTGAGAATTTGACGATCAGCTTCGATATTATGTTGCAATTGATCGTGTTCAACAACAGCATCTTTGTATTGTTTCTTTAAACGCTGCTGTTCATTCGCTAATTGTTCTAATTCTTTTTGGGCATGTTTTTCTTGCGCTTGACGACGTTCGATTAGCCGTTCAAGTTCAGATAATTTATCTGATTTCAATTCTTTGACTCGTTCCAGTTCTTCCAAAACATTCTTATCCTATTTTTTTTCATAATAAAAGAAAAATTACTGAAAACTTTCGAAAAACATGCATTTCTTACTTGCAGAAGTTCCTGAGCGTTCTTTCTCAGTTGTTCATTGTATGCATCTAGTTCGGATTTGACATTGGCAAGCATGGCTTCGCTTTCGGTAACTTCAGTTTTCAGTGAACTAGATTTTTGTTTTTGCTGCTGTAATATCGCATGATAGCGCGAAAGAACACGACTATGTTCCGCGATTACATGTGAAATCTGTCGTTGCATTTCTTCCGGTGGAATCTTGGATGATTGAGATGGTGGTTGAAATGATGGTGAAGGTAACGAATTGAAACGTAACTCATCTTCTGTAGTAATAGTGGTGGTAGCGGATGTTAATTCTTGTAAACATTTCATTGATGTATGAAGAAGAGAATTGAGTGAATGGAACGATGCATGGAGTTGTTCGTCGAGAACAATCGCTAAAGCTCGTTTTTCATCGATGATCTAGAGGTAAAAAGAAGAAAGATCGTTGTTGAATGTTGAAGTAAATGAAGAAGAGAAAAACCTTGTCTAATTTAGCTTGTTCCATGGTCATTAGTTGACAATTATTCGATGCTTTCACAAAGGATTCATCTGCTTGCTTTGTATCATTAGTGAGAGTATACAGTTTTCGAGTTAAGATCTCGACTTTTTGTTCGAGGCCTTTAGTTTCACGTTTGGCAATTGCTTGTCGTTGACGAGCGGCTTTTAAGTCTTGAACAACCTGAAACAAGATAAGTAAATAAATACAGAAAAAAGGAGACAGATTATTTATTGACATACGCTATGTGATAACGAAGTCATTTCTCTCAATTGTTCGTTGGCAACTGCAATATCGCGTTGTCGTCGAAGAAGTTGTTGTTCCAAAATGAAAATATCATCCTAAATTAGTTTATGTTATATACTTATCGAAAGAAGGTGCATCTACTTGGAGATTTTCTTTATCGGTTAGATCAGCAATCGATCGTGATCGTTTGTGTGTTGAAGCTAAATCTAGAGCATCCATTTTCATTGATCGTTTCATTAATCGACGATTTTCCTGTCTCAGATCAGTTAATTCTCTGCGTTGTTGTTCAAGTCTACCTTCGAGATCAGCAATGGTTTGTTCTAAATCTGCATGACGCGGAACTGTACATATCCAATGGTTATCAGCAGATATGGGAATTAATCTGCCCGGATTGATTCGGGTTGCTTCTTCAGTTAGACGCGAAAGTGATGGACTTAAATTTTCATGCACATTTCGTTGGATTCGTTGAACTTGTTGAGAGATATCAAGAAGATTCGCTTCACTTCCACGACCACTGTTGATCATATCTCGATGAATAGTTTTGACACGTTCAATTTCTAAACATCGAGCCTTGATCATTCTATACAATGTCCTGAAATAGCTCACCTCGTATTTGTTGTTCCAACGAGTCTTTGAACACGTGCAATTGATGATCGTGTGGAAGATTTTCTTCTTGCTGTTGAAGTTTCAATCGAAGATAATCAAGTTCATCCGAAGTACGATCAATTTCACGACGAATTAAATTCGAATCTGTAGTTGGACTTTGTTCAACTTCAGGAAATTTCAAACTACGAATTTTAACTGAGACAGGAGAGACATTCTCAGATTTCGTCACTGTATCTTGACGAAGAATAATAGGTCCTTGTAAACGTACTTCCTCTCGATTATCTCGTGAGGATGTCGACGGCCGATTCGAAGAAAGAGCATCCGGTGGTATATTGACACATGCAAAATATTGAGAATCGGTATGAGTCAGTGAATGCGGTGGAGATCCATTGCCATAGAGAGGTAAAGTTTCTTGAGGAACCGTGATTGAATGTGGTCCGAGAACATAACCATCTGGTGTTGGATACAAGGTAACATTGCCAACTTTGGATGAATCATAGAAACGCTGTTGCTGTTGTTGTTGGTCAGCTCTTGTAGTGACAATACCGACGGTATATTCGCGATTGAATTGTTCGGGATCAATAAAACATTTGTTGTAGCAAGAGAACGGTTGAGTCGAAAGAAGAGATTCTAATTTATCATTGGTCTTCTTTGTCTCTCTACCCGTCTGTTGACTTGAGTAACCTGAATCATTGACTGTTGTTCGCGCAAGATCTCCCAAGCCAGACGTATTTGCTTGGCCACCTTTCATATAACCGTGAAGACGAAACAATAAGTCATTTTCATCTTCATCTATATTAGAAAAAAGAAACTCCATGATATCGATCTTGAGACTGTAAAAAATCGATAGAACGTTTTCAGCGATAACTACCGTTGATGGGAATCGTGTACTATATTCCACTTACCTTCCACATTTGATGTGGAGTCGATTTTTGTCCTTGGCTTTTGGGATTTTTCAAATGATGATGTTGAGGATGCACTCGATATCGGATTTTTAGTTAACCTTCGTTTTGATATAGGTGGTAAGCCTGAACGGTACGTTGCTGGTTCTTTGGTTGGTTGCTCTTGTTGATCAACTAGCATGGAGTCATCCTCGGCATTTCTCAGTTGTTCTTCAAGTTGACGACGAAGCGCATTCGAATCAGAATTCTCATTTTCTTCCATTAACAACGACCGATCGCGTGGTGTCGATGCAAAAAATGGATCATCTTTGTGATATACTGTTGTTTCATTATCTAACCGAGATTCTTCATCGTCGTCGTTGTCGTCGTCGTCGTGATTATCAGGATCTTGGTTTGTATCTTTCGTAAAAGTATTGTTTTGGTTGAATTTTGTTAAATTTCTATCTGGTTGCGGCGTAATTTTTTTATAAATATCTCTTAGTGCATCTCGGTTTTTCTCTTCGTCTGTTTTCCTTCGTCGTTCACAACTTAATTCACGTTTGAGTTGTTCAATCATTGTTTCCGATTTCGAGATAATATCTCGTGTAAATCGTTTTTCATCTTCCAAATGTTTCAGAATGCGTTGCTTCTCTCGTTCAGCCATGTCTTCAATGTGTTGAATACGTTCATGCGCTTGATTTTGTTCACGTTGTAGTGCACTTTTCAATTCGAGAATTTTATTTTGTGCTTCGTGTTCACTTATTTCTTTTGCTCGAAGTTGTTCAACATTCGCTGCTAAAGCAATCTCAAGTAGATCTACACGTGTCGATACACCTAAAATCAATACAAAAATAGTTCATATCGTTTCAACAACTTACAACAATCATAATCTTAGCATGTTCGATTACGTCTGACTAACCTTGATACACCAAACAACTGTACTCGTTCTTTTTTTTCTCTCCTTTTGTTCTCTTGTCTACTAACAATCTTTTACAATGCGAAAGAGCAAGCCTCGTAATTGAACTTTTGCTATTGATGTGTGAAAAAACGATCGAAAATGGTACATCATGGTAGTATGATGAGATAAGCGAGAGGGAGAGAACAAAGTCGAATTAGATTGTATGAGTAAATCATACACTTTCAATGAAATGATGCCATTGACATTGTGGGCACATCGAAATCGAAAAAAAGAATGACGAACATTTATTCTCAATGTTTGTTGAGCATAGAAACAAACGCAATCACAGCTGAATGTTTTGAATATAAACACAGAATGAACGGGAGATCGAAGAGAAAAAAACTGTATTGTAAATACCTGATAATGGAGTTCCTTGAGAAGATGTCAGTTCGAAAAATGTTTCACCGTTGCTAGGATTAGTTGATTGCGCTTCTTTCGCTTTGATAATATGTTGTCGGACACCTTCGTCAAGTTTTAATTCGATGGTAACTTGTTCCAAATCGGAATCCAAACCATTTCCTTGATCGGTTCGTAGATTGCTGAGAACGAGTTTCAGTTCGTGTACATCATCGACTTTATTCATTATTTCAGTCTGTAGATTATTCAGATCATCAGAGAGATGCTGCAGAAACAAACAGAAACCAACATCTGAAGAAAAATGTCAACTTTTCAGGAACTTACTTCCACTGTGGCATGGAATTCATCTCCTCGCGGTACACTTTGTAAACTTTCTTCAATTCGTTGTTGTTTAGCTTGCATAGATGTTAACTCATTGACACTCAGGGCAAGTTGTAATAACTTTTCGTTGTATAGTCTTTCGTCGTCTATTTTTCGGAAAATGAATGTTGAGCAGTTCGAATAAGATGTCTAACATACCCGCATGATGAAATTTTCCATCAGGAGCACTGCCTAATATTCGTTGAATGTCATTGGTTTGCCAATGACTAGCACTTAAAAGAAAAAGAATGAAAAACTTTTGTGCAAACGAAGTTTGTCGTTGAATTACCTAGCAGATCGGTGTTCTGTATTTTCGAGATATTGATCAAATGTGAAAGGACTGTCGTCATCAGTCCTTTGATCAAGACTATTTCTTCGATTTAGCTGTCTTGAGAGACCTGAGAAAGAAGAGAGAAGTGTTTACTTTTTGGCCACTCGAAAAGCTTTTTATTACTAAGTCGATCGAATTTTAAATCGATTTTGTAAAAAGCTAATTCTTGTTCGAGTTTAAATTGCTTCTCACAAGATTGATGAAGTAATGCGGTTTTCCGTTGAAGAAGTCCTTCACTAGTAGCTAACCGTTCTTGTAATTCCTGAAAAGAAAGTCGTGATATCAAACAAAATCGTTCATTTTTAAATATACGAAATCACAAAGGAGAAATTAAGAAGAGTCAGATCATATTCTACGCGAATTAGTTTCGTTACCCCGCGCAGTTTGTTCATTAGAACATCAGTGATTGTTTCAGGCAGCAAAATGTTCCCATTCTGTTAATTTAATCGAATTAAGAAGATTAGCAAAACTTGTCAGACACGATTACAAAGCACGACAGATCGCGACTAGTTGAAAAAAGCACTTCAAGGTTCATTCCTGTTCTCAAGGTTATTTGCCGAATGAAAACTTTCTCTCTTCGTTCATAGCGATGAATTCTTACTCGAATTTCTTTTGCTTGTAAAACACTTTTACTTTCAATTGATTGTAGTTTATCACTCGTTTTCTCCAGTTGTTGTTCATTGGTCGTTGCTTGAGTACTCAATCGTCGACATTCATTATCACGACGTTCTAATTCATGAAGTAGATTTTGGACTTCTTGCTGGATAAATCTACAAAAATCAAAATCTGTCTTCATCATCGAATCGTTCTTAAGAATATTCTCACTGTTCTTTCGCTTGTTTTCGCTCTTCATCAGTTATTCGAGTTCCGTCTAGTGTTTGCAAACTTGGCACATATGAAATCACAAGCAACCGATAATGTTCGTTTTGATCGAGAGGATTTCCTTGAAGATAAAGTTCCCGTAATTCATATAACGTTCGCAATCGTGCTATCTGATCAAATGACGCGATTTGATTGTTAGCTAAGTTCAAAGTTTTCAGTAACGATAACTTTCGTCCAAACCAAACAGGTACTGTTTGAATCTGATTTTGATGAAGATCGAGAATTTCTAGACGAGAGAGTTCTTCAATGTTCGATATTGTATTGATGAAATTGTTTGCTAAAAGCAAGTGCTTGAGCTTCTTCAATGTTTTCAATCCATCGATCTTTTCGATCAGATTATTCGACAAATCCAGATTTTCTAAGTTAATTAATGTTTGAAGATTTTCAATGTAACGAATCTTTTTATCACGTAGATTGCTGAGATTTAACGAACGAATGCGGCCGACGTTATTCTGTTTGCTTACTTTACGTAGAAATCCATCGGTAATATAGCGAATGCCATATTTAAAACGATCGACACTAGTTGCTGTTGGAGTAAAGGCTTGCGCGGTGGAAACGTTGCGAGTTCGACGACCATCCGTACTTTTTGATCGAGATGGAGATGTGATATGATCGTTGTCTACTTGTTCGTCGTCAGAATCGATGGAATTCAATGTATTACGGGAGGTAAAAGGTGAATCTACAGGTTCTGGATATCGACTATTACGGCTTCCCTGATCATTCGCTTCATTGTCCATGTCTCTATTGGAAAAAGAAGAAAATGTCTTTGTGGGACAAGGGGAATGTTGTGCACTTACATTGCTTCACCTGGCAAGAGAGAAACGGAAGAGAGAATTGATTCTGTCTTTCTTCAACTTCTTCTAAAACGAAAAGCTCATTAGAGTTATGAACTAGATGTGTCAAAGAATGTTTTCAAAGCTTATGTCATCAAATGTTCGGCTAGCCAATCACTTGGTTACTTCGTTCAAAATCAATACATATGCTTCAAAAATGCTACCCTTGATAGTATTCAGATGTCATTCAGGCATTTGTTACCATAGAGACATAGTTTTTTTTCTAAAGTTTACAGTATTTTTCCAATGTAAATAAGAAATTTTTCTACAATATAGTCGTATGAGAAGCTTCTACTCAAATTTATTTTTCTTACTGTGACCTCTATATGCCACCCTAGGGAAATTGAACAAAGATGGCGTTCGAATTAAGCTATGACCAAGAACAACTGTCCATTGCCTTAGACACTGTATACATACAGTCACCGATTTTTTTCTTTAAATATCATGGATCACAGAAGCTTCTACAACTGACAAAATTAGCAATTTGATATTGATACCATCGTGTTATAGATTATTTTCAACAGTAAAGTGAATATAATAGTATCCTTACCGAATATCGACTGTCATTCTACACAAGTTTCATAGTGCGATCAACCAACAATAGGATAGAATCTGTTTCATTTGCATTAGATACAATCTGACAAGAGTGTGCGCACATTTCTTACGCCATTTGTAGAACTTGTGTGACAAATTTTGATTTACCAAAACGATTTTACTTCACTTTACTCTATACAAAATGACTGCTGATGATATAATGAAATCCTTAGTACATACCATGGGTTTCATACGAGTCGTCTCTATTTTAATTATCACTTCGCCATTTCTATGCCGTATGTTCACAAGACGACATTACACATTAAATTTTCAATTAAGAAACAATTCAAATGAATTAGCTAGTCATAGTTCATTTCGCACATAGAATAATGTGCTTATAGTATATAGACTTCTTCCTATTCAATCGACATGGGATGTTATCTGGTTTGTGCAAATATACACATAGATATAAGAGCTAAATATAGATGAGGCACAAGCATTTAATTTCCTCAGTTAGACAGCTTCTCATTTCAATTTCTCTGTACTCATAAACACTCAGGTACAACATTTTAAAATAGAGAACACTATTCTGTCATTGAATAAGAAGCAGTTTCAACACAATTGTTTAACACAAGTGATATTGAAATTCAGCTCGATCCAATTCTTTAAGTCACATTTTATATGACTTAAATTCAAGTTCGAAAGTCATACTCGGCTGAATTCTCCACAAAACAAGCTGCACTGATAAAACGCTCGGAATGCTTGGCGCCCGTCAGTGTGTCTCATTTGGCATTGATTCTGTGAATCATCGGCTTCAACCAGTGTCGTGGTAAAAACAACATACGATGAAGATATCGTCAGTAAAAAATCTACAACCATCAGTAGAGATTGCTAATTCTCCCCATACATCACTAACAAAAACTGATAAACAACATTTTCCTCGAAAGTCAAATTTAAATTGTTCAAAAGCATTAATTTACCCATTTGTGGCTTGGTTCTTCTTCATTTTCTTGACAATACTCTACTTTATCTTCGTGTAGGTTGATTTGAAAAGTTCCTTTTCCATACAGGAAAACTCATTTGCAAAAACATCAATCTATATTAAGTTGCCCATGGTATTACCATAATGTCTCTGAAGCGATACCAATCATGCATGGCCTATTCGTATTTTACGTCGCGCAAAATTTTCTTCAGTCGATGTTAATGGATCCTGGAACGTATCATCCAAGTACATAGATTTTGGTCGAAAAGTCGTTTTCATTTCAACATACGAATAGGTCGCACTGATCAACAACATGATGAATCTCAATTAAAAACAGAAAGGATACTATATTCGATCAATCAGATGGACTTTGATGTGACATTGTGTCCGACATGTTTTATTGTTAAATCACCTCGTTCGCATCATTGCCGGCATTGTGGTTTTTGTATCGACGTGCGTATAATCACATACATTGAACATTACATATGTTTCAATCTTCTCTTTTCTTTACTTAGACTATGGATCATCATTGTCCGGTACATAAAGTGTCGGCTATAAATATAAACTAATCTTCATAATTATTCTAGTGGTTATGTAATTGTGTAGGCCGTCGCAATTATCGTTTTTTTCTCCGATTTTTGTTCATGCTTCTGGTTCATATCAACCTGACGTTTATTTGCTCATTATATTTAATCATAACCTTGCGCGATAACCTTCTACAAGTAAGAGTGTTCATTGCATTTATACTCGTATTTTGTACAGTGTTGCTCGTTGGACCGGCTGGTGGTCTTTTCGGGCTTCATATTATTCTTGTATCGAAAAATATCACCACTTTTGAACAGGTACCATCTTGATTACACTGTGGATAAACCAGTATTATTTTCTTTGTTGTAAAGGTTACTGGCAAATTTTTGAATGTCGGACGAAGTCCATTCCATCATGGCATTGTACAGAATTGGCTGAGAATATGTTGTACTTCCATAATACCGAGACTGAATGGATCCTCAAGAGGGAACGCTTATCAAGAGAAGACAATGCAACAGCATCCGATAGGACAGGATGAAAACAAATCGTTGTATGTCTGAAGGCGGATAATGTAATTCTTGAATTGCTGAAAAGAATGTACACCGAGTGAATATCGTGTTTATTTGTCATTGATACTACGGACATAGATATAATTAAAAAAATACAGTAGGAAAAAGGGATTTAAAATAGTAATACTAGCAGCACAGGTATAAGAAGAACAAAAGCTTTACTGGATGCAATAATTCGATTGCTCCAACCTCGATTGTATGGTATACGTTCCCAAGTTATACCGAAACTAGCTGGATCACTAGCGTTTAGTTTTGGTTTTGATAGAACTATGTTCTCTTGTTCTTCGTTCGTTTCTTTAGGTTTGAATAGATAATCTCTGTCGTTATCAATTTCATTTACAATGAAAATTCCCGGTGTTGTATGTATTTTCTTGGTAGTTGTTGCCTGTTTTGTAGTTATCTTGGTAGTCGGAAGCGTAGTTGTCTCAGGACGATGAGTTGTTGATCTTTTGTACCACTTGTTCCATATTGCCCAAGAGACTATTGAAACAGATAGTAAAATGCAATTCTTGAAAAATTAGTCATTGAGAAGATATTTACGTGAAACTGAGTTGCATAAACTAGCATGGCAACATGTTTCGATTTTGATGTCACTATCGAGGGAAACACCCGTCGGCGTACAGTAACGACTTGCACAGGTTCGATATGGCTGTTGATCAATAAAGCCAGCCTAGCAACATCAAGACAATCATAAGGAACAACTTGATTTCAAATGCAAAAATTTTACCCAGCATAATTGCGCGTGTTTATTGCAAACAATGACGTTGTCATCTTCGTTGGCAATCGTTTCACATTGAGCACCTTTGCATGAATAACAAAGGAGTTTATTGTTGTTTGTAATATTGTATGGAAATGTTGCTTTAATAGCATCAAGGAAACAACATCCGAAAAGGAAAATTTGCAAGTATCGATAAGACATGATTGAGTAGTATAACATATTGTAAATGAAAATTTTTTGCTTTTTTTAGTTGTCAGAAGATCAAGTAAAAGGTTCCTCTGGTGTACAGCAATAAAAACGTGTGTCAATATTAAGTCAACCAACCGTACGAAGTAAATGATATCAGTCACACGTTTGTTTAGGTTACATTCTCGAGGTGAACTCGTAATAATCGATTACGCGAAATGAATATACCTGATTTTCATCAGATGCAATCAAGTAAATAAATCAAATGTTGAAACGATGGAAAAACACACCAGTTGAGTACAAACAGCTTCGTGCAATAACAAGTACGTTGCTTATATGATGGTACAGGACGGACATTTAAAGTGATGAAAGGCATGACGTTATACTCATGTTTCATGCCTACGCTATTAGGAAATGGAATTCATGCAATGAATGCTGACAAATAGAAACACGTGAGAATATTTCTATGCGAAGGAGTCGAATCTTTTCACAATAAACAAACCATATAATGCATTTAGATGAAATAAAAATATGTATAAACTAAATTAGAATATGAACAGTCGAACGGAGCTGTTAACCTTTATCGAAGTACTTAACATTCGAGATTGAAGATATGATCTCATTCATAAATCTTTATATCCTCGATCTAATCAATGAAGCTCATTTCGAAATTACACAGACTTCAACACTTGTGCAAGTTTGCTTCTGCTCCAATGGATATATTTTCACAAATCATGTTGTGTCTGGTCATCATGTGTATAAAACAAGAAATACATCCTATGTTATAGATCTGCGTGAAATCTATACCAAATCGAGAGAAAACAAAACCAAAAAAAAGAAATACATACACTAAACCGATGACAAAAACGAAACGTGCCAATCAATCAACATTCTACTGTATACACGAAGGAATAAAAAATAAGAAAAGCAATACACACACACACACAAACAAGCAAAAACACAAACAAAAAGTGGTGAGAAAAGCATGTTCGAAAATTGAGTGCACATGTAAATGTTAAAATAACAATGGATATCATGGTCGCCAGAGACCCGATTGGCGAACAGCTTGTTGAAGAAGATGTTGGGCACGACTTATTTGTTCGGGTGTACCTTCAATAGTTATAATACGATCACCACCACCCGTGCCTGTTGGAATAGGTTGATCATCAATGATAATGTTAGCGTTGGTTGTCTGCCGTATCTGTTGAATTTTGGCCCCACGTGGACCGATAATCGCTCCGACGAGTTCATTCGGCAAAGTTACCTGAACAAGTGAATATGATTTAGAATGACAAAATCAATGTTTGACGAACTTACGCGTGTTGAAGTCAGTAGTGCTGGGCTAGGGTATCGAGCACCTAGAGCTGGCCCAGGTCCGTATGGCACATCAACAAGAGGTGGTAAAGGACGAATAGGATACATTCCACCAACAGAGCCAGGTGGTGGAAAACCTCCTCGTGGATTATATCCAATACGAAGATCGAGACCACCAGGCGGTGAAAAGCCACCTAGAGAAGAAGGAAAAGATACTTTCTCTTATTTCATCGCAAACAACCAATGTTACCGTATTCATTCACAATATAAATATCAAAATTATGTGGATCGTATTGAAGTGATGGTACACCCCTCGGTTGTTGCGATGATGAACTTATTAATGAATAGATGTGCTAAGAAAAACAAATGATTAGTTCAATTATAAGCTCGATTTCTCTCGCTTGTCGTCTATTTACTTTAATGCATTCAATAATATCATCGATTTTGCCACGTAATGATATAACTCGTTCATGGCTCATTGGACAACATTGAGAAAAGACTTTGATATCGAGATTGTATGTTTGTCGTAATTCTTTAACATGTTGACCACCTTTACCAATGATTGCTCCACAATAGATTTGATGAACGAGCACACGAATTTCTGATGGTGCATCACCTGTTGTTTGATTATCATTCGATGATGAATTTTGATCGGCATTGACTCCTCCAGGATTGGCATTACGTCGTCGACTAAAGGATGAAAGACGTGAACTATCAGCTAGTACTGGAATAATCTGCTGTAATGCATCAAAACATTGTTCTTGTTCACCACTGATGATTAACACACGTTCAGGTGATGTGCAATCAGGCACTTGAATAATCGCACGTGAATGATCCGCACGAAGTTTTTGAATCGATGAACCACCTTTACCTAAACACAAATACCACTTTGTACTATCGAGCAAGATAATTAAAAAGGTTAAATTACCAATGACTGCTCCAGCATCACGCGACGTCATCAATATTCGTATTTCAATTCCATTTGTTGTTGTATAAGGATTATTGCTATTGCTATTTATTCGTCGATTGTAATTATTCTGTTGATTTACACTTGTTACACTGATACTATTATTATTGGTATTATTTGATGGTTGACCAAAATCGTCATCGGGCGATGTCATTTTGTTTTTCAAGAAAAATAAGAACAGAAGGGGAGTGATGGATTGGGATAGGCACTAAGACCTGATAATTGAATAGTGGCGAACACAATCAAATAGATCTTGAATAAAAAGAACACAAAAAAAGAAAATTTTCATATATAGTTCTTGGATACAAGAGGGAGAAAAATGAAAGAAAAATGGTATTTGCAGCTGTAGCTCAAACAAACAAGTTTTTTTTTCCTGTAACACGGCAATGCATTTCTCGGTACATTCATATTGAACTATTGACCACAGAAAAAATAACAAGACAGAGGACGCTTTGTGCCGATTTTTCCACCGATTTTCATTCCTTTGATTTTCATATTTCTGCAGGAATAAAAAAGATTCGAAGCGATAAAAACATCGAAAATTTCACCGTTTCTGCAGTTGTCACTATAGTAACACATTCGATAATGTTGTGGCAGACTGTAGCAAACAGCCATTGTCGCGTTCTGTATACAAGTTTCAGAATAGACATATTACATTATGCGTCAGACTTTCTAGATAGACTTTTTCCATCGAATTAGCGCTATGGAAGACGATCTATCGGCAACTGTTGATATCGTGACGAAATATGCTACATACGAAGAATTTCTTGACTCACAAGTTAGTCGTATCGATCTTAGTTATCTTGAAGTATGATAAAGTCTTCGACGGAGAAATCCAATGTTAATTTTCGTTTGTTCGTCTATTAGGACGAAGAATTAGCTCGACAACTTGTTGAACTCGGCTATCGTGGTAGTGGAGAAGTGATTAAACGCGAAGAATTTTATGCACGAAAAGCAGCCGCTGAACAGCAACTTCAGTCAAGACGTATCCAAGCACCGTACGTTCTTAACCGCCCATCTCAATTGACCGGATTTTCTTTTTCTTTAAAGAAAATTAGCTAGTGCCAATAAAGACATAACTGATCCATTGTTACGTGAACTCGCCGATACGGAAGAAGCCAATCGAACTGGAAAAATGACGGTAGGTCATCGATTTCCTCTGTCTGATTAGTCCGATTCTTTTTTGCAGACAATCATTTTTATTCGGGATAAAAATTCCCGTCATCAGGAAATATCTGGCTACATTGATTATGCACATCGACTAAAATCTGAAGATTTCGAAGTATATTTTGCTGGAAAGAAAAAACTTTTACCCAAGCCGACCGACCTCAGGTATACCGAAATCGATGCTGACAGCTTGATTCTCATATCACTTCGATACGTTTAGTTATTACAATTGGGAAAATCAAACTTGTTATTCGAACAACACGCCTAATTTTCAATCGATAACCAGCAATCTCGAGGGACTTTTATTTAAGAGTAAACGTGATCGAAAGATTATCATTGTTGATCCAAATGCGAAGACCCATGGCGATAATACCATACGAAAAGAAATCAAAACCGATAGGTACATTCAAGTCGCTCTTTATTGCCATACAACTCGACGAAAAACATAAAGAGAATCAAAACTAGTAACGGACTTTTATTTTTGTAAAATAACCAAATTAAACAGTTCATACGAACTGTTTCCTTTTCTTCTGATAATAAAAATAAATAAATAAAATATGCTTAATTCGTACTCGCCGCATGCCATGGAGTAAAATCAAAACTAGGGCATTGACTACATGGTTGTAGTGGATTACTAAAGTTGAAAAATATGAACATGATTTATCATTAATAAAAGAATTACGTTTTTTCATCTGGTGGTCGAAATGGATTCTGAGCAACTTCATCGATATCAGTTGAATGGCAAATGAAACAATTGTATGAATATTTCTTGATAGTCATTAATTGTTCTGAGAAAAACCAAATCAAACGATGTTCGTAGAAAGAAAAGAGACAAACGATGAATCCTACCAAGCGTAAATTCGCCTCTATGCGTGTAAAACAATCGATCACCGTATTTGAGGTGTCGGAATTGTATGCCAATTATACAAGCAGAAACAGGACCAACTAAAGCATCGGACAAATGCGTTTCATGGTTGGCACCAACGAATAGATCCACATCATCTGGATGTCTAAAGACATGAATAGATATGTTAACGAGTCTATGACTATTTGCTGATGTTACTTGTAAATCATCTGTAATGTTCGGACAGAATCGAAATTCATTGTGTCCAGAAAACCTTCGAAACGACGTACACGTCGAAGTCCGCAAAATTCTCGGTAAGCGTTGTAGCCTGGTATACCATGTTGTCGTCCACGACAAATATTCAGCGAAACAATGTCACTTCTTCGTGTTTCACCTTGATGATTTCTTGATTCGAATAAACGATGGTGAATTTGTTGTGCATAATTTGTATCACCTGCGAAACCATAATCATACAGTGCACCACATAAAAATGAATCGAGACCATTGGTTGTTGTACTAACGAGAAAAGCAAATCAACTGCTCTTTGTTTTTTTGGTAAATAGAAGGATTATTATCTTACTCATAAGCAAATTTACACCGAGAACTGATTTCATTAAACCACAATTGGTCAATCATTTGTCCGTTCGGTTTACAGCGAGTGATCAAATCACGAACGAATGTATGTAGACGCAGTACTGCTGTCGCTGCTTCGTTGAAAACAACACCAGGCATCTAATAGTACAAAGATATTTCAAACATTAGTATTCAATCAGGATTACCGAAGGATCATATTCTGTGAAGAGAGTCTTATCGCCGACATATTGTTGTGCTGTTGTTTCGCCAATCAGTATTGGTAACCATTCTTCATAAGTATAGCGCTGATGAAGAGCTGATAGAATCTTCTTCGCTTCTTCGTATAAAATTGTATCTTGTGAACGCCATTCTGGTCGTATTCGAGCAAGTTCAGTAGCAAATTTATTGTGTAAACGTAACCATTGAGCTTGAATACCTGAGAGAATAGAGTTTTCCATAAGACGAGAGTCACCTATAATGAAGATATCGACTGTATTTATTCATCGTATATTTATTACATACCACCAGCAAAACATTTATTTGTTTCAGTTGCATCAATGCATGATCTACCATCGCGTTGACCAGGCGGTAATTCGAATCTGAATCCTACTTTTCTCATCGTTTTCATTAAACCGTCAGCACCAGCACGAATATCAAATGCTGTTTGTCTTGTGCTTCCATAGGTTACTGATAAATCTATATAATGAGAATTTCCATTCAATTGTTCTTTCACACTCAATGAACAAATTTGATTTGGAAATGCTTGTGCAGTTGCTGGAACAGCTAAACACTTTTGTCCAGCCATAAATGGATCATTAGCAGCGATCTCAATGACAGAGCACATATCCGTATCTCGCGAATCACAACCGCACGAACTGATTGGCGTTCGACCAGAATCAGTCACTGGTGCTGCGAATGTTATATCATGAACAAGAAATTGACCATAGGTAACCCAAAGGTTATTAATAACAGGATCAAAATGCGGTTTCGATCCCATGGCTAAACTTATCTCACGACATGGCGGTAGAGGACCGCCGAGAACGGATTTCGCACGAGGTGTTCTTATTCCTAAAAAAAGAGTATTTTCGATAGATGAAAAAGAAAATTGATATGATTAATCTGTACCATCGTCGTAAATTGGTGGTAATAACCGTCCATAAGCTGTTTGTGAACTACCTTGATACGGGCGTTGAAGATTATTGCATACACCAGTAATTGTTCGATAGTTTGTTAAATCTTTACAACTTGGATCCGAACGATAGGCACAAAAGTCAGTTGGTAGTGGGATCTTTTTAAGGAAATTATCTCTAGAAAACGCCGTTTAGCTAAAAATACGAGCAAGTTCATCTATTAGTTGAATGACTTACACTATATCAGTGACAGATCCATTTGTTAAACATGAAAATCTAAAAGAAGAGGACAGTTGGAAACATTTACCGATAAAAATCGTTAGTTTTTATGTACTGGAAAAGAAGTTCATCAGCAACTTTTGTAGCTGCCCGAGCCATTAATGCACCATTATGAATGTCAGTTCGTAGTTGCATTTCTTCAAAATCCAATATATCATCTAGTTGGATTCGAAAACAATCAAACAATAGACACACGAATTTTCAACAAAACAAACCGTTATTAATGTTTATATTTCTTTCACGTTCTTTGACTAATTTTGCTTCTTCTTCTTCAAGTTTCATTTGAAGTACATGTTCAACAACATGTGGCTTCAGAAATGATGGTACTAAATCAGTTGTAAAACATTGAGGGACTGGAATTGGAACATCGTCATGATGGTCAATGTGCGAATTATCTGTTGGAATCGATGAATGTTGTTGTTGTTGTTGTTTGATACCAGTGATAAAAGAGGTTAGAATTAGAAATAAAACCGCTCTCATCTTCGCTAGTACCGAATGTAATGTCTATGGAGTAAGTGTAGAACAATGGTTGATATAAGCGTCGTTCGAAAACAAAAGAGAACGTTAATCGAGATCGTTGTAAGGAATTCGAGCAACGATAAACTTTACATAGCGAAGTGAGGTCATTTTGAAAAAGTACGTCTAGTAACGTTCTACATTTAGAAGAACGTACTGATTGATACTGTCCACCTTAAAACGATTTCTCGTATTCGACAGATGCTTTTATATTTTATTATGAATCATTTGTATACATTTTATCTATACGATAATCAGTGAAAAATGCCCAAAGAAATGAACTTAATGCTATTATAATAAGAGCATTTGCATTGCATATACGTTTCCAAAAAAGATTTTCCGGCGCTAATGATGGCATGGTAGGTATGACTTCGACTCTATCATCATTCCTAGTTTGATGTTCGACACCACATATCCATGAAAGAGCAATTTTCAAATAGTACTTCGCATTCTTCTTCGATGGGTCTAAACACGAAAGAGACCGTCTTGGTGAATATTCAACCAAACGTAATTCTATACCTGCATGAAATAATCCATATTTTCTCAAGGCAGCACTCGATTCTGCACGTGATAACCGTCGATTGGTTGGTTCTGATCGTTCATCTGTGTCTTCAAATGCAGTATCAGCCTTATGCCATCGGCCAGGCTTGGTTGGTATTGGTATTGGCTTCAGCGGATTATCCAAATCAAAGATATTCAAACCGTGCAACTAGAATATAGATGACAAGATTATGTTCTACATGAAAGAACAAAACACTAGATTTACACATTGTTCTGGGATTGGACGCGATAGTAAGCTAATGATTATGGTAACTAGACAAGTTAAGACGAAAAGTAGAAGAGCAAAGTTCAGAAAATGAAATTTTATTATTTCTGGACGTCGATCTGTTGCCGTTAATTGACATGGTGGAATGGAATACGAAAATTCCCATATAAATCGTATTAAACCAATGACTAAACCGCATATTAAACCCCAAAAAGCGCCCTAGGCATTGCATTTTAACATTTCATCTTGATCTTCTCAAGAGCTACTCTACCTCTTCATTGATTCGTTTCCAAAGAATTGCTAACACATAAATGGCGCAAATCGGTGGCGCTAAGAAACTCGTCACTGTTCTAAAACGAACCAACCTATTGAAAATAGCTTTCACTTCGACGTGCGTTCTTACTGCATATAGTCAAATAGTTTCCCACCTTGTGCTGCCGATAGAATAGGTATCCAAAGTATCGAAATACCAACGAGAATCAATGTAAAGATTCTTCAAAAACAAGTATATTTGCCGATGTGAGCCTTCTTCCTCATCATAAACATTCCTACCTTCCAACAATTAAAAGTTCCCATTGTGGCGCCCTTGAACGAAATCGTTGCCATATGTCAATTGTAAATATTGTCGACGACGAATTAAAGATTGATGTTAACGATGACATTAATGCTGCGATCATACAAGCAAGCATCAAACCACGTAGACCGTTTGGCATCAGTTCGATTACAATCAAAGGATAGGCAATGTCGGCACACGATAGTTCATTGCCACAAATTTCTTTACATGTTTCAGGAGTCGAACAACCTATTTTATCTGAGGGAAAAAACTATCAGGCTAACTAAATTGCTCATTCGTATATGCACATTTACCTTGAAAAAGTATTCGTGCAACCATACCAGGTATGACCATCAAGAATATCGGTAAATATTTCAAATAACTTGCGACAATACAACCTCCTTGCGCGTGCGTCAAGTTTTTCGCTGCTAGTACTCGTTGGACGATTACCTAAGGCACGTTGAATGACACTAATACGATCTTGAATCATACTCACTTGATCACTAAAACTCAAGTGAACAATAATCAATCTTTGTCTTATTTGCCTTTCAATTGCTTACCTACACCAGTACCATACACTGAGGAGTGTCATACCAAATAATCCCACCCAAGGTGGCCCATTCGCTGAATTTAATGGTCGAATAAGACTAAAGTAGTCCTCCGGTGGTATACCACAATAAGTATCATTGAATAATGTTGTTTCAGCAACAGCATAGGGATAGAGCTCTTTGATTAGTTGTAGCCCACCCACTTTAACATAGCAAATAATCATCAGAATAGACGCGGATATTACCATAATGATTGTTTGAACGAAATCCGTCCAGATTACAGCTGATAATCCTCCTAAATCAATCGATGTAAGAAATTTCCTAATTTCTTATTTCTGTTGATCATCTTACCGCCTATGGTAAATATAGCTGCGAGCGCGACAAGGGCTACTACTGACACATACATATTCCAGCCGAGCGCTTGATTGAGAAAAATTGCTCCTGAATAAAGATCCACTGATATTTTTGTGAATATCGAAAGTATCAAAGCGAGAATAGTTAGATAAAATCGAATACGATCACCACCAAATCTTTTCTTTAAGAACTCTGGCATTGTATAAACCTAAATAAAAACTATCATCATCAGACTGGTACAATAATACACTTGCATCAGCTTTAGTATAAACCGGTAAGAATATCCAGCCAAGGATCATCAATACATAGCCTGCCTAAATGAAATCAGAAACGCATGCAATTCATTTGGTTTTCTAGAGTGAATCTACATTTAATTCATAACCAGCCATACCAATACCATTACTTGCACCACTACCTGATCACCTTTTCAAATACAAATCCAGGCAACTCCAGATGGGATTTACCTGCAAGGCCGATGAAATGGCCGCTGCCAATGTTGCTTGCAAATAATGATGCACCAACCTCAAAGATAGGCTGTCGGCGTTTCCACTAGTAAGAAAAATTTGTCCTCACCGGTAAAAATGTCATTGTGCGACCGGCAAGAAAATATCCTCCTGAATGAATATCAAGTTTCATGAATCAATGAACACAGATCTTACTAGGTGCAATACATACCAACGCTACCGCGATTTTTACAGGAGGACTAAAATGCATGAAAAATCACGTATTTACGTTAAATGCGTACAACTTCAGTTACCCAAACGCCGAATCCAATGACTACTGCAAAATATATGACTAATACCAAAATATCGGCCCAGTGCAGCGAAAATGTATTGATTGCCGTTACCATTGTGTAATTCTTTGCTAATCTTGATATTTCTTAGAATATCTCGTTTATTTTCTTCTCACAACTATGTACTACTCTCTAGACTTTCTACTTATACTTTCCTCCTTAACTTTATCAGTCAAATAACAATGATCTCAACGCTTTGTTACATTTCTCGAAACAATTACTCGCATACTTCATCTATCTTCCTCACATCTTCAGAGTCATAATTGTTCTCTTATCTTTCTACTTTTATTATCGAAAATAAAGAAGACAAGTCTTTATATTATGTACAACGCAGAAAAAAAGAGAATAATATCGTGGTGAGATGTATGTTGTCAATCGACTATTTCACGTTTGATATTTTCGTGTGTTGACGTATTCAATGAAGTATTTGACGAGGTATGATTCTCCAGTACTCGTTGTCGAGCGCGTTTGATATTTTCCTGAGTAATACGAAGACGTTCAGTTAGATCTTGAATTTCATTTCGAACACGTTGACGAGCTTGTTTTATTCGTGTAATCGTATCTGCCTTTTTCGAAGTGTCTAAAATAATTCCTCGGTACCATATTACTTGATCATATCAATTCTCTGTATGACATACATTCTTTTTCAACCGCAAGATTCTCATCTGTAGGTGGCGCCAATGATTTCGCACAGTTGAGTAAACGAACTAACAGATCAGATGGTTCTTGAAAGATCTATCAGCAAAAAATAGAATACAATGACTGACAATTGCCTTACTAATTCATCATAGTTTTCATTGATCAATGGTTTAGTACCAGCAACCACTTCGGTATCTGTTGAAAAGAGTTTCAAGTGGTGATAGAACGTCACCTAGAATATATATCGAGTAACATTTCTGCATGAGATTTGACTGATAAACTCTTACTGGTTTTTCATTTGGATCTGCAAAAAAGATCGTAATCTGTGTTTCAAATTCTCCCCAACCACTTTCTTCGACTTCAAAGGGTGCTTGGGAAACAACTAAATCAATAACTTTCAAAATGCAATCAAACAACATTTATCATTTACCTCTAACATGATTTGGATATGTTTCATGTAAACGAAATTGCACTTTACTTATATACGCTGATATGTCCTCATTGTTATATGACCGAACGTAGATCATCCATTTATGCGTATGTCCATCTGTATCGCGTTTCGTACCGAGATGTTTCGCTGTATTTCCGTAAAGAATAGGTTTGATAATTACAACTGGCGTGCGCTAAACGAAAGACAGATTATTCTTTTTTTATTGCTACGAAAAACGAATGCGCTGATTATTACAATTGGGGTGGTTATCGATTCTAAATTTATTCCTGACATCTAGAAGTCATAAAAATCAAATACGGAATGCTTGATAATAATAATAATAATAATAACTTGGTCAAATAATGCAAATGAGTATTATCAATCATATACAAAAATAAACGACAAAAATTAATCTGTTTAGAAGTGGACATTCGAGGAGAAAACAAAAAGAAAACAAACCCAGTTCAGTATATGGAAAATGAAAACACGACATAGTTTAGATCATAGAATGCATTGAAGCAAAAGTAAACAAATACAAAATGAATACAGATAGAATGTTGAAAGGAAAAAGCAAAAAGTAGTCACTGTGATTAAATGATTTAACTGCAAGACGGTCTTTAGCCAATCAGTTCCACGTAATTCGATGGTACAACGCCTACTTTGCCGTCAAGTTCGGCTTTCCACCAAGTTTCATCTTAAGAAGCAAGAAAACAAAATGAAAGAGTATCGATGCGAATAAAAGCATACCACTATTGTCTATTAGTACGAGTTCATTGTCAGCTACAAATGACAGTTCGTCAGCGGATCGTGCTTGAAAATCGTATAGGGCACGAATCTTCTTTTTATTTGGTTTGGCTGCTAATGGTCGAGGCGGTTTCTGCGGTGGTTTTCGAGGTGTATTATTCTGTGGTTTAAATTGTAATCCACGTGGCTTTTCAGCATTTGACTGGTTTGGTCCTGAAAAATTGTGGAATATATTTAGTCAACTGAATGGAGTCGAAGTTTTGGACTAATTTACTCGATTGCTTTGATAAGCCACTTGAAATCATAACGGTCATTGAATTACGATTGAGTTTTACTTCGTAATCACGTGGCATATCGATTCCTTTACGCAATTTATTCGGATCGATTTGACTCTGAAATATATACTGTAGAAATTTAAGACAGCCAATAGAATGTCCTACCACTGGAGTACTTGTAGCTGCATGAACAAATTTAACACTTCGTGTACCGCCACCTACCCAGCTCTGTTTTTTAACTGTATATTCGAAACTGCAACAAAACAAGTCATTGCTCAATTGCTTATGATCTAATCGAATGACATACCCTTGTCCGAATGTAATTGGTAATGCTCGATTTGTTTTCTTAGCATAATTTTTTGATATAATAGAAACTGCTTCTGTTTTGCTTGATAATTCCAATAATGTTGCATAATCATTATTTACGCAAAGCAAAAAGAAATTATCGCGATATTCACTGAAACAAACAAGTAGGCATTGTTTTCTATTACATATCTATCATGCTAATTTACCTCATTTTAATTTCATTTATATTTTCTAGGGGAATACGTCGTTTAACTTTATATTCTAACATATAACCTTCTTGTGATTGCTGTTGTCTGCCTTTTTGTGCTGCTGCAGCACTGCCGCCTTTTCCACCAGCGCCACTACCAACTTTAATCTATCAGAAAAAGGATATCGATATTTATTTCAATGTTATGTCGGATCGTTCTTTCTCTGTGATACATACGCATTCTTCATCTATGATATACAATGCTTGGTTTGTACTAACGAAATATCTTCCTTGTCGACGGAAGCGTCGGTCATATTTGTATAAGTACGAACTAAAATCTGTCTTCTCATTACGTGGTATCAGTCTTTGTAAATCAGGGCGTTGATGAAGATTACAATAATCTCCAACGTAATCACGATCGAGTGAACGAGCATTACGTTCTTTTCGTCCGTAGAGAATGTCAGTAGCTATTCAAATATTATTATAAAGAAAAGGATAATGATTGAAAAGAATTCTCTACCTTGTTCACGTTGTCGCTGATAAACACGAACTGCGCAAAAGCGTTTCATCGCTTTTTGAATGATACGCGCATAGTTATCGAATTTGCGCAAACGCATATCTTCGAGTAAATGCAACTACAAAAGAGAATTTCAACATTGAACATCGTTTCTATGTGCACAACTTACACTTTCCGGCGATTTGATAAACACTTTCGTATTTCCTAGTTGTACTTCTCGTCTGTCGAGATGCATTGCATCTACTATATGCATCACACCATCTGTCACACTTCCATTCCATTTAGGCCAAGTTTGTTTCGTTAATATAGCATAGCTATATCGAAAATGACATGGATGTTCTATCAAGCGATTGGCATTCACCTTACCGAGTGAGGAATTTTGCAAATTCACGGCGATAAACAAAACCAGCTTTTCGTACTTCAATATTTGCTACCAGCCCCAAATATTTAACTTGTTCGATGACACTGAAAACATCGCAATAGCACATTGTTTTCAACGAATTCGCAATCTTCTACCTTGAAGAATTCCATTCCCCCGGTGTTTGATTCTCATTCGGTTTGATGCATCGAACATCTGAAAGCAGAAGCAAACCAATAAGGCGAAACACTCGCCATTCGCTCAGACTTACAATGAGGCTGACAAGCCATTAATTTTTCTACTAATGCATTGGCCTGTGTACGAATTTTCGTTCCAACCGTAGTTGGTCGAGCTTTCATTGTTGCTATCTGTTCTGGAAAGAGTCGTGCCACAAAAGGTCTATGAAATCAATTCTATCATATTATTCTACACCGAAACTTTCTTCTCTTACATGGTACTTGACTGCATCATTTCAATTAAATCAATATTTAAAACATCACGATTCTTCTCACAAAATTGATCTGAATGGTAGCTCACTGCACCTGCATAGTGTTTCACAGTAAACGTCGGCGGTGAAACAATTAAATGCGCATTGGATAAACCACTCAGTCTCTAACGAAGAAAAATAGATCAAGTGAATTAGTCTAGCTTTAAAACCATCATCTTACATTTAGATAGCTCTTATCGACTTTCTCAGTTGTTGCATGCGCACTTGCACAGATATCATCGAGCAATAAAAACATTCCTGGTGGCTGTTTCGCTTCGAACAAATCACAGACAACGATATTGTTGAAAAATGTGATTGGCGTCCATTGTATATTTTCACGTTTGTATTCTTCCTAAACAAAGTCATCGAGAAAGATTATTTGACATCATTCAACTAGCACCAGACTTGTTCTTTCTTCAGCGTTAGTTCAATGAAGATTTGTTGCAATTTTTCATTAACATAATTGATGCAGAATTGTTCAAAACTATTCCGATCAAATATTTCAAAACCATAGATATCAAGAATTCCAATAGATAAATCAGAACGCGCGATTGCTTGAAAGGCAGAATTGATCGCCTAGTCAATTGAAAATGGAATCAATTGTATAGAGATAAACAACTGCGATATTCACCTGAATTAAATGATCAAAAATACGCGAATAGATGGACTTTGCTAAGGCATCACGCGTAAAGATGGCTTTATCGACAGTGAATGTTTGATCAACTTGCTTATTTTCTTGATGTTCTTTAAATTCCAATCGTCTGGAAATCAGTTTCGTTTTCAAATAATCCATTTGAATACCAAAATACGCACAAGGTGCTTGTAAATCTGTATGAATTATACATGAATTGACTGTCACGACAAAATTCAATCAAACCTCGTTCTGAGAGAACAGTTGCATAGTTGTTCTTATCTCCAAATTGTACATTGCCTAGATGAAGAATACCAGCGAGCAAACTGAATATATTATGCTGAATTTCTTTTGAAAGGCCAATTGTATCCATAGCATGCTATCGAAACCAACATACCATCGATAAAGTAATATTTATTATAGAGAAAAGCATACCTGTGTATCGTGCATATCTTTCACATCATCGATTTTCGCCACGCGAATAGCTTCGGCATGATTAATATATTGAAAACGAAGTTCATGAGATAGTGAATATTGCTCTAAGAAATTCATCAAAGAACGGCTAGAATCATCCATATCAAAATAGAATACATACGACAGAATTCTCTGCTTGACAGTAATTGGTAAAAGATATGAAAATTTCGTTCATTCTCAGCTTGACTTACAACACGTGACTAGAACAGCGAGAAATAAATCGAGTAGAAACGAAGTCTTTCAATTAGATATTCTCAAAATAGAACTCGTAAGACAACATTCGTGCAATAAAAGCAAACCTTCTCGTGTTTTTTTTCCTTTTACTATAAACAAATCAGTGCAGTGATAGTTTTTGCCAGTGAAAAACTTTTTTTGTCCGACTTACTTTCTCTAACAGAAAGTTCGATATCACACCACCTGTAGGTTCTCCACCGCGAGAAAATTGAATTTCAACATATTTGCCCTATAGAGAAAAATTTTCATCTATCTATTTCTCTCATCATTTTCACATACAAATCGACTGGAATTATCATTTCGAATAGTTTTTGCATTACCAAAAGCCTTGAAATACAGATAAATACTCAGATTCATTACTCGCTCTGCTTGATATTACTTCTAACAATGGATTCGATTGTAAAATAACATTTTTTATACGTTGAACGTTTGGACCACCGCCTGATACCTTTGAAAACAAGTCAAAGCTGACTTCTAATGGACGTATTTCGAGCACAAGTTTACTTCAGCAATGTAAGACATGATGAATTTCGCACTGACAGTCTTTCCAGCGCCTGATTCTCCGCTAATAATAACGCATTGCTTTTCCGAATCAATTAACATATTACTAAACATATCTTCGGCGATAGCAAATATATGTGGAGCATTGTCCATTTGAGTCTAAAGAATATTTTCATGGAATATTCGAGCTTTTGACTAGAGAAAAGGCACTTACTGCTCCTCGATACTTTTCCATATGATTTTCGCGACAGTATTCCACATTCTTATATGGATTGACAGCAATCAGTACGGACCCAATGTACGTCTATTGTAAAGAGAAAAAAAGGAATAGAGTGTTCATTTGTACTTCACAAAAAGCTTACATAAATATAATTGACATCAAAGCGTATTTTGAGGTTGTGACTGATTTCTGAGTCCGTATTTTTGGACATGAAGACCTAGATGAAAACAGAACGAAATCAAAGATTTCTGGACTGTTATCTTGCGTATATTTACCATGTCATCTACGCCGGCTCGCCGTTCTCGATCTTGATTGTAATCATATTTACCTCCTAACATAATTGGTTTTTAATAATCTTCAGTGTTGAAGCGAAAAGATATGAGACATGAAGTCAGCTGAACAAGAAAGAAGAAAGAAATCTCTAAACCAAAAACAACAGAACAATGAATCATCGTTTGAGGAAGATTAAAATTGATGATTATTCATTTATCACAGTCGCGTCAACTTAGTAAATAAAACCTGACAATTCGTTCTTTCTCTTTTGTTCGCTGCGTAACCTATATGTAATCATGATTCATTATTGAGCTGGATGAATTGAAAAAAAACTCATTGGCTGACAGAACATTTCAAATAGAATCACATGCCCATAGATGACACAAGGTATTGACGAGAAAGTACACTGGTTGATTTGTTATTTCGACAAGGTGAACATGACGGTTTTTCTTCATATAGCGTCAATAACTATCTTTCGTCGATATGATTTATGGCAAGTCAAAGTTAATTAGCTTATTGAAATGAAGACAAGATATGTATATATGTTGCCACCCATTGTATTTTATTTTTCACACACAAAGAAAAAAAGGTGATACTGTGTCTGATACAATGAAAAACAATTCATCTACAAGACATGAAAAGAAAAAACCCGTTGGTCATTTTGAGATGTTGGGAAAAAAGTTTTGCGAATACAAAGTGATATCGTTGTTGATCGAGTGAGATTGCTTGGTGATGATGATGATGGCCAAAATGGATTCGTTATTTCATATTGTTGCAGATACATTTGTTTTTTCGAAGATCGACATTTGCTTGAAAAAATCTGGTCATTAAGCGGAAAATAGATGTGTGTGTATGTGTGCAAAGCTGTGTGTGATAGGTAGTTAGAAAAAAAGAAGAATCGAACTGAGTAGAAAAATCTTGGTGTTTTAGGAGAAAAAATACGCGAAAGAAAAAAGGCCCGTAGAGTTCAATTGGAATAAAAATAATAACAGCGACGATAAATCGACGACTCAAAATAAAACATTAAAAATAAGAGAAGAGAATTGTTTATAATGATCGTTGCAATTTATGGAAGGCGGCAAAGCACAAAGCGGCCACTAAGATGGCCATATTTACGTAGAGGCCAGATGTAGCATTACCAGCATCTCTGAGGGCTCGGTAAACATCTCCTACAAAACATCAAGCAGCAGATGGTATTTCAAGTGCAACTGCATATTCGAAGGTAGAATCTTACCGAGATAAGCTGTTACGGCAATGAATGTTGCAAAAAGGCCAAGTAAACCGAGTGTTGCTAAGCACAGTAAACACAAAAGTAAACCAGCTAAGCCTCCTAGTAAACCAGCGCCACCGCGGGCAGGTGGTGGTCTAGACACAGAAAAATTGTGGACGGTTTCCATTGCATTTGAATGAGAAAGACTACTTACGCGACTGGATATCGTCGGCCAGGTCGTGCAGTATAACGATATCCCGAACGTCGGACGGGCACTCGAACTCGGGGCATGTTAAGAGTTTACTAGAAAACAAAACGATATCGATAGTATTCGTCGAACATCACGGTATTGATGGAAAAATACTGAAGAGCGATTCTCAAGGATCATACGTGTCACTCTCCCTACATTAGCCACAATTTAGCGTGCTTATAACAGCTAATATGGTCAGAGGCTCACTGGTAAAGAGTCTCACGATGTACGAAGGAGATGGCGAAGAAAAACACAGTAGATGGATCAATTAGAGGGGACTTTTCTGGACAGTGCATTCGTGTACAGAAAATGAGGATCGCAAGCAACACAGGGAAGAGAGGAAGAAAAAGAAAGGCTTCGGACCAATAAAGAAAATTACTTCGTCAACCAATACAAAAAGAAAATTACAAAACTCGCTATGTATTCAAAAAAGGATGAGGTTTGCGCCTCAAGGTTGTACATAGAGACACCGAGAGAGAGAGACAGAGAGAGAATATGTGGGTGAAGCACTACTTTTTTCTTGCATTTTGTGAAAAAAGGATATCATCAATGTTTATCATACCTATTGATGTATGAATATTGTGCAGGTAGAAGAAAAAAAGAAGAGAAAGGAAGATGTGCAATAAAATAAAAAAAAGAGAAACGGCAGGTGATCAATCAACTGAAACGTTCCTGACTGCCTGACTACACATGCCTATGATGATGGTTTTTTCTCTCGATCATGTATCGATGCCTACGCATGATGAGACGAAAATATGTTGTCGATAGGCTAGTCCGTCCGTTCACATTCGTTTCTCTCAATCCTTTTTCTGCTAACTTAGTACGTAGGGAAAAACTGATTCTCCGCTTTTTTGCTTATTTGTAAAATTCTACCGTACAACACATTCTATTTCTCTGACTGAGTTAATGAATAAGTTTCATTTGATCGTTATGCGTTAGATATTCTTATAGAAAAGATCCTCCTGTGTGGCTAAGATAAGAGTAGAGAAACTAAAGAGAAAGTAAAGGACAGACAAGCATTTTCTCTCTTTCAGTGCTAACTTGTACACCATGACAAACTATATGTATGATTCAAGTGCAAACCGACAATGACGACTGTGAAGTCATGCGTAGCGCAGCCAGCCAGAAAGAGAAAAATTACGGAGTAATATAATATACGTTTATCGACAAAAAAGTTGTAGGTAGCTTGATCATGCCGTCGGCTAGAGTCGTTTACAGTGATAGAATATTTCTACACGATTATTTTTTTTCTCGATTTTTTTCTGCTTAGAAAGGTAACAGATAGAGAAAGATAGGGTGAGAGGGAGAGAGAGAGAGATGCAGAGAAAAAACAAAAAGTCATATTCGTAGTAAGACAATATAATTATAATAGATGAATTAGTAAATCAGAAGAGAAGGCGACTGATCAGGGAGAATGATGAGGACGGTAATGGTGATGATGACGATGAAGGTAGTAGCGAGAGACAGTGAGAGGTAGATACGAGAAGCGAAGGAGAGAGAAAAACAACTAATACGACGTATTGTGGTATCCCATTTTTCGTAGAGTGCAAACAAGCCGTGATAGTTTCTATCGAGAGAAGATCCCTGTACAGGTAACTGAAACGGAAAGGCACAGAGAGACAGAGAAAAAGAAGGGTAGGGAGAAAAAAAAGAGAAGGTAAATGAGAAGAAGAAAGAGGGAGAAGTTTGTTGAAAACTGAGAAAAGTTAGGACTGAACACGTGTGGACAGTTTTTCTCGTCATACAATATGACGAAATTGGAGATTCATTACTCGTCCTTGCAAGTGTAACTGTGTGTCTTTTCTAGATCTTGAATAGACTAAGATGTCGGACGCTGCTCGACGACCTCTTCCTCCTCCTCGACCATACGGCGTTCGGTAAGTTATCTGAGAAAAAGCTATCACAGTATCGATTAAATCTCACTATCAACATCGTCTTTTAGACCTTCTGTAGCAAGACCAGTCTACGGAGCTCGGCCAGTAGTAGCACCCGGAGCGGGCCTTGGTGCAGCTGGTCTTAGTGGCGCCCTTGGAGCCATTGGTGGTACACTTGGTTGTTTACTTTGCTTAGCAGCTATTGGTGCATTAGGCTTATTCTCATGTGTAGTAGCCATCACAGCCTATACTAGTATGTGACTTCCTTTACTTACCATCTTGCAATTCATTTCAAATCTCTCTTTAGAACAATTTCTTGATAAATACAAGCAAGTAGAAGGAGTCAATGGTGCACTCGCACAAGCCCAAATTGGTGTGGCTATTCTATTGATCTCATTGTTCTATACATTTGTCTCGCGCATGCAACGCAACTAAATTGACAGTTTATTATTTTCTTTAACCTTTTCTTAGTCTTCAAATATGTTCACCATCAACTAAGATCATCAACAACCGCAGCAGAAGCAAAATTTTCTTTTTTTTTTAAATTGATTTTCAACTTTTTTCGATATGTACCGTTTCAGAAAACTGAGAACATTTTTCCGCGCACAGTATAATGACGACGACGACTGACGATCATACTTCCTAACACCACCATTTGTTTTCAACACCACTATACGTTTTTTCTCCGAAAATCTTTTTCTCTCCTCTCTTTTTTCTTTTGTGCGCGCTCATCAATGTTTCTTGTTTATCTTGAATAAAGTCGTTTGCCTTTTCTTTGCCTTCCATTATTCATTCATTTTATCAAACTCAATGTCATAGCACATCATACGTATATTCACAAGCGTGAGAGAGAGAGAAAACGATACTATATTTCATCGTTATAACGACGGAGAAAAAATGCAAAAGCACTCAGGTGTGACTGACTAGATGTAATAAGCAATTTCGATATCTATATATTTTTCGTGAAGGTTACCTGTTTTTCTCCTTAATGCAATGTTGTTTGTTATGCTGTGTAGAACAAGTTCATCATAAGTTTATTCGAGAAGGCAAAGAAGAAAACAAGCAGAAAAAACGAAATAAAATATCAACAGTATATAGATAAGCTTTGAAATCACACAAAAGAAAGAAAATTGTCTTTTAAATCAAAGATCTCTTTCTTAATATCTCGAATAAAAGATAATTATTAAAGTGAATAAAACAAGAAATCGACATAGTCGTGTCTATGTATGCTATTCAATGACTAGCATCGTCCTAAAACGAGAACAAACATCCGTCAGAAACATCCGAGTGACGATGAAATAGTGATTTCACGAACCCAAAACAGAATTATCACATGTTGATGGGAGCAGACTATTATGTGTTACTTGATCAACTGAAGTAAAAACAACTTTCACACCACCTTTACTTGTTGCCATAACATCACCCTGAAAAGAAAATTATCAATTTGTCTCATCAATACAATTATAATGAAATTATATTACTTGGAATAATTGAACAGTATCTTCGGCGCGATGTTCAATGGCATATTTCGTTGCACTCAACAATTTGGACATAGCATTGAAATGATTTGTCACGAGTTGTAAAGGATTGGGTAAAGATGTTCGCAGTTTAATTCCTATGAGAAAAGAACGCATGATTAGATGTGTTTTTCTCTTCAATACCAATCATCGAACCGTTGTTGATTGCTGACGAATCAGTTATATGATGTAGCCAACGTTCTTGACCAACGCGATCAGCTGAAGACGAACGTTTAAGCAAGTGTTCCTCTTTTAATGGTGCACGTTTCGGTGCCGTTAGTAGTGGCGGTGCTGGTACTGTACGGGAGTTGAGAGCGGATGATGCTCGTTGTTGAACATCAGTATGAGAATTCGAACGATAATCTTTTCGTGCCAAGCGGGCCTTATGAGGTTTAGCTGTTTGAACGTTCGGTAGAGTTGGCACTGATTGTGGCGGCGCAGGTGGAGGAGGTGGTGGTCGTCGATTCGAAAGGCTAGTATTTAGTTTTGTTGCTACTGATGCAGGCACTTCTTGTTCGATGGATGGCGAAGGTTTCGTTTTCGGTTGCACTCGCGGTGGAACACGAGGTGGTACTTTTTGATGTAATTGAGATAAGCCCGTACTTGGCGTTATTGGATAAGTAATAAACGACGGTGTTCCTTCTGATCGATTAGATGCGGCAATCCGAGATGATGAGGACGGCCGTGATGGAGGAATCGTTTGTGCTGTATCTAAAAGATTGATCATGAAATAAAGGTAAAGATGTTCTCGGTTTTTTGTCTATTTACTTGGGATGTAAGTAAATGATCGACTTGGTGTACTATTGATGGTTTGGTATTGTGATTGACGAGAATGACGTGTATTTACAGATGTTACTGTTGTTGTTGCTGATGTTGGTATTTGTGTGACGGATCGTGGTGTCGATTGAGCAAGTGGAGTCGAAGTTGGTACATGATGAGATAGGTTAGTTTGATCTGAACGATGTATCGATGTCGAATATTGTATTGGTGGTGGGCGCGGCGGTCGATGATGATCATCATCTCTAGTGACATGTTGTTCTTCGTCTCGACCCAAATAGACAAGATATTGGTTAGCTTGAAGGCTCATCAACCATCGGATGTCATGCTAGAATAACGAAATTAAATCTTTGCTAGTTCAGTTAAAGCGAAACGATTTACAAGAGTATCATCGGCATCGTGACTGCTTGCTGATGCACATAGAAGTAGTTTAATTGGTATGAATTCGTGGTGTTGATCTTGAATTGGAAATTGATGTAGAAAATTTTGTAAATGATTCGGAAATTGATGCTAATGTAAGTAATAAGTACGAAAACCGAATATGATCTGACGATAAGGAGATTAGAGAATAGAGACTTACTGTTGTTTTTTTAGGTGGTACGATAAAATCTTTCACCGCTTTCAAATCTACCAAGCAGAAGAAGAATATCCCTAAAAACATAATCGTTTCCGTTGCTCATACCTGCTGCATTTTTATTCGTCGGTAAATCGATAAATGCCAATTGACTCACAATTGGTGTGATACTCTAACACGGGTTCATATTTTCTTCATTTTTCATTTCGAAAAACTGTTCACTTACTTCCGGATGATCTGATTTTCGTGCTTGAACTAAACGAATGGTGTACAATCGTGTTGAGCTCTCCTTCATCGGTATTTTATTTGTGTCAAACAGTTTCCGACGTGCTTTCCGTGCATCGTCAAACTCAATTTCCATGCACGATTGTGGTGTATCGAATAGATCATTATTTAAACCTTCAGTAAACATTTTCAATAGATCAGTTGTAATCGAATTCGTATGCGTTGAATTGATTTCCATTGCGGATATAAATATCGTATAGATATAATCATCGTCAATGCCGGATACGTTCGCCGTTTGATCAAGAATAGATCTGAAAAATTCAACAAAACCATTTTCTCGTGAAGAAAATCATTTCGTCTGTCTCACTTTTCTAGAATACTTGTTTGAGTCATATTCCCAAGAACGTTTCTGCTCACTTTAGGCAATAGATCTCGTTGGTGCCGATCGAACATTGCTTGAGCATCGGATTGAACTTGATAAGTATTGTTGCCCACGGGTCTAAAGTACTATTTCATATTCATTCAGGATAGTTTTGAAATATTCCCATGACTTCAATTTTCTTACGTATTTCAATGCACGATGTTCACCAATACTATTATAAAGTGCATTGATAGTCAATGATATCAATCCTGTATCTTTGCTTTCGCCAAAGAGAATGTCATTACGATGTTTCTTATTTCGACCAGTAACAAAAAGAAGTGCTGAAAATATACATGTGAATGCGAAAGACGAATCTCAGCGAATCACTTACTGCTTCGTCCTCGAACAAGATCAGCAATAGCTGGTCGAGCAAAACGGTCATAGATTTCTCCTGTTGTGCCTTCACCCCATATATGTTCGAAATGAAATGCCGGCTGAAGAAGAAAATCAACAAGATGCATTTTACGAAATTTCAATTCATTCGACCTAATTTACTTTATCACCAAGTAAAAATTGACTTTCATGATTTCCAATAATCTTGAACGTCTTTGTATGTTCATGTTTTCCTAGTTTTGGAATATTACAGAAAGTCTGGAAAACAATTAACTGAATAATCAGAGAGACATTCGTCAAGAGGTCAATTACTTGAATTGGCTTTGCTCGAAGATCATATGATACTTTAGTACTTGTTGATTGCATGATGGCTTTCTCTAGAAAAACAGACTATCGATTTAAACACATCGACGGAGAAGCTCACAATTTAAGAAAAAGAAAGAGAAAGAGAAATCGAGGCATTTATGTATATACATACGATCAGAGGAAATCTAGTCGACGAACACGTGTTCTAGAGAATGAAAGTGGGCATTGTGTTGAGATATACATTCATTCAATTTGATTCCAAGAAAAAGATTTCGTTTTTTAAAATTCGATTTTATCGAATTATCTGTATCTCGAGAAATATTCTTGCGTGATGTGCGATCATTTTGAATAATAGACATAGATGTCATGAACACTAGAGATGCCGATATCTGCATTGTAGAGAGTCGAAATTTTCCATGAAAATACGTCACAAAAACGACAGGTACATTTATTAGTCTGAATTGAAAACAACAAAGCACCGACTTGCATGTACAAAAAAAATGACACAAAAAGCTTTAAAAGAGAAAGCATCTTTTCAGTACAAAGAAGATTTTTACTAAAATTATATGACTTGCTCATTATCGTAGTTCTGAGACTTATTTGTTGAGTAAATTCTAAGCGAATACAAGACATGTTAATCTATAAATACTCTTTGTCATTGTTTACCTGTTTAATCAGCAAAAGTAATTGATTTTCTTTTTCCAATTGTTCACGTCTTTGCTTAACATCTTGCTCAGTCAATGAAAGAATGTATTCGATAGTGTATTTCTCGAATAGTTCATCATCGAAAGTTTTGGTCTCTTGTCGCATGTCTTTAATTTGTTGAAATAATTTGCTCACATCGGAGTAAAGCTTATTGAGAAGTTCAGCTTGTTGAGTATCTCGTAATTGACTTAGTTGAGTTGATAAACGTTGGTATTCGGTTTTTAAATGCAAAATTTCATTGTCGACCGTTGGTGGATCGACTGATGGACTTATAAGGGATTGAACTTCTTGCATTAGTACCTCATTTGCAATTTTCAGACGGCTGATTTCTTTGTTTTTCGCAGATGTTTGTGTAGTACAGATATCCGAGGATGATTTGCTTGTTGACGAGCGTCGCTGTTTAGTGTAACGTTCTTTGCTATTTGCTGGAGAAGGTTCGCGCCGTTTTTTCGTTAGTTTCACATCAGCCTTATCGTCATGTATATACTTTCGGACGTTAAGAAGAATTTTATGGATACTATGAGGTTTATCATTAATCAGTTGATCAACTCGATCGAAATTAGCTAGAGAAAGCAAAATGACTGGCTTCAGAATGCATAATGAAAATTGAAACTTACCGAAATGCAAGTAAGCACACGGACGACCATGGTAAGTATCTATCTGACATACACGAACTGTTCCATATCTGGAGAAATAATCCCTATAGAAAAATAGACTATGCGAAAATCGTTCCTTGAAACGCAATATTTACCGAAGAGTTTCTTCGTGAAATATCTGTTTATCATGCGAACTATCCGATGTTGTAATGATGACTTTATTTGTTAATCTCCATTCTTCGTCGGAATGGATGCAGCGTCTAACTTTCACTTAAGAAAAAAGTCTCATTGATTGATTCGAAACCAAAACGTTCGATTATCTACCTGATTGCCCATCGATCTGATGAGGACGATCATCCATAAAGCGATTGACTGATTGTTCTTGTTTATAGACAATATTATATCCACGAATAGCACCTTGCGGATTAGTCGATAGCTGTGCGTAACTAATTGGCCCATACTTTTCACAATATGCGCAAACCATTTCTTTCGTTGTGGATGATCGCGTTCCGCGAATTAACGCACATTGACGTACATCACTCGGAGCAACTCTCATATTTCTAATGAAGATAATCAACAATTTGTTTATCTGGAAACAAAAATATCAGTTGTTCAATTAGTTTCGTCTTGCAAGAAAGCAATAAGAAGTTTCGCTGACAACAAGATTTCCATAGTCGAAGGAATTCAAAGCAACGATTGACTGAACATTAGTATTACCGATTTATTTAACAAAAAACAATAATCATCACAAGTATTCATAGAATTCACTGTTGCAATCCAAGACACAAGAAAGTGAAAAGGGAAAATTATATGACGAAAATGAAATTCTTCACTGGTTAATATCAGGTTTTGTATCTGTAATTAAACTTGATTGTCAATATTCTTTTCAGATTTGTTTGACAAATCAGAAAGAGATTTTACAAACCTAAAGAAAAACAAAGCCATCGATTATCAAATGTTCCCAACTAAACATGTCTATCCTCCCGTAATTTACTTCTAAATTATTGTTAAATATCACTTAGAAGATAATATCTTTCGAATGTCGACATTTTAAATCTGCTTTGCTTATCATTAATATGAAAACATGCCTTGGTTTTTTATTCTGGTTATGATTATTCAGCTTACTTCTATCCACAACTGTTTTCCTTTTTACAAATCTGACTAGAAAAGACTAATGCCAAACCATGTTCTACGTATGTTTATACACATATATGCGTATGTATTGCCATTCTAGATCAATCATTGAATAAAATATACTAAATCTTGATAATCTGTTCTGATATAGAGAAGCTATATTTAGATAAGATAAAAGAGACAATATTGAATATACATACCGATTATAACTTTGTTATTCTTATCCTGAATAAATAACACTTTACCGGGCGACATATGTTTGAAAATCGACGTATACTGATGCTGAATCGCCTAAGCGAATTGTATACACTTAACTATTCGATAGACTTGATGACCAGAATTTCTCTTCGATAGAAGGAAATCAATGGTAAGTATTCGTTTCTTTCACTGTGAACAATATAAATATTCACATAAACTCATGCTAAATAATGTTGATAAGTACATAAATCAAATAAGTTCAAACAAAAGTCATTTATGGGGAAACATCATCAATCTGCATCTTGTTTCTGCATTTAACCATCTACAAGCCTATGATGTATATGTATTAAACATGAAGTATAATAAAGAGAAGTTTATATTTGACATATCGCTTCATCTACCCACTTATCGAAGAGTAAAAGTAATCTACATTCTAATCGAAAGTGAGAGCTAGATCTTAGGACATATATACTAATAGACTTAAGCTGTCGTGGAAGAGTCGATATATGTATATATATATGAATTTCGCACATGTATTTAAGAGTAACAGGCACAAAAGAAACAAACACACGGTGACTTATACAACTGATGTGAAAAACGACAAGAACAAAAGAAAACAAAAAAAAACAGTACACATTATGAGACTTTTCTTATTCATCTTGTTCTTCGTCGATTCATTCTAGAGTAGAAGGTATTTTAACTCTAACAGATGTTGTAAAGAAATTATTAAAATGCAAAATAATGTATGTATGTATGCATATATCTAAATGATGTATAGCTGTATTCTTGTTTTCTAACTAATTCTGAGAAGAAGAAATTGTCTCTCGTGACTTTTAGTTTCTCGAGTATATGATGAGTTTGGTTGATAAAGCAATGACGACAAAAGATAGAAGGGTAAGTGAAATCGAAAACTACAACAAAAAGATATCGAAAGAAAAATGCTTTACACACGTCCAATATGGATGTCATTTTTATTTGATTATTTTTTCCAAATTTTTCTCCTCAAACACATACCACTCTTGTACTTTGTTTTTATTGACCACGTCCACGGCCGCGACCACCTCCTCGACCGCTACCACGTCCACCCCGTGACGGATAAGGAGCTGGACGATTGCCATAACTACTGTCGCCACTCGGAGGGCCGCCATAATTGCCACCGTTGCCGCCACTTATAGATAAAACAAAGAAGACGATGATCATCCTGAATATATTCTATACTAACCCTCTTCCACCGCGCATGGGACCTCCGCCACGCGACTGTTGTTGAGGCATACCACCGTAGTTTCCACTACCATAATTTTGCGAAGTAATACCGTACGAGTTGGAATTGTCGAATGGCGTTGGCGCTGATGGAACATTACTATAACCAGCATTTCCTCCCGACGATGGTGGTGGTGGAGGAGGAGGCAAATTGAACGGACTGTTCATATTGCCGAAACTATTTGGGTTATTGCCGAAGCTTTGTTGTGTATTCGATCCGTAGGATGACGAATTAGGTTGCATGTAATTCGATGCTGATGTTTGGTTCGGATTCATGTTGAATGGCATACTGGAACTGTTGTTATACATATCATAGCTCATCATAGACGATTGCTGAGATGGAGGAGGTGGGGGTGGTTGACTTTGTCCCATTTGACTGAATGGTTGGGGATAGCCACTGGTCGATGTCATAGAAGGACTAAATCCAGATGTATTGGAATTGTAACCGCCTTGCTGGCCGTAGGGTCCTGTTGGCGGTTGATTATAATTTGGATTTTGAGTATTCATTCGTGGCATGGCACCTTGATTATCCCAATTGTTATTTCCATTATTGAAATTGTCCCTCATTGAACCGAAATTGTTTCGCGGTTGATTGGATGCAGGAGGGCCTGTTTTCGGTCCGGAATAGTTTGAAGAATTGTTTCGATTGAACGGTGCCATGCCTGGTCCACCATTACCACCGCCAAGGTTGCCACTAGGATTGCTACCAGATTCTTCTTGCATTTTCTCTTTTGGCACAGCTTTTTTCACGTCTAAGTTTCGTCCATTGATTATATGGGGTTTTTCGAGCACAGCTTTGTCGACAGCATCGTAATCATCAAATGTAACAAATGCAAAACCACGAGGTTTTCCTATCATAACCAACGAGAAAGATGATTGTTTTATATCAATGTAGAACGGTACTAACCATCACGATCTTTCATCACGAGAACTTCCATGACATTACCGAAACGTGAAAAGTATTGTTGCAGACTTTCTTCAGTAATACCTTCGCGTAGGCCAGCGACGAACAATTTTTTAACAGTCAGATGAGCCTCAGTACTATTCTGCTCTTCTCGTGGCACTAGAAGAGACAAAGTATTATTTGATTCAATCATAATATCACACTCTCTTACTGGCTCGTTTTGGATCGATCTGTCGACTATCGATGGTATGTGGTCTTGAACGCATGAATTCTTCGACAGATGATGTATCTAAATCGCATGAATAGTCTCTTTCCGAATCGTTATCAAAATGTTAATTTTACCTTCATAAGTGACAAAACCAAAGCCACGAGATTTGCCTTCGGCGTTTCTCATCACGAGACAATCGGTCATTTTCCCAAATCGCGAACAAAATGTTCGTAATGTTTCATCTGTTGTACTGTAAAAAAGAAAAGAAATCAAATCACTTTCTAGTTTATCTTCATTCTATAATGAATTCCTACTGGTAATTTAAACCACCAAGAAATATCTTTCGATTTTGATCGCTTGACGACAAGTTTGGATTTGTTGTGCTACCATATCCTTGGTAAACCATTTTCATGAAATTAAAGCAACAAAACAAAAACGAACTATCTAAAGTAGATTATGTAAACCGTCTATCTACGCTCCGCTCTATCAATGATATAATAAACACATCGATGTCTACGAGGGTGACATTGACGGATAAATAGCCATTATGCCGACCATTGAAGATGAATCTGAACCTCCAGTGAAATCGTTCTGTTTTTGTTGCATTTTCTACGTCGATAGATGTCATTTTATACCAGTCGTTTTTCTATTCGATTATAGATTTGTCTTGTTGTCCATAACGACTCCTTAGATTGAAATTTTAGTTCGAATAACTTCTTAAAACGATTCCCTTTTGAATGGCCGACAATTTCTCTCAAGAACAAGCTTATTTGAAACAACATCATTTAACTGTCTATTTTGAAGATTGTATTCGAGGTCTTCTCGAGGCTCGACGTCGATCTTCGCCGGTAACACCTGTAAAATTCGATATCAATACGCATCTAAGAGACTATTTCGCCCAAGTCAAACGTGAATTGCATGTTGTAGGTCGCGAGTATACATTCGTTAATAGTACACCTTATAATCATTGTGCATTAATCAGTCATATATGGTCAAAATATGAGACAGCTATTCCCACTCCGGGAACACTCAAAGAACTTCATACATTAATTCTGACAATTTGTCCAGATTTTCCATATTCATTGTTGGAATCAAGTGCTAGCCTACTTGGCGATCGAGACTGGTCGTTATCTGCGGATTATATGGCGTTTTTACGTGCTTTCCAACTAACATTTATCTATAGCGAATTCATTTATGAATCTCAACAACTATTTCGTTCATTAACACATCATTTAACATGTCATGTGCCCACAGCTGAAACAAGTGTACCACAAGAAAATCACGATCAACGCCAGTTATTGTCTGAAGGGTTTCAGAAACTAATCAAAACACGAACTTGCTCGTGTCCACCGATACACATTCTAGATGAAGTGTTAGTTCTATTGGAAGAACAAAAACCAGTTAGTCATCAAAAATTCTTAGTACAATTAGCCAAAAGTGTAGACTTAACTCGATTCATTGGCAAAGAGCCTATTATTATTAAACCAGCGCGTCCAAATCAATCGCAACGACTCACTATTGAACCAGTATTTCCCATTCAGAACGAACCAAAACTAACTCTCACGTCCATTCCCTCTTCGACAACACATTTGTTACCGCCATTACCTAAACAACAGGGACTTGTTCGTGAAAGACCGATTCGACATGGCTCAGCGGCATCTGGAATTATTTCAAGCAATGCTAGTCGACGTGCCGATTCAGCAACATCATTTATAGCGTCATCTAATTCAGCAAAAGCATCGCATTCAACAACAAATACTGCTAAACAAGAGAGAAATGACACAGACACTGATGTGGAATCGGTTTCATCAGATACAGACACATAGCTAGACATCTTTTAGAGTATTTTTTGTTTAAAACGATGAATTCTTCAATTGTTTGTTGTTTACAATTTATTTTTAGATAGATTTGTGTGGATTGAGCTGAAGTCTAATGGCATCATCGAAGGATTTGGAAGAGCGATTCAATCGAGCTGTTACAACTATTCAAAATCTTCCAGCAGATGGTTAAAAATGATGGCAATGTTACTCCAACTAATTTTTTTCTTTTTGACTGTTTGTAGGGATAATTCAGCCATCGAACTTAACGAAATTAATTTTCTATGGTCTATATAAACAAGCGCTGCTAGGACCTTGCAAAGAAGCACGACCATCTGTTTTTAACTATGTCAGTCGAGCGAAATGGTAGGAAGAAAAACTTCTATGTCATAGATGAATTGGAAAATTTATTTAGGGAAGCATGGGATAGATGTCGAACAATGACAAAGGAACAGGCAATGTTAGCATATATTGATGAAATTCGAAAAGTAGACTAGAGATCACGCGTAAATCGAGGTTTTGCATCTGTTTCTCAGATTATCGAAACGTTGCCACAAACGAATGAAGTTCTGGAATTTTCGCGATCAATGGGATTTTTACCGACAATTGCTATAAGCGGCTCGGAACCAACAGCAACAGTAAAAGGTATAGAACGATCTCTCAATAGCATTAACAGAAAATCCTGTATGAACTATTTAACAGAAACGAATCCATCCTCCCAGAGCGGTTCCAATCATTCATCAACTACAGAATCATCTTCCTCTTCGTCGTCAAGATTGCTTTCAGGTAATTCAATTTACTTTCGAACTATTCATTCATAATGTATTTTACAGATATGGATGATGATTATTATGACGATGCCTCCGAACTTCTTATACCTCCACACAATGAAATTGTACCCGGTGATTCTAACTTAGTAAGTATTCAGGCGAAAAAAGGATCTCATTGAAAACGGACTGCATCTTTTTACAGCAACGATCAACGGTTACAACAGTTGTTCCTGTCCGTCAAGATAATCCTGGTGGGAGAAATAATCGTTCGAATGCATCATCAATTCGTTACGTTTCACCCAATGATCATAGTAAAGAAACTCAACGTGCGATACTAGCAGCACTGACTAAACTACAACGGGATATTCATAACATATTAGAACGGCTCAATCGATTAGAAACAGTAACATGTCTACTTCAACAGGTGAAGACGAACACATAACCAAAATGATATTTTACTAATTTCAACTTTTTAGAGAGAATTAATCAAAACTGCACAGACAGATGTAAGTCATTTGTTGTTTCCAATTTATTTGCAATACTTTTCTTGATAGTCTTCATCCTGGTGGTTACCATCAGCCAATTTTCGTCGTAGTGCTACTGCATTTATATTACTCTGGCCATTTATTGCTTTTGTTCTGATTCGTCTGTTCTTTCGTGCGAAGATCATTATTCGGTATGTATCTTTTCTTATTGACTTCATTCCTTCATCTTCTATTCTAATTCTAGTTTTCGCCGTCAGCATCTATAAACATCTAATGTGCAGTTCCATTTATTCCTGTATGTGATTTTAATATTTATTTTTCTACATAAAAACGAAATGCATTTGCAATAAGCGGATTGTTCAAAACAGTGTTTTTGTCTACCCGATATTTTTAGATGACATCGATAACTAGCGGAGGTGATCGCGAACATTTAGGTATTCCGAACGCAGTGTTTGTCGAAGATGTTGATAGTTTCATGCAACAGCCTGAGAATGATTCTGCTGACACTGTGATTCGACGGTATGGAGATGTGCTCGGCGATTCTTTTATGTATTTTGATTATTTTGCTCTTAGACTGGATGATTTGAATAGCAAATATCGATTTATGGAAATGAATTTATTACAAAAGAAAAAGCGCTTACGTAGTAAACTGCCGGACATTCAAATATGTTTAGGTAAGATTTATTTCGTTTTGCTTTCGTGTAAATTTGTTTCTTCAAATCATTGATGTAGATATGATTGAGCAACTTCGTAATTATCGAGAGAAAGACACAAATATGGACACAAACTTCCTTCTTGCTCATAATTTATACGGAAAAGCAACAATTCCACCAACAGACAAAGTAAAACTTTATTCGTGGTCATGTTCTCGTATATATTGTGTTTCTCGGAATGTTTAGGTTTGCTTATGGTTAGGTGCTAATGTTATGCTGGAGTATCCTCTTGAAGAAGCTGATGAACTATTACGAGGAAATCAAAAGGCGGCACAAAGTACTCTTCAGAAAGTTGATGAAGATCTTGACTTTTTAAGGTAAGAGAACAGATGAGCCTATCAATTGATTACTGCGTCTTTCCAATCGCTAGAGATCAAATAACTACGACAGAAGTAAACATGGCTCGTTTACATAATTGGGCTGTTAAACAAAAACAACAGCAGCAGAATAAGAAATGATTTGTTAACATGTTCAACTGACTTTGTGTGCTTGTCTTTTCACTTTTTGTCATGTCGTGCTATTGTTACTCACATTCGTTTGATTGTCCGTTCATACGAATAATTTTTTCACTGATTAAACAAAACGTCAGCGTCTGATAAGCTTCTAAAACAGTTTCACATATCGAAATTCAGAACGAGCGAAGAAATGCTTCGATAGATGTCACATACTGACCGTTGATATTCTTGGAAATTATGATTTTTAGCATTGATTTATTTTATCTATTTTGAATATTTGCTTTTCGTTTAATTTTTTTCATAAATCAATGGTCATATCTGAATGCACCTATCAAAATGCCACCCTTTTTCTCCATACAATGTTCTTTGTGTTTTCTCTTTCATAAAAGCCATCAGTCAAATTATCAGAATAACCATCAAAATTTTTCTGCTATTATCAAAGAGATATTCATTGAATGTTCTCGTTATTTCATCGCCGTACAGCATCAGCGTCTCGGTCCGACTCGAGTACAAAGGAAAATTCGAACAATGCAGCGACTAATTCCAAATCTAATGCTGAAAATCAGGGTATAATTACACCCACTCCATCTGGAAGTAGCTGCAGTTTTAAACGTCGAACATTGTCAGGTGTTTCACTAGCATCTTCGTCATCTTCGTTAACAACATCACCTTTGCTTAACATAACTCGTCAACAAGAAAAACACGAACTACAAACACTAAACGATCGTTTAGCGGTGATTATCGATACTGTTCGACGTCTTGAACAAGACAATGAGAAACTACGAGTAAGATTGAATTCATACACCAGAAAAATATTCGATAAGCTCATCTTTTTCTAGGCGATTGTGAAGTCAAATGCTCAATCGTTCGAATCTGAAACATCGAAAGTGAAAGCATTGTATGAGAGTGAACTAGGTATGAATGTTAACTGCAAATCATATAGATGTTCTGATGGAATTCTTTAGATGATGCTAAGAAACTAATTGAAGAATTAGCGCATGAAAAATCACGCTTAGAAATTGAACTCGAGAAGTACCGTTGTGAAAATACGGACTTACAAACAAAGTAAGATCATATTGATACTCTAGTCTACATGGAATATGTCGTCGTTTTCAGATTTTCACGCGTGGAGCGTGATGCCCGTGGATATGAATCTCGTTTTAAGCAATATGAAAACGAGATAGCTGAATTGAGAGCACGTTGTGAAGCGATTTCATTTGATGTCAAGCGCAAAATTGAAGATAATGAAGTAAGAAAAAAAAACAGCCTTTTGTCAGAGATCTTCTTAATCGATTAGTATTTAGTCTCTTCAAAATCTCAACAACGATTTTGAAAAGCAGGTATCAGCACTGAAACGTCAACTGGAATCAGAAACGCTATTGCGTGTTGATCTTGAAAATAAGAATAAGACTCTACGCGAACAATTAGAATTCAATCAGCAAGTGCATGATACTGTAAGTAAAGAAATCTCGCGTTTCTTTTTGCTTCGAATCAATCGCATATTCATTTAGCATTTACAACAAATCAAAGAACAACAAACATATGAACTTGTGCATAATGATAGTATTCGTCAACAATATGACGATAAACTTTTGCAAGAACTGCAACAATTACGTACACAGAATGAACAAGAGATGATTCTCTTGCGAGAAGAAATCGCATCGCAATATGAAAAGAAAGTAAGACGCTTCCTTTTTGCATGTGTATGTGAAAATGAATTTGTTTTTTGATGTGAAGATTGATGATTTATACAATACGAATCGCCGTCATCTTGAGCAAATTAACAACTATCGTGCTGATTTAGTATCCTATCGTGAACGAATTGAAGAATCGACGAAAGCTCGCGATGTTTGTAATGAGAAAATGTTGCAATTAGAACAACGCTGTCGTGATCTGGAGGATCGTGCTTATCGTGCTCAGCAACAACAGCATGATTCGATTATGGAGCGCGATGATGAAATTCAAAATCTCAAACAAATCATTGATCAAATGCAGATCGACTATCAGAATCTTCTCGATACGAAAATTGGTCTCGATCGAGAAATTGCTACTTATAGAAAACTACTCGACTCCGAAGAAGAACGGTAGATATCAAAATGAAGCATAATGACGAATGCATCTGACTTTTTCTTTCGTTTAGATTGAATATTAGTAGTCGAGTAGGATCTGTCTCAGTCATGAATGGTGCTGCTGCAACACCAACAATCAATGAAGATTGTATTGCAGTGGCAACACCGAGTTCAACACAACGACAACGCCTCAAACGCCCACGTCTTGCTGTTGACGACGATGATGATGTTATTGCTACGAATGGAAATGGACACTGAAACACAAATCAAAAGACTAGATTAAAACATATTGTTTTGTTGTATTATAACCCGGTTGTTAACTTTCTTCAAAAGAAAATCCAATCATAGTTTAGATATCTGTGAAGAAGATCAGATAGATTATGTTTCTCTCTCTCTCCCTCCTCTTCCTCTTATTCTATCAATGAATTCAATTGTTGTGTGTCAGATGTTTGTTCCCTTCAAATAGTAGATGTATATGTGCAAATAAATTGAACTGAATAAAATGATCAAGCTTGTTTTTCTTTGACTTCACCACAAAGAATTTTATTCAACGATACTTAAGGATGATTCTCTCATGAGTTTAGATATATTCTTAGAGACAAGAAAAGAAAACGAATATTCATGACGGCGTTGTTATTTGGTTTTGCGATGATAGATAATCTTCTACTATTGTTTATCAATATTTATAACGTAAGTCGTTTGTTAGCAAGCACAATTGAGAGTCTTTAATTCGTTCTATATAGATTATTACGTTGTCTGATCTGGAAACTGAACTGTTGAATGTTCGATCATGTTGTACTAAACTTGATCAAGTAAGTCAATTGTCTGTGTTTCTATTTATTACTACATCTATTTTTGAAGACATTCCTTCCAGAATTCATACTGCATTTGATTTCTACTATTTTCTTCGTATTTGGTGGCCATTGGTTTCTATTTCTCTTCAATGTGCCTGTCGATCTTTGGTTTGCTTACAAGTATATATTCTATTAGATTCGGATTTGATCGTTTTCTTCATCTCAACTATTTAGATGTTTAAATCGACAACCAGGACAAATAGGTTTCTATGATCCACTGGAAATCAACAGTCGAATACGAATCAAAGCGAAAATGCGAGTATGAAAATGACGACTGATCTCACGTTTCGTGTAATTCACTTTTATTCTATAGGAATTCATCATTCGATTACCATTTTACCTCGCATGTTTTTGTATTTACCTCTTTATGTTAGTATCATTTCTAATTGATATATGAGATTTTGAACATGGTTTTCTTATGTTTAGGTTAATACAAGCATTGATTTGAAATCATTCAAATAAAAGGTTTTCTAGAGAAAGTTAAGAATGTTCTTGGATGATATCTCGATAAAACTTGAACCTATAAATGCAAACTGTGCAATTCATTCTCTTCTTTCAGATTCGATGCTAATATTTCACGTTCGATATGTTTCCCACCATTACCTCCGTTTGTTCAAGCATCAGTACTCAACATCCACTGTCAAGCCATTGAATGTCGCGTTCTTTGGTTCGGATATCTTTTCGATGCGCATTCTTGAGCACCTCTATCGTTTGTTCTCGCATGATAAATCACGAATCAAACACTTAGAGGTCGTTACTACAACGTCCACTTCCAACACAGTGATGCATGGTGCGCAGAAACTTCAGCTAAGAACTCACATTTGGCCTGAACTTGATGCTCTACTATCCAAATCGTCTACGCAATTCGATCTAGGCATTCTGGCATCATTTGGACAATTACTGCCCAAACGATTAATCGAATCTTTTCCTTTGTACGTTGAACTTGGTTCAATTACATCGAATACTATTTTCTTGAATTCTTCAGAGGTATAATCAATGTTCATCCCAGTTTGTTACCTCGATGGCGCGGCAGTTCACCCTTAATTTACGCTATTGCCAGTGGAGATCAAATCAGTGGTGTGTCAATTATGGACATCCGCCCCAAACAGTGAGTAAGTGCGCATTCGATGATCCGTTTCTTCTAGATATATTTTCATTTATAGTTTCGATATTGGGCCCATCTTGTCACGACAATCATTTCCACTACAAAGCAATATAACTATGTTTGATTTATTGAAAATATCCGCAGATGTTGGCTGCTCATTAGTATGAATAAAAGGTACAATGATTTTCGTTTCATTTCTTGTTTCAGTTAGACACAATTCTCGAAGATCCAGCAAAAGCACGAGGGAATGCACAACAACAAGCATTAACAGGCATTACTTACGGTTAGAAATGTTCTTGAATAATCGTTATTTCATTTCTTTTTGTTTAGCCCACAAACTGAATAAATATTCGTTCTATATCGACTGGCATAATCATACGGTAGACGATATTGACCGATTGTATCGTGCACTAAATCAAATTGTATGACTATCAAAAGATATCTCGTATCTAAACATTAATTCATTGACGATCTCTAGGGCAATCTTCGGACATTATTCCGCCAGAAACCTGTTCGTTTGAAACTTCTCACAATAATTCATGATGGAACAGTTCTCAGCAAATTAAATTCCATGTCAACTCAACCAGGAACAGCAGTCTATGATAAATCACTCGAATGTATTTGCATTCGATGCAAAGTAGTCGGAATATTTTGAGATTGTTGATCGAGTAGAGAGAAATATCTGGTTTTAGGATGGGTGGATTGGATTTCGTAAATTAGTCTATCAAAAATCGATGTATGCACGTGATTTTCAAAATGGATACCTTAGTAAAATGGATCGATTGATGTTTGACTCGATGCACAATCCGATATTTGATCACATCCATAGCCGTCGTGTGCCTGCGTAGCTCATTTTCCTTTCGTTTTGTTCTAATCAATAAAGTTAGTGGTTATTTGCCATCAAGTACCTATCTGAATACTAATGATATGAATGATAAGCACACCATCACCTCACACTTTTGGTTTATTACAGTTATGGAATGCAAATGTGAATATGTCTACTTCATCAGAGCTTGCACATGTTTATTAGTTACTTTCATCTGAGGATGATGTCAGTAATTATTTATAATTAATCATTGATTGTGTTAACATCAGTTTAAATGAGTTTTATTGAGAGAAATGAGAGGTGTCTTGTCTTTTATCGATGGAACAAAGATGGTACATTTCGATTCAAGTTTAGCATATCCTTAGCAAGGTTTAAAGATTATGAAGAGTAAAACTATGATAATGACGACCACCACCACAACCACAACAACTGCGGCTACTATTCCGACTGTAGCGCCTACTCCAAGTTCTACGCCGACACTTGCTCCAGCGGCTCCTGATAGTCCACTGGCCAGACCACCGTTGCCCTGACCATCACCACCTAGAACAAAATAAGTAAAATTTGTGGAATCTAGTAGTTATAATATGACATATGTATCAACGTGAGTTTTACTATGTTGATTATATTGAAGTCGTGAATATCTTCAATCTATCACTCAGTATAACTGACATCCTTAAGATAGAAATTGCTTTTCACTGAAAAATTTCACGAGTAAGATCTTCAGATCAATTTCGACCACGCGCAAAAATAAATAAAATAAGTAAAAACAACAAACCTGATTGTCTATATGACGTTGTTGACTGAGTACTACCCATCGACGACGTAGAAGCAGATGCTGTGAAGGAATAAGTGCATTAATCAACAATACGTATCTTTTTTAGGTTAATTTACTTACGCGGACATACACTGTAGTCTGCATACGATAGCGGGTAACACAGCGGCTGTCCAAAACAACTGTTTATTACACAGACAGTGCTATTGTCTACACATTTTAAATCAGAAGTACATCCACGAAAACTGCTTGTTGACGTTTGTCCTGCACACATTCCCGTTCCATTAGCTAATTGGAAGCAAACACAATTTGGATTTGTTGAACATCCGGATGCATAACTGCTACAAGACTGAGCATAACAAGTCGCATCGACTAAAAAGAAAAACTGAACGAAGTAGTAGCATTTGTATATGATATGTATTTACCATAGAGAGCTAAATCAAGTAGGAAAAAACTTAGCAAGGCCAATGTAATTAGCTGGACTTGGCTGGTGATCATCTGTGTTGCTTAAAAGTGTATATCAGATAAAAGCAAATAATGCAAGATTCATTTGTGCTGCATTGTTTATATGTATTTTGTTAGATGGGAAAAAACCAGCTTTTTGTTTTTTTAATGATCAACGAAAATGGAGCAATATGTCTGCAAGCCTCATCATAAGAGTTCTTTAATCGGCAACCTTTGATTTGAAATTACTGTAAAATAGGTATTCTAATACATAAGTTGGAAAAAAACCGATTACTCATATGATCAAGGGTGGAAAGAGCTTGAAAGTTTTTTCCCCTTTGTTTACATTGCCGAAGGTGCACTGAGCATTATATAAGCTGCATAAAGTACGCAAGAAAAACAATACACCAGTAGTTAAAGACTCACAGTAGCTTTCGTTTTTCCACCAATTTTATTTCAAGAGTGCCAAGTTACAAAGAGAATGGAAGTCCATGGACTTAAAATGATGGTTGTGTGTCTGTTTCACTTACTGCTCATGGTCACGCTAGGTAATTGCATTTATGTTTTTAATATCAATCAAAATATCTCTTGAATTTCTTTCTTATAGTCGATTCAACTTGTTCTTCGCAGACCTGTGGTGCATATTCATCTGGATGTTCTACCAACGCAAACTGCGTCTGCTTTCAAATGGCAAATGGAACTGGCTTGTGTGCTACTAATCTAGTCTCTTATGCTAACTTGAGTCCCTGTGATGAAAATTCGTCGTGCACAGAAAATAATACAGTTTGTGTTCTCAATAGTTGTTTTGGACAACCACTCTGTTATCCACTAGATCGTGCATCTTCGAGTGTATGTCCACGTATGTATTAAAAAAATATCCTATAACGATTCACTATCAACAATCTTGTGTATTTCATAGCATCCAATTTTTCTGCGTCATCCAGTCTACGTCCTACTGTAACGGTTATCCAAACTGTTACGCAAACACAGACGCAAACAATCACACAGGCACAGCGTAAATCAATTGTATATATGTATTCTGCATGTTTACGTTTCTTTTTAGCTTCTCGTCGTGTATGTTTTCATGGAGAAACAACAGTTTTGAAAGAAGATGGTTCAATTTGTTTAATGCGTAACCTTGCTGTTGGAGATCGAATATTGGTATCACGAGGATATCAATTACCTCCTGCATGGAGTACTGTCTTAGCAGTTGATGTATATCAATACTACAATATAAAAAAGCCAATTGAATATTTAGAAATACACACAACTTCATTATCCTCTATATTACATATTACTCCAATGCATTCTTTACTGCTAAAAAAACACAACCACACTCAACCCCGATACGCTTTTGCACATGAAGCATGTGTGGGTGACTCTGTTTACATAATAAATCATGGGCAAACTCCTGAACAAGTTATGATTACTAATATTCAACCAAAAGTATTTTATGATGCATATGCACCATTAACATTTGAGGGAAATTTCGTTGTTAACAATGCTATAGTTTCAGCTTATGGATCATTTCAACATGAAGTCGCACACTATTTGATCAAAGCTCCTCGTCGCTGGTGGCTACGATTATGTTCTATTCTTTTTCAAACACATGCTATTGAACGCCTCGACAACTTTTTTCTTCACATGCTAACTAACATATGATTCTATTTGGAACATTCTTTCAAGTTTTGCAAATAAAACTGTGCTTTTTGATGAAAATATTATTTGACAAACAGTTCATTAAAAAAACATTCTGTAATCTGTAAGTTTCTGATTGGGAAAGTCAATCCTCATTCTTGACAGTTATATGATCGACGTATGATTAATCGCATAAGGCAGCTAAATATTTGACTAATTTATTTCCAGTTATATTTTGTTCACAATTTGGCCAACAATCTGTTATATCAGGAATTCCAAGTGAAATCGAATATTTTCTCATCGCATATTCATCCTTTGCTTTAGTCATGTTTTTTGCAATTTCAAGATTTGAAATCAATGAATTTTCTTTGATATTTGTTAACCAATTAGTTGTGCATTTCGTTGGATTATGAAAATATTGATTTAATTCATCTTTATGGCCATGCAGAAGAAAATCGTTGATAAATGGAATGTGAAAATCTCGTGCAAATCCATGGCCACGTCGAAGTACTTGAATATGTTGAAATAGTCTTTGTCCGCCGATTGCACAACGAAAACAACGAAGATATCTGTAATAATTTTGTTCATTTGATGATCGAAGATATATTAAATGACATTTCTTCAAGATTTCATCCGGCTTTTCAATCATTTCTAAAAATATCATATGTAATGCACCATTGTCATGATTATGATAACCGATTCGAGGTAATTGAAAATAAAATTGACTCCATTTGTATAAAAGCCGATGTGACCACGGATGATTTTCAATTAAATACGCTCCAGCCATGATTTCACCCGTATAAAATCGCTCATAGTAAATCAAATGAATATTTGTGTTATTCGGAATGAAGTCTTCGATTAATTTCGAATTATTGAAAGCAAAAATATCACCATCTAGAACAGCAAACCATTGGATATTGATCATTGATTTCATGTAATTTAAAACAGCACAGTGTTTTTGAAAAAAAAAGTTTTTTATCAATGAACAATTCGAATAAGATTCGGGATTTAATATAATAAATGTATATTCATGTTGTTTGGCATAACATTTCATATTTTCACTATGTTGTTTATATTTATTTTGAGTAGTTTTATCTAATACAATAATAATACCAAGATTTCTAGTTTTCTTTGATAATGTTTTATAAAAAGCATTTCGTTGAATTTTATCATTTAATTCAAAGTCCAATACGAAAACTAAAATGATTACTAAAAGGCAAATGAATAAAAAATATGTCACTCGTCTCCAAACAGATATCAACGTATTCATAGTTGGAGATGAGATCGGATAGAAGAGAACGCAAATACTTTCTCTTTCCTTCCAGAAACACCCTACCTTGATGTAGAAAAATTTCCTTCCATATGTCTTTTTGATTATGAAATAAAGTCAACAAAGTTAACACAAGTAACGCTCGTCGAAGAAGTCTCACGGCGCCCTCTACTAAATAGTTAGCATAGAAAACTGCTTTCCGCTGAGGAAATCATATAGAATATCTTGGTCACAGATTCGCAGAAGGGTGTGGGCGGATGAAAATTTTTCAATGATTGGAATCGATAGAGCTCATCGAGTTCTACCTGGAACAAATATAGTCAGAGTCGGAATACACTCGTGTGCGAATCCGTTCAAGAAAAGATCGAATCCGCGTCCAAGATATCTTACATCTGACCAAAGGGTAATCGATGTCAAAGAATTGAAATCTGAGGTTAGGTTTTTCTTGAAAAATAAAATATGCACTCTACATCACATAGTCACGAACCATTTCGATAATTGCTGTTGTAGACAGACGCAATAGGAAGATGTCATGGAAATCGATTATGAATTAGCAGCTAGCCGTGAGTGACCGACCGACTAGGTGTTAGAACTCCGCATTAAGCTTAAAATATACGTTTGGAAAAACCGTATCAAGCATGAGAGATTTTTAAAAAGATCTGACGAAGGCAGCAGTTGCAGAATACTTACCAAGCAGAATTCAAACTTTGATATTTCGAACTTTTTTATTCATAAATGAACACGTGTTGAAACTCACACCGCATATAATTTGTTAGAATTCCACTTTACAGCAATGAAAATTGATATATCAATGTCTCATGCATACTTACGCACATTGCACACTGTTTAAACATTACTGAATTCTGCTTGAAATGTACAGCATACTGCTTACCATTCCGTTTCAACTGCACAGAGTTATCCTAGAAATGTTTCCATCTGTTCAGGATGCCCCTGTTTCCACTGGCTGGGCCTTCCATAACACCCTCACTTGTCGAACACTCGAGTACGAGTTAAGGGTGCACCAAATCCAACTCTACAATTGGATTCGGATTTGACCTGGATCTGACAGAATCTGAGTGTGAATATGAGCGAGGGCGTATAACTATATGAGATGCTGGATAGTAATATGTCAGGATATATTTCCTAGCGGTCGGCGTCTATCGCACCTATCCTCTGGATAAAATACTGAATATCGATGAAATTTATATAAAGAGAGTACGATAGCTTTTATTACTGGAATAATGATAAAGAAATAGCAAAATAAATGAAAATTCATCAAGGAAATCTTATCAATCGGTATTCATAGTATATAGTTCGGTGACTGCAGACGAAAATTATCGAATTGAACGTAGTCATAAGATGATCCGATTGCGGCCCATCCAGAATAGCTGGATGCACTCAATTCACATCGACCAACTGCATTACCATTGATATATCCTATTGAATGATCTTGGAGAACGACAAGTGTCAATGTATACCAAGTACCAGCTACAATAGAGTAACTATCAGAAGCGACTGGATTTGTAAGCTTTGTACTTTCGGTTATCTGCCAGGATCCATTGTTGGTTGTATTGACGCTGAATACAATACCACGACTTCCCGAGCCACAACCTCCTTGTGAAACTCCTAGTGCAACGAATGCTGTTCCATTCTTCTCAATCATAACGTCTACAGTAACGTTCAAAGGTTGTTTCCAAGTGAAATTGCCAATAATAGAATATGGATATTGTGCTTCATCACACCAACTAATAGTCGTTTCAGGTACCATCTGCCTCATAACTTTGCCACGGGCACTTGCTGTATCGATGATTTCCCATGAACCTGTTTGATCAGAAAAATATGCTGCTTCACTGGATATTCGATATTTATCAAAATCATCTGCATACGGTAGTGGAAATGGCTGAGAAGGTGGAGCTACGTATGCACCTTTTGTACCGTTAATTGTTGAAATAGTATAAAGGACACCAACTGGTAACTGAAGTGTAAATTTCCCATCACTCAAATTAATTATTCCTTTATAATTAAAAGCTTGATTTACGTCCAATACATTTAGATCCGTAAAAAACACATATAACTGAGTAATATGACTAAAAGAACTGTCGAGTTGGAAAGTCGCTGTTTGATTAGTTGTTGTATAGTATACTGTGCTGGAATGTGCACATTGCGAACTATTACGATCCATTGTTTCGATGATAATAGTCAATTGTTGGCCATTTGGATCGGTCAATGATACATAACTACCACCTTTGTCTAATAATCCAACACCTGATCCATGTCGTAAAAATGACCATCCAGCTTTTGTGAACTGTCCCCAATGTGCGGTTACCCATAAAAGTCGCCCAATTTGATAGTGTCCTGACCATGGTTCATTAGCACGTAATATTCCAACTCCAGTCCATGGTAATCCATCGTAAAATGAATTAAGTAAATCCCAAGCAATAGTTGCAGTTAAATTCGCACGAACATAATTTTGATTCAATGATCTTGCCCAACATAGAGAGCCCGTGTCATAATCAAGTGACATATCTTCACTTGACCATTGAATTTTGTTAAGAGCAGCACATTCTTTTGGTATAGATGATCCAACATAGTGCGCTCCAATAACATCAACAGCAGCTGACCATTCAGGATCTCTAGCTAACGTGTCACAAAAGTCCCACCATGAATCATGACCGACAATCTTTGTTTTCAGTCCAGCTGCAGCGATTGCGGCTTTGAGTGTAAGTGTATATCCTTTGTCCCAATTACGTTCATTCCAAATTCCAATATAATCAATATCGAGGCTGTAATATTTCTTAGCACCTAAAAGCCAATTCATAGTATATCTAACAGTACTATTGGTCCAAGGAGATTTCGTTCCTTCACCGACCCAACTAGGAAATCCCCAACTTAGAGCATATAAGATGATGTTTGGATTTCTTCGCTTTGCTTCGACCATCGTCATCCATTCATAACCTCGTTCGTAGTTTTCATCATCAGCTGTGTGCATATGAGATGGTTCTGTTCCATCAGTTGATTGTACGTCACCACCAATCTCAACTTTCAGTATGTGTAACGAAGCACCAAAACCTGGCAAAAATAAATAATCCATTATTTCACTGTACGATCTGATGTTATAGTCTTGAAGTAAACGTGTTACACAACCACCTCCACTCAACCCACCAACACCATCTAAAGTTCTACCCAATCCATTTACTTTGCTTACATTGTATAGGAAATCTGCATTCGATATTGAAAACAGTACGACGAAAACACTAATCACAAATATTGCTTTAACCGATAGCATTGCTATTATTAGTTTCTCCCAAAAATGTCTACTAAAATTAATACGAAAAGTTGTCAGCTTTCATATTGCTCTTTTTTTTTATTATTATCAACAAAACTACTGTTGCTTCTTATCTGCGATATCGCGTATTAATACCGTAAACAGTGTGTTAACTATCTGAATAAGAACTCGAAATAAGGTAAAAGTTTCACTGCTGATAAACGTATTTTATATTGGATGAGAGGCGTGTTAGGTACCTTCTTGTGTACTCAAAAAGTGAGTACACTACTAAAATCGGTCAGTGTGCCCGTCCGTTTATACGATAACTTTCGATAGAAGATTCCGATTGAGCTGAAATTTTCGACTTATACGTATGTAAAGTTGCACGATTTTGCGCTAGTTCATTATGTGTTCACGTCCTGTATTATTATATAGCCGACGAACTTTGCATGTTGGTTGCCCAGGCCTATAAGATATGGAGAGGACGCCAACTGATCATCGAGAGACCAGACATGGAGAGTCTATGGTTTTTCATATTTCAAATTGAATTTTAGAAAAGATATTAACTTCCTCTTATCTGAAAGCAGCGGGATTATGAGTATAAGAAAATGATGCCTTCCATTAGATGAGGACAACTTGTTCACACTCGTTTAAGTCAACCAACCTAATGTTACACAACTCAGGTTGACAATATATGATAAAACTTTTTATATATGCGAGTGCTTTCGAAAATTATACTTGCTCATACGGAACAAAAACTTAGATAAAGTACTATGCACTGCACGATTGGACTTGAGTTTACTGGAAGATGGAGAATTCGTATAATACATCTTTATTCCTTTTCAAATCTTGTTCATCCAAGGATCTTCGACAACTTTCGAGCGGAATCTAAACGTCAGGTTGATCATCCGAGACTCTCTGAATCTCTTTTATATTCGCATTTTTGTAAATAATAATAAATGTTGTGGAAAGCATTGCGAAACTTTTTTTTACAATAGTTTATCGTTCCACAGTGCATGCGTACCTTTTTTCAAACGTTCTTTTTACTTCTTCACCATGATATCTTATCTTATAGCTTACTGAATAGACATGGTTACATTTTTATGTCATTTGCATCTACAATCATGCTCGCAGGAAAGCAGGTAATATATAAACTTGTCATTTTTCTTACTTTGAAATAAGTCTTGTTAATTCATACGCTACTTAGATGTTTCTACCAGTTTTTGGTTTCGTTATTTTGTTTTCTATATCAATAACTTTTGGATCTCCTATCGAGACTGAAAGCACTACTAATGTTGTGTCACTGAATATTCAAAATGCTAATAATGGTCAGGCTATTCCATCCACAATGCATGGCGTTATTTTGGAAACAAATATAAATAGAGGCGACGATGGTGGTTTATACGCTGAACTTATCTACAATCGAGCATTTCAAGGTTAAATCTTTTTGAAATCTGTATGCATAAACTATAGGATAACATATTTATCTAATTTAGAAAACGGTCGGTCGTTGGATGGATGGTTAACATTTGGAGAAGGATCTATTGCTCTTAGTAACAATCAATCATTATCCAGTGCTTTACCAGTGCAAATGAAATTCACACTTAACCAAACGTCAACTACTCCATCTGGTTTCAAAAATGGTGGATTTTATGGCATAAACGTTCAACGTCAAAATTATAGAGCAAGTTTTTTTTATCGACCGTCTACAAACGCGCATGTAGAAGGCGGTAAATTGACAATTGGATTGAGCGATGTAGATGGTTCGAAAATATATGGTGCATCCACAATTGATGTATCCAATGCTCCCGTGAATGTTTGGTCTAATTTTTCTGCTACTATTTCTGTCTTTGATGCCGCACAATCTACCCAAAACGTTTTCTTCGTTGCTTTTCCTCCGAATTCCAAGGGTGATTTTGAATTTAATTTGATTTCTTGTTTTCCTCCTACTTTTAAAAATCGAGAGAATGGTGTTCGTGTTGATATTGCACAAGCTTTTGCCGACCTTAAACCCGGTTTTGTTCGACTTCCAGGTGGTAATGATCTTGAAGGTCCAACTATCCCAGAACGTTTTATTTGGAATAATACAATTGGCCCTCTTCAAAATCGTCCTGGTCGAAGAGGAACATGGGTGGGATATAACACAGAAGGTTTAGGAATAATAGAACTATTAACTTTTCTCGAAGATATTGGTGCAACACCTGTACTTGCTGTCTATGCTGGATATTCATTAGATGGAAAAGCAGTGCCTCAGGATCAACTTCAACCATATATTGATGAAGTCATCAATGAAATCGACTTTATAACTGCACCTGCTGATGCTAATAGAATGGGCGCCCTGCGCAAACATTTAGGTCGTAGTGAACCCTTCGTTGTCAAATACGTAGAAATAGGTAATGAAGACTTTTTTGCTACAAGTACATATAGTTATCGCTGGCCAGCTTTTTATAATGCTCTTTCTCAACGATATCCAAATATTACATTTATTGCCACAACAACTAGTTCGATTGCATCTCCACCAGCTGTAGATGATCATGACTATCAACCTCCACAGTTTTTCATTGACAATTTTCGCCGATATGAAAGAATTCCTCGACCAAAGCCCAAAGTTCTTGTTGGAGAATTTTCAACAATTAACGACCGTGATTCGAATTCACTCCCCTATCCAACGCTAGCGGCTGCTGTTGCCGAGTCAATTTATCGCATTGGGTTTGAACGTAATTCCGACGTTATCATTGGAGGTTGTTATGCTCCAGTTCTTCAAAATGTTCAAGCTACACAATGGACACCAAATCTAATACCTTTCAATGCTAGTCTAGTAGTAAAAACAACTTCCTATTTAGCTCAACGAATGTTCGGCGCTAATCTTGGCAACATAATTCTTAATTCTACCGCTACCAACAGTACTATGGCTCATGAGTCAGTACAAGAAGGCGGAGAAGGAGATGGCAAGCTTGGTAATCTTTATTTTACTGCATCAAAACGTACCGATAACAATACACTAATTGTCAAATTAGTTTCTGTAGATTTAAATGATACTCTTGTTAACATACAAATTCAAGATTCAACAGCAACATCCGAAGGTGTCATGTATATTCTGGCTGGTGGACCAGGTGTTGATCCATCAAAATTGAGTAATACCATTGATAATCCTACTGCTGTATCGATCATTACAAAATTAATATGGGCAACAGGTGGCAAATTTTCAATAACAGTTCCTTCATGGAGTGTTGTCGTTGTCAATCTTCCTCTTTAAACTCATATTTACGTGTTCTTTTAAAATTCACCCTTACCCATCCTCTATTCATTGAAATCAGGCATACATGTTCATTTTCCATATTTTCTATCTGCTTCAACGCGTTAAGTTAATTTTTGATGAAGATCTCAATAAATTCTTCACACATGGGATGATGTTACCTATAGATCGCATCTTTCATATTCTTTTTCGAATGAAGACTATTATTGATCGGGGATAGAAATCGTACACATCAATCTCACGCATATACGACAATTCAACTAATCGTTATCATAACTGTTTAATCTAATCTCTTTACACAGTATATGACTCTTCACAGAGCATGTCAAATTGTGAGTATAATCCATGTTTGAGATTTACTTTGTAAACATGTTCTTCTTTGACTTCACAGTGTCAGTAATAATTCTATATGTTCATTCCGTTCTTCATTCCAACTAATACATTCACAACAATCATCATGTGATGCAAAAAAATCAGCTTACAATTTCTATGATAGTTTTTCTTGTTTACTCATTTTCTATCATTCGTTCATGAATTCAAACTAGTCGGACACACCACCATATAAGTAACACGGTTGATTCTTTCTCTACATAGCGAAATGTGTACAGATCATTTTCAATACAGCTTTGTCGTGGACGACCTTCGTATCCGTAGTTCAAAAGCAATCGAATAATACGTGAAACCATAGGAATGCATTCAAACTTATTATCACTTGAACACGTCAAAGGTAGGTATTCGATTGCTAAGTTATAGTACTATGTACATATAGTTTCTCAATAGAAGCGTCATAACTAACTGACGCATATACGCTTCTAAATGATCGACTTGATTTCAAATAGATGGCGCTGCATGAATCTCTTCTATCGCTATTCCTCTACGCCGATGTCCATTGACGATAAAGAGAAGGAAAGAAAGAAAGACAAGGAAGAGTTTGTATTCAATTGCATTTCTTTACATTGTCAATGCCGCTTACCTTTCCATCATCAGTTGCCAAGAAAGTTCGGTGAGTTCCAATGAATAATTCACTTCTTGACGATCTTATCATAATTTACTTCTAGTTTGGCTCTGTTACATAAATGTAATAGTAGTCGCAAACGACGCGATGATATAACTACTGTTGATTATAGCCATGGAAATTTATCTTGCGTGCCAGAAGATATCCTTCAATATGAAAATACATTAGAAGAACTTCATTTAGAAGCTAATTGCCTTCAAGAATTGCCCAAAGTAAGAAAATTGAATGTTTCTTATCGCCGATCAATGTTTTTCTTTCAGTGGCTTTTTCAATGTCACGCTTTGCGTCATTTGATTTTATCAGATAATGAACTGGATTGTTTACCACCATCGATTTCCAGTTTGACAAGTCTAGAGCGGTTAGATTTAAGTCGAAACGGTATGAAAATCATATTCTAGGTTTTTATTACAATGACATTCCTTGTTTGCTTAGATTTAACAGCACTACCTGATAATATTCGTTATTGTAAACAATTAACAGCCGTTGATTGTAGTTCGAATAGATTAGAAAGGTGTGTATACACTTCGTTTATGTCAACAAAAACGAAGATATTCATTGTTTTAGATTATGCGAAGGATTGACGATGCTGGTGAATTTACACGAATTGTATCTTAATGACACTCTATTAGAATTCTTACCTGGTAACTTTGGACGGTAAGGTTATATCGAAAATCCTACGATACGACTGGTTTCGCTAATTTTAGTTTAACAGAATTGAAGATCTTAGAAATGCGTGCAACACGAATGCGATTGTTACCTGTCACATTGCCAAAATTGACCAAACTCGAACGATTAGATTTAGGTGCTAATTCTTTCATTGAATTTGTAAGCGACAGAAACACGACCGAGCGGATTTTCTTCGATAGCATGTCTGTTCTAGCCTAATGTTTTGACGAGTCTTCCATCACTACAAGAATTATGGCTCGATTCGAACAAATTAATATCAATTGATAATGTAAGGCATAATTTGAAGTTATTGACTTGAGATAAAAGTTCATCATTGATTGTTCTAGACTAAAGAAGGTATTCTGCTTTCTCTCACATTGTCTGCTTATTTCCTTTTTGCTTTAAATGGGGCCTCTTTCGAATGAGATTTAAATATTTCTCTTTGTTTTAGTCAATTCATCAATTAGCGAATCTCACATTTCTTGATCTCTCACAAAATCAATTAACAGAGTTACCGAATTCAATTGGTTTTTGTAAATTAACGGATTTACATATTTCTGATAATTTTCTTACTACATTTCCGGAAACTATCGGTATGCGAATCTATTCTCATTGTCATCATTTCTCTCATCTTTGATTTAGCTAAAATGACCACACTGGAAATTTTAACAGCGAATAACAATCAGATTGAACATTTGCCGAATGAGCTAGGAAAGTAAGTTCACACTTCAGCGGAGTTTGACCTTAGATCATTTGTATCGTTTAGTATGGCGTCATTAGTTGAATTACATCTATCATTCAACAATCTGACTTCAGTGCCAACGAGCATTGGTTTATTACGTCGTCTTCAATTTCTTGCGTTAGATCACAATCAAATTCAATCGATACCTGCTAGTGTGAGGAAACGATTATTTTCCCCTAAACAAGAAACTAAATGTTTACTCTGAAATAGATCGGAAGTTGCTCAAGTTTAAGTGTACTTTCATTACGTTCGAATTGTTTAATACAATTACCTGATGAAATCGGACGTCTTTCGTTACTGAAAGTTCTCAATGTTAGCGGTATGATTTATGCATGAGAAAAACGGAAAAAGTCAACTTAAATGGATGTCTTATAGGAAATTTTCTTCAATATTTGCCATTTACACTGTTGAAATTGAAGAACTTACAAGCATTATGGATGAATGAGAATCAAGTAAATTTAAGATCTCCGTAGATGGAAATTGCAAGTCAAGATCGAATTTCTTCTCTCTTTTAGGCAAAACCTCTGATTGCTTTCGAGCAAGAGCGCCATCCATCCAGTGGACAGCGTATTCTTACCTGTATACTTTTACCACAAACAGATCCTTCGATGAATCGATATACATCAAGTAAATTTCCTCTACGTCCGCAGACTATTCCTATGATCAATATTACTATGTTTGTAGAGAGTCGTTTTACTAATGATCAACCAATTGATTATTCAGATCGTTTGACGACTCTTCGTTTTGCCAATGATACTATCGATGAACCAGTAAGACCATCGTTCGAATTCTTTATCTCTACTAATTCAATATTTCTTCTCAGCACAATCTCGTTCGTAATCCAACACCATATCCGAAAGAAATGCGAGCATTTGCAAATATTCTTCGAAACTATAATCATAATAAACAACGGCAAATAATTCAATCACCCAAGGTAGAATACGAGCATTGATCGAGCGTTTTTCTGAGTCTCATCTATTTAGAAACATTCATCATCATCGAATTTATTGATGGTTTGCGATGATGTTCCAACAAATGAAACGTGGACTCAACGCGCCAATTCCGCGTCAGTTGGTTCGATGAATTCGGACCCATTGTGTTGTCCACTAGCACAAAGTCATGACGAGTTGTTGTGTAGTACGAGTCCGTTAGGGGAACTGGGAATAAATCGTCCCGATCTTTTACCTGGCCAAATCAATGATCTCGATGAGATTAAAAGTAATCATTCGTTCTAGTTTTTTGTGAATAAGAACAGTGTTCTTATGGATGTAAATCGAAGAAAACACCTGCATCTTGTTTGTAATTGAAGTGATGTGAATGTGTGCAATCGTTAAAACAAATTGTAACCTTATTCTTATTGTTTGTGAATTTATTCTGACGAGAAACAAAATACGGAAAAATTATTTATATGAAATAGTCGTAGAAAAATTGTTGCTTATATTCTAGATTGAGAAATTTTTTTCTGAAGAGACACGTTCAGAATGAATTCATCGAAAGCTGAAGCTGAAAATATCGAACCATCCGCTGGCAAAGAAATGCTTGATAAATACTGGGCTGAGATTAAAACTGAAATCGACGATATCAATATTGTAAGTAGCAGTTTGTAACAGAATGTTTGACTGAGAAATTTCTTTGCAGGTCGAATTTCGTACCACTGATCTTCCATTGGCACGTATAAAGAAGATCATGAAATTAGACGATGACGTAAAAATGATTAGTGCCGAAGTTCCTATACTGTTCGCAAAAGCAGCAGAACTGTTTATTCAAGAGTTGACGATTCATTCATGGCTACAAACTGAAGAGAGTCGACGTCGTACATTACAAGTTTGTTTTTGATGGAACGACAGACATTTTGAAGAGATTGTCATGGTATTTTAGAGAAATGATGTCGCTGCAGCAATTTCGAAAAATGAACTCTTTGATTTTCTTATCGATATTGTTCCACGAGAAGAAGCAACAAAGACACATAAGAAGAAAGACTCCGTTAGTGAAGTACAATATATTGTTACTTTGCCAACATCGACCGGTATGGGTAACACAATTCAACTACCAAGTATGTTCTGATTTCGAATTAGATCGATCATAAGAATGTTATTTTAGACGGTCAAATTATTCAATTACCTCAAAATCTCTCGTCGAATATTGTTACTATGGCAGTAAGTGAACAACTCGCTCTTCGAATCATAACTCATCACTGCTTTTTCAGAGTCCACAAGGCACTCAGCAACAATATACTCTTGGACCCTAAACAACTTCATTTGTGTGTGCAATGTTCAGATATACAACACTTTCTGCGTGAAAATGTTTTGCGTAAACAAAGAAAAAAACCATTCACCCCTTTCCATATATTTTTTGTGTAAATACATATCTATGTACATGTTGTTTCATGAATAACTCCCTTGGTGTACTCTCATCAGTCATCTCACTCTGAATGCGTTCTAGATAGAATAAGGATGACACAAACAACACCAAATGAGAAAAACGAATCCTCACAACCAAGCGAAGGTGCAGAAATGCTCGAACGATTCTGGTCAGAAGTGCGTTCAGAGATCGACTCTATTAATATCGTATGTAGTGATCGATTGATCAGAACGAGTACGAACGTCTTCATTCTTGTTTCTAGACGACTTTTCGTGCTAGTGAGTTGCAATTAGCACGTATAAAGAAGATCATGAAATTGGATGATGATGTCAAAATGATCAGTGCGGAAGTTCCAATACTTTTTGCAAAAGCCGCAAAGATATTCATTCACGAGTTGACATTACGTTCATGGCTTCACACCGAAGAAAGTAAACGACGAACGTTACAGGTTTAACAAACATCATCCTTCGAAAAATCATCATTGTCTTCTCGTTCTTCCAAATAGAGAAATGACGTAGCTATGGCGATAACGAAATATGAACAGTTTGATTTTCTGATTGATATTGTGCCTCGTGGAGAGTCCAAGCCGCATAAAAAACATGTATAGTTAATTGATAGTACATGAAGATCACCCTCAATGATCTTTGTTTTCAGGATAATAACGCGGGTGAAGTACAATACATCGTTACACTTCCACAAACAAATCAGCCAAGTGCTATTCAATTACCAAGTAATGAGTGTTTACGTAAAACTAATCGTCACTGATGAGCCTTTTCTTTTGAGATTAGATGGACAAATTATTCAATTATCTTCATCGATACCATCACCATTTGTCACTCTCGGTGTAAGGAGATCCGAAATCGACTTTTTCTGACCGTGTCTTAATTTAAAAAACATCTTTTCACAGAATCCCGGTCAGCAGTATACAATTCTATCGCAGCCGAATCAAATCCAATCACCAGCGCAATATATACAGATTGCTGCACCTCAAGTAGCTGAAGTAGTGCAATCTTATTTCTCCTATTTAATCTTCAATCATTTTAGCAACAACAGACAACTACGCCTGCGAAAAATGTTCATGTGTCAACAATACCTAATGGAATTCAATCACAAGCACGACCTGCTACTTCCGCCCATGTAAGCTTCCGAAAAGATTCATGAGAAAAATTTCGAACGATCTTTTGTTCAATAGATAACAATAACCGCTGCACAGTTACAACATATTTTGAGTGCTTCACAAAAAAATAATGCCAATAATTCAACTACAGCAACAAAAACAGTACCTCAGATTGACAAATCGAATCAATCTTCCGATGAAACGAACAATGTCGATATAAAGCAACAGCCTGTTTAAGAAATTAATCCAATAATTAAACAGAAACACTTAGAGACCTACTTTCAGTTTGTTTTTTCTTTCAAGTGTCATTATTGTCTCAAAGATCGTGTATCTTTGACTGGCGTTGGATAAAATGCTGTGAATTTGTTCTTTTTTGTTTTGCTTCCCAGTACTTATATTAACAAAATGTTGCATTTCGACAACATTTTCTTATGTAGATTTTGTAACATTATTCTTTTCACGTTAACTTCATCGAGAAAGATATCCAACTTCTCGAGAACTTAAGTAGATGAACTTCTGCTTTTTCTTTTTTATTTCAAGATCAATCTGGGAAGGATATGAATATCATCTCTCGTACTATACAACATTCTCTACGTTCAATAAATCCATTATATAAGAAACCTCTAATAACAGGTAGACTATACATATTCGGGTGAGTGTTTTTTTCTTCAGAACTGTTTAAGACTGATGAGTGAGTATGACTTTATCCGGTCGAAACCTAGAAGCACCACATAGTGTTATCGAGAGCAACATCGGTCGAAGTTCAGTGTTTATGTGGGATGATAATATATTATGCTTATGCATGATAAATAACATGTAAACTCCACTAATAGTATCCAATTTTCTTCAATTGCGTGTTTAATGATCCTATTTTGTAATAATGGCACTACAGAAGAATATGTCTTCAAGATAGACTAATTTATTTTCTACTCAGTACTTGTGCGTGGTACGAAAGTACCACTTTCAAATGAACTTTGAGTGTGGTTAGTACATTCTTCTCGATTTCATAATAGAAGTGCTTTATTAGTAGCTCTGCGACACCATGGCGACTACGAATGGCAAGATCCAAAGTCTGACGACGAAGTTGTGAATATTGTATTCATTAATAAAGATGGAAAGCGTATTCCCATTCGTGGGAAGATCGGTGATAATCTGCTATACTTAGGACACCGCTATGGCATCGAAATTGAAGGTTTTAAACGTGTAAATCTCGACCTATTTTATAAGATTCGCTGAATTCTAGGTGCTTGCGAAGCCTCGCTGGCTTGTTCAACATGCCATGTCTACGTGAAAGAAAACTATCTCGATAAATTGCCCGAGCCCAAAGAAGAGTGAGTACCATTGAGTAGAAGCACAATGAATCAAATACTCAATGTTCTATTTGAATAGAGAAGAGGATCAATTAGATTTAGCTGCATTTCTGAAAAGCAATTCACGTCTGGGTAAACACGAAACATTCAATCAATTTCTATCACATTCCATCTTTTAGGTTGTCAGGTTATTCTAAAAAAAGATCTCGAAGGTGCTGAGTTCGCATTACCACAAGCGACACGAAATTATTATGTTGATGGGCATAAACCAACGCCACATTAAGTTTAGTTTTGTTTGAAAAAAATAAAAGTTGATTTATTTAAATATACATAAACCTGAGCGGATTGATTTTCTTAACTTATTGTCTTTTGTTTTTGATCATAGTCTAAAGGAAGTCATCTGTCAAAGTTGAACCTCGATAGATAAAGACATATGTCGAGAAAATGCCAGATCTCAAAAAGACAGACTCAGTTATTATATATACAACACAAATTAATCAGTGCATTTCCTAATGAAATGTCGGATGTTGTTGAAGTACAAGTTTCTTTGCGTGCATTTAAAACCTTTTGCTAAGAATTGTTCGTTCGAAAACGAATCTTGTGACGTGAAACATTACAGACAATGAGATTATCTATACCAGAAGCAGATCTCGATGATAAATATCAATTATTTCATTTAGTAAGAAGTCTCTTTCTTGATTAAATAATAAAGCATTTCTTTCAACGAGAATAGGAACATGATGAGATAACGTTCGTCGGTCCCAAACAAATTCATGTCAATTGAGATATATAAATTATATGATGACATTTGTTTCTTTAATATCTATTATTATTATCGTTGCACGTCAAGAGAGATTTTTATTACTTTCAAAGATCTATCTGACGCATTGGCTTAAATAACGGAACATTTTCCATATCAAGACAAAACTTCGGTCTATAGATATGTCATTATTTGTGTCATTCTTCATCAAAACTCGATCTAATAGGGACTGCAGAAAACTCACATCACGCTACAGAATAATCAATTGAAAATAAGACTGGCGCCTGATGGCAAGATGAACTCATTGAGATACGACAGTATGATTATTTGGAATTATACCGTGAGCTATTTATATTGAAATATGACATCGATTAAATAAATGTCCTTAGACTATCGATAGAAGGATGAAGTCAACTGGATACTCGAAGATAATCTTTTGCAGTGAGACAATACCCTGGCATGGAAGATGAATTTGACCTATCCGATCAAACAAAACTTAGAGAAGATGATTCGGATTTATTCGAATAATCGGAGATGAACAAATAAGACGACTATCATCTGAATTCAACCAGACACTTATTAATAGTACCTAGCTCAGCTCAGATTTATACTGATAGTACGGAAAACATACTTCGCGATGCATAAAAATCATTTACATTGCTTCAAATTACACGATGATTTAGTGAAAAGAGTTTCAAATAGCAAGAACATCATGCGAATGCAGCGCGTCAATTGTTCTCATTCGCATTAAATTGATGAATACAATTCTGATACTTGATTCGTCTACGAAGTCTTTCTGTAAAGAATTGTATTGCATGACGTCGAATCTTTTTTTATCATCACCCATCTCGATATCACATGAAACTTCGGCTGACTGCATCAATAACTAACAATTTTCAAAAGAAAATGATTCTCTACTCAGGCTAACATCGTTCTTCGCGTGTAACGAATTGTAATTTTTGTTCTAAACAATTTTAGCATATTTTTAAAAGCTAATTAAGCATAACTTTCCTTCTACATCCTTGACAATTTGCAATCATTTTTTTTTCATCCATTGAGTTCGTGGGATGTACACTTGAATAATATCATGGCGTATGTGATATCGTTGTTTTCTCGATCAAAACTACGTCAAACGCCTAATGGTGTACGATTCCTTCAACAATAGACTGGTAGTGCCTTAGGTTAGAAAGATAAGTGGAGTATTTCGTGATAGAATACTCCAAATCTATTCTTCAATCTGTAATAATCTCACATCTTCATTTGGTATTATTTTTCGATCAAGATCTCATGTGATAAGAAGTAACGAGTTCATTTATTCTAACAACGCAAACCGTTGTGTATTTAGTTCAAACTACCGGAGACCATATCCTAAATGACATTTCTACAGTCGTACATGAGATGGTGCTGACTGTCATAGAATTTCGATGATGATCTATGAATAGACATCATATTTCTAAATCGAACATTGCCTGTCACTCTTCTATATAATATAGATAATCTTCAGCTGCTTGCTTTCATCAACAAACAAAACAAACAACATTAATTTAGTTAAAGCAAGATATAAGATTGTTTTCCGTTGACATCACCATGTCTACTTATTGAATAGAACTCCATCCTTTTGTCAATCAATCATTGTCAGTATCTAACGAGAATTACTGTTTGTTTTTCACAAAAAAGGTTATTGTAAACAATAAACAATAAGATTAAGAAGCAAAACAAGAGCAAAAGTTTATATGTAACAACGAATAATTACACACACACACATACACACACATATATATATATAGATCCATTTGTTAAAACATGTACACGCCGTAAATGAGTTGTAGAAAAAAACTGACAATCTTACATCGATGAGGCAGTAGGGCGCCTTGACAATGGTGTATTTGAGTATCGTGCTTGATTATATCGTGACCCATGAACATATGATGACATGTAATAACTAGACCGATGGTTCTTCCCATTTCTTACACTCGACTTCGAACGTAGCGACGAATGCTTAAACGCACGTACTAATTCATTTCGTATATGTTTTCCACTAATAATGTACAAATAGAAGTTAATGCCATAGTTGAAATTAGTTAATAGATCAAATATATCATGGCTGATATGGATATAGTATTGCCATTTGACATTACAGATACGAAAAACAGTTATGTACATAAATTTAATAATATCTAAGCTCGAACCGGGTACATGTAATACTAGATAGACAGACGTCACAATGACTAGCATTCGAGATATTTTATAGACTAGTTTCATTTTGCGTTGCGCATTGCACGTTGTATTTGTATGATCGAGTAGCGAACCTTCATTGAAAAGTTTACTCATGATCAACACATTTACAGTTATGATAATCGTCAACGGAAGTAGAGTCATAAGAACAACCCTCCAGACATAAACGGTTAGTATTACATCAAGCCTTAAATATTCATGATTGCGAATAGTTTTACAACGGCAGCCTTCCGTTGATGACGATGACGGCATACAATCGAGACCCTTGATTACAAACTGATACGATTGAATAATCATAGTAAAAAGAAGTATTATGAAAATAATTCGCCGCGCATTGACAACTGTACAGATATTTTTTGCCCATAAAGGACATCTGATTGCAACAAGCCGTTCGACAGCTAACGCTACAATAATCCTACGAAAGAAAACCGAATTCCAGCTAACTTCGTTTTTTTTTGTTTTTTTAACATCACTTACCAAGAACTCATCGAATAGAATATGTAGCGTATGTAATTATATACTTTACACGACATATTACTATGCTGAATAAGAACTTTTTTATATTCTTCTTGATGTAGTTCATCCAGTGCAGATAGAACTAGGCAAAGATCAGATTTATGCTCAGAATCAAGGCAATTTACTTGTTGGCTTCGTTACATACCTTCCGCAAGGATCGCACCGGTATCCACGAACGCTAGAGCTATCAAATACTGAGTATATGAATTACGTCTTAGACCTACAAGATTTCATCAATTAATCTTCGTTCATCTCATCTTGGAATAAAAACTTACGCCGGCGCCACAGGACTAATAAACATAATATATTACCACAGAAACCTATTACGAAGACAACTAATGTCCCTGGAAGAAGAAGAAAAAAGATAAATTCAATTAACATCTCTTTCAATCAAATGCGAATATTAAGAACGAACCAAGATTATTTAACCACCACGCCCAGCTTTTATGTTCTGATTGGATTTTGTTCGCATATGCCACATCTGCACTGGTAAAATTCACTCCTTTGCAACTAGACATGCTAGAAAAGATACAAGAAATCAAACATCACAGTGAAACAACTTAAATGTTATTTCGTCATTCTTAACACAAAACCCAAAGAGTAATGATAACAACCGTTTAGTTGCTCTTTTCTATCGCATTCACAAGCGTATCATGTGATGTACTATTGTTCTGAGAAATACATCTATACATGTAGATCTTTCATGGCTGACATGGACCCATTTATCTTCCAGTACGTCTCTGTTGTTTCTTTTATGTTGACATCTTTTCTTTGTACATGCTCGATTGAGTTTTCAATCAATTATACTCAAATGAAAAAGAAACAATTGACAAAGCTTGGAATAGATTTTCTAGATCATCTCTTTGTTTCGCAATGAATGCAGTATTTCATAATAAATAGACTATGCTTCTACTATTTATGGTTTTAACACATTTATCACACATGTTATTGTATAAGTAATAAAAGAAAAGAATGAATGCATTTCTTTGTATAGCTAAGGTCATTTATTATTTTGCGATAATATACTAAAGAACACTATGCCCTATTGTTATTTTTTCATTTCTAATTTCAATGTTTTCTCCTTTTTTTTCTTCTTATCATGAATACTTAATGTCGACGGACCGGAGACACTAATTTTGCGACCGTAATTTCTTTTTTTTGTCTATGCAATGTTTGATGTTAAAATTAACGTTCTAGATGAGACATCTTTTCTCTATGGATGTTTACCTATTCTTTTTAATTAGTCAATCAGTTCAACTATATCAATTGTTCATGATAAAAAGACTCATATAGAACGGAGGTTCATATCTGAATGTACCGAGATGCTGCCGACTTTCATGATTAGATCTTTATAGAAGGTAGGCTCTAATCTTAGTATATAAATGTACTCTTACGAATAAAAAAAGAAGTGCAATGTTAGATGGTAATCTACGGGGACTGTTAAGAAAGCGGATAATCATCTAGACGTTTCCGTGTCAGAAAGTTTATTTTAGATTGTAGATGACGGTTATTTTTTGTTTCTTGATAAACATCAGATCATTGAGTGACGCCCTACAGTTAGCTCTTGCCTTTTGCGTGCGGAGATATAATCAATGATTAAAAAACATATTTACCGAAAAAGCGCAGGAACATATGGCGTTGTTCGATTGTCCATATTGAATTACAGGGAGATTTCTATTGAACGAAGGGTATCATTGTCATTTCCATGGGGGAATACTTCAATAGTTAGGAACTAGCATCGTTCAGAAGTAATCAGATAATACCGATTAGATAAAATGTGCCTTCCTGTGCCTTTCTCTTCACAAGTTGGATCTTGTTGATAAAAAGTCGAGATAATTGAACGGAATGAAGTGATCGACGATCTTTATACATGAACTTGTCTCATTATTTTCTTCTGAGATAAATAATGACTTGTGCAAGAAATGATACTCATATTATAATACGCGATAGGCGAACTTTTTTCAAAGAAGGTTTTTCTTTATTCTATGCATCTATCGTCTAGTGTTTTTTCTCTTTTCCTCTTGATTTCAATACGAGAATACAGAGGAAAGCAAAAGAAGAAGAAAATGCGCAGAATGCACACTGTTTGTAAAGAGAAAAGGAAATCTAGAGCGTATTTACGAACAAAGACAAAACAACAGATGATTAGAGGACTAAACTGTGTAACGATTTCTGATAAAAAGAAGAAAACAAAAACCAATGATCCACATGAGACTAAGAATAAAAGACAATGAATGCGTTCTCCCTACGCAATTTCAAAGGTCTATTCACGTATAAATATACTTGTATGAAGTAAAAATAGATAGATTTAACTTTTCCGAGCAAAGACATGACTGTTGTTGAGTATGCCCACACTATAAACTCTTGAAATTCTGATGAAGATTTGAAGAAATCATGGTCTAGTAAATGAGTTCATAATATAACATAAACATAGAAGTTCTGATTTCTTTTTCTTCTGATGTATTTATTACTCGACATTCACTACGCCAAAAGAAGAGTCTAATCGAAAGGAAACAATTAAATGTAGAATTGCATCATTAAAAAACATTGTTACACATTTTCTTAATAATCATCTCGTCGACATGACTTGAATAACTAAATATCAAGCGTGAGGACAACAAAACTCGGTTACTTTCTTTACATCATATACTTGTCGAAAGGCCTAACCGAATCTGCATGAATATTATTTTCCTTCAATCAGATCAATAGCAGAGTTCCAGTTATAGACGTGGGATATCATTCGGAACTGATGCAAACTATGCGAAGACATTTTTCACATAAACCTGAATTAATTCGTATATTTTAGAATAGAGACAAAATGCTAATTTACATATAAGAAAATAACACAAAAAAATGTGAAATGTGACATACCCGATGTGTGCGCCAATTTGGAAAAATATGGTACTAGTACTGAAGTATGTGCTCTTGTGTAAGATGTAAACAGGGGGATAAAAAAAAATAAGAAAGCAATGCTTTGTGTACATAAAAATCGCTTGATTATTCCTTTCCACTCAAAACAGATGACAATCTATACTTTTTGCATATCTATGCTAATATCGTACAATAGCATGGAGTATTTCTCGTTGAAAATCATGTCTATCTTACGAGAGGAAAAGTACAACATACATGGGTATCTCTCTGCTTGTCTGATAGATAATGTCATTGAGAGAAAATCTGACTGAAAAAAAATTTCAGCTTCTTTTCACCGAAAGCAATCTTACTCGTATTAGGATGCACTGTCTGATGACATTGACGTGTAAAAAAACAGACTGTGTCGTTCCTGTTGAACTTATTGTATTTCTTTCTGCTAATTCTATCTCCACATTGAACGTAGGAAAAGCGGGAACATCAGAAGTATGAGTCAAATTTCTAGTTCTTGTTTTTAATATAAATTGGTGGGCGATATGAAATATTCCTAATTGAGCAATAGACTTGCATGAGACATTGACATGCTCGATATGAAATTGAATGTTATTATGGAAAACTCTTCAGGAATATCGAGGATGATAAGCTAAAAAACAATCATTTTCTCTTTCGAATTCTATCGATCAATCACCGACGTCAAACTGTGAGTAAATGACTACTTTTATTTGAATACAGAATGAAGCCTACATCCAGTGTCAATGTAACAAGAAAAGAAGAAAAAGATCTATTATTTTCTGACAAGATCAAACCATTTGCTCAAGAACCTATCGAGGGTGAAATACAATGCTTTCGTTTGATTCAAGCACATAACCACTATAATCTAATCGAAGTAACCTAATCGAATTTCTTGTGGAGCAAATTGTTTTCCTTGAAAAAGTTGACCTACGTAATAGATGTTTCTTCTATGTCATGTTTCTATTTTCTAACTCCATTCAACGTTTGTCAGAGATTTTCGTTGTATAAATGAAGTAGCACTGAAGGAAATAGACTAGTAATCCAGATAAAATCATCTTCTTCCTTTCTTTCAAGCACGTCTTTTGCTCATCAGATGTTTCGATAAAAGATCCAAATCTTTTCAAATATGCACGTCGATTTTCAATAAATTATCAAAAGAAAAACAAGTTAACTCGATAAGAAAACATGTCAACGAGAGATGCAAGAGATAGATTTCATTGAAGAATTTGTCAAATTATCTTATGAAAGTATTTCAAGAACTTGCCTGTTGCCGTATGATTCAGCAGGTAAAGAATCCATATGAATTGAATGATTGAAACAAACTTCCGACGTGCTGGATACAATAGCAAATGAAAAAAAAAGAACACAGGATCGCTTTCTTTTCCTGCTTTTGTTATTGTCTTGTATCAAATTGGATAACTGTTTTAGCTTTCTCGTGCGTAGAGTATCTGTCATCAAATGATTTGCATCTAGACAATCAAGAAAAGTAGACGTCGTGCGATAATTTCCTGCGTTGAAATGTCTGAGATAAATGTATTTGAGATCGACAGATGTATGTAGAGAGAGAGAGAACGAAATACACACATAAAGATATATATAAAGCATAAAAAAGACTTGAAGAAACGACTCATCAACAGTCAATGATCGTCATCAGATAAGAAAAATTCATTTGGTTACTTCTCTGCCATTAACTCGCTATTGATGTTGTTTTAATTCATTAGTTTTCTAAACATGTATTTCGAATTAAACATAACTAGGATATTACCCATTAATAATAATCCTTCTCTCATTTCTACAATCCAAAACACAAAAAAAGAGAGCACCGAACCCCGATCAAACATGATTGAGGGCATATCCATTTTCATAAACGAAGAAGAAAACAACTTGATAAATCTTTCAAACAAATCATAGATGTTAAGATCTGTCTATTGTCAATCGCGGCTCTAATAACATAAGTCAGTTTCATTGGACACATTAATATACATGCGAGATTTTGATTGCTTTCTCTTCGTCGCTGGCTTCTATTCAATCATCATGTTTTCAGTCAACATACATATGATCAATCAAGCGAAACTCCACGTGTTACTGTACATACACAAATCGAATATAACGATTCCGAACTTTTTTACTCGTCGAGCACAGAGAAAATATCTAAAAATTGAACTCTTACCAGCAAAGTATGCTTTATCGTATGCATATAGATTTTCCTGCTTCTCTCTAGTAGTAGATCATAGTAATTGGAACATAAAGCTATTTCTTTGAATAAATGATGATCGTTCCGATGTTTTTATGTCTAGATTGATTGATATCACCAAATGCCGTCAACTAGTAATCAAAATACAACAGCTGATGTTCCGACTTATGCATCGAGTGATCCTAATAAATTACGAAGTACCAAATGCGTTCCTGGTACTGGCTTTATCAAAACACTGTTTGGTCTATTAAATTTAATCATAATTGTCAGTAGAAAACTTCCTCTTAAACAATCCGTTCCGATGAAAAATCGTTTTAGATTTCATGCATTTGTATATTGGCTACTGCCGGTGTTGCAAGCAAAGCTGACTGTGAACTAGCGGATTTGCTCTCTTTCCAGTCACCTGTTCAAGTGTCTGCTGTTCATACACGAAATGCAATTATTGTCTTCGCAGTCTTCGGATTGCTTCTTATTCTCATCGATTCTATTCTTTATATAACTAAACTAATCTTTCGTCTATCAGTTAAATTCGATTTAGCTGTAAGTGATCAAGCACAACAAAGAAAAATTCTCATTATTTATCGTTAAATAGTTTAGCATCGTAATGATCATCTTCGGCGGAATATATTTTATTCTTGCGTACGTAACGAACGAATACGAAGAGCAAATTTGTATTGACATGTTTTTCTAAATAGATGTTGTGCAGCAGCATGGGAGAAAAAACTAGGAGATACTGTAGGTGTAGTTTCGAAAGTACAACATAAAGGTGCACCTGCAGCAGCTTCGGTAAGTCTTATCTTTGATACTAAGTCAAATAAAACTCTGCTTTTAGTTCTTTCTTTTCGTCACTACAGGTTTTGTTCTAACGAGTTTCATCCTGCGTCTAGTGCGTCCAGAAATTTCTCACGAAGAGTGATAATGCATTTTTTATTATTATATGTCATGTTGAAATAAAATTAGAAAAAAAATCATGAATTCAAAGAACATTTTTATTTTAATAATATATGCGAGACAGAACGTCAATATCTGTCTATAACTATCATGCTTCAACGTATTTCTTCTTCTCCGTGCGAAAAGCGTAAGAAAATTATTAGAAATTGCTGGACTGAATACAAAATTAGAGTGACTGATCTAAGGGTGAACAAGTAAAGGCAAACATCTTACGTAGCCGACGATAGACCGATTTAGATTTGTTTTTATTTGAAGCGACTCGCCGACTATAAATTCTCGCTCGAATCAGTCTATATAACGAATGAAGATAATCTTGAGAATCGAGAGTTTGTACTCATCTGTCATAATCGATCATATTGGACATGAAGCATGAGAATAGAGAGAACTGAAGGAAACAAATCGAAAAAGTTTTTACATGCGAACATTAATACCAACACGCGATCTACTCGAAGGTTTGCTCTGTTTTCCATGGGTACAAATGTCTAATCTAATTTACGATAACATTTAGAACATTAATGGTAATGTATATGTATGTCTAGTCTTGCAAGAAATTGTCTAAGTAATGGGAAAAACGCAAGAATTCTATCGTAATGAGAGCCAACTATAAAGAATAATTAGGATAAGTAGAGAAGTTGAGAAGAACATCTTCAGATGTATTTCTGTGAGATGGCTTGCTGAGAACGTACAGGAAACTGAAATGAACCGTCTGACGTCAGAATAAAGCGAAGGATAAACATTCATTTCTTGTTAGTTGAAGTTAATCTGATATTCTCAGCAAGTATGTGATTCAATTACGCCAAATATACATAATTAAGGAAACGATCGAACAAATAAGATGAAGTTTTTATCAGATATTTTCATTTAGCTTTGAATTTCAAATGTAGGTAAAAGAAGTTTTCATTCGAAGAAAATAATGACTTTTTTTTTTCTTCAAACACTTTCATTGACAGCAGGGTGATAAAATAAAGCAAATCTAACTTACAGTCTCATTGCGCGACGATTAATGAAGAAAACATCGATAAACGACTGAAAAGACGAGATTGAACATATTGTGTTGCTTCAACTGAATGTTTTCGCGTTACGGATGTAAAAAACAGCAAGATTTCTCATAAATAGAGTTTATTCTTCTAATCATTCTCGATTACTCGGGCGCAAGTAGTTCTCCTAGACGTCGGCTGCTGACGAAACGAGTATGATATAATACTCTCCTCTGTCACTAAACAGCTCTAATAGCAACAACTCATTTCCGATTTCAAAAGCTCGATTTCCTGCGAGTTTTTTTAGCATCGCATTTGATTTCCATCTGAGTAAAAAAACAAAAGGGAAATGTATTATAATCAGCGAAAAGCACCTGAACTTGTGAACTTGTCTTTCAAAAAACTTGCGTAATTGCTGCGCTCAGATTCTGTATTTATATCTTCTACACTGAAAGAAACTTGTTATGGAAGAAGAGGACGAGTGTAAAAAGTATCACACTCGTACTTGACGAGATAAACACAGTACGATCAGCTTGTTTTTCTTTTCGTCTCTTGAGAATTCCTATTCAATTATCGTATTTCATTTTCGTTCGTCGAACAAAACGATCGATATCTTTATTACCTAGAAAGATAATTTTCATCTTGACCTCGAAAGTGCAAGCAGTTGACATAGATACGTCCTGAGCGATCAAGAGTAGAGTTGTTGAATACTGTGAATTAGCAATATTGAAAACTCTTGACCTGAAGTTAATCGTATCAAATTTCTTACTTTGAAATTCACCGATGCATTTAGTTGTTTGTTGAAAGAATTAAATGAACTTCCTCAATCACAATCTTAAATTCTATTTTGGTCTATACAATGAGATCACGAATGACTATCGTAACCTTGTATATCTGAACTTCAAACTTTCATTACGTCAAGTTGAGTACAGATCAGATGCCTCGAAGGCTTTCTACATGAATTAAGAGAGTAAAACGCACACAAGCATCCTTAAACTCTTACTCGTCTATATTACAACGACGAGTAATTCACGCTTTCATATCATGTTCGTTTGATATTTTTTGAAAAAAATCAAATTCACTCATCGTACCTTCTCATAAGTGGAACTCATCGAGATGTAATGACGTTATTACACGATGAAAAGATATTGAATCTAATTTAGAGTAAGAAGGATGTGTGAAATAGAGCGGTAATCAAGCATGAAAATGGGTCAACATGTATCTCATCAAACCTTAATCATTCATAATATAACAACTAACGCTATCTATCCAGTAAGGACTGACACGTCCACATGAATCTAAACGGTTAAGTGTGGAAGTTTTTTCACATTTGTTTGTATTTCATACTCAAATATCAATATTGTACTTGATCACATTACTTCGAAAGCTAAATACATAGAGAATTGATAAGTAAATAAACGCTTTTATTACCGCCTATTGAAAGAATGAAAGCAATTTTCTTTGTAGATGTTTTTTAAACTAAAATCGAATCTCTTCTTTCTCTTTCTTCTCATCCTTTCAATTATTCGTTCATATGTCGCATTCGACATTGAATTAACCGTTTTAATTCAAGCAAATCAACGCGAATGTTTCCATCAAGTTCTCGACGCTGGTCGAACTGTTGAAATAGAATACGAAGTCGTCGTTGGTGGCGATTACGACATTAACTTTTGGTTTTATTCGCCAACTAACCGTGTCTTACAATCCGATTTCAAGAAACGCGATGGGCATCAAACGTTGAAATTAGAAGAAACAGGCGAATATCGCTTTTGTCTTGATAATTCCTTCTCACGATTCAGTCATAAGCAAGTCTATTTCAGTTTAAGACCTGTCAATGAACAGGGACAAAGTGTCGTTGAACATGCCACTGAATCATGGATGAAAACCATGGAAGTCGATCAACTTGGCGAATTACAAGCAAAAGTTCAAGATATTCGAGTAAGAATCTAGATTCTTAAAATTCCATTCTCGAATAGTTCGTTTGAAGACGCATTCGATTGTTTTATCCTCTCGTAGTTAATAACATGCCAAGCGAGAGTACATTTGTCAAAATTCCCCATTTCGTAATGTAGATACACTCGTTCGAAGGATTTTGTGAAACGTGATCTATTCACTAGTAAAGCTTTACACTTGGCAATCAATTTTAATAGAATAATCTCACACGTGTTGAATTGATTATCAGGGATTAACATTCAATTGTTGAACTTCAGCATGTTATCCAATGAGAACGTTCGAGAAAAAAGAATCATAAGATACTTCTATTTTAGGATACGTTTCAACGCATTTACGATCACATGGAAACAGCTCAACATTATCAGAATAGTTTTCGCAATCACGAAGTTCACGATCGTCTGATTTTAGAAAATAATTTTCAGCGAATCAATTTTTGGTCAATTATTAATTTAACTCTAATGATAACTGTTACCATTGTTCAAGTGATAACTATTCGTAGTTTNAAAACTAAGCATAAGAACAGATCCCTGGCCGTAGTCATCGTCGTCGTTGTTGATGATCAGTGTTGTAGAGTGAAGCAGAGCACCCGTTCTTATTCTCTATTTGCTTCGATCAAAGCCTCCGCATCCGTACACACACATATATTTGTATCGGGATCGATCTTTGAATTATCAAGTACGCTTTTTTCATATTCATATTCATTGACTCATTTTTCTTCCTTTGAAAAGAACAACTGTTCGAATTTAATCCGTTCGTTTGATAGCCTATTGAATTTCAATATTATGTTGTAGATCTACTAGCACAGCAAAATTTGTTTTTCGTCAATGACAACTAACGGTGAATACGAAAATGAACCTCAGCCGCGCTTATGTCATCTTCGACGATGGCCGAACTTTGTTGGCTATGGATTCAATTTGCATTGTGAAAAGTCGAAGCCAGGTCAGTATATTGGCAAAGTCGATCCAAACTCTCCAGCTGAATCGGCTGGCTTGAAGGAATATGACCGAATTGTTGAAGTGAACTTTGTTCCAATCGGAAATGAAAATCATAAACAAGTTGTGGCAAGAATCAAAGAAGGTGTTTCAAGAAATGGTACAAAATATCCAGAAGAAGTTATTCTACTTGTGCTTGATCCTGACGCTGATGCTTATTACAAAAACAAATCTATCGTTGTTCGAAGTTCTGATTCCAATGTTCTAAAATATGAAACCGAAATACGCGATGGAAAAGGTTTGATTTGACCATCAAAACGAAATCTTGTTTGCAGTTGTATCTTTCAGAAAACGGCAATCATTCACCTCAAACCTCTGAAAGAAGTATTGAAAAGATTGATTCACCTGTTATTCGTGAGATACCAATACGAACAACAACTGAACACACGCGTGAATACAAGCATGTTACTGATTTTACCGGTCCAACAGTTACACATACAACAAAAGTATGCATCGTTTGATAATTTCTTTTTCTCTTCAAATAGACATGCCGTTGATAAGTATTTGCAGAAAATGTCAAAATTTCTTGACATTAGATACATTATTTGCCTTCACCTTGATAGACTTTTAATTTTCTTTTGTTCTTCTTCCTTCTTTGCTTTGATCAAAGTTAAAAAGGTTTATTGTTCGAAGTCCTTCGAGCCTGGAAGCCATCGAAATGTAATTGACTTGACTACTTTGATCAATTGAATTTAAAGATATTGTTTTTGTCTGTGCATTCAAAGAATTGAAGCAAACTTCACCTCTAATATTTACAAATCAGTTCGTCATTGAGATATTTATTTGGGTTCTTTTCAACTAATTTTGAAACCATCTGTGTTATATTTACTATTCATGACATTGCTAGTTTCTCAGCAGCTGATATTGATTAAGATATGGATATTTGCGCAGGAAGTCCCAAACATGACCTATTTTCACTGAATTTCAATGAAATCAACGAATATTTACGTCAGTATCGAATGTCTTGAGATTAAAAGGAAAAAAATCAATCGTTCAAGTATCTACGAAAAAGTCTAGCGTTGTTAACACTACAGAGAATAGAACAAAATGTATTAGAATAAATGAGTCTCTCTAATCAATCGTTAGGGAAATCATACGGAGTAAATCTAATCCACTTGTTTTACTTCTCGTCGCATTTATTACCTAAATTATGTAACATAGGTTGATAGTTCGCCGACGATATCTCGTACATCTGATCATGAAAACTATCTTCGATCATCTCCGCCATTAATTGATAAAGAGAAACGGAGAGAATTCACATCTGTTGGCAATTCATCTCCGGCGAAAGATTCGTGTCATAGTCCATCTCAATCATCGTCAACCAACGGTTCTGACGCTCCACTTGAATTGAGTACGAAAGGATTTTGATTGTTTCAAATGAGATTTAATTTGAACGTTTTCTTTTTTAGAAATGTCTGCTGCGGAATATCGAGAAAAATTAAAAGCACAACAAGCTCGTAAACGAGACTCACGTCACGATCAACAAATGTCTATGAAACAAAAACATGATCTAATCGATCGTTTATAGCTCTCTTCGAAAGGTTTCCACGAGAATGAAAACACAACTATCGAAACAACTGAAATTGTCTTGCCAATGTCCAGCATAAATCGTTTTTTGTGTTTTTTCTTTCGCTCTCTCTCTCTGTCTTTGTCTTTTTTCTTTCGTTCAATAGAAGTTTTTCCAACATAGAGTCTATAACAGTGAACGTAGTTCGAAATTGATTCATTCTTTAAGAAAGCCTTTCAATTATAAATAAAGAAAAATTCTTCCAAATAGCACGTGTGTTTTTATTCATTTGTATATTGTGATTATTCAATCTGATTTCATTCGTCTTTATAATACCCTTCGATGTTCGAAGAAAGAGAGCATCAATAAATATTTGTCTGTTTTCCTTCAATTTTATTGCCTAATAAGTCAATCTTAAATAAGTAGACAAGCGAAAAACCTGAGAGTTCATTCGCGACAAGAAATGTTTATATATTTATCTGATGATTCGTCGGTAAGCTGTCGGCCGTCCAGGTCGTCGACAGAACATTTTATTCAGAGGTAAAGATCGATTTGTACACTTTGTCGCTAAGTCCGATAGCCAAATACCAATTGTCCAAATTCGATTAGCTTCTTCTTCAGTAAATACATTCGTAAGTAGTTTAGCCATGATGACATTATTTGTTTGTAAACATGGCGTTGTTGTTTTTGAACTTGAATTCAAATCATAGCCTGTCTGCTGTTCAATTAGTATTCGTACATTGAAAAATCGACTGTCCATGCATGAATAATCATACGAACGAGTCTGTTTAATCTGGAAAAAGTCGAAGTATGGTAATAAGTATCGATTGAATTGGTAAACAACTTGTCCAGTGGATGATATTGTTTCAATAACACAGTTTTCCAAATCTTTGATCTGAAGAAAATCACAATATTCATCATTGATATGCAGTTCTTCTTCATCCGATGCTTTTCCAATCGACGTTCGGACATCGAAGACATCGTCATATGTTCGAGGATAACCTGTGTTCGATTTGGACTTGACTACGTCGATATGTGTGAATTTTGTTGAATACCGTAATAAACGTTTGACAGAGAAATATTTGGGATCCTCGATTGAACGTTTCAGTTCCAAAATCAAGCGTTTCTTTTGATAACATAAATATAATCTGTAGGTGATCTGTTGGGATGTTGTCTGACGAAAGCCAGTGCATGTTAATTCATGTTCGAACGTTTGAATATCATTGATGCCTTTGTTTTTATTGAAGGTTATGAGAAAATGCTTTTCATCACGCGCTCGTCGTTCTTCATTTCGAAGATCATCGGCGCTGATGCTTCGACAATACAGGCTGTCAGGATACTGGACTTGCTGACGGCGATTTTGATATGTGTAAACAGTACCCAATCGAATTTCAAGTGGTAAACTATCGATTTGTTCAGTCTGACGGAACTCTTGCGATTTTCGAAGAAAGTCTTCCAAAAATAATTTCTTCAAATACGTTGCTTGCTCATCATTGTCAACGTTGTCTTCAGTAACTTCAACTATAGGTACACAATTCATTTGATTCATATGCTCAGGATTAACCATGCCGGAATATGGTACAAGTTGTACTTGCGCTCGGCCATCATGAGCTTTTTCTATTAACATTATTGTAATTAATTTATCGTAGATCGACAAAAGTAATAATATAACCTAACGATGGAAAATGTCCGTTTTTATATATACAAAAAAACGAGAGAAAAAACCTAGAACGTGTGTACTTTAGTGACGTACGTCTTTTATCCTCACCCCGGTCTAGTAACCTGTGCGTGGTAGAACAGCGAAAGTCGATATCTACAATCACGCGTCTATCATCAGTGAAAGTCAGATAAATAATAATTGTTTCACGCGTCGTATCAGTCAGCGACTAGAGTGTCGGTAAATACGAGAAAAATGTCATGTTTGAAATTAACCAAATACATCAGGACTAGAAATGAACGCATTTCCGATCATGACTTATGCTGAAAAGGCACATATGTGCTCAAGATGCTTAATAAGATAAGAAAATGTTTTCCTTGTATGATTTATCATTTCATTTATTTTACCTTGTTGTCTACCTTTTCTCTTGACTTCCAAATGAATACGAAGGATATATAATTGCACTTAATTGAAACAGCGATCGAATATCGGTGTACATAGTTTCAGCAAATGTAAATCTGCCGAAATTGTTCCCATATTTGTTTATCTATTAATACCGTTAATAAAGATCAAAGTTTCATTTCAATGCACCGTACCCGCGTATGCGAAGGCGTCATACGATTCGTTTAGATTACAATATCATGCTGCGTAAGCTAATCACATGATTCATATGCACCATTCTAATCGTATGTGATTCTTTTTTTCACAAGAGTCATCCCGACTATGTTTTCCTACTCTGTAATGTATGAAACAAATCATTTGCTAGTAATGTTTTACTCTGTTATTTCCCTATGAAATAGACATTGAATAACAAGATCAAATAGATACAAAACCAATATGAAAGATATTGTTTTACAAAGAAAAACATACAATGACGTAAGACGCTAGGCCTCATAGTTGATCTAAGCGGGGGAGACAAGTGTCAATGTAAAATTGACACTTTATAGATAGTAGGAGCAACAAACATGTCAACAGTGAACGAAAGAATAATAATCTCTGAAAAAATCAGGCACCACCATACAGCAATTTAAATATTTGAAATTTATCGTATAACAAAGTCACTGATGATGCGAAGGCGTAAATGTGTATGGTACTTTCTGAACAGAATATTGTACTATTTTTGCATATGATTACTATATATATAAAATGAATGATACGAAATTGAAATCTTCTGCATGAGAGAAACTGCATACTCTTGTATGGGTTCTGATGTAATAGGTTGGCAATTACTGCCATCTATCCAGTTGCGAATTATGTCGACTAGTTCAATCAAGGTTTGTCCATAGAAACTGGAATGAATTATGAAGACAAGGAATTCCTTGAAGCATTTTTCTGTATTCTCTTTCCATGAATAATCCTTGAATTTAATCAAGATGAGTAAGAGCATCGACTTTATTTCGAAAAGATAAATTGAAATGATCTTCTTTTCTAATTCATCCCGTTCATAGGCCGATCAGACTTAGACGCTATCTTACAAGAATTAATAAATGATACTAGCGGTACGGCATTCAATGGCCGAATGATTAATCAAACTGTCCATTATTTTATTTGTTTAGATACCAAAACATCGGCTGGCAGCAAGAATAAAAAAGTCAACTATGATCTTGATGACGATGATGACGATTGGGATCGGACTCCTAGGGTATGAGATATTTAACAAAGAAGATCGGTTGTTTGTATCTGCATGTGCATATTTAAGGATTCGAAAAAGCCAATGTCAAATATTGCAACAGCACAAGCGAATGATTTTGACGATCCAGGTCTCGACGGCGATGATAGATGGAATCAAACAGCCGGCTCAACTTTTTCCTACATGCCGACTTTTGGCGGTACGGGCACATTGACCAATACATTGCCTGGTGAGTCACGCTTTAATCATATACTAAATTTATAATGTTTAATCGAACCAATCTCTTCGTACGATCCTAAATGGGTACCTTTTGAGAATTGTGCGGGATGTCAATTCCTTATATTTATTATTATAAAACTTTACAATAAATACCTCATTCAAGGTCAAGATACAATACAACGTATTGTAAGTCAACCTCGACCAGCAACATCAAGTGGTTCTCGAAAATTTGACGATTTGTTTGGAAGTAAATGTTTAGACTAGTTTTGCCTTTACTCAGCTTTTTTTTCAGGTTCACCGCCGAAATCTACTTTAACAGGCGATACAGATAAAAGCAAGAAAATAGTTCGGTAAGATCTTAGATCCTTTGTTATTAAAGCGATCCATAACGTTTTTCCATAGCTTTGACGAGTTTGAACTTGGACGACCATCAACTGCTCCAGCGCCTACAAATACTTCACAAAACCAATCTGGTTCAGGAGTTATATCAGCCATGCGTACTGGCCTCGAACCAAATAAATCATTCAGTACGCTGTCTTCCAGTAAAACAGCAGCAGCGGCAACATCAGCTGAACCGAACGATCCGAACGCATGGCTTGGCCTAAAAGATGAATCAACTGAAGGTGAACACGATGACTTTCTATCGCGCCCAAAACAGAAGGTAGAATCAGTGGTTACTACTCTTGCAAAAAAGACACCGATAGCGCCGAGTCAGACAAAACCACCAGCAGTTCCCGAACAACCAAAAAAATGGAATATAGAAGATTTTCTCGACAATGATAAAGAACAATTGAAACAACCAATTATTGTTCCGCCAGCAACATCTACGAAAACATCTCCAAATTCCTGGCTTCAAGATCTAACAACAACAGATAAACGTCCGACTCCATTGAATGCACCGAAAACTACATCGCTCACAGAAGTTCAACCAGTTAAATCAACCGCTCAGAAGTTGTTCGATTCAGACAATGACTTCAGTAATTCTTTTGGATCATTATCGAAGACGATATTGACTAGGTCACATTGCTTTTTTTCCCTTCAGAAAATGTTACTTTTAGAGACACTGAGAGAGAATTACTTTTTACGAATGATCCATCCGTTTCAGCTACAACTCGATCGAATCAATCAACAGTAAACGTGAGTAGTACGACGAAAGTGGACAAGTCTCTGTCAATATCATATTCAATTGCAGCTCGATGTGAAAAAACTTCAATACGAAAACAATGAGCTTCGCATGACATTGGATCATGTCAAGCGACAAAACGAAGTTGAACGAGCGATGCTCGAAGAAGGTTACAAGCATCGCATGGAATATATCGAAAAGAGTTGTGAAAGACGAGAATCACGGTAAGCTTCGTTTTCATCTAGAACAAAAGCTTTAGATTTGAAGAATATTTGTAAACTTAGACTAAAGGAAGAAAATGAACATTTACTTCGTCAATTGAATGACCGCACACAACAATTCGAGAGCGAAAAATCAACATTAATACTCGATCATCAACGGCGTTTAGATGATTTACAGCGAGATCGAACAACTGAATTAGAAAATCTTCGAGCATTACAAAGGTTTGCCATCTTTTTCTCCGACAATATCGCAAAACAAATTGATCCTTGCTTTAGACAAACTGTCGATCATTTGCGTAGAGAACATGAACAAACAATTCAACGCTTGAAACAACTTAAACAAGAGGAATTAGCGACCGCCCTGGATGTCACAACTCATACGAGGTAAAACAGAATAGTTGAATTTCAATGATAACGAAGTTCGTCTCTAGAGCGTTTGAATCTGTTGTCGATCATATGGAACAAAATGCGAAAAATATTGACGAACTTCGACTCAAACTCGAGGCAAAACATAGTTCGGTACTATCCGAAAAAGAAGTCGAAGCACGCACCAAGGAACAACAACTTAAAGGTATAATAACTGTTTGGTAATCTAGTAATTATTATATGATATGTTTCCTTGTTCCTTCGACTAGCTTATGAAGAACGTTTGCACATGCAATCAGCCGATTTCGAACGTGAACGTAAAAATTTACAAGATCTCATTGCTCGACTCGAAGTTCATCTTTCTGAACAGACTAAACTTGTCGAAGAAGTACAAAGACAACACTCCCTTTTCTCTGTTTATCGTTTTTAAATTAAGGAACGATGGAAAGCTCTACAGGCTCAAAAACGTATGGAAGCAATGCAAGATGCTTTGAATGGTGAGCAGCGTCTATTCACGGAAAAGATCGCTCGTGAACGTACTGAAATTCAACGAGGCAAAGATCAATTGCTTGAGGATCAAAAAGTTGCTCTTGCAAGTGTTTACGAAAGTCGATCGCAATTAGCTAGCGAACGTGCAAAAGTCGAAGCGTTGCAGAAAGCATTTCAAGAGCAAAAACATCGCGACATGCTGCAGGCTGCTTCGGTACACGATTGAGATCTCGTGTTCGATTGATTTGTGTACACCGTTTTCTTTTAGATCGAAGCTGAAGCTCGTGCTCAACAAAAAGTTGTTTCAGAACAAATGGCACGTTTGGAAAAACGCGAACAAGAAATCATCAAACGCGAAGAAGCACTGAATATAGAACGGCGCTCGTTAGTTGAACTGAAACAACGTGTCGAGATTGAACAATCGGCTATTAAAAATGAACACGAAGATGTTAAGCAGAAACTGCTCGATATTGAACATGCGAACAATGCGATTCATAAAGAAAAAGAACGCTTATCTCAATTGTACTTCGAGCTGCACGCTTTGGATGGAAAAAATACAGGTCGACTTCAGCAATTACAACAGTCGATTCAAACTCTTCGACAACAAGAAGAACATATGAGCGAAGTAATCTATTATCTGAGTCTTCACCTATATCATACCAAACATCCTTTTCTTTCCAGCAATATTCCCGAATGGCTGACGATCGACAGAATCGTACTCATCTCCGTTCAAGTGTTACATTTGGTTCACAATCTCCGATGAAAGATACAGGTTTTTCCAGTAAGCCGACTATCCCAATCGAAGTTCTTCATGTTTGCACTGAACACTTTTCTACTTATAGCTATGCAACTCGTTTCAGCAACACCACTTTTAAATACAACGATATCTGTTCAACAATCAATCGAAGAAAGTGCTGTTCTACGATCATTACGTATGAATGCACTCCAGGTACCCCGCGTTGAAATAAATCAGAAGTCCGTTAGAAATAAATCGAATTTCTCTGTTTAGGATCAATTATATATTCAAGATGAAATGTCATTTCTGAGTAGTTTACGCGCTGCAAATCCTCTTTTACCACGTACTGGAACAAAAAGTAACAGCAATCTGCATCGACATACGGATCACAATTTACTTAGGACCAATCATTAGTTTGGCAGTGAATATCTTTTCTTATGTATTTATAGATGTTATAAAAAAAACAAAGAAAGATTTGAAACAATGAACTGAAATTACACTTCTTTGTACTGTATTTTTATTCTCAAATTACTTTGCGTTTTCTATTATAAGAATGTTTGATCAAAACCAGTGTTGAATGGTAGACAATGTAACATAACTAAGAATAGAAACAAATTAAAATGATTGAAAAATGACAAAGTATATGTCTGTTTCGCATAAAACATCTTGCTGGAGGATATCCGACCGAACGCGACATGAACAATCCCTTATATAAAGCAAAGACTAGTCGGCAAGCATTCAACATTTTACTCGAGATTTTTTTATTTAGAGCACAATGAGTGATGCGCCTTTTTGTTTTTATGTAACAATGTCTTATCTATGACACAATGCGGTTTTCTCTTCAGTTCTTCTCGAATATCTCGAAATTCGGACAAATATTATTTGTTGACTTTCGAATAACATATAAACGTATGATTCTATCAGTTATGATTTGTTATAGCTTCAGTCCGTAGCTTGAAAGGGATTTATGAGTGATTAAACACTAGTAAGTCTTTTTCCTTGTACTTTCTAAATCATAATGTAAGGTTCGAAATGAAGAATCACGCTGACTGCTATTCATAAACGATAGAACCTAATTGGACGCTAAGCAGTGCGACTAGGGGTACATCCTTTGTTTGTAATATTACAGTTATACTTATTCGATCCAATAAACCATCATTACACGCAGAGAAGAAGAAGAAAAACGAAAAGAGTACCTATAGATTCACCGCGTCACTTTGAAGAATATATTTCTACCGCATACAATGTTTTTTTTCTCTCCATAACATATACACTTCAACTTTGACTGGTTCATGCTTATAATTCCGGTATGTATGTGACTTTGTATTGACATGTTATATTCTTGAACGGTTACATACACTGATATCGAAGCGTACTATCGAACGTTCTACTGACAATAAGGCACTGGAAAAGCTTTCTAGCCAGTCTTATTATTTGCGCAATGCGAGATTACACGTGCACGCTGATTCGTGTTACATTTTACTTATGGTAGTCGAAGAAAGAGAAAAAAAAATCATGGACACTAGTGACACCGACGGCAAAAAAAACAACACGTAAAGAAATAAGATTTTCTAGACTAGATTAAAATTAGAGCGTTTGATCACAAATAAATACTATGACACACACTTGTTTATTTTACTTTATCGGATGACACCTGATTAATGACAGGTACTGTTTACACTATGATATAACTTTGAAGATTCGCTCGCTGTTATAGTTATGACGGAAATCTATTCTGATGTTTATTCTCGTTGTTTTAGGTAAAAATTATCTCCAATGGCTGCACAACCAGACGAAACGTCGGCGAAACGAACAGTTTCACAAAGGTGAGTTACGAAATAAGTATTATTTTCAAGGTCATCCTTGAGACTTATATCAAATAGAACATTCCACGGAATCCGTGCACTTCAATTCATCACTTTCCTAGCCAAAGATTCTGCTTACTAATGAGCTTCTAGTATCTGAACTAACCTAATGGCGTCCGAAGATAAGCCTCAAAGTATTAGTGTTCTATTGAAACATCAAACTACGCTAATCTAAATGCGGATTAAGTGGAGCACGATCAAATAGCGTTTACCAGCGATGTAACACGAACTTTCTTTCGAGAATGAAGTCGAGTCATTATATTTTAATGTAGGACTTCCTGGATGGAAAAAGGTTTCCTTTCAAATAATCTGCTGTATAGTTTCTCACGCTTGAGAAATTTTTTCTAGACGAAATCTGTTCGAAGTTCTGTTTAAAAAATTCAATAATTTTTATGAAAAAATTTTCTCAAACATCGGCAAACAGCTCGGTCATAGGCCTGTCATCTACATTTTCATATCAATTGCGCTAACCGGTCTATGCTCTTTGGGTTTCCTGCGTTCAAATATAATCAATAATGCTGACATTCTTTTCATACCAACTGACTGCAAAAGTGTTCGCGATCGCGATGTGGTTGCCAAGAAATTGCCACTCAATTACGACGATTATTATCTTCATCAAGATTTTGATCTAGGCATATACGGAGATGTGATCTTCATTACCAGAAATCATGGAAATATTCGTCGCCCGAACGTTCGCAATGAATTAGCACGCATTTATAACCTAATACAGCATATCAATGTTACGTATGAAAATCGAACATATTTCTACGAAGATCTTTGTGCCAAACGAGATCATCGATGTGTCACTGAAGGTGATCTCTTCTTCCGCGAATCATTTTGGCAGCGTTTACAAGATAAAGAATTACAAAATTACCTCGCAAATGATCTCTACACAGATGATGACGGCAACGCGAATTTCCTACCATTTATATTTGGCAACAGCTTCACGATTAATTTCGAGAAAAGTACGTTGTTTTCTAAAGTGTTGAAGCTACATTTTAACCTACGGCGAACTACGATCGTGAATGGCAAGTTGGTAAATGTGGAAAATATCAGTCGAATGTGGGAGCAAGCATTCTTAGAATTCTTCGAACATTTTCATTCCGTTATGGTGCAAACTATCTATTCTGTGTCGACGTCAATTGATCAAGAATTAGAAAAGAATATTATGCTCGGTAACAGAGGAAATGAAAATTAGAAAACCTAATAAAAGCGATTTTTTTTCTCATAGATATGATGTTGGTGGTGGTGACGTTTATTGTTATGATCGTTGTGGCTACGATCTGCTTGTCAATACGTAGTACATTTGCTCAATCGCCGATGTATTTATCAGGTTCAGGTGTTCTAGCAACAATGTTAGGACTAGTATCTGGTTTTGGAATGTGTTTATTAGTTGGTATACCTATGTGTTCATTGGTATTTGTCACACCGTTTTTAGTTATTGGTAAGAAGCATTGATTGCATGTTTCGTAAGTACGAAAGTGTTTTCAATGTTGTAGGCGTCGGTACGGATGATATGTTTTTAATCTATTCGGCATATCGACGAACGAAATCATCGGATACAACAGTACAAAGACTAGCAGAAACATTTCGACTATGCGGTTCAGGTATAACAATTACATCGTTAACAAATGTTATTGCCTTCCTAGCGGGAGCAACAACGAATTTCTACGGAATACGTTTATTCTGTTTTTATACAAGTAAGATTTCTCAACAGGAAAAGACACATATCGAATTAATATATCAATTCTCTCAGGTGCTTCACTCGCTTTTTGCTATTTCTATCAAATCATGTTGTTTGGTAGTACTATTGCTTTGTACAACAATTGTATTAATAACAATCGCCATACAGTCATTCTGTGTCTTACCGATCATACATCATCAACAGATAATCCAAAAAGTCGACGTCGTCGCCGACAACACTGTTTACCATTGAAAGGAATGTTTGTTTATATTACAAAACCATTATTTACAACCTATGGTCAAATCATAGTCTGCTCAATCTTTGTTATTTATACAATATTTGCTGTCTACGGGGCGTTGCAAATGCGTGACGGAATGAAATTGGGACATTTATTGAACGATAAATCCTATGCCAAGTTATATTATGACACTCTAGATGAAGAATTCGATATTCATCCATTAGTACAATTTATCATCACAGAACCTATACCCTATTGGAGACATGATTATATCAAGCGAATAAGAGATTTCATTTCTCAGGCCAAGCAATTAGATGGTAAGAAAAAAATGTTCTCTCGCACAAATAAATTGTAAGTTTTCTTTAGGTATGGATAAAAATTTCGAAATAGCTTGGTTTTCTCTCTTGGGCTACAATGGATACGAACATCCATTAGATAATGGAACACTATTTATGGACACTATTCACGGTTTTGTCAATTTATTTCCTCCCTTTGCTAATGATTTGATATTTAACAAAACTCATTTATTAACTAGTCGTTTTTATTTAAAATATGCAGTTGTTCATTACAATTCCAATGATGGTCGTTTAGTTAATCAATTGTATTCTCTCGCCGAACAATCACAATTACCGATCAAAGGTATGAAAACGACTTTCAAGAAAATCTAGTCATGTCATATCTTTCTGTTTAGTATACAGTAGTCTTTTCAAGTACTATGAACAAATGTACGAAGTTATCCCGAACATAATTCAAACATTTCTTATCGCTATCGAAGCGATGTATTTAGCAACGTTACTAATGATTCCTGATCTCAAATCTGTTATTATCATTATCTCTACAATGGGAATGATCTTGACGAGTCTTGTTGCAATATTACATATTTGGGGTATCCAAGCATCATCAGTTATGATGGTTGAACTAGTTATGTCAGTTGGATTTTGCTCAGATTTCTGTGTACATATTGTACATGCATTTTTGACAGGAACAGGCACAAGAAAAGAGCGTGCACAGCAAGCATTGATAAATATGGGAATGCCAATATTATGTGCATGTCTATCATCCATTATTGGTGTTTTTTTCCTGGGTGCCGCTCATTCATATCTATTTCGAACATTTTTCAAAACGATTGTTGCCATTATGATCTTAGGAGCAGTACATGCTCTGTGTTTCCTACCGGTTATTCTTTCTGTGATTGGTTCCCATTGGCCATCGCACATGATTAATAGAATACAACACAGCGATACATATCAAATGGCGTCAATAAATACAAATAATACTCAGACGACTGGTAATTTGAATGAAGAAACTCTCCTGAATAGAGATAATCTACAAAGAACATCGAATACAATTGAAGAAGAAGAGGATAAAGACGAGTTGATGTCAACAACAACAACAACAACGAAAAATATCATTTAATCCCTATACCTATTTCGTATCTATTGTTTTTTTTTGTGTATGAATATAATAATAATAATGATGATCTTTACTTTATTATAATAAACCAGTCAACAAAATATACTCACCCATCGTTAGTACTCTATGAATTGTGAAACTACTTTATCGAATTAGTGAATATTATCAATCAGATCTCGCCATATCATGCAGGCATATTTACTGTTTCTGTAGAATAGACAGTAGAATTAGCCATATCTCGAAAGCACAAAATCATTCTTATAACGCACACTCCAATGTACTCATGAGCTCGTCTTTGCATATGGTTACCCACAGAGTAGATCACTATCTGTTTCTATAAATAAATCAAAAGATACATCCTGTATGTTGAATTTGGTGCGCAGAAATTCGGAAATGATGATATTAATTTGGAAATTCACTCTAAGTACGTGTAAACTGCGTTTGATTTCTTCAAAAATCGCGCTCGTAATTAAGTGAAATGCGATATAATTATTACCTACGAATCCAATAACACTCCTTTCAACTGACTTTCTCGTACTATCTAACATCTTAACTCACATGTTATACAACTACACCTAGATTTCATAAAAACAAGCAAAAGAAAACGGATTATGTTTATCTAGCCGTAATAATATTGTTAGTTCCAGTAGAAAACCTGAATTATTTCTAGATGGTTGATCGAAATCGTTCTTTTTCTTTCTTAATAATACTAGAAAGTGGAATATAACAAACAATTTAGTTTCCAACAGGGATCAAAGTCGTAATTACGTACGTACACACAAAATGTTTCGAGAAATTCTTTTCTAGTGTAGTCTAAACTTTCATTGAGCAACAGTGTGCCGTAATTAAATTTGGAGATAAAGCAACTTTTGAAAATATCTGGTACGCGTATATACGAGTGTTTTTTTTTCTGGAAAAAGTACCACAAAGGAGCAATTAGTTGAATTCATATTAAGGTAACAACGTAATAACTTCTCTTCATTTATATGTTCGTATAGGAAGGAGAGATATAAAATATCGAAGTACGCACTCATGTTTTCTTTCTTTGATCTAATCAGGAATTTGATGATTCTTTGCATTTCAACTTTGATGGAAATTCGAACTGCAGGATTCTGATTGAATCTGCAGTTTTTTTCTCTATTTGATAACAAAATAAAAACAGCCTACACATTGTACTTTTGATCTCAAATACCTGTAGGATATTGATTTTTATTTTCAATATTTGCCAAATTTCAAATCGATTGTACATATTATTCTTCCAACATCATTCTTAATCAAATCTATTACCAATCAGAATGCATGAATTTATATATGCCCGTCTATCTATATATATATATATAGATTCTGTTCGATGGATGACAGATGACATATTCTCCTACTCCTCTATTGTGTCGTCGATTCTCGTTTGCACTTATGTATGCTAGCCTGTTTTTCTGTCATTCACTACGAACAAAATGCTAGCTATGGATGTTCAAGTTTCCCCTCTTCTAAGATCTAAAGAACCTAATTAATAAATGTTCGGCAAGTAAGAAAGTTTTGTCATGTACAGCGGTTTTACTTTTTTTAGTGTCAGCTACAAGTAACGGATTATTTTATATTTAGACAATGGCGACATCGAATTATCATCTTTGCACTTTCTGAAAAAGTAAACTTGTCAAGGACAGATTTAATTCATGTCAATATTGCATTTTCATGATCGATGCATCGATCAGCACGTTATATTTATCGAAAAAGAAAACGAACTCTTTCTTTTCATTCAAGCAATGTAGGATATGACAATCTGTATAGCAGACCGACGTTCTTTTTCGGAGTGTTCCTACGGCTTGTATAAATAAGTTTGTTTTGATGATCGTAGGGAGAAAGAAAAGAACGAATGAGTCACAGCTATCGTCATGAATAACCTTATTTTTCTGTTGATTGGTAATTTGTTACTTGCCGAACTTTTCGTACGTGAACAACGTACTTATTATTGATATTACATCATGTCAGATGAAAAGAAAATCGTTTCGAGAAAGTTCAGTGTAAACATACTTTTAGTGCGAGAAGAAAAGACCTATTAGTAGCGATAGAAGAGAATACAAAAAAAAGCAAACAGGACAAAATATAGAAGAAAAATAGAGGAGGAAACAACAACTGCAGGATCTTAAGAGCGAGTCTTCGGAAAAGAGGAAAAAGGCCAATATGATAGATGAAAAAAAAAAGAAGTTTTGAGTGTGTTGCCTCGCCTCGAGAATTCTTCTGCTTTTCCTTTCTCGTAGTCAAACCAAATGAAAATGACATGTAAAACATCGAGAGCGAGTACTAATATCCTTTTTCATATGTATCTACGAACAGCATCCTTGACACGGTCAATGTGTAATCACTAACTTGATACGTATCTCGTGCGATTTAGTATGAGAAGTACTACGGAAGTAAAAAATATAGGTTCGAATAACATTTTCGATATACTTAATCGAGCAAAACGTTTTCCTTTCTTTTCGGTGCGGAGAGCTTGTTTTTTTTTATTGGCAATCCATGTGCATACATAGTTAGTTTGTTTTGCATTCTCATGCAGAACAGCTATTCGTTCGCCGAACTTTTATCCGTTCTACACAACTGAGAGATATATGCATCTACACTTTTGACTTATTTCGATCATGTTTATTTATCTTGTGCTTCATTTTAGATCATAATGCTTGTATGTTTATTATCGAATAGTACCGAGATTAAACAAAATGCGTTTCACTAATCCAATGTATACTCGTACTTGGACAAAAATGTTTACACCTATATCAACATTTATCACACAAATGAGTAAGTATATATCGAATACTTTTCTTATGAGAAACGAACGCACTCTCACCTGTTAGTTTATGTACGAACAATATAAACGAATGTTACATGCAATTTTTCATTCTTGACAAACCCAAAAAATGCATAGTCATGGCCTTTTCCTTCTAGGCAAACAACTTGGCTTTCAGACGATTTTCGGTAAAGATTCTATTGAAGATGAAACTCTAATCAAAATGGACACCATACCTAACGGACATGTTACACATACTAATGAACTAAATCCATCATCGAGTGTTCTTTCCACATTCTTATCTAATTTCACGTTTATCACTCGTCCGCGTTCATTATCGCAATCAAGAACATGGAAATCCTACCAAAGAAAGCAACGAAACGGTCTGATTAAACATTCAGAAAAGAACAGCTTATACCACCAACTGTCAATCGAAACGACCAATGATGAAAACAATAATCAAACGAAGACAGACAGCAATGCTAATTCAGTTCTTATCGATCTTCCACCTCGAACATCTTCCGAATCGAATGATGATACTGATAAATCCATATTCACTCTCGAACATTTCCTTTGGATACTTACCGTCACACTTTTCTATTTTGCATGGTTTATTTTGATTGCCGGAATATCATTCATTCATGTGCTTCTCTATTTGGTCCTTATATCACTTTACGTTCTCTCAGATCGTACACGACGGTTCGCGTTAGCTATTTTGATTTATTTGACTTATTTACTTTTATATGATGCATTACACTTAGTACCAAATTATACGATATCAAAGGTACACATCCTCGATGTTTATTTAATTGAAAAGAAACTTTTCGGTATTTATCACGACGGACATTTAATGACATTAAATGAATATTTTCGATTAAAGCATGTTCCATTTTTGGATGTTCTCTCGGGCATATGTTATCTTAATTGGTAAGAAATTCGATATTGATTGACTTAAATTTCGAAGAAGTTTTCGACCTGCTTTATGATTTGACTAGAAAGAATGAATTCCGATAAAATCTTCATCAAAAGATACGCATATTCGTGATTCTATTCAGATCTCAACTAATCTATTCAAGAATGGGATAGAGGATTATCGTTGATTGATTTTTTCCTTCTAGGATTCCAATACCAATTATATACAGTCTCTATCTTTATCGATATAAGAGCAAACGTGATTATATCGATTTTGCATTTACATTTCTCCTAACAAACATGCTTGGCTTTATTATTTACTACATCGTTCCAGCTGCGTAAGTCATTTTCATCGTCTTGCATATATATTAGATTTCGTCGTTTAGACCACCATGGTACGTTGCATTGTATGGATTCGATATGAATATGAAAGCGCCTGGTAGTCCAGCTGGTTTTATTCATTTTGATCAAATCATCGGAGTGAAAATCTTCTCGTCAATGTATTCGAAAAATGCTAATGTTTTTGCAGCTATTCCATCGTTACATGCAGCATATCCAGTAATAACTGTTCTCTATGGATCGCTGAGCAAGAAACTATGGCTTCATATTGGTTTTGTTATATTTACATTGGGTGTTTGGTTTTCAGCCGTCTATTCTGGGCATCATTATGTGATCGACGTACTCGCTGGCGGTACATGTGCTCTAACAGCATTTCTACTATATCGTCTTTTATCTCGTCAGCCGACAATCAATCGATTACTTGTTGCATACAGTAAATTAATCTAAATGACTAACGTAATTCTTGCAAAACAAATCCTACGTATTTTTTCTTCTTCCCCTTTCCTGATAAAATGTGAATGAAATTAATTTTCTTCTCACATTATGAATTCGTCAGATGATTGAAACAAAGTAAAAGATCACAAACTGCTCCTATGTTGTTCTTTATTGTTTTTTTTTGAGATATCAATAAAAAAATTTAGGAGGAACACCAAATCATCGCTTATTAAGACGACTTCCAGAAAGAAGAACTCTATTTTTCTTTGATCTCGGGAACACGAGAGAAAAAAAAGGAAACATGTACTTTTCTGACTTTATTATGGAATGAACCAAAAGGTTCGCAGGCAAAATGCTTTCAAGTCATTGAACTGAAAAAGTGCATTTTCTGAACAGTTCACAAATTGACATAGATTTCTTAGCCTCTGAATGACTGATTTAAGTTCGATTGGGAATATAACTGAAAATTAAACTAGGAAGTACGTTTCATGAATAAAACAGAACGTTCAATTAGAAAATTTCCCAATGGTATTAAATATAAATCAATATCAAACTTTATTATCGCCTTACTAAAGCTCATATCACGATCATTTTCGGGATTATTTGGCTTTGTCAAGTCTAATTAAAATCTTATTGTTTGCTGAAAAGAAATAAATCAAGCTGGCCAATGCCACCGAGTAGTTCATACCACACGTAACCACATCGTACTCAGGAGACTAGGTTGCATATTTATTTGACAATCCTTCGACGAAGATGAACGTTAAATAGCTACGCTTTGTGATTCCATATGTGCTTTGAATTTCAAACCATTCCTTGATTTCTTTCCATCGTGAAACCTCAATTAAACATGCTACACCTATTTTTCACTGGTTATGCTTATGTCCAATAGGTAAACGTATGTCATTTTATTTATTCTCTCATTATTATTTTTTTCTTTTGTTCTGTTCTATGTTATGTTTTCTTCTACCTTTTGTGAAGAAAAACGTTTTTTTTCTTTTGTGTTTTCGCCTACTGACCAACTCTTTCGGCTGTTTCTCCCTCTTTCCCATCTGCTTTTGTTAGTTTTCTTTTGAGATGTTTATTTTGGCTTTTTCATCATCTTTGCGCGAAACAACCGTCTTTCGTTCGATTGTTTCGATACATGCAAAAAAACTCAGCTTACGCATTTGTTTCTCACAACATCTCGAACACTTCACCAAGTGTATCGCTGCTTCTTTTTTTTTTAATCATCGTTAATCGCGAGTTGATTTTGATAGTGACCTCTGTCCCAAGTCTAGATGCTTGTTCAAGACAAGACAAGACAAGGCCGAAGGAAAACACGTGACTGTAGATTAGAAAAAGATTTCTGGAAGGTAATTTATTTCGAAGATATGTTACTGACAGGAGTATTATTTTTGTTCGTTGTGCATGACTATGATTATTATTATTACTATCGAAGAGCAAACGAAGAGAGAGAAAGAAAAAGCAGATAAGTAGAAGGTGAGTACAATGAAGTTTACCGAGATGCAGAGAAAAAGAGAGAAAGAGAGATCGGAAAATGTGATAAGTGATGATTAAACAATTTCTCGGTCCCTCAATGTATATAATTTCCACTTAGCATATTTGGTCTTTTTCTCTTTGATAGAACATCGAAGCAATAAAAAGAATTGAATGACTCATTTGACTGACTGGCTCAGGACGTCAGAGGTTCTGTTTTTTATATTAATATTCTACAGTATACATATATATTCGTGCTCGCAGTTGTTCTCTGTCCTCTGTTTTATGTGTAACGGTAGGCCTATCCATCGCTTTGTATTCACACGATCGTTCTAGTCATTTCGTTTAATAGTAAAGAGTTATACACACATGCGCTATGTATAAAATAGTTCATATTTGCATGAGAGTTTACTTTTTTTTTCTAATTACATGGTAAATATCCATCGATAATCAGTTTGTCGTCAATCATCGCTCTAAACAAACTGACGACCACATATATATATATATATATATATATATATGTGTGTGTGTGTGTGTACATAAATCTTTTGTTCCGTTCTTGCCATCACATAGCGAATCCTTTGTTAAGTACCTTCTGGGTAACACATGCATGTACTCAATACATTTTTCTTACTAGACATCATCGAGCAATTTCTTTCGGTTTACGGTCTGTCTGCCTACGGGCTAGATTTTTTGTTTGACTTTTTTCGCATCGATGATCGATCGCATGTTTGCATCTACTTTTTCTGTTGAACATAGATGATGCAACGATCATCGAAGTCAAATAATTACCAAACATGAACTCGTTTCGTAGATTAAATTCGAAACATGTTTCACTTAATGAGGATATCTTGTGGTTACGATTATTACTAATTTATTTCTACCAATTGAACTTTATAAAACTACTAGATGAACTGTCTCTTTGTTTGTGAGAGTGATTTTCTTCTTTCTCTTTCTCCTCAGTTCATTCTTTTGATTTGAACTTGTACATGTAGAAGTGAATGTAGGTAACATAGTTTCTTTTTTTTCCTCTTCTACGTACATAGACGCAAAGGTTGAACTGTCTGTGACATGTCACAATAGAAGTCGAACTTTTCTTTTGTCGCATTCGATTTTTTTTTCTTGGCCATTCTTTTAATTGGCCTGCTGTATGGGCAGAAAAAGGAAAGCGAGAACACGAAGAATGAGGCATAAAAAGGTGAAGATTGCATCGTTAACATGTCCTGTCCTTTTGTGTAGTGTGATAGTAGATAAATACATATCGTTGTGCGAAGCTCCATTCATCGATAAATTTCTTTTAGTTTTTTTTCCTTCAGATGTGTCTTTTATTTACCAGAGTATGAGATTTATGTTTGCCATCGATAGAACACCTATTCAGAATTTCAGCGATGGATATCGATTTAAAACAAGTATTTTCTATTCTTGACGAAAACGACGAAGGACAAATACAATTACGTCGTTTTGTGGACGTCGCTAATAATTATTATTCCGACGCTGAAGTAAGTTCATTTAAAATTTAAATCTAACCAATTATTCTCAAGTGAGCTTGGGAGTTGGAAATATGAACTGAACGGAGATTTTGTCCTCTTGCATTTTCAAGTATTATACAAAAGGCCATCGTTCGCTTTGATCTTCGTTATGATATTAAATGACGGTGTCTTTCGTTTTTCATTTCTAGCAATTGAATCGTATTACAAAAGCACTAGATCCAAGTAATACTGGTTTAATCAATTTCGAACAATTTTGTGACGGAATCGCTCAAATAAGTTCATTACAAGGCTTAACACTCAAAGAAGTCGCATCTGATTTAACACGTCGTAGCCGAGAAAATTCGCTGGTAGAAGATTCAGACCGCCGGAGTTTGGTAAGCAATGCTTTCTTTTTTTTTTCAAATATTCAGTACAAAGATCCACCAAAAGAAAAATCGCTGAGAAAAAAACACGTTCTTTTCTTTTTCTGTAGAAAACGAATAATGGATTCGATTTTTCTTCCCTATCTTCTTGGCCTAATCTTCTACAAGAAGAGGTGATAAATAAATAGGTTCTGCTTTCTTTTTTTTCTTGCTTGTTCTATCTAGATGGTTTTCTTTTTCGTTGCTTAAAACCATCTGCTATTTGTTCTCTTTCCATGTTTCAGAATCAAGACGGTAGTACAACAACTTTCAACGAATACGACGTCGAAAGTGACGAAGCATTCCATCCTCCTAATCACAAATCACATACGTCCAGCACTCGTACACCGAATAGTACAACGAATACCAAGAAACCCCATCACAATAATCGGAACAGTAATCGAAATAGTCAATCATTATCACCAAGATTAGATTCACCCTTGTAAGTTAATTTTCATACTTGATCTAGAATTAGATTCTGTCAGTTATGACATTAAGTCGGCAAGAGAGTTGCTATTTTTGTCCGTGCCTGAGCCAAACTAATAAGTACATCTTGCAGCAAATGCGCTGAATTGAACAATGAGATATTTATTCGAGAAGTATTTCATCGATCTCAAGTGAAATCAATTAACATCTCTTGAAATATTTCAATGAAACTTGTATACATTTTATTCGATAACTAAATGCGATGTGTCTATTTAGTTACGGTGACGACGAAGAATTCACTGGTGTTGCTGAACCAACCTCCAGTGTTTATTCACCCGAGACAGTTTACCCACGCGCACCATCGCAACGTGTTGCGTATGTTTGATTTCAATCTTTTCTTCTTCGCTTTCATCATCATGTCATTTATAGTCAAAATTTAAAACGAAGTAGTTATTTGCAACCCGTCACACCTTTAGAACAGCCCGAACAACAATTACAAGAAACAGTATGTAGAAATAGAAATGACATCTATTGAAAAAAAAACAAGTGATGGTGAAATGCTTCAGGTTGACGAATTACAAAAAACTGTTGACACTTTAACAGAACAAAAAGAAAAAACAACTGAACGCTTAGCGAAAATTCAAAGTGAAAATACTGATTTAAAGAGCAGGTTAATAGGATATTCATTCTCAGATGATATTCTATATCATTGATGCGATTCAAATAGGCTATTAGCACTTGAAGATCGTTTTCACGATCTCGAAGGCCAACATACGCGTACGACACGAAGTGAACAACAAAAATACGCCGAGTTTATCGTAAGTAAAAGAAACAAAATTGTGCTCTATCGCAAGTTTTTCATTTATTTTCAGACTCAAAAAGATCGTTCTTTTCTTCAAGAAAAGGAAATCTTACAATCAAGGTAAATTTCTCTTCTCCTTCTTCGTCTAATTTCAAAACATCATTTCCCTTTAACAAATAATTTTCTTAATTGATTTCTTTTTTAGCGTTATGAGGTTTGTGTGCTTATTGGTGTCTACTCAGACACATTTCCCCCCTTTGTTTTAACCTTCTTCTTGTAATTTATATACGTTGTCTGTGTGTACTGAACTGAATAGTTCCTTCTTATTATTCTAACTGTAGTTCACATATTGTTAGATGTTCATTGAATTTTAACATTTTGAAAACTAACCTTGATGACGATGCGTTTCAATCTACCGATGACTTTCGTTTTAGGATCAACGCTATCGAAGCTGAACTTAAACAGACGAATCATATCAATGGTCAAATGAAAAAAGATGTCAACATTTTGAAAGACGTAATTGTTTAAACTAGTGGAATTCCTCACAACTCGTTTGATATTGTTTAGAAACTCGAAGATGTCGATGTTCAATTACAGGAGAGTCAAGTTCGCTGTAATCATTTATCTGAAGATAATGAGAAGCTGTTAGAACAACTTCGACTTCAACGCGAAGAACTCGAAGCAGAAAAGCTAACGAACGCACAAGTATGATCCAGTGTCGATCTTCACGCAGTACTATTCTTTTATTTAGCTTGCTGAACAATTGACATCGCGTAAGACAACTGGCCGTTCTTTAACAGGTACGGAAAGCATTCTCAAGTCGTCGGAGCTGCGTATTCAAGAGCTTGATGCCCAAGTTCAATCATTGAAATTGGTATGCGTATCAATTGTTGCTAATCATATTTTGTTGATGTCCTTCTTGATAGGAAAATCAAAAATTGAAAAATGAAAACGAAGAATTACGTGAACGTGCTGTTGCTTCGTACGTCTTTCTAACGCAAGAATGACTTCGTTCAATTTTGAAATGAAATTTTTTTAGTGGTATCGATGAAGGTCGCCGGTTGATGGCAAATCCAGACAGTCTTTCCTATGCTGCGGAACTTGAAGTCCTTTCTAAAGACGAGGTATGTACATCACGCTGCTCAAAATTTCATAGCCAAAAACTTTTAACAGCTACCATCTGTTTCTCTGTACTAAAAAAAAAGAGATTTCTGCTATATATCAAGGTGTATTGTTTTAATCTAAATCTTTGCAGCTCATGAGTAAACTGAGAGATCAATATTCCATAAACGATCGACTACGAGAATACATCGAACGAATGTTAACTGTTATCATCGAAAACAATCCCCAATTACTCGAAGTAACAACGAGTAGTGGTGTATCAATTGGTTCGATGAGTATGTCGTCACTGACATCGCCAAATCCTCGACTAGCTTTGCCAGTTGCGACCAGTTCAAAACCATCGTTACAATCCACGGAATCCGTGCAAAGCGATACATCCTCAACAACAATCAAGGGACCGACTGACAAGTATTGTCGCCTGTAACGTCGAATTCCTTCTTCATTTGTGCCTAACGCTTCTGTGATTTACTCTAACTCAAGCCATCTCATTCTCTCGTATGCGCTTCCTTCTTACTTCTCCCGGCATATTTTGTAGAGTGTCTCTACTTTCTTTTGTCCAGCATATGAATATCCTCATAACTTATTATTTTGCATGTTTGTTGTCTTCTTCTATACTTTAGCATCATATTATCCCACACACATATACATATTCTTTCACTCGATGTGAAATAGCAATTCTCGAACAAATATTAATATATGGTTTTGTTTTTTCTTTTAGCTCATAAGCATGAATCGACGTCTACGTGAATACATCGATACATTATTGGTACAAATTCTTGTCAATGATCCAACTATACTTGAAAAACAGTAAAGAAAACAAAATAAACTATAAAGTTGTTTTCTTATCCTTTTTTATATGTACAGTTTTCTTTCCGAGAATGTTTGTGTGATTATGAGCTCATTTGATTCTTTTTCTACATCCCGCAAAAATTCAACGTTTTCTTTTCATCAGAAGTCACTCTTCGATCGAATATTTCATTTTTGCACTCCGTCTAAACATTTTGTTTTCCCGCCTATTCTACATGCGATCAGTATACGAACATTCCACTGTTAATCAAAATACGTCCACAATTATTAGAGTTATCCCATCTGTGTATGTGTTTTCGGAAATCTTCTTTGTATGAACGAGAGATTCTTTTTCATTCGACACTTTTTTTTAAAGAAAAAAGCACATTGTTATATCGCGATTTTTTTTCTCTTGCTTGGAAGCCATCTGTCCATTCCGGTTGTGTGCGTATATATATATCTTGTACAAAAGCAGCAAATAAAGAGGAACTGGTTTTTGATTTTTAACTAACAGCGGTTTTTTACGACCATCAGCAGCAAAAGATGTCAGAAGAATGAATAAATATACGGGATTTGATTGGTGGATACATGACGTCAAAATGAGACGATGTCGAGAGTTTGTCATCGATGAATCACTACTTCCAGAATCCTTTATTTCATTCTTTGCATAAATATTTGTGTTGATTTTGTTTTTCTATACTATACAATAAAGTAAATCATGAGTTTTCTCAGTAATTTTGGTAAAAAGGCTGTGGAAAAAGCCTACGATCTCGCGTCGAAAGTTGAAGGCGGTCGAGACTATCTAACGACTGCAGCGAACACAGTGAATTCATTAGTCAAAGGCAAGGATGCACGGTAAGTCGATGAATAATGTTTACAACGGAATATATCTTCTTTTGTCAAATTTCTTGTAGTGTTTACCTTAAACCTGGCAATGTCATACAATTTGTATCTCGTGCATCTGCTCGTTCCATACAAATTGTTGTTGCTAAAGATACAAATGAGTTAATCTGTGATGCGATCGGTGGTACTGGACCATTTTTTCCTAATGCCTACTGGTTGGTCGTCTGTGGCCAACATGGTCGATACTACTTTCACAATAATTATAATTATCTAGCAATTAAAAACGGCAAAATTGCAATCATTCCATCTTCAGCCGGTGAAAAGCCACCTGCTGAAGCCGAGCTTCGTGTACAAGATGTATTAGGTTCTGCTCAAGCTATTTATCTTGAATCAGTTCAAACGCCAGGATATTTTATTAGCTTCGATGAAGATGGTTCTACTGCCGATGAAATCAAAATTAAAACGAAAGAAAAATTTTCTCAATTCGAAATTCAATTAGTAAGACATAGCTGAGTTAATTTGAAACTAATGTAAAGATTTTATCTGTTTAGATTGCGTATGGGCCAGGTATTCAGCCAGAAAAAGATGATCACACACTTGAAACGTCGAATGAAGCTTCGCCACCATCTTATTGGGCTGCAGCTGCTAATACTTCAACCTCTCCGACTGCGAATCGACAATCTCAAATTGGTGACGAAACCACTTCACCGAAATCATAAACTCTGACAACAAATGTAATTTACAACGCTTTTTCTTTCCTCTGGCGTAGTCGAACATCGATATTTTCTTCTTTTCTTTATTATATCTTTTTTATGTTGTATGTAATGTGCCAGACAAACACTTTCTTTTCGCGTTATATAAAACATGTTAAATACAAAGGAAAACTTATATTTGAGTTCATATCCAAATATTCTGCTACTCAACTAACTACTGCGTACGTGTTTTTCTTGTTAAGTACAGAGAAGGATATGAAATGGAAATTGATTTCGGAATCGCTGATGACATCTAGTAGCGTCATCTGTGATTGTTGTCTGTCTCGATTGGTTCAAATATCTTTCATTGTCAACCAGTTGAAGACTAAGAAGAAAAAAGAAAGCAATCACGATACAACCAAATACATTTGAAACTTGTCAGTGGTTGACCTTTTTTCAATAACTCAATCAATGAAATATTAGTATTTTCTTCAAAGAATTCAGATGTTACTGCATATCCAGTATCTTCATGTGGACTTTATCTAATCAACAAACTCATGCGACGTTCAGCAACAGCCAATCATGATAGTGATCATAACCACTCGTCAACAACAACAATAATAAACGAAACGAGTGTTCATAACAACAATAACCATCATCCTCCAAAGCGCTCATTAGAGGACTATGGTTTTCAAAGTAATTTCAAACGACGACGACATCTTTCGCCACAAAACGGCAACATCGACATAAACAATGCTAATGATTCCATATCGTTGACTCCCATGAAGAAAAAAACGAGAACAAAATCAAAAACTCAATCGGTTTTAAATTCATCGTTGGAAGCCAACTATGAACGGAATTCAATCAATGATATTCAGACACCTCGTGTAAGTTCCATAGACGAGTATATCGTACATCATTGAAAGCCATCAGTCAATTGTCTTCGACATTGGCAGTAATTTCTGTGAAAAAGATTTGTCTGTGCATCGTTGATAGGCATCAGAAAAGTTCTAATATATCGAAATGAGAAAGAAACTTCGTTTTTTCGAGATCTCTCATTGCAGAATGAAGCTATGCTATCAAAGCGAAGATATTGACAAGGTCACAAGAACAGCAGATGTTGTTTTCATGATAGTTTCTTTCTTGATGTAATTATCTATAGCGCGTAGAAGATATCTTGGTACTCATGAAAGGTCTTACTCTCAATGTAATGGATCAATTTGAATAAATATTTTGTTTCCTCTCTTGGCATAGAAAACATCATCTCGACATGCGATTTCATCTCAACAAATGACTGAAATTAGTCTACCTAATTGGCAGAACATGTGTCCAAATATTGATCAAATTCTCTCGAATAAACACACACAATCTGGTGTATTTGCACATGAAGTTCAGTTGGTTCAACAAGAATTAGAAGCACTTCTGTCGATGTCGATCGTTCGAGAAAATATTCTTCGAGATCTTTGCAATCCACCTGCGAACAATTCGGATACAGTACGTTCGAAAATTCGCAAACATCAAGAGGCCGAACGCGTCTATTCGTCAAAGAAACTCGTGAAGAAGCCATTACCATCGTTAACCAATTCTCATCATCATCATCATCATCAGCGACAGAATGCGACACATGTCCTACTTGACAGACAAGTAGCCATGCAGCCAATACTCGGCGCACGTATTGATCAAATCTGGTCGGATATTAATACGTATTATCGTAAAATATCATCCAATGATATATCTACGATTGAGAATCTAGTCACATATCATCAACATTTAGAAAAGAAATTTGAAGAGATAAAGTTGAATTACAATGAGCAATCGAAGTTGATCGAAAAATTAACCGAAGAAAATTATCAGCAGTTAATCGAATTTTCGCAAGTCAATCCGTTAGTAACGCATTATGTTGATCGAACAACATTAGGATCATTTCAATCAAAGATTTATGAACATATGGGACGAACGTCGCCCGTTTACCGCACGCCGATTTCCAGTCCTTTGCATGGCAAAGCCTTAAGTAATCATTTTGATGTGAAAGATATTAACGCCGCTTTACGAATTTCATCACGATTACATTCGAATGAAATTTCTAATGCTCGAACGGGATTATTTTCACTGCCAGATGTAAGTAAACGAACGTCGGATTCTATTTGATAATCCAAACTGTTTTCTTTGTTAGATTAAAGTTGAAGAAGATGCTGAAGCATCAGTATTGCCATTAAAATCAAAAAAGAAAAGCAAACTGATATCCCATCCGTCATCAGCGATGAAATTTCAACAGCAATTAGAATTAGTTCAGGATTATTTAATCGATCAACATCCTAACCCAACGGAAACTGCGAAAAGGCAATTGTTTCATGAAATGAAGTCAACAAAAAAACGCAAAACATCTCTTTCTACACCCACACCAATGATAATCAACAATGTCGAACATTGTACAGATATATTTCAATCGAAGTTATCGATGTCAGTAGATTTATTACACGAATGTTCAATAATCAGCTCTTGTGCACTGAAACGTGCACGTTTACTATCAGATAATGAACAAACTTGGCAAAAATTAACGGCAATCGAACGCGATTTGGAAGCTTTAATTACTAAATTGAATGTTACCGGTGGTTATGCGAATAGTTCAAGTACGGAGAAAGCATTTCAGAATCTTGCTCAACTATTATCAGATTGGCAAAAATATGAAGAAGAATTCGACCAACAATTAGAAGAATTAGTGTGCATTGATCAATCATAGGCTAAGCTCGGTTGTTAGTTTTCTTTCTTCACTTGTTTGTGTTTGTTCGGTTTCTTTTGTCGTTACACAGATACATGTATAGTCCATAGGTAAAACACAATCTTCTTACATTGTATGTTCGTTTCGATCCTCCCTGCTGTCCTATTGAGTCGATGATCACTATTTTCAGATGTTTTGAAAAATGAGAAAAGGCCAAATGTGTTTATCTACTCTTCTCTATTTTTGTCAATAATTTTCCTTTTTTTTGGCGATGAAGAAAAACAAAATGTATCGTTTTGACTGAAGATCTGTCTGTCACATAAAATACTCTATATGAAGTCTGTTTTCTTTCTTCTATTTAAGATTTTTGCTAATCGTTTCTCTTCATTCCGTTCATAATCGAGAAGCGGAATGTCAACCGCTGCTTCTCGGTATGCGGAGTACGGTTCAGCATGTCCACGATGTCAACAAATCATCAGTACGATTGATCTTACATTTCAACAAGGAATTTTCATCTACGATTTAACATTTATTCAACAAGAGTTGGAATCGGCTCTTGTTGCTGCTTTACAACGTGAAAATGAACTTCTACAACAAGATGGAAATATGTTAAAACTGCCATCTTCATCTATGGTACGATTAGCAAACGGTAAAAGTCCTCGAGATTTCAAAGCCGAACGCGAACGACGACGTAAAGCGCTTAGTGGACACGGGAAACGCAAACGTCGAATGAAAAAGACGTCTGCTCAATATCTTCTGAAAACTATTAAATGCGAACGAAAGCCAAATGGATTTTTCTCGCCGAAAAAAGATTCTTCCTATGCAAAAATGCGATCAGATAGTAATGGAAATTCTTCGCGACCAATCAGATCTTATCGATCGATGAATTTCACGTTTCCATACTGTTACGAGACTAACTATCGTAATGGTCATCAACAAAATTCCACAGGAAGCAAATTACAGCCAAATACACTTTCGAATCCTGATCAGTTCTGGAGGAAAGTTATCGACAATCAACATGAATTTCTCAAAGAAAATGATTGTAATGAGATCGACAAAGTGTTCAACATGGACCGAGCATTGTTCAGCGATTTCGATTATGACAAAGACTTCGATCAATACAGAGAAACCATGAGTTCAACTGAATATCTTTTATCCAAAGACAAATATATTCATCCTGAAACCGAATACTCTGTTGTAATTAAGCAAAATTCTCATTTGTACAGTTTAGTTGAGAGTATGACCAATAATAATCAATATAAAAATGGTTCGACAGCAAGCAATCATCGAATGAAACGGAAATTCTCTACCATGTCAAATGGTTCTAATTCAGTGCAGATCGATCAATCAATTTTCGATTTGCTTCGACGAGATAATCAGTAAGAGTTTCCATCCATAAACAATCTATTCTAACAAACTGTTCATATTTTAGTGTTTTTTCATCGAAATATGCAGAATTACAACATCGCCTTGCTGAATGTCTCAGCATCGAACGTTTAGCACTTGATCGTGCACGAAAACAATGCAAAATGGATACTATTCGCCTGGATTTGAGTATGATTGACGATAAAATTCTCGAAATCACAAATTCTATTCGTCAACGTAAACGTCCAAGTGAAAATGCCATATCATTATGTAAACCGATAAGTCCATTGGATAACAATTCTAATCAGCAACAGCATTCGAATGGAAATAGCGAAAGTGACGCATGGCGAAAAGGTCGTCGCCAGTCAACACTTCGCGTTTACGATGAATTAGCACGATTGGTTGATGAACGAATCGAATTAGAAAAACATCTCATAGATACATATCCATTTGTATAATTACGAAATCTCTTTCTTATTTCACGAATCGAAGATTGGTGCTGAAGAAAGAACTGAAAATCTGACAGATAATCATAGTTGGTAGTAATGTTTTGCTACGGAAAGGAAATACTCAATGTCTGACATGAATTCCATTGGAATCTCATTTTCACTTTTCTTTTTCGTTTCAATGTCAGATGTGTGTTGTGAGTGTGGATGCACATAAATATGCTTTTTTCTCTTTTTCGTTGTTGGTTTTGTTGTTCATCTCATCGTAATATTATCTCGCCATTTGTTTTAGTGTGTAACATTTAATTAATGTTGTATAATTCTAGGAAATTTCTTTTCTTCTGCATTATAACCACTATTTATTTCTCTTCTAGACCGAATTGGAGTTTCAATTAATGATTGTATAGATAAATTACATTCTTTAATATTCTTTTTCGACGACCGAATGATGTTATGTCCTTAGTAGAATGGATGTCGGGTGAAATCTGATGGCTGAAAAACAGAAACGAGTAACAAATCATTCATCGTTACCACCAGCTATGGATGAACTAAATCAACATTTCGATTTACATTGTCGTCGACTTCTTTCAAACTCAATCGATCATTTACCTTCGTCAACAGAATCTACACGTAAACGACGTTGTCCTCCCATCGCTAATGAGCAAATCGATTTCTTCATCGATCATCCGCATTCAGTATACAATCATCACCTTCTCCCATCATCGACACCAACGTCAACAGCAAGTCGAAAACGTTTCCTAGAAGACGATTCTCACATTCAGTCTCCTGATTTTCACGCCAAACGAACACGATGCGAACATCACATTGAATTAGAAAATCAACCTCCATCAACAGCAATCAAACGTCGATCGGTACTTTTGTATCATACAGGACAAGATTGGAATCATTTACAAATGACAAACGAACTACCTCCTACTTTCTACAATCCTTTATTACCATCATTATCAGCCCCACATGAATATGAACAAAATCTATCGAATCAATATTCTTCTTCGAATACACATAACGAATATCTGACTAATCAACATTTACACATGTTTGAAAACGAAACATTATTCACTACAGACTCAAAAAGTACGTGTACTACTGACGTATACTAGTAAAGTTTACCTTCAATTTTAGATACAATTCCAAAATCAACTAAAACTATGGTTACAAGTGACAACGTTCGATTATTTTCATCGCAATCAAATGTATTTAGTCCATTACGTACGACAAACTTCGTTCTCGACAGCAAACAGCAAACCATGAGTGCAACAATCATGCGCACAGGAAATATTTCACCTGCTCATTCAGACACTTCAACTGAGTCGACGTCGACATGTTCGTCGGATGATCAGCAATTTCGTTGGAATTTTCCCTCTTTTCACTATCATCAACCATCACGTTCGTATCGCGAACGTGAAAATTACGAACAATTACTAGATCTAGCCGAGAAGCTGTCCGATCCTAATCGTTTCAAATCAGTTGATATTGAACACTTCGCTTCGTATCGATACCGATCCATCCGAAAAACTGATCTTTTATCTTCAAAACAAACAGCTTGTGTCATATGTATGTCTCATTTTAAAGATAATCAACGTATTCGAATACTCCCATGTCAACATGAATATCACTCGAAATGTATTGCAAGATGGTTTACAATGAATTCTTCATGTCCCATATGTCGACGAGATAACTTTCTCTCAAATCACTAATCGAACATTTTTCGCTTTTCTTTTTCGGTTATATATAACAGTAAAGATATTTTATGAGATTTTATTCAACAAAGGCCTACAGATGGTTTTTCTTGAAGTTTTGAGAGAAATTCATTATTACATATTTATTTCAAATACATTAATAGTCGAGTCATTTTGATTGATCAAGCACATAACTGGCATTACAATCGAAAAATATATTTCAATATGAAAATTTTAAAAATAAAGCATAGTTTTAGTTATTTATACATATAGTGCATACTCAGATACCAATCTGTCTGTTTTTGTGAGTTGTAGTGAGGTAAGATTGAAATAAATCTGTTCTTATCAATTCTTTTTTTACGAGAGAAGGGTATAGATGAGCTGTAAAGGAATCAAATAAAAACTACCTCTAGTCCTGCTCTATATCACAGCTTTAGTTTTCATTTTCTTCATTTATTTTCGAAGATCTCACCAGCACCTGAATATTCATTTGTATTCGAAATCGAACTAGAAAGCACGTGATTTATCTTCAAATTAAACTCCGAATTCAAAAATATGACTTCTGCTTCGTCGGAATCACCAATTAGCTTGATATCAATTATATACCCTATGTGCTCCATCTAGCTTGTCACTTACAATGTTTCTTCTGTATGAACACATTACACAAAAATCCTTCGAAATCATTAAACAGATACAATTTTGAAGAACAATTGTCTCTATCACATCCCCATACCTAAATTCACCTTGCCATTCATTTGTTATACTCATTTTCATGTGTAAATCAGCAATAACACATTTCAGACATTCTTTCTGACTAGTTCTTCTACTTACAATATTAACAACTTACAAGAAAAAACAAATTTTTCAATGTTTGTCTTGTTTCTGCTTAACGTTTTTTTTCTCTTTCTTTCACTTGATGTGTGTGTATGTTTTTTTTTGTACGTAAGTGTATCTTTCTTAAGAAAAAAATTAATCATCAACTAAACATGTTTCTCTGAGGTCACTTTTAAAAATGAAGTTTCTTCTTGTATATTCAAAGTTTTTTTATTAATAGCATTAGTACATGCTGTTTTACAACGGTTTTAACCTGAAGGAAAAAGGAGAAAAAAAACTAGACTGTTCAAGTATAAGAAGAGAATCTATCGGCGAAAAAAAGATAGCCTAGGTCCATTTCCATTTCATGCAAAAGAAAAGGAAAAAAGTAATGACAGAACGAAAAAGAATCAACTGTATAATTAAGAGAGAAAAAAGACACGTCGAGCATCATTCTCGTCCATATTCCCTATTTCTCTCTCTCTCTCATGTTCTCTGCAAAAAAATTTTTCTCTCGCAATGGCTTGTTCAGAACGAACAAATGTCTATTCTTCATATTTAAAGAAAGCATACATTCTACGTACAGTTGCCGTGATGAAGTTGCTCTGCTTATTTTTGTTTATTTACAATGAACGAACACAGACACAAATTCAATCTATGTCTTTTTTTAGACGATGATGACACGAAAAGATAGTACTGTCAATGATCCTCTCTCTCAATCGTTGAGTAAGTCAAAAGAATATTTAGTTTTTAGTGAGATGAACATCGAATAATTATTGTTTAGATTACAACACCTATTCAACATTTACTCATGATTATCATCATCGTCATAATCCTTGGGAAAAGCCGACTTATGCAACATTTGCCTATCAACCCACACCGTTCACAATAGGAACATTATCTTCAACCGGTGGTCTAATGAATAAATCTAGTGATTCATATTCATCATCGAATCTTAATCACACAACTTCGAGTCTCTGTCGACGCCATAGTATGACAAGAATTAGTTTCGTGTAATACGGTAGTTTAACCATGTGTTTCTTTCAGCTGAATCAGCCTTGCCAACATCGACCTCAATTTATGCTTCGTCCACATCGAATCATTTGCTGTGGAATCCATTTCATTACCCACAACACACACCTGCAAATTATCATCCGCCTGGACTTTTTCTTGGATGGAATAATGGTCCATCGCTAATGCGTACACATAGTGCTTCATTTCGAGATTATCCACAATCAAGTAAATATCTATTGAAATTGGTTCGCAGATAAGAAAGTTAGTTTATTTGCTCTGAGAGTATTCATTTACTGACAAATATACGATGATTTAGAGTAACTACTATTTGCTTAAATAAAGATTGTACATGGTGATTCCCGCTGTTGATAAGAGTGTTCGTATATGGTTTCGCTTCGATGAATATAGATTCTACATTACAACTTCTATTGACTGATCCCTTAGGAATCTAAGCTGATGAAAGGTTAAAAAGATGATTGCTAGCTGAAATTCTCATTTCGTTCGAATGAGCAAATAATCTAAGGCTTGAGAGAAAAAGAATGAGTTTTCTCATCGTCTAATCTCTTCATTAGCGAAATCCGAATATTTCTCGTGAATTGACAAATCTGTTCTCTACGATGAACATATTTCTATTCTAGCTCTCTTTCCGCCTTACAATTTATCCGGTTCTTCAATTTCACAACCGACAACAACTACCAAATCTACTGAACGTCAACCATCCATACGACCGATCAATACACTGTTCAATTACGATTATTCTCTATTTTCAAATGGGATTCCACCGTCCCATTTACCATTGTCTTCATTACCACCTACGACTGCCCCTTCGAAATCTAAACGTTCCATTCCAACTGTCAAACGACGTCCTCGTATAACTCCACAGCTTCGTTATGAAATTCTTAAATTAAAAACTAATAATCCGACCATGTTCATTTGGGAAATTCAACAAGCACTAGTACAGAATGGTGTTTGCACCAGTCAAACATTACCAAATGTAAATTTTCATCTTTCACTCCTTTTTCCCAATCAAATCGATGTTTTTCTTTCATTAGACAGCAGCTATCCAACGTATCCTTAATGAGTCGCCAACATCTAGTACTTCCATCAAAGATGCATATGAATCTCCATCCATTTTACCATTCTCCACAACACTAGATAATCTTCCTGAAGCGAAAACTTCATCGTCAGTGACGATATGCCTATCTTCGTCGCCATCCGATACAGAATCGACATCGGAGTGTTCGATTTGTCTCGATACCTACCGTAGTGGACAAGAAGTTAGTATCCTATCGTGTTCGCATGAGTATCATTCGTCATGTATCAAAGAATGGATGATCAAGAATCGTTCGTGTCCAATGTGTCGAAAGGACATTCATAACCAACCCCAATTTGTTACTTTACTTATTTGATTTATCGAAGATTTATTTTTCTTTGTAAATACGACCGTGGATAAAGATCAGATTCAATTGAAAACATGAATTCTCTCTACGGATAATTTTTGTGATGTAAACGTTTCAATAGGTCTATCGAATGTTTTGCTTGTTTGTTCGTTTGTTGGTTTTTTTTTTCTTCATCAAAAAATAAAGGAAGATATTGGACTTACCTATCATATCTCGTGTTTCATAATGAGATAGAAACATTCCGTGATATGCTGAAATGTCAGAAAAAGTGCATTTACCGATGAAACTATGATTTACAGTTGATGAGTGTTTATAAATAGGCCTTCTTCTAGCAATATGATGCTAAACACCCAACTTGAAGCTATCAATTATTACAAAAACTAAGTAAGAAACCATTCTTGATCATGGATATAGATATTCAATTGAAATCAACGTTTGTTCGAAACTGGGTCGTAGTCAAGTAACATCTGGAAGTTCTGAAATCAACACGCTATTCTTATAGAAAACAACAGCTTATGAAAATTAATTAAACATTTCGATGAAGATCTAATATTTCTTTTTCTACTTCGGAATTTCAAAATCATAAACAATAATTTGTGATACAATGTGAACATAGGCAAAATTCTCGTGTATATAGCGCAAAGTTTGATGTGTAGTTTGTTTTAATATAGAATAAGTCATATCAAATAAACTAGATTCCAGGTCGTGGAAACAAAGAATGTGTGTGTTAAAAGAAACAGTTCAATTTAACGGATCTCTGTTTTCTATTCGTGATAAAGAAACAAAAGCGTGTGCTTTGAACAGCATATTAATCATAATCTATTTTCAGTCTCTCACTTTTCTGGAAATGGAAATTGGCCAGAAATCAAACCATTCAAGTAGAATAATGGATTTTAAAGAACTAAATTATGATTTTTCTTGTAATAGTATAAATGTACTTATAATAATTTGTTCCCAAAGCGATATAGAAATGGGATTACATTTCAGTTCGCATACCGATGATTTTCTCTATCGCACATAATTGTCCGGTATTCCATTTAAAATGAAAATTCTCAAAAAACGATACCTATTTGCACTTTAAAAGGTCATTGTAACTCGTATCCACGGAAATAGTTTATAATATTTCAAATATATAGTTATATTATAATTACAAGTTTTTTGTTAATGGAATGAAGATAAGAAAAACTTCTTTCTTTTCTCATTAAATTTCTGTATAGCAACATTCTAGTTACGGTCAGTAAGAGAAATTCTTATTCGAGATGAACGATGATAACTTTTGTGAAAGTTCTTTTTGCGATACAGTTCAACGGTTGAATCGTTTTGTCGTTCAATGATTATGTATGCTCGAGATATACAGAATCTAAATGGATAATGCATATCAATTTCCTTCTTAAATGTCTTTAAATAATATCGATCATGCGAAAACAAAGTTTCTTTTTTGTTATGTTAAAGTTAGATAAGAAAAGAGAACTGCCGGAAACACTAATGGATGGAAATGGAGATAGTTTTACTTTGTTAAAACATTCTTCTTTTTTCGTTACTCTAATAGTTATCATTTGACTACTATCTTATCCAATTTTATCTTGATTAAAACATCGACAATCTAGGTAAGTCAATGCGCATAGCCCGAAGGGTATCTTTGAAACTATGAAGATGTGGACGATTGTCGTCTTCCGCTCATTTTGTTCAGTTTTCTATTACTTCTATGCCAGGCAATTGTCGATTCATTTTCCTTTTCATAAATCCACATCTATTTCGTTCCCATTGCCTTTCTGATTGTGCGTCCAATTGTATTGTCATCAATCGGATCAGATCATGTTCGATTCAATGAACACACTCTAACGAGAAAATGAATGACATTTGAATTCTGATTCGATTCTATATTTGTCTCTCTATTAATATTCA